TAAATAGGGTAATATTCTATTTATAAAGTCTATATTATATATAGAAGGCCATCTTCTATTCTTCTCTAGGTTAAATATAGATCTTATGAAAAGTAGTAATAATATCTAGCTTTATAAACTAGTAGGCATGGCCTATATTATATAGTATCTCTTATATTAGGGGTAAAGGATAGTAATCCTTAACTATATATTTATTTAACCTATAGTAATTAATATAGAATTATACGCCTCTACCTAGCTTCTAGACTAGTAGGATTAGTATAGCTATAGGTAATTAGCTTACTTATATAAAGTTCTTTCTAAGAAGGTCTATAAGTATCTTTTATAGGTAGAGTAGCTCCTTCTTATTTATCCTATAGAGGGGGCTATATAGTAGTAACTCTTTAATACTATTCTAGTCCTATTTTAGTAGTATTTTATAGTTAATTCCTAGCTAGTGTGGAGGTAGCTTATTAGCTAGTTATTAGCTAAAGATATCCACCTATTACTAATAGTACTTTAGTAGCTTATCCTTTAGGTTAATATACTTCTTTAGTTAGAGTACTTTTTTAATATTATCTAATAAAACCCTACTAATGCGTAGCTAATTTAGTACTATTAAGCTCTATATTAAATAGTAGATTAAACAAGCTATGGCCTGCGCTATATATAGTGTTTTTATATTTATAGGCCTAATTATATGATTCACGTGATTCTAATATCTTATTTATTCACCTCTCTTAGTAAAGATATCTAGATACCCCTTCCTAGCTAAGTACCATCCACGTACGTTGTATAGCTAGGGATCTCTAAGAATCATACTATCTTCCTATAGTCTAATAATATATATGAATACATAGCCTTACTAGTGGCTATGTATATTAAGGTTAAAATATATAGCATGAGTAATTTAGTACTAGTTTAATACTACTCTATTAAGGACTCGTGGGCGTATCTTAATACATAGGAGGTCAAGTGCCTAAACTAGAGACTTATTTATAGTTATATAGTAGTAATAGCCACTATTAATAAGGGCTTTTATAAATTAGATCTTATTTACTCTTGTATTAACTATAAATAGTAAAGTCTTATATTTTAGTAGCTTCTTAATATCCTTTTACTCCTACTTATAGCTTAGAATAGGAGCTACTCTTTTCCTAAATTATTATCTAAAGTTATTTCTTTATTATTAGTGGTTTTTATTAGTTTATTATTACTTATAGGTTTTACCTTCTTAATATATATTATACACTTATGTTTTGTCCTACTAGAGCTTATTACCACGCGTGTACGACTTGGTGGCCGTGCTAGTAGGAGTATGTATTCTATAATAAAGTGTCCTAGTCTCCTATATTATAGGCAGGTTCCTTTAGCCTATTATCTATTAAGTTTATCCTAGCTAACCTATTTCACTTACTTTAGTTATTTATTTATGAATCATTAGGGTTTCGTACGTGGTTTAGTATAGTTTATAGAGATAGTAGGGGTCTAATCTATCTTATTAGATCTAGAGTATTAGTAGCGTGTTCGCTCTACCTTATTAATATTAAGAGCGTCCATATCCATGCTAATCTCGTGGAGCTAAGAGATCAGGTCTAAAAAGGTAATAGGAATACTATGATTTATAAGAGAGCTTAACATCATCCTATTAATTATGCCTAGTAGGATCTGCCTCTTAGCTTTATTATACTATTCTAGGGCATCTACATCCACGAACTCCTTCTCTAGCTAAGGAAGGAATTTTAAAAAGCTTATATCTTCTAGCTATTAAATCTAGTATAGCCATCTTACTACACGTGCCTTGATATTTAGGTCTCTATAAATACTTTTAAGGTACTAAAGTAATTCTTATAGTTTACTAGTGTTTTATTATAGTTTTATAAATATCCCTAAGTTCTTCTAGGCAAGCTTCTCTAGCCTAGAGAACATGTATATAAATTAGTCTTATAGTATACTAATAGCTTCTCTATCTACACTAAGTTTATTTTCTATTATAACGCGCCATGTTGGCTAGTTACTTATATTTCCACTAAATAGTACTAGGTCTAGTAAACGTGCCTTTAGGTAGTAGATATTCTCTACTTATTAGGGTTCTAGCACTAATTTTATTTTTATCTAATTTAGAGTTTCTAGTCCTTTGTTTATTATTATTATTATTATTAGTAAGGCTTACTACTCTAGTATTACTTTAAGACGTTATATTCATTCTTCTTAGGTAGTATTATATAGTATACGTTGCTCCTACTCTTTATTCTACATAGCTTAGGTCTGTGCTATCTGCTATAGTAGCGTCTACGCCCACGTAGGGGGGCTCATTAACTCCTATGGCTGCATGGCTATCAGGGGTCGTGTCACGTATATTATTATTTCAAGCATTGTTCGCTTGCGTTTTATTTCATTAGTTTAATAATTAGGAATTAGAAGCTTTTCATATATAAAGGGCTGAAGCTGGACTTATATTTAATCTAGCTAGGCCACGAACTATGTATAAAAAGCTTAGAGAAAGGAAGTTCTCCAGGCGCGTTCTTCCTGTCAACATGCCAAGGTCACGTGCGCGGGCACTAGCCCGTGTCCAATATCAGGCACTGGCCCGTGACACTGTGTGCCTACTTATATAGATGTCTCTGCTTTTTCTATGTAGCTAAGATGTCCGACTTGATACCTAAAATATAGGGGTAAATAATCAAATTAGATTAGGATGCTAAATAAAGTAACTTAGAAAATCCTAGGGGCATTTTTATTATAATTAATCTAGGAACCCACTGACTTCCATTACTCCAAGCTCTAGTCACTGATTTCGCACAGCAGTCCACTGAGTCATTAAGAGTTTGGATTATCGCGATGCACTTCTTGTTTGGACCCAGAGTAATGCCGCACAAGGGGAAGAATACAACACTAACAAACTAGCCCTAAGCATGCAGGGCTTGCTCCTTGTTACGCAAGAGTGATCCAAGGAGACAAAAAATGCGGCCCCAGAAGGATTCTGCCCCTAGACTCCTCTCTAGGAAGGGCTGTGTATTCGTTCAAATGTAAGACACCTCAACGAATAAAATTTCGCTAACAGAAACCTGGTCATCTCACCTATTGATTTGCACTTTGGGTATCAAAATATATGTATTCACATACGGACAAGAATAGCTTATTTTGATTAGTTCATGTCAAGGTGGTGAGCCCATACGCTAATTTTAATGTGTTTTGCTACCAGTTTAAAATTTACGTTGAAAGGAAAAGCAAAAAACAGACTCGACATCTGAAAATTCCGGCCATTTTGCAAGCGGCGAGGTCGGATCGATAGCGGATGACGGTCGGTCTTCTGTCGCTGCGAAAGCCTAGCAAGCAACGAGATGTCAAGATACGGAGGAGGTACAAAAGAGGAAGGAGAAGCTGTATGCTAATTGGTTCATCAACGAATCGCTGGAGATCAGGAAGACCAGCGATTCCCAGAAGCTTAGATGCACAGCGATGCCAAGCAATCAGGCAGAGGGTGGGTGCCTGTGGGCGACTCCACACGTCCCGTCCCGGGGGGCCCGGATCGCCCCAGCGAACTTTGGCCCGCTGATCTTCGTGATTCTGGCCGTCCACGGACAAAGTACGGCTAGGTAGGTTCGATATACGTAACATGTGCCTTGGAAGGTATTTTGGAATCTGGGGATTTATGCTTCGGTCTCCATATCACGGCGTGAATCTCAAATGGTATTTTATTGGATGTAACTTGAAACCGAACACCGCACGGATACGAGGTGGAATACACACCCGTTCAATTGCGACTACTGAATAGTAGTGGCCAGTCATCGAGTCAAAGGAGAAACGGCCCACGAGATGATGCCACAGGCAAGAGTTTCACGTGGAGAAACACTACATCGCGCGAGGCCGGAACTAAACGGAAGCGATGTCTATCTATAGCTTTCGTTTATAGATGCTGATACATAGATATTTGGCCTGACCTTAGGGTGCGCCAAAATACAACCCAAACCCCTCTGAGAAGAACACTGGAGGGCATTAAGTACTCCCCCTAAACCCGGCATCTACCCTCTTGGGCCGAAACGGATTCTGGCGCGGGAAATACCGATCCCCCTCTTGATCCCCATCGGCCCGTCTCCTCTCCTGCGTCACACGAACCTCCGTTGTCTTCTTGATGTCTAGCTTCTTATGGTCGAGGATATTTTCACGGCTCGAGCCCGAATTTTGCGATCGGCGGGGCTCGGCAACGGTTTCGAAGAGGGAGGCATCGGGATCGATGGGTTGCAGGCGGATGGGTGTGTTTTTTGATCCACCCGACTTGGCGGAGCGCTCGTGAGATGTGTTGTAGTATGTGCTGCGTTTGCGGAGGATGGATGTGTAGGCTTGTGGGAGGGTCGGGAGCGTTGCGCACATTATTATCACGTACATCTGGGGGGTCAGTCGGGTGTGTTGGGGGAGGTTGTTATCGTCGTACCTCGATTCTGCGGCACGTCAGCGACCATGTTGCAGAAAGGGGTTGAGGGACTCACGTATACCATGTGGTGATAGGCGCCCAAGACCCTGCCGTTTTTCTTAGCTATCTTACTTACCTGTGGGAGTATGAAAACGAACAGGTTATGTCTGCGTGTTCGGGGAGGTTCTTGAGCAGGACGCACTTGACAAACGTCGCTGCTGCCGCACTGTCTCGAGATCAGCACGACAATGCCGCCTAGTCTAGGGAGGTAAGTATGCATACAATATACCCGCGCCTAGAATAACCAAGATACCGATCTTCTTGGCCAGCAGAAGCTGCACCTTGTAAAAAATCCAAATGGGAAAAATAGCCAAAAAGAGATCAGCAACGCCATTGAATGCTGACACGAAAGTCAGTTGAGGCCCGCTCTGTCCGGATTCTTCCCCTGGATGTCATCTCCGTACCTGCCTGCGTCGTCCCGAGTATAAGCTGGTACATGGGTGGAAAGCAGGACCCGTGCACCGAGGGCCTCCAGATCTTCTCGGCTGGCCGACAGAACCCGGCCACAGCTATGACCGCGAGGGTGTTGAGTATTATTGAGATCACGGTGAGGATGTAAAGCGACCAGCGCTGGGCGGTGGTGGCAGACGGTCCCATGAGGCGGAGGAGAAAGACTGCGACGGAGAGCTTTCCCGTCGTCGTGCTGGCAATTGAGAAGTTGGGCGCAATCACGGTGTACTTTGCAGCCTGGATTCGGTCCTCCGCATCGGGAATGTCGTTTGTATGTTTTCCTAGGCCGTAGTGTATGCCGACTTCTACCAGGGCCGAGCAGACGAGTGCGTTTGCCTGCACAGTTAGCAATTATTCGTTATCAATTTTCCTGGAGGAGGCTTCACCAGGGCCAATGCAATCCAAAAGTCATCCCATCCCCGCTGTCGAGTCACAAGGACTCTGGTGTACAGTCGGACGCCGACCATCAGGACGGACAGCCCACCAAAGACCCATGACACCGCGGTAATGCTGGGAGACTGGTCGGAGACCATGTTTGCACTTTGCAGCACGGTTATATACAAGCATCTAGCACCTCGATGGCCCGGAGAGCCCGATTACCTCGAGTTATATGATTGCCAGGAGCTCATTCTTCCCTCTTCCAACGCCGCAGTCGCCACATGTCGGATGGTCGACAACGCAACGTCCCCTAACTGAAACACGTCGTTCGCCAGCCTAAGCCGGGATCCGGTTCCCGGGAAGAGAGTTTGCAGCTTGCGCATTGGTTGGGGGTGAAGTCCTCCGGTCGAGATCCCTGCCCAGGCGGCACGGCGCATCCCACTAGTAGGGGTGTTCATTCCTCCGTCCGCGCCACCGGATATCATTTTATGCTTCCAGATTGGAAGGATTGAGATCTCCACCGTAGCAATTCTTATTGATACAGCCATTGGCTGGATATTTCCTCCTTCCCTTCGCTTGTCTCTCCGAGGTCACCCTGGTTCCTTCCTCCTTTGCTTAGCTAGTACGGGGTATTGCCATCCGGATCGTGCCTCCGGAAGAACGCACCACATCGATGAGTGCAAATTCCTTGAAAACATGCCAGGCCTCTCATCACCTCCAATCCCAACCTCTGGGAGCCCCTCAATTCATCCTGTACATCCCGCTGGGCTGCTCGGTTGGTCTCGCGGACTTCGGGCCTATCAGCCGACCCCATTAGCCTTGTCGGTGCCTGGAGCCCGGGCCAAGGTGCATGGACCGACGCTTTTAGCTCGATATGCGCGTTCCAGATTCGGGCTTGCGTGGGCCCACTAAGGAAATGTGATTGAGGGGTTCGCATAGTGGCGCGTATACATAAACCGGCTGGTCCGGGTATCCAGCACTCGCCTCGCATCCCTGCTGCAGCAAATCTTACTTTTCTCCTTGACAGATTTGCCACAAATCTGCCTCTGAATCCTCCTGACCGTGTGAAAATGTCAGGTTCCCGGGTCGATATCGAGTCCATCGACACTTTGCTAGAAAATATTCAGCAATCTATCAGCACCCTGAAGACACGGCAGACTGAGAAGGACCGTTTAGCTGCCCTTAAGGCTACGCAAAGCCTAGTGTCGGCTCTCCACCCGCCAAAGGACAATGTGTACCATCTGCTTTACTCGGTAAGTATCCCTTCCGCTGTCTGTCTCTCTTGACGTCGCTGATCGCCTATCCCCCTTAATAGCCAACCCAGGCGATGTGCGTGCGCATGGGCATCGACCTAGAGATCTTTACGACTCTCAGCAAGGCGGCAGAGCCTGTTACTCTTGCAGAACTAGCAGCTGTCAAGGGCGCCGATATTAGGATCGCCGGTGAGTGTCATACAACTCACACCCACCCTCAGCCGCATTGACCCTTCCAGAGCGCGTGCTCCGCATTCTCGCAGGAATCAACTACGTAAAGGAACATGACGTCCACGTCTACACAGCAACATCCCTAACACACCAAATGACCGACCGCTACAGCATCGCGATGGTCAAATTCATGTAGGCACCTCATCTTGCGAACTTCCTACACCCACGTACATTGCACCTAACGATATCTGGATTACAGCTGGGACTTTGGCCTCTCAAGCGTCGCCAAAATTCCTGAATTCCTACACAAAAACTCCTACCAGACAGTCGAAGGACCCACCTCCGGCCCCTGGAACTACGCAAACCCCATCGACGAAATCATCTGGTCATGGGTTGCGAAAGACCCCGAGCGACTCGACATCACAAACTCGTTTATGGAGGGGGATCGTGGAAGTCGGCCGGGCTGGGTCGAGTGGTTCCCCGTCGAGGAGCAGGTTATTAAGGGATACAAGGGCGGCGATGAGGATGTCTTCCTTGTTGATGTTGCGGGTGGCAGGGGGCATGATATCAAGGCGTTTAGGGAGAGGTTTCCGGATGCGCGAGGGAGATTTATTCTGGAGGATTTGCCGCATGTCATTGAGCAGGCTCTCCCTGGGTTAGAGGCTGAGAAGCTGGAGTTTGATTTGTTCAAGGAGCAGCCAATCAAGGGTATGTATAGCCCCCTCCGTCCTATTCTCTCGTCGAACAATACCATTAATAGCCCCAGGCGCATACATCTATTTCATGAAATTCGTCCTTCACGACTGGTCCGACGCCCAATCGCTCCAAATCCTGCGCCACATCCGCGACGCCATGACACCGGGCTACTCGAAGCTGATTATCGAAGAGTTTATCCTCCCCGAGAAGGACTGTCCCTTGTTACCCGCCATGTGGGACTGGGAGATGATGGTCTTCCTGAATGGCTTTGAGCGCTCGGAGGGGCGGTGGAAGAAGTTGCTGGATGAGGCCGGGTTCACGGTGGTGTTTTGGGCGCCGCCTGGGGATGGCCAAGTGAGTTTTCCTTTTTCTTTTTCGAGTAGTGGAGGCCGGGTTGTTTCAGTCCGGTGCTAACCTAGGATACAGGGGATTATCGAGGCTGAGGTCAAGTTGCCTAACTAGAAGTGCCCACTCTGTGCTGATGTGGATTGTTGACCTGGGCACCACTACGAAGAATCATAAAGCCTGAGCCACTGTATACGAGGTTTCTGAATAATCCTCAATACACCCATATGTTTGATGTTCGCCTTGCTGCTCCCACAGCTCTCACTTCGTTATAGAGAAGACCGGCGGATTCAACGTTGCATATAATGTTTTAGATAACTAGGCCCGCAGAGCCAATACATGTTAAAAATCATATCACGTTCAGGGAACCCGAACCGCGTCGCATATGGCGAACAAAGTAGCATAGCATAGTCCTTAATACAGTACACGTATCACGTATTCATATGAAAGCAACATGATCATCCGCAACAAACACATCGGGACCCTCTCGCCTTTGAGTGCTTCAATGACCCTATCAGCTCTCTCTCAAATTCAAAAAGCCCCAGTCTCCCGCCCACGCCTAATTCAGCTTATACTCCCTCAACAGCCAAGGCTCATACTCCTTCCCAGCACAGGTCGCATCACTCGCGCACGTCGCCGAATCAAACGGCCCATACGTATAGAACGCCTTTTTCTTCTCCAGGAGATCTTTTCCCACAACATTCGCCGGCAAAGTCTTAATCGGATACCCCTCATACGCCTTGACATCCCCTGGGAAAGTCGACAAAATCGCCGCCTGATTGGCAAACAGCGCGCCAGCCGTATGGTCACTATGATCGCCCGTCCCAAAGGCATGGATATAGTCCAGCGAGCTTATAGCATCCGGCGCGAAGGCATTGATTGCCTGCGCAAGGCTCGCGATCAGACCTCCACGGCTATATGTCGTTCCGGAATCGTCGACTGTGCGGATATAGGGGATCGCGCCCTGCCACAGTTTCTCGAGGCTTTCGTTCCCTGTACTCGCGAATCCGTTCCCGTCACCATTGCCGTCGGGGATGTGCATGAACGCTAGTGAGATGTTGTCGCGCTCGCGCAGGGTATATTTCGGGATATTCTTGCCCTCGATTCCGAGGTCGTATTCGTCCCATGTGTTGGAGACACCGGCCATCTGCGCGTAGGCGGCGAGCGCGCCGCCTTGTCGGCTCGACCAGTAGGCGGCGTCCAGCCCGCTGTCGCCGGCGGTTAGGTAGACTGTTTGGATGGTGTCTCCCGCATGAATGGCGTGGAGGAGGGAGGGATTCATGAAGAGGAGGTCGTCGTCTTGGTGCGCGATTATGTAGAGGTTTCGCGTTGCGGCTGTGAGGGTTGCCGTGGCCAGGGCGACCAAGAAGGTGGTGAGGCGCATGGGAGGCAAAGATCTGGCAATGCTCGTCTTGTGGCTGGAGGCTGGATAGAGAGAGAGAGGGAGTATTATCGCCGCAGAACTATCTGGCTATCAAGCGCGCACGACGTGCTCTTGGGTCTTATAGCCTCCAGTATGTGCCCTTGCTGGTACATTGTTGGGCTTGCGCCGCCGATATCACACTACGCATTCCTTCCAGGGTTCAATCAAAGCCCGCAGGCTTCTAGTCCTAATCCTCGTGTAAAAAGTCTCTAAGGGGACCTATCTCGTGGAGATCGGGGATCTATTCCGTAGCTGGCCGAATTCCACATACCAACCGACCGACTCGACGCCATTCGCAGGATAGTACACTAGTTCAGCAAGCACATCAGACTCCTGAATGTAGGCAGTGCTTGGATAATGACATGGGAATTATTGAGGAGCACCCCGTAGCGCGTGTTGTGTCGATGTGCTGCACGGCTCCAATTGTCCATCCACCGCGCTCATCCTTCCAGCCCTGCTCATTGTATTTGCGAAAAGGCCAGGCCCAGGGGCTCAGGAATGTGAGCGGTTGACTCATGCGCCTGTTGGCTTGCTACCCGCGATAACGACCGGAGCGTGTTGCCGTTGTTGGCACCTCAGCCGTGCAGAGGAATGTTATGGCAACAGCCACTGCCCGGAACCTACGTAGAGTGGAAAGAGCCGAACTTCGCGTAATGTTGTTATTCCTCTGATCGGCAATTACTCCTTTCATGCGTCACCTGAGCCTTTGGCAGAATCAACGATATGTAGTTATAGTCGCAGTAGCTGACTCCCCCCTCATACCTACAACTCAACAACAATCTTCCCCGCGCTAACCCCCTCGCGCATCTTCTCCAAGGCACCCTGAATGCTCCCCAGCCCCTTGCCGACGAGAATCGGCTTGGGCAGGCACTGCAGTCTCCCACTCTTCAACGCCGGCGTAACATACTCCCGCCAGACCGGCGCCGCGACCTCATTAACAGCGAAGATCATGCCCGCTTTCACATTCTCCGGCACTTCGGCTGGAGGCGGATGCACAGCCGCGAGGTGGCCGCCACCCAATTTTTCTAGAATCTCAATGTCGTGCGCGTAGGTTGACGACGTAGAGATCGCATCGAAAATACCGATGAATTCCAGGGTTGATCTCCTAACAGCGTCGACGGCTTGCGCGACGACATCGGTGTCTTTGTAATCGATGACTGCCACTGCGCCGCAAGTCTTGCTGAGTTTGAAGTTGTCTTTGCCTGCGATGGAGATAACATGGATTCCAGCCGCAGTCGCGATTTGGGTTGTCATGGATCCGACTGCCGAGGTGCCGCCGTAGATGATTAGCGCTTTACCTGTTGGTTTGGCATTCTCGTCGAGCGAGGGGTACGGTAGGCTTAGTGCTGGTGTGGGGACACCTGGGAGCGCTTCCCCGGGGATCCTTAGGCAGAGCGCGCAGATGGCTGCCTCTAAGGCCAAAGGTAGGACGGCCCCTTCGGTAAAGGAGATTGATTCTGGGAGGATAGCGGCTTTCTCGGCGGGGACAACCGTAAACAGCGCATATGCGCCGTCTTGAGGACGGCCAGTGGTCAGGTTAATGGCGTGTCTGCATGGACGGCCAGGTTAGAGGACAATCTCATACAGGGATAGACCAGAAATAATAAGCTCACCCAGCAACGCGATCACCTTTCTTGAAGCGTGTTACATCAGGGCCAACTTCATAGACTTCACCTGCAACATCGCAGCCGATGATTGCGGGCCATTCCTGGACGAAGACGCCGACGTCCTGCATGTGGGTATCGAGGGGGTTGATTGCAATCGCAGCATTCTTCACCACGATCTCGCCCGGTCGGGGAGAGGGCATCGGGGCGTCGCCGACTTCAAGCGGGCTCCCGGCTTTGACCAGCCAGGCAGCTTGGTTGGTTGTCGCGGTCATGTTGTGTCGAGTCTAGTGTTGCTTGGGTGCGACTACTGGTTGATTATTTTCATGTTACGGTCATAGAGAGGAAACAGCTCTAACCTATATACCTCGTCTCGATATTACAAACCTATATTTGCTTTGCAATTAGGGCTGGAACCGCATATGCCGTTCTCGCCCATTCAGTCCCCCGCATTACTAATCCCTCTTGCTTCTCAAACATAAGCAGAACATCACCCGCCGTTCCTGTCCAAACACTCCGCAAACACGGTATCAAATTCACAATGGAGCTCGGCCCTAATGGTTTGCTCTGGTACGACGCGAAATACAGCATCCTGATCTGTCGAGAGTGCCAATATGCGATCCAAAAAAACGCCATCCAGAGCCACCTTCTCCGCCACAAGATCTACCGCGATGAACGACGTAACTTACTGGCTGCCATCGCCGAGCTGGATATAGTCGAACCCAATGATATTTCTGTGCCACCACCAGGCCTATCACCTATTGAGAGTCTGCCAATAGCATCTGGGTATCGATGTCTCGTCGCTGGATGTGGACATCTTTGCGCCAGCTCGAAGCGCATGAAGAGTCATCAGAGCGAGAGCCATGGCCAGGCATACCTGTCTGACTTCGACTTACTTGCGCAGGAAGTAAAGCTTCAGACGTTCTTTCGGGGAAACAAACTGAGGTATTTCGAGGTCACTCCCCAGCCAACAAGAGCCGGTCCAACCGTCACCAGTAATCAAAGGGAGAAAGGCACACAAAGTAAGCAGGGCAACAGTCCAGACCTTGCGGTAGATGGGAAGGAGCAAGTTGGCCAACCGCGTGGCTCGCAGGCATTGACCCCGGACCTGGAAATGCTGCGATATTTTCACCATTTCACAACCGAAGCCATCCTAACGCTTCCGTCCAATCACGATTTCGCCGGTTCAGAGAGCTATTGGACAGGAATTATTGTCCCGTTAGCTCTGCAACACCAGTACCTGATGTCCGGCTTGATAGCCATCTCAGCGGCTCATATGGCCACACTTCAGCAGCCTTTTTCGAGCAGTCATGGCCATCGTCGACGGTCGGCGGAGTTTGCGGTCCAGTTTTTCGACACTTGGAAAAGGTCCAGTAAAGATGCCTCTATGTCTACCGATGTTGTCAAGGCCGGGACCCAGATAGCATGCATTCTGAACTGTGCATGTTGGGTGTCCCGCGAGCTTGCCCTCGATGGATCTGAACCCAAGAGTTCCGAACTTGAATCGATACTCGCAACTATGCGAGAGTACGGTTTCGGGTCGACCTCTTCCCAAACTAGTTCTCAAGGACGCACGCGGGGCCTCGGAGATAGCAGTCCATCGCGACCTCGAAATTCGGGTATGCCTAGCCCAAATGCCGAACGGTTAATCCAGCTCTATGACCTCCCATTAAGCCTGGCAGATGCGCTTGGGAAGCCCGAAAATGTCCACGACGTCCTGGTCACACTTGAAGCGATCTCAACTCTGATCGAGTGCTACGGAAAAGGCTGCCCATCGAATACCCTTGATGTAACGTGGCAGAGTATGACTGCTTGGCCGGCGAGAATACCAGAACACTTCCATAAGCTCGTGACCGGAAATAGGACGCCTGCCCTCATTGTACTAGCCCATTGGGCCGCTTTTTTGGTCAAACCGGTCGAAGAGCACGGATGGTTTTTAGATGGCGCGGCGGAGAAGATGTTGCGATTGATAAGGGAGCAATTGGTTCAAAACCACGATGGGCCTGAAATCCTATGCCTACTACCGTAACCATGGGGGTCTACGCCACAATACGAGATGTTACGGTTGATTGGGTCTTCTGTTTTGGGTAGCATAGCAGGTGTCGCGTGCTATTGCCGCCGAGTTGAGCTTTGTTTGTGTGACGCATCGCTTGTTTTCCTCCAACTATCTCTCCACAACAAACCGCAAGCTGAACCCACGACCAGAGTCTGTTTCTGTGTGACCCCTCGCTTTCCAAGGTGTAGTACACGTCCGAGGTCTATCACAGTTTGCTCGGATTGATTGGGTGACGCTCCTGGACCAATGACCTGAAACACGCGTCGCGATGCCGCTTACGCTGCTATGTCCCATTCCCAGGACGTTTTGGAGGCAGTCAATACGGATGACATTTCTCTCTCAGGATTATCCAGCGCTGCGTAATGTCTTCTGTGTACCTTCACGAATCGTCTCCGTCAGTCCAACCCGAGGGCTGATGAACTCGGCTTCTGATTTCGGTAGGATCTTTGATGTCGTCCACACCTGCATACTTCCCAGACTAACAGTACCAGAAATCGACCCTTACGGATACACAAGTGGGATATTCCTACGACGCGATAATCTCGAGGTCGCCGCGCGCTACACTCAATTCAACTATCCCGCTCTCTGCCGGAAAGTCCTAGAAGCATCCCCGGGAGCAAGCGCCATCGTCGATTCCACTAAGATTGACGGTGGCTCCAATCGTGTCTTCATCCTCACCTTGGATAACGGGGAGAAACTCGTGGCTAGACTCCTGTTCCGATTCTCGGGGCCTGCTAAGCTGAGTACTCTTTCTGATGTTAAGACGATTCGCTACTGTAGGCTGCCATGATTCATTCCTGATTCATCTACTGATCAATTCATGGATTTAGTACAGAATAAGACGAGTATACCTATTCCAAAAATCCTCGATTGGAGCTACGATCCTGGTGACGCCGATAATCCTGTAGGAAGCGAATACATCATCATGGAGCATGCATCTGGTGTTCCACTAATCGAGAAATGGAATACATTGGCGGGTGACCAGAAGGTGAACTGCATAGCGTCCATTAACAAGGCCATGAAAGAGGTTTCTGACTTGAAGTACCCGGCGTACGGGAGCATATACTTCGATGATCTTCTCGACTCCACGGACAAAGAACCCCTCGATACTGGTTTCTGTATCGGGCCTCATTGCCGCACTCGATACTGGGACACTAATGTTGGGAAGTCGAGGTATTATCACAATGTGAAACCGAATCATGGTCCATGTGAGTCCCACCTTGTTTCTAGCTTTTCATTGCATACTTACTTGTATTCTCTACAGGTAAAACCATAGGTGAATTTTCCAACGGGTTAATTGATGCGGGCCTGTCACGAGTTCCGCAAACAGATTCTATGCCACAAAGTCGTCCAGCCTACCATGGATCCCCTGAGACACATCTTGCTGTCCTGAAAATGCCCCGATCCGTCCTGAAACAGATGGCACTGGATACCCAAATTCAGAACTATAGCAAGCCAGTGTTATTTTACTCCGATCTGCACAAGAGAAATATATTTGTGTCCGAAGACGACCCCGCCGTTATTACTGGCATTATCGATTGGCAAGGCACAAGCGTCAAACCGGCATTCCGGTATTCCGATGAAATCCCAGATTTTGCGACAGAACATGAGCTACTTACGCAGGCATTCGATGTTACCTCACAGTATCGCACACCGCAACTCGCTGATCCACGACTCGTGACGAAAGCCTGTTTCGATCTTTTCTTTATTCATACCGGACGTGGAGGGATGGTGCGGTAGCCCTGCGCCACGAGCTGATCGAGACTGCTCGTCTGTGGGGCGATCTGGGATTCGACGGCCCATGCCCTTATCCACTGCCGGGTCAGGAAGAGTTTGCAAAACACATGAAGGAGTACAAGGTCTTCGAGGCGGCACAGCAACTACGAGTCGATCTGTACAGTCTAGTTAACACGGGCTCTGGTGGCTGGGTCCCAACGGATCAATAGGAAGCGGCTCAAGTTGCCAACAAGAACCTTTTCAAAGGGGCGCTAGAGGCTGTTGTCACGAGCCCTGTGTGCATGACGATGAACCTGTTCGAGAGGAGAAGACTCTTAGGTCCATATGGCCGTTAGATCTTCCACATTAGACCGCACCTGACCTGCTCTTTGGAAAAACAAACTACCCGCCCAAGTGGCCATTGATGGCTCTCATTGTTTGATAGATCTCCCCTTCATATAGGCCTTCGCTATAAAAGACTCTTCTATCCTGCTGTCAATACTTCATAATTCTGCAAGTGCCTTATTGGCAGAGATTACAACGTCCCGCGGGCATGTGGGCGTTAGCAAAGGTGCGAAGGATGACACGTAGTTGACACAACCCTGCTCGATTGCCCTGCAGGCAAACGGAGATCTACGGAGTACGGGGTACAGCCGAGTGAGGACCAATAGAGCCCCAGCGAGGCACTTGAAGTTCCAGGTTGCTAGGATATATATCTGTACTCTTCCCCTAGAATGTGGCGAAGAAGTCCAAATTATCTTGGGAAAAGAAGGACGCTCCTATACACTTCTACCTATACTTGTCGTCTTCAACCCGTCTCATAAATCCTAGTTTACGCTTTGAACGCCCAGATATCTAGTATTAGCCTTATGGAAGCAAAACCGACAACAGACGCCATCGAGCCTGGAAGGTGTCATTCTCGGCTATGAGGCTCATTTAAGGCGTCGACCGTCAGACGTTCGGTCCAGCGGCAGGTGTGTGAAACAGATTTCTCGGGGTATCTCCGGGGCACCTGGCGATGATGCTGTGGCTTCCTCCGCGAGATGAGCCGACTTCTTGGCATACGGATGCGGGTCTTGGCTGGCTTCACGACTCCAACTCTTCTTTGTCTTACCCCGCCACTCTCCAAGACAGGGCCATCGCCACAACAGAGCCTTGGAGACCAAAAGGTCGCTCGAATGGGCTTGCCGCAGGGCCGGAACTCCCAAGACCTCTTCCCGCTTGAACCTCTTTGTCCCTTGATAATATACCCGGGATGGTGTGTGATTACAAGTCCTGGTCGCAGTTTCCGAGGTTTACCGGGCTCGCATTGGCTCAATCCCAGGCGCCGTTGTCATTTGCTAAAACTACCAGAAACCAGATGCAGCTTGACGTACGCCAGGAACAAAAGATGGTGCGCCGCGGGGATCATCCCTTTGCCCAGCCTTGGACTGCACGAGACCAACCTATCGCGGTGCCGGCTTCCGACTCAGAGTACGGGTCAGCTTGGGTCCAGAGATTGTCCGATTACATTTCTCAATCATGGGGGCATGGTACTCCATCGTGGAGTGCCCGGCCATCCGCAATGCAACCCGTCCAGCACGCTGTATGTGATCATATGCCCTCCATGAATATAATAAGCCGACAGCTCGGTTGGCTGAATCCCTGGCGATATTTCCCGTATTAGCACGCTCCTTCGGTGGGTCGCCAAGGCAGCCACTGGCACCTCCGAGCGCCTGTGTGAGCCATTGATAACCCACCCCCGCTAAGCACCCCCGGCCTCTTGGGCCCCCCAAAGTCTGGACAATGCGGGCTGCCCTCCCGGCTTACCCTTTTCGTCCTTCCGAGAGCTTGCGCGAGCTCGCGAGTTTCAGTTATTTATCCTGCTGCTCGTCATCTCCCGTGCTCTCGCGTCTCAAATCCAACTTTACATCTTCGCGGTTTTTGCGCAGAGAGTCATCATGTTTGGGTTCCCGAAGTACTTCGGCTGGCGGGGAAGGAGCCTCAACCTGGCAATCAGCTCGCTCGGTAGTCTGGATTTCCTGTATGTGCTTTCTTGAAGCTCGAAGATTCCCTCCCTGACCAGTGCAGTCTCTTTGGTTACGATCAGGGTGTCACTGGCGGATTCCTCGACTTGCCCTCATTCACCAAGTACTTCCCGGATATCAACCCAGCCCGCTGCCCAGAATTGTATCCCGACGACGCCGCCCTGGCACAAGCATGCGATTCCGATCTCAGTCTAAACCAGGGAATTGCTGTCGCGTCGTACAACCTGGGATGTTTCCTCGGTGCTATCCTGACCATCTTCATCGGTAACCCGCTCGGTCGTCGCAGGACCATTTTCTGTGGTTGTATAACCATGACTTGTGGTGCCATTCTGCAATGCACCTCGTACCACCTCCCCCAATGGATTATTGGCCGAATTGTCACTGGTATTGGTAACGGCATGAACACGAGTACTGTCCCGACCTGGCAGTCGGAATCCTCCAAGGCACACGATCGTGGAAAGCTGGTCATGATTGAGGGTATGCTCATCACGGCTGGAATTACCCTCAGTTACTGGATCAACTATGGTGCGTTGGGAACACCCTGGGGACATGGTGCGACTGATTCTAAACATACTAGGATTCTCTTTTCTTCCCAACCACGAGGTCGCATGGCGCTTCCCAATCGCCTTCCAGATTGTATTTGCTGTCATCATCTTCACTTCCATTCTAAACCTTCCCGAGTCTCCGCGTTGGCTCGTCATGCAAGGGCGAGACGACGAGGCGCTCGAAATTCTCGAGTTGCTGAACGAAAAACCGCGCGATGACCCCTACATCGTAAACGAGCTCAAATCGATCAAGGAAACTGTGCAGGAAATGTCCAAGGGCTCATATCGCAGTTTGTTCGACATGAGCGAGTACCGCGAATTCCACCGTGTCGCTCTCGCCTACGTGAACCAGGTGTTCCAGCAGATTTCTGGCATCAACCTGATCACCTACTATGTGAGCCCTGTCTACTCTACCCATTCAGACTGACCGTTAACCCGCCAAGGCGCCATCACTCTACAGGGAAATCGGTCTTGGAGGCGGCAGTATACCGAAGCTGCTCGCCGCCTGCAACGGCACAGAGTACCTCATGGCCGCGTTCATTCCCATCTTTATCATCGAAAAGGTCGGCCGTCGGCCCCTCATGCTGTTTGGTGTACGTTTCCGCCCCATCCTCCTCTACACCTCAACGAACTGACAAACCCAGGCCGCGGGAATGGCCATCTCCATGGCAGTTTTGGCTGGCACCAACTACCGCCTCGTCTACCTCGACGACTCCCGAGCAGGTATCGGCCAGGCAGTGTTCCTCTTCGTTTTCAACACCTTCTTTGCGATTGGTTGGCTGGGTATGACCTGGCTGTACCCCGCTGAGATCGTGCCCCTGCGTATCCGTGCCCCAACCAACGCCCTCTCCACCTCGGCCAACTGGATCTTCAACTTTATGGTCGTCATGATCACGCCCGTGTCTTTCTCGAACATTGGATACCAGACCTACATTATCTTTGCTGTCATGTGAGCTACCCAACTACTTTCTCCACCAGCGATGTCTAAGACAAGACTAACAACACCAGCAACGCCGCCATCTTCCCAACCGTCTACTTCTTCTTCCCCGAAACCCGCCGCCGCTCCCTCGAGGAGATGGACATGATCTTCAAGAAGTCCACCAACGTCTTCAATGCCGTCAGCATCTCAATCAAGGAGCCCTACCGCTACGACAAGCACGGTCAGCTCAAGCCCGAGTACCTCGAGGAGGCAATCCGCCGCGAGAGTGCTCATCATGGCGAGGGCCCCAAGTTCGAGAGCGAGGATAGCGCGAATGAGTCGAGTGAAATCAAGGGGACTGAGACTCGGGTTGAGTAAGCGTCCTACCCTCAGATGATGGGAGGCAGGACGAGAACACCTCGGGTGGGATGAGAGGATGTGAGATGGGATCGGATGAGTGAGATGGATATGGTAATTTTTATACCCGCCGCGCTGGACTCGCTCCGCGCGTTCTTTCCTTCTTGTTTTGGCGGAGGCTCGGCCCTTTGTGTTGTTCTAGAGCCCTTAACTAGAGGTTATTAGATGCATAGGAATAGAGCTCCTGTTTACAGAGTACAAGTCCCTCGAAAGAGCCTACCCTTGAAAGCCATTGGATCCATTGGATCAAATCTGCATTTCGCCAATAGGCATGATTAGAAAGGGAGGTATCGACATGACCCCCGTTGAGGCGCATATCATGCCACATGGCAATGCCAATCGCTGCGGCTCTCGTGTGATTGTCCGTTTCATACGCAAGTGACAGCAGCAACCTCGGGATTGAGTGTCAATCCCTGCGATCGTCGCTGTCAACTGACAGGCGCGATCGGGTAAAATGCTCCGAATGCTTTGTCCGGAGATTTCTCCCCGTCCCCCTTGCATCTCATCGCCCCCATTTCTTTTTTTTTTCGATGTTAAATTTCTTTCTTCCTCGGCCATCTCTTCGGACGAGAAACCCCCGAGGTAGTGTCTTGGCCTCCATCTTGGGATTCACAAGCGCGACACGACCCGCCTCTTCCAATTCACTCATCACTATCGATGACGTCATTTAATATATTCGAGGTGGATGTAAGCGTTGGCGATGACGGCCAGGGAGCACTAAGCACTTGGGCGGCCGGATGTGGCTTTTGCGAACGGGGGTCGCGGCTTTCCTGGCTGGCCGCTTGCGAGGTCAGAGTCATACACGGGGAACCATGCGACAGACAGGGCTCGGATGGAAACTGGCCACTTCGTTCCAAGGCGGCGTGGTGTTCCTGATGGGAAATATTGGAATATTGGGATTTTGCCTCTAACCGAAGGGTTGGGTGGTATCCATTATTAAGATCCAGCCGGTCGGTCGGTCCATCTCCATCCCGACCGACCTCGCGACGAACGAGCCGCTCGTGAGTCGAAACACAAAGGAATCCCTCCGTCGTAGAAATTCTCCTCTGAGTCAAAGATCCCATCATCCCAATTGATCAAACAGGAAGAACCCACCCATCCAGACCAATCTGAACCAATCCGAAAACGCTCCCAGGTTGAATCGCACCAGACCCCAAATCCTTTGCCCCCAGATAAAGCCCCTCATTGGCAACGTCTCGTGTGGTCCCTTGGCATCCTCCTCGGGGTTTCCCCATGGAGAAAACCCGCAACTTAACCCCAGTCCGCCAAGAGCGGCGGAGGCTCGCGCCAAGGGCTTGGCGCTGGGGAAGTCAATTTGCGGCCTGCGATTCGCCCTTTGGTCTGTGCTCGCTGCTCGCACCCGGATATAGTTCGGGTGGAGCTCGGGATCCATTTGGAGGACGGAACAGGAAGGCGGGAGCGATGGAGGCAGTTGGTTCGAATCTCGGGCGGCGATTTCTTCTCTGGAGATGTACATGGCATGTCGAGGACACGGGAGCGCTGGTTCAGGGGTTTTCTCCGAGATGCATTTGTTTGGGGCGCCGTTGTTCACAATCAACGCTGATGGCCCGAGTGGAGTTCTTTATAGCCGCGCTTTATGCACATCGAGAATTCGCCGCGGCTTCAAGATACAATGGGCGGAAACTTAGGATATACTTTACGATCTTGTATGGGTGGAAACATTGAGCATTTGGTATCCGCCTAATTTTTTTATTCTGGGCCTAAATGCAGGATGCCGATGGCGCACGCACAAATGTCGAGCCACCCGCGGTAACTGTGGTATTGGCTGTTAGCCGATGTATCTATCGTGGGGTTCCATTATCATTGGTATCTTCTATGATCGTTTAGCAACTGAATCAACCAATACGGAGCGATATTCATCTTCCCACCCCCATTACCACAGATCCAAAACCAACCTCTCCCCGAGACAGCGCGACACACACGGCATCATCAGCGTATTCTCGCTCCTCTCCTCCGGCGACAACACCGAATCCCTATGCTCCGGCTCCCCCTCAAGAACCCGAACTTCACATGTCCCACACGTCCCCTTGGAGCACGTTGACATGATGCCGCATCCATTCTCATTGAGCACGCCAAGCAAGGTCTTTTCAGCAGGGACTGTAAGGGTGCGTCCACTCTTGCGAAGAGCAACATCAAAGGAGCGATTTGGCAGAAAGGTGACGGTTGTCGCGGCATGGAACCGCTCGACGCGTAGCTGGATCTTCGGGTTGCGTCTGCATTCGTCTTCAACGGCTAGCACGAGTCGTTCAGGACCGCAGCAGTAGACCTGTGTTCCTTCCTGCTGCTGCGCAAGAAGCGCTGGAATGTCGAATCGCGCATTCGCATTCTCGTCGACGGCCCATATCTCAACCGCCCCTGGATGATCACGGCCCAGCTCGGTGTGATACGCCATCGTGCGCCGTGACCGACCGAGGTATACCAGCTTGTACTCTGCCTGCCGCCGCTTTGCTTCCTCCAGCATGGGCTTGATAGGCGTGATGCCAATTCCGCCTGCGATGAACACGTATCGTTGGCTGCTCTGGAGTCGGAAGTGGTTCCTTGGTCCTCGCACAGTGAGCTCTTTGCCTGCGGCTAGATTGCCGTGGAACCATATTGAGCCGCCGGACCCGTCGCCTTCCTTACGGATGGCTACGGTCCAGGTATTGAGATCCAGTGGATTCGAGCAGAGTGAGTATTGGCGGTAGCCGTGCGGACTGAGAATGTCGATGTGTGCGCCTGGTTGCCAGCTGGGGAGAGGGGTGCGGGTCGTGGACTTGGCGGCGATAGTCACCTCGAGGATTTCGTCTGTTAAGTGTATCAGTTTCTTGACAACGGCCGGAATCGTCGTGACTGGCTTCTGCTTGCCAGCAATGGTCGCACTCGAGCTGACAACCCTGCGTTGACCCAGCCCACGAGGCCCCGACTCGCTTTTCGGCAGATCCCACGCGACAACGACGCCCTCGACCCCGCGACTTGCGCCCACCTTCTCGTACCGAATCTCCTCATACGGGGTAACAAGCCTGAGACCCGGCAACCGCTCGCGAAGGACCATCATCTCCGTCTTCAGCAGCAGCCGAGCCAGCGGCGCCCCCAGACAGGCATGCATCCCTCGCCCGAAGCCAAGGTGCTGCTTCGGAAACTTGCGGCCCAGCTGCAGCTGCGCTGGACACTCAAAGACAGCATCATCCCTGCTCCCCGAGCTATACGCGAGGAAAACCCGGTCGCCCACGTTGAGCGTGCGATCGCCCAGCGTCGTCGGTTCCTTCACAACCCGCGGCATCCCTGTTATCGCAGACTCGTAGCGCAGAAGCTCCTCGATTGCTCCCGCGATGGACGCCTCGCCGGCCGTCGCCTCCTCCCAAAGTCCATGGTGCAAGAGGTGCGAGAGACCCATCGTAAGCACACTCGTCGTCGTTTCGTGGCCCGCCAGCAACAACCCGGGGATCATGGCGAGATGCTCGAAATCCGTCATGGTCACGGCGCCGGAGTCGCGCACGTCCCAGATGTGGCTGATCAGGTCGTCGCGCCGGTCGTGCTTGCGCTCTTGAATAATGCGCGCGACATAGTCGTGTAGGTCCAGTACGTCTTGGACCTTGTGCTCAATCGACAATTCCTCCTCGCCCTCAACCTCGGTAATCCCACCAAAGAGCGAAAGACACCGACCAATCCACCTCCACCGAGCGGGATCCAGCCCCGTAATGGCGGTAATCATCTTCAGTGGGAGCGGAAGCGCGAAGCGCGATTTGATCTCGACTTCCGCCTCGCGCACAAAGCCATCGATAAGCTCGTGCGCCAACTGCGCCATGAGCGGCTGGAACCGAGCGAGTTTCCGCGGGATGAAGAACCCGGCCACGCTTGCGCGCAATCTGTCATGGTCTGGATTATCCCATCCCAGGAGCGTGCCGCCCTCCGGGACGCGCGATGCGAAGATGGGTTTGACGGGGTCGGGGAAGTCTGGGACGGTCACGCCCCTTGAGGCAAAGACGGAAGGGTTGTCGAGGACGCGGAGGATGTCGTCGTAGCGAGATATAATGTAGCCGTTTAGGATCGGACTGAATTCTATGCTGGGTTGCGTGCGCGTGTGGGCGAGGTCACTGTGCAGGTTCCGCGGGTTCGTGAAGGGGCACCCTGGCTCAAGGTTTGTGGTGCTGAGGGTTGGTGGGGGGATTATGGTAGTCATTCTTGCGGTTGATATGGAGCTGTACGGTGGTCGTAGTATGTGGTATGCCCATATGAGGTTGTTTCGTGGGGAGGTTCTACTTGCGATTGATAAATGTGTGCCCACCGGCACCTGCAGTGGAGGCCCCGGATTTTCAGTCCTATTGTCGGCAAAGTGGGCCGGTGGGGAGTGCAAAGTGAAGTAAGTGCCGCAGTAAACAAAACTGGCATAACTATACAAAGGCGACACTGAGAACCTTTGTCTGTTTCTGTAGCCATACGACTGTCCCTGGCGATCGTGTTTTACCCCATAGTGGGTTACTTGATGGGATCGGTGGATTTTGACTGGTCCAGACTGAGAGCGTAACCTGCTCCGAGTAGCGTAGAGACAACTCGCAGGTGCTGCACAGAATGAACTTTTATTGAAACCACTCAGTGTCAATAGTGTTGACAATCGGGAGGTCGTTGTTGATCCAGAGGTATCTGTGACGGTGTAGCTTTCAAGCGACAGACTGGGGTCCTCCGCGCCGTCCCTAACAGGAGACACTTTTGCAGGCTTTTATGTGTCCAAGCTCAAGACGGCTGCTCTCGAAGCCCCGCGCTATCGGTTGAAGCCATAGCAGGAATAGGCCATGCGGCTTCAATCAAAACCGTATCATATTATTTGGCAACCATTATACCAAAATCCGAGAGGCCACCTTGACACCCACTCCATATTCGACCATTACAGAGAATCTAGGCCTTGACGTACTCAACGGGCGGGCTCGCAGTCCCCTTCTTCCTCTCCTCACTTGATCCCACAAGCCCTCCATGCCCATTCCCCGCCTCCTCCCCGATCGTTCCGGGCCCCTCGCGCACAGGCAAATGCTCCTCCTGTACAAGTTCCCCGATGATTCTCTCGCCCTCACCAATGCGATTCGGGGGAATGAACACATCATAGTAACGCGGAATAACGAACCCGAGCAGGATCGCAAGGAGAATGAAATGCGCGAGGATGAATCCCGTAATCATCAGCGGGTCGTAGCGGAGCGTGTGGAATTCCGGGTAGGCGAAACTGAAGATTATGCAGAGTACGGGCGCGCAGACATATCGGAGCAGCACGGGCCAGAAGGAGGGGATCTTCCAGTTCTTTTCACCGCCGATAATGTTGTTTAGGTCGCGGCGAATTTGGTTGCCCTGTTTTATCGGTTAGTGTTGCACAGCGGACAGACGAAGGATGAGAAGGGGAAGGAGAAGGAAGGAGACGTACGGAGTATGCAGCGAGGTACCAGAACTTGCTAAGGAAGGGGTTTCGGCCCCAGAAGCTCGGGGCGGGGATAACGGGTTTCTCGGCGATCGAGGCAGCGATAATGGAGAAAACGACGAACGTGCCGAAACCGGCTCCCGCGCCGATAGCTGGGTCCTCGCGGCCATGCGCCACGGAGACACCGATGATCTGGCCGCCAAAGTAGGCAAAGTTGTAGACGACGAATGCGGGGAGCCCCGTCTGCTCGACGACGTCGTGCCAGCGGTAGACCGTGCTCGCGGAGACGACCTCGGACCAGACGACGAAGATGAGGCAGATGTTGTTGACCCAGCGGTCGATGCCGTCGAGGAGGTAGTAGCCGAACTCGGTGCAATATGGGAGGCACATGAGGAAGGAGATGATGGTGAGGCCTGTAACGATGACGGGACGGGAGAGTTTCGATCCGGAGTCGACGATGAGAGTTGCGACCGCGTCAAGCATGACGAAGGCGGAGGAGAAACCAAGGACAACAAGGGTGAAAAAGAGCAGGATGGCCCAGAAGTTTGAGCCCGGCATGTGGAGGACTGCTTCGGGGAGGGTGAGGAAGCCAACAACGAAAGCGCCGAGACGCTCGCCGTCCTGCGGCCAGAGTCTGAGGTAGCCGACGACGCCAAAAACGGCAAAGGCGGCAAAGTTCTCGAAGAGGACGTTGCTACCGCAGATGAGGAGGGCGTCCATGACGGCGTTGGAATGCTTCGAGTTGTACGAAGCATACGAGGTGAAGTAACCGAAGCCGATTCCCGTGGAGAAAAAGACCTGGCCAACGGCAGTTTGCCAGACTGTGCCAGAGGCGAGCTGGCCACCGCGCCATGTGGCCCAGAGCAGTTCGACACCCTCCCGTGCGTTGGGGAGAGATAAGGAACGTCCGACGAAGATGATGGTGGTGACGATAGGAAGGCCCATGGTCCAGTAGACGACACGGCCAGTCAAGCCCACGCCGCGGAAGATGGAGACCCAGATGAGGAACCAGATAAAAGCGCTCCAGCCCACAGTCTCTCCAATCAGGCTAATCGAGGGATATTCGGTATAGGATAGCACATGCTTGCCGTCTGTCGACAATGCGCCAGCGATGGGGTCCGGGTTCCTGACGACACCGTTTTCGTAAAAGTCGGTCGTCTTGTTGCCGGTCCACGGCAGGGGACTCTGGAAGGAGACGCGAAAGTAGTTCATGATCCACGCGAGGTTGACGGTAAAGTACTGTGTGACGATGAAGCTGACCAGGATCGGGCCCAGGCCCACACCCTTTAGGCGCTTGTTGATGTTGTTGAAGGCAATGACCGTTCCACCGCGATAGGCCTGTCCGATTGAAATCTCGAGAACCAACGCCGGGATCGCAACGAAGAAGATGGCCAGGAAGTACGGGATAAACCACTGCAGTCCGTAGTTGTTATACACGACGGAAGGATACCGGATCAGGTTTCCCTGACCGGCGCAGCCTCCCATAGCCGCGAGCAAGAACGCAGCGCGCGACGGCCACTGGTCGCGGCCATCCTCCGACTGCTTCGGCGGCGGCGCAAGCCAGCTGTACGCCTTTTTCAGATACTGAACCAGCACCATGGTGAATCCAGACAGTGAAGATATGAAGAATCCAGCACAGTCCCCAAGCACAGGGAGCGAGCAGAGTCCAGATTTCCCTCCCCAGATCCCGCTTGGCAGGGCATTGCGCCGTTAAATATCAGAGCTTGGTGTTACGCGGGCCAAGAGCATCTCGTTCCCTCGTGGAGGCCCCGTTGCATGACTCTGGCCTCTCAGGCGTGTGCTTGTGCGTGCCCAGGTGGGGAGTGCCAGCTTAGGGCAGCCTCGGCGGCCCGCTAAGTTGGGGCCAGCAAGATTTGGCCCATTCCTGGCTGTGAAAACTCTGCGAGCTGAGAGACACAGTGGCGGTTGGTGCACGGCTCGCGAAATTGCTTTTTGCTTGACTCGTGTTTTGCGCGATTTGCAACGCTGTCGAGAGAGAGTGCGATTTTGAGGCGCCGTAAGGCGTCGCACCGGAACGCCTCTGCCTGGCCTGGCGCAGCGCAACTGGCCTGAGTGGACTCGGAGTCTCGGAGATGCCCGGTGGCTTGCCAAGACACGCCAAGAATGCCAAGTAGTGACGCCATGGGAGCTTGCAAAGGCGTTATCCCCTGCACCCCGATTGGCTCCAGATCATGCAAGCTGCTGCAGCCTTGGGACTTGAGTTGGCCCCGCAAGATCGTGATGGGTCGTTTTAGTCCAGATGCAGTGACGAAGATTGCAAGGATGCAGCAGGGATCAGATGTTGCCGGGCCTTTTTAACGCGTCCCGCGGTTTGCGATCGCGTGAGCAACGAAAGTGTTACTTGTCTTGGCGGAGACAAAGTCGACATCGTCAGAGGTCGGAGTATTCCAACATATGTTCATGAGCAATGCAATATTACCATCGCAGGTGCGTATTGATACATTGTCTCTCGAGGTCTTTCCAGAACGTTGTTGTTTGAGACATGCCAGCTTGAGGTTCTCTCTTGAGTCGTCTCCCCACAGTCCCTGCAGACAGCGGCATTCCGCCCCGGCTCGCCGAGTCTAGTCCATCACGTCATATCGGGAGAATATCCGCAATATCCTATTATCAATAACTATACGGTGTCTTGGCCTTGTATCTGATCTTTTTGGAGTATAGTCCGTCGAGGTCGAGCCGGGCCGCAGGATCCTTGTCCTTGTGGCTCGATGGTCACCTGGAATCAACCGATCCTTGTGGATTGTAAAGCTTGCTGCGAACTCGGGCTATGAGCAATCTCATTATCTGATGGAAATGCAGGTTCGCGCATGGCGCGACTCGGAAACTTCCAATCGGCATCTCAATTGAGCATCCGAGGATAAATGCGTTGGGTCCTGGTGCATTCGCCATTCCCTCGGCCGGCATCGTCTCTATTCAGGACCGTCTTCCTGGTCGCTGCCAAGCTGGGTAGAGATACTTGCGCCTGCTGCGGAATCTCTGGTCAAACTGCGTATTTACACTGCTCTTCGAGTAAGTCATGAAGTACATCGGAATCGGCACTGTAGGAAGATTTGATGAGCTTCAGACTGGAGTGCTTTCTTTGCACAATTTCTATACTCTTTCAGATAGTAGTGAGGGGGATAATTGCTAGTCTATGATGAAAAGCTTGGAAACGAGGTGAGATTCTTATGGAGGTGATGAGAGGCCCTTGACGCCCTCCCTAACAGCACGCTGTATAGGAATGAGCCAACCAACAAAAGAACCACCACTACAAGACCTATCCGCAGAACCAAGCCGTCTCATAGTTTATATGAACACTGTAGATGATTTCTTAGGAGAGGTAGTATGGTGTCACAAGCATGTTCCACAACATACCAACAACCGGCAGAGTGAGCACTCGATTGGCTATGCTCTCGCTGCACTAGTAGTCATGCCAGGGAGACTTTTGGATCGAGACCGGATACTTGCGTCAGGCTATCAGCTGCTGCCGAGTACTGCTCCCATCCTTGGTTGAGTTTTCTGATCTCTATAGATCTGCCGATATGTCTCGTTGAAGACGATGTCGAGCTCGTAGATCAGCTTAAGCGCGCTTAAACACAACTAGAAGCATCGTTAGAGAGTGAATACTTCCTATCGGTAGTGAGAGTACATGATGGTAGAGCCTGAACATACACCCAAACACAAAGGTAATGTACAATACCTTGTCAGTGTGATCTAATATATATTGTGCCAAGGTCACTGGTGAGAAAGCCCAGGAACCACCAGCAACGAGGTTTCCGGTAGCGCTTATTTGACTTGCTTACCAGGCCGGGGAGTATAATCTGTAAACCCATTAACTCAAGAAATCCCATTACATGTCAGTGTCTAGAATGATATTTCTCGGCATCCACGCGGAGAGGAGAATGTCACGTGCCCACCGAGACGCGACTCCAAAACTCCGCAAAATTCCGCGACGACACACGATCGCGGGGATCAACACCCTTACACAGCATCCCCATCGCACCAACCACACGATGCCCCTCGAGCGGCACCGGAGCGCCGTCTCCCGCATAGCCTCGAGCATCCGCGCCTTCTACGACCGCCGCGAACCCTTCCGAATAGCCCACGGCTCGACAAACAGCACGCGCCCGATCCGCCGCAAGAACCAAGTCGACATCAGCGACCTGCGCAATGTGCTCCACGTCGACCCTACGCGGCGCACAGCGCTCGTCGAACCGAATGTCCCCATGGACCGCCTCGTCGAGGCGACGCTGAAACACGGACTCGTCCCGCCGGTTGTCATGGAATTTCCTGGGATAACGGCTGGAGGCGGGTTTGCGGGGACGGCGGGGGAGAGCTCGTCGTTTCGGTATGGGTTTTTCGATCGCACGATTAACTATGTCGAGATGGTGCTGGCTGATGGGAGTGTGGTGAAGGTGTCGGAGGATGAGAACCGGGATTTGTTTCGGGGCGCTGCTGGGGCTGTGGGGACGCTGGGTGTTACGACGATGATGGAGCTGCAGCTCGTTGAGGCGAAGAAGTTTGTCAAGGCGACGTACCACCCTCACCGAAGTGTCCGCGACTCGATAACAGCCGTCCACGCCGAAACACTCAACGAAGCGAACGACTACGTTGACGGAATCCTCTACAGCCCCGACCACGGCGTCGTCGTCTCGGGCGAAATGACCAACGAGATGCCGGCCTCTGCAAAAGTCCAGACATTCAGCCACGCCTGGGACCCCTGGTACTACCTACACGTAAAGGACAAGACGCGGAGCGCGAACTCGCCCGTGACAGACTACATCCCGCTCGCCGAGTACCTGTTCCGGTACGACCGCGGCGGGTTCTGGGTTGGCCGCGCAGCGTTTCACTACTTCCATTTCCCGTTCAGTCGCGCGACGCGCTGGTTCCTCGATGACTTCCTGCACACGCGGATGCTGTACAAGGCGCTGCATGCGAGCGGGGAATCGAGCAGATTCGTCATCCAGGATCTGGCGCTGCCGTATGCCAACGCCGAGGCGTTTATCGACTATACGGGCGAGAAATTGGGTATCTGGCCGCTGTGGCTGTGTCCGCTGAAGCAGAGTCCCGCGCCGACGTTCCACCCGCATAGCGCCGTGGAGAGCCCCGGGTTTACCGCGGACCAGATGCTGAATATCGGCGTGTGGGGTTTCGGACCCAAGGATCTGGACGTCTTCATCCAGGCAAACCGTGAGCTGGAACATCGGCTTCGCGAGCTCGGCGGCATGAAGTGGTTCTACGCGCATACGTACTACAACGAGGACGAGTTCTGGAACATGTACGATCGCGAGTGGTACGATGGGCTGCGGGAGAAGTACAACGCGACGAGCCTGCCGACTGTGTACGATAAGGTGAAGATCGACGTGGAGGCCGATCGGAAGGAGCGGCAGGAGTCGTGGAGCCGTAAGGTGCGCTCTGTCTGGCCGCTCGGTGGGCTTTGGGGGATCCGCAAGGCGATTGAGAGTAAGGAGTACCATATCCATCGCAACTCCACCTGGAAGTGGAAGCAGTAATTGTACCTGTCTTGTACTATACCACCTGCACTGCACATTTTGTATATTAGCTTAGAGCATAGATCAGACAGATATTGGATAGATAGAGCGACTGTATATCATATCATCATGTCCATTCACAATGACGCCGAGAGCTGCGCGCGGATCGCCTCCTTGACGGCCTCAGTCAGGGTGACTGTATCCTCGGCGCCAATATCAACATTGTCACGCTTATCGTACAGTGTCCCGCCCTCGGTCCAGATTCTCCGGAGCGTCAACCCCGTCGCATCGGGCTCTCCCCTCGCCCACGCCTCTTCTTCGAACGCCTTCAGCTGCGCGAGCGATGTATACTCGACCTCCCACTTCTCCCCAGTCTGCTTCTCGAACTCGGCTAGGATCTCCTCCGGCGTCGCCGTGAATGAATTCAGCTTCAGTGCGCGACCTTTCGCTTGATCCCAGTGCGTCAGGGTGTGCACGACGAATTTCCCGACACTGTCGCTGTCAGCACATCTTCTACCCTAGCATATAGTAAACTGGAACGCTGGAAGAGCGGCGACATACTCAGCACAAGCACTCAAACTGATCCTCCCCTTCCCATCCCCAAGCAATACCGCCTTGCGCGCTTTAACATCAAATGCCCCACCCCGTGGAGTCTTACTCGCCCCCAGAAAGAAGGGAACATCAGCATACGGCCCCGTGACAACATACGCGTACTCGAGATCCCCTTCTTTCACCTCGCGCAGCGCAGCGCGTACCTTGAGCTTCTGCTGGTGCGGCTTCTCCGTCGCGCTTGCGGGGCTGTACTCGATGTCTGTGCCGTATTCGGAGGGGAGAAAGCGTTTTATGCTGGGGGTTTCCGCGGCCCACCTCAAGAGGTCGATCTGCGCTGCGATTACCCCCCGGCCGAGGGCTGAGACGATTGTGTCAATTCCTGGATGGGGACATGTCAGTCGGTGTACTTTGATTCAAGTGGTGGTTGTGCGTGGACCGGGGAGGGTGGGGCACCTTCAAAAGCAGCAACAACATCCTCCTTCTTTGTAACATCGCCGGTAATAATCTCGACGCCGTTCTCGCGGAGCGCATTGATTTCTGTCGCTTTGGTGGAGAGGGTATTCGGGCTCGTGAAGACGGCGATGCGGCCGAACGAGTCCTTTGCGTTGACGATTGCGGCGATGATGTAGGTGCCGATTGCGCCCGTGGCGCCAAAGACGAGGAGGTTGGATTTGGACATTGCGGCGTGACTTTCGAGTGTTGACCTGGTAAGACAGGGAAGAAGGATTGAGTGTTGATGTGGAAGGAGGGGAATGTTTATCGAGGGGCAGGTGGGGATTATTAATGACCCCGCACTGCGCTGCGACTCCAATTCGATGACGTGAACTCGTATTGGGATTCCGAAGATTAATCATCGAGGAGATGATGTGATTACGATTGCGACTAGGCCTAGATCTAGAATTTGAGGAGCAGAGTGGGCCTTGCGATGTTGGGTCAAAGATCCATGATCCATGGTTAGCTACCAAGGGTTGTTGCATGGCTAAGAAACCAAACTCGCAGGATTTAAGCATGATTTACAGTATACAGTATCTAGTACCAGATGATTTCAACTGATTCGATTCTCTGTTCCCTGCTTCCCTCACCTAAAACCTCAGCAGAGCCTTGCCTTTATTCTTCCCCTGAAAAATTCCAACCAACCCCTCAACAGCATGCTCAATCCCCACCGTCTCATGAAAAAGACATTGGATGGACCCTTCCATGATCCATTGCTGCATCTTATTCTGGTGCTCGGCAGAGTACGCCGGACCAAACTCCTGATCCGAGACAATGAAGCCCCTCATTGCAAGGCGCTTCGTGATGACATTGTGCAGATTCTTGACAGGGTATGGCGGACCGCTAAAGTCAGATATCATGCCACAGGCAACGATGCGGCCAAAGTTGTTCAGGGCATCAAGTGCCGCCTCGAGATGTTCGCCTCCAACGTCGTCGTAGTAGATATCCAGACCCTCGGGTGCCAGCCGCGCCAGGGCATCCCGTGGCCTTTCGCATTTGTAATTGAACCCCCCGTCGAAACCGAGCTTGTCAATGATATAGTTAAGCTTGTCGTCGGAGCCAACACTTCCAATCACTCGGAGACCCTCCCGCTTCGCCAGCTGCGCCACGATCTGCCCAACGGCGCCACTGGCAGCGGAGATGAAAATGGTATCGCCCTTTTTGGGTTTTCCAATCTCATAAAACGAAGAGTAGGCTGTTAGCCCTGGCATCCCAAGGGGACCAAGGAACACGCGGACGTCTGGTAATCCGAGAGGATTCTTCAGAGGCTTGACCCGTTCAATAGATATCTCATCTATGGCAACATACTCTTGGATGGGGAGTTGGCCGATGATGAGCTGGCCGGTTTGGTATGCGGGGTTGTCGGACTGTATAACTTGGCCAATAACGAAGCTATCAATTGGGGTGTTGAGATGATAAGCGGGAGTGTAGGATTTGTGTTCGACTGGGCGCATGCGGCCACGCATGTAGGGATCAAAACTTGCGAAAAGAGACTTGATGAGGAGCCCGTGCTCAGGAGGACTATCGATGGCAATTTCGGCGACAGGCTCAATTGCCAGGTCTTGTCCAGGAACTGGGAGGCCCTGGGGAACCTTTTTGAAGATCAAGCCTTTATTGGAAGGCATACTTGATGACTGACGGAAAAGTATAGAAAAGCCACAAATGCAACCTAAGATAGACAAGATCACGGGAATACTGAAAGCGCGACTAAATATATACATCGTTGCCCATGCTTCCATAAAGAACACCACAAAGAACCGAGGTAGTTGAGAAGCAGGCCCAAACGATTCGGATGGTTTAAAGATATCATCGCCGACGGGGCGGATTTCAAGCAATTCCGCTCGCGCCACAGTGGAGCTGACCCTTCCTAGAGTCTATCTCAGGTAGTGCGTGCCATTTCTGGCGCAGGCGACAGACGTATCAGAGCCATGGAGCTGGAACAGGCCCACAGTCGAGATGACTAGTCGTGTGCTTTTTGCCAGAGAGCCAAGCTCCTTGTCGTTTAGACTCGCCATGAGTATATCCTTGGGCAAGCAATGTCAGGAATTAACTATATAAATGGATAGAAGACTTGGGGTAAAAAGATCCTAGCTGGCTTTCTTGACAGATTCAGCGGCACAAGGGACCGTGCAACCTCTTGTAACTTTTCTCTGTTTCTACCGGAAATTGCCCCTTCAGGCCAAGCGGTAGCGACTTGGAGATATACTGCACTGTGTGCTTTCCAGTGTGGCCAGTCGCGCCTAGCAACACCTGTGGGTTCGGTAGGCATTGTTCAGCAATAGCAATAGTAATAGTTTAGAAGTGTTTCCAAAAACCAATCCTAGCTCAGCAGGATCCGAAGGACACTGGGCCTTTTTCAAACTAGCAAATCTGATTGAAAAGAAAGGGTCCTTCATGTAAGTGTCCGGTGCTGTGAGATTAAAACGAGCGTGCGGATGGACAGAAAGGAAATGCCATGACTACTGTTTGTTCATCACCATCCTCACATAACCAATACAATGACAGCCACATGTTAGATTGGGCCGTACACCCCCCTTTGTTCATTGAGCTTGCCTCGGCCTAAACGCACCAGTGATTCTACCTACAGGTATCTAGGGTTTGCAGGCAGAAATGACTCCGCGGATACCTCCGCTAAGTCTGGTACTCCCCATACAGGCCATTTGCCACCTAAATGATTGACACCACCGCTTGCCTTTGTTATGACCTAGGTGAAGCAAAAGCCAACCACTGTACGCAAAGTGCTCTTAACTTTGGCAGAAGAATGCCAAGACTTAGTCACCAAACTGGAGCTGTATGAATTCCACCGCCAGACTATAGTTCAGAGGTTAGAATTGTGGGCATTGCAAAGGAAAGCGCCGCAGATCGCGGGACAACTAACTATCCGGCCTGTTCTTTGAGTGCCGAGGGATTATTGCTACACATGAGAGGAGAAAATGTACCTTGCCAAGGCATGTCGCGTGCTTTACCCTCAAGGAGACCATGAACCCTATATGAGATCAGTCTCGGTGTGGTACATTTGCTAGTTTTTCTACCTCATTAGAACTCTTCAGGGGTCTGACATCTTGCAGATGTAGCCCTTACCCCTAGCTAGAGATGGGACCCCCAGAAATTGGGCTGTAGAAGTTAATTCAACTTGTATATACGCATGCCTCAGCTTCTCTTATCCTAGTCCCAGAAGCTTCGGGCGCCGCGGGTTCCAGGGCGAGCCAAGCATGTGGATCTTACCAATCACTGTTCTGCAGCCAATTTCAAGCAGCCTGTACCCTGAATATAGTGCGGATAGATTGTTAGCCCGACAAGCCCAGCCCAGTGTCTTCTGCTGGGCCGAGGACCCGGACCCTTGCAGGCCCGCCCGCCTATTTTCGGTCATCCTTGCGAAGCTTCAATTCACGTCAATGCTTTGCGGGGTTCCAAGTCTTGTATGGTAGCAACGGCTAGGTATAAAAACCTGCAGCGAAAAGCTCTCCCGGGCACGAGGACAGTACAGCATATTCGTCCAAGGGATCAGCCGCTCAATGTTGCAGACATTCTGGTCTGCCAGGCGCCACAGCAAGCGAGACGAATCCAGGAACGTCCAAAGCGGGTCTATAGCGTACCCTCCTTAGGGGAAATCAAGTGCACATGCCTGAGCCTAACTTACACTGTTTTATAGTGAAGGATAGCCAATCTTCTCCCTCTGTCCAGCTGAAGGCTTAAACAACAACTCAACAGGATTATAGTGTCGTTTCTGGAGTGTAGATTCCAGTCATATTACCTATAATACATGAATTCGAAAAGGTACGGGCCCACCGCCAGCTTCTTTCTTGACATAGAAAATGAGATAAAACCAATCGAAAGTACACATCCAAATAAAGAGCCAGGCCGGAAAGCGCCTTACAAGCCCGCTGCACGCCTACTCGTCAATAGCTTTGATAACCACCTTCCCAAGGCCACCACGGCCACCATAAACAACCTGACATGCCTCTTGAACAGCTGGAAGGTTCTTCAAGGAAGCCGTCGTCCCCACCACCGTCCTCAGCTTTCCAGTTTCAACATGATCCCTCAGCTCATCCAAATCGGCACCACTGGACTCGAGAAACATGTACGAGTAGTAAACGCCATAGCGCCGCGCGCGGTACTTGCGGATGCTGTCTGTGAGATTCAGGGCAAGCTTGATGGGTAGCGGAAGGACGGGATGATGCGGTAGTTCCATCAGCGATGAGTTCTGAAGCTGGTCGCCTGATGGAGTTGTTGAGACAGAGATGATGCAACCAGTCTTGGGCCGTATTAGACTCAGATATTCCATGGAGGACCCGGTGGTATCGAACAGGAAGTCTACTGTTCCTGCTTCGATGGCTGTCTTGGGATCTACTTTGGTGTAATCGATAACTGGCCTCCATCAGCGCCTTTCTTTTTTGTCTGGCCATGAGAGCTGTTATGGAGGAAGGGGGCTCACTTTCATCCACTGTATTATCTCCCAAGAGCTCTTTGACCTTTGGTACCTTGGAGGTTGAGACTGTTGTAATGACCTTGCCGGCCTTGAAGACATGCTTGGCCAACTGGCAACCGAACATGCCCGTCCCACCTACTTTTGTAAAATTAGTATACCGAGCAGAAATTGCGCGGGGAGTTTATCAACATACAGCCAGCAGGTACAAGTACAGTTTTCCCAGCAAGGTCACCTTGATAACGTCGCAGTGCTTGCAGAGCCGTCATGGCTGCTAAAGGGATCGAGGCAGCTTCGTCGAACGAAAGTGAAGGAGGCTTCAGAGCAACGTATTTTGCCGGACATGTCACGAACTCGCTGCATGAACCTAATGACCAAAGTTGTAATCGAAGAAGAAGAAGAAGAAGAAGAAGAAGAAGAAGAAGAGCAAGAATAATCCCTGTTACCTCGAAAGGCCTCGGGCAGTCGAGTGTACACCTCATCGCCAACTTTGACACGACTCACTCCGGACCCGACCTCTGCCACAACACCCGCACAATCATAGCCAATCTTGTATGGAAAGCTGGCCGGTTTAGTTAGTTTCCAATATCACGATAGACGTCCAGAAAAGGGTATCAAAACTCACTCGTCCTTGATCCCCTTTCTAAGAACCCCGCCTGCCTTTTTGACATCGATGGGATTGATGCTAGCGGCGTGAACCTTGATCAGCACCTCATTTCTGTCCCCGAGTACTGGCTTGGGCAGTTCCGACAGTTGATAACCCGAGGGAGGCGAGTAAGTCGGGGTGTTGAGCGAGAGCATCTTTGTGAATACTTGCTGACGTCGAACAAGAGGTCCCTGCAGGTCGAGATTAAAACGATATATATGACTTTATGACCTTGTTTGGTACTACCGGTGGGGCCAGCTGTGGCGAACACATTCCAAGGGACGGAGGAACAAACTATCCGCCCGCCTCCTATCCAGTCAAGCATTGACGGTGGATCGGGACCCCTATGGAGTGCTTTTACCCGCTTGATGTTTGCCTCGGTAGCGGACCGTTATTATGGTCAGGGGAAACCACTTGGGCCATATAGATTTATCTTAGCCTTGTTCCTTTCCTTAGTTAATATAATATTAGTAATGGCCTTTTTAATTATATCTCTAACAGGCTAAAATAATAATACATCTTAGCTGCTTGGTTATCCTTGCCATGGCGAACAAGGTACCATGGTGATCCAAAGGGCCGGAATCGTCAGTCAAGGTCAAGTGCGCTTTGAAGAAGACGAAGAAGACGAAGAAGGGAGAACTTACTCGGCCAGGAACGGCCAGAAGATTAGTACCTTAAAAGTGACGATGTACTGGGATATGAAAAGCAATTCATAGGCCCAGGCATTTGGCAAAACTCCATAGCTGTTCTGAATTAGGGCGACCATGAGCTTGCTTGCGCTGCCCAAGATTGGAGTGGTGGTAGAGACAATTCCATAAATGGCAACTGGGGACAATTCGCCCACATAAGTCATGCTTGTGGTGACGAAGCATCCGGTGGCCATTCCGGCGAGGAACTTACCGCCAAAGAATATGATCCAATTGCGAGGAGCCGCCAGAGACCGCCGTCAGAACCCCCTGGGTGACCTTACCGTGCTCCGAGGACCCAAAGAACCCGCACAATCGGGATGTCGTTGTTACGGGTCACTGCATCTAAAGGTCGATATGCGTATTCTTTCCACTTTTCCAGATTCAGACCCTCCGGAAAGTTCGGTGAAACACCGCTATACAGCATGGCTTGTACCGTCTGAAGGCCTCCTTCCTCACATTCCTCTAGCAATCGAACGTAGTTCATCATGACTTCGTGCGGGACTTCGCCCTGTACCTCGGAGATTGGCTGAAGGGTCGGTTCCAATGCGAAAGAGCCCGGCCAAACAAACACCGACTTCCTGACAGTTAGCCTTTCCTTTAATGTCAAGACCATGCTGAAGTCGCTGGCCAAGGCCGATGACACAATTCCTTCCGATAGCCATTCGCCCATATCCCCTCAGTCGATATGCCTACTCCATGGTGACGTCCAACAAGGTGTTATTTGTGGTGCTCGGTTTGATATTGAAAGAATGCTTTATTCCCGTTCGCGTGACTCCTAGTATAAAAGAACGTTAGAGGAAATGTTGAGGATATGCAGAAGCAGTAAGGACTAGGGCACTCGGACACACCAGGTATAAACCAAGAGAGGCTTGGTGACTAGAGACTAGATTATGTTCTCCATGAGGCGTGTTAGAGCTGTCTATAACCATGAAGCTGGTGTCCTGAGTGCTTCAATCTGCGAGAACCTTCACCAGGACCACCTCGGTAAACACCAAGGAGTCCCACGTCAACAGGTTAGAACTGCCTAGCCGCAATAATTGGAAGACAACGAATAGCTATGTACGCCTTTCAAGTTAAAGTGGAGAACGGAGCGAAACGGAGTGCTGGTTGATTGAAGCTCGTTGATGGATTAGCATGCGTGACCATGACTGCGAGTAAAAACTCTCGCGTTCAGCAATTTGGGATCGGTGTTGAGCTCATGAAGATCTCAAAAAATTCAGTAACTTTGCCAGAGCGAGAGACTGCAGGCCCTTGAAGTAGACTTGAATGCCGGGGATGGTCTATTGCTGAATATCGAACGTTTAAGACGCACGAGGTTCGCAGGTAGAATCTTAGACGCGAACTCACGCAACAAGAGAAACCAACCTCTTTCCATGTTCCAGGCAGCAGCAGGTGACCGAACAAGGCAGATTCTGACGCTCGGTCGCGTTGACGGTGCCGCGTACACTGCAATTGTTGGCGAGGCTGGCTAGTCCGCGCGCCTCAACCAGAACGCGATTGAGGAGTCAATTGTCGGGCGTCACGCGACGAAGCAGATTTTCAAGCTGGAAAAGGCAATACAAGACAGCTGATAACAGCTGAATGTCGGTTGTTGCCCGCATTTTTCTGTTTCAGCTTGTTTCTCACGTTCAGACATCAAGTGTTTTGCGAATTTTGTGAGTCCGCGACTAGAGTTGGTGCCTGGGGATTCGGTGGGCTCTGGAAGGCTATTGAGACTTTTATTGTAAAAGACTCTTCTTATGTCGGTGGCAAATAGTGGAAAAGGGGAAGACGCGTTCGACGTGGACGCGAATCCCTGTCCACCTGAATGCGGACCGTGCTCTCCGCGCGAATTCTGTGCCGCAAGAAATACGGAAAGAGTGAAAATGACCAGAGAGTAGACAGACGAACAGATGAGGATTCAGGGGTTACAATGGTTGCAATGTGAAGGGCTTTGAGTCATGCGAATTGAGACGGAACTGAAGCTCCCGACCTTGGTCGTCCATCTTCCCGGGTGCAACTGCCCCTGCATATAATAAGATAGTGATTGGCCGTGGCGGTACTGATAATAAATTGGTAATATTACCTAACGCCATGGGAGATTCAAACGTTTTCTGGACGTATCTTCTGTATGAAGGTGCGGCTGTTGCTGTTGACCAATCTGGCCGGCGGCGCGGATAATGTAGAGTACGAACAGTTCGTGATGCATGTGTCTTGGCTCCGTTGCCATGCTGCTCGAAAATGATGAACAAGTCCAACTCGGGAAATGCGTCAGTCACCTAGACCATCTCTACATCGTCTTGTCGCTGACATATCCCCAGAGAGACTTTCTAAAAGTACCTACCTCTAAACCCGAGAGGAGACCGACCGAAGTAGGCGCTATTGTGGGCCAACCTGCAGACGTTGGCTGCGGCAACGCAGCATCGACTGGTTCAGGAAAACGGACTTATGATACCTGAAAAGGCTAGCCAAATTCGAGTATAACCATCATATCTTCTGTAGAAGCCTAGAAGGCGTTCGGAGTCAGACAAAACAATGCATGAGTTGAAAGAAGTTCTCGTGTAGCTCAACGGATCTCTGTGGGGAAGGACCCGCAAACCAGGGCAATGTGGGCAAACAAACTAGCGATCCAGGCCGTAGATCATGGGACATACTGGGTTAGCCTTGTTTCAGGTATGTCCTCACCACGATGCTTTTTCCATCGTTTCGGCTTCAGAGGTTCTGGGCTGGTTGAGACCAACGAAACCTATTTCCAACAGATACTAAAAAGAACTTGCAAGATAAAGGAGAAGGTTGATTTACAACATTAAAGAGATAAAGTACGCCATGATGCAAACACTTCACACCAGGTACTCTGACCTCCGCTGAGGTGAGTGAGGCGGTCTCGGCGCTCTAGAATAGAGTAGAATGTTGAAGAACCGCTGGCGCCTAATAATCTTAAGCTGAAATTGCACCATGATAAGAGCCTTAGCGCGACAGAGATGGGTAAGCGAAGTCCAAGAGAACATCAAACTTGTGAGAACGGGCACTGGGACTCGAGCCTTGCTACACGCTTTGGAAAATATGGCCTTGGAGAACCTACCGTCATTCCCTTGGTTCGTTGAACGTTTGAGAAGATGAGTGGCCAGTATGGCTTTTATTGACATTCATCGAACATCCTCTAAATTTTAACGTCCGTGGGAAGATTCATTTGGCGAGATCTGGCCAGCCGGAGGGCAACTTAGGGCTAGAGCCTTGGCTTGGCCACATCAACAACTTTCATTCTCCTCAATCTAATTCTTTTTCTTTGCGAAAGGGACTAGAAAGAAACCAAAAAAAAAATGTCCTTTAGCCGGTTAATCAACGTGCCACCCGCATTTTTTGACTCCCCGGCGGTAAAGACAATGGGCTCGAGCCTTCCACTGACGAAAACAAAACTCCTCTAGCTCCCTTCTCTTGCTGGGGTGGAGCTAAGACGCGAGCCTCGTGCGCTATAGATCACCGAAGAGATAACCAAGGCCAATCGAGCGCCCAGTTCGATGAGAGGACACGTCTGTTTCTTCGATCGATGAGTCAAAGCGGCGCTAAGCATCATATCCCGAAGAGAACGCTGCAAGAGATCCGAGATCCTTCATAAAAACCGAAGGATTGATGATTGGCACAGGAAAGCCAACCACTGACTGCTGGCGGCCCGGCATGTGTCACGACGCTGAGCGAGTTCGGTTTCCACCTGTAGAGGGGGTAATGTGGAGGCAACCGGACGCTCTAGATCACGGAAAATGGAGCTTCAGACCGGAGGAGGGAGAGGAAGTTCTTGGTACGCCATAAATGAACTAAGTTGATTGGCTTTGTACCCCCCATGGCTAATAGACACCAATTTCCGATTCGCCCGTGAAGCGAGCCACCGCACCATTGCTGACCCTGGTGAACACCCGCCTAACTGTCCTTTTGAAGCCGAAGCACATTGTCAAATAATATTTCGTACCTTAATGGTACTTTTGTCCTCTAATCGGATGCCTTTCCGTCCTGGAATCTGCAAGGCCTCGCCAGAGCAGGAGGACCGGGACGCGCCGCAGATATCCATTGGCAATTCATCTGTTCCGGGAACAGACCCTGGAAGCTGGTAGCCGGATTCCCTGCTCAGAGCTCCATTGAACGCAGTCTGGACGTTGAGGCCGCTGCAAGCTGCGTCCGAATTTTGGGGTAACAGACATTTCGTTTCCTCCGATAATAAAATTCAACCACGTGTCTGAGCTCAGCGCCAGAAAGTAGAATTCTGCGCAGCTCATCGGATGATGATGTTGAATTTGAAAGACAGGTTCATTCGTGTGTGTGCGAGGGATTTTCTGTTGCTTGCTTTTTCTCGGTTCGTGGGCTATTGTCACGGAAGGCGCTTGGATACTGCGCCACACCTCATCCTTCATTCTACGCGGGGCGTCAGCCTCGTGGCCAGCGAGATAAACATCTTTGAATTTTTGAACTACAACAAACTTTTCATGCAACAGTTGATAGGACGTTGCAATCGCGAATGGACCAAGTAAAGAGTGAAGGGAAAACACCGTAGATGACACCGTAGATGCTAACGCTCAGACTTCAGCCTCTCATAAGCTTGCTGCTCGTTGTGACCCTCGAATATCTCAAGATACAAGAGTATCATATTCGAAAGTGTGGGCTCTTGGAATTTGAATTCCTCCTCGATCGCCGTCCGTATCACCTCGAGTCGTTCTTCGGCTGCCGGCTCGAGTATTCTTCTTGCTCCAAGAAGGACACGGCGGATTGCCGCTTCGACGCGAATAGAGAACTCTTTTTGATGTTTTAGCAAAATCCTTCAATGTCAGGTTGCCTGGCTGGAAGGGAAAACCGTACGTTTCTTGGGTCCGGCTGCGTCACGCTCTTCATCTGGAACCACCAATGTAGGGCGGAGGCTCGCCGGGAGCTCGGCCATCATCGCGGAGCAATGGCTGACTAACGTCATTTTGGATAGATTGTGAGAAGGTTAAAATCAGTGCCGAGTGAATAGTCTGCGAGGAACCTAGGTGCAGTGATTTCGGAGTCTGGCTGGCTTATATACTTTTCGGGTGGGAGAAAGTACAAAGCGATAATCAAATCAGTCAAGGCTGGCTAGTGTGGAAGCGCTACTAGCGAGACATGTTCTTGTGCAATCTAAGGATCTCGTTCCGCAACAGGGCTATTACGTTCTGGAAATTATGCTGCACTGCGGATCAAGCCTTCATTACCATAGACTATACCTCAAACGGTAGAGGCGGTTATGTTTCCTACAACACTTCCCACGAAAAATTATGACATGTCAAAGGACAAAACTTGAAGGAATAGCTGGGGCGTACACGTATAGAAAAAATGAGTCTGTTCTCTGGTTGCGAACACCCAGGTGCGGCAACTTGAAGCACAGAGCACTAGGCACACGAGCTAGCACAAGTGCCGGGGAGCTGCCTGCGCGGGCCTTACCACTTGCTGCCTGGCTGCGCATTTTCCAATATGGGACGGAGTAGACAATGTAAAGTCAGACAAAAGGAGGGGGCTGTACTTTGCAAAGGCTTTTTCATGGACGAAAGCCGAGGAATGACATGGAAAGCATTCACAGTGGAGTGGAACACATAAAGGGCTATCAGCACACATTTCTGTACTTATCCGTTCTTATTAAAGCCTGTGGTAGCAAGAAGTACACAATTGTGGTTGTTACGCTCGAGGCATGTCAGCTGTGCCAGCGGCGCTCGGGGCCCTAAGAACCCTAACAGGAGTAAGACGGTACCTAGTTGTCACGAAACTGACGAGCGAGGCGAATTCACCGACAAAACTCCACGATGCTGTGACAAACATAGAATCTAAAGATCAAGTTCGAAATTAGAATTAAGAATCGATCGGCTACGCTGTGGTGAGCGGAAAGGCTATACAATTATTGATTCTGCAGCGAATGAAGGATTCGGAGATACAGCTGCAGATACAGGCAACGCCATTCAAAGAGGCTCATCTGGCTCGGGCCACCGGGTGGCAGCTTCAACATTATCAAGCCGCGGCTGGGACGGGTGATTGTTGCTCTTTTTACGACAAAGGAGCGGTGACGGGTTTCCATAACAACCCCGAAGAAAGCGCGACCGAGCCTTTTGGGGCTCCGGCGGTAGGGTCTCAAAGGTTAAGAATTAGGTACACTGATATTCCAAGTCTGGAATGCTGGGCTATCGGGAACTAAAGCCGTACGGGGATGCTATCCTGCGTCCTGCTTAAGGGTTGGTCTAGCCTTGGTTAGGGTGCAAATTTGTGTGTTGGCAGTTCATAATAAACTCGGGCCCGAGAATCCTCTGCACTAGGGAGCTGAATTAAGGCTAATAATAGAATAGCCGGTGTGGAAGGAACTTTATTTTCCATCTTAATCTCTCTCTTCGTTTCTTACCCCTTCTCAATGCTCTCCCTCCTGAACTTCCCCCTACCAACAACAACAGTTTCCGAATAACTAGCATTTTCCTCCCACAACCATTGCCCAGGCGTCTATCTGGACCTGTCACCGCATACCAGAAGGATAGAGATGACTTGGTAATACTCGAACCACTCCTGCGGCACCCAATTGCTCTGAATGTTGACCTTGTCTTCTGCATCCCAGCTCCCTTTTGCCCCCATCTGCGCAAGGCAGAAAGCGCATTGAACGGGCAAATCTTCGTTCTTCACAAACATCTCCCATAACTCGTTGATCCTGGACTGATCCACTTGGTCTGACCTTTTATTATAGAATTTCTTCGCCTCCCCGCCTTGCAACCATAGCAGATTTTCTCGGATGGCACGCTCGCGTTTCCAGTCGGAGTTCACGTCGCTGGGCGGAAGCAAATTCCACTCCCAATTCCCCATCGATCCCGAAAGATCCTTCATCCACAAGACTGAATCCCTGATGACTCTAATCTTGTGTCTCAGAACCTGGTTGATCTCTCTTGTCTTCATTACTAGGTCTTGCCTTTGCTGATCCCACGACCTGACAACCATATTGTGAATCAACCATGTCGCAACAGTGAGCGGAAACGGGGCAAAGCATGTCTTGGGTATCGGATCCGAATATATGCCAGCCAGATATCCTTCCACTTGAGGAATACGGAGGTTCCGAAGTCTCATAATCTCCAGGATGGGCTTTAGGTTGCCTAACGGGGCCCGAGGGACCCCTTCTTTGCCCACCCAGCGACTTAATGCATCCTCGAGCTCACGTGTGGGATGCAACAACTCGCAAGTGGGGATCCTTTTCTCAGCAAAGTACTGACCAATACTCTGCCTGGACTCTGTGATACCGGCCATGACTGCCGAGGCAAATGGCAATGTCGTACGGCCAAATGGAAACGGTATAATGTTGAGGAGGGAAAAAGACACAAAGAGCAACGAAATCTAGAGTGATCAGGGTAAGGATGCTTTGTTGGACTGAAACCACAGGCAGGGACGAAGCGACACGAGCGCGGCTTTATACTTCTATTGAGGATTGCAAAATCCTTATCAACGTCGTTGGAGTTGGCGACACTCAATATACAGCCCGATTCTTTTGTTTCAGCGGCCAAAGCCCAGCATCAGATGTTATGGTGTGTTTTCCATAACTTCCATTTGCTCCGACCTCGTTTTGCCGTCTACATATTACAGGGTTCAGAGCGAAAGGGCTGGACGAAGGCAGCTTTGCAGATTTCAATGCCTGAGGATGGAAGATGAATGGGCTCGGAAGGCTGCGGCAGATAACGACTGACTCGCGCAAGAGGCTGAGTGTTTGCAGCTGAGGTGTGTTGGCACCCAAAGACACATGCATAGATCCCGCATTGGGCGATCAGTCTCCCCGATTGGTGCCATTTGCAAACCCAAAAATGCAAGTTATGGAGCGGTCAATGCGATATCCAATTATTGTGAGCCAGTTGGTGTTCGAATGCTGATACAAACCATCACATGCATCGCTGTCCTTGATATGTTCCCTCCATGAATGCGAACCATGTGGAGCGCCCGATCGTGGTACCGAAGCCACAGGGATCTGCGTGTCATTCACCACCCATATCCGGCAATCTACGAAGATGGGATATTCAATCCATAATCCTAAGGCTGAAAATGTCCAGCAATTCAACTATCATGGCAAGTAGTGATACCTCAGGACTGGCTCATCGGTGGAATATTGAACGCGGATCTGACTTCCAGCCCAATCTCTAGGACGTCTCCTCAAAACGCGGAAAACCTGTCGTCTGACCAACCATATTGAGTCTGCTGCAAGCAACTCAACCACCGGCGAGGTGGCAAACAATCCTCCATCACTCGGTAGACCGCTCTTCCATGTTCGACCATTGAGACGAACCGATTACGTTGGGTCGCATTGTCGCAGCTGGGAATAATCCCTGCTCGGACCGCCAATGCCCTCAGACTATAAGGGAAAATGAAGCTGCAATGCAACCGCCGCAGTCGCGAGAAAAATTTTTTTTCTACAACCAGCCAACTATCCTCCTCCTCGCACACCATCGCCTGAAATCGCGATCGTATACCTATGCCTACCCTCTCCTCGAGTCAGTGCGCCGCATGGGCAGCGAACCACGTCACGAACCCATTCTAGGAGGGTGTCGCTGGCAGTCATCGATGAGCGCAAAAGGGTATTCTCTAAGTGGTTGGATCGATAAGCCACAGCTCTGTCATCAAGATAGTGGGAATCGATCTCCAAGTGGGGAAGTTTGAGGTAGAGGGGCTTTCCGTCTTGGCCTCGAACTACGATGAACGTTGGAGTACGCCTACCAACTACTACTGACACGATCAATAATTGCTCACAGAACCACTTGTAGTCAGGTTATGCTTTTCTGGTAAGTTCAAAAGACAAATATCGATCGCAGAGCCGCATTAGGGCTGCTACTCTGGTGAAACAGCCAAAAGTACAATCTCGACTCGTGGAAAGTGGATACATCGATTCTCAGCGAGACCGTCAACGCACAGGGTCAAGCCTCTTGAGTAGAACGGATCAACCCGAGCGCCCTGCATCGGTCGGCTGGGAGACAACCGAAACCTGAAAACGCCAGCTCTGCGCAGCACTTGACTCTCTCTGTGTGACTCTTCTCGCTGTTTCTCTGGAGCGGAAGCGCGTCCCAGGAATAGAAGTTCTAGCCGCTTCTTTTTTTGCCCAAATTCTGAGAGATTATCACGTGTGCGCGTGCCGAATGGCAAGAGCGACCGGGCCGGATTCTCAGCCTCACCAATGTCCAAGGTCATTTGGAGCTTTTCTGACTCAATCACTGATGAAGAGATTTTCAGGTTCATTTGTTGCATGACTTGTGCTGAAAAAGCAGCAAACAAAACAATGGGTTGTGGGTGGCTCTTGAAGCTGTTGCTGATAAATTCTCATTCTTGTAGATAGGTGGTATAGTCGCGTAACAAACATGGCAATTGTAACACATTCAAAGAGAGAAAAATATCCAACCAAGATGCAATGCAATATAGCATCAGCACCAATGAACGCCCTGCCCCAAATGCCAGAATATACTCCATTCAACCAATTCATATCGCCACTCGTTGTTCATCGCCTAATACAACCAATATCAGCCAGTCAATTGTATTATGCTAGTAAGTAAGCTGTGATATTTTGTTTTGTGCCATCCTTAGTTTGCGCTTATTATGACAACCCCTCGCAAGGGCATCACGTGACAAGCTGTACGAGGTGTCAAGGTGTCCAGAAACGCCTGGTGCTCTTGACCGACCTCTTGACCAACGATATATTAATACCTCGCTAGACGGGCAGAATCATGATTCCCGGAGATGAGTCCCCCCGTTGGGGCTACCGAACGAAATCTTGATACAGGTCTTCCATGAGTCGGCATCTATAAAGGACGCCTCGTCTCTTGCGCTGACGTGATCGCAGCTTCATCGCTTATTCTCGGTTCCCCGCAACAAGTTTGAGATCCTTCAGTCAGCAGCAAATATGCCCAAAAGACCAATCTACGACCCGAAAAAAATGGGTCTGCTGCAGGTACGATATTCGGGAAAGATATTTGTTCGAGACGAGACGGGACCGCAGTTGATAACTAGTCGAAACTAGAAACCATAATGCGGATACCGCCACACACCATACTCCTTGAACTTGACTACGGGCCAGCCGCGGAATTCGAACTGTACAAGGACGTGACAATGTGCGATCTGGCCTTGAAACGCATTGGACACAAGACACGAGTTTTGATCGAGGAACTCCACGAATTCCTCACACAGTTTCTGGATCTGGACAAACGCTAGGCCAGACATTTCGGGGCTGCCGACCAACAAATGCTCGCGGACGTTGCACAGCTCCAGATTGAGATCCTCGACGGGTTATCCCGTTTATCTTCATCAATTATCGGCAGCGCTCCCTTCTGACCTTTCAAGCGAAGAAATGGTTTCGGCCTTAGCGCTTCACTTCCTTTTAGTCGTGCCTCTATTTTGTATAATTGACGAAACCGTGCCAGAGCTATTGAAAGAGGAGCTGTTCAATGAGGGCCCGCCGGTGTTACTGTTGGACGCCGACTACGAACAGAACACGCCCTCAGCGGAAGCGCACCAGATGTACGAGCGCTACGCCGAGGGGCTGGAGCTCCAAGGCCCGGCTACGACATTTACGCCACACCTAACCGGATGACGGAGCAGATAGCGCAAGCTTGCTGCCGGCTGTTGGATACGCGGGACCCCAGACATTGGCCAAAAATACTGCTCGTGCTTCTAGTACTGTATCATGCGGTGTTTAACATACAAGTTCGATGCCCATGGATGGGGAGCTTGGCCAACGTCGAAGAGGCTTGTAGAGACGCTTGTTGAGGAGCTAGGCGACCGTTGGAATGAGACCGAGTATACCGCTCTCGTTGATGGCGATCAACGAGCGATTCGATATGCGCGGATGTTGAGTCGGCTTTGGCTTGAGACAGGCAGGCTTTTTATTTTATGTACCTGTCTGTAACCGCACGTTCCTCGCAGGCTTCAGCATCGGCGGGCAAATGGCGTTCGGCTCACTGTTCATGCTTTGGAACGCACTGCAAGAGAAAGACCCCCCGATAGACCCTGCAACATTGGGAATAGTCACAGGCCTCACGGCCTTCTACCCACCCATGGACGCGACCAAATCGCGCGCGGAGCGCGCAGCCTCGAACCCGGCGTTTGTGGCCCTCGAGAAGAAACCGGCCTCGTCGTCCAAAACCATCCTGGACAATTTCGACCGCGCCTACTTCTGGAATGTGCCGGAGCCGCAGATGCCGTCTAAAACATACATGTGTGTTTCCCCCTGGCTTGCGCCCGAGAAGATTATCAAGGCGGCGTTGCCGACGCGCATATTTGTGAAGCTGGCTGAGGGTGTGGCTGCGGCTGCGCGGTTCAGGGATCTGGGCATGAAGGTTGACTGCGAGGTTGTTCAGGGGGTGGTGCATTATTGGGATCATTTGGCCAAGACACAGCAGGAGAAACGCCTTCGGCACGAGGTTTATGGAAAAGCAGCTGATGAGATTGCGGAGGTGCTGGAGATCAAGGGCACATACATGGCTAGATTCTAGTTGGTGCAGCAAAAATGAAGCGTTTGATGGAAGAGTGGGGTCAAAAAGTTGAAGCTACAAGGTGAATGTGCTTGGCTAAAGATTTACAAGACACAAACATCCTTGACACTAAGGCTTGCAAAACATTAACCCATAAGGGAGGCGGGACTCCCCTGATCCATGACCCCCGGCCCGCACACGACTCAGCCTTTTTCGGGCCACCGATGTTTCACGATTCATGAAGCCACTTTTTCTCGCGACAGTCTAAATCATTTTCGATAGTTCTAGCTATCATATTCGCAGCCAGTCATGACAGCATTGCAATGTGACAGCGTAGCCGGTGGCTGTGCACCATCTCAGCCTTGCCAAGCTTAGGTTGAATTCCTATCGCCCCATTCTGCCTTGCTGTATAGTATACACATGGCAGTACGAGGCAGGATCGTGTGAATCTCAGCCTTGTCCTTGTCCAACACTTGGATATAAAAGGCGGCAGAATTCCCCACTATCTCAGAATCAAACCCTCCTAACCATCCCGACGTCATCGCCATCATTGCTCAAGACAACTTCGGACAAAGTCCTTATCTCCATTATCTAGCCACCCTCTACCACAAGCAGTCAATCAGAACCACACCGCATCACCATCCACACCTCCAATCTCCTTCAAAATGCCCATGGTATTCCCACCCTCCCCCTCTCTTTCTTTATTTCAGCCGAGGCTAACCGAACCCCAGTCCGATATCCAAGTCGGCTGGTACATAACCTCGCTCCAGCACTCCGGCGAACAAAAGATCATTCAGATCCAGTACCCGTACTACCAGGTCGCGGACGGGTCGTGGGTGAACTGGGAGAATATTCGCACCTATCGGCAGGGAGCTTGGGATATGGAGGCTTTTGGAAAGTAGATACTACATATTAATCGAGAAAGGGGATTTCGTACTTGGTAGAGGTGACGGGAGAGACTGCTTCGGGATGCGTCTGAGAGTTTGATGGTGATGGTGGTAGTGGGATGGATTTCTGGTTATAACTGGAGCGTCCATTTCCTTATTTCGACTGTGAGACTCAGTACCGAATCAAACTATAAACACATGTTTCATCTATTTCGAGGCAAAAGTCTTCAGACTCGCCTCACTTCCATTCCAAACCTCCGAATCCCCACCAAACTTATACGAGTCATCATTCTGCCAGAACGAATGCGTGCTCCATCCATTCGGCAGTGTCCCGACACTCGACCCCCACCGCGCCAGAACAAGCGGATACTCGCCGAACCCGCCATGGTTCCCCGTGCACTGAGTCCACCAGCTCGTCGTCGTGTAGATCATCGGGTACCGACCGGCCTTGGCCTTGTACGTCTCGCCGAAGTCCTCGATCCAGCTGACCATGGCGGACGCCGAGAGGCCGTAGCACCCGGCCTCGAGATCGAGCATGCCCGGGAGGGTGATTCCATCGGCGCTCCAGCCGCCGCCGTGCGCGAGGAAGTAGGATGCTTGTGCGGAGCCGGAGCTGGAGCTGGGGCGTGCAAAGTGGTAACCGCCGCGGATGAGACCGGCCTTTGTGGCGCCCGTGTAGTGCTTGCTGAAGGATGGGTCGGTGTAGCTGGTTCCTTCGGTGGCCTGGTTTGTTTAATTAGTTATGTGTTTTGGTTTCCGGAAGATGGACGCGCCTTGATCATGACGAAGCGGGCGCCGGAGTCGTAGGCGCCCTGGTAATCAACGGTGGGCTGCCAGTTGGAAATGTCGAAGCCTTGAACGGCCGCATAGGCCAGGCCAGGGAGTGCAAGGAGGGAGAATGCCTTCATGATGAATTGGAGGTAACCACTTTGTCAGATCGGTGTGAGATGAAGATTGAATTGAGTCCCGGTAGAGCGCATTGGGACCCTCTTTATACCTGCGCAAGACGCGATCGATTCAACGCAGAGATGCCTCCCTTGTTTCGTGTCGTTGCATTTCTCAAAGTTCCCCTCATAGACTCGGTTCTTCAAACGACGATCTCTGTCGATCCTGATTATATTTGGCAGCCGCCCCACGCATGCACAGGCAAGAACCTATAGAAACGGAGCATACCCGAAGCCACTCAAAGCGAGGTTACACTCTGCAAGGGTTATGCAGAGATCGGCTGCGATAAGATCGTGTTTCTTGTGCAGGTGCTTGCTTCATTGGTGTGAGAAGCTCAGTCCAAATATAGATGTCGTTCTTCTCGTATTCTGATGTCAAGAGTGTAACCGAATTTCCCAACACGGGGTAAATACGAGAAGCTGATTTAAGGGTTGCACGAAGCTTGTTTCGCCTCCGTATTGCTTTTTCGGCCTTCGTGTTGCGGGGCGTAGAATCTGCTTGAAGGATATCATCATTGACTTGATGCATCTTAGACACAGTGTGACCACCATCAAGCTTCGAAAACTGAGCCTCAGCTAAGAAAAAAAAGGTCCAACGCATCACGGTGGGAAGGTCACACATTTAGTTGGGCATCAGCACCAAGACAGGACCGGGCACAGAACGAAACTCTTTTGGCATAAAGCATACATCTACCGTTGTTTAGTAGAATATCTTGCCTCAATGGCATACCACAAAATATCCAAGCTAACGCTTCAACAACCCAGCCGCCATCTCTTCGACATCTTCCTCAGTTTTGACACCCAGACCAAGAAGCTCATTGTCTGTATTGTCATACGCCGCATTATACTTTCCGGAGAAGAAAGCCGCCTTGAAAACACCCGAAATGGCCACCGGACTCGGCCCCTCGTTGCGGAGACGCTGAAGAGAAGTCTCAAGCTCCGAGGAAGCATCAACGGTCGTCTCAGTCCAGCTCTTTCCCGGGGAGTACTTCTTCAGGAGCTCCAGTATTTTGCGTTGTGTCAGAACGATATCGTGAACACGGAGGACTCGGTTCTTGGTGTCTTCTGGCTTCTTCAAAGCGGCAGCGATTGCTTTCCCGATGGTAGACACGCTGCTGGCACTAACCGGATGGACACCGCCATCATACAGGGTGGCAACCCGATCGTCCATGTCTATTGCGAGCGGCTTTGTGAGGAACAGCTCTAAGAACAGACCGACCGCAAAAATCGTAAACTCAAGCTCGCCGGCCTCTGCTTTCTCCGCTAGATACTTCCGAATTTCCACGACGTGCCCTTGGACTGGTAGCTTCTGCGCCTCTGGGTCGGTCGTGATCAACCCGAAATCAGCTGGGATGAAGCGCTTCACTCCTGCAGCAATGCTCGCATCAATTGCTACCTTCTGCAGAGCGATGCCGGCGGGATTGACGGTGGAGACAACGACATCGTGGCCCTTGAGGGCAGCTTCGAGGCTGTCGGCTGAAGAATAGTCCACTTCTTTGACGGCGATATTATCTGAAGGTGTGCTCGCTGTACTTTGGGCTCGAGTAAGAACAGTCACCTCGAAATGAGCTTTGGTGAGCTCTTCGAGCACGGCTGAGCCGAGGTGTCCTCTCTGTCCCTTGTTAGTGGCTGTGTCATCTGGAAGTGAGGGACACTAACCCCGAGAATTGCGACTTTCTGGAAGTGAGTCATTTTCCAGGTTTGATGGTGAGTAGATTGAGTTGTTGGAGGTTTTAGTTGCTGGTTGATGGGGAGCACTCTCTTCGGCTATTCAGCACCATTATATATTCCGGGACAAGAGTGCGGCATTCTTGCCACTTCTCGTAGAGATGGGGAGTGATATCTTGAAATGGGCATCGCGCTCGTTAAGTCGCGCGTATTCTGGAGTTTCTCGAATCCACATCAAGTCACATTGCACAGAGCATGGTGTCTCCAACAGTCTCCTGAACGCGGACAGAGACCCGTTGCTTGTCCTTTGTCCGTGATCTCCGAGGAATCGAGGATCTGGCCCCAGCCCCCAAATCCAGACTAGGCGAAAAAAGGAAATCGACTCGCACTTTAGCGTCTCAGCTCGTAAAGCGCAGAAATGCAGCCAATCAGAACCACTGGTCAATTATCAATCCACTGCAGAAAGGCGCACGGTTTTAGCGTCATTGGAATATAAGCTTAACGACGAGTCTCTTGACTTTTTCGGACTCGTTATTTCTTCATCACCACTCATCAGTTTCACTCACGTCAAAATGTCGTCTCGGAGCAGAAAGAGTCCCGCTTGCGAAAACTGTCGGCGTCGACGGATCAAGGCATGTGCTGTCACTCTCTCCAAACGTAGCCGCACTAACACGCTTGTAGTGCAACCAACTAAGGCCACAGTGCTCGCAATGCGCGCGCGCGGGTCTCTCATGCTCTGGCTACAGAGAGCCAATAGATCTGCTTTTTCAAGACCAGACAGCGACGGTCGCGCGTAAATTCCGCAAGGATCCCAACCTCGCTGTTGTGGAGTCGGAGACGGATTGTTTCTGTGTATTGTCGTCGCCATCGTCAAATTATTCATCATCCTTGACCCTGATAAATCCCACCACATACGTCGAGGAGATTGCGTCGAAGTATTTCTTCACCAATTTCAACATCACGCGCAACAAGCCTGTGGCACTCCCGGAACCGTGGCTCGCCTCATCCCCTTGCGGGCTGGATAGTGTGACCTCAGTAGGCCTTGCGGCTATGGCCATCATCCGCCAGGATCCACACATGATGGCGCTCGCGCGGCGGAGGTATTCAGCAGCGCTACGACACCTTGCACTTGCGGTTCAAGATCCACTCGAGGTAACGAAGGGCCCGACGACAACGACTAGTTTTAACATGTCAATGTTTGAGGTAGGTAGATTGGACTCGTGCTGGGCGTCGTATTGACGAGGGATAGATGATCATCTCCGATGGGCCGGACACTGCGTACGAATGGTTGAAGCATATACGTGGAACCACGGCCCTCATGCGCGTCGTCAAGTTTCCATTTGCAAATGCTATATTTGCCGTAAAGGGATGTTTGCAGGTTTGCTTCACAATTGTGGGATACTCGACACCTTGGAATATCAAGCGCGCTAATAACTCCAGGCCGTGGCCTCTCTCATAAGCGAGACCCCGGTGCCACCGTACGTGATCGATGTCCCCAGAAAATTCTCTTACCCTGGGATTTACGCCGAGATTCCACCGATCATTGAGCTGTTCAGTCTGCTGAGTCGACTGGTAAACCTGTATATACTGGCAAAACAGATTGGGAACAACAGTCCCCGGGACTTATCTTCCGCGTTAACCGATATCGATGAGGACCTTGTCTCCTGGACGACGCGGTTGCCGCCCGTATGGACGGGCGGTCCCAATACCGGAAGTAAGGTGTTGAATGGACCGGAATCCACCAACTGGCTACCCAGGCTATGGGGATACTACCGCCTTTGCCGAGTTATCACCCACCAGGTCATCCTCGATAATGCCCATCGAACTCCCGGAAAAGAGGAACTCTCACGGGAGATCGTATCGCGAATGTCGCATGAGATTTATGCCAGTATTCCGTCGATGCTGAGGAAGCCAGCTTTGGGTCCTTGCACAGGCGTGTGCCTTGGTCTGACGTCGGATGTGTTTTTCCTTATCACGATTTTGCAGGCTCTTCTGAAGGTGACGGATAAACAAACCGTGCTCGATGAGTGGGCAGTGTCGGCGAGTGAGACGATTGGGAAGGAAGAGTTTGGGCCTGTACGATGGTTCGTGGAGAAACATTTATGTTAGCAAATATAATACCGAAGCTTTGTCGATCTGAAATGTTTGGCTTGGCCATTGTAAATACGTACCTTGGTCGCGGAACTCCGGCACATCGAGTGGACCGGCGGCTGTCTTCGGAAGGGCGTGCGAGTGGAGATTGCGGGATCGCACACAGTTGGAGACGCGGAGGCTTGTGAGTCGAGACAGTGTCGAGTGAGGGGTCAAGCGAACCATAAATTGACTTCGCCCGGAAAATCCAATTCTCTGTCGCGTTTTTGAGCGACCACTACCACCTCAAAAATGACCAGCACAGCACAATTGAACAGCGTAGAATTAACCGAGCGCACGGATGTGTTCACAGCCAGAGGTGATTCGCCCGATGCACCGACCGAGGGAGTTAGTTTGGCGTACCCCGAAGGGGGCCGCGAGGCATGGACATGCCTGCTTGGATCGGCTTTGATCATGTTTCCATCGTTCGGATTTCAGGCTTCTAGTACGTGCCAACGGCCAAATTCGAGGCCATAGAACTGACGTGTACAGTTGGCTCTGTACAGGATTACCTGTCGGTCAACCAGCTCGCGGACCACACTGTCAGTGAAGTTGGTTGGATAACCGCCGTCCTCATCTTCTTGACTCTCTTCATGGGCGTGCAAATCGGTCCCCTGTTCGACCGATATGGGCCGCGGATGCTCCTTATTTCTGGATCGGTCGCTAGTTTCGCTTCGTATATCCTGCTCGCCGAGTGTACGCAGTACTGGCATTTCATGATTTGCCTTGGTGTGTTTGGTGGCTCTGCAGCCGCAGTGATCACCACGGTAGCAATCGCTGTCCTGAGCCATTGGTTCTATCGGCGACGGGCCCTGGCCTCAGGACTGTGTATGGCAGGCTCCTCTGCGGGAGGCGCAATCCTGCCGCTGCTGTTGCGTCACCTGTTCCCCACATATGGTTGGAAGTGGACAATTCGAGTGATCGCCTTTATCGCACTGGTTTGTTATTCCGCCGGGACCGCTCTTGTGAAAGGACGGCTTCCACCAAGTCCACTCAATCGCGCCACCATCGATGTCCGAGCGTTCAAATCCCCGCGACTGGGTTTCCTTGCACTCGCTGTCTTCGCATTCGAATTTATCATTTTCGGCTGCGCTGCCCTGGTCCCGACATATGTCCGCTATGCTGGGCTTGCCGGTAACACACAGTTTTATTCCCTGACCCTGCTTAACAGCATGAGTTTGGTCGGCCGCGTTGTCCCTGGCTTTCTCGCGGACCTCGTTGGCCGCTTCAATATACTCCTCTCGCTTGTTATAATGACACTGCTCGTCATGGCAACCGTGTGGATTCCCGTCGGTTCGCGCAGCGAATCCACTTTGTACGCCGTCGTCGCAATCTTCGGCTTCGGATCGGGAGGATGGATCTCTCTTGCGCCCGTGTGCGCGGGACAGTTGTGTCGGACGGAGGAGTACGGCCGGTTCTATAGCACGTTGTATTCGGTCGCGGCGTTCGGGGCGTTGTTGACGGTTCCCATCGGCGGCCAGCTGTTGCAGTCAACGACGCCGCAGATCTTGATTGGGTTTTATTCTGCGGTGTTGGTGGTGGGGTTGACGGGGGTGGTGTTATCTCGATGGGCGATTTTGGAATGGAAATGGAGGTGGAAGGTGAAGGTTTGATGTGTCTGTTAGGTTGGTCGTGGCCCTGTCTTCGTTTGTTGAGGGAGGTTGAGAGCGCTGTGATTTTTCTTCTCCGTCACCACAGTCTTGTCTTTCCGTCGGTCTTCCACCAACAGAACAAAATCTCTCCTGTCTCTTTCTTTTATGCTCCAGTTTTGCCCAGTCTGATTCTGTCTTCCTTTAAGGTCACACCCGAAACTCTTTCTGATTTTGATTGCTCGAATGACACTAAATCCCGTCTCGTCCGTGTTCTCTCCAAGTAAGGGTACAGCTGTCAAGCAGACGCGTCAGGAGGAGAATGAGTCGACCAAGGCTTTTTCCAGAAGAAGCCTCCAAGCGGCGAGGTAAGACGATTCTTGCTACCGTGTCTCTAAATCGATTAAGGGGAGGTTGGGAGTGAACACTCACTCGGTGTTAGGACTCCGAAAAGGAAGGTGCAAACGATCTCAACCCCCTCGCACACAAGAACTCTCCCGCCTGGCTTCAGTTTCAAGGACCTGTCGGCCGCTGGGTGGGTTTCCAGTTCCCTGGACACCAACCGCCGGACCCAGCTACCTTCCCAAAAAGTATCCAGTCAACCCTGGAGCGGCAGCGGTCTATGTGCGAGTGTGCGGCAGACCCGTGGCCTCGAAAGTGTTCGTCCAAGTCGTTGTCAGCAAGAATATACACCCTGGGTATCCGGCGCTGCATCCGACGAACATCGCTCAGACCGCTAGCGTTGAGTCGGACCTTCATCAATCCGCGGGCAGCCCTACCCGATGTATCCTGAGCTTGCCGGTCAAAGAACATCTGATTTTGAAGGCAAGGCATCATACGCTTCGCGACGCTAGGGACGACGTACCGCAATACATTTCACCATGTTACGTGGGGGTTGGGTTCGAGAGCACAGGAGGGGGTGTCTCATGAGCTTCTCCGGCCGACATCCGAATCAGATAAGACCACCTAGGAGTTGTTCGATTATTTGAGGACCCTTACGCGAAGCTATTGTACACAGCCGCGCACGGTGACAATGCGTCTGGACTTGGACCTGAAGAAGTTTGGCTTTGGCACTGATTATCTAAATGCCATGCATGCGCTCGCTGTTTCCCTCCCTTATGATCCGGCGATTTATCCATATTGTTGGCGCTCGTCGATTAGATCTAGATGCATGATTCCCCCCCCACCGCAAGGTTGTTTAGGAGAAATGGCACCAGTAGATGGTAATACTTCCTGCAGGAAATTAGTTTTATAAAACTAAGTCTAGCGTAGATTATCCCCAGATCTTATCCAAGTCCTCCGCTGTATAGTACTCGACCATATTCCATTAATGGCGCGCTTGATGCAGGTTATACCACGGCGGCGCAGATTGTAAGATTATGGCTCGTGGGAACGCGTCATCCTTCGCGAGATGGCCGGAGAAGAGCGCCCTGGCGAGATGTGCCGTTCTGGCGCTCCGGTCGATTGCAAAAATATCCCCGGGGCTTCCTCGGTATCTCTCAATTGTATTCTTTGTAAAGCGGATCGCGGCGACGACGTAGACGATACTAGACGGGTACTTTGCGACGGAGAGGAGGCGGGAGCGAGCGAGGAAGAGGAGTGTGCGGTGCGAGACAAAGAAGCGGACTGGTGTGATTAGCTGGGCCTTATGTGGGAAGTTTCGAAAGCGAGGCAATGTACCAATTCTGCTGTGTATATGTCTGGAGAGGTCACTGTGATTGTGGCCAAATGCTTTTCCGTGGAAGTAGATGACGACGGGTAGAGCGTAGGAGCCTTCGTCGGGCCAGTCGATCCCCGCCTGATTGTGAGTATGGACGAGACAACTGTGTGATGAGCTTCTGAAGGACGTACAGAGAGTAGCTGGCGCGATTGCTCACCGTATGCGAAGCTCTTCTTCTGGATGAAGAACGATGACTGCGCTGAGGAGCCGCGGGTCCGTTTGTTATGGGAGAGGAGGAGGTGAGGGGCACGCTGTCAGCCCATCAAAACATCAGTTTTCAAAGGCTGAGAGGAAAAGGGAGTCAGAAAAAGCGGAATTCAACCACAGCCAAAGCGTCGATACTGGGGCCAGGTGGAGTTGAGGCTTGTGTTGCTGTCGGCGGACGGCCAGGCTCAGTCGGCAAAAGCTAGTGTTATCGATGCGGCGCGGAGGATCTTGAAGTGACGCTGAGATCCCTGTGATTGGTGAGTTAGATTATGGCCAATTGAGGCTTTACTGATTGGGAGGCAGTTCTGCGGTAGTGAGCTCTTGATCTTTGTGACCGCAGACGTCTTCTTAGACTGCTGTCAGGCTGCCATCACTCGTCCTCTGGGCGGAAATCGTGGGTGTGGAGCTGAGAGCGAGGCTTGTTAGCGAACTCAAGCGCAAGTGAAGAAATAAAAGAAGCGGGACGAGTCACTCTGTCCGTAGTATCCTGCAGTCAAAGACAAGTGAGGGGCAACAAGGTCGGTCTTTTGATGGAGGATTCCTCTGGCGTTGGTGTGCAAAACTGCTGCCTAAGGCATCGAGGCTGGATGCTGCAAGCTGTGAGGCGCAACACAATCTCTTGCTCTTGTCCAAACGTGAGCCTCTTTCTCAAGTCATCATTCTTCCTTCGACTCGCCCATTACTGCTTCAGTCGATTGAGTGACACCACTTTCGTCCGTTGAACTGCCAGAACACCATGGCCGCCGACCATGTTCTTGATCCCCGCGGCGAGGTCATACTAGTCGTGCGCAATCCGAATGCGCCGCTTGCGCAGCCGATAAATGAAGAGCCTGTCTCCGCCAAACCTCCAGTGACCGCCGCCAAAAGGACCGAATCATCTGCTGAGCGCCCCACGAAACGAGCCAAAATATCCAGCGAAACCTCGGATGCATCAACCCACTCAAAGCCAGACGATCGAAACCCGAAGGAGATTCGAATTCAAGTCTCTGCGAAGCACTTATCAGTCGGATCACCAGTCTTTGACAGAATGCTTTACGATGGGTGGAAGGAAGGAAAAGAGTTCAAGGATAAGGGCTCCATCGAACTGGAAGTTGACAACTGCGATATCGAGGCCTTGCTTGTCGTGCTCTACATCCTCCACTCACGCCTCCATCAGGTTCCTCACAAATTGAATGTCGAGCAGCTGGCTAAGATAGCCGTGGTCGCAGATTATTATGATTGCCAGAGCCTTATGTTCTTTAGCCCAATATGGTTGGGCGGCCTAAAAGGTGAGCAGGTACCAGCTGCGTTCTCAAGGGACCTAGTCGTTTGGATCTGGGTATCATTCTATTTTCGCTGGGGAGATACGTTTGAGAACGCAACTCGTAAATGCATTGAATGCTGCCCCGGCCCTATCTCCTCATTTGGACTCCCAATTCCAAAAAGCATAATTGGTATGCCCCAGCCAGATCTGTCTGGGACAATTCCTGTTTGGCTAATACGCCATAGATGCAATGAATAAAAATAGATGCATGGCTGTGGGCGAAGTCATAAGCATGATCTGCGAGGCCCGCCGTTGCCTTCTCGAAGAATTTCCAAGTCCCATTTTGTCTACCTGCTACCCCCTGGTACTGGGGATGCTGATGCATTATATGCAGAAGCATGCATTGCCTCTGACACAGCCAGGTTTGCCATATAACGGAATCACATGCAAGGAGATTGAGAAGGTGTATCACGGGTGGCAACAACATCTATCGGACATGCGCAAAAGTGGTCGTCAAGAGCATTGGTGTGAAAAATGCACCAATGTGGCTTACTTTGTACTCGACGACTTTCTTGAACCGATCGATGGTCTAATGCTGTTCCACTATACAACTACCTCTGCGCAACCTCTCGACTAGGATGGACTCGATGGGGAGCGATTGTTGGAATTTGAAGGGACCGAAACAGATATGGCAAGCTGCTCCCTAGAATATATCTGATTCTTTTCATGAGCCTTTACAAGGAATGTTGCCATCCCCCTACATGTACATAGGGCTTGGTGGTTTGAAGAGACAAGGTGCTCATGCTTTCATATTGCCTCTTTCTTAATTGTAACCGCTCGTTAATCGCAACATAGGCGCGCCATTCTCTGCGTTAATGATAAGTTTACGATCCAATTTCCAAAGAATCGCCACACCCAGAGATGGGCTAGTTTGGAGCCCATTTGACACTCAACTAGAGGACCAATTCTCAGCATCTATGGAAACCATGGTGCCGCCGTATTATAAATGCTCCAATCTGGCTTTAGAAAGCCTTCCATACGTCCTTGCCGTCTATATTTCTGCCCTTGGCCTCATAGTGGATGATCTCAGTCCCACAGTTCTATTATTGGATCCGCGAATCATACAACTCACGAGCCATGAAACTGCCCGAGCCAAAGCCAGATAAGCTTCACAGCCACTCGAGCTTGCATAGACGACCTGGAAGCAATTTCTGATTTAAGGCGGATCTGAACCCCGCCCATCATGATGCGGCTAAATCTTCCTGTCATCGTCATTCCGATCTTGCGTCTCGTTCCCCGCCGTATCATCGTTTCTCATCCCGATCGCCTTCAAGATGCCCAAAGCCCATGCCCTCAATCCAGAAGGGGAGGTTATTCTTGTCGTGACAAGTGCACATTTCAACCCTCCCCCGCCCAAGCCACCTGCTAAACCGATCGCTCCGGGTGCTGCTGTCGATGCTCTCTATCCCGTCCATAGATATGACACCTTTGGTCGGAAGATTGCGGCGAAGAACCAAATGGCGAATCTCCAGCCCAGTCGGATAACGACGAGGAGATGGAACCTGCAAACCTAGAAAGAGAAACAGGAATCCGCGTGCCGGCGAAACACCTCATGCTAGCACCATCCTGGTTCAAACGATGCCTCACTGGTGGTTTCAGCGAGGCCGTGACCTTGGCCGAGAAAGGAACCGTCGACATTGATGTACCAGACTGGGACGCTGATGCAATGCTCATCCTGATGCGATTAATCATGCTCAATTTGAGAAGGACCCGAAGCAACCTGGTGCGGATCTCCTCGCCGCGGTTGCCCTGCTGGCCGACTACTATGGTTGCAACGCCCTCGTCGACGACCACTTGGATTTATGGCTGAGCGAGACATCCGGGAGATGGAGACGTCAGCGAGCCTCAACGTCAGATGATGGTGCGCCTCTATTCCGCCTGGATCTACAATCGCGCTACAGACTTTGCGCGGCAGTCATCATCATGGAGGAATCGCGCACTTTAATAGAAGCGCATGGAGTCCCCATTGACCCTAAAATAAGCGGTAAGATCCATCAAGTAGGATATCGAATATATGTGTAGTATATAAGCTTATGCTGCGACCGCAACAAGATGCCCTCAACGCTGGACGAGATAAGGCCATTGAAACGCTGGTTTCCGAGTCATGGAAGGCCCGGCAGCAGATGGCACATGACCTACTAGTAGCTAACAGACCAGATTACGGGTGGTTGATGACGTACAGGACACCCAATGTCTTCATGGACGAACTGGGCCTACTCTTTGCCAAAGCTCCGTATGAGAATCTGAGTATCAAGACCATTGTATCCAAGCTGACATCCGGTGACCGATCCCATTACGAAGTCCATGACCACGGCTGGCAGTGGTCTCGTTTCCATTGTCACATGGGACCTGAACACCTTTCCGCTATCTTTGCTGGCTTGAGTGACAGGGCCGAGTGCTTGGACTTGCGCAGGGTTGAATTTGAGTGAGTGGTCCATTCGCCCCATACTTGCTGGTCTTTTTTGCTAAAGCAGCCTTCTGAATCCCACAGCTCCTTTGTCGCGTCACGAAGGCTACATGGCCATAATCGAATCAGTTCAATCCCAAGTCAATCCTCGATATCCATTTGGGGTCTGAAGATAAAGCGGGCGTCTGGGTGGGCATGGGAGCAGAGACCACTTGAACATATTTCGTATCTCCTTTATTGTCCCACTGCGAATCGCTTTGGCTGGAAATCGAATCGCTTGGACAAACGTAGAGGATCATGGCTTAGAAGCAGGAGAAGTTGTTCCGCGAAATTTGGCCTGAATCTACTCATTGTCGAGCCGGGACGCTGCATTTCTTTTAAAAGATGATGTCTACTTATTTCTGGCGCGATCTTGGCTTCTCTCCTTCCTCTGTTTCCCACTCTTGTCTTCTGCTTCCATCCTTCTACTGTTGCCAACGACTCCTTGCCCGTCCCAAAATCCCTGCTTCCTAATGATTGCGTAGCAATACTAACGCTAATGATTGAAAGATTTCTCATTTCTCGAATCGTGGCTGGGTACTGCTGGCGATTGGGGTCGCGCTGGCGGGGATCATGCACTGTTCCCATTTTTGGCCGCTTCACTCCAACTACATCATCACATTTCCTGATTGAACTGGAAAACTGTTCGCAATGTGTTGTATTCACTGACAGATTCTCTGGGTATAAATAAGATCCCGCAGCAATCTCACTTCCACGCTCCGCACAAATTCTTTCACAACTTTTTCCTCCCTCCTGCCCCCTCGACCTTTGTACCGCATCTGTTTGCTGCCCATCATATTTCTCCCCGCTCAACAGACCAATAGAGTATGACTATGGAGTCCTACGTTATTTCCCCCGACGGCGACATGACGCTGGTGATCAAAAACCCGAACGAATTCTTTGCCAAGTGGCCCACTGCACCGAGCGAAAGCCAAACCATGGCCACCAACACGTCAACCAAGACTGCACACAGTGCAGTAGGCGAAGAAGAAGAGATTGAGCTAGAGATCATCAGCCCGCCTGCGGTTATTGAGGTGCGGTTTCAAGTGTCCTCTGCACACCTCATTCTTTCCTCGCCTTATTTCCGAAGCTCGCTTACCGGCCCTTGGAAAGAGGCCCAGGCACTCAGAGACAACCAACCGGTCGAGATGATCTGCCCCGGCTGGGATACTGAGGCCATGTTGATCTTCTTACAGATCGCTCATGCACAGCCATGGGAGCTCCCCGAGACGGTCGAGACTGAGCTGCTCGCCAAGGTCGCTGTAGTCGCCGACTACTACGGCTGCCAGCGCCTTGTGCAATATTATGCGGAGAGGTGGATTGCAAAAGTTGACATGCAGGCAGCAGTTGAAGGTAAAAGGGATCTTGCCCTTTGGTTATGGATCTCATGGTTCTTTGTCCATCATAGCAACTTCACGGTCTATACGTCCTTCATCATTCAAAAGGCCAAGTCTACTATCACGCCGCTCGGATTGCCCATTCCTTCGGCCATAATAGGTGACCACTTCGGTCCAACAGACAGGAACATGAGCTAATCGTCTATGATGTAGATGCACTGAACAGGCGCCGCATCAATGAACTGAACCATGTGTTCCAACGCATCAACGAAGAACGTGGGAAGTTACTCAGCTTCGATCAAAATGGCCCCTGCACTGGAACCTGTCGGGCCTTTATGCTTGGCGCGCTGATCAGAAACCTCCACGCAAATGATATGCTCGACGTGAAACCGCCCTACGAGGGCCTCAGCCTGGCGAAAGCGATCACATCCGTCAAGTTGTGCACCGCGCCACACTGGAAGGAGGCGGGTCTCGAAGACCGGGATGCCAGTCCGTATACTCACCACTCGTGTCGCTATAGCACATTTATGAGCCTCTTCGGGGACCTGACGTACCAAGTGAGTGGTCTTGATTTGGATCGGTTCAGAGAGTGGCACGCGTGATGCATCCAACATCCCGGGCTCTGTGCCAAGTATTTTGGGTCTCGATGGCTCTGTAGGAATGCTCCATCAAACGCAGCGTTGTCGCGATATACGGAGGGGTTGGAGACCTGGAGTGCAGCTGCACTGTGAGAGCCAGGACAAGGTTCAACGTCTTTCTGGAAACCTGTAGATAACGAGTAGGAATGCGCTGTATTTTATGACCAAAATAATCATACTTCCAACACTTTCCTTTGCGGTTCTTTCTTGTGACCCCTCTTTCACCTAACACTCATGTCAGTAGCTCTTTGTATTTTATATGGTACTGTCAGGTTGTACTATCACAAACTCATGGTGGTTATACATCATGGCGTCTTTATGCGCTGTTTCTTTATCTCACATGTCCAACCACGCACCTTTCTATTCGGCAACCCCTCCTGACTGCCAACCCAGGACTTTTCCTCGCGCCAGCGACAGCATTTCTCTAGTTCAGAACAGAAAAGCCAGAAAAGAAGACTTCTCGTCATGCCCACCCACGTCGTTCAACGTGGCGGAGATTTGTTTCTTATCCTTAGACACCTAGACCATACCTCAGATATCCCAAACCACGAAGGGGAGACAGAGAATAAGGACCCCACTGCGGGCCCCTTCAGCCCACGTAAATCCAAGCGCAGACGAGTCACGACCCCGAAGCCCAAAAAGAAGAGGAACTATGGGCCGAACGATCACCGCATCCGCGTGTCCTCAGCGCAGCTCATCAAGTCGTCTCCCTTCTTCAAGGTAGCCCTCACAGGCGGATGGAAGGAAACAGTGAGGTTTCAAAACGACGGAGACATGGAAGTCGGAGCGCCAGACTGGGACATCGATGCCCTTCTCGTCGTGATGCGTCTAGTCCACAATAAACCCCGTAAATTACCAACGCAACCATCCTTCGAACTTCTCACTGGAGTTTCTATCATTGCGGACTATTACCAGTGCCGGGACGCTGTGCTGCCATACGAAAAGCGGTGGAAAAATATACTGTTCCCGAGTATAACTTCTATGGATATTGAAACATTCGTCACTGGCCTGTGGGTTGCGTCGTTCTTTGGCTGTGGGGAGGATTTCCGCAGATTCTCTATCGATCTGTTGGAGCACAGCCATGGAACGCTCGATTCAGGTGGCCTACCACTTCCTCAGAATATACTTGGTAAGCGCGTGCCCAGTCACACAGGAGAACAAGGACAACATATCCTCGTCGTTGTGATATGCATACATACTGATACTATAGGCACAGACACAATCTGCGACCGCCGCCGAATCATGCTGGACGAGTTCATAACGAGCATGTGGCACTACAAGGCTGCGCTGTACGACCCTCTTGACATGAAGGTACTTAACCGGTTTATTCTCGATAATGGCCTGGCGCATGCAGCTCTCCCACTAGCAGACTTGACGATACATCGGCTGAGGCGGGAGTTTGGAGCACTGGATCTTCCTATTACATGGTTGGGTGAGCGGGCACTCAAGCAACTTACGCCTGAGGGGCTCAAATTGAGTGATTGGGTGTGAAAGGTAGATAGAGAACGTGCTTACTGATAAAATGTCTATTTCTTATATCTATTACAGAACTGTGGCCCTGCTGAAAATTCACATCACATGTACTACAAGTTTCCCCCATACAAAAGATGACTGACTGATGGAAATCCAAGTTCCATTCCCACGTTGCCTTAGGTTCCAATGAGGGATTGACATGGCGCGAGTGTCTGGTTGTCGATCGCATCTCGTTCTAACCCAGACTAGCGCCCCTCGACTGCCAGATACTCCAGACTGAAAGGATAATCGACGTAGCCGACTGGGGAACCAGAACTGTAAAACGTTGTGCGGTCGTATTTGCCAAGCTCCAGGCCCTTCTGAATCCTATACACGAGATCCGGGTTTGAAATGAAATGCCGTCCGAAAATGACCATGATGTCCTTATCCGGGTGCTCCTCATCAACAAGCCAACGGGCCTCGGCAGCTCCATACCCACCCGCCACGAGAATCGGGCCATTCCACCTCTCGTATACAAAGTCGAGCGTCTCGGTTTCGCTCCTGGCATAGTCGCCGGCACCAAATATCCGGGACTCCACCAGGTGCAAGTACGCGAGGTCAAACAGGCTGGCTCGGTCGACGACGTCTCGGAACTGTGGAACCGGATCCTCCATGCGCATGCCCTGGAACCTCGACCAGGGACTCAGACGGAGTCCGACACGGTCAGCACCGATTGCTTCCACAACGGAATGCAACACCTCGTGAAGAAGGCGAGAACGGTTTTCAACATTTCCGCCGTACTCGTCATCGCGATGGTTGCTCGTATCCTGCAGGAACTGGTCGAGAAGGTATCCATTCGCACCGTGGATTTCGACCCCGTCGAAGCCTGCGGCAATAGCGTTCTTCGATGCCACCGTAAAATCTCTGACCGTTTGCTTGACCTCATCGATGGTCATCGCCCTCGGAGTGGGTGCACCGGGAATTTCCTCCTGCGGAATCCCGATTGCGCTGGGTGCCACGATCTCAACACCTTCTGCCTCCGCCACTTCCGTGACCGCTGCCCGGCCAAAAGCGAACAACTGGACAAAGATGAAGCACCCTTTTCTGTGGACTTCGTCGGTGATTGTTTTCCAGGCGGTAATCTGGTCGTCGCGCCAAATTCCAGGCGCTTGCGGGAAACCACCGGCCGCTGCGTGAGAGACCATCGTTCCCTCTGTGATGATCAGAGTACCAGGTACCGAGGCTCGTTGGCTGTAGTACTCCTTCATCATCGGGGTAGGTACACGGTCAACTGTAGCTCGAAGACGAGTCAGGGGTGCCATCCCGATCCGATGCTGGACCTGGATGTTACCGATTTTCATGGGCTTGAAGAGGCGTGTTTCTGACATGGTTTAGAGAGGAGATGTGAAGGCTGTTGCTCTGCTGCGGAGTGAGCGCCTCCATAATGGGCAGACTGTACCAGGTTGATATACCGCTGAATCTGAGTCGGAGACAAAGTCGCCGAGGCTGAGAAAGAAGATGAGAAATCTGGAGATGTAAGGAGTTCCTTCCCAAAGAGGAAATGAGGTTGTTCCTAAAGCGGACTAGCGTAGATCAAAACCAGGATTTCTAAGCAAGTTGCCGCGATTCTCGACTTTAGTCTTACACAAGTCCCAGTGAAGTGCTGCGCTCTCCTAATGTTATTAGCTTATTAGCTTATTAGCAAGCAATGGCTGGCGACTTTCAGTTCATCCCGATAAACACGCCGAATGACGCGAAAGATCGAGCGAAGAGACGCTTAGCGCGCTCTCACGCCGTGAAGCGGGCGCTGGGGAACAAACGACGGCAACAGCAACTTTCCGGCGACATCTTTGCTAAAACAACCGCCGGACATCATCATTCGGAGAAGAAATCGCAGGAGCGTCGCGTTGTTTCGCCTCTTTCACTCCTCACGGGCATCTTCGATCCGTTTCAGGCCCTTGCTGTCGATTCGTCGAGGCTGCAAGTGTTACTTGGCGACTGTAAGGCGGCTCCTCCCCGACCGATTCGCTGGCACTAATTAGAACAGATCGAGCGAGACAGGCTCCCGAGCCGGTCTTCAGTGTTGCGGAAGAACTGGCATTCCAGAGCTTCAGCTCCGTATTCCGCGCTGGCCTGGATGACCCCGCTCTCGTCAATGCTGTCATGCTTTCCCTTGCGTTTGCCGTCACTGGTCGTATCGATTCGGAGTGCCTGAGGTATCAGGGTCAGGCCATAACGTATATCCGTGAGCGGATGGATTCCCTCGCCGAAGCTACTTCGGAAGCCACCATCGGCACTATATTATTACTAGCAGGAATAGTGGTATGTTGACCGTAACCTCGCCACTACCGCCTGAACCTCAAAGCGCTGATGCCGAACCGCTTAGGCCCGTCTCGGACTGACATCCCAGGTTGAAATGCATATGGGAGCAGTGCGCCAACTGCTGAAAGTCTGCCAGGCCAGGGGTGTTTATCTCACTCCGGGTATCAAGCGAGCGATATTCTGGTCAATACGTCGCCCACTCTGCCTTTGTCGCTTGCTCTCACTGACTATGGTCTGGTCATTAGGCAAGACCTGAATTCTTCGATACTCTCCGGCTCCACTCGGATAGTGGACCACACAACATTCACAGAGCTGCTATGGGCACGCGATGCTTTCGTTCCAAGCTTTTATCGTCTTCCTTCCGGCTTTGAGTCCCGGTCCCACCTATTTACGCAGGAGTTCATCGACATTCTCGAAGATTTAAATGGCTTGCACTGCATTCGGGAGTCTCGCAATGCCAGAAAGAGTGATGCAATGTTCATGCTCCATGTTAATAACCACACGGCATCGGTTCAGTCGAGGCTTGCGCATTTGTCAGGGTTGTCCGAGTTGCAGGAGTGTTGTCGCCTTGCGGCTTATTTGTGCTCAGTCATGGTATGCTGCAAGGTGTGGTGTGAGTTGGTAATTCCGGTACGTTGGGCCGACCTGCCTTGCCCCTTGTCCAGCAGCCTCTTTCAAAAAATAATTACTCACCCAGTATGACAGTCGCATATATCCTCCGAACTTCTCCGCAAACTCCCCAATACCGACGATAACACATTATGGGCCGAACATTCCCAACTACTCGTCTGGCTCCTGCATATCGGTGGAGCATTCGCTCCAATCGGACCCGTTCGCTCCGGCTATCTGAGCCTCTTGCGCTCGAACGACGCCACCCTCCATTGCAGCCTGTGGCCCGAGTTACACACGGGCTTGAAACAATTCATCTGGTCAGATAAGGCGTTCTTGGCGCCGGTCAGGGCGCTGTGGGAGGAGGCGTTCATGTAGAGTTTGAGATCTCAGACTATACCTTGCACCACCTCTCTCCCTCGCCCCATGGGCCTAGCATCTGCCTCTGGCCATGGCTAGAGAATCGCGACCAGCCGGGCTAATCCTGTATTAGCAACACCTGCAGAAATATGTCTTGACGGCGGTCTAGACTGTCTACGTAGTCTGTGCCTCGAACTGCATTGAGTTTAATTTCCAACTACCCACGAGGCAATTACCAGGATTTTGTATCGGCACGTGGCTAATTCATCGCTCCTCCATCGCAGTTATGCGGGCGAGTATCGAAAATGGCAAACTTGGGATTTATCTCACGCATTTTCTGACCAGTCCGTCTGGGCGAGATGTTTGAGTAGCAAACAAGCCGGTCTTTCAGGTCTGACAATAGGTCCATTCGAACTCGAGCCTTGGCGATGCTGCAGTCAAGTGGATACAGGAACTGACCTTATTGGGTGCAAGATGCAGTGTCTCGGATGCAGTTGGCTGGAGGCATCGGAGCCGAGCTTGGTATGACAGGGGTCCTTGTCACGCAAGTCGCGGCAAGGCACAGTTGACACGACAGACTTCAAGATGCTCTGTGGTCCTCCCAGCCGATGTGTATCAGTTTGGCGGCGACACCATCGTCTACGTTCTCCTCCGAGGTGTGCCAAATAGATCATACGAGCCCGAGTTTGCAACCACGCTCCAATAGCGAATTTTTCAAGGTCCGAGGTTACGCGCTATCGATCGCAGGTGCGACTCAGCGCTAGCGACATCCGAATCGAGGGGTAAGATTGTTTGCTATTCCAGCAGCACAGGGTGGTACAAACATTCCACGGCTGCGAACACGAGTGAGACGTTCTTGCCAACCAAAGTTGCCCAGAGATTGAATCATCATGTTGGTCTCCGCTCTGCCAGGATCATCCCACACTTCACTTCGACATCCAGAGCGGCACATGTCCCCTCGTCACTCGCTCTTGAGTTTCAGCTGTGATGGATTCTCCGTGGAGATGGCAGGTATAGCCGGTCCATTCGATGGAATCCGATCGAATGGTCTAATCCAGCACCACTTAGTTCCTATCGGGTATCATTGCTTGCAGGACGGACTGCAGACCGAAGATTCAGCTGGACCCGTGCTAGAAACTATTAAAAGGTCATTCGCACAGGTGGTCCGGATTGAAATATGTCACGATATCTACCAAAGCTTCCCCACAGATGTCACATTAACATTCCGCTCCGGTTTCCTCACGACTCAAATACTTCCTGGCCCACGTTCCCAACCGGCCCCGACTTGATTGTTTGCGCAAATCAGGCACCCCCGTCGTGAAATGACTTCCACGTCCGATGCGTCCGATGCGCCCGATACGCGAGATACCACCCCGCTAGCTTCTTCGGACCTCAAGGAGAAGCGGAGTCCATCTCCCTTCCAGATGCTTAGCACCTACCTGTCATTTCCGACAAGAGACCAGGAGCAATGGTGGGTGAAGACTGGTCCGGTACTTGGCAGAATGCTGGAGACGGCCGGTTATGCATTAGACCAGCAGTTCAAGTACCTCACCTTGCACCATAACCAAATCGTCCCGCGGCTCGGTCCCTACCCTCCGAGATTCCAGTCCAACCTTACAATTAGCGGCCTCTTGATCGAGTTCAGCATCAACTATCAGCAGAAGGGGACGAGCCACCCCACAGTTCGCCTCGGACTTGAGCCGGCCGACTCGTTTTCGGGAACCGACAGGGACCCTTTCAACAAGTCTCCGCTGCCATCTACGCTCAGTCACTTTACGCGAATGGGCGTCGAGGGGTTCGACCAGCAGCTTTATACATACTTCCAACCCAAACACTGCTTGACGGACGAGGAGCAGCTGCGTGTCGCGACCGAAGTACCTGGTGGTGGTAAGCGAACAACACAAGGTGCCCTTGCCTTCAATCTCGATGATCGAGGTATCAACATGAAGGGCTACACATACCCCGGAGTCAAGGCCCATCTTGCAAAGGTTGAAGTGAAGGACATGATCACAACCGCCATCGATGACCTAAAGGCGTTGGGGAAGGGGGACTGGATCGACGCCTGGGCCAAAACCGCCGAATATGTGACGGAGATCAACGGCTGGGGCTTCCACAACCTCTGGGGATGGGATTACGTTGAGCCCTCCCAGTCGCGGTTCAAGTTCTACACGTGGCAGTTTGATGTTCAAGACATTACGAAACTCGATGAACTCTTTACGCTTAATAACCGCGCCGCAAGCCCAACTCACTTGGAGGGCCTGACATACCTCCACAAACTCTGGGACATCATCGACCTCAAGGGGTCGGGCAAGAGGGAACTTCCGCCGGACGCGACTCAACCGCCTGAGAACACCAATCCAATGCTGTTGAGCTACGAGATCAAGTCCGGTAACCCACTCCCCGACGCCAAGGTGTATTTCCCGCTCCAGGGGTTTAACGACTTGGTCTGTATCGAGAAGATTGCGCGCTTCTTTGAGTACTTGGGGTGGAAGGAGCTGGCGGAGTCGTATCCCACGACTGTGCAGACTTTCTTGTACGATTATTCTATTGTTTTCTTTTTGTTTTGATTCCTTTGCTGTGCCTGCTAACATAATATTTAGCCCAGATCACGACCTGTCCAAAACGTCGCATCTCGTCTACTGGATATCGTTCTCGTACTCTGAGAAGCAGGGCGTCTATTCCAGCGTGTATTATCACGCTAACCCCGAGATTTAATGGATAGGTCATGGTTAGAATGGTCTCGGTGGGTGGTATGCTATCCTCCAATTCGGTTTATCCTGCTCATTCGGCTCCTGATTTAATCAATAATTCCCATTCGTCGCGTGTCAGCAATGATTGAGTAATGTCGCATGCCTTCATTAATATGGTTTCTTCCAATTTTCCCTTCGCGATGTCAATCGCCAGTTTCTTGAGCTGTAGGCAGCCGCCAACCCAGAGTATGATCATGCTTTGTTGTCGTGGGTCCCCGAATACGAGGTCGGCCAGACCTGTCCAATCTTCTTCCTGGAGACGTGTAATGTAGCCCCATGCCTTGATCGTCGTCCCTGAATATGGAACATGGCAGGCACCAATCCTCCTCGCCCCTTTATAAGTCATCACCCCCACCAGCTGCGCCCTCCCTCGCAACCTTATTTAACTCAACTTGAACACCCACCCCTCCTCTCAAGGATCCTCGAATTCACCTTGCCCAAAACGAATACACACACCTCCAGTCCGAAAATGAACAAACTAAAATCCCTCCTCCCGACATCCTCAAAATTCAAATCCTTCACCCGCGAACAACCAACCCCACAATTCACACACACCACCATCCTCCCAAAACACAACCGCAACCTCCCGCGCCCGCCCAACGCGCCGCGCCTCCTCCTCATCGGCGGTGGCTCGCGCGGCGCAGCTATCGCACAAGCAATCGAGGACGGCACAGATGGTATCCTCGTATCGGTTGCGGACCCGGATCCGGGGCGGCGTAAGGACATTGGGCAGAGGTTCATTTGGAGGAAAGGCGAGGTGAAAGAGGGGATGGAGTTTGAAAGTTGGAGGGGGTTTTTGGAGTGGGAGTTGCGAAGAAGGGAGCTTCGACTAGGGGCTGCATCAAACCCAAATCCCGAGGGGAAGAGCCAAGGTGAAACCAAAGGCAAAACCGACGATGCGCATGGTGAGGCAAGTAGTGTCCAAATCGACGCCGTGATAATCGCGACGCCGGACCGGACACACCGCGAGATCGTGACCGCGCTTGCACCACTCGGAATACACATCATGTGCGAGAAGCCGCTCGCAACGACGTTGGAGGATTGCGTTGCCATTTCGCGGAGCTTGGGTGTCCCTCTGCACTCGACGAATGTGGACTCGGAGGGGAGTGCTAGCCCTGGCCCTGGTGCTCTGTTCGCGATCGGGCACGTCATGCGGTACGCGCCGATTAACCAACTCATTCGAGAGTTGATCTTTGAGGAGGGTGTCGTCGGGGATATTGTCTCGATCGAACATACCGAGAACGTCGGGTGGTGGCATTTTGCGCATAGTTATGTCCGGTAAGCCGACCCTCATTTCCTTGGCCACGGCCATCTGAAGCCAAGCTCTCACACGAAAGATAAACTGACGGATGGCAGAGGCAACTGGCGCAACGCGCAGACCTCGGGACCAACCCTCCTCACAAAATCCTGCCACGACATCGACTTCCTCATGTGGCTGCTTTGCGCACCTTCCCCAACGGGAAAACCACACACCCCGTCAAGCATCGCCTCCTTCGGCAGTGTATCACACTTCAAACGCGCCCGCAAACCACCCGCCGCAGACAGCGCAACAAACTGCCTCTCCTGCCCCGCCGAAAAAGACTGCCATTTCTCCGCCAAGAGCATCTACCTTGAGAAGGGACTGCGCATGGGACTTGGCGGGTGGCCGGTTAATGTCGTTGTTCCTGATATCGAGGATATTATGCAGGAGGGCGGGATGAGGGCGGCCGAGGAGGAGCTGCTAAGGAAGTTGGAGGACGATTATACGCCCGAGACTCCGACAGAAGTCGTGGACGGGAAGCAGTGGTATGGCCGATGTGTGTACGAGTCTGATAATAACGTCTGCGACGACCAGACGGTGCATATAACCTGGGAAGATAATACAGTCACTCTACCCGACGGCTCAGCGACGATTCGACCAAGCAAAAGCGCAACATTGCACATGACCGCCTTCGCCGAGGGAATCTGCACAAAACGCACGCGCGTCCTCGGGACAAAAGGCGAGATCGAGCGGCGCGGCAACGTACTCGCAGTATGCGACTTTACGACGGGCAAGTTCTACGAGAAACGACCGCCCGTTAGCATTGGTGGCCATGGCGGTGGAGATCACGGGCTCATGAGGGCGTTTGTAAGTGCCGTTGATGCGGTTAAGAATCTGGGCATGTCTGTGGAGCAGGCGCAGGGCAAGTTTATTGGGTGTGGGGTTGAGGATATTGTGCGGAGCCATGCGGTGGTTTTTGCGGCGGAGGAGGCGAGGGTGGACAGGAGGATTGTGGATTGGGATGCGTGGTGGAGGGAGAATGTAATTGATAGTCATGCTGACAGTAGCGAGGCATAGTTTGTTGATTGATCGATATACGTCCGGGATTTGAATCCCGTTCATCTCCCACAAAAAGCTTGAATCTCCAATTGGATTTGTAAGACATATGCAGGATGAAGTCATTAGCCCCACCAGAGCTCCAGCAGCTCAACCCCTCTCAATCCCAACAACACCCTCATCTCTGTCCCCATCATCTTTCCTGCCGCTCGAACACGAAAGGAATAAGACGAAAATGTCCACCAAGGTCTTCATAACCGGCATCACCGGATATATCGGCGGCGACGCCTTCCACGTCCTCTCGCAAGAGCACCCCGACTTTGAATACGCGGCCTTGATCCGCACCAAGGAAAAAGCCGACTATGTGAAGGGCTTATATCCTAACCTAAGAGTGGTCATCGGAAGTAATGATGACTCGGAAATCATCATGAAGGAGAGCGCTTGGGCCGATATTGTACTTCGTACGATTCCACTCTTCGACTGAACCTTCAGCAACAAGTGGGACGTGAAACTAATCCGTGTAACCAGACACCGCCGACTCCTCCGACCACGTCGGCGCAGCAAACGCCATCGCAAAGGGCCTAATCCAAGGCCACTCGCCCTCGCGACCAGGCTACTGGCTCCACACCGGCGGAACCGGAATCCTCACATATTTCGATTCGGAAGTCCGCAAGGTCCACGGCGAACACGACGACAAGGTCTTTGATGACTACGAGAACGTCGACGAACTTGTTAATCTACCAGCTGCTGCATTCCATCGCAATGTCGATGAGATTGTTCTCCAGACGGGCATCAACCATGCGGATACCGTGAAGACGGTCATCGTTTGTCCGCCGACGATCTATGGGAGGGGGAGAGGACCCGTTGCGCTTAGGGGAAGACAGGTTTATGAGCTTGCAAGCTTTATCCTTGAGCAGAAGTATACGCCTGTTATTGGGAAGGGGTTGGCGAGGTGGAATAATGTGCATGTTTACGATTTGAGTCGTTTGTTTGATGCGCTTGTGCGCGCAGCTGTTGATCCCGCCAGGAAAGATGATGCAGAGATCTGGGGCGCCAAGGGGTACTTCCTTGCGGAGAATGGGGAGCATGTGTGGGGTGAGTTGGCAAAGTATATCGGCGAGCAGGCGTTCAAGGAGGGATATCTGAAGGAGAAGCCTGAAGTAAAGAGCTTGTCGTTCGAGGAGGCGGTAAACTCACCTGCGGGGTTTGAGGCGGCGAGTTGGGGTCTGAATTCGAGGGGAAGAGCGCTGAGGGGGAGGAAGGTGCTTGGGTGGCAGCCCATGGAGCAGTCCATTGAAGACGAGGTGCCACATATTATTCGGTCGGAGGCGTCCAGGTTGGGATTGTGAGCTTTAGATGACGGAAATATATATCCATCTCCGATAAAGTCCACTTAAAGACCATCAGATTCGCATTAGGAGTCCGCCCCTTGTCAGGAAGAAGCAATATTATTTAGTGCCGTCGGAAGGATGATTCCTTGGACATGGAGGTACATTGGTGTACAGCGAGTCAGATGTAGATAAACCGTCTAATATGACACCTTCGTCCTCGATCAGTGTCAGGCATGTTTTGTCGCATCTGCCCTCGTTCAGTGCACGCAGCATAGGTTTTCGATTCTCCCCACAACCCGTAGCGAATAGCACTGGGAAGAGAAGTTTCTTTTCTACTACTAGCAGGAGAGAAGTGATGAGCAAAGGGATTATGATGCTTTAGACAAAATAGCAGACCGTCGACCTACTCCTCTAACGCAGTCTGCCAGCTCGAATCCCGCGGATGGGAATGGCGACCAGTATCAACAGGCGGAACCCAGTAGCTTACAAACGGACTGCAATGCACTTCACGAGGTTAGTGGACTAATTTGCAGTTCAATCTTCGATGAACTGCAGGGATACGTGTGGAAGCCACCGAAGAACTATGTAGGGATTGAGAGTTTGGAAACTGTTACATTCAGGAACTATCCTAGGAGATACATCGCCCTTAGATAACTGAGGTTACAAACGAGCTGTGTGTGACACCCGAATAACGACCAGGACGTTGTTTGATGTCCCGGATAGGCGCCGCCCCAAACGGGGGAGATGCGGCTATCCGCACCACCTGAGCGGTGTTGACAATACATAGGGAGTGTTATGAAATTACTTATTGCTGCCCTAGCCGTGGGCAATATATATATATATTGGACAGGTTAGCCCTAGTCCCTATGCAGTATGGTGCTCTTCCCCGCAAAGCAGCCGAGTGGAAGGTATCAACGAAGAGAGGCATGAGGCACAAAGGCTTCTTGACAAAGGATTTTGAGTTCAAATGAAAACTCGCATATCCCGGCTTCAAATCAACCACAAAGTGGATGATTTGACCGGTTCAGTGCTTGGCGCCAGCTTGGGTGGGATCGCCCCATCAACACGAGCCTTGGCCCTGTTTGGCTGTCTTGGCGGCTGCGCAAGGGGCTCGCATTAAAAACGCCCGCTCCCCCCCGGCCTGCAATCGCGTTCTGCCGACTTTTGTTCCTCGCTTCTTCGCAGATCCAGCGCCCTCGCGCGCATTCTCGGTCCCTCACGCGGTTTCCGTTGACAGTGCAAGGAAAGGATGCGTGCTCCTACATTTCTTATCCTATGCGCCCTCTCTGGCTTATTACACACGCCCGGCGCGTTCGCGCAACGGCGCGGAGGTGGACACTCCGACTCGGACTCGGACAGCCACAGCAACAGCAATAACGACGAAGAGAGCAGCAGCGACTCCAGCGACTCCTCCTCTTCCTCCTCTTCAGGCCCATATTGCGACACACCAATAAACCCACCACCAAACATCGAAGTAAACCTGATCCCCGACAACGGCGACAACCGCAATTACCGAGGCATCTCCAATTACGACGGCTCATTCTTCCACGGCGAGGCCTGGCTCGGCTACAACATCCTCGAGACGACGGGAATAGACAACTGCAACAGCACCGCCGAGAACCCGATCCGGTTGCTGGGGTATGCATGGATGGGTCCGCAGTCCGAGGAGCCCGCGGGGCTGACGAATCCGTATATCATCGGGTTCCAGGCGTGGGAGTCCAAGGAACCCGTGGAGGAGATTGATACCTCGTATGACTATGTCATGTGGGATCCCAATGAGAAGTGGTGTCCCGAGGAGCCGGACTTGTTCCTGGTGAGGACGACGCATTCGTGGTGGGGATCTGCTGCGGAGCCGGGTGGTGACCTTCCCATTGTAGCAGCTGATGTGATCGATATGGAGTTTGCCGCGGATGAGGAGGATCCTGGGGCTGTTTCTTTCAATGGGACCATGCCTGAGACGATTACTCCAGAGCCGCGATACGAGGGATTCCCTTTTCGACTGCTTGGATTACCCGGCCGTATCTGCACGGATGAGCGCGTGTACTGGTTCGAGGATAACATAGATCGCCTGGGGTTAAGCGGCTCCGTGACGAATGCGACGCTCGACCTCGTTTTGACCGGGAGAGGGATTGCAGTGCCGTACCGGAACAACGTCGCGCATAACCTCACGGTTGAGTTCAACGTCACCTTCTCCGGGCGCTTCGACACTGCAAACTCGACAGAGAGGCCCGATATTCGCCAGACGGAGGAGTCGCTGATCACTTGGGTGCCGAATTCCGGGGTAGCCGTTGCACCGCTCGGATGGGTAGGCTGTTTCATCTCGCTTCTCACTCTGCTGTTGGTTGTATAAAGCGCTGGCAATTGGTGGGAAGTTTTCTCACGGTACTACGGGGATGCTACGTATGATTGGAGCTCCTGTTGGTGTCGGGACAATTTGTATATAGGACTAATGAATAGATGATTTATATATATGGCACGATTCAATTACTCCTGTCCAAGATTGAACTGAAAAAAATCAAAAAAAAAAAAAAAAAAAAAAAAAAAAAAAAAAAAAAAAAAAAAAAAAAAAAAAAAAAAAAAAGGGCGTAAATCAAGGCTACATATCAGGGTGGCATTCCCTGTAGGACAGAGGGCAACTTTAGTTCAGTTTGTACGATATATATATTAATGCCAACGTAGACCGTAGCGTATTAAGCCAGAGTCCACCGAGGTTAGTAAACATCCATCCTATTTTATTGGCTACGTCGTATCTTGAATAGTCCATTGAAGTCACTAAGATTGTCCTTAAAGATGAACAGGATATCTGCTTGATACATGATTTTTTAGCCTCCCAGCTCGCCCCTACCTACTGTAAATCCAACCGTTTACCGAACCTTCTGGTCATTGACCTTACCCCGTGGTACGGCGTAGGGGGATGCTCAGCTACCTTTCTGGGATTCAGTGAGGTCGACAAAGATGGAGGGCGGCCTTGATTATGCCTGATACAAGCTTTATATGCCAATGGAGATACGCAGCGCCTCAGAAAAGATGTTCTCCCAGGGGGATGCGTATAGGGATAGTATCACTCGAGGCGTCCCAGACAAACACTCTGTACCTTTGGGATCGCGTCGGTGCCATGGATGAGACTAAATTATATTACCTATCCAAGCAATTGGGCTCGCGCTCCATTCGGCTACAAGAGACACGCCCCTAGGAGTATAGTATGTTGCTGGGACGTTGTGGAACTATTGGCAGGATTGATAGGCTAGACTGGCACTATTATGTATAACTTTCGTAGCAAAGAGGTTGTGGTACAATACAAGTGCAAAGTCAAAGCCAAATAAACTATATCCTCCTGCTTGCAACACGAGAAACAGGTCTCAAGAGCGAGAACTCGGTTCCGATGAAGTGAAGTGTGGAGGAAAAGATATTGAAAAAGAAACATCGAGCATGCGTGGGAACATGTGGTCCTATTTGCGCTTGGTGGCCATGTTCCCAGCCGCCAGTGCCAGCCAGCATTTATCTGTCTAATTCAGTCCACTCACTGAATCGACCACTGGCCCCAGTACTGTCCCGCAATGTTCATCTGGCCCAGCCGGTCGGCCTGGAAGTTCGACATGGTCACCTTCTCACCCCTGATGGTCCAATTGGTGATATCAAGCTCCATGTCCATTCCAGGCACGGCAGGGATAATACTCTGTCCGAGACCAAAGCCTCCCGTGATGAGACCATCGGGGTACGCGACGTTCCGGACGACAAAGTTCCGGTAGTGCTGGAGGGCCTGGATGCGGAAGAGCGCCGGGCAGGGCCCCTCGCACACGACATTCGAGACCGTCAGGCTGATCGACTTGCTGTAGTCGGGGGACTTGCCGTCCATGTAGAAGGGGGACGCGCCGATAATCGCAGACGGCACGACGGTTTCGGAGCGGCGGTATCTGGTGTGGATGATGTCGAGCCCGTCGATTGTCACCCCGCTGACCTGCCGTGAGTCCCAGCCCATCTGGATGATTGGGTCGTTGTGCACCTTCCAGATGATCAGGCGCGATGCGGTCACGTCGGAGTAGTATGCTTTAATGCCGTCGTCGTTGGCGTGGTAGAAGACGTCCGAGACCACGCTGTTGGGGTACATCTGGGGGCCGTCGGTCTGGAAGAAGAACGCCCCGACTTGCTTGTAATCCGAGATGCGAACGCTGGCCTGGTTGCTGTTGCCGTGGAAATCCATGGTGTTGAAGGGCGGGGAGTTGATTGTCGGGCCAACGCAGTGCCAGGTCTGGCGCCCGATGTTCTCATGGTACCAGAGCCGGAGACTGGTTTGGTCGCTCTTGACAGCCTGGTAGTATGACGCGGGATTCGCCTGGTAGACATAGTGCTCGCCAGAGAGGACGCCGTGGCCCGTGGCGTAGAAGTCGCTGCGTGATGTGGTGTATTGGACCGCGCCTTTGACGTAGGCACCGGGCGCCAGGTGAACCCAGTAGGTGTTGGGGTGGAGTTTCAGGTGGTTCTCTCCATATTTGGGCTTGTCTCCCTGGGGGTTGGAATTCATCCAGTAGACACCTGGGGGGAAATACAGGATGGGCTTGTCGCCCCAGTCACCGGCGTTGATGGGGCCAGGAGTCATGGTCTTTGTGTTGTCCGAGTTCATGGGGGGGATCTTGTCGGCGGGGAGGAATGCGCTGGCAAAGATGACGAGGCCATTCTTGGGCTCCACAGACACCACATCGCCGCCAGAGTGCACATAGTTCTGTCCGTCGGAGCGATAAGTGTAGAGGTCATCGTTGAACTCGACAGAGAACCGTCGACCGCGGTCATCCTTTGGCACGCGAATGATGATTCCCCCATCGCTAGAGGAGGTCACAGAGTAGCCGATGGAGGTGGGACGGATCTTGACATTGGAAGCAGAGCCCAAGCTCTGGCCGTCCCTGCGGAGGATCTTGACATCGACATCCTTGGCGTATTCAAACTGGGACCAGGCCATGTTGATTCCGACCTCGGGCTCGATGCTGATTCCATCGTCGACATTGGCGCCCAGGGTGTCCGGGCTGGGGTAGTCCCAGGGAGAATAGATCCGGCCATTGCCGTTGCGCGGAATCGACTCGTAAACAAAGGACGGGCGAAAGTCCTCCTGGCTGCCAGCAGGGCGAACCTGGACGAGATAGCGACGGGACTGGCGGACATTGCCCGGTTGGACGCGGGTCTGGGTGTTGATCTCGCCGCTGTTGTGCCACCAGGTGCAGAGGTCAGCGTCGCAGGTTGTCGCGTTGCTGCCCGGAGGGGAAGGGAGGCAGCTTGCGCTGGCAGCCATGAGCAGAGTCGCTACCCAAGGCGCAAGCATGGATATCGCCTTCATCGTTGTTCGGATGTGGTCCGGCAGGATTGTTTGAGGTGCAATTTGCTGAGTCGAAGTTGTCTGTTCTGCAACCGATATCTGTGAGGGCAACAGGGCGTTTTTATACCTCCAACTCGAGCGCCGACGGTGGACTCTTTCCGGTTGGGCTAGAGGGCTATCGCGAGGCCACGCCAAGTGTAATATCAGATTCCCCCGATGCCCCGACGCCAGAGAGCGCCACAACTTGCAAGCGCGATTTCGACGGAGTCTCTTCAAGCGCTCGCTCCATTGCCCCTTGCCTCCGGGGTGGGAGAATGCGGGGCACGAAACTATTCTTGGATTACCAGCACCATTCTTGTCAACGACGCGGTCAGACACTGGCGCATATAAATCTAGGTGTGGATTGCATTATTGATGAACCCTCGATCATGCCATACAGGAAGCGCTTCGAGTCCTCATTCCAACAATTTGCATCGAGCGAGCAAAGTAGGATCGACAGTCCGGCTGCAGGAGAGCCGCAAACGCCCGGATCACCAGGCACGGTGCAGATGTGTGAAGAATTCATTTCGGGGCTTTTGCGGGCACTGGGCAGCAGAATCTTGGGTTGTTTCAGTTTTCAATTCAATGCCAGCGTGCCTTTCCCCACACCGGAAATGAAGGGGGCGGGTTGATTTGCGGAGATCAGTCCCGGACTTCACTAAACCAAGAACGAATTGTGCGGTGCTTCCACTGGCATCCACTGCCATCACACTGCCGCTGCCAGATACGGCCATGTCCACGAGTTGGAATTACTTCACCAGATGCTGCCTCTGGGAAGTCAAGACCCACTATTGACCGATATGCGCCGGAAACATCTGCAACGAGCTCTAAACACCCCCCATCCCCCAAAAACCAAAAACCATACCCCACACTTACGATTCTGCAAAGCCTAAAGATGGTTTGGTGTGGAGGGTCTCCTGACGCCAACCAAGGACGGCTTTCTTCTAATCCGGCGGATCATCTCACTCGTAGCTTTCTCGGATTCCGAAGAACGGCCGTTGTCTCATTCCACTCAGGATCGTTCGGCAGCAACGCACTGGTCAGGACCAAGATTGACCAGGTCGATCGAAAAACAGTACGTTTCAAACGAGGGTCATGGCTCTGCTGGGCGTTATTGACTCTCTGACCAGGGAATGCGATACCAAGAGCAAGAGGCCCGAGTGCAGCAGGCAATTTGGTGTACCCAGTTAGACAAGGTTACAATCCTTAGCATGAGGCAGTGGAAGGCTAATGAAGTACGCGCGTAGAGCGACCAAAAGCCTGTTGGAACGACCAGTTTGAACAAGGTCATGCATGGAGTAGACCGCAGATTTCAAATCAACAGATCCACATACCGCGAGAAACTAGGTGAAACAACATTAAATTCCACGTATATCATATCATATAAAAGAAACACCGGGCAATAATACGCCCACTCCAGTAGACGCCTACGTCTTGCGTGCAGACCCTATAATACACCTCCATGCCGTCTGATACTCTCTACACTCGTCATAGACCGTCCGCATAAGTGCAGCAAGCAACGGGGTTACATCTGGGTTGTCGGCCTGGTGCGAGCTCCCTGGATCAGATCTAAGGCGCTGCCCATCCTGCGTAAAAACGGTGGAAAGGATATCAAGCGGAAACATGAGGTTAGTGTTCTTCTCTATCGTGAACCCTTCGCTGACAAGCAGTTGAAGGAACTGGGCGCCCGTGACGAAGTAGTCTCTCGTGCTTCCCCTGGAACTTTCCAAAGAGCAGATGGTGGAGGATCCTTGGCTTGTCGAGTTTGAGCTGGACTGCGGGCTGTTCAGCTGTCCCTCCATGCAGATGCCAGTGCACGATGAGTGCTCGTCCTCGTATAGAAAGACCTCCAGTTCCTTTGCCACCGGGCCCACGTTGACCAGGCGACGGTCAAAGACTATATATTCCAGACTACCCCCCTTGGCGAGGACGCGGTGGATTTCGCGAACGCAGGCCTTGAGGGTGGGTACAGGACTCTGCTGGCGATTGAGTGGAAGACGATGAAAATGCGATGAGTATTTGTACAAGGTCCTTGCGGAGACCACGTCGAAGCTATTAGCTGCAAAGGGCAATGATGAAGGCGAGACACGCGACTCGAGTTGAGTTTGGGTAAACTGGCTGACGGCAGCTCCTGGAAGACTAGCTATTGTTTGGGAATAGGCACCTGGGTCATTAGAGGCTGCCAGGGAACAACAAGGGAGGGTTGTGGACGACTTACTGTCTGCGTTGCCACCGAGGTCAAGCACCCTACAACGATGGCTTGTTCGGTGACTGCCAGAGAGTAGTGGATGGGCAACGTTGAGAAGGAGAGGGTTCAGCTCGAACCCGCGCGAAAAAGGGTTCGTCAGGAGCTGAGCACAGGATTGGAATATTCGGCTTGCCGGGTCGAAGTCGTGTGTGAGGGGAGACGAGATGCTGGGATCGGATGTGGGGGAATGAATCGTATTATGACGATCGTCACTTGTGCACCGAGAAAGAAGGCTATTATTGTCATTTCCGCCGCCGTCTGGTGCTCGCTCGGCGACTGGCCCCTCATTCGATTTTGTCCGCCGAAGCTTGGCTGGGACGAAGATGCGTGCGAAACGACGTCTGGTCACTCGTGGTGGACCCAAAGATTGCAGGCTGGACCGGTCCGAGGTGGAGGACGAGCTCTGGGGTCGAGAATCAGATTGCTGCTGCTCCTGCTGGTGGTGGTGCTGGCTCTGGTATAGCCGTCGCATGTAAGCATAATTTTTGACGCTCATAGCCGGATGGCTCTCTGGGAAGAACGGAAAGGCCATTGCGCTCAACCTTGCCCCGATCGAAAAGGACCCTCCCTGGCCGTTGATTTCGGTTTCTGTTATTATAGCAGCGCCCCAGTTGGGCCCAGCGCAGCCAAGGCAGCCAGTCCGGACCTTCTACGGGGCAACTGCAACTCTAAGCAGACTTTGAATGAGACTAACTCCAGATCAAGCATGCTCAGCGTCATCATCCCATTCGCCACCCCACAGATCGCGCTCAGACGGGTCCCCCACAGTTTGGCAATAGGGTTCGGTAGTTTAGCTCGCACCGCTTTTCCTCATCCGGACTCGACCAAGTTTCCCACCCCTCGAACGAACTGGAAAAGGAGTGGCTATAAAATTATTCGATATCATCTCATGCTCAGGGTTAGCTAGATCGGATTGCCGCCTGGCAAGAAAATGTCTGATCAATACAGCAAGACAGGGCCAGCCCCTGCACTCGCGACCATCGTGTCGCAAACCCCCAGCACTGATGCCGCCTCGTCCGCACACTATGACCTTCGGCCATTTCGTACCGAGGGCGATGTATTTCATCCCTTGTCAACGACAGTCCCTGGCATCGGGGCTCTGGCCGAGAGCGCCCGAGCGGCAACGCGCGCTGAGCAGAAAATGAGCCTTGGCCAAGGGTTTCGCCTGTATCCCAAAGCGGTTCTGTGGTCAATCCTCATATCCTCGACTATCATCATGGACGGATATGACATGAGTCTCCTGACTAGTTTCTTTACCTTCCCCGTCTTCCAAAAATCCTATGGGGAGCCGGTCCCAGTGCCCGAGTCACAGCAGGGGGAGGGCCAGGATCCCTCCTATCAGATCTCACCAGTCTGGCAGGCCGCCCTAATCAATGGGACCCAGGTTGGAGTGATCATGGGCCTGATTGGGAATGGATTTGTGACCGATAGCTTTGGCTACCGCCGCACCCTTCTCGCGGCGCTTGGCGCACTCGGCGCCGTCGTCTTTCTCGCAGTATTCGCGCCCAACATCGAAACGTTGTTGGCAGCGCAAATACTCTGTGGTATGTCAAAGATCGCCGATCCACCTGTGTCTATATATGTCTTACACTCTTCAAAGGGATTCCGTGGGGGGTTTTCCAGACCCTGTCCGTCTCGTACGCAGCCGAGGTGATGCCGGTCGTGCTCCGGGGCCACTTTCTGAGCTATATCAACCTGTGCTGGGTCCTGGGACAGACCTGCGGCGTTGTTGTGATTCGTGCGCTAGTCGATACGGAGTCCGTGTGGGCGTATCGCATCCCTTTTGCATTGCAATGGGTGTTTATCATTGTCCTCGTAACGGGGGTCCTCTTTGCCCCAGAGAGCCCATGTACGTGCCCCTAACACCCCGTACCCCGAGGATATACTGACGCTCGGTGCTTTAGGGTGGCTAATCCGCCAGGATAAGCCAGAGGAGGCCCGAAAGTCTCTCCTGCGTCTCACCAGACCGCGCACAGGCACAGTGTGCGTGGACGAGACCATCGCGATGATGATCCACACCAACAAGATCGAGAAGACCCTGACTGGCGACGGCAACATCTCCTACCTTAACTGCTTCCGCGGCGTGGACCTGCGGCGGACCGAGATCACGACCATGGTCTCGGTGACGCAGCAGCTGTGCGGCTCGACCTTGACCTTTTACGCCGCGTACTTTTACGAGCAGGCCGGGTTTCACGTCCGCGATGCGTTCAACCTCGCCGTCGGAATGTACGGTCTGGCCATCGCGGCGAATGTCATCTCCTGGTTCCTGCTGCCATTTGTGGGCCGCCGCCGGCTTTACCTCGCCGGTGCTGCCCTCTCGCTGATTATCCTCATTGTCGGCGGCTGCGTTAGCCTGATGCCGCAGACCCCGGCGCAGTCCTGGGCGCTGGGCTCGTTGATTGTCATTCTGACCTTTGTCTACCAAATGACGCTGGGCCCGATATGCTACACACTAGTCGCGGAGATCCCCTCCACTCGACTACGCGTCAAAACAGTGGTCGTCGGCCGCGTGGCATACAACATCACGAGCATCGTCACCAACACAATCACGCCGCGGATGCTGAACCCGACTGCCTGGAACTGGAAGGGCAAGTCATGTTTCCTATTTGTGGGGACGACCGTCCTGTGTCTTGTATGGTGCTACTTTCGTCTACCCGAGACCTTTGGGCTCAGTTTCCTGGAAATCGATATTCTGTTTCAGAAGCGCGCCACGGCAGCCAAGTTTCGCGTGTTTCAACGGAACTTGGAGCTCTCGGGATATAATGATCTCCCGGGCTGTAATGACCGGGGGATAGATGTTTGGGAGAGATATTGATGTATCCGAAGTTATGTTATTGCTCTGGAGATTAGTCAATAAGATGACCGAAGTAAGACCGACTCCCAGTTGTAGGACAGTGTATCCCACGGAACACAAGGATCAGTAGTAGGTAGCCAGCTCCATGAGGTCTGTCCGGTAAATAGGAGTATCCTTGCAAGATTCTGGTTTTTTGACAGGCGGCTCAAGCTAAGAGAGCCAAAGACACGGGGAGTATCTCAACTCTGCGTGCAGTATATATATCAAGCCATGTAATATCATATTTGCTATAGTACACCTCTTTTTGCAGCGCGAATGAATCGTCAATTACAATGCCACATCATTACTAGGCCACTCTTGGACACAATCTCTATTACAAGCAGGTGGACGCTGAGCTGGAAGGGTACGTTTCGTTGAGCTTGGATGTTTAGTACCTAGTACTCATCCTTGTCTGGACCACCTCATCCCGGGTACCATGCTCCCTGCGCCACATCGCAAGCCTCGGAAATGAGCACTAACAGTACCTTTGGCGCCGGCATAGCGGGTTCGCCGCGCTGCGAAAACACATCTTGTACGCACCCTTCTTCCCTCATGGAACCACCACAGAGGAGCAGCCACCATAGTCGGTAGGTCGCCCAGTATAATCCACGTTTTCCTTTTGCGGGGAATCCTCGCCACGAATGTCACTCTGTGTACAGTTCACGTGCTCTACGGCGGTGACGCAACGGCAAAAGTCGTCCGAAACCGCACGGGGACAGTGCCGACCATCCTCTACCGGAACTGCGGCCGAGCGCTCACAAGCGCCGTCATTGACACTCGCCCAGACGACATTCTCCGCATTGCACTGTACATGCCTCCCGATGGGCGGTCAAATCAGGTCAGCATATTTACCTGTATATCTCCGCCATCGCAATTCTCAATGTACTAGGCCGACGCGGAGCCCGAGATGGAGGCGGAGAAAGCGAACGAGAAAATAAATGCCCAAGCCTAAGCGCAAGCCCAAGCGCAAGCAACGAGAACCCGAACCAGAGCCCACCCTCGACAATCTACTTACCCCCTTGTCCGCCCTCGCTCGCGATTCACGCATACCCTCCCGCGACACGCCACTCGGAGCACAAACGGCATCCTGACCGCGTATACCCTTGTCGAGGACCCCTACAACCGCAATATTAATTGATATTAATTGCCTCGACTTGTTTGGAAGTGTCCTTATGGTTGCCGGTGGGGTAGGCATTACCCACCATCTACTTTTCGTCTCGCGGGTCGTCCGCGGGCGCGAGAGGAGGATGGTTCCTGCGTGGCGTGTTACGCTCGTCTGGGCCGTTCGCGAGACGGGGATATTTGGGGTGGGTTGAGGGGTCGTTGGGCTCGAGTATCGGCTTAGCCGGCAAGGAGGAGGAGAAGGAGCAGGAGAATGCCCGGGTCCTTGACTGGGGCCCCAGAACGGGATTGGGACCGGGGCACCGGATATTAGTCTTCGTGACGGGATCTTTTCGTGAGTTGGGTGGGACTGTGGCTCCTCGGCCGCGCCCGAGAACGGTGCAGGTGCAGGTGCAGGCTGGCCGGCCGGCCGGACTTTGATGCCCTGCTCGCGGCAGAGGTCAGTGACCAGGTTGGCGCTAAGGGGGTGCCTTGCTGTGGAGGTGCGGGGTTCAGTGAGGATGTGTGGGCAGGACGAGACGGAGAATATTTTCTTGGGGGAGAGTTTTAGCGGGTGATAATGCAGGGTGGTAGTAGAGGAGGGGGATGAAATGGGCCAGACGGTGTCTGTGCGTCGGGTTCAGTCAAAGTTGCCCATTGGCTGTGTTTGGCTACTCAGGTAGAAGTGACTGGCTGGGCAAAAGTTGACTCCGTATTGGAAGATTCCAGACAATCTACACAGCAGGCGTAGATTCCAGGTTTGTCCCAGAAGTACGGGGTGATTGATCAGTCTGGTAGCGATGGCGATGAACCCGAGCACCGTATTTCGCCGCAAAGGGCCCGATGAGGATCAACATGCTAGTAACGTCGGTTAGTCTGTCCGAATGTTGGGGGGCCCGGATCTTGCTGCTGCGCGTCGTGGGGCGGAAAGCTGTAGACCCCTGACGCTTGCATCCTCTGAAGCAAAGCTGGTGAGATCAGCGGGCAGGACAACTCGTCAATGGAGTGCAGAGCGGCATTTGTGGAAAGCTTCACACGGAGCTGATTCCCAGTCAATCCTGGGCTTCATTTCAGTGATTGAGGCTTGGTCGGGAGCAAACTTTTGGATCTGGGGTCCCCAGCTTTGCCTCGCCCGCTGCCCGTGGACGGTCACGCTGCAGGGGTCTCGGCGGTCGCCGGTGCTGTTTCGTTGAGGGAATAGACGATGATTGGAGCACCTTGGGATCGGCAAAGTCTATTACTCCAGCTCGGACCCAACCCCCCTCGTCTGGTTAGGCTGGGACAAGGTGGGCGAATCACTGACATTGCGCAGGACCCGCAAAAGGTCCGCAGAAGACCCGACACACTGTCACCAATCCAGCCAATCAGCAACGCCACATGCGGGGGTCTCATTTCCGCATTCTGAACAAACCAGGCTGATGGCCTCCCCATGCCAAGCATGCCATATCCTCGGGCGACGTGAATGGCCTCGCCTAAGACATCGCTCACTCTGTCCGTCCAGTCGTCTGATCCTGCCGCATGGAAAATGAGCAGGGCATCTCACTCACTCACCGAAGAAGGCCCGTTTTTGCCTCATACTTTCACTTGCAACCATCGTCTCTCCGTTTTCGAGATAGCTCCGGGGCAAATCAAGGACAAAGACTGAAGACCTCATTGTCGGATTCTTATATATAACTCTGGATACCAGGGGAATTGTGTCCTCTGCTCATCTCGTCTCTGATTGTTTTCTCGTTCCACTCTCTGGCCCGTTACCAGTCGGTTTCTATTGATCTTCGAACGCACCCGCGCCTTTCCACAAGATGGAAATCAAGACCAGCGCCCAGCATGTCGAGCGCGATGTCAAGATGCCCCCCGACATGGACCGGGTCATCCAAGATGCCCGCCTCGCCACCGAAAAGGAGCACAAGATGAGCCTGTTGCAGGGCCTGAAGCTCTACCCCAAAGCCGTCGGGTGGTCGATTCTCATCTCGGCTGCGATCATCATGGAGGGATACGACGTCGTGCTGATGGGCTCCTTTTACGGCTATCCGGCGTTCAACAGAAAATACGGCAAACTTCTGTCGGACGGCAACTACGGCTTGACCGCTGCCTGGCAGGCAGGTCTCTCCAACGCGATGAACTGTGGACAGATCCTCGGACTCTTCCTGAATGGAATCATCTCGGAGAAGTTTGGGTATCGCCGGACGATGATGGGATCGCTCATTGCTACGACTGCATTTATCTTTATTCTCTTTTTTGCACCGAACGTGCAGACTCTCCTTGTTGGAGAGATCCTCATGGGAATCCCGCTTGGAGTTTATCAAACACTGAGCGTCACGTATGCTTCTGAAGTTTGCCCAGTTGCTCTGCGTGCGTATTTGACGACTTATGTGAACCTTTGTTGGGTTATTGGCCAACTCATTGCTTCCGGAATCCTAAAGGGACTCTCTGAGCGGACTGATGAATGGGCATACCGCATCCCATTCGCACTGCAATGGGTCTGGCCAGTACCGATCTTTATTGGAGTTGTCCTTGCACCAGAAAGCCCTTGGTGGCTTGTTCGCAAGGGTCGCACCGAGGACGCCGTCAACGCCCTGCTCCGTCTGACCTCGCGTGGAGACGCGGATTTCGATGCACACGAGACAGTCGCCATGATGGTCCACACCAACGAGATGGAAAAGGAAATCACAACCGGCACCTCCTACTGGGATTGCTTCCGCGGTCATGATCTCCGCCGCACGGAGGTCTCCTGCCTGATTTGGGCGGCCCAGAATCTCTGTGGTTCCGGTCTCATGGCCTATTCCACCGTCTTCTATCAACGCGCAGGTCTCGCCGTTTCGCAGTCCTTCAACATGTCCCTCGCCCAATACGCCATTGGTTTCGTGGGAACCGTTCTATCCTGGGTCCTTATGAGTTACTTTGGCCGGCGAACCCTGTACGTGTACGGCCTCGCTCTCCTGTGCAGCCTGCTCCTTATTGTCGGCTTCATATCCATCGCCCACGAAAGCTCCGCGACCTCGTGGGCCACTGGATCCATGCTACTCGTCTACACCTTCTTCTACGACATCTCCGTCGGACCTGTCTGCTACTCGCTGGTATCCGAGATTCCGACCACGCGCCTCCGCATCAAGACCGTTGTGCTCGCCCGCAACCTCTACAACTGCTTCAGTATCGTGAATGGCGTCATTATCCCGTACATGCTGAACGTCGACGCGTGGAACTGGCGCGGCAAGGCTGGCTTCTTCTGGGGTGGCCTTGCCCTGCTCTGCTGCGTCTGGGCGTACTTCCGTGTCCCTGAACCCCGTGGACGTACCTACGCGGAGATGGATGCGCTCTTCGAGCAAAAGGTGTCTGCGCGCAAGTTTGCTTCGACCAAGGTGAATATTTTCCACGAGGACTCGGCTGAGCGGGTGGAGGAGAAGTCTTCCTAGTCGTGCGACTGAGACGAATCGGCGCGCGAGAAGGCGGGAGTGGGAGTGGGATGCAGGTCGTCGGGGTTCCTTGTGGCGGGATCGGATGCATTTGTTAGGCCGGGGGAGTGCAGGGAGGCGCTGTATCGGCGGAGGAGCCAGAGGCCAGAGGGACACAGTGTAAACAGCCAGGATAGCTCTGTATCTAATTGTTAAGGTCAATGCACTCCATACTTGGCGGGACTATTTGCATGATGCTGCAGCATACTCCATGTATCAATAGAGTAAAAATCGGGACTTTTGTTCATCATGTGCAGTGTAACGAAGAGCATAACCAATGAAGCTGCCCGCCAGTGGTCATTCCTTCCCCGCGCGAAAAGCTCATGGAGCAGCCTGGAATCGACTCTGAGTGGCATCTCCACTAAACCGCCGCAGAAGCTCCGAGCATCGACGCCACGTCGCAGGTTTCAACGGCGTCAGCCCGCCCCACCCTTTCATCATGCATCCAGTCGTCAAGTCGCAGGGGCATTGGACCAGGTCAGCGCGTGCTTTCCAATTATGGAACGGACTTGAGACTCCGACATTTGTCCTACACGTCCTCCAGCGGCCGACGATAGTCGGGGAATTTATCGGTAAAACTACGGGTCAAATGGCCATCTACAAAACAGAGAGGAGAGAACAGTTGTCATTGGGAGACTGGGAGATATAAACCGCACCAGAAGCCTGTCTCAAATCGTATCCTCCACTTCCCTCTCAGCCCACTGGCAACCCATCACCTCGCAGATCGCAGATCACGTACCATTCACAATGCCTTCCCTGGAAACCAACACAGTCACCGAATCGCAGCCTCAACTCGACCTCAAGAGGTGGTGGAAGGAGAGCTCCGTCTACCAGGTTTACCCCGCGTCGTTTTGCGACTCTAACGGCGATGGCATTGGCGATATCCAAGGGATCATTTCAAAACTAGACCACATCAAGCGCCTAGGATCGGACATTGTCTGGCTCAACCCGGTTTTCTCCTCGCCGCAGGTTGACATGGGCTATGACATTTCAGACTACTACGGGATCCATCCACAGTATGGGACGGTTACGGACGTCGACGAGCTCGCTGCGGCTGTTCATGCCCGGGGGATGAAGCTTGTCTTGGATCTCGTTGTTAACCATACCTCTGACCAGGTTCGTTCTGTCCGTCGCGTAACTAAAAATAGCCGACCGTTGATGAGAATGTATCTAGCACCCCTGGTTTCAAGAATCGCGATCGTCCGTGAGCAACGCCTACCGGGACTGGTACATATGGAAAAAGCCCGTCTTCCGAGACGGCCAGCGACACCCGCCCAATAACTGGAAATCCTATTTTGGAGGTGTGTCGCCCACAACCTGGGATTCTTCCACAGTCCAAATGCTAATTCGCGCGGGTAGGCAGTGCCTGGACATACGATGAGCCCACGGGCGAATACTACCTGCACCTGTTCGCCAGCGAGCAGCCAGACATGAATTGGGAGAACCCGCAGGTCCCGGCCGCAGTGCACGAGATTATGCGATACTGGCTGGACCGCGGCGCAGATGGGTTTCGTATGGATGTGATTAACTTTATCAGCAAGGACCAGGACTTCCCGGATGCCCCAATCGCAGACCCCGACTCGCCATGGCAGTCGGGCAAACGTTACTATGCGTGCGGTCCACGGCTGCACGAGCATCTACAGGAGATTGGCAAGATCCTGCAAGAATATAATGCGTTTTCTGTAGGCGAGATGCTGGACGTCGAGGACCCCGCGGAGATTCTCAAGGCCGTGGGCCATGACAGGCAGGAGATCAATATGGCCTTTCATTTTGAGATGTAAGCCCCCTTTCGGTCGTCCATATTCCAAAATTATCCACGTAGAGTGATGGCTGACGTCGCCGCTAGCGTCAACATGGATCACGGCGCCACAGACAAGTTTGGAAACCGGAAATGGGAGCTGCAGCAGCTCAAGTCGATTGTCTGCAAATGGCAGAATTTCATGCACGACAATCACGGCTGGAACGCGATCTATCTTGAGAATCACGACCAGGGCCGCTCCGTGTCGCGATTCGCCTCGGACCATCCGGAGTATCGCGAAGTGTCGGCAAAGCTGTTGGCAACGCTGCTGGGGTGCCAGAGTGGCACCCTCTTTGTGTATCAGGGGCAGGAGCTGGGGATGCCGAATGTCCCGCAGGATTGGCCGCTCGATAATTACCGCGACATTGAGACGCTGAACCACTGGAAGGAGTAGGTCGCCCCAATTGATTATTGACAAGGGTGGAGTGAGGCGTGATGGCTGACAGAGACTACCCCCCCTAGATTGACCGCTCGCCACCCAGACAACCCCCACCTGCACGAGGCAGCGCTGGCCGAGTATCGCCTCAAGTCGCGCGATAATTCACGTACCCCCATGCAGTGGGACGACTCCCCCAACGCGGGCTTCTCCGTGGGCACCCCCTGGATCCCGGTGCAGAGCAACTACACAACGCTCAACGCCGCGGCGCAGGCCCGCGACCCGGGGAGCGTGTACTGGTATTGGTCGAAGATGCTCGCGCTACGCAAGGAGTACCTGGACACGCTGGTGTATGGCTCCTTTGCACTTGTGGACCCTGATAATCGCGAGGTGTTCGCGTTTGTGCGGAGCCCTCCAGCCGGCTCTTCTTGCCGACGCCGGGCGCTGATCGTCCTTAATTTTCGCCCAGATGAGGTCAGCTGGACAGTGCCTCCAAAGGCTATTTCCAGTCCGGGGCGAGTGGTGCTGTCCAACTACCCTGAGCGGGCTGGCACCGCGCTGGAACCGCTGGGGTCGGTTGTGCTGCGGCCGATGGAGGCAATTGTGTATTTGGTCGAGACCGAGAGTTAGAGACTGGCATGTGTCAGTCGACCGGCTGGTCAGGCCGAGAATCTGGCCGAGATGGAGAACAAAAATAAGACCCGCAGTGTGTCCGACGTAGGCCCGATTGGATCGATCCAGACGTAGACTTTCTTGGCGAAGGTGCCTCTCTCACAGGCGCACGACTCCAAACTTCATCTCCCCACATCTCCCCCAGACCGGGTGCTCGCCTTCCTTCTGTCGCACGGCTCACTCTACGCTTGACGCACCGACCATTCCCCCAACGTCTGCTCTGCATGTATACAAGATGGACAGTTCAGAATCACCTGTCCCCATCCCCACTCCCAAGCAAAAACGACCGTCGTCCATGGCCTGCGACAACTGTCGCCGACGCAAGGTCCGCTGCACCAGGGAACGACCATGTCAAAAGTGCCAGGACGTCTCCCTCGTATGCTCGTACACCAGCATCCCGCGCAGAAAAGGCCCCAAAGGCCACAATGCCCATGTACTGAACTCGTTACGAATCCTCAATGTCCTTCCAGCTGGTACAACCAGCTCGACGGGCAGCTATGCGCAGCAGCCACAAGCCTTCACGAGCATGCCGACTCTAGCGTCCAGCTATGATATGGAGAGCACAACATCGTCCTCTCCGACGCCCTCATTAACCGTTTCCCACACCTCAGGTTCATCGGCAGATCATCAGACTCAGCTTGGTCTGTCCCCCTCCTCGCCCACTACCACCACTCGGCGCATCTCCTCTACGGTCCTCGGCGCGCACGTCGGCCTATTCTTGCATCATCTCTATCCCATTATGCCGGTGGTCGACGCCCAAGCCATGGCCGACTGTGCCGACCCCGATGCCCTGCATCCAAGACGATACGCCCATCTAGTTGCATTGTCAGCAGCAACTCACCTGCAGCTCAACCTCGATATCGGGGAGCCCAAGCCATCAGATGACAATCTGATATCCGGACACGACCTGATCCTCGAGGCGCTCCGTGCACTCTGCGAATATGACCCGTTGGAAGAACCACATATGGACACCGTCCTCACTATGTTCTTCCTCTTCTGCGCTTACGGCAACTTGAATAAACCCAGCTACGCCTGGCATTACCTGAGCCAGACGATTTCATATTTGCAGATACTAAACTTGGACAAAGAGGCAATATACGCTGGGTTGTCACTGGCAGATGCAGAGGCCCGTCGGCGGGTATTCTGGCTAGTATTCATCACAGAACGGTGAGTTGCCCCTTTTTATGCCACCTACAGCAAATTCACTGATCCTCTGAAACAGTGCATACGCCCTGCAGACCGGGCGGCCGGTCATGCTACGACCTAGCATCCGCAAGCCCTCCGTACTAAACTCCGAAACCCCAGTGCTCCTGTACGGCTTCGTGAGCCTCATTTCCCTGTTCGAGCAGATGGTCCCGGACTTTTACAGCTGGAACAACATGGAATCCCTGAATGGGCTGCAAGAGTCTTCTGCTCTCAATGCCATGTACCAGTCCATCTCCAACCCTCCCGCGCTTCTGGCTGAGGTCTCGGAAACGCACCAGGTGGACTATATCATCAGCCAGCAGTGGCTGCTGGTCTGCCTCTGGAACTACCACATGAAGCTATATCCGTATCGAGGCCGAGACTCAAGCACTCTCTTACCAATCCATATCCCTCTGATGGCTGGGAGATGCGCGCTGGCGTGCCTCTCCTCTGTCTCCATGCCGTCCGTTGATGCTCACGGCATCGGAATGGTACGCTGTCATCCTCTACAAACTCATGTAGTGAAACCCAAACAGGCATCCGAGCTAATTCCATCTCCCTGCACAGGAACAAAAGCTCTACGACATCGGCGAGAGCATCACGCAACTCGCACCAACCCTCCTCACCAAACGACCCACCAAGACTCTCTCCACCTCCGAGACGAAAGACCTGCTGAAAAGCATCCTCGATGTCCTATCGCGCACCCGCGGCAGCCAGTCGTATCTCTTCTCGACGCTGCTAGAAAAGTCGCAGGACATTCTGCAGGCGAATCACCTGCCGCCGCCGCCGCCACCACAGCTCTTTGGCTCGTCGAAAAAGGTCCAGCCACACTCGCAGCCGCAGCCACAGCCACAGTCACAGGCGGACGGCGGGTTCATGTCGCTTGAAATGGTGGCGGATCCGCCAGAGGAAGGGGGTCCCTCGGAGCCGGATGCCCTGGTGGTGGAGACGGCAGAGGGCGTGAGCTCCTCTCACGGGTTTAAGCCGTTGTCCGAGCAGGGCCATGGTAGTGACTTGTACTTGCAGTATTGAATACTATTATTGTGCTACTATCAATGTTCTCTACCTTGATTACTCTACCAGGCGCATTTAATCGATGAATGCATGTACACTCTATGGTGGGTAGATTTACATGTAGATATAGGTCCCGTCGACGATGGGAAACAGGAAAAGTGACAGTAGCTCTCTACATCGAAGTGGTAGCCTATAGATGATTCACCTGTAAGCTCTCACGCCATTCATCGGCATCTATGCGGAACGGCATACCCGTGCAGGCTACCCCACGTTGTGGCTTTCGGTAGAGATCGTCGTGGCTGGGGGGCTGCGTCGACGGGCGTATTTCGAACGGGCCCGCTTCCCCACTTGCCAGGGGCCACTGCGAGTATACAGACCGGAAATGAAGCGTTGCTGATCCTGATCTCATGGATCAAGGAAATATCCACGATGACGCCTGGCACTGGAGGGGATCGTTTCACATTGTTCTTGTGAGTTGGAGACGTGGTGATCATTGACGTTGGCCGAGGGGTGTGAATTGCGAACCGGCTGGTGTCGCGGTAAGGATGAAGACATGTATATAAAGAGCAAGGCTGCTCGCAGTTATTCGAATTAAGTCAGTGTCAACAAGCAGACTGTTCCAGAAATTGCGTTTTGACATTTCACTATGAAGTTCCACCCCACTTATTATCTCCTCATGGGCGTTTCTGCCCCCGGCCTTGCCAGCGCGCTTGTCCTCCCCCGGCAGGCCAACTCCAGCGCCACCACCCACTGCGGCGCGGACTTGTGCACCTGGTGGCACGAGACCGGTGAAGTGAACACGAGCACGGCTGTGGCGCCCGAAAACGTGCGGCAGTCACGCCAGTACCTCGTGCAGGTCGCCCTGGCCGGATCCGACGAGTTCTTCGACTCGTTCGTCTACGAGGCTATACCGCGCAATGGGAACGGCAAGGTCATGAGTCCCAGCGACAGCGATGGCAGCTTCTCGGGCGATGACGGCATTTCTATTGAGCTCGACGAGGGCATCAACATGGCCTGGACGCAGTTTGAACACAGCCAGGACGTTGATGTGAGGATTCTGCGCCGCGACGGGAAGCCAGTTGGCGATGAGGTCACCATTCGCCCCACGGCAGATACCTTCGACACGCAGCACGTGGCTGGTGCCCTGGTAATCCGCGTTCCTGCTGACCGTCAGGGACACCGGTTCTCTATGGAGTTTGCAGACGACCTGTTCACGTACCGCTCTGACGGGCAGAACTACAAGACTGATGGCTCTGGCGAGGTCGTTGGTATCGAACCGCGTAATGCCCTGGTTATCTTTGCCAGCGCGTTCTTGCCGGATGAGATGGTTCCCTCGCTTGATGGACCGGACACCAAGGTCATGACGCCTGGTGCGTTCTCCGTTGCGGATATTGGAGCCGCGCCCATTGTGTACTTCCCGCCGGGCGTGTACTGGATTGACTCTGAGCCGCTTGGTCTCGCGCATATCAAACTGGATCCGGCAACGTACTGGGTCCACCTGGCACCAGGGGCCTTTGTCAAGGGGGCAGTCGAGTACACGACCAGCAACAAGGACTTTTACGCAACTGGGCACGGTGTTCTCTCCGGCGAAATCTACGTTTATCAAGCGAATGTCGAGGCAGGGTATAAAGCGGAGAAGAGCGATATCACCAGCCTGCGCCTGTGGTGGCACCGGAGTGTGCAAGGAGGCCAGGTCTGGCACTGCGCAGGCCCAACAATCAGCTCCCCACCATTCAACACGATGGATTTGAAAGACGGCAGCACGGACCGCGACGACATCTCAGTCAACATCTTCGACTACAAGCAGGTGGGCGCCTTCTTCATGCAAACGGATGGCCCGCAGATGTACAACAACGGAGTCGTGCATGACGTCTTCTACCACTGCAACGACGACGGGATCAAGACGTACCATTCCGGTATCACCGCCACCCGCCTAACAATCTGGAAGGTCCACAACAATGCAATTATCCAGATGGGATGGCAGCCACGCGACGTCCACGATGTCTCCATTGACTCCCTGTACATCATCCACACACGCTTCCGCAGGAGCGAGACGTACGTCCCCTCGGCCATCATCGGCGCCTCACCAATCTACAATGGGGAACCCCGTCTCGACCCGTCAATGAGCCTCAGAGGCTTTAGCATCTCCAACATCATCTGCGAAGGACCGTGCCCGGGGCTGTTCCGCCTGACCCCATTGCAGAATTACGCGGACTTTAAGGTCTCCGGGGTGCAGTATGTGGATGGCCTAATTGGGGGCAGCGTTCCAATTGGTGATTCCATCATTGCGACGACGCCGGATACAACGTACCCTGGTGCTGAGGACCTGTCAATGGGATTGTCCGTCTCCGAGTGGACGGTCAAGGGTGAGAAGGTGACTATGGAGAATGCGGGGGCGTTGGGCCAGTGGAATATCAACGCGGCGTATGATGGACAGTGGTCGATTGCGTGATTTCCTCAACTGATGGAAACCGGAGTTGTAGCTGTAGCTAGATGATCGGTGTGTATCCATAGTGACCTTGTACGGAAGGACTAGACAGAATCCAATCACATATCTCTCATCAATCCACTAGATTCCTTGTCGATCGCTTGGTTAGCCGTAGCTGAATAATGGTACAAGTGTAAACTGTATGTATGTACCAAACCTCCACTAGTCTGCAAACGGGCACGGTGTACCTCTTAGGCCTCGTAGTGGAAGCTAAACCACGATACCTTGATTTTGTGCCATAGGGATAGAAGACTGCGGCTGCACTTCTCATTCGCCCCGTGATTCCCCGGACCGGGCGTGAAGAAGTGTGGAGACTAATGTCCGGGGTACGGGCGTACTTCGGGCTCTGGTGATGCGAATGCAGGGCCTGGGGAGAATACGAGCTACGTTTGCGGCCCAAATCGGGGTTCGCTGTTTCACCTGTCTCTGACCAAGAGATGTCACGCGTGTGCCGATCGATCCGGTGTACCCCGGGGTGGCTGCTACAGAACAAGGATCGGTGGCACTTCGCTACAGGTAACGGAGGTTTGCGATCCCCTTCATCTCCGTCCAGTTTCAAGAGCTCTTGGGACACGGCACCTGCGGAATGTGGCCTGGGATGCTGTACATAAAAGCCGCTCATGCCCGCCTGGACTTGTCTTGACACCAACCCAGAGCCTCACTTCGAGCATTGGAACCATTCTTTCTCTTGTCGTTTTTCTGCAAACATGAAGCTCGTCAACGTCGGTACCGCGTGTGCCCTTCTTTTCGCTGGCCCTGCGGTAGCCCATTACAAGTTCCCGGCCCTGATCCTCAACGGAGCAGCCACGCCGGACTTCAAATATGTCCGCTTCAACACGAACAACATTAACCCGTTGCTCGACCTGAACTCCATCGACCTGCGCTGCAACGAAGGCGGCCTTGCGTCCGGACCTCAGACAGAGACCGCTACTGTTCAGGCGGGTGACACGGTCAGTCCGACTTTGCCTATCTCCATGGCCGGATCCAGCCTTTGACTGACATATGTTATGGACCTCCAGGTCGGGTTCACCTTGAGCAACTCCATCGGCCACATCGGGCCCATGCTTGTCTACATGGCCAAGGCACCAGGCGACCCTTCCAACTTTGACGGCGCCGGCAACGTCTGGTTCAAAATCAACGAGTGGGGTGCTGACTTCTCCTCCGGGTCGATCAGCTGGCCTCAGCTTGGTGAGAACGATCCATCCATCCTCCTAATAACCTCGCGGTTTTGTTCACGTATCGCTAATTTGTACCATCCACCTACTCCAGGAATAACAAGCTACAGCTTCCAGCTCCCGCCCTCGCTGCCCAACGGCTCGTATCTGCTCCGAATCGAGCATATTGGCGTCCACAACGCCGCCAACGCCAACAGCGCCCAGTTCTTCGTCAACTGCGCGCAGATCCATGTCACTGGCGGTGGCTCGGGGACTCCAGGCCCGCTGGTTTCAATTCCCGGTCTGTATAACGCCGAGGACCCGGGCATTCATTTCAACAATTACTTTCCCCCTGTACGTTTTCGATGGCCCCTTCACCTTGCTTTGTCGTTTGAGACTGTAATGTGGGTGTGATGCTAATACGATTTGCTGTCCCCTCGCAGCCTAAGGATTACATCATTCCCGGACCTCCGGTTTGGTTTGAGTAGACTCCCAGTACTGTACCGGCGTGTGACGGCGGGGAGGAGGCAGGGACCGGGGAGAGCCCCTCGATCGGGTGTAAGTGGGAGGCTGGGTGAAAGTGGGCTAGCAAGGACAACGTTTTTCCACGGGATTATGCGGTCTAGAATGGATTGTCAAATCACAGTGTGAAGCCGTCCTGGCGAATTGTCTCCTTCGATTTTGGTATAAGTCCTGCGCCTGGTAGGCAACGTGCCACTTGCGTTAGTGTTGGTATATAAAACAGCTTGAAAGATGGTCTTATTCACCACGACATGTGTCCTCTGATCCCCGTGCATTGATAAGGCGTTTAGAACCAACAAATCAGGTGTGAAATTCGGTAGAGCTTTGCTTTTAGGGGGGGCATAGCCAGCAGCGATTGATGGAATAAAGGGGACGTCAGTGTTCAAGAGTGGAGGATACCGGAGAAGCAGACTTGCGAGTCAGGAGCAATAAAATTTTTAGGTGGTACCACTTCATTGGATCACAACCGCTATCTGTCCAAGGAAACAGTGTAATGTTCACTGAGGTTAGATGTAAGTGTCATCAATATTCTGATCTACCTGGAAGTCGTCCGGAGATCCCACTTCGGGTCATAATGCGGTGTCACAATATACCGACGTGGTCGGAGGCATCGTTGGCTTATTTCAGGTATTTAGATTCCGCATCTGAGGGCCCCATTGATTGATGGTAACGGCTGCGTCTGCTGTGTTGCTAATCCCGTTGATCACGTAAGAAGACCATCCGACGATGTTGTGATTTGGAGTCCTTATTGGCAATCTTTACTAGTTTCCCAAGCAGGAACTAACTGGGTTCATATGGTCGGTCCATTGGCCATAGCTTGTCGAAGCAAGAATAGGGATACCAGTTCCAATGAGGAAGTCGTGGTGTCTGTATTGTATCCCAACAGTCCCCAGCTAAACACCTCGCAGCCGATTTGTAGCCGCATCGTCATAGCTTACATTCCTTTGCTGGCTGAGATACCTCCAACGGCGGCTAATACTTTCATAGTGGAGCCTACTAGCAGAGGTCGACCAACCATGCATACGATACACCATGAAGCCATATTCACAATGCAGGGATATGATGGCGAAAGCCGCAGCTTGTTATTTTAGTGAATGCTTGCGCCATCAGGTAAGCCAGCCATATATCTTTCCGCCTAAGCCAACTCTCCTTGCAACCCTCAAGAGTCGCAACAAAACCTTAAAACTGGACGTTGATCATGGAGAAGAATATTGCGGCCCCCCTCGCGCAGCCGGCGAGCACGTCTCTAGATACGCAAGTCGTCGAAGTTCTACAGGCCGAGGCCACCGCGGAAGAGGAGAAGATAATTCTTCGAAAGATCGATTGGCAGTACGTTGTAATGACTGTTTAACTTGCTTCGTGATTCCAACTAACTGAATCGCAGCATAATCCCGGTAATGGCTCTTTGCTACATGCTTCAATATATGGACAAGGTCACCTTAGGGTATGCCACGCAGTTGAACCTGCGCCAAGATCTGGTAAGTGAAACCCTCATCTGGATGTAGGATGTCTGCTAATTCGACTGACTAGAATCTGCAAGGTAGCGAATACAGCTGGTGCTCCTCCGTATTCTACTTCGGATACCTCTTCTGGAGCTGGCCAAGCAGTTACATTTCCGTTCGGTTCCCACTGGGCAAATATCTCGGCGCATCGGTTGCCATTTGGGGCGTTGTCCTCACGACGCATGCTGCATGCACCAATTTCGGAGGCCTGTTAACAGCTCGGTTCTTCCTTGGGGTTACCGAGGCTGCCGTGGCTCCTGGATTCTCTCTTATCACGGGGATGTTTTACAAGACTTCTGAGCAGCCATCAAGGTATGTATCTGAACGACTACTAAGCAAGCCAGCTAATCCTTGCCTAGGATGGCGCTATGGTTTCTTGGGAATGCGGTCGCAAACGTTGTATCTGGCCTCATTGCGTACGGGATCGGGACAATCGACTCTCACATTGCATCTTGGAAGCTGCTCTTCATCATCCTTGGTTGTGTCACTGTGGGCTATGGGATCTTCCTGGCATTTGTGCTACCAGACTCGCCCTCAAAAGCATGGTTTCTGAACGACCATGAACGGAAGATTGCGCTTCACCGGACGCTCGAGAATCGAACGGGCGTCATGGACGAAGGCAAATTCATCGTCTCGCAGATGATGGACGCCCTGACAGACCCGCAAGCATGGCTGCTCGTCGGATATAGTCTGACTCAAAATATTCCCAACGGCGGATTCAGTTCGGTACGAACCCCGATTCGGTGGCCGATTGGGACTGGCAAACCTCAAGCTAACACCGCGATTAGTTCAGCAGCATCATCATCAACGGCTTTGGCTTCAGCGAACTAAATTCGCTTCTCCTCTCAGCACCCAGTGGGCTCCTCCAGATCCTCGCAATCGGCTGCATCTGCGTGACGGCTGCATACGTGAAGAAAAGTCGTATCATTACCATGATCGTTGTGATTGTTTTCGCCCTCGTCGGCGTCATTTTGATGAACACACTACCCGATTCGAATCGCTGGGGACGATGGGTGGGCATCTTCCTGCTCGGCCCTTTTGCAACCAGTATCCCCATCTCGCTCAGTCTCATCACGTCCAATGTTGGAGGCTTGACAAAAAAGGCGACGGTCTCTGCCATGCTCTTCGTTGCGTACTGCACGGGAAACATCATCGGACCACAGCTATTTCTGGCCAAGGAAGCTCCTAAATATGAGGTGAGTGATCCTTCCGCTCTCTTGGCGACGAGCCTTTTGTTAACGAAACTGCCTTCGAGACTGGATTAAAAGGTGTCCTTGTGGGATTCGCGCTGGCCATCTTCTTCCTCATCTTACTGTATATTTACTACGAGTATGAAAACCGGCGACGAGACCGGAAGCACGGCCCGCCCAGTCGGGCGAATACGGACTATGTTGCTGAGGACTTCTTGAACCTCACTGACAGGCAGATCCCATCATTCAGGTATATCCTCTGAGGCATGGAGAGTCCTATACGCCGTATACACATGATGTGCGGCTGAGCCATCAGCCTGGTAGACTCTTCCAACGGATTGCTGGATCAGGCGGCCACCATACGCACCGGACCGGAGCTGGATCCCCTCGCCCGGAGTAGCGAAAGCACAGCGTGCACATCCAACATTCGTGACGCCGCTGACTGTGCTTCCAACCCCGTTGACCGCAGTCGTGATCGGGCGGGCAACCAGCGACGAGGAAGAGGAATTTCCAGGGCGCCATGTGGACCTTGATCGTCTCAGTTCTGTACGCAGTCAGGCCGTTAATTCCCTGCGGGTGTCGGCAGTGATCGAGGTGTCTACCTCGACGCCGGGCCAGAAATCTTGGAAACGATGCCCGCGAGGAGGGAGAATCCAGTAGGGGCCGCCGCCTTGGTGACACCGAGAACGAACTAGGCTCCTGGTAGGCGAACAAAATTAGTGCATGCAGCGGAACCTGCCGGGCTAATTCCATTGCTAGCAACGGATGCAGCCAGGTATTGGCCGAGTGGGAGGAGAAGGGAGATGTAGCTACTCGTCCATCCCGAGAACAGTATATCTAAATCAGATCACAAAGGCCGCAGGTGGAGTCGCTATCTTGCATGTTCGCCACTCTCCTATTGGAAATAATCTTATCGGCTGTTGCGGGGGTATCGTTTCCAGATCTGCGCGCAGGCCCAATTCCGTCATGTACCCTAGGGCGACCTCTCCCACCACTGCCGCATGTAGCAAAGAGCCATCATGGATATAACACCGGGATCGTTATTATAAGTGATGATCACGCTACTTCAGGCTCAATCAATTGCACCGTACTCCCAGTGGCTTTTTGAAGGATCCTCTTTTGCCACTCCGGTTTTGACGACGCGCGCGTCTAAACGCGCGCGCCAGACGGGCGGGCAAATGAGAGCATGTTGAATCCAGTAACATTTCGAATGACCATTTCACGTCTTGCATGGCCTTTCGACCTGCATTTGCACCATGTAGGGCTTTTTACTGATCCATGTCTCGCATTCGCAAGTCCCGCAAGCAACCTACCCATCAGCGTGCAGGCCTAGCTCTTGGGCCGAAGCTTAGCAATTCTCTTGTAGACCTCAATTAACGCCAACAGGCAAGGATACGATGCTTCCTTCGGGTCTGTACAATCCGTGAGTGACACACAGTCATCTGTTGAGGGTTCTGCATGGTTGACGTGTTGGCGGCCCCTTGCTTCGATGCCAGCATTACCCTTGTTAACCAACGCTTAGCGTCTACCGCGGATGCATTAGGGCGCGTACCCAATCAGCCAGCTCGCTTGCAGGTTTAATGAGTGGTATGGGAGAATAGCACGGAAATGGGGATCCGCCGGCGGGGTCCAAGTATGATTTTCTCAATCAATTGGCCGCCATCTTTGGGGCCCCGAGCTGAAACTCAATTGCCACAGCCCAGCGCCGGATGCAATGCGTTTCTAATCCTCAGGCCTTCGGGCCACCAGCATGAAGCCTTGTTCATGCTGACTCCTAATGGTCACCTTCCGTCGGCCAGGCACATTCGGCAAGGTATTGTCTGCCAACAGGTGTGATCTGAGCTCCGGGCGTTTGTTGGAAGTTGGTCACAGTTGGAGGCGAAGATACCAGTCTCAACATAATGAGTCATCGTTCAGCTCAATACTCTATGCAGAACCCATTTTCTAATCAACTCCAGACTGCTCGGTGTGGCACCTTCTTGGCCCCGTGCGAAGTTCGTTGGCTCTTTGTGTATTGCAATGATTTCGCCACCTGCCCCGCGAGTCCATGCGAGCTTCCACAGATGTTTGTGTCAGTGTGACGGCTCGCGGTGGCGAGTGCGGCCCTCGGGCAGTTTGCACATCCCCACCACGAGCCGGCTCATTGCTGCAAGCCACCCTTGCAAACTCCAAGCTACCCGTGGCCTGAGATTTCTGGTAAGTACACAAGCCGGCCAGCCCGTTCGAGACAGGCCGGGGAACACGCACCGCAGGACAAATAGCGAGTGGCTGGCATTTGGCTGCGTGCCGTCGCACGCATGCTGGGTGTGTCTAGCATGGAAAGCAACCTGACCATCCGGGTCTAAGCAGTAAACAAGAGCTCTGCAACCGCCGACACCGGCCCTATGCATGAAGTCGGCGCAGTCAACCAGTGATTTTCGTGCGTTGCCGGGGTGGGGGTTGCTGGTAGGCAACCAGCCCAGATCAAAATCCCGTCACAAAATCCTGTCACAAACGCCCGCCTGAGCGTGACTGAGGGGCACTGGCGCTCACCCATCATCCTGTGAGTGACGCTCTCTCACCAGGATACTTAGCCGCCATGGTGTACTACTGGGCTTGGTCTATCATGAGGAGCCGCAAGCGATGGCTATAGAAGGGGAGCTTTTTTTTTTTTAAACGGATGGACCGTGGTTTGATAGCCGAGATGTCCTATAATGCAAATAAAAAGGCAATTGGTAGCGCACGAATCAAAAGTCTAGGGGTGGGTAGTAGCCAGGGGCACTGTCTGTAAACGCCTCGACGCTGGGCGAGTGGAAGGAAGACGGTGAGGGAATCAACAGCAGGAAACGTTCCAACAGGCCTCATGATTGGCGCAAGCCATGCACGGAGCGGATGACGGCGGGTGTCCAATGTCGGCCTCAAGCAGATGGTCCCCAAGGCCTCAGGGATGAAATCGGTGCATGATGCCAATAATCAGTGCGAGAACATGCATGATCAATCCTGGCTGAACTGCGGTGGTCCAAACAGCCATGGGCAATGCAGTGTGATTAACAGTTGGATGATTCCGAGAGCTGCACCCCCTCCCAGGGGCACTGAAAGGCCATCTTCTGTCCATCGTTTGGATGGAGGTCGGCGGCAAAACGAAAATAGGGACACGTTGGTTTAGCCTGGTCAGAGGCAAACGTATCGATTCTTGAAGTGCGCGTGTTGTGTACTAAGTGAACAATCAAAAAAGCCGCATTGCGAGTAGAACAGAAAATAGAACCACAAAGTAACCAGACAGAGTAGCTAACAATCACTCTCGCCTTCCACCCAGTCCTTGTCATCCTCGGCCTTGTCGCCATCCACCTCAGTATCCTCCTCATCCTCGCCCTCGTCCTCGTCCTCGTCTTTATCCTCGTCTGAGACCACCTCCATCTCACACTCCGCTTCCTTGTTGTTGTTCTCATCCTCATCCTTGACCACATCCATCTCCTCGTCTGCGGTACCCTGAGTCGTCTCTTCCACGTACCGTGGAATTACCTTGGCCCCCATTACTTGAACCGTTTCTTGCTTCATATCGACGTAACTCCCCTGCATAGAATCCACGTAAACAATGCCCGGCTGCGGAACAACAATAATACTCTGATTTGTGTACAACTCGCGCCTAGCTCGATAGGTGTACTCATTCAGGGAAACGAATTCCGACGGGCCGCGGAAAACGCCACCCAGCTCCCGAATGCCCTGGAATACCGGTATGCCATTCGACCCAGTCTCGCAGTAAATCATTGCTCGCACGGCACTGCGGAAGATACCTATGAGCTCGGCCCGTCGGGCCTCCGTTTCGGTCGAGTTGAGGCCCTCCTTTAGAAGCCAACAGAAGGGCTTGCTGGCCAGCAGGGTGTCAGCGAGGACGGGGACGGCAGCCGCGTGCCTCTCCTCGTTGGTTTTTCCAAACGTGAGGTCGCGGGCCAAGAGATGGTCGGTCGAGTTCGCTAGCCGGTGAGTTTGCATCCTCCACAGTACAGCGTACTCCGGGTTGGCTATTGAGACTTGTTAGCTTGTGACGAGGAGTAGTGGGTGTCGGGGACGTACTTTGGTGGAAACGCTCAAAGAGGTAGTGGAGCCTCTCCGCGAAGGTCGGGTCCTCGCCGGGGTCACTGGGCCCCCGCTTGCCGTCAAGGTACCAGAAGGGGTCCTCGAACAGACGCTCTTTGATCGTCAGGTGAAGAAGTAGCTCGCCAAAAATATGCCCTGAGTCCTCTCTAGCGGCGGGAGGCAGCATGGAACGCAAGGTTGCCCAGTCTGTCTGGAGGCAGAAACCATCCACACTCGCGATGATGGCCTCAACTTGATCCTCAGATAGCGAATCAATATCATCAATTAGATACCCCAAAGACCAGCTAGTAATTAGCATTGCCGTCCCGTGACACCAATACCGTAGTTCTTTCTCGTCGTTCTTCCAAAGGAAGTTTCCTTCTTTGAAAAGTCTGGCAGCGCCGTCCAGAATTCGCCTGAACTCTGGTCGGCGAACGGCATCGCGATAAATCTCGTGGTCTGTGTCCTTTTGCTCGCGCATGCGTTGCACATCCTCGGAAGTAGGATCGAGTGCATCGAGTGCCTTTCTCTTCGGCGCAGAAGGAGCCTCGGCCATGGTTCAAAGGGACTTTAGCCTGGAGGGCCACAGGTATGCAAGTGAGGAGGGTTGAAGACTTAGGAGATGGGGTTTTAAAAACAAGGCGGGAGGGATCCTTTTCTACGACAAGAAAGTGAATCAAGGATTGGGGTCAGCAGATCCTGGTCTTTGTTCGTCCGGGGTTCTTTGAGCGCGCCGCCACCTGTGCGCATGGTCTCTGGACTTGGTTTGGTTCGAGGAGAAGGCACACTAGGCCTGGATTGTGTCCTTTGTCCATCCTGCCGTTTCCGTCTTTTTTTTTTTTTTCATCTTTTTCTTTCCCCTGCCGTAATTGCAAGTTCCTTCCTCCCACCCTACCCCTCCCAGTGACGGGCCAACGGGAGTAAACATGCGTATAGGGATGCGAAGGGTGCGTTTGCTAGCAGATAAAAGGCTGTTTTCTTTTTCCTCCTCCTTAACCTACGACTTATACTCTTCTTTCTCCTCGTAGTCAATACCTCTATTCCTCCTTTCCGCCTTTCACTCTTCATCATTTTGTTACACAATGAGCCTCTGCTAGGAATTGTGACATAGGTTACCCAGCTTTTTCGACGCCATGGCGACGCCTCGTGGAGCCAAGCTCATTGTGGGGCTCGACTACGGGACTACGAAAACGTGTGAGTCAAAGTGTCCTTAGCAAAAAAGGTTTCATTTATTTGTTGACTTTCAGTAATTTTGATCAATGGGTTATTAGGCATTGCATACGCGTACTGGGACCCTAGTCATCCACAGGCGAGCGCGATCAAGTGCGTGCCTTTCGGCAAAAAACAATTTGTTCCATCACATGTTGGATATGGAGGAAACGGCGAGGTCCTATGGGGAGATGCGGCGAGTGGAAGCGCCGTCCCCGGATACACATGGACCAAAGTCCTGCTCAACGATGATGGGCCACAGGAACATAGCTTTGGCTCCGGGCTGTTGTCCCGTCTGGTCAGGAATGGGTTCTTTTATATGTCGAAGGATAAGCCCGACACAGTTGTTGTAGACTTTCTCAAACAGGTCCGCAAACATGTGGCGGCGCATCTAGAACTCGACTACATGGAGGAGGTCCCTCCCACGGAATTCTGGTTCACAATTCCAGCCACGTGGACTGAAAAGGCTAGGGACCGATTTCTTCGTGCCATCAACCTGGCGGGCTTTGGCACGCGTCCTCAGGACCATGTTTTGTTTTTGCTCGAGGCGGAAGCCGCTGCTTTGGCTGTACCTGACCAATTACCTCCTCTTCAGGTTGCCCTCCCCTCGCTTCTTTGTGGTATCGCGTTTTGTGACCCTTTGGGCATTGCTAATTCTGTTGACTGCGTGCCAGACGGGGAAAAGCAGGGCTATCGTGGTCTGCGACTGTGGAGGAGCGACATCCGTGAGTGCCAGCCAGAGCTACTAGCGCAACTTTCACCACCCTCCTCCAGAACGTGTGGAATTGTCGCTTTGCTAATGCACCACTAGGACATAACGGCGTTTAGAATCAGCAACAACGGGTCCGACCAGGAGTTCGGTCTGATGTCAGCCAGCACAGGTATGACCACGAGATTGAAACGGCACAAACTTATTGCATACATTAATTGTCTGATTAGGGGTCTATTGCGGCGGTGCAGAAGTTGATGCTCGGTTGCTCAAGCATCTCGAAGTAACCGACCCTGTTGCGGTGGCTGCCGCGACCGAGCAGCAGGCCGACCTTGTCGCAACGGTGGAAATGGCCGTCAGGCTCAAGATCGATTTCACGGGAACGAGTCGCGCCGTCTGAGGCTACCGCCCGGTCAACTCATAACGCTGGATGCTGAGGTCATGCGTGAAATAATCGACCCAGCTATCCAGGGGATTGTCGAGCTCGTCCTTGACAACATCACAGAGCGCGTGGAAAACGAAGAGTCACGGATTATTCAGGTAGGTACACGCCCGTCGACCCATCCTGTCGCTGTAGAGCTAATCGTTCTTATTACTACAGACGGTCTGTCTGGTTGGCGGATTCAGCCAGTTACCATACCTGAGGAACAGGCTGGCCGACGCGTTAAAAAACCTCAGTAACGTCACTCCCCATCCCAAACACATGTATATTTCCCCTTTCCTCGTGGCCGGCTTAGATGAGGGCTGACGAAACAGGCCGGCTCATGTCGCATATGGAGCCACGATTCACGGACTTCGGGCCGCTGGAATGCTCACCAGAGTGTTTCAGTGGTAGAGACTTGGTCTCTTCCTCAGCGAGGGAAGGGCCTTGACAGTATTTCACTGTCCGATATCCGCCATCTACCCCGCTGGCTTATACGCAGGGTCTGATTCACCTCTTCCGGCAGTTGCTGATTTATCCAGACTAACTTAGTTACAGGGCCACAAGCTCAAGGAGGGAGACGAGCAGGTTGTTCGCCTGGTCATCCTTCATAGGGAAAGCGCCGCTCGCCTCGGCCTGATATGCTTTTTCGCGGACAACCGCGCAGGGGGCCCGCCGGACAAGATCGATCTATGTAAGTCTTCTCAGGATGCTATATCTGCTTCCACTCGGTTGCGCGGCGTCTGGTAACTAATGCTCTTAAAGCGATCCGACGGATTCATGTGATCAAGATCAAGTTGGATGACCTTATGCTCCGACGGGCTGCATGGTCCCTTGTCGACGGTATAAAAACCTACTTTGTGCGGGCTGACGTTTACTGGAGCGTGGTGAGGACATCGCATACCTCTCGAGTGGTCAAACTCCGCATCATAGTAAACCAGGATGTGGTTGGCGAGGATACAGTTGGCATCGCGACTTGATGCGTCCTTTCTGACAGCACCGTGCTCAGTAGTGGTCCAAGTCGAAGCTCGTTCGCCAATAATGGTTTTGTAAGATCTTAGCTTAGAGGAACCTCTTCTATTAATACCTGTCCAGTGTTATATTCCCTTGCTAGAGAGAGTATGCTTCGGATTTGAATTCCCTACAGTAGAGTGACGGGCACGGAATTGACATTTCGGCCGCCCACTTGCCTAAAACTATAGTACCAAAGTCAATCATCAGCTCTTCGATTTCCTCCACTAGATTTATGCAATCTGAGCCACACCGAAGATCTCTGTAGGGTTATTTCCCCATTGATTGTTCTCCATGGATAGTTCCAAGTTTCGACCGGAGTCTCTGCTGATGCTGCTTGGGCGTCGGGTAGGGCGAGTCTTGATATTCCCTGGCCCGTGGCAGGCAACTTCCTGCCACCCGTTAAAGCTATCCTCAAAAGGATAATCCCTGTGGGTAGGGTTGGGGGCCGAAGATGTTGCAATATTAGCGAAGTAGGCAGATAAGAACCCACGATTATACTCAAAGCATCAGTTCGAGGTATATAGAGACTAAGAGCGATGGGTTGTAACTTGATTCTTCTGGTCGATCTATGGCTCTCCTTTGCTATCCGGTAGGATAGGAATTTCCCTATTATAAAGTTCGGGCGCTGCAGGACAATAGAGATATAAATATGCTGCGCTTTATTGATCACCACAACTATTACCTCAGAGCAAGGCCCAGGCATGCGCGTCTCAGGTACTCTCATGTCTATCATCTTGTATGCGACCGTCGCTCTGATAGCAGTCCTCGCCTGGGCCACGAGCAGCAGTGATCCCCTGCGATGTGGGCTCTGCTACCCGTAGATGTACAACGAGGCCAAGGAACATACATTGAGTATTTCAGCTCTGGCGGCTTCGGCAGTTTTATCTGGCCTATAGCATCGCCTTCGCTATGGAATTGTTGTACTCAACCTCCGATATTTCGAAGGTCGGCCATACAACATTGCAGCGTGATGCAAGTGGCGGGCACAGCAGACTTTGTATCGGCAGCTCGACAATAGTCCCGCCGGAATGTGTACACCGAAGCCAGGTTGTTCTCTCCCCTTGGGCACGCAGCCAACATGTTCATGTGCACGGAGGCCTGTCGTGACGCCGATGCTGGCAAATGGCCATTGATGCTTTGGACCAACGACTCCTCCGGTTGCAATATCTTCCAGAGAGCTGAACTCGATAACTAGTATTTCGCCGATGCTGTCCATTTCGCTAGCTTTTATTCTCATGCGATTGTTCTAGTGGCTTCGAAACCATTAGCCATGGAGGCTGCGCTGCATATCTCAACGTTTCGCAACCGTACCTCTATTAAATACGTGGGGCAGGCGTGTACTCTTAAGAAGAATAGGAATAGCAAGGTTATAGTGATATTCAGCTTTACTAATACGAACCAGGTTCCTCCCACCAGGCGTGCTCTTCGTTTCGCGTACTAGGGTCTGGGAGCCTAGAGAGGAGATCACTGTGAACGATGAATCTTGCATATTGTGACTGAACCCGGGGATGGTATGGACAGCTCGGGCCTGTGTGTTGAAAATTTAGCTCATTGCCACTGGGTTTCCTTGATTTTGGCGCCTTCGAGGATAGGTGTCGGTCCTATCCATCTCCTCCCTCATGTCGCTCCTTTCATAATATCTTTTTTGGTCTCTTCGGGCTCCTGGACGTCGAGCATGTACTATGGTTAGCCTGGTGTTATTAAACATGCAATCGGCTGTCGTCAGCTAAATATATGTAGTCTAATCAAGTGTTTGCATTAGCAGTCCTCCTGCACTACAATCACCGCAATTAGGTAGAGGTATGTGGATCATCAGCCAAGGAGATACTTGCAGCTGGGTCCATGGGTAAATCGAATAGTAAGTGTCAAGTTACGTATCTAATGCTGGTACGACGTCAGCCTGAGATAATCATGTCCATAACTGATGCTTAATCAAACTTTCGTCCCGCCGTTGATTTCTCCGAAGTCTTATAGCTAAAGCAATTATTTCAGGCTGTAAAATGAGCGCAGCGACCCGGGTGGATTTCCCGTTCAGCTCCAATCCCCCGTGTGTAGGTCCCCGTCTTGCCTTTGGTCGACCTCCTGTGATAGCCTGAGGTCTCCCCCTCCTGCCTGCACTTTTCTTTTCCTCCCCGCAGGAGCACGCCTACTTCCGCGCCAAGTCAAGGTCAGCAAGAAGGCCTCACGCTCTGCCTAAATTCAAATCCCTTTGCCCTTCCTCGTAGTGAGGTAAACAGTTATACCTGGGTGCAAACCTTTGCGGCGGGCAACACCTCGTGATCATGGCCTGAGCAAGGTTGCGATTCTACACAGGCAGGCATTCATGCACTGGTAATTGTACTTCTCCCGGCACATCTCGCGATTAACTTCATCTCAGGCGATTCCAATTTTCCAGCGGAGCACAGCGGACCAAGGCGCCAATATCCAATGCACGTTTCGGAACATTGACTCGTTGACTAATGCCTTCAAGATCAGCCTGAGGATTCGGATTATCCACTCGGACCTGCTTTGAGGTCGTTATCAGGTGTATCTTCTTCGTGCAGATTGTTGGCAAAAGGCTTGAAGAGCTGACGGATGTCTTCAACGCGGGGAATCCGTTCAAGGCAAGCACAAAGAAGGTCAGGTTGCTATCAATGAGTCTTGTCATATTATGAATGTAAAGGATAACAACAACACTGAGGGCTGTCTACAGGGAAGTAGTTGCGGCCGGCCTGGGATCGTGGCCTAAGTTTGCGCGCCTGGCGTTTATCAATGATGGAGCAAGGGACGCCGACCTGGGGAGCTGAGGACTGGTGCAGCCTAGGTTAGGTGTAGCTCATACGTGACTCGGGTTCCTATGAAAGTCGGGGAAAACCAACACCCCGCTCGGTCCTCTTGCACCATGTTGCAATTTCAGACTGCGTAGGTCACTATCTAGAAGCGCGCGTTGTAGTGTGTATGGCAATAATGTGACAACCACCTGGCCACTTGCACGAAACACGGTCGTCCAAGATAACAGTCAGGTCATAGGCCACCATGGTTAGCAGAGGCTAAAGTGCTGCCAACTTCTGTTTCCCGTTAATGTGCTTGGGAGAACTGTTGATATTAGGGTTACATGTGCACGCTGTACATAACATTACCAAGCTTTAATGCCAAGCCCTGCTTGCTAATAGCACTAACATACTCCCTAGTAGGTATCTTGTCGGCCGGAGCCCCTGGCTCCGGACCCCGCGCAAGCATTCCTCTCACCATTCCATCGAACATTCCTCTCAGGACTCACGAGATACAGCGATTGGNTGCGCGTGACCCGGGACCAACCCCAGAAGAAGATCTAGCTCTCCTAGGATTCATATATTAAAGCTATCGCCGCGAGATACCACCTAAATGACCTTAAATAGTAGCAAATGACACAGCTCCCTACTCAGAAGCTAGTTCCTAATAAGGAAATAGCATCTCCCAGCCAAATACATGAATATTAGTCAAAAGTTGGTTCAATTAGCTATGCCGCGACCTGCACCTGGCTGGATATAGCCTACGCACATGGCGTACTATCACGATTTCTCGTCAATCCGTCCACTACACATATTAGGGCTACTAATCAGGTCATTGCTTACCTCTACAACACGCGGTTCCTTGCATTGGAATACAGAGGAAGCTTAATATAAGCTAGTAAGGTATTTCTTACTGCTACTAATACTGCATTTGCCGATGCCCACGATCAAAAGAGCACTAGAGGATTCATCTACCTATTATATAGAGGACTAATCAACTAGAGATCTTAGAAACAACGTATCGTCTCACTATCAACCACTAAAGCAGAATATATATTGATAATTAAAGCCACTAAGTCATTGTACTAGTGGAAGAGGATTTTTAGAGACATTAATTTCAACCCTAAAGAGGACCTTGAAATATATTATAACAACAGCTCTACAATCAATTTATTAAGCAAGGAGACGACAATGGTATACACCAAGCTACGACACGTTAACGTACACCACGCCTGGCTACGTCAAGAGGTTTAACAACGTCACTTACGAGTCACCTGGGTTCCCTCACGATCTATGCCTGTGGACGGACTTACCAAGGCTCTCCCAAAACCACTACACCAAGAATTTGTCAAGATGTTGAATATAGTTAATATCTCGAGCCTCATCCCGTCCTAATTAGGAACCTTTAACCACTGAGGGGGTGTGTCGGCCGGAGCCCCTGGCTCTGGACCCCGCGCAAGCATTCCTCTCACCATTCCATCGAACATTCCTCTCAGGACTCACGAGATACAGCGATTGGAGCAGTAATATTAGATAGCCCCTGTTTCCTTATTTAGTTTAGTCGATTCCTGTGCTTAAATAGTGCTGTTTCCCTAGTTATTTAGAATGACAGACCTCTCAACCTTCTTCAGATCCTCCACCTAGATCAACGGCCCGGACGATAGTTATGAGCCCGGGTTGCTAGGAATATTCTTCTTTATTATTACCTACAACCCACCTCCGGACCCTTATTACCTGAATAGGCTTATTATGAAGCTATTCCAACCTCGCTAATTACGCGCGAAACTTTCCCTGAACTAGTGCAGCTCCAGTCCGTTGATATGGAGGATACTTTGCTTCATAGCCAAGCCGTTAAGGTCTTAGTCGTCTTGAATAGCAAGGACGACTGGTGGTTGTAGTATGAAGCTATATAGACATCTGCAATTCTTGCAGGAATATGGGAATACATTAATCCCAATATCATACCAAAACCTAAGGTGCCTCAACAGCCTGCTATCCCTGAGGCACCTGCTTCAAATAAATCAACGCAACAATATAATTATCGAGCAATGATATTTAATACGGAGAATAGTCGATATATCCTCTTCTAGAAAGGGCGAGCTGTTGTATATAACTAGATTACGTCGTTAATTAGTCGTCTACTCAAGAATTCACACAGCTTATATTCTTCGACTAACCTATACAACTTATTAAAGAAGCTTAAGGACGACTTTACTCCATTACTAGAAGAACAGAAGATTAGCACGTCAATTTAATACAACGCCGCGAAGGACAGCAAGGTTGATGCTAGACCTATAGATAATTAGATCACCAAGTTCGAAGCAGCTACAGGTTTAATAATAAAGCTTCGCGGGGACCACTAGGATATCTAGCAAGCAGAGAAAGACTTCCTAGATAGAATAAAGTATTAGTTTCCTAGCTTTACAGATCGTCATCTTGAAGATATAATGAATATGGGACACAGGGCTGACCTCTTCAAGCTCATGATAGGATTTCAACAATATCTAACCACCCAGAACACTCCAGAAGCACATAACGCTGTGTATAAGACCTTCAAGGGTCAATCTGATAGTCAATAACCTTCTAGAGGTCAACTAAATAGTTAAAACTCCTGCCAGAAACCTCTAAAATATATATACGGCAAGAACCATTTCTATAAGGACTATTAGCACGTTAATAAGGATGCTAAAGATCGTCTAATGGACTACTAACCAGATCCTGAAGTCATTAATCATATAATAAAGGAAATCAAGGCAAATAGCTTTAAAGGTCAAATCTTAAAGCGCTACCTTAGTAACTACCAGTCATCTAACGACTCCGCGAGCGTTAACTAGGATAAGGTCACGTTCAGCGTTCTCGCTAATGCAGTAATATCGACCTCTGTAGTTAATATACAGAAGGAAGACTCCTAGATAGTTAATATAGGGGGCTAAATAAGCGTGTGTAATAATCTTAACTAGTTTAACAACTATACGCCTCACGAGGAATATGTCAAGTTAGGGAATACTAGTGTAGATATCCAAGGCATTAGAATAGTCACGATTCGACCCACTAGCCCAAAGGGGAAGGAGATATTAATTAATAATATCCACTATATCCCTAGTTTCCACACTAATATCGTCTCTGCTAGTGTAATGCGGAAGGCGGGCGTGTTCCTAGACCTCAAGCATAACGTCATACGTTAACGTGGAGGCGAGATATTCTGTAACCTTTAATATATTAACCACCTCTAGTATATTAAAACCAACTACTAACGCGATCTCGCTGTATTTCTAACTCAACGGACGCCTACATCCTCGAAACTAGTTATTTTAAAAGGAGATATGAAGTGGTGGCATGACCACTATGGACATATAAGCTTTGAAGCCTTGGAGAAGCTCCCTGTAGTGGTTCAAGGCATTAAAATAACAGATATTTTAACGCGAGAGTTATTTAGAGAGGCTAGCTACTATATATGTTGTATAGCTAAAGCAGATCGCTAGATATCTTGACGAGATGCGTGCAGGGCTATAGAGCCTTTTAGAAGAGTCCATTTTAACCTTATTACTATTAACCCCGGGCTGAATGGTCATCGATACGTTACCCATCTATATAAGGAGGTCACTAGCATGCACTTTGCCTATACACATTATTAGAAGAATGAATGTGTAGCGAAGATTAAAGATTTCGTCTAGCTAGTTAAACGCTAGTGGGAACGAAAAGTCAAGACTATTTTCTCTAATAATGAGGTATCCCTAGGGAGGGACTTTAAGACCTTTATAGCAGGTAAAGGGATCATATACTAGACAAGCGTACTAGGCACGCTAGAGCAGAATAAATTTATAGAATAATCTAGAGGCGTAATTATCACGAGAACTCGAAGAATCTAGATTACTACTCAATTACCACATGAACTATGGCCGTGGCTCGTTAAAGCAGCAGTATACTAACTGAACAGGACCCTAATGAAGCGTTTAGGTTAGAAGACCCCGTACGAAGCACTAACGGCTCAGAAACCCAACATATTGAACTGCTATATAGTTGGATCCGCTGCGTATATCCATGACAATGTCAAGCGCTTAATGAAATTCGAACCACGCGCTAAGCTAGGCTATCTGGTAGCCTACGACGCGTTAAACATATGGGACATTTGGTTGCCAACTTAGAAGAAGGTCGTACAGGCTAGAGATGTTGTCTTTTAGGAGGAGTCTTGATATAATCCTCTATAACCTTTACTAACTAATTTCTCTAAAACTACGCTGCCTCGCATGGCCGTAGAAGTCGTCCCGTCATTTACTGTTCAAGAGGCTTGGAATAAGCTACCTAAAGTTAATCCTAGTGCCGTATTAACGTCGTACGAAAGGGTTGAAGCTGAGGGGGTGCCACAGGGCACTAATAGAAGGTTAATTAATATTAAAAATAAGGTTAACGGACGCAGGGAATAATATTTTTCCACGCGAGAATAACCTTTAAACCCCCCCTTCCTTCCTAGTCTAGAAGCAACGCCGACTCTAGCCTAGAACATTTTAACGCAATGAATTATGCCTGGAGCTTTCCTAGATGATGACCCTACACCAAATACGTCACCCACGGGGTCTCAGACCCCCATACAGCTCCTGACAGAGCTTCGCGTGGATACCTCGTCATTACTAGCGCCACCGGCGCCAGATCCTCCATTACCAAGCTGGGCACTTCAGGAATCGCTCCAGCAAGCTGCTACTAAACCTGTACGACGATCCACACGTCTAAATCCTTCTGCTGCTGCGGATTCTGGCTCAGGGGGTGAAGAAGATACAATAGATGCGCCATGGTGGCCTGGCTTAGATATTTCTCAGAAGAATATTATTACTAGTAGTCGAACTAGAACTCGCAGAGATGTTCTAAACTACCAAGCTTAATACGTTGAAGCTAATGACATCAATGATGATTACTTCCAATTACCGTACATCGACAATCCACAGATAAATGCTATCGAGACAACCAAACAATTTCATTGAACCCAGATGCCTCCAGAGCCACGCAATTAGTCAGAAGCACAGAAGCATCTACTTAGTCAAGACTTTCTAGTAGCTATATAGAGCGAACTAGCAGAGATTAAGAGGAAGAAGTCTTATATTATCATGGATGAAGCAGAGGCGCAGAACCATTAGATCCTTCCACTTATGTGGGTTTTCACGTACAAATTCGACGAGGATGGATACTATATTAAGGCTAAGGCACGCCTAGTGGTCCGTGGAGACCTACAACCACGTAGTAAAGAGGAGAATCGCGCTACAACTACTTCAGCTAGAGTTCTTCGAATGATTACAGTCCTAATAGCGATGTATGACCTCAATTCAAAGCAATGAGATGCTATTAACGCCTTCCTTAATGCTGTATTATACGAACCTGTCTATACTAGGATGCCACCAGGGCACGGCATACCTAGGAAGGTTTAGAAGCTTCTTCAAGCTTTATATGGCCTATGGAAATCGCCACGACTCTAGCAGGAAGACCTATCTATAACTATTAAAGCACATGGCTTATGACCCGTTCTAGATAAAGAATGCCTCTTTACCAACGAATTCATATTAGTGCTTATATATGTCGACGATATACTAATCGTCAACCTTCTAACGTACGAAGGCCGCGCTACAGCTGCCAGATTCACCACAGCGCTTGAAGAGAAATACGAACTAAAGGATATAGGGGAGTTGAAATAGTTCCTTAAGATGCGCGTGACCCGGGACCAACCCCAGAAGAAGATCTAGCTCTCCTAGGATTCATATATTAAAGCTATCGCCGCGAGATACCACCTAAATGACCTTACATAGTGGCCAATGACACCGCTCCCTACTCAGAAGCTAGTTCCTAATAAGGAAATAGCATCTCCCAGCCAAATANCTGTGCTTAAATAGTGCTGTTTCCCCAGTTATTCAGAATGACAGACCTCTCAACCTTCTTCAGATCCTCCACCTAGATCAACGGCCCGGACGACATATCTCCTATGAAGGTTAAACCTCGTGCTATAATACTGAAAATACGGGGCCAAAATATATTATTAACAGCGAACACACTAAAAATAAACAGTTTTTGATTAATATCCGGATCGTTTGTTGCGAGCCAAGTGACACTAGTCCTGGTAGTAGTGGTGCTGCTAGTTGACTCCTGACTACTCACAACTATTTATCCGTTGGTACTCTACACCAGAGGGAAGACCTTTACACAAATTGTCGAAAAATCAGAACTTTTCAAAAAGGCACTGCACTGCCCTTGTCCAATGAATTTCTGGTCTTACCTTTATGCCCGGCCAAAGGCTGTCGCCAGGCACACTTTTAACCCTCCAGGCACTTTGTGGTTGTAGAATGCGTCGTAGCTCTTTGAGATGTTTTCGAACTTGTCTAGAGAAGAAGAATTAGTCGAGAGCGTCAATGACTTCTACGGATACAATGGTGAATCAGGAACGGGGTTAGTGCCCTATGCTTCGCTTCGCCTACCTTCGTGTGTAAACATGAATGAGGGGTCGTAGTTGCCTTCGACAACGATGTCTAGAAGGAACGGGAAGTACTAGAGGATTTCAACGGCAATCGTTAGTCGCGTCTGTATTCAGGGGAGCGGTGCTTTTTCTCTTGGCCTCTTCTTGCGGCATATTACAGCAGTGGGGAAAGAGAATCTGACCTTCTCGGCGTAGAGCTGCCCACCGCGCAGGGTGATGGCTTTCTCCATCAACATTCCAATGGGGAAGTCGTTGGTCGTAAAGAAGAAGTCGCCAATTAGAGCGATATTCCCGCCCTTGCGCGTTGCCTTGATCACCGCGCTGGCGGTGTCGGAGCTGTCGCCCTCAAGACTCAGTGCTCTCATGGTAGCGTGAGCGGCCGTGTTCGTACTACGAAAACCGCTCGCTTCGATACCGCGGTCCAGACCACGCGATTCAACAGATAAAATGTAAGCTGCCGGATCGTTGTGCTCTTTCACATTGACCGGAATCATGCCAAAAGACTTTGCGATATTGAGCCGATTCACGTCCTTGTCCATTGCGTAAACCTTGCTGGCTCCACGATACTTCGCCAACCGTTGGATTGAGAGGCCGACTGGACCACAGCCCCAGACGCCAACGACGTCGCCTTCACCCACTTCCGCCAGCTCGCAGCCGTGCCACGCAGTAGGTGTCACATCTGCAAGCCCAAGCAGTTTCTTAGCATCGACATTCTTCGGAGCCTTGACGCAGGTCAGATCCGCGTTAGGGACGCGGCAGTATTCAGCTTGGTCGCCAGGGTATCCCCCCGTGATCTTGGAATAGCCAAAGATGCCGGATAGGCGATGGCCGTACATTTGCTCCAGTTCCTTGGACGGGTTGGTTCGGTCGCAGAGAGAGAACTCCTTGCGCTTGCAGTAGAAGCATTCTCCGCATGCAATGACCGGCAAGATGACCACCCGGTCTCCTGCCTTCAAGTTCTTGACTTGCGGCCCGACTTCTTCGACAATGCCGATGGCCTCGTGGCCCATGATCAACCCCTTTTCCATGACCTTATTCAGATCGCCAGCATACATATGCAGGTCCGAGCCACATATGGTGCAGTGGGTGATGTGCACAATGGCGTCCTTGGGCGCGGTGACGGTGGGCTTTGGTACCTCACCCAGCTCGATCGATTTTGTGCCCGTCCAGAGAGCTGCCTTCATCTTCTCGGTGGGATGAGGCTTGTACGCCGTGGTATCCACCGGCCTTGCGGTTCATGTGAGACTGGTATAGATACGCATTTGAAGGCAGGAACTTACTTTGGTACGTCTGCCATTGTAGGGTCTTGACGTTCTTTTGAAGGTTATTCGACGAAATTGTCGTTTTCCTAATTTAGTTGGAGATTTGCTGTGTATCGTGTTCGAGAGATGCTAATTACGGTCGGCGGAGAAAACTAAACAGCCTCAGCTGGTCTTTTACTTTCATGTCACTCTGGACATATAGCCAGTGGGCACGGGCATTACTTCTTGTCGACTCTGATGTCATTCAACATCATGACTGTTGATTAGTTCGGTACGATGTCATATGTGAGATATCAATCCACCATCGTACCTAAGATTGGACCTTGAGAATACGGAGATGCGGGAGTGGTGTACGCACTGTGTGCAAGTTTGACGCTCAGTCTATGTCACAAAACTTGAAATTCGAGTCTAAAGCCTTTGTTTCCGCCAGTAACTATCGCTTCAAAATTAATCGCGTTCATGCCCCAGGAAGTAGGCTCGCTTTCCCTTCCCTGCTAAGTGTCGATGAAAGTAATGGAGTCACGGTAATATTCAAAATCAGATTTACATACTCTGTAACGTTCCGCTAACCCTAATTCGAACCACGCTAGTCTAATTTTAGCCTGTCAGACTCCACTGTGCGTACTGGACTGGAAGATGCGCCCGGGGGAAGCGGAAACGTCTCACTTAGATCTAGATGTCAACGACGTGTATGACGAAATGATGAGCCACCATCTGATCTCGCCCTATCGCTTCCCAGGTTTGCCGAGGTTACGACCATGGTGCTAGAAACACGAGACATAAGAATGATGTCAAGACACCAAGACGCCTGGCTGTCCAGTAAGACAAATATATATCCTCCCCGCGGAAGCGTTCAGCCGACAACCAGTAAGTACATTGAGAATATCAAATCGAGCAGAAATTCTCGATGAACGTACACCATGTCTGCATCGATCACCACAGACGTCAGTAACTATGAGGCTAAGGGATATGGCGACCCAAGCCATAGGATGAAGGCCCTTACCTGGCAAGGGAAGAATACGGTCAGAGTTGGTCAGTCATTCTGCCCGTCACTGCCTTCATTTCAAGCTCTCGAATTCATCGGCCTTGCTTGCTGACACCGTTTATCATAGTGGAAACGGCTTGCCCAAAGATCATCGATGAAGGCGATGTCATACTCAAGGTGACCGGCAGTACGATCTGCGGTAGTGATCTCCACCTTCTGCATGGTATGTCGTGGCTTTTGAACAGTTGTTGAAGTGTTCGCTGGTGATCTGCTCATGCGTTAACCCTTAACGATCTATAGCGGCCATTCCAGATCTTCAGAAAGGTGATATCCTCGGCCACGAGTTCTGCGGTATTGTCTCAAGCGTGGGGCCAGCAGTCAAGAAGGTTAAAGTGGGCGATCGCGCTGTGGCATCCTTTCAAATTGCCTGTGGACAGTGTTATTATTGCAAGAAGAAGTTGTCCTCAATGTGTGAGAGGACGAATTCGAACGAGGAGGCCACTAAGCTATATGGGCGTCGAACAGCTGGTATGCTTCCTTTTTAAACGGCTATGCTGATGTTAGTGAGGCTATTATACTAACATATCTTAGGCATGTTTGGATACTCTCACTTCACGGGGGGCTTTGCTGGTGGACAAGCGGAATACGTTCGTGTCCCTTACGGTGACGTGAACCTTCTTCAGCTGCCCGACGACGTCCCTGATGAAAAAGGACTCTACCTTTCAGATGTGTTAGGAACATCTTGGAACGCGGTTGTCGATACTGGAGTTGAGGAGGGTGACATTGTGGCAATCTGGGGAGCTGGCCCAGTTGGACAAATGGCAGCGGAATTCAGTTTCTTCAATGGTGCAAAGAGGGTCATCCTCATTGATGGCGGCGATGGAAAATGGCGACTAGACTTTGTCAAAAAGATTATACCCAAGCTCGAGACAGTTGAGTATACGAACCTTCCCAAGGGCGAATCTGTGACCTCGACTCTGAAGAAAATGTGCGATGGCCGCGGACCTGATGTGGCTATTGAGTGCGCCTCCGGGGAGTATACCAAAGGATGGTCTCATTACTTTGAGAGATTGCTCGGCATGGAAACGGACACCTCTGAGCTGATCAACGAGATGATTACATCTGTCCGAGCGTTCGGGCGCTGTGGGGTTACTGGCGTATATGCCGGCTATGTGAGTGGTACCTTTCCTTCGTTGGTGAAACAATTTTAGTAACGGTGCAATGCAGTGTAATCACTTTAACATCGGATCCTTGATGGAGACTGGGATCAAGCTCCTTGGCAATGGACAAGCCCCTGTGCAAAAGTATTGGAAAGACCTCCTGAAGTATATCCAAGAGGGCAAGATCCATCCCTTGCATATGGTCACCCACCGGTACAAGCTCGAGGACATGGAGACGGTCTATGATTTATTCAATAAGCGCGATCCGGGTATGCAGAAGGTCTTTGTCCAAACAAAATTTTCCGCCCCTCCATCACCTGGAGCTCCTAAGTTGACAGTTGTCTAAGCTGTACTATGTTACTTAAAAGTGTCTTTATATTAGTTAATGCTTGTGGGTTGAACAACATCTTAATTATGAGGTGCTGAAACATCAAAATGTGAAAAATATACCTATGATAATCATATTGCAGGAAACAATATTTTTTTGAAAATGCTTACCTGGAATCCAGGGAGTTTACTACATACGTTTATGATCCTATTCTCTTTATAATTATGGATAAGAACTCCTAAGGAGTTTGCAGTACTGAAGGTTACCCCAGAATCTCTCTGGTAGCCTTGCGTGCTGAGTAGAGAAGCTCCCAATGAATCCCTCTTTCTACACTACGATCGTGTATAGACATGACTCCAAGAACTTTTAAGATCTGAAACTAAATAATTGGCAACCTAGAAGACCTAACAATAGCTTATTTCAGCCTCTTGTGGTTCGAGCGACACAGCCCTGCGCGTCATTTAACCCTCACGCAGGGACAGAGTCAAGTCCTGATCGACGACCTTTCCGCCTTCCAATCGCACCTTTTCAATAGGTTGAAACACGAAAAAGACACGTAAAACACCAGAATTGTCATTCTTTTCAGTGAGATTCCTCCAAGCATGAGCTGTCCCGCGTTGAACAAATACATCACCCTTTTTCAGTGTCCTTTTCTCACCGGAATCAAGGACTAACTCTGTAGTGCCATCAACTACGACACCATAGTCGAGGGTCGCTGTTCGGTGCATCGGTACATCTGCACCTGGAGGTACCTCAATAATTGTGCAGGACGTGCCGTTTGGCGGATTCAAAGGCGATGGATCGGAGAGCTGGGCGTGATATTGCTTAATGTCGAGATTGGCTTTGGACTCTGGAATTGCGGAACTTGGAGGGGAAAGCCCTTGCACAGGAAATGTATTGGTATTGAAGGCCAGAGCATAGTCTGACGTTGTGGGTTTGCCCGGGGGGACTGGGAACCCAGTAAATGACACTTGCTCCCCAACAGCGTCACTAAAGATTGCTCGGCCGCTTGTAGCATCATGGGCTGTTATGATGCGGCGCAGAGGCTCGGGCTTTCTTTGTCCGGCTGACATGTTGAGATCAATATCAAGAAAGAACAGGGCGAACACCTAGAGTATTACTTGGCACTTGGTAAATTAATTGCAAGATATTGCAAATGTGATCCCGCCAACACTCCCTACCTATATAATCAGCTATATGAGACATATGACACAACTTTAGATCATCGTAAAGTCAAAACTCAATGATGGGTCGATGTCTTGTCGTACAATTGAAGATCTCACTGTGACGTTCAACTCACCCATGGATCACTTCATCAAAAGTCTGGAAACCCAAGGAACGCTTTTCTCCACATGATAGACATGCTCTTATCAAAAGGATCTTAAGACCATCATGAAATCAGTCGAACCATTAATTCATGAGCACGTCATGGGTGAAGGTGAGCAATGCATAGCATTGGGATTGCATGGGAGTTCGCCTGTTCAGCAGAGTCGTGGAGACAGCCTTACCGTACTGTATCACTTGGAACAAGGGACGAAAAGTCACACCTCTTCTAGATTCTCGAGACCATTTCAGGCTCTGTATTTTGACTTCTGTTTAAATCATCTCCGAGTCTGTCGGGTTCGAATTCACCGAGCCCCACGTCACAGTCCAACGTACAGCTTTTGTCTCGCTGAGGACCAGAATGGGTATGTCTCCTGGGCGCCCATCATGACATGTGTTGATGGGACGGTGTCGAACTATGATGATGGTGTTAAGGAACCGGGCGAGGCGTGTACGCCCAAGGAGAATCGGAATAGGGACGTTATTAGCACATTTAGCTTTGTGAATACGGGGAAGCAGGTTGCGCAGCTAGGTGTCCTCTTCGTTTCGAGTCCTAGGCAGCGAACTGCGCAATGAGGATTCTAGTGTGGACGGCATGCTGGGTCTTGGGGATTGTATAGAGAACTCAGTCCTGCGTCCTGAACAATGTCTTGATTGTCAGTGATTTTTGTTTGGTTTTACTTCCCGCTTTAGAGAATACTCTGTAGGTGCTGGGTCACTGGCTCCACCTACCGCGTGTCGCTCGTTTCGTGTCTTCTGTTCCCTGGATATGGTGAGTATCTGCTTGAACGGGTTATTGCTTCCATTTCAATGCTTCACAGGGCTCGTTCTGCGCAGTACCTGCCCTCATGTACGTAAAATCAAGAACTTCACTACTAGTACTCCTGCACCACCACTGAGTCGACTGGCTCGAGACATATGCATCATTGCTTGAGAGAGCGATTTGCCATACTCTGAAAGTCAATAATTTAATAAAGGCATCCGGGAACTGGTTACTCGTGCCAGCAATATACCTCATAGGAACGTTACGTTACCTAGACATAAAGGCAGTGGATGAGTGACCATGTCTCCAACATCACCTTCCAGTGAATGGATTCGAGGATCCCAGGGATGGCCTCAACCCGGCATCTCAACCAGCATTGCGAGGTCGTGCTTGATCTAGCTCATCACGGGGCCCGCGGCGCTAATAGCCGTGCGCAAGACAGTCTGACATCAAGCATTCGAGGGATCCCAATAGCCTGGGTAGAAAAGAAGTCATTCATTCTTCAAGAGCATGTGAGTACGGAATGAAATACGAAATAAGACAAATCACAAGTAGAGCAATAACGGGATGTCAAATCAATCAATCACTCTCCTTCTACGGAAGCCATCACCTCCGGTAACCTTGGTGTTGAGTGTATCATCTGGCCCCCGATGCGTCAGGTCCGAGAAACACTCGATGCGGTTCAGCATCGGGCTATCCGAGCTGGTAGTCGCGTTCCCGTTGCCCGGCAGGAAGATCTTTCCGTCGTCGGAGAAATTGTGGTATTCTACCGCAACGTATTCGGTCGAGGTCGACTGTGGATTTCCACCTCGGCAGTTCCACTGGAGCTGCCCTTGAGCCTGTACGATCCTGCCTTGGGGAAAGGGCGCTCCGGTAGGGTGGTGCCAGGGACATACGGAATAGATCAGGGAATTTTGTCAGCCACGGGACGTACAGCATAGTACTTGGAGGTTTGCGACTAGTAAACGTCGCCAGGACCATCCGGACGTCCCGATCACCAGGCTCATTGGGTGGAAGCAGGGCAGCGCTTCTCACCGCCACACGCAGGCGCAACAGTAGACGAGCTTGTTCGCGTCGAGCGACCACTTCGGATCCACCTGGCCGCCCCCCTGCGGATCGTTCAGCACGCAACTCCCCAACTCGCCGAATCCGGGCTCGTTGACCTTCTGCCCGTAATCAGACCCGCGATCACCGTAGTCGTTGAGAACAGAGGGGACGAAGAATGGGTTTTGCTCCTTGTTCCGTGTGACCGATGTCTCACTGGTATATTGCGCATACCCGAGAGGAAAATCTGGCGATCAGTCCCGCGCGCATCCATGATCATAACAAGGAATAATCTTCAAGGAGCTAGTATTAGATGTGGCAAAACAAAACAGGCGCTTGTCCCTTTCTATAGTTCCTAAACACCACCTGTTACAGGAGCACGCGAGGCAAACAGAGAACGGCAACCAGGGGAATCCTTGTTTGCTCGCAGACTGCAGAACACATGTTACACATGCGCCGTGGGGTGCAGCCATGTGGCCAAGCGAGCCGAGCAAATGCGTCTCCTGCAAGTGGCGCACACCCTAGCCCGTCTCGTTTTCGTTTCCTTGTCCTGCTTTGGTTAGTGTATCCCACATGGTGTACTCGTACTCGTCTGTAGCCACACGTCGGCCCATTGCGTGACGTTCTAAATCTGACATCCTTCTTCAATAAATTTCTTCGTACTAACTATATAGGGCTCTCTATACTCCGTAGGTACGGAGTACCCACTCGGTGCGCCCGCCAAAAACTTGAATGGGCCGCGAAATTAGCAACCACGTAGATATAGGTTCCTTTGTCAAAAATGGAGCTGGAGGGAATCGAACCCCCGACCTTTCGCATTCCATTTCGCGTACGTATTTGTATGCGCACTGCAAAGCGAACATTATACCATTAAACCACAGCCCCGTTTACGTAATACAATCACTTTTGAATTATAATAGGGCTGGCGTCTTTTGTCTGGCATCATTTTACCGTAATAGGAATGAGAAAATTAAACTTTTGCGGGAGTAACCTTATGCTAGTGTATTCCCACGTTTAGATCATGGGTGAAATAAAAGTCGCTTCCAACAGAGAGAGACATTGATGACGCCATTTGGAGGTCTCGGAGTGCCACGTCTATATTGTTTGCGGCGGCAGCGGCAGCTATCCAAGACGCAGGGAAGACCCTGGTCGTGTTTTGTTTGTATGCAAACAACTATGTGTTTCTAACACTGGTTATGTAAGGAGCAGTTAGCATCTTTCATTGTTCGTGAAGCTACCAGGTTTCTATTTCTTATTTCACTACTCAGTTGCTTGGGGTTTTTATAGGCAAGCGGCCTAATGTTTTCTGTCCCATACTTTTATATTTCCGTGCTGAGACTTTGCCATGTACGAGGCTTAGCGAAGGACCACGTTTAATCTATAAAAGCTTCGCTCATCACAAAGCAGGTCGGGCCCTTAACTAAAGACTAGAACTTTGAGCTGAATTTAGCGATAAGGTTAGCGCGCGAACACGCGCAGCCAAGGAGAGACCCCTCACTCTCAAGCGCCAGCCAAGGCCTGGTTTTCTTAATCGATCGGTCAAAGACCAAGAGGACCAGGTTTAAAAGATGCCCACTGGCATTAAGGCTGCATGACCTCTCCCTCTGTCAATTCTACGAAAATAATGTTCAAACAGGATGCTTGCACGTCTTCCACCACCACTGCCAGAATAGCCATATCACTGCCCCTCCGCGGCCTCTTCGCGATAATCAAAACCATGCATGCATCTACCCAGCGCAAATGGACAAGGAAGCTGGTCCGCTTTATAAAAAGTCCGCTCCCGCCCCCAGTGCCGCCACAAGTCAAATCCCATGTATAAGGCGATCACGAACGGATACATCAAAGTTGTTAAATACCTGCTCTTCAAGCACGACTTCTCTATCAACACTAACTCAACTAACCTTCATAAGCAATCAGGGCTTGATATAGCCGCCGAGAAGGGAAGTTTAGAGATGGCCAAGCTCCTTCTTAGAGACAGCGCTGGTACGTTCCGGTCTTCCGCATGCGGGCTGGATTTGCACAGCTGTTTGGGATGATCATGAGGAGGTTACGGCATTCTTGCTGGCTGAGATGAAAAAGATAATATGCGGGGGACCTCCGCTGGCTGAACGTGAGTGGGCATGGTACGACGGTTGTGGTAGAGGATACCAAGAAAATGGCCCGCCAAGATGGGAGTGTCGTGACGCTGTCGCAGGCAGAATATCACACTGTCTTACGTGACCGGTGTTGATAACTGCTATAGAGACGCAGAACATTTGACTGGCGAACTTCTCATTCTGCAGCTGCCCTCGCTTAATGTCGAGCGCGTATAGTTCTTCCAAAAGCTGCGGAGGCGAAAAGTGTGGAATTACTGAAGCTTCTGCTGCGACGCGGCGCTGACCCGAGTATCACTCGAGCCAATGGAGAATACAACCTGACGCTATCGGCTGCGGAGCTGGGGCAATTGAGATCCCGAAGGCTCTCGTCGATGGAGGGGCGGACCCCGATTATCCTGAGGGCAACGGCCGGACCTTGTTGTTCCTTGCTGCGGAGAAGGGATCTGCTTAGACGATCCATGTTCTACTCGTCCATTGCGCTGATGTTGGAGTGCGTGATTTGGTGTGGTGCTAGAAGCCATTGGATTGGGCTGTACATGTGGAGCAGACTGATATTGTGAACGTATTGCGGCCTCTTACACCGGCTGATTACTGATCTGCAGACAACAAACAGCATGAGCAACTGGCAGAGCGTCAATACGCCGCGGTATACCGTGTCTGTCTTAGTGTCTAAGGTCTTATTCTTTAAGCAATTTCGACAATACCTCACTGTCCGAAAATTTGAAGCTTTGTCTAGCTGAATCACATGCTGCTCGAAAGCCCTATGCCCCAAGGCCACATGCGTTGTAGTGGAACAGTAGCCTGGAGTAGACCAGCGCTTTTCTTTATACACGTCGACGAGGCGTCTAGTGAGTTAGGAAACCAGCTCGTCGTCGAACCGTCTGATTCGACACCTACCAAGTCTAGGGGGTTGAAACTCATTGATGGGCCGATGCTACTGAGATTCTCGGGGAAGGGAACAGCATCTTACGCCAGGTAATATCCGTTTTAGTCCATGAATTGCATGTGTTGGTATTGGTTTTGTGCGCAAGTTGATCAGCTGCGCATGAGATATGCAGCATAGAGACTCCTCATTATATACACAAAAGCCAACAACCTCCAACTAACATAGCCCAGCTATCATCCGTCCTCCAACCGGATACGCTGAAGTTGATCATCACCTCAGCCTAAGCAGACGGCTCCATCTCCTCAAAGCGTCGCAGATCCATCGGCTTCTCCAGCAGCGGAATCACATAGGGGTCGAAGGTCTTCCAGTACGGGTTCTCCAGGTGATACTTCTGGGACCCCTCGTTCAGGTAGCGCTCGACGATGGTGAAGTCTTGCTTATCGTGGACCGACTGCATCACGAACCAGGACAGAGTCTCCTTGTCCTTGGAGTACACGGCGGATGCCTCCTGGAGCTTTGCGGCCAGCTTGGAGATGCTCTCCTCGTCGGGCTTGGCGCGCATGTCTGCCAGAAGCAATTACGTCATTTGTTAGCTGGTCTCTTGCTCGTTATTGCGGGAGTTGGGTTGTTGTTCGCGTTGAAATAAGCGGATACAAGAGGAAAGCTAAAATGATACGTACGGACAACGATTGTGTAGACCATGGTGACTTTTGATGGGTCAATGTGTGTTGACACTGGTGTTGGAGGGGAAGCCGGATCGAGGGGCAGTTGTGTTGATTTGTTTATAAAAGGCGGTAACGCGCCGCAAGCTGCTTACTTGAGATTCTGCCAGTGTGGGCCGGGAATTCCAAGCGAGAGAGCCACACGCATCGCATCACAAGCTGTGGTTCGGGAACTCGCAGATAAGCACGTATTCATTAGCAACTATAAATCAACTACGTGTCCTCAGGGGAGCGCAAATTCGCGGAAGACTTCCTCAGGGCCCCCACTCACCGCACTATCTTGGGGCGCGTGTGCGCTCGCCCAGGAGATAAGCCAGGTAAACTAAGCTTACCCTAAGCCGGGCGTAATCTCATCGTAATTTGAGAAAGTTGCGAGATGCAAGATGTTGGAAAAGTCCTCCCTAGTCTTACAGGCTTGGAGCATGGTGCCGAGATTATGGGGTTCCAGACATTCTAAGTCTTTGTATTTTTGTGGTTCTCTTCATGCTGAGCGACCCCGTTGACCGGTTGCTCGATATATATCTTAATGGGATGAAGCTGCGCGTGCATCATCACGCGCCTGCTAAAGCATAACTACATCAACGCCGGCACATATCTCTTTCCCGTAGGAGCTGACTGAAGAGGCAGATACGAGGATTCTTTGGGTCTACGTGAGCGAGAGCTAATTATGGAGTGGGCAATTAGTGATCGCGCTAGACAAGAGTCAGATCAATGACGCCCCAACCAGGGGAAATCAGGACTCGAGCTTGCCCAGGATGAGCACCAACATAATCTGCCACCCTAGCCATATCAGTGTCTGCGATCCACCGCAGCTCCCTTTATGCGCAGGAACCCGGGCGTGGCCAGAAACCCCAATCGCAGTACCCCTGCACGCATTCCACTTTATACCGTTGTATCTAGAATATTACTATTGTTATCTGTACCATTACATCGCACCCACACTCAGCTCCACACTTCTATGCTACTTAGACAAGTGAATGGAAATAGAAGCTTATTAAGGCGACCCTCAGCGCGGCTGAGGGGGTCACCAGCAGAAGGACATGATCTGGGAATCAGGTCTGTCCAGCCTGACGTCTAGCATGACCCCTCTTGCGGCGAGGACACTCGGCCTTTTGCGGGGCTTCGGTTGCCTCGGGCTGAGGCTCATACGCGACGGGCTCGGAATCAGAATCCTCCGCCATCATGGCAAGACTCTCTTCATAGTCACTGGTGCCATGGCCCGGGTCCACATCAACAGGAGTACAACTCGGCAGCTCAGTCCTGGGTCCCGTAACGACCTGGAACTCCCTCTTATCGGTCGCCAGCATCATATTCTCCGCCGCCTCGGGCAACCACCCATTGATAAAGTCGGCATGAAAACTGTACGAATTGCCACTGGCCAGCTGGAGAGGTGCCTCCCCCGACCAACCATTTGGCAAAACCTCCGACGTATCGAATCGAATCGAGAACCGCAGCTGCGGGATACGCTTCATACCATCGGGGCAGCGGTTCGGGTTTGCAAGCCACGCGCGGCTCGAATAATCATACTCCAAAGTTTCCGGGTTCACGCAATCGGGAAACAGAATCTGCGTCTGGAGCCGACCAAGCTCACATCCTGCGTTCGGCCACCCATTGGAGTCGGGGGTTGTCTCGGGTCCGTATTCGCACCACCAGCTCATGTTGATGAGCTCGTTGACTTCCTCGGCGGATGTTGCTTTGGCGTTCCCGGTGACGGCTTTGAAGTCGGTCGGGAAGGGGATTTCGGCGTCGCCGATGTTGTTGTAGTACGCCTTGAAGTAGCGCGCTTCGATGGGGACGAGAGATCCGCCGCTGTTGGCGTAGAGGGTCGGGTGCCCTGATTCCGATTGCAATTAATAGGTGTATTCATGTGGCCGCCTGCCTTAGCGACGGTGATTGCACTTACAGTAGACGGAGAGATCATTCGGGTTGTCATTGGTGGAGCAGCCTCCCAGGAGTTCCTCGGTGGTCGTAGTGTTGGCAGTGACCGCGTCGTTGCCGAAGAAGCTGTGCATGTGGCTCGTGTACTTTCCCGGCAGCACAATCGAGTCAATGTTCTTGTGCATCACATAGCCAGAGTTGACGATGGTGTATCCCTGCACCGAACCAGCGGTGGCGAGGAGAACGAGAGTAGAAATGAACATGGTTTAAAAGAACGAAAAGAGTGTCGAGTAAAAAACAGCTAAGAAATGAATGACGGGTTGAGAAAGCACACCCGTACGAAAAGATGGAAATTGGTTCCAAGACCCTTTTATAGTCGGCTACGAGTCATACCTCACGACGATCTTCTGACAGCATAGACAGGAGAGATTAACTCAAGGGTTCAACCGTTCAAACAGTCTCCGTCTTAAAATTTACCCGCGTTTGGGTGTCGCAGGTTAAATGCAAATGGGGAAACGGAGCGAGGACAGCGAAGGGTACGACGTGCTAACCCGGTCTAAGCAGCCCTACAGGGATGGTGCGACCAGGGGCATCTTGGCTGTCCCTGGTTGAAACGATCGGCGCATCGGGTATCGAGAGGTGGGCCATTTGTCCCTGGGCGCTAAGCTAGTAATGTGACAGCCATTGAAGCCAGTAGGTACTAAATATGTCTCGCTTGAAAACATATCTCGGAGTTTCAGATATAGATCGCCCGAACCATGGCCGGAACATAGTGCAACGAGGTATCGGAACCGAGCACCAAATGTCGTCAAGCCGAAAGCCGCACTCCACGGAATGGCCAGCCAGGGCGGAAAGTTCGGGGTTGACCCCGTCCATCTGGAGAAAACTGGGAGCTGCTATGCTTGAGAGCACTAAGCCTTATGGCTCTTACGCACTGACAACACAACCGCTATACAGTATTCGAGGAGTCACTCAGTAGGTGCGCTACGCAGTCGAGTACCCCAGGAGTAGCTCCATCAACCGATTCGACCATAGTAAAGAATAAATTCACAAATCAGGCACTAGCACAACACCAGCCTCTAGACACACACCAATGTGTCAAGTCGTCCTACAAAACAATTAATCAAACTACACCCCCGTCAGCCAAATAGAGTGCTAAAGACAGAGTCTCCACACTTAGAGAACGATCAACTTCGTTCGTCTTCGTATGTTTTGCGAAAGTATATGATGAACAGAACTGCCCGGAGCCGTACGGGAATCAACCGTGTTAAGACCTTTCCCGGATGTCATATAGCGTGGTGCTGCTGGGTCTTGATGGGAAAACTGGGCGGCGTACTATGACTGAGACAGCCATTTAATAAGCATAGTATAGGCAGCGTGTGATAGAAAGCGCAATACTCACTCAGGAAAATCATTTGTCTGGAGCTAAAGTGTAATCCCACTTTGCCTAGCTGATCCTGAAGGCGAAAGGGACATCTAACCGCTCGGATGGAGTGATAACACTCTCAAGGCAAAGGCACAATGCCTATGCACGATAACGATCAAATCTGCCCGTAGCAACGATCTCCTCAAGTAACCTAGAAAGAGACCCCCGTCGGTGTATGATTGTAGGCCCGCAAACCGGGGCCACCTGTGCTTCGCCTTGTTCGGCTTTCAGCTTCTGGCAGACAGAGTTCATGTTGGAGGGTGCCGCCAGCTTCACAAACTCCAGTAGATCAAATACCAATCGCTCGTCGTTCTCGCCTTTGTCCAACCTATCCTCGCAGTGTTGGCGGGGAGCATCCACTTGTTCATCTGCATGGCTGAATAAGGGAAGTATTCGCACCACAAACTGAACATGATAATCAACATCGAACTGCAGGAACTCTCTGAGTGATGCAAACCATCGGGCCTCCTCGTAGCGCCTAGAGGTGGTCAAGAAGAAATTCTCCACGATCGAATATAGGAATATCACCCAGACGGAGATGGCAGGTTGGGAGGGTGGTATTGGTGCCAACTCCTCCCAGTCTTTGCCAAAGGGATAGATCGGCTCCATGGCCACCATCTCTGTCGGGGTCCGTCCTTCGTGCAGAAGTTCTTGTACTAAGTCCCTGCTCCCGGACCGAGAAGCAACGAGCAGCAGGTTTGGACCAGAGATCGCATTCTGCTGCTTCAGTTCCTTTATCAGGTGAGGCGAAATAAACTGTTGCAGCCCACCACGCCATAACACCTCACATAGAAAATCCAGTGAATGGTTGGACTCCCTTAAAGTTAGCCACACCCTTCCCATGCGTTGCAAGTTGTGACCCCAGATATGACCTTTGATGTCTAGGTCGGTGCCGCGGACTTGTATCCTGCGTTCTGGCGTTTGGGTGTGATGGTGAAGAATACGGCTGGCCTCTTCGAAGTATCGTGATGGCATGTTGTATCCGTATCCGGATTCTGCATCCTGTATCACAGTGAGAAGCATCTGGGTGGCCTTCATGATAGTGCCTCCTTGGACCCCAAGTACCCCATGTACCCTTGGTCTGTCATCGTGCACCGTTGGTAACGCAAATTTAAGCTCGGCAAGCAACAGGCGGAATATTCTGGGGAGCACATCGGAGGCAGGCATACGGGCATCCATCTGAGCTTTTCTGGTGTTTAAAATGTACTCCCGGGCACTACGATGGAGAAACTGGACGTTATGCGTGAAGTAGTCATGTCCGTCTGTTTCACGGTCACGTTTTCGGGACATCTCAAGAAGTCCTCTGGAAAGGCGATCTAACAAGCACGAAACACGCTCCAGTCGCTCGTCGATTTCCTTCTCCGCGTAGGGCCGCATCGGGGTTTCAAATGGAAAGTTCGGATCGTCAAGGTCCTCCAACCACGAGTATGCAATCCCGTTCTGGACGACTGGTTGCCAGTGCGAGAGATTGGGAGTGGTCAAGAGGAACAATTGGTCCGACAGAAGCTGATCGTCAGGGTCGATGGAGCCCAGAAGCTGATCAAACAGCTCATCCAACCCTCTGGGCAGCAATTGGAGTTTTCTCCGCAGCTCCTTCTCACTGGCCTGATACCCAACACCCTTCAAGAGCGAGCGGACAGCCATCCTGGACCATAGGAATACCCCATCAGATGCGTTGACCAGCTCAATCGTCAAGTCCTTGTATGTGTTTTGAATGCGATGAAAATTAGGGTCTTTCTCAAACATCACCACGGTAAACTCGGAAATATCCAACCAGGTGAGATCATGGATACTGATCTGGTGATTGAACTCTTTTGCAAAGGAGCGAATGAAAGGAATATGGGGACGACTGCTGACGCACAGTTTGGTGTTTTTCGCTTGGGCTGTCCAGGACACGAGGTCCTGTGATAGACGCCAGTGGTCAACCTCGTCGCCCTCAAACTCGTCCAGACCATCGATGAAGAAGCAGAAATAGCTCTCGGAGGAGGTTGCCTCGCGGATCAGACGATTGAATGCGGTCTTGACCTCGTCAAACTGTATAGGGGCAGATATAAGGCTTGGATCCCGCCAGATCTCAGGAAAGATCTGAGGAATCAGGTCCGGCATTTGCCTGCACGTCTCGAAAAGCAGACTTCGATATAGTCCTTCAAGAGACATCTGCGTCGCATCGCCCGAGTTCCAGAAGAAGAATCGAACAAAAACCAAGGAATGCCCCTTAGCCCAAGTTTCTAATTCCTTTTTCACCCGCGGAGACTTGGCGAGGAACTTCATCAACGTAGATTTGCCCGATCCTGCTTTGCCGGAGATGTGGAAGATGTGACGACCGGAGTTGAGCCAAGTGAGAAAGCCTTCTCGAGCACGCTGTCTCTGGACTTGCTGCTTCGTCTTTTCTTTCTCGTAAGTCCTCCATTGGTTCACCTTTTAAGGTCCTCCTCCTCAGCGCCAGTAGGAGGATTACCCAGGTCAGTTGCATGTTCGCAGCATTCGTCAACCATCCATGCGAAAGTGTTACTTTCGGCGCGTTCAATGCTCCCTTCGCGGCTGTACATCGATGGAAAGGCTAGACGCTCTAGAACTTTGTTTTGCCGCGAGAGCGAAATTGTGACGGACTGCAATTCCGATAGCGAAGTGCTCAATTCGGCCAACAGTCCCTCTTTTGGCCCCTGGAAGTGGCCCTGACCTGCGCCAGACTGAAGAGATATCACCCGCGTTGAAATAAAACCGTGTAGGTCATCCAACTGGGAAGCCGTCCTATTCTGAAGAGCTCTGCCCTCATTTCGTAGAGCTTCCAGTTGGGCGTTGGCCAACTCGTTGTGCTGATTGATCTTTTGACTATAATACTTTCAGTTTATCCTCCTATAGTCACTGTTATGGCGGCCAAACCTGAACATGACCTGCAATCGGATCAGAATCTGAGCCTGATAGCCATTCAGTCGTCGCTCAATCGCCTCAATCTCCTTCTCCTTTCGCATGCTGCGCCACTTGACTCTCAAGGCATCCCATTTCGAGTTTCTATCTCCAACCCTCAACCGTCGAAGGATCTGCTGCAGCTCCTCTGAGAACGTATAACAACCAGTAGCCAGAGCACACATCACATCCCCAATATGGACATCTAGAGGACTTAAAAATGTACACTTTAAAGGATAATACAGGATTATGTATAGTCGCACAAGAGTTCCATTGGCTTTTAAAAAACCCGTAGGATAACCAAATGCAAATATCCTGCACCAGAGAAACATATAAACACTATTTATCACCAGACAGTGAGACACTGGGAGAACAAGAATGTCATTAGAGCTCCATAAGGGGTACTGCGCCGGAATCTCAAGGGTCCAGGGAACCACACCTCGTAGTAGTGCATAGTAAGATTAGCGGGTTGGGTGGATCAAATGCATGATGTGATACGCAATGGCCATTACCATTACCTGCCCTAGGAGTCACGGGTAAAAACACCAAAAACATACGATAGAAGGAGTATGGTGGTCTTCACTAGTCCTTGCTTTAGTTGGGAAGCGTGGCTTGGGTAAGCTTTACTTAGTTGTATTTCTTATAATACTAAAAATCATATATGCGGGAGCTCTGACAGACGCCAACAGGCTTCCCGGCTCCACTGGGAGTGGTCTCAGATATCATGGTCAGGGGGTGGAGCGCCAGCAAGGAGCCCGCGTCAGCGTGGTGGGGGTGGCGGGCAAGGCAGGTAGGTGTGTGCGGCGCCGACGGCGGGCGGCAAAGGGAATGGATAAATAAAAGGAGGAGGAGGGAGAGCGAGCGATCCATGGGTATGTAGTTATATATATGTCTACTCAGCACTTCGTGGCAGGACCCTGACCACGCGAAGGTCGTGAGGGCCGTCGTAATTCCGCGTTGGGTGCGACACGGGGAGGGGTAATGGACCACCATGTGACCTACAAAAGTACGTAGAGCTTTTTTCCTCGGAATCACAGGGACTTTCCACCCAATCCCCTGCGTATCCTCCATCATTAGCCAGGCCCTGATCATGCCGTTCGACTACCGCGGGGGTATCTTTGAAGCCCTTCCAGTGGAAATCTGGAACCTCATCATTGACTTTGTAAGTTACCTCATATGTCACAGCATTGACTAATCCTGTGCTATGCAAGCTCCGTTGGGACCCTTGGTCAAGTCTTTACGCCCTTAATCTCGCTTGCCGGGGTTTCCACGAGATCATGCCCCCTGTGTTGTTCAAGACAGTCCATATCCATTTTCCTAGGCATGGGGGTGGAGATCCTAAACTGGATGCCCTTCTCAACCCAGACTGGGGAAGGCGGGTACACCATCATGTTCGGATTCTCATTGTATCCCACGGTCATGCGTTTAAAGGGGATTACAGTGAACTGATCAACACATTGGTGGAAGGACTACCAAATCTTGAGATCATTAGGTACTAGATAAATCGCTTAATAGCGCTCCCTTTGCGCTAACGTGGGCAGATGCCGGCATACTCCATTTCCCCCGGGTCTTTTGTCGAACCTCACGAGCAGACATTCTCCTCCGGTATTCTATTACGAAGGGGATCTCAAGGACCTTGAGACGATCAATGATAGGGCCGCGCCCTTTATCAAATCAGCGAGCCTTACTTTGAACACAGTCAGCGCAAGAAACGTCGATGCAGATCCACACTGTGTAGCCCTGCGTAGTCTGCTTCCCTCATTGTCGAACCTTAGTCGATTAGCTCTCCAATATCGCGCTCCAGGTGCTGAAAGGTCAAGGCCAATGCTCGACCTCCCCCCCGGCAGCACCTTGCCGTCTGTCGAGGACCTTGTATTGACAAATTTTAGCTTCAGCGCTGACCAAGCAGCTAGTTGGACACGGCTACTGGAGGCTGGAACCAGGCTTCGCAGGCTGGCGTTAGATGGCACGATTCTTGATCTATGCCAGTTTATTCACCAGCTATCGAGCTCTGGTGTTCCCGGCGGCCTAAGGTCTTTCTCCCTTCGAGTCCAGGACACCTCGTCTCGACTCACGGATTCCGCTGCTGGAGTCCACGATACCTCGCCCCGAATCCCCCCGCAGCTAAGCGAAGCCGTCACCTCATTGCTACATCGTACAACCAACCTCACGGAATTCCTAGCGTACGATCTCCCAAAGCACATCCTCCACATCGTGGTTTCTTCCCACGGAGGCAACATTCGCCGTCTAACTTTCAGACGCACCAACTTTACGGGACTACAGCTTGGCGGCCCTATATACCCACCTACGGGTGTCACCTTGCTGCGTGAGAGCTCCGCCTACAAAGGAAGTCTGTTCTCACCGGATGAAATGCAGGATTTCGCCCGGAGGCTCCCACTTCTTGAAAGACTAGGGATCGACATCTGTTTCGCCGGTGACTTGGTAAGTCTGCGGAATCATGACAGGCACCATAATACCGCCTTGGTTACTAACAACCTGCTCTACCCAGCACCTCGATATCCTTCACGCCATAGCCTCGTTTCCCAGTCTGAAATTCGTTGAACTCAATACGCCTCACCCCAATGTCCATCCCCACTGTCGGCGGAGACCCTCTTCCAAACAGTGGCTCGATTGTTCTTTTGCCGAGAAGGCATTCCGGCATATCGCGGACCGGAAAGACGATCTGTGCCGTAGAGCAGCAGCAGACGGTATGGATAATCGATCCTGGTCGAGGCTGATGGGCCTGGATATTAAAGAGGGCGAGTGGGAGCCGCTTGTATCAAACTACCGTTTATTGAAAGTACATGGTCGCATATATGCATGCTGGCGCAATACTGCTAGAGCCCAGGGAACGAAGGTACATACGCTGGAACTGCCCTGTAAATATGAGGGATATCGCCGCTGCATCGAGGATAACATGTATGAGCAAACAATGATCGCAGCCGGGCTCTGGGCCACAGCACATGCGGATTGTGGACCAGCAATTTGGTGAACTTGTCTGGGTAAGAAATAAGGAACACATAAGGATTGGGACTCTCGACCATGTCCGAAATTGCTCCAAGGGCCCTCTTGCCTTGTAGCCACGGACTGTTGTGTTATCTATCATTCACAGGTTGGCGTATGGATTGTAGACAGATCGGTCAAGTGCACGAAAATCTTCAAGTGAGTGCAGTTTCTAGATGTGGTCTCCTATTCTTCACATGTGCTGTCTGTAGGGTAGCTGTCGTTAATGGCGAGTGATATGAGACTCGCCGAATTCTAGCGTTCTCTAACCCCGAAGAGAAGAACAGCTACCTAGGCACAGCAACTTCTCATATATCATATTATTAATCCACCAGTATAGGAATTTCAACAAAATATATCATATTCCTAGTAGTTTTACGTGGTGCCTTGGTCTGGGTGCCTGGTTCTGTTTAGGATGCATGCATGGCTTCCAAACCAAGTTCCCTGCCCCATTTACCTTTATACAAGTAAGATGCTTAATCCTCTACCCAGTCTATGATTATATCTTGGCTTATTGTTTGCTCTTGCCAAGTGACGTCAGTATTCATCCAGCTTTAGGCAACAATCGGCTGCCCGTGTAGCCTGCGTGTCATGAATACGAGCGTCCCCGCATTAATATCCCCGCGTCTTCTCCGAGATTCCTCTTCCTCGATATCCCACAAGGGCCCCAAGATTATATTTTTTTTGCTCTCAAGCAAAACGGTATTTCGATCGAAATGCCCACCAAAACCCTTACAGCCCGCTGCCACTGTGGCGCCACCCACTTTACCGTCACCATCCCCACCTCTTCGCTCCCTCTGAAGACTCACCTCTGCCACTGCACAATCTGCCGGACTGTGCATGGTGCTCCAGCTGCATTCCACGCCCACCTCCCCGACGGAGTTGTACCTGAATTCGTTTCCCCATCGGGTCTCGATAAAACAACAAGGTACAAACACTCGGAGGCAAAGGCATACCGCCATTTCTGTTCCACGTGCGGGTGTCATATCGGTGATCGTGCAGAGAACAGCGATCGCTGGTGCATATCCGTCTCAGTATTTGATGCAAATGCAAACGAGGGCGCTTGGGAAATCGCTGAGCATGTATACACTTTGTCTACCAAGGACGGAGGTCTCGCGGCCTTGTTACCGACTATCGCTGGGAAGGAGTTGAAGGTTTGGAATCCTGAGCATGGTGGCGAACCCGGGAGAATCAACGACGCGCTTGCGCCTTTGGGTGGTGCGAAAGACGATCATGATACGCTACTCGCAAAGTGCCACTGCGGGGGCGTCTCCTTCAACATTAGCCGCCCGCGAAAGGAATTTGTTGAATCTCCAGATGGCGAGAAATGGGTGATGCGGTCTGATCCAACAAAGTGGCTTGCTAGCCTTGATGCTTGCCGCGATTGTCGGCTTGTCACTGGTGCACATGTAATTGGTTGGCTCTTTGTTCCCTCTGATCACATCTCGCCTCCCCTGCCTGAGGATTTGCTTGTCGGAACGTCAAAACGGTACAACTCAAGCCAAGATGTTTATAGGACATTTTGTGGACGGTGTGGGGCAACAATATTCTACAGTGAAAGCGGCAGACCTGGTATTGTGGATGTGGCAGTGGGCATTTTACGCCATAAGGAAGGGGTCATGTTGGGTGACTGGGCGTTGTGGAGGACAGGCAGACTCGGATGGGCTGATGACGGGGTCAAGTACGATGAAGGTTTCGCCAGGAGCCTAGCAGAGGGCCTGCAGGAATGGGGAAGGAAAACGCATGGCGAAGTAAGGGATTTTCAGGTCGGGACCACAGGTGTCAATTCGAAGATGGAGTAGATCGACGTCCGGGACTCAGGGCGCTGGTCAGGGGTTTTCATCGATTTCATGTCCTCTAGGATAATTAAAAAGATCAAACAAGGGTAGATTATTATCCTGGTCTTATACTATTTGCGTAAGTGGAAACTCCAGCTGGCGTAGGGGTGTGAAAGGCAATGGGGCCGTTAGTGTGTTGTGCGGGCACTGATTGCATGGCATCCCTTATACTAAAGGACTCAAAGCGGGCCCATGGAAAGATGCATGTCCTGGCCCTGGTCAATCAGCCTCCTGTATATTGCCTTATACGTATTCATCAACAGCGCATTCCATTTCAATGCCTGCAGTCGCGTAGGCTCGCGCTAAACAAATAGTTATAGGCTCCCAAGATGATAGCTAGCCACTGCAGCCTGTGCTAGATAGTCGCCAAACTATGAATATAAGGTAGATCTGGGCGAGGATCTTATAATCTCTCTTTGCCTTAACACGGCCCATGATGAGCGCAAGGCCAGGCGAGGCGTTGTCGTAGCAGCTGTTATCTAATCCAGCTCTCTGAAGTGGTGAGCTCCCATTATTACTAAAGGAGCCATTGTTTAAAAGTATCTCACCTTTCAACGCCAGAGGAGCGGACTGAATTGGTAATCCTTGACTACCAGAAAGAAGTGAGAAGTAATAGATAGACTAATTAAGGCCTAACGCCCGGGCGGAATATCAAGAGGAATAACCTGGGTAAGAATTCTGGTGCATATCAGTGGTCCTTGTGACGATTACTCCTATTTACCACTAGATATAGATATGGATGCTTCAGGCAGCTCCATATAATCAGTCACGTCGGGGTTGCTGTTGTCAACTTCTTACCCCTAGTCAGAGTTTTGACCACCATGCTTAGTATCCTTGGTGAACCACACCTTAGTGATATTATTATCAATATTATTACTTTGCTTGATCTGTCCATTACAGTCCTAATATATATTGGGAAAGGGAGCTTTAATTCTAGTTCACATGCATACTGTAACTAGAGCAGAAGCTACAATGCGGAAAGAAGAAATATTGACAATTTACACTTTCTCATCAAGTATCTCAGTAAACATCAATTGCAGCTGCGAATCCACGCCGCCCACCTTCCATGCCTCCCTATCCTCCTTGCTAACACAGCCCTGCCCCGCCCAATCCTCCATCGCTGTGCTCTGCACCACAATCCCGGGGATACACTTAGCGGGCCGCATCCGCAAACCAGTTAGAATGCTCTGTAGATGGTCCCCTGCCTTCCCACCACCCCTCCCTCCATACGTCACAATCCCCGCGGGTTTCCCCGCCCACTCGTGGAACAAATAGTCCAGCGCATTTTTCAAGCTGGCGGGGATACTCCAGTTATATTGCGGCGTCACAAAGATGAATGCGTCGTACTGCTGGATGAGTCGGGACCAGGCGCGCGTGTGCTCATGGACGTAATGTGGGGTGGCATCGGATCTGGGGGGGTGCAAGGGGATTGCGGGCTCGTTGTAAAAGGGGAGGTTTTGGTCCGCGATGTCGATTATGGAGACCTTGCCGGTCCACTTTGTGGTCTTTATATGTGAGTCAAGGACTTCGTGGGCGTAGCCTGTTATAAAGGGATTTATGCGCGGTTCCCTGGTACTGCATGTTATCAGGGCGATGTTTGTTGGTGCCATGATGTCGTTGCCGAGTTTGTAGACTGCTGGATGGTGCAGCGAAAACGGCAAAATAACAGAGAGAACTCGGAAAACAGACGGACAGGAAAACAGTGATTGGTAACTATTGATCTAGAATCATGTGCTGGGTTCCTTCTATATGTACAATCGAGCACGGTGCCACATGCCACGAACAAATCAGCCAAGTGTTACCAACCGTGACTCATACAAGAGCCCCATCCCTTGGGAAGCACAAACTAACTAGTATACTGCCTAGTAGGCAACAAGCTTTCTCCATGTGGCGTGGGCGCCCCACCTTCGCAACTCTACAAACCATTCTCATCCTAGGAGATACTTCTGGACACGTTCACCTTCGAGACAATCTTCCCCTCAACAATCTCAGTCTCCAGCTCCCCCAAATCAAACCTCCAAGCGCGCGCAACCCTCGCATCTGCTTGAGGCACCTTTCGATATGCATCTTCATCATACCTGTCATTCTCCTCCTCAAACGTAAGGGTAGCGTCCCCAACCCGCTCCCCATTTCCCGTCACCTGATCCTCCCTGGCAAAATACAGGGACGAATGCGGGTAGAGAGACAAGCCGACACTCATATACTCCAAACGGGGCATATGCCGCGCCGCGTACCCGAGAGAAATGAGGCTCAGACGGTACAGTTCGGACTTTAACTGTGAGCGCCAGTAATACGCATCTTCGCCGACAAGTCGGTGGACTTCCTCGCCGTAGTCGAAGTCTGGGTCGGCGAGTGCGTCCATGTCGATTCCGGGGTCTTCGACGTTGGAGTCTGGGTCTAGGAGCCATTCGCCTGTTTTTGGATTAGTACGGTCGCTTCCCGCGTCATAGCACTCCGGGGCAATGGCAAGGAAGGAGATGAACGGAGATGGGAATGATTTAAGAGGTGGGACAGGTATACCAGAGGGAAGAAAATTCGGCCGAGTAATGATGATTTCGGAAAGATTGGGCCACCCAAGCCGCTCTCCAGGTCTTGGTTCGCCGTTGTCGTCGAGCGGGCACAAGAAGTCATTTGCAACGGGCACTTCGTAAAGGTGTAGCTGGCGGAGACGGGCACTGAGGCGCCGGAGATTCGTTGACAGAAGATCATTTTCATCAGCGAACAGGACTGGTGCCGGAAGACTGTCGTGCAGGACTTCCGCAGTGAGAGAACTGATATCAAGTGTCTGAAGTGTGGCAGGGAGGTCGAGGAGGCTCTCTGCAAAACCTGTCCAAACAACATTCTTAGCCTATTCCCCAACTCGCCGGTCGAATACAAGCAAAAGGGTGTAAAAAAGAACGGGCGACCAAAAAGGAATGGATGGCCTCGTACCTCTCCGTCGCTCCAGCGCGTAATCAAAATGCTCCGGTCTCGCGACATCGTCCACTTCCCATCGAAAGTAAGACAAAGTCGGACAGGCCTGTGCAATATAGCACGCTGTCTCGAGCCGGATGTGCTTCGTATCGTGATACGGCTCATGGCCTGGACCCTTGCCAAAGGCGTACCAAGCTCCATCAGCGACGATTTGGTCCACACATAGTACGCGAGGTAAAGGACACTTATTGTCAGCAAGCTCGGCCCTATACGGGCGCACGACCCAGTGACCTCGCGCTCCGTCGGGCCTGTCCCAGGGGTTCAACGACACCTCTGTGCCTGGCTCGTGGCCGACCTCGCGGCCGAGAGTCTCCATTTTAAGGGTCACGCGGGTCTCGGCGGGTATCGTGGTTAGAAGGTTGAAGAATTCCACAATTGCGGCTTGGAACGCGGCGTTGTTTGCGCGTGTTGTGGCGTTGTCGGGCGTATACGTCTGTCGAGCCTCCTCAGTTATTACGCCTTGACAGTCGGGCAGATCGAACGGTAGGATCACGCGGTACCGAATTTCCTTCAGCATACTCAGCCGAGCACGGGCGTGGTCCGAATTAGACGTTATCGCCCGATAGTGAGCGAGCGAGATGTTGCCCTTTCCAGTCTTGAAATCTTCGCTGTGTACAGAGATTCTGTCGTAGATGTGGGGCTCAAAAGCCGCCTGCCACTGCCGACAAACCAGAGCATACTGGGTGATGAAGTTTTGTAGGTCATGTCGTCGATAATAAGCTATTTGAGCGATTAGCTCAAAGGGTAGGCTGCCGCCCATTGTTTGCAGCAATTGCGGATGGCGGAGGCGATACGGAGTAAGCCAGGGAAGGAAATGAGGGGCACTGCAGCGCTTAAATTGGTCACTTCATTCGGCGAGTACCCGATGGATCCATGGCCGCCTGCTTGGCACCCGCATGCCGAATGCCGGTCCACGCGACTTTGGCAGGGCAGCGGGGGGTCGGGTTGGTGAGTGGAATTGAAGCTGTGCCATCACGGGTATTTCGATACTTGTTATGATCTAAAATACGGAAAAGCACAGCACCCAGGAGGGGGTCGGACTGGGGTACGTGCGCATCCAGCGCCCTAAGCTTGGGCAAGCTGGTGCGGAGGAGCGCCATGATTAGTCGACAATCACCACGTGTGAGGGCATAGATGATCTCCCCCTGATGGCTTTGCAATCCAACAGCCTGAAGCTTGTTGCGCACCAGATCGAGATCTTCATCCCCCAGGAGGTAATCAAAGCCACGGCCAAATTCATCGTACTCGTTGAACCCCCAGTTAGTTACCGATGAGGAGCGTCTTGACTAAGCCAGCGATATTGGGGCAGGGAGTTATCGTCGTAAAGAAGCTCCACAGGTGATGGAAAGAGTGACGACCGCCATCATCCCTCCATTTCGCGTAGAGGCGCTGGAGCAAGAACCGGCGCCATGTTCGGTCTAGCAACGAGAGTCATCCAACATGGCCAGTGTCCGAGTCATCTAGGACGTGACCTAGCACTAAGTCAAAGATCTCCCGTGGAAGGCTTGCTGGGTTCACGTCGCGACGTCGCAGTTCCTGCAGTGTCCTGCCTGGGACTCCCCTTGTAGGGCATGATCTAGCCACTGTGAGTGCGATAAAAAGGAGCGGATGATACGCCGTAAGGGTTCAAACTTAGGATTGGTAACTTGCAATGATGAGACGGTACTGGAATTGGTGGAACCACCCCGTTTCAAGCGAATATGCGCAGTTGGCTGAGTTGGGGTCCCCTCAAATACGAGAACAAAGAGGCAATGATCACGTAGTAGAAGAACCGATCCCAAACACCAGTGAAAGGAGTTTCAATAGCAGAAAGGGGAACAAACTACTGCACAGATTGCTCTTGAATTAAGGCGAGACAATGGGGATAATACTCAATTGGACGATGTACCTTCGCCTGGTTTTCTTAGTCGGAGGTTCCTGGTTTGTGTACGTCTTTGAACGGGTATAATTTTATGTATATCTGCTCCCAAATCTACCGACGCTCTGGCAAAGTATTTTGGAGATTGCCACAGAAGAAAAATTTCCATAAATTAATACACCAAGAGCCAATTCTAACGCACCTCCCTCCCCGACGCAACCGTTTGCGCCCGTATCTCTGCCTCTTCTTCCTCAAACCTTCCTTCCCCATCCCTCTCCTGCTCCGTCGCCGCCGGAGCACCCGAATACGGCGCAAACTTACTCTTCATCCTCAACCGTTCACCGTAGAAATAAAACGCCATCGGGATGGGAACAAGGCAGGCGGCAACACAGCCTAGTAACGTAGATGCCCATTGCACGCCCATGTTTTGGAACATTTGTCGCGAGAAGAGCGGGAATGCGGCGGCCACGAGGGAGCGGCAGAATGTGTTTGCGGCGATGGCGGATGCAGCGCTATAAATTGTATTAGAGTGGATGAGGATGATCATGAGAAGGAAGTGGTGTCGGGGATACTCACAACATAAGATACGTATCAATCAGATAATTAAACAGCTGGATGAAAATAACCAGCAGTCCAAAGCCCGTGAAGAGCCCACTGAGCGTGGGGACAATCCAATGGACAGTCCCCGAGAACCCTGTCCAGCCAAACCAAAAGAGACCAGCAGCAAAGAGCGCCCCGCCCAGAATCACAGGCGGGCATCGCCACTCGGGAATCGGGACTCCGCCATTCTTCTCTAGTTTGCGCTGATACTCCTTGTTGGAGACGATGATGAACGTCGCGGCGATAAATAATCCCACGACCATGCCGAAGAGCGGGAGGCCGCTGACACCGGCGCTCATCCCGTATTCGCCCTGGAAGACGATGGTGTAGGCGGTCAGGAAGCAGTAAAGTAGGCCGTAGATGAAACTGAGGTAAATTGTCACGGCGAGGATGAGGGGTTCGCCGAAGAGAAGACGAAGGGGGCGCGAGAAATTCTTCACTATTAATTCGCGGAAGTCGATTTCGATTTCTTCTTGTTTGGCGTGGATGCCCCAGTTCTTTGTACATCTGCGCAGCTCAGCGGCCTTTTGGATCAAGATGACGGGAGGGTATGTCTCCTTGAGGAAGAACAGGTTCAGGACGAAGGCGAAGTAGCCCATAAAGGCCGGGATGTACGCTGTCCATCGCCAGCCGAGGTAGGACATGTTGATGAACCCGCCAATAAAGGGAGCGAGGAGCGGGCCCAGAAACACGGTGCTCGAGAAGCAGGCAATTGCAACACCACGGGTTTGATTATCGTACAGCTCGGCGAAGACAGCTGCGACGACAGCAAGCGGCGAACTGCCAAAGACGCCGCAGAAGAATCGGCAGATCATCAACGTCTGGATATCTTTGGCCACAGCCACGGCGGTATTGAAGATGGCGAAACCGAACATGGCAATAATGATACCGGGCCGGCGGCCACTTAGCTCGGATAACGGGGCCCAGAGGAGCGGGCCAGATGCGTAGCCGATGATGTACATTGTGCTGGAAAGGACAGCGACTTCTAGTCCAACACCAAAATATTCGGCAACGTTTCGCGACGAAGGGCTGAAAATGGCAGAGTCAAAGGTCGAGCAGATACTCGTGAATGCGAGAATTACGCTTATGTAGAGTCTGAACTCGATGTCAGCCTTCTGGTAAATCGCCATGTAAGGGGAGAGCACCTACTTTGTTTTCAACGGCCAGTTCTGCGGATACCGAGGATCATCCGGTCCATCGAACTCGACAACAAACTCTTCCCGATTTGGGAGATCTGGTGGATACGGCTTGCCCCCGCCAAAAGGGGGTAGAGCACGCTTCGAGGAGGTACGCGACTTGACGCTTTCACCCACAGTCATGGAATGCTGCAAACGCTGTGTTTCGGTCCTGCTTAGGGCATGCGACATTCTTGTTCTCTGTCGCTCGAGATCGACCTCTGTATTGCGCGACTGCAGCCTGCCAAACTGCGGCTCGTACTCGACGGAGCTGCTCGACCCTGTTGACGAGGTCATACTGTCTGACGTGCTGGGTCGTCCAGCTGGTTCGGATTTTTCATCGTACTGGGACCCGTGGCCCTCAGCCTGGACATCTTCGTCCAGGTGGCGATCTTCGTTAAGTTTCTCGCCGCTCATGATGGGTGGTGATGGGAGCGTCTGCCGATGTCAAGCTTGTGTGTGCGTTGCAGGTGCTCGTGCATCAAATTCTCGATGGTTCAAATACGGGGTATTTCAGGGCAGTTGGCTCATAATATATTGGCTGAAAATAAATTTAAATATAGGAGCAGTGATGAAGAGATCGTCAGAAAAAGAGTGGGGCGCGAGCAGGATTTGGTTCCGAGTTAACCGTGCTGGCCCACCACCGACGGCTCCAAGATGCACCTGCAACTGCCGATTCTTGTAACAAGATTGGACCAGATGCGGACAGTATCCAGATTATCACGACTATGATGCTCAACTATATGTGTATACTCTAGCTACTGCTCGTTGAAACAGAGATCTTGGGAGTTATCAAAGCGACTTCAAAGTTGCGTTGTACGGGGAGTGACATCATCTGAAGGCCAGATTGAGTTTATGCGGCGTGCTGATTAGACACGCTTGATAATCATGAATTGTGTGGCTGACTCACTTTTCGCTCGACGCCAGGGCCTCGCTCCTGTTACTAGTGCACTGTTTACCTTTTTCCTTTCTATTCCAAGACACAACACTCTCAACATGCGTGTACTCAAGCCCAATGCCGTCTTGCAGAAGCGGTTCGAATGGTTCCATGGACCCTCTGGGTGGCGGCATAGAATGCTTGACTTGGGCCTCGGTACTTGGCGCTTTATGTAAGCCACCTTCATACGCCCCTCCATCTCGTACAGGGCGCGGAAAAGCATCCCCGCCGAGGCTTATCGTAAGCATGCATACGCCGCTGTGGCGTAACTGGGGACCTAGTGACACGAGGAACCTGTCCAGCTGCCCAATAAACAGCCGGGAATCATTGAGACTGTCATCTGCGAGGTAGCCAAATCATCCCATAAGCTTCTGGTCGAATCAAGCTATGCGATCGAATTTGGAGATCTGGGCCCTGATCCGCCTTGTCAGGCTTTATTCTCCACTGCATCAGGTGGCGATCATTTGTGCTTCCCCTGATTACCGCATGCTTCTTTGCTCTTCAGTGGCGTCCGGCGAATGTATACAGGCAGCTCAATTACTGCTATAGATTAGCTAATCATATGCAACCTACTTGTGTTGCTTCTTCAATTCTACTCATGATTATTTAGGGGTTCCTCGTAACCACATTCTAGATTAACATGTACTCAGCAGGACTCTACCCTGCTTTGTAGGAGAACCCAAAATATGAATAAACACTCGACTAGGGCCTGTCCGTCGCCCCCACACGCTGACAAGGATCTAGTTCCCTACAATAATTTACTAATATACTATGTGTATAACTGAGTGCGCAGCAATTCCCAGAACCTCTAAACCAGTATAGAGAGGGCTGAACTAACCCCATTGGTTGTTTGGATGGGTATGCTTGGTAGACAAGCGGCGCATAGATACTAGAGTAGGATTGCATGTTATCTATTAATACCTGTTATCTAGGAGGTATTAATGTTACTTGTTTTACATTAACCTTAAGGAAAATATGGTCGCTCACTGTCCCTCACAAAGCCTCACAACGCCGCGCTTGCTCTGTCCCTCCAAATCCTCTGCAGCGTATGCAGCATCAATGACTGTCCGTCAAGACGCCTACCCCTGCGAGTCCCTATCCTGCCTTCTGATCGTCATTACACTTACTATTTAAACGCATCTAGGCCAATTCGGGCTCGTATTATGCATCCTCATCGCCTGTCCCATCGGTGGAACGATCTACTGAGCCTGCGTCTGCTCCTACCTAAACCTGAGGGAGATGCAGCTAGACTGGACACCTTTGCTGCGGAGTAGAGTTAACGACGGGAATCAGTTAGACAAGAGCTTGTGTGGCCTATTGTAGTATCGGCATTTTAGTAGCGTACAACATAAGATTATAACCCTCGTATGCAGCACATCAGAACCCCACTCCCACAACTACCTGACCCATCATCCATTACTCATACTCAAGCCTCCACGGAAAAGAATCCAAAGCATTCAACTCATCCTGTGGACAAGCCGCCAGCGCCTCGGCGAATTTCACATCCAGCGGCGGATTAGTCAACTCAATCATAGTCAGGTACCGATCATGGATATGCCGATTCCCATAGCTAAAGTCTCCAAACGCCAAGCCCTTTAGCGAAGCAATTCCGTCGGGCCCGAAGACCCAATTGCCGAAATCTACGAGGCCTGGCGATGCCTCGGGGCGGCCATTGGAGTGGTTAACGCCCCAGCTGCCGTATTGATCGCTGTAGCCGCCGGCTTGGCGGATGTGCAGGAGATGGAGGGTGTGTTTATTGGTAAGGGGGGATAGCATGTATTTCTAGCGTCAATCCAATGGACGGTCTTGGATTAGTATCGATCGACGGATATAAGTCTTGTGGGCGGGGGAGAGGAGACGAGGGGGAAGACAAAAAGCGGGCGCCGCGACACGGAACTCACCAAATCCGCAGGAAGGACAGTCAGTCCCAGGAACTCCAGATCCAGCTCGAAGAGAGGGTTACTCGCCGGGTCCGTGTACATCATATCGTATTCCTCCAGCGTGAATGGCAGCTGAGGTGCAGGTTCCTCGCTGCCGTCCCAGTCTGGGTCCCAAAAGTCGGCTGGGACGCGCTGATTATGCACGAACCTTTTGAGGGTGGCTTTGTGATGGAGCACGGCTCTCCAGATATTCAGCGTGCCGTATTGCTCATTTGTAGAGAGGAAAAGCTCCTGGAGACCGGTAAAGGCACCGAGAAATGAACAGATTGTCTCGGCTTCTTCTCCTGGGAATTCGAGGGTGGGAGATGGTTCCAGGGTCAGAGATCTGAGGTTGATCTTTCGCCTGCATTTTAGCACCTGCTGTAGGAACTCTGCCCAGCCTCGGCAGAAACGGAGATGTAATGATCGTATCGTGCTCCAGTTGAACGCGTGCGCCATTTCCATCTCCGCCGTGTCGAACGGAACCCCACAGAGGTAGAGCCGGTCGAGTGACTGAAATATACACCGCTTCTCGTCCGCAGAAAGTCCCAGGATGTCCCAGGCAAAATAGTTTGGTCTATCGCGCTCTTCTTGGGATTTGGCATAGTATGGCCGGTATGCCCCGTTACCTTTCCTCTCATATTCAAATATATCGAGCTCGAGGAGAGTAAGCTGGTGCGCAAACTTCTCCAAGCCCATGGCAAGGGCGTCTAGATCGTCTCTCCATGTAAGCGGTATCCATGTCAGGCGCTTGAGCTTGCGGAAATCAGCGAGCCAGTAGTCGTGTCCATAGCAGCGCGAGTCATTGATGATGCGGACCGTCTCCATGTTTTTCTGTCGCCGGGGGAGGATTCCACCGTCACCCAAAACTGCCGCGGGACAGCATATTCCGAGATCCCAACTGGAGATAGCTGTAAGCTGCCGTAACACACGGACACGGAGTCTTATAGTAGTGGAAGGAGTAGGTGGCACCTGAATTCAGTCAGAGATCCTTCTCGGCAGCGTATCAGCATGGCCATAACCCGGTTCTTGATCTGGGTAATCTCGGCGGGGTTCTCGGCATCGTACTCCCAGGGGATATACTTGGCCAAGTCGCGTTGCTCTGTCTCTGTGAGCTGGTATGGCTCGAGGAGGTCATCATCGGGGTATCTCGTCTCTATACTCTCGCTGTCGTCGTCTTCAACTTCGTCTTTTTCACGTCTCTCTGATGATCTCACAGTCTCCTCGGTTTGTCTTGTTTCCTCTTCTGTCAGATCTTCTTGTTTGTCTCCTACATTCTTTTCGTCTTCAGCATCATCTCTCCCTCTCTCTTCCTCTCTCTCAACTTCTTCGTCTTGCTCCTCGTCCCCATCCCCACTCCCACTGCCCCAAACATCATCACTCTCATCCTCAACGATCCCACGATAGTGATGCAGACATCGCTTCGTATAATTAACCCGGAACTGCGAAGTAAACGTGATCCTCTTGGCAAAATGAAGAAGATTGCGGTCGCTGCCGAAGCTCAGATTCAGAGCCCGCTGGATCGGTATGTTCACCGGATCATTTTCGTCTACATGGATGGTAATATCGCCAAACAGTAACGGTGTCGCCAAAGATTCCAAATGTTTGGAAGCGAGTCTGATGCGAGCCAGGTCGGGCTTGTCGAGCTGTGGCTGCGTTAGAAGGACAGGTAGGGATGGGAGTGTTTTTTGGGGTCGCACATAGGAAATAATATCGCCTATGAGTTCGGGTGGAAGATCTTGAAGCATCCTATCTGCCTTGGTCGTCTTGTCGACGACGTAATGGGGAAAAAGCCGAGAGAAGAGAAGAGGTCGTTGTTGATTTCCACGACAACCTGCCCCGCGCTAAATCCCAAATACGAGAAATCCACCACACGCTGTGGGTTATAACAGGCTGATCCTATACTATCCCATCAGGAACCATGTCGCTGTCAGGATCGCGCTTCGCCTTCCGCACTAGTCTTATATGTTCTACTGGCAGCAGCCACTGCCAGGCTGAACATGAGTATAAATGCGTTGAACCAAGGCGTGACATTAATCTTAAACCCATGACAAAACAGCTCCTGCACCAGCACCTCCAGGCCCCAATCTTTGGACCTGCATCAACCACGACCGGCTTAAACAAACGGCCTCCACTGCTCCTCATACCACTCCCATAACTTCACACCAAACCCCTACACCCCTTCCTCCTCCGCCGTCCTACACACCCTTATCAAATCCTGCCTAGGCGTGGGCTTATACGCCAGTTTCCGCCTCCGGGGGATAAGATACACCCTAATATCCTCGACTTTCGCCTCGAAGCATAGCCCCGCAAACAGCTGTGTGTACGCGCCAAACACGGGCTCCGAGAGCATCACCTGATTTATAACCCACATCGCTATTGCAGGCGTTTCCTTAAACGACCTAGTTTCCGATACCCCGGATTCACGCACACGCTGACTATCCGACCGCCTTGTACCGGGGAGAGAATGCGCGGGCATGGAACGACGTTCCGGCCTTGGAGGCGCCCTAGTTCTACATCGACTTGCCCGAGATACTCGTATCTAGGACTGAGAAGTGGAAGCCATTCCTCTATGCCCCTGGATGGAGGGGAATATACAGCTCCCTGTGTGATTTTCTAACCCACCTCACCTAATAGCGCGCAAGTCCGGATTCTAGTTGTTTGTAAAGCTTGTTGGAGAGGGCCCTTCTCTGCTTTATGCCAAAACCCTTCTCGCATGCTAAACATCTCGCAATATCCGCGGTGGATTCTGACTTGTCCACGTTGAAGTTGGCCTGTCAGACGCGAGGGCTGACATGGCTGGTCGGTTAGAGACGATCACTTACGATATTTTTGCTCTTGACTAGGAAGTGTGTGTCTAAGCCCCCTCGACCAGCCTTCAATTATATCTCTGACAATTGACATTTTCCTGGACTATGCAGCCTTTGTCAGACCGATGTGGCTATTTGCGAAAGAATATGGCCGAGCGATGGCATTCTATTGCTCTTTAAATGAAACTCTCGCATGGGTCAAGACGCCCCTCAAGGTTCGTCCAAGCGTCCTTTAATGGATTCCATACCTTGGGGAAAGAGCAGAGAAAATAGAGTTGAAACCTGCCAAATAGAGAAGGTAATCAGCAGCGGTGATAGCACGAGGCACGGTCAGCTGTTGCCATATCCTCCTCTAGGCAGGTGGCATCTGGCGCCGATCGGCAATTGCTGCGGAGCTCTTACATCTAGACCCCTTTTCCTCGTCTATGCAACGTCCTGGTTCTGTGCAAAACACGTGGGGGCAACAGGGAAGCGTCGTAAATAACTTGGAATGATTCGACGCTTGACGACACCATGTCTCCTCCGACTCGACGAAGCTACGGTGAATGTCGGCCCAAGACATTATCATTATGTACCCATCGGGCCCAAAGCTGAGCCCGGATGTGTCACGCCAAGCTGACGTTTGTGCCCTCAGCTAACAATCAAAGATGAATGATAAAGTTACATTGCGTGTTTCCGGCACACATCAGTTTCCGTGAGGCTGTGCAAGAAACCCCTTCTCTGAATCTCGCAAACAACTCCGATCCTTTCTTATGCAATAAAATTGAACACTATAACCCCAAAACCCAAAATATCACTCGAGCGGACAACTCCCGCACTGTGGCAACTCCCCGGCTACTTCTCGGGTGACACGGTGTCCTCTGTGGCGCCGTTGAAAAGGCAGTATACTCTCGGAAGCGCGATTTCAGCCACTCACACCAGAGCTAATGTCATATAGGCATCTCAGGGTCGCCGGCTAAGCGCTTTTTGTGGAGAGCTTATCCTACCCCGCAAGGGACCACATTTCTTGGTATTGGAGTAAGATGATGCGGGGCGTTTCTTGGCTGGCTCGGCAGTTTGGGGGCTTTGGTATATAAGCGAGCAGGGGTTGAGTGTCATTGTGGTGGGGAGATCTGATCAGTTATTTCCCGTGTCTCGCAACATGTCGGTGTTCAAGCGGTCGAGTGTAGTGCACATGGAGCATGCCTCCGCTGAAAAACATCTGGAGGATGCGCCAAGCCTCGAGCAAACGTATATGGAGAGCGGGCTCAGTCGAGATGACGCCTATTTCCTCGCCAATTTCTCAGAGGAGCAGAGGAGGAAGTGCGTGAGAAAGGTCAGTTTCTTACCCCCGTCTCTCGCATGATAGCCCCCAGACTAAACAGTGCTGCGTATAGATCGATTGGCGTCTCTGTCCGCTTTTGGCCTTCCTCTACCTTGTTTCGTACATCGACAAAGCGAGCATAGGTATGCGGCCGTCTGGCTTTCTGGTCCCCTCACAACGATACATGCTGACAGCTCCGTTCCATGACAGGAAACGCCAAGATTGAGGGCATGCTGCCGGATCTCAACATGACAGGCACCGATTACAATGTTGCTCTAGCGATCTTCTTCGTCCCATACGTACTATGCGGTACTCAACCCTTCTCGCCCCGTCCCTACATTTCTTCGCTAACATCTGTGTTACCAATAGAGGTTCCCAGTAATATTCTACTCGCCAAGTTCAAGAGACCATCCGTCTATCTCGCAATTCTGACCGTCCTTTGGGGTATTATTGTGACCCTAACCGGTGTTGTCCAGAGCTTCGGTGCCCTCTGTGCTGTCCGTGTTCTGCTGGGCATTTTCGAGTAAGTTTCCCTAGTCTACGTCTCATCTACCCTCGCGGCATCTCTTCCTAACCTTGTCTTCCTCGCAGATCCGGCTTCTTCCCCGGCGCCGTATGGCTCATCACGCAATGGTACATGCCAGAAGAAACGCAAAGCCGAATCGGCCTCTTCTACACAGCAAGCGCACTCGCCGGTGCATTCTCCGGCCTTCTTGCCTTCGGCCTCGCGAAAATGGACGGAGTCGCCGGGTACGCCGGGTGGAGATGGATCTTCATCATCGAAGGCGCAGCAACTGTCCTCCTCGCAGCCGTCTGCTACTTCTGCCTCGCAGATTCGCCCGAACTCTCCGGTCGCTGGCTCGACCCCGACGAGATCCGATACCTGGTTCTCCGCAAACAAGCCCTCCGAGGCCGCATCGTCGTCGACGAGAAACCGAATAAATTCGAGTGGAAGGCTTTCCTCCAAGTCCTGACGGACTGGCACCTCTACCTGCAGATCTTGAATTTCTGGTCGAATACCGTCCCGAATTACGGGCTGAAATTCTCCCTCCCGCAGATTATCAAGAATATGGGCTACACCTCCGCAAACGCCCAACTCCTCTCCATGCCGCCCTACATCGCGGGCGCGATATCCGCATACGTCTTCGGCCTCCTCGCCGACCGGCTGCGCTGGCGCATGCCGATAATCGTCAGCGGCCAAGCGCTCGTCATCGTCGCATTTGCCATCCTCTTCGCCCTCGCAGAGGATATACAAGATAATATCCCCGTATGCTACTTCGCCGTCGTGCTAGCCTGCATCGGCGTGTACCCGATCATCCCAGGAACAAACACCTGGACGTCGAATAACCTGGCTGGCGCACGCAAACAAGCTATGGGGATAGCTTTCATGATCGCGTTTGGGAATACAGGGGGTCTTGTCGGCTCATTTATTTACCTTGAGCGCGAGGCGCCCAAGTATCCAACTGGGTTCGGCAGCTCGTTTGCGTTTGCGGCTGCGGGCATGGTCGCAAGCTTGGTGCTTGAGGCGAGGTTCTGGCATGTTAATCGGCGTAATGAGAAAATTGGGCGCGAGGAGATTTATCAGAAGTATTCGGCGGAGGAGTTGCAGCTTATGGGGGACCGGTCGCCGTTATTCAGATATACGCTGTGAGGGCGGGCTGGTCGGGGGCATTGACGATTGTCTCTGGCTTGGTGAGAGTGGGGGTGGACAGTGGTGGGACGCGCGCTCATTCCAAGCCGGCTTGGAGCCTGATAGCAAGTTTACATACCTACTAGCACTTGGCTAGTTATATGGGGGTTTCGACGGTGCGCCGTGAGAGATTAACTGTCTGCTAACATATATGCTCTACCTTGTATCCTCATGCATTGTATGTACGGACCGGCCTCTGTGATAAATTCTCACCTGGCGTCATCCAACAGAGGTTCCCTTGAGAGGCTGTAAGGATAGTAAAGGTTTGCTGGAGTGGAGGATATATATATATATCCTTCGCATCACCTGACCGGTTAAATATAAACGTACATCTGAGGCACAAGCAGTCGCCAGGAGAAACGAACCAACGATATTTTTGGTAATAACCTCCACAGATCGCCTCTTTCCCAGGATCTCAAAATGGTTATTCCCGGTGCCCAAAAATGCGTCCGTGCTCCAGGCAAGCTGCGCATCCTTCGAAGCGACCCCGGATAATCAGCCGTCATAGAACCTTGTCTTATCAACAAGCATTAAAGAAGATTAACCAACCATTAAGCACCAATTGCGCCAAACTCTTAAACCGAAGCCATGGAAGCGCCTGGCCGTTTGAGAAGAGCGATCAATCCGGGAACCGGAACCGGTATCCGAGATACGAGCCGGTATCTGGCCCGAGTGCGTAGAGAGCCCGCCACAGCTTCTGGTGACCCAGGTGCCAGAATTCCCATCGGCAGTCTGGAAAGCGGAAAGAGTTATCTTCTTAAAAGAAACGGGTTCAATTGAGCTCCGCGGGAAAGTCAATAGGTCGCCGTGGCAAAGTTTGGATGCGCAATGGTAATTACTCTGTACGTGGCAGGTGGTTGCGAAGCTCCGCACAGCATGCGGGGTCCCTGCAGACTCGGGAGCTGAACCGTGGACCGCTGGACCCATTGCCAGGAAACATTTGCTGCTTTTGGAGAGCAATTGCACGCCTCCCCCTCACCGACCCCAGAGCTTGCTCGACTTCCGCATCGCATATTTAGCCGTCTCCCCCTCGCTTTCTTCCTCCTCCACACGCTGAAACCACCTCACATCGCGACACCCACCACGATGACGACAAGCGAAGACTCCTACTTAATCCTCGGCGCCGGCATCTTCGGCGTCTCAACCGCGTACCACCTATTACAGTCCCACCCCACCGCCTCAATAACACTAATCGACCGCGACGCCTTCGACGCGGACTCCCGCGTCGCCGCATCTTGGGACTGGAACAAGGTCGTGCGCGCCGACTACGCCGACATCACATACTGCCGGCTTGCCCTGGAAGCACAAGACATCTTCAACAACGACCCGCTCTGGCAGCCGTATTTCCACGAGACGGGCGTTTACTGGGTGTGTCGGGACGAGTATGCGCAGGATGTTGTGGGGAATTATAAGAAGTTGGGGCGCAAGGCGGAGATTGCTGCGCATCCGTTGGACGAGGCAAAGAGGATGTATGGGGGGTTGTTTGAGCAGGCGGATTATACGGATGCCAGGGAGGTGCTGGTTAATCGGACGAGTGGATGGGCGGCGGCGGGGGATTGTTTGAGGGCTGTTACGCGGTGGATTATTGAGAGGGGGGTCAAGTATGTACAGGCCGATGTGGAGAGGTTGGCCTTTGATGGGGAGGGGAGCTGTGTTGGGGTGAGGACAAAGACTGGGGAGGAGATTCGGGGGTCGAAAGTGATTCTTTCGACGGGCGCGTTTACGGCCAAGTTGCTCGAGGTTTCTGCGGCTGCAACGGGTAAGGAGCATCTGCGCGCTGGGCCGCGGATTGTTGCTGGTGGGATTGCGACGGGGATGGTTACGCTTGATGAGACGTCGTACGAGAAGTTTGCTAAGATGCCAGTGGGATTCCAGGGTTATTCCGCAGACAAGGGTACGTATCCGTCTTCCTGCAGCTAAACATACTGAGCAGCACGCTAACGAATTGCAGGACCATTCCTCGGCACCCTTCCCCCAACCCCAGAGAAGCAGCTCAAATGGTGGGGTCGCACAATCTTCAGCAATACCCAAGAAGTCCTCCCCGGTCGCTTTGTCTCTGCACCACCGACAGACCAGGACTACGCACAGTGGAAGGTCTCCAAGAAACTGGAAGACGATGTCCGCTACTCCGCTCGTATGTTCTACGGCGCGCCAACGGCAACATGGAAGTTTGAGAAGTTGCGAATCTGCTGGTGAGTTTCATACGCAGCTCAATTTCCAGTGTACATTCGAGGGCCCTACTAACTCGTTTCAGGGATGCATTCACACCGACCGGCGACTTCATCATCTCTCCCCATTCCGGCGCGAAGGGGCTATACGTCGCCACATGCGGCTCGTTCCACGGCTTCAAGTTCTTCCCCGTGGTTGGAAAGTATGTTGTACAAATGCTAGATGGAACGTTAGATGCGGATCTCAAGCACAAGTGGGCCTGGGACCGGACGGCCGAGCAGCTGGACTCGACGGTCAACCCGGAGTTTCCGCGGTCGGAGATGAGTGATATGTTGGATGCGGCGCCTATGGCGAAGTTGTAGGTTAGAGGGATGGAGATGGCTACACTACATAATAGCGGATTGGCACAGCATGAATTCAGCGTACTCAGACTTGTCACTTATATGAAGATTCAATGACAGAAGTCGAGCTACAAAAATCCCTCCGGCTCCATGCCTAATGGGACTGGCGTCCCGTCGTGGATATAAGAAAACATCACCCGCTTGTATCTCCGAATCGGATACTCTCCTTTGGTGTTGGTAACCTGTAACAGGACGTGGAAATCTGGAGTGACAAGTCTGGTCTGAAAGTGTCTTTCCATCGGAGGCACAGTGACAGTAACGCATGGTGAGCGGGTATACGCAGTAAACCCAGCGGCATTTTCACCGAGCGTCGGATGCGCGGCAGGAGAAGGAGACCCATCAGACGGTTCGATGAGGACCTTTGGTCCATGGCCAAAGACATGGAATCCGTTGACGTCTCCGTAGAGCATCCAGACAAAGTCGAGACCTATAGGTCCGTCGGCCGTGCTATCCGGATTGTACGTCGCGCGGGCGTCAAGAACATGTTTCTCTCCAGGCTTGACCTTGATAACCAGCGGCTCAACTCCTGTACTCCCATTGACATCCACGACAGGCGGATGAGAAGCCACAGCGAAATCACTCGTCAGCGTCCACTGCATGCGCGCCGCGAAATCATCCTGGATCGCGTCCCTCCACCGCCAAATCGTCGCCTTGTTACCCATGTAGCGCTTTCCATCATTACCCAGGACTCCGAAATCCCCGGCATTGAAGAAATGATTCGTGTCGAAGAGCCCATTCTCATCCCGATCAGACTCACACTGCGGGCGCGTATACCGTCCTCCCCACCCACCCCACTCAATGTGATCCCGGTGCCCCAGCCCATTCTGCACGAGCCACAGGAACGACGGCGTATCGCCTTCCATACCGAATTTGACAGGCGGATACGCGACGGAACCAAACTCCCCAACGCGAATATGCTCGTCCAGCCAGGGATTAAGCACCTTCGTCCGATCCGGCCCCTCACCCGCCCCGATGTTCATCCCCGTCCACGTCCCCTCGTCGTACTGGCTCCAGCCGTGCGCTGAGACGATATAGTGGACGTCGGGAAATTTGGTCCGGATCCAGAGACCCGTATCGTCCTGGTCTGAGATTGCGTAGACGCGGAGTTTTGCGCGCTGTTTTGCGGCTTCGGGTTCTGAGCTTGTGGCAGCAAGGTGCGCGAGCGCTTGGGCGAGCGTGTTTGTCCCGCCCCAGACGGGGATGTAGAGCGGCTCATCGGATTCCGCTAATGCAGCGAGGAGACGCGACGCCCCATCGCTAAGTGGTTCTTTGAAAGCCTTCTTGCCGTAGACCTACCACCACGAGTTAGCAACACACCACTACCTAGATATTTCGCGACCATCACTACTCACAGCTGGCCCCGACGTCACGAGCTTGAGAAGCTCCTCCGCAGATTGGAATTGAAAATCCGGATGAACATGGTTATTCAAATTCTCAACGACTTTCCCGTACGCTGTGATGATCCGCCTGGCTTCCTCGGGGTGCGTGCTGAAGCGGAGCCAGGTCGACGTGCAGGCGCTGATTCCGCGCGTGTCGAATTCGTTGGCGTAGAGGAGGTAACGCACGAGGGATTGTGAGTCGTCGGGTTCGTTGAGGACGTCTGTTAGGATGAAGATGCGGGGTTTGTATGGGAAGGTTGCGAGTTTCTGGAGAACTGGAGACATCGTGACGGGTGACGAGTACGAGCAGTGAACTGAAGTTGACTCGAGTCGAAGGTGAGGGGTAGAAATAGGAAGAAGCCCCTTTCAACAAGTGAGATCTGAGGAGCGGACTCACTAGGAAGGCTCGGAAGCGTGGATTCCTTGGCCCGAACCACAGTCACGAATATGGGAACTCGAAGCGCTGCGGTTTCCTATCCTGTATGACTCGCGTCTGGGCGCTTCCCCAAGGTCATCCCCGTACTCCGCATTGAAATTGGGCGCTAGGGAACTTGTGACAACCTCGGGATTCCCGGTAGCACTATCGGCCGACGAGGTGGACGGCGGACGGTGGACGAGCGGCTGGGTTCCGTCCACTTCTCCAACCCACGCATCAGCCCATCCCAGCAACGATTGTGACCGCCGTTCGCCCTATCGTTCGCTTAACCTGATCCAGTATAGTGCTTGATTCTGGCGATATTCCCACAGCGAAGCTCGCAAGCCAGCAGCAGACCAGCTCCTCTAGGAATGATTTGGCGCATCGGCTTTGAGTGGGTAGGGCTACTGTTCCCTCTGCTGGCGATGTAAAAGATCAGGAACAGCCCGACAACCGGTAGATCATGCTTAGGTAGATGAACAAAAAGGGAGTATGTGTAACGATTTTCTTTTGTACTGAATAGAAGAACATGGGGCATTGTAGCAGGAGCCGCACATTGAGAGACCTAGTGGCAAGCAGGACCTAGGGAAGATATAAAATTGCGAGCTCAAGATGTTTTCTGCTGCACCTAACTTTCCTCACAAGTAAAAGTCAACTTATTGAATAATGAACTATGTCTATAATTTCTACACACGCACTTAATAACAGGAACCTCTCCTCATCTCTATAAACCATCCCAGAGCTCGCCCTCGGAAACCGAGAATGTCGAACGAAGCCCACCGACCAATACCCCGTAAACGCCCTCTTCCATCCTCCACTGCTTCTCCGTCTCATCCCAGTAACTACAAGCAACGCGCAGCACATCCTTCAGCGAGACCGTCTTGGATTCACCTGGCGACAGAAAGACCTTTGTGAACATCTTCAGCTCCTGCTCAGGTCGCCAAACGGCCGTTCGCTCGGCTGGTGTAATGAAAACCTGGACAACCTCATGGCCGGCCCTTGAACCAGAGTTGGTCAGCGTTACTGAGCACTCCAACGTTGCCGTTGATCCAGCCCCAGAGACAGTAGCATTGAGGTCTGAGTAGTCGAATGTCGTGTACGAGAGGCCGTATCCAAACGGCCACTGCACGCGATCCTTCCCTGGATGCCGATATCCAACCTGGAGCCCCTCCTGGTATTCAAGGGTAAGTTCTCCCTTGTCATTCTTCCGCGCTGGAAAGTCCCCAAAACTAGGTGCGTCCTTGAGTGTCTTCCACCACGTCGTCGCAGTCCGCCCACTCGGGTTGACCTTTCCAGTAAGGATATCTGCGATTGCCCGCGAGCCCTCTTGCCCAGGAAAATGCGCGCAGATAATCGCATCCACGTCATTTACGACCGCACTGACATCGATGGGGTTCCCACAGTGTAGGACCAAGATTGTCTTTTTGGAGACAGCTGCGACGGCTCGAACCAATGCGACTTGGTTGGCGGGCAGGGCAATCTCTTCAAGATCGTATCCCTCGGACTCGTACTGGCCGTCACGGCCGGCAAAGACGATACTCGTGTCCGCTGTGCGTGCGACCTCTGTTGCATCGAGAATTGCCTGCTTTTCGTCGTAGAACTCCTCAAAGCATAGACTCGCCGCGTAGGGCGTTGGTTCTCCGATCGTCATCTTGTCGCGGGACTCGACGACAAGTTTGATTCCATACACGGCACCCGCCTCCATGGCCATCTCCACCCGCGACTCGAGTAGGATGTGGTTGAAGATGAATTGCTCGGTCGTGACATCTGGCTGCGACCCCATCAAGACTTCCTCGCCGTTGACGTGCAGACGGAACGCCCCGCTGCGGCGCACAGCCAGTGTATGCTTCCCAGTGCTGGGGCATGTAAAGTTTGTGGTAAGCTCGATGCGTGACCCGGGGACTTTCAAGCCCTCGGGAAACTCGCCCATCATCCAGACAGATGGCTTGTCGCGGCGCTCGACGAGGATTGGGGCGTCGGGAGAGGAGTCGTTGATGTACTTGATTTCCACTCCGGGGTGGCCATCGGCCGTTTGCAGCAGTGAAGTGGGTGCCAGGGGGATGATGCGTCTGGTTTTGACACCTGCTGAGAACATCACGCGAGATGCGTCGGCGAAGACATCTTTCAGAGCATCCACGGGGGGTATTCTGTACTGCGGATTGCAGGACGCGCTGCCTCCTCCAGTGACCACGGCATCACGAGCAAACTCGCCGATGACAGCCAGACGTGTCGTTGCATCGGGATCCAGAGGTAGAGTACCATTCTCGTTCTTAAGAAGGATGATTCCACCCTCTGCGAGCTTTCTAGCTGTCTGATTCGTCGCCTCGTCGATTTCCGAGTATTCCTCTGCATCCGCATCGGCATGAGATTCGCGCGTTCGGTTTCGCAATTCCAGGTGCTTCAATACTCGTTCGTCGATCTCCGCCTGGGTAAGTTCTCCGGACTTGATGGCTTCGATGAGCTTTGGGCCGCGATGCACTGGAAAGGGCATCTCGAGGTCGAGGCCCGCTTTGATTGCTTCAACGGTCGAGCGCGTGCCGAACCAGTCTGACATGACGAGGCCCTTGAAACCCCACGATTTCCGCAGTACGCGTTCGATGAGATCGTAGTGCCCGCTGCAATACGTTCCATCTACCTTGTTATACCTGTCAATCACCCCGTTAGCTGCAAAGCTCCCTCGCACAGGAAACGAAGAGTACATACGCCATCATAATCGCCACCGGATCAGAAACGCGGAGAAGATGACTCCAAGCAGCCAGATAAATCTCCCTGAGCGGCCGTCCATCAACACCCTGGTCCACATTATAATAATGCCGCATGAACTCCGAATCATTGCAAACGAAATGCTTCGGGCAGGAGCCAACGCCATGCCTCTGCGCACCCCTAACAACAGCGCCCGCAAGGTGTCCAGCCAGCAAGGGATCTTCGCTAAAGGCCTCGAAATTGCGGCCCCCGCGCGGATCGCGATGCATGTTAATGTTTGGTCCGAGGACAACCTGCGCGGATTTCATTTTCGCCTGTTTCGCGAGTTTCTCGCCAAGGTCTTCCAGCGCGTCGACGTCCCAGGTTGAGGCGAGGCATGTTGTGTTGGGGAAGCAGGCTGTTGTCATGTCGCTGTCGTGCTGCGAGGGGCGGACGCCGCTTGTGCTGTCGGCGACCTGGTGGTTGACTGCGTCAGCTTGGGTGGTGATAGCGTCGGAATCTGACAACTTGCCTTGATTGGTGGAATGTTTAGTCGTTTTACGCCGGCTGCTGCTGTGAAGCTTTCGCCTGAGAGTAGGCGGACCTTTTCCTCTAATGTAAGCGCAGCCAACAGCTTGCGGAAGTCATGGTCCTGGTTCGCCATTGCGAGGTGGATTTTGCTCTCCTGTACCGCCGTGACTGTCGTTGAGGGTTGAAGTTCGCAGACAGAGGACATTATGGGGATACGGAAGGATCAGAAAAAAACTTGAGATTGGAAATTCAATCACAGAGGAAGTTGGAGCCCCTCGCGTGCTTTTACAGTAAGTCGAACCGCCGCAGGAATCAAAAGTGGCTTGCTTGGGGGCGCACTCCGGATTTCCCGATGGTGGACGAAGTGGACGGCAGCGGCAGAGTTGCGTCTCAATTGGTTCGTTGAGATTAGATGGTTTCCGTCCACATCGCCCTCCACCTTGCCCGAGGTTATGCTCTACTGGAGCATGAGCAGGCTCCATACCTACCCCGGTCCCCACGTCAGTCGGTGGGCATTTGCTAAGCGGAACTACAGGGCTTGACAGATCCGGGGTATCCCATCCTAGCTCTAGATAAGTACCGCCCTCGCCTCTCAGGAATCATACTCAGACAGAACAATTTGGCTGCATCTGCTCAACAATCATATCCCCTTGAAACATTCGACCACCTTTTTAACATGAGCACCGATCCTGAAGATATCAAAGCGCCCTCCGGGAAAGCAGACCACGTTGAGCACAAATCTCATCTGGCATCAGCCCCTGTCGCTCAGGTCTCTGCTCTGCAGTCCGCGAAAGAAAACCCGAGGGTCATTCTTTTCAGTCTCTGTGCCTGCATCGGCTCAGTGCTATGGGGTTACGATATCGGTGGGAATAGACACCTTCGCAGGGATGGCTTGAATCCACTCGCTGACTCCTTGATCAGGTATCAGCACGATCACAATGGCCCTCCCAGCTTTCAAGCTAGTATTCGGCTACGAGTACCAAGGCCAACTGCTTCTATCGGCAACCTGGAACTCACTGTGGACAGCTATGACCTTTCTAGGAATGCTCATAGGTAAGACTGCGTCACTTTCATATCAAGGCAGTACCTAACAACTTGATGTGGCAAACAGGGGGTATAATCTGTGGCTGGGTGAGCGATAAGACCGGCCGCCGACCAGGCTTCGTCGCCGGGTCCCTCATCTCTATCGTGGGGATCGGTCTGCAATATGGTGCCTCTTCGCAGGGAATGCTCCTAGCGGGAAAGACCGTGCGCCCCCTCGCATCGCTAGAAACGCCTCAATCACAAACTAACCACAGCATATTATCCAGATAAACGGCCTTGCCCTCGGCTTCTTCCTCGCCCTCGCCCCCGTCTACACCTCGGAAATCGCCCCTCTCCCCCTCCGCCCTGTCCTCACAGGCTCCGTCAACTTCTTCCTAAACGCCGGCCAAATGGCCGCCATCGGCCTCGGCAACACCCGCTTCACAATCATGACCCCATCATCCTACAAAATCCCCTTCGCATCGCAATGGGCCTTCCCCTGCGCAATCCTCCTCGTCATCCTGATCATGCCCGAGAGCCCCTGGTACCAAGTGCGCCGCGGCAACGAAGATGCCGCACGGGCGAGTCTCCGCCGGATATTAGGCGACAAGCCAGATTCCATCTCGGGGTTTATGGAGGTTATCCAGAGCACCGTTGAACAAGAGCGGCAGTTGAGCTCCCTGCAGAGGAGCGTTCGGTACTCGGACTGTTTTAAGGGCCAGAATTTCCGGCGGACGAGGATTTCCTGTGGCATGTTTTTCATCCAGCAGGCGGCTGGTGTGGCGTTTTATGCGCAGGCGCTGTACTTCCTGGGTATTCTGGGGCTGGATACGGGGCTTACGTTCAAGCTGGCTCTTGCGGGCTTTGGTGTCGCCCTTGTTGGGAATATGCTCTCTTGGGTTCTCATGTCGTTTGTTGGTAAGTTGTTGCTCATTCCGTTCTATTCGATTACTACCCCGAACCTTGTATCCGTGCCACGTACTAATCACTCTCTGCATACAGGAAGACGAACCCTCCTATTGATCGGCCTAATCCTCAACGGCGCCCTACTCATCGGCGTCGGCGTCGCCGGCTGCTTTTCCACACAATCAGCCCTCTACTTCGTCGCGTACGCCATGAATTTTGCACTGGCCATCCACGCGCCAACACTCGGCGCCGTCTGCTGGAGTGTATCGGCAGAAATCAGCTCCGTCGAGATGCGCGCACACACGCAGAGTCTCGCGACTGTTTCCAATGCAGTCATCAGTTGGTCATTGAGTTTTGTTACACCGTATTTGATTAATACGGATGAAGGTGAGTCTGGATCTTCAGATTGGGGGTGCTATGTGCATTTGCTGACTGTTTTACGTTTTGTAGCGAATCTCGGTGCCAAAGCTGCGTTTGTCTGGGTCGGTCTATCCGTTGTCAGCTTCATCTGGACGTGGCTGGAGGTTCCAGAGACAAAGGGGCGGTCGGCGGAGGAGCTCGATCGGTTGTTTGCGGAGAAGAAGCCTGCTTGGAGGTTTGAGTAGTGTAGAAGTGTGGTAGTCCCTACTACTATGTCTACCTGGCCTCAGTGGTGTTGTCGCTACCAATAAGGCACGACGGTTTGCATCGTGCGGCTAGTATGGTATTAGGCACCCTTGTTATCAGAATATATCTCGTCCGCTCCCCCGCCAGGCCATCAAACAGCGCATAACTGACTTGTCGCTTGAAGACTAAGAATTTGTGTATTGAGAAGGAAGGATACTAAACAGAAACAGACTAGAAAAGGTAAGTGGGACTGAATTGCAAATGGGCTGCTCCTTCCAAGTCCAGGCGGTAATCATACACTAGGTTGCACTTTCCCTTTGGGTATGTATGCCTACCTAGCCATCTCCCTGGTAACCGGGCGCCCACGGGAGGTTGCTCCTTCCTCAAATGTCGCTCCTTCCCATAGGAACATATCCAACCCTAGAAGGAAGGAGCGACCACCGTCCACGGTCGCATGTTCCGCCTTGCGTGGCTTGTAAGTTTTTCAATGCCAATCACTCCTTCCTCCTCTGAGGGCCACTCGCTTGATGCGGTCAGGAAGGCTCAACAATACTGGGCTGGGCGCCATCATGACACCATGACTAGGACAAGATGCTCGCATGTTACTCCCTAGTTTTCACGAGACGCTTGGAACCAGCATTGTACCCAATGGCCATATGAGATTCACATATAGGACCTCTCCATATCAGTCCGTTCAACCTCCTCAGAAGAGAAGCTACAGTGCCCAACTCCAGCCGGCGCCTCGACCCCAGCCGGAAACGCGCTTGTCACACCCCACATTACCTCCCCCATCGCAGCTGTGGCCGGATCCTCATCAGACCCTACATGGCACGCGGCGCTGATCGCGATACTACAGCTCCCTGCCAGCGGCAAGACAGACCTGTACCTCCGGAAGAGTGCCATAATCAATAATCCAGTGACCATAACCCCGCCAAGAATAATCGAGACAAGGATCGCAACCGGCGAGTATGCAAGGCTGCTTGCGGCACCGCTGGAATCGATTTGGAGGTCCGGGCCGTAGGGGACGATGAGGACGTAGAATAGACTCTGCGAGACCGTCCAGTGTAGCGCCATGTACGTGACTAACAGCGGGACGCAGTATTTATACGGGATGCTCAGCCAGTATGTCGAGCGCTGGGAGGTATTCTTCTTCGGCCATGAAACGCGCAGTCCGGCGCGCCGTACGCCATAGGAGTCGTATTCTGCCGAGGCGAGCATGGTCGTGAGGACATTGTTGTAAAAGTAGTAGCTGACCGTGACAGCGAACTGCGGAGTGTTTGCAACGAGAACCGTGGCGAGTGCGGGCGCTGAGGCCAGCCGCTCGAGGTCGACTGATGGGTAGGTGTCCTTCGAGTACTCGCCAAAGCCGTAGTCTGTCCACCAGGTGCTGAGTGAACCGAGGTATTCCGTAGCCACGAGGAGGAGATAGATGCCCACGCCAATTGTGGCGCCGCAGCTAGATGGTGGGTCAGTTCTGTCACGTCTGTTCTTGGTGTACGTTCAGACTCACGAGAGCAATGTTATCATCCATCGCCGGAAACTGGCTGCCTGGATCCAGAGCCCGCGAGGTCGTAGTTTCTGTCCGCCGCTTCTGGAGGGGGAGCTCCATGTTCCATCGCGGACATCGTGTCGTGTAATCCAGCATCGGCCTAGGGTTGTTGGATCTGGCTCACCCATGAACGAGGCTACTGCATCGCCGACAGTAAGTAATGGTGGCGTGCGGTTTTGATTCAGTCGTGCGGCTAGGAACATGGCGGCTATTTTGACCGCTGCCGCTGCGATGACCACGATACAGAGAGGGAGGTTGTAGACGAGTTTACACCGGTCCTCCGTCTCAAGGATCAAGCAGCCATTCGTCGCGTAGTACTCGCCCCCTTCATATTCGCAGGTCAGCGTGTCCAGCTGAGCAGCTATAGGTGTCGCGAGCTCATCGCCAATGTACGCCGTGACATTGTCCAGCGTCTGCGGGTACGTCCTTGCAAGCCACGTCGCCAGTTGATCACCATCAGCGCACGCCGTTTCGCCACTAATAATGTTCGCACTCAGGCAGTCCGACAACGTAAAGTTGAACCTACTGTAAACAGGGCTGTCAGCCCCATCCATGGTAGGTAGCGTAAAGGCCCATGTCCGATTTGAGAAGAATGCTCCTCGTGTCTGCACCGGCAGACGCCCAACGACTGTCCCCGTCCACCCGTTCAGAAACGCAAAATCGCCGCCATTCTGCACAGACAGCTCATCGGAAAGCCCTACGACTGTGCGCATGCCGTGCGACCGTGTTGCCATTGTGAGGTCGAAACACTCATCCGCATCTACCCTTCTGTATGTGCCGTTCGAGAGGTGCTCTGTAAACGTCCCCCAAGACATCCCCGTCGCATTGAAGCATGACTCAAGGCCCGGCGTTGTGTAGTTCCGTGCGTCGGCAAGACCCAGATCGCTAGGGGCCAGGACAACACTGTATTCGTTCGTCCCGATCGCACCGAAAACGACCGAGTTGTACCTAGCACACACACCAGACACCGGTCAGTCCACTCATCCCTGCACCAGTGGTACTACCGAAGAGTAGTATGGCACCTACAGCAAATGAAACGGTGTAGCAGTAACCAACAAAACAACCCACAGCCAGACCCTGTAAGACCCAACAACGAACAAGTTCCTCGTGCTCGGCGTCCCGATATCGAGCCATTGCCCTTTACCATGTGCCCGATCGACCTCCTCTCGACTCGGCGCGACAAGTGTCTGCATTGTATAGTTGCTGGCCGCGATAATTGTCGTGCTTAGCACGTTGATGAGTAAGTGCAGCGCGGTGTCCCATCGTTTCGAAATCGAGCAGCTCCCGTCGTATATTACATCGCCACTGGAGAGGCCCGCGTTGTCGTCAATCCTTCGCGACAGGACGATTGCGATGATCAAAAGGATGAGATTTACTAAGAGGACGGAGCTGGACAATGCGGCACAGATGTGCACGCCTCGGATCCAGTGGGGCTGCTTGTCATCACTGGCTTCATTCTCCCTCTCGCTTTCTTCAACTTGCTGAGCGGGACAAAGACCGGTGTATGTGAAGCTTTTGAGGGGTGAAGAATCCCATGCTCCCATCTCGTCTGCCTATGACAGCGGCTGTTCCCTCCAAGGAAAAAAAAAAAAGATTCCGCGGAGAGCATGAATCATGCGTTGCGGATACCATCAATATATAATGTTTCGGAAGTGTAGGTCGAGAACCAACAGCCACCCCGCAAGGCAGACCCTGGGCTTGCTGAATACGAGGGAACCTTGCTTGGCGTGCTCGTTGAGCCAATTGACGTCGTTTGTAGCTGAGGGTTGGGTAGGGAAAATGTAGCCGAGTGGCCGCGACAGCACTCAGCATCAGCGCAGGCAATCCCTGCCGACGGATTGAGATCCCTCAGCGAGAGCTTGTTGAGCGAAGCGTACAATTGGCCGGAAGTAATGTCCGTGGATCTTCACGCATTCACGCTGCTTATATTCGCTATCGGACGTGCATTTCACAGCCATGTTACTTTTGACGGATGTTGACAACATTTACGTCGGTCATAACAACTTCACCAGTCGACTATAAAGGTGCCATGACACCAGTCTAGTGGACTATGTTGCAATATAACTCAGAGTTCGGCGGGCAGGTCGTAATAAGAAGCTAGCGAGTAGAGAATTATAACAGCTATACGCTGACGCCACCGCGTTACCACCAAATATCCCTGTCTATAATCCGTGCAGCCCACACGCACTTCTCATCCTGGAAGCGCGGCGCGATAATCTGAATGGCGCAAGGGGCACGGACGATATCATAGGGCTCATTTATTAACTCGTCATGATCTGCGCCCCTGGAGAGCTGGGAACACATCAGAGGACCAACGCACAGCTCGCCTGAGCGCTATCCGTTGATATTATACCCTCGAATCTAGTTTCCGCAGAGCCTTGCCGTACAAACGATCAAAGTGAGCCCAGCTAGATATCGCTGTGGGCACATACATAGTGATACGTGGAATCTCCTGACCTACTCAGCATTTGTATAGCCCTTCAAATGACTGCATAGTTAGTTCCCCACTATACTAAAGACAAGGTACCGTCGCCAAACTGGAGTAGGAAGCACAAAGACTTCTATGGCGAGCAGGATATGACTTGCAATAGACCTGCGAGCGAGTACCTAGCCAACAAAAGAAAAGAAACGGAGTCCTCATGGTCAGTTCTTACCGCGCCACAGGATTACAAGATAAAGCATTCCACAGACTACATCCTAGCCGGCTCCTGACATGCACTCCAGAATACAGCGGTCAAAGGCAACAAGAGCTTGCCTCCGAGTAAAACCGCGGGACCTGATAACTGATAACCTGAGCGACAACAAAAACACGCCCGACAGAAGCCGCACACACACGAGCCTCAAATCCGCCCACTCTGCTGCACCACCATCGCCCTGTATCGCATTGCAGTCGCCGCCCGAATCCTCTTCCCATATACAATCATGGGCACAATCGTCAGCGTAATCGCCAGACTGATAAACCCACACGCGATGAACATATTCTGGGGCCCTGAACGGTGCATCCAGGGTGTGATGGCGAATGGAATCCCGATGCTGATTGCGTTGCGGAGAAACGCGACGCCCGTGAACGCGTCGCCGGTGACCTAACGGGCTGTGTGAGTGGGTATTTATGGATGGAAGTGGTCATGCAGAAGGTGTGCTTACATCGCGATAACTGTCAATGACCAACGTAAGCGCGGCATCGCTGATACTGCCGAGTCCGAACCCAAACAGGGCGCCACCAATGCTGGGCCAGATCCAGTGCATGCCCTAGGTGGAGATTAGAAGAGTGATCCATTGCCAGGTGATGTAGAAGTCAAGTTGCCATACCCGCGCAATCGTCGCGCCAAACATGATCAATCCTCCCGCCAGAGCCAGGGCTGGAAGATGCAAGATGTACAAGCGCATCTCAGGCTCATAGTACCCCCTGTTCCGGCGCGCAAAGTACATAATCGACCAATCGCCGATGAAGCCGCCGTAGAAGGACCCGATTAAATTGCCGATGAACGGGCCAACGCTCATGTACCCAATCTGCTCTGGGGTGAAAAGATACGGCGGCATTGGGAAGACGAGCGCGATCACGCTGGACATGATAGTCAGCCATGCGACACCGCATGCATACTGCATGGCGCAGAAGAGAACAGCGGGGAAACTGGCAAGGACAATGAAAGGGCGGTAGAAGTAGGGCCAGATGGTCTCGGGGGTGTATGTCACCAAGGCGAGGCGCCGCTTCCACGTTTTGAGTGGGATGGTATGGTCAAGCTCGTGCTGGGATGATGTTGGGTGGCGATCGGTATCTGGCCTGCTTGGCGGACGCTCGATGTCTGGTTTACAGTCGGTCTTGATGGCGTCGACGGTGACGTTGAGGGTGTCGGCGATGATGGCTTCCTGGCTGCTCACGCCTGTGATGATCGGGGTGTACTTGGTTTCTTCGTAAAAGCACAGGAATAGCCCAAATAAGATCGCATTGCAGATACCGAGCGTGCGATACGACGCTTGCCATCCTTGCCTCGTGGCCTGCGCCCCTGCCGCCATGGGGCTCAGGAAGCTCTATGAATGAGACTATAAATAAGTGTCGCGCAAGCTGGTTGAATGGGCGAACTCACCCCGATCATGACCATCGTCATATACAACGCGTTCATTCCCCCGCGATGATGTACGAAAAAGAGATCGGCAATCTGCACGTATCAGCCATGGAGATAGTCGACTCACTAACCAACAGACATACCGTTATTTGAACAATAGACTCATTCGTCGCGCCGGCAAGTCCCTGGAGAAGATTGGTAGCATACAGCTCCGAGAGCCTCGTCAACTTCGACGCCCAGAACGAGGTTACGAGCATCAATGCAGTGGACACAAGGTATACGGGTCTTCGCCCGAACTTCTTTGCCAACGGAATGAAGAGCACGCAACCCATGGCCAATCCAACAAAGTTGACTGAGACGGCTCGGTTGAGCTGGGTATAGGTGACATTGAGATCCACCACCATCAACTGCCAGAAGATGGCCTGGATTGAAAGCCTGCCATGGATGGACATCGTCAGTGTGCGCCTCTCACGTTGCGGCAGGTAGGAATGGTATTTACGCGGTAAATACGAGCGCCGTCACTGCCAGTACTAGAGTAAAGTTGCAAGTCTTTCGTAGCGCACTCCAATTCTATCCGTGTATCAGTGGCAGTTAGATAGAACTAAGGTACCTGGCTCACCAGTGGCTCATTTGGATCAGTCGATGGCACCGGATTGAGCACAACACGCCGAGGGCCATGGCCGTCTCCATCTCGGTCTACTATCCGGTAAGTCCATAGCAAGAGATCATTCAGGGAGCTCACACACCATCGATGAGTAGGAATGTTCCCGGAGGAAGCGAGGCCGGAGAATCGGGAAACTGGAGTTCGCTGGACTGGGTATCTGGCATGGCAGATGATGTATAATTCTTCGGGGCGGATTGGTGTTGACGATATGTCCACGTTTCATCAGGACGTTCCCTACTTATAGGCGAAGTATATCTGCGACGAGCAACTACTGATATGGGCAGATTACTCGACAAGATGTTGATACCAGGCGAGCCAGTAAGCTTGGACCAGGACTATCAAGAACCTTATCTGCAAGTTGAGCGTGGTCGAGCCAACGGTCAAAGTGCGGGGAAATGCATCGCTTCAAGATAAGAACAACACTAGCGAGCGGCAGGGTCGACCTGCCCAAAAGGGACAGAGTCACGAGCCCTGCCGATAAGTCAATTGGAGCGCTCAATTTCTTGAATAAGCCGGTACCTAGTAAGGACTCGCCGACGGTGAATGTGCACATCGGCATATCAGCGTTCGCTTCTATGCCGCGCCCAACCCCCAATCTTATCAACACGCATGACCCTCTTATGGCATTACCTCGACAGCGTACGGTTAGCAGCTTGGAGACATTGGTGCCCCTCACAATGATTGCCGAATCGAAGTTGCAAGTATGCCGCGTGCGTGACGGTGAGTATCCCCAGTGTATCCCGATTGATGTCCCCCAGTATTAGGTTATTAATGACCAGGTCACACAGACACAAGGTCCATCTCTGCCGTCGCAAACACCATCACGCTTTCCTTTGCATCCGATCCCCTGATTAAATGGCTACGCCCACTCGCTCCGGCTTGGTCAATCGACCAGCCCTCCACGTTCAAATGGCAGTATCGCCGCATACAGAGAACGATGCTAGAGGGAATAGTCCTACAGTCTGCGCCAGCCCTGCGACAATATCAACGACCATGTGTGGTCAAAGGGGCTGGCTCGAACGATGTAGCCACGCCGCTATTGGGGACAACAGCTCATAAGGCCACAAGGTCCTGGGACGATGCGGGAGCAGCTGTGCTATTATTTCCTCCAGCTGTCCGTCACCACTGGACCCTACGCCGACTTCTTCTCAAACTGAAGTTGTGGGTGCTTGATTTTTTCGATCCAGTTTCAGAGAAAGGGGCAAATCCAGAGGTACCGGTCCGCATGTTCCACTGGCGACTGGATGCACAGACTAACCATGAGGTACTACTAGAGACTACAGACGATGATGGCGACCCACCAGCAGTCCATGGCCCGCATCAAGATGGAGTACCAGGTACCCGATCTGTGGTACCTGGAGGTTGTTGCGGTTCATCCGAGCTTACAAGGGCGTGGTCTGGGAAAGAAAGCAATGCGCGCTGTTCTCGACATGGTTCAAGACGAGCCCATAATACTCGAGTGTACGCGTGAAAGTAACATTGGATTTTACCGAAGCCTCGGGTTTGAGGTTGTCGAAGAGGTTGAATTGGTCGATGGCGATGAGGCAGTCAAACTGTGGCTCATGTTACGGCAACAACCGCACAAGACCGTTCCATAGTGACTACAGACCGTATGGAATTGGCACACACGAAGCTGTTGATTTCTGTCTTAAAATAATCCCAATTCTATTTCTCGAGCTCGAGCCAGTTGGTGGATTGTCACTGTCCCAGGTTTACATGTCCAATATTCTTCGAGCAAATCCAACAGGATGTGATATTGCTTGTTCCATAAAGGGTCAGCAGTAGCTGGGAGAAGGAACCCTCTGACCGATTCCTTCAGCAATGGGTGCTGACTCAAAATTTTAGTTTGCAAGCCAGCCATGAATATGGGATAAGGGAGTGCGTTAATTGCCAGCGAGTCTCGTCCATCCGGTTGGACTGATGCGCGATGTACCGCATCAATGCAGCTGACCAGCTGTGCCACAAGCACAGCGGTTGAAGGTAACGGAGCCTTCCGAGGGTGCGCCTCTTCCGACCTTGGGTCCTGCCTTGACGTGTGCAGGCTTTCATCCCGGAGGGCTAACATTCCAGCCAACCGATATGCCTGCCATAGCTGACACTGGACAGGACTACCCATCGCACCCGGCCAGTTCCAAAAGTCTTCTTCGGTCGCACCATCGCCTATGCAGGAGAAGATATCCACGAGAGATTTTGGCAACCCGCTTACGACTTCAACCTCATCCCGCGCCGAGGTACTTTGGCGATTACGACAGTACTGCCGCCAGAACCCCAGGTGAGGATATTGACGGCCTATCGCAAAGGTCGGAAGATCCATAATCCCCATCACCTCGAACAAGTGGGCGCGGAATGTTGTATCGGATCCCTGCGTATTCTGAGTGCCGCTGAGCTGGAGGATGCTGTGCATTCCGCGCAGATGCATGGTCCAGGGTATCCCATGCATAACCTACATAGCTTGGTTTAGTTTGGACCATGAAGAGGGGTAGTGGAGATTCATGTACCACGCACCCCGATTGTGCACAGGAGTAGTCCAGCAGCCAATGTCCCATCCTGTAGACATGTCTCGTTCCGCCTGAGCTCGCAGCGGAACTTGGTTAGGGCGGCGTCGAAGTACTCGAAGAAATGCGTCCTCAACTCCGCCTTTAGCGAGATCTGGAGGGTAATGCATATCGTATAGAGGGCGTCCGACTGTTGGCGTAGAGTGGGCAGCCGCAACCGGAGGAGGTTTTCGACGTCGTGAACCGTCGTTGAATGGAGGATATTGATGCCGGATGAGAGGACTATTGAGGCCCACAATCATCATCACCCGCCTTTTTCTCATGGTTCCATGGTTTCATGGTTGTTTCTTACATTCTTGGAATAGTAACTCATTATCGATCCCACTGTCAGGCCCCCAACAAGAAGACGGACTTGAAGAAACCAATTCTGCTATCTGCTATTAGTTGCCAACTGTAATCGTGCGAAGCCCGGGGGCAGGACGCCTATACCCAGACCAGCCTCTGTGGAACAAGCATGTGCCCGATAGAAATCTGCTGCCGTGTGCAACTGCCGCTGCCCCCCTCGAGCACGATCCCTCAACCGGCCCTTGAGTCTCGGTGGCGCCGAAACTGAAGAGGCTGTCGGTGCCTCGGCGCCAGTAAAGCGGCCTCGGGACGCGACTCCGATATCCCAGCGTAGCCGAACCTCGTAGCCCTCGCATACTATTCCGCGCTCATCGCAAGATCGACACGAGGGACGCGCACGGTCGCATTTGCGGTGTTTGACTTTGCAAGTCCAGCTAGACAGGGGGGAATATAATTAGCCAAAGGTCTGGAAGTAGCGGGATCAGCGACAGTCTGCGTACCATCCGCCGTGGAATCGGCGTTTTGGGGTCGACATGCTTGTTTTGGTGATGGTGAAATTGGAGGACTAGGGGAACGGCGGATTGGGCCATTTGTAGCCCTGTAATTGACTCTGGGCTCCAATCCTTCGCTTATATCTGCGTCTTCGGAATGCGGGGAAGATAAGCGTCGACTTGACTAGGTGGAGCTCAGGGTCGACCTGCCGGGTTGGGCATAGCTCAAAATAATCCCGGCCATTGGATATCAGCTCCATAGGACTTTGTTGCCTGAGAATGCAAATGGATGTATAAATTCGACTGAGTGTAATAGGAAAAAACAGGAGCGATTCAAACAAAAGTATCAATGCCCAAGATGGCGCTCCAAACTCCCATTTCAAACTGTACGACGCAAATTCCATCCCTCGGAGAGCTTGAGGGCCTTCAATTCGCCAACGGCGTTCAGCAGTACTGCGGAATCCCTTACGCGGATCTGGCAAAACGTTGGACAAGGTCTACCTTGAAAACATCATGGACGGGGGACAAACATGACGGGACACACTTGGGGTATGTCAACATCCGCCACATCTTCAGTTCACAGCTAAGTATGTATACAGGAGCGATTGTCCCTCCCCGGTTACCGAAGGGGATGACTCCAGCGATCTCACTCCAGTGCCACCTGCGCCTCATTTTGCGACGCCTCGGGTGGATGAACTGACGGGCCTCGTCATGAACATTGTTCTTCCCCATGCGCCCAGGGGACAGCGGCTTCCAGTGATGGTCTATGTGCACGGCGGCTCTTTGCTGTATGGAGGCGCCAACCTCCCCATCTTCGACTGCGTCAACCTAGTCTCGCAAAGCATCGAAATGGGCATGCCAATCATCTGCGTCAACTTTAACTATCGCGTAGGCCTAGGCGGTTTCCTAGCGAGTCAAGCCATCCGATCTGAACTGCAGCACGACGGCTTCGAGGGCTGCGGTAATTTTGGCTTCACGGATCAGCAGGTTGCGTTTGAATGGGTGCAGAGATACATTCCCGCCCTGGGCGGCGATCCCAATCGAGTCACTGCTGTCGGAGAATCGGCTGGGGGGATTTCAATCAGCAACCAGCTTGCGGCGGCGAGGCCTCCTCAATTCACGCGGGCAGTTTGCATGTCTGGTTTGTCAGTTGCTATTCCCCCTTGGACCCTCGAGCAGCACGAGGAGCTCTTTCAGGCGGTTTGTCGATATTTCCAGATCGATTCGTCGCGGGTAGACGTCTTGGATGAGCTCCGTCGCATCCCACAGCAGGAGCTCGCCAACGCTACGTCTTCCATTCAGGGAGTGTTATCTGGAACTGGAAACCCTTGTCTCGATGACTGGTTCTATAGCAGCAATCCATGCGAGATACAAGAAGCACCAAGCTGGCTCGAAGGGTTGATGCTTGGAGATACGTACCACGAGGGAATCATCTTCCACTTGAACCTCCTGCAGGACGACTTTTCCTCAATTCGCCATACTCTACAAACACATATTTGCAACGACGCGGAAACCGACGAGATCCTACTCGCGTACGATATCCGTCCAGATCTGACACAGAACGAGCTGCTTGAACGCGTGGAGCACATGTGCGGCGATGCCATCTTCAAGATCCCCAATTATGCAACGGCCCTGCTCAACACGCACCTTCGTGATGGAAAGGCTTTGTACCTGTATCATTTCGATCAGCGATCGCGGGTTGAGAATTCGCTCAAGGGGACTGCGTATCACGCACACGAGCTACTGTATCTCTTTAAGAACCTAGGCAATCTCATGGATGAGAAGGAGAACGCTATGGCGCATGACTTTGCAGCGGCATGGGTTCGATTTACCAACGGCGACGCTCCTTGGCAGGCAACTGACAGGCAATGGAAGGTATGGGGACAGGATTGTGCCCAGGCTATTTGTGATGAGGTGAGTGATGAGAATGTCAGAGGGTACAAGCGAATGCAGCGGATGCTAGCAATGGGAGGTGGCGAGACGTGGAAACGATGGCTTTCGGGCGTAGACGCGTTGGTCAACAAGAGGATGAATTTGGGAAAGGCAGCGTAGTAATGCAGCCCTTTGAACTAATCACTAAGCAATATTCCTTACAAACTACAAATGAGATGTAATAACTTCTGCATGTCGAGGCAAAACAGCTTCCTTGACTCGCTCGTGGGTGACAAGCATCTGCGATGGAAGCCAGTCAAGATCTGCGTCTTGAGACTCTGCCGAGTTACTCTCTTCAAGGAGCAGCATTGTTCCCACAGCCTTACCGCACAACCACGCCTGTACCATCCCCTCCCCTGAGAAAGCAGCAGAGATCCACTCGGAGCCGCTTGATCCCTCTCTTTGCCCTCTACATGTCAGCGAGGTAGGCAGTCGGCCCACCCAGGGAAACCCATCTGCACTGAATCCCATATTCCCCGTCCACATACTCTCCACGTTGGGCCCGGACACAGTGCCCCAGTTGTTGCGTCCAAACACAGCGCTCAACGCACCAGAGAGATGAATATCAGCATAGAAACTCAGATTGGAGTCTGTCGAAATCCCAATGTCGGCTAGACCACCTTGCTCGCCCTGCGCATAACCGCCGCCGAGCATCATCATCTTGCCGGTGTCCGAACCCGGTAACTGTGTAAGGTAGTCAAATCCTCGTTCATAGTTGAATATCCATGAGTGCTCGGTTCCATGGAACGGGAACTTGTCTCCTGGGTGTTGCGCCGACATTTGACCACGGATCGGGTAGATGCGTCCTCTGAGGCCGGGGATAAGATGGCTTGCATGAGCGTTCGTGCAGTGGATGACATGCCGAGCGCGAATTGCGCCCCTGGATGTTTGGACCAGGTAGCGTAGTGAGTTGTTATTTCCGACGCTATTGTCTTCTATACCTGTGACAGGCGTGTTTGCTTCGATGACGAGGTCCTGGGGAAATTCTTCCTTCAAATGGGCCAGGACCCCAGTCACGAAACGATACGGCCAGATGGCGCCTGCGGGGCCGGCGACGACACCACGGCCATGTGGGAGACATAATTTCTAGATGGGTCAGTGACCAGGTGGAGATTGCGGGGCAAGGCCAATAGGCCACCTACACTCAGTATATCTGCCCCTTCGAGCAACTCCCACTCACGAGTTTCCTCGGGTAAACATTCCTTCAACCTCTCTATACACCGCTTCGCATCCCTCCACCCTTCCTCGTGGAAGTGCACACTCAAGAACTGCACCTTGCGCGCCTGGCTGTGCTCGGCCAGCCCGTACTCCTCTGCTATAGCCAGCATCTCGTTTAAGTGAGCCAAGCGGAACTTGATGATCTTCTTCGCCGCATCCACTCCATGCGCTGCTTCAAGCTCCGCGAATTCCTCCCCTGTCTCAAGGATATGTCCACCGTTCCGGCCCGTCGCTCCACTGCAGACATCGCGTGCTTCGAGGATGACCACAGCCGGTCGGGTCGGGGTTCCCCCGGGCAGTTTGCGACTCGTCAGGAGCGTCCTTGCGATTGAGGTTCCAGTCACTCCGGACCCTATAATGACCACTTCGGCTTTCTTTGGCAGTTCAGAAGACTGAGATCTGGCGAGGTCGGGATGCGGAGCCCGAAGCCAGAATGAAGATGTAGGGTTGGTGGTTGGAAGCCCGGGGTCGGAGAAGGCTCTGTCAAGCGCTTTTTGCCTCTCGACGGCGGGAATTGCAGGGTTGAAAAGGAGATGTTGGACAAAAGCCATGTTGGGTGGTGGTGATAAAGCGGATTGATCGATCTTCCAGGTTTGGTTGACAGACAGAACTGGACAGTCGAGACATCGTTAAGTATCGATCTCACGGGACGACCAGCCAGCTACTTGCGGTTTACATTCCGTTTGGGACAGGTACATCCGAAATACAGACTCATCGGTGTCCTACGCTTCGAGATACCCAACTAGTCCAGTGGTCTTTTATCCGTTCACTGTCATGGGTCAGTGTGGCCTGGAACCTGGAACCTAAGAGGGGTCGACCTGCCCTTTAGGGTATAGGGGCACCATCACCGGTCACTCTCCACATCTCGCCATCCGAGGCATCATGCAAATTCCAAAGAGTGCCGCATAGGGTCGTCGACTAGATCTACCGGTGATTGATGCCGCGCATCTCGAGGATGGACTTTCTGTTCTTGTTGTTCTTGGATTCAGTTTACCTGAGAAGTCTCCCCACGCTGAGCCTGTACTCGCCATTCTATTCGCAGTGTATAAAAGGCCAACTAGGAATACCAGAATCCATCCACACTACCTTGGAAAACACACTGCTACCTGACATCACCTATTTCAAACAATCCCACCATGAACACTGTACCAGCCGACTCCCCAGGCAACGCCTACTACCCAGATAGCCCGCCCATGCGCCGGCCGGCGATGCGGTTTCTCTATCGCCTTGAGTGCACCATCGCACCCGAGGAAATCAACATCGGTGCCCCTCACGGCGCAGGAATCATCCGGAGTATTGCGAATATCACCGGTGGCACATTCAAGGGGCCTGGGCTCGAAGGCACTGTACTCGCACTTGGAGGAGCGGACTGGGCGACCGTGATTGAGGGGACGCATGTGAGTCTTGAACCTTTGATTTCTGTTCTGCCGGGCTTCTACTCAGGAATCATACTAACCAAGCAGCCAGTCCATGACCCTCGACGCGCGATACACGATCAAGACAACTGACGACCATCACATCCTTGTGCAGGCCCATGGGCTCTACCGACCAGGCCCAGGGACAGCCTACGCGAAGGGTGTTGCAGCAGATCCGACGATGCGGCCACCGCCGACTGTAACGCAGGATGAGGTCGAGTTCTTTTCCCACCTACGCGTTGAGGCGGCCGGGAAATACAACTGGTTGAATGGGTTGGTCTGTGTAGGGGTTATGACGTGCCAGGATGATCGAATCATCATTGATGCTTATTATTTAACGAATTTCGAGGGGGCGATGCCAGAGGACGTTGTTGCGAGGCGCGGGTGATTGTTTGTACTGCTGTCGCTCGTGGCGTCAGCTGAGTGATGTGGTTTGGTTGCAGGTAAGAAGCCTTGGAGAGCAATTCGAGTACCGAGACTGTTTGCCCAATGTTGCCCTCTATCAGCCATTGTAGTAAGCGCATAGTTTGATTTTGTGGCGGATAAGTACGCAAAGCATCTATCCGAGGCATCACAAATGGAGGCCTGGGCTTGTCCCACTACGGCAGGTGGACGCATTCGCATTCCCCAAGTCCCGCCGCTACTCTCTAGTCATGCATATTCCGTCCAATCCTTCAACACGAAGATGTGGGGTTAAACTAGTGAATGTGCGACAGTCTACTTACCCCAAGATAACCATGACCATCCATCACGCGGGCACCCTTATAAAGCCCATGTTCCTCTCCTGATAACTCACTCCTGATAAATCACTCTTGATAAATCACTCTTGATAAATCACTCTTGATAAATCACTCTTGATAAATCACTCTTGATAAATCACTCTTGATCAACGCGCACCAAAATGGCAAAAGAATCAATACCAGACAATGACTGGCGAGTGATCGTTACCAAGAAGCGAGCACAACTCGACGCGCAAGTCCCGGCCGAGTGGCGTCTCAGCGAAACTTTCCTCGCTTCCATCCCGGCCAGTGGGCGGCTCATTGAGGGCGATGTCGTCCGGCGCAGTGGGATACTCACAGACGCAGAATTGGATATTACTGAAAAGTATTCCGCAACGGAACTTCTGCCGAAGCTCGCATGTGGAGATGTGAGCTCCCTACAAGTCACGACGGCGTTCTGCAAGCGGGCGACGATTGCGAACCAATTGGTGAGACCATATTTGCCCCATTACGATTCACTTTTACAAAGGATGCTAATTGAAAGAGACGTCCTGCCTGACGGAGCACTTCTTCGACAAGGCGCTGGAACGTGCTCGGTTCCTTGATGAGTACTTGCGCAAGGAGAAACGAGTCATCGGGCCACTGCACGGCCTTCCGGTTAGCATCAAAGACAGCTTTTGCGTGCAAGGTATCCAGAGCACGGTTGGATATGTATCGTTTCTTGCGAGGGAACCTGCGGCCTCGAATTCAGCCCTCGTTGAGATGCTGCTCGATCTGGGCGCGGTGCTGTATGTGAAGACCAATGTCCCACAGACAATGATGGTGAGCGTGCCCAGCAAAGTGATTCAAACGCCCCAAGCTGACCACTACCAAGACAGCAGACTCGGACAACAACATCTTCGGCCGCACCCTGAACCCCCACAACACGACTTTGACCGCTGGAGGGTCAAGCGGCGGCGAAGGGGCCCTGGTTGCCTTCCGCGGCTCGATCCTCGGCGTTGGCACAGACATCGCAGGCTCCATTCGAATTCCAGCTCTCTGTTGCGGCGTGTACGGCTTCAAGCCCACCATCGATCGTATTCCATGGGGTGGCCAAGTCGCCGATATCGCGATGGAAGGGCTCCCAGGTCTAAAGCCTGCCGCTGGCCCGCTTGCTCATAGCTTGTCTGATATTAACCTGTTCATGTCGACCGTCCTACGCGCCGACCCGTGGAAATACGATGCCACGGCGAGTCCAGTGCCCTGGCAGGGGCTCTCTGATACTACAAACCCGCAGCCCGTGCTAACCATCGGGGTCCTGCCCGAGGACGCCCACTTCCCACTGCATCCCCCGGTGCGACGAGCGCTAGATTCCGCAATTACTGCGCTCTCAAACGCAGGCCACCGCATCTTCCACCTAGATTCAGATCCCACACGAGACCTCGCGTACGCCAACCGCCTCGCCTTCCAGTATTTCGTCTACGGCCCGCACATTGACCATATCGCCTCCAGCGGCGAGCACCCAGTCCCGTCCGTGGCCAAGATGTCGTCGCCCATGTTCACGGGCCCATTCCCTGTTGACATGGAGCTACCGCCGTACGAGAAGATTGATGCACTACATAAAGCACGACAGGAATATGCCGACGCCTGGCGCAGGGCGTGGGTTGAACATGGTCTCGATGTGATTCTTGCCCCGGGTGCTCAGAACACGGCTGTGCCGCATGATACATATGGATGGCCGCCGTATACGCTAATCTGGAATCTTCTTGATGTATGCCTCCTATATGACACGGGTGGGATGGTAAATGCGTCTCTCGCTAACGGTGTCTAGTATCCTGCGTGCATCCTCCCCTATGGCAAGGCTGCTAAGGAGCTGGATCCCGAGCCCATGATATTGGCCGATGGCGTTCAGCCAAGCTGTAAGTCTGGGGCTGCGACTCCGTTCCCATGCCATGTTGCATAGCCTCTAATATCTTGCTAGATGATCCCGATGCGGTCGATGGAGCGCCCTGCGCTATTCAGGTCATTGCGCCGCGCTTCCAGGATGAAAAGTGTCTCTGGGCCGCCGCGATTGTAGACCGTGATATTCGTTCATAAAACCCTTGTCCTTCAGGTTCAAAAATAAAATAGTTTCAATTACCAATCTATATTTTCAAGATACCCACAGCAAGTAGAACTTTATGAAGTGACATATTATGATACAGCAACAACCTCACCACCGACAACCTTACCAATTGACAGGGAAGGTAACAAAATCATAAGCCTCCCCACCCTCAATAAGCTTCTGATCAATCCCCTCATGGCCCCCACTCAGCACAAGCACCTTGGTAAAAGCCGCCTCGCTCCAATATCTAAAGCTCGTATTAGGAGGAATAAACACCACATCGCCGGTCGTCAATTCAGCCGTATCATGCCCCGCAATCTGGACATCAAACCTCCCCTCAATCACCTGAAACGCCGTCGCACCGCCCATCTTCCATACGGGGACAGTGCCATTGCCAGGCATAACACTAATCGAAACCGTCGCCATTGTAAAATTCGTATCCTGCGTCTGAACCCCCGTCGCAAGCGGCGCGACGATCTGATACCCTTGCACCGAGTTCAGGTACTTGGGTCCCCAGCCATTCGCGATGAAGTATGGTTCGCCTGCGGCGCCGAGATCGTTGGTCTCTGTGTGCCAGCCTGTGCCCGAGGGCGCGGCGCCGTCGACGAGGTCGGTGCGTGTCTCGAACTCGAGCTGCGCGTATACGTCGAATGATTCCAGCGAGGAAATCACATCGGCGTCGGGGCCCGCGGCGGAGGTCTCGTCGTCGAATTGGGGGACGTACGCTGTGTGGACTGGGGTTGTCAGGTTCGTCCCCTGTGCGAAGAAGAGCTGTCTACACCGCGAATATTAGCAAAGCAATATCTCCACCAAAGGAATGAATGGAATGTCTTGGGGGCAAGCATACTCAAAACCCCCCGGCGCAATCGCCCCAATCATCTCCGTATCAGGCTCGAGAATCCGAAACGTATGCGTCGTGTTCCTCGCCACAGACCCATAGTCCCCAGGCCCGATGATTCGACTCTGCTGCGTGGCATTGCCCTTCTGCGCCCACAGCTGATACCGCCCCTTCAGGCTGAAGAAGTTCTCGTAGTGCCGCTGGTGGATGTGCGGGAGGACGCCCAGGGATGCAGAGGTCGGCGCGTTCGTTCCGAGCAGTGTAAAGGCGTTTCCGGAGGACGGGCCTGTTACGTAGAACCGGTAGGTTTGCGCGCCGATTGTCAGGGCTTGTGCGTGTGCGTAGTGGCGCATTATGTAGGGGCGGACGTAGCTGGGGGCATCGTCGACTTCGAGGGAGTTGAGACCACGGTGGGCGAGGGTGGTGTCCACGGGGCTGGCAGTAGCTAGGCCTAGGGCTAGACTGCCGATGGCGAGTTTTGTGAATAGCATCGTATGGTGACGTTGCTTTTCCTCCAGATGAATGATATGGATGATATAGATTCGCCGGGCCTACACTTCATAACGGGAAATTTATGATCTCCCCTTCTCGGGTTTTCCGAGCGAAAATACTATGAGGCAATGCGGATTTCAATCAAGATCCATAAAACTTCATGATCGGCGTCAAGGGACCTGGTTTTCGGCAAGCGTCGGGAAACGGGACTCGTCACCTTTCGGCATCCCCCTTGATCTGGGAGATATGGATCCCGAAAACACTGCTACAGTTCGTCAGGGCGACAACTTTGGCATGGGATTTACCAGCAATTCACCGGGCGTTCACACGGATCGAATAAGCTCTTCGATACATACTGCTGTGACCCTGCCGGACATCTCGTGGGAAAAGATCACCGCAAGCCACATGGACTTGTCTTTTCACGGCACGCCCCACCTACTCGCTGATGGCCGTTGACGTAGCCAATCCAGTCATTAGTTTAACTCCTCCGGAGTAGTTACTCTCCATGTTGTTACTAAGCGGATCAATTGAGAATTTGCAGTTCCGTTCCGACCGTGAAGGCTGAAGATGCAGGTACCCGGGATCGCTTCGAGAACCTGACGCTTGTGCAGTGTATGTACTCGGCCTGTGAGCTCATGGCTGGATGGTACCGACGAGTATCTCTTTGCCGAGCCCACTAGGTAGATGATTGTCACACACTCTGTATTCGCCAGCCAATTTGGTCGTTGACACAGCCTCGCATGACAAGCAAGGCGTGCTAGTAGCTTACTCTTAGTGCTTAGCGATGTATAGTTTCTCCAAATCCAATCTAATCTGATCATCTATAGATACCTGTTGAAATGTTCATTGAGCGTTAGATAATATGTCGTTCAATCGTACGAATGGGGTCCACTAATTTTATGAGGGGGTTTGATTATCGTTGAGTCTATTGGGCCGTGGGCGCCTCTGGGACTTATGCGGGGATTGAACGGTAATCGAGTACACTCTGGGAGCCATCTATAACAATAGACAACATGAAACTGGAGATGGAGAGCGTCTCTAAATCGTACTCTGCCTCGGAGCAGGGAGGTTGGTTTTCGCGATTCTCAAGGGCTCTCATCCACTAACTACCCCCAAAATATATATCTTTGGTCCTATTGCGAATTGATACCATGTAAGAGTACAACGACCTGGGGCTCTACCAAAAGATTCGGTTTATCCTGCTACGAGAAATTTCCTTCCTTTCTTTCAACATAATCTGGCTCGTTCGTCGGATGGTTCCCTCTCCATTGGTTGCGAGGGGGTTTGAGGAGGGCGTCCACGTGACAAAAGTCATGTTCGTCACCAAACAATTCGAACCCTCCAGTCCAGAGCCCAGATCTCTGCATTGATCAGATAATCCGAAACCAAGCTCAATAATCAGAAAATCAACCTATAAGCGCTTCCGCCCCCTCCCAGCCAAGACCCCTTCCCCAGGCAGACATGCCGGTGCCTACGAACCAAGAAGCCCGCAGCTCGAAAAAGGGTCCATGACGCGAACTATGCAACTGGCTGGCCTGTTGAGCTTTGGTAAAGTGTCAGAGACGCGATACGAGGGCCAGTCATGATGGCACATTGCCTCGTATTTGCGAGACGTGGCGTGGTCTGGCCGGCTTGGAAGGTCGTGGCTGCGTCGTTCTTGGCCTCGTATCCAGATCTGTATTCTTGGGCGAGGTTTGGGGCGGGGTATAAATTCGATGAAGCAGGCAGAGGATAACGAGGAGACACAGATCAATCATCGAAGCAGTTTTATCTACAGATCAACGAATCCGCACTCTGACAATCATCATGGAATTCGACCCCAACAGCGAGTTCGTCCCCTCGAGCAAGATCGACCACGTCGGCATCAATGCTCCGACAGAGGAATTTGAAAGCTTGGTCGAGTTCTACAAGAAGGCACTAGCGCCTCTCAAATACAAGGAGTTGATGCGCTTTCCAGGAGCGGTCGGGCTGGGAGACCAGGTGCCAGACTTTTGGATCTCTGAGACCAAGGACCAGACGAAGCAGAATGTCCACTTTGCCTTTGTTTCAAACGGTACGAAGTCGACGCGAGCACCAGTGAGACATACCTAGTTAGCTAATGAGTCGCAGACCGCAAGACGGTGGATGCGTTCCACGAGGCTGCCATTGCCGCGGGGGGATCAGACAATGGGAAGCCAGGTCTACGAACCGAATACCATCCGAACTACTATGCCTCCTTCATCATAGACCCTCGGGGGAATAACGTCGAGATTGTAAGTCGCACCGTGTGTTGTACGTAGGCGTACAGAGCTGACCGGACCGGACCAGGTGTGTCATTTGCCGGCCAAGGAGTAGGAGGAGTATGAACGAGGGATTTGTTTAACTTTTGTTGTTGCTGCGAGGTCGGAGTTGTAGTGGAGCATGAGTGTGGGCTTGGTGAATGGTGATGCCTGGAGTTGTTGGTGCGCGAAACGGTCGCTGTCTCAGTTGTTTACCCATTGAACATGGATAGCCATATAATATCCTTATTTAGGAAAGTGTTGGTCCTCTTATCTGGAGAAGCTGCTGATCGCCAATCTTGTCTTTGTCATCGTGTATCTTTTAACTTGAAAAGGGCAAACCGTCCCGATGGTGATGGCACGGCCCGTCAGACCAGAGCAGCCACGGCGAGGTGGGCCAACATTGACAAGCGGGCCTGATGGAGAATCGGGTGATGCAGGAGCATTAGCATTCTGGAATCAAGCTCGCTGCGACGGTGAGCGACAGGGGTAAGTGGGTGAATTCAGCCTTCGGAATCGGCAGACCGATGATTGTCAACGATCGAGACGATCCGGTTCTGTGTGGCTTTTGGGAGTTTGTGACGTGGGTGAACATGCAACCGAGGTTCCTCCAACCGTTTCAGACTTTGAAAAGTGAGAAGCGAGCAGGGAAATGGAAGCGGGGCTCACGTGACTGCCACCGCCAGCCCGCTACGTCACCGCCGCCCACACAAATTGAGTCGCGTGGTCAGTGGCCAATTGACGAGGGGCAGTTATCGAGTCCTGGGTCCATCCATGGAACGGTAGCACACACTAGGCTGCATCAAGCAGGAATCCGCGGGTTAGATAATGCAGGGCACCGCCTCAGCGGGTTCAACTGGTGCAGACCATCCGTTAGCCTCTGTTGCAAGGTTGGCCACGGAGATGACCGCTGACGGGCTAAAACAGCTGTTGTCCCGCTAAAAAAAATTCTGCCAACCCTCATAAAGACTCAGCTCCCTCGCTCCCTTGTGCGCCCGCTCCATCCACGGAACGACTCTGCGACCGACTGCGCCTGTACAAGAATGCCCACGCGGTAGACCCCATAGCGCCATCTCCGACCCCGTCATCCAAGCCCAAGCGACACTTCCCCCGCGCCATCTCCCGCAATCATGGCAGCCACCGCCCGCAAAGATGCGACCCAGTGGGCGCCAGCCGTCAGCGACAGCGCCCTAGAAACCGGCCCCGATAAGGACCAGGCCGACCAGGTCCTCGAGACGCTGGGATACACCCCCGAGCTCTCGCGCAACCGCTCGACCTGGAACGTTGTGTTTATGTCCTTTATCCTCGCCTCCGTCCCGTATGGCCTATCGACCACCTTTTTCTACGCCCTCGCAGGTGGAGGGCCGACCAACATTGTTTGGGGCTGGGTCCTCGTATCGTTGATCATCCTCTGCGTAGCTGCCTCCCTCGCCGAAATTACCTCAGTCTTCCCGACCGCCGGTGGTGTTTATTACCAGACCTTTGTCCTCTCGCCCATCTGGTGCCGCCGCATCTCCTCATGGGTCTGCGGATGGGCCTACGTCGCAGGTCAGATCATGATCACGCTCGCGGTGAACTTTGGAACCACCCAGTTCTTCATCGCCTGCCTGAACGTCTTTGAGGACTCCAACGGCGTCGGCATCACCGAGACCTGGGAGGCCTGGCATACCTATGTGATTTTCCTCGCCGTCACCCTGCTCTGCCATGCGATCCCGGCCTTTGCGAATAAGTGGCTCCCGTTGCTGGAGGTAGACTTGACCCGATGCGCCTTGTATCCTGCTTCCTAAAAGTTTATTTGCTAATCACATTTCAAGTCCTTTGCCATTTTCTGGACCCTTGCTGGTGTAATCGCCATGGACATTTGTCTCCTGGTCATCGCCAAGGGCGGCCGCAACAATGCCAAGTGGGTGTTTGGCCACTTTGAGCCCCAGACCGGGTGGCCCGATGGCTGGTCCTTTTGTATTGGTCTCTTGCAAGCTGCCTACGCGACGTCTTCCACCGGAATGATTATCACGTAAGTCAAGTCATTCCGAGAATCCCACTCAATTCCTCTTTTTCCAAGCGCCAAGCCTGACTAACTCGCTTAGTATGTGCGAGGAAGTCCGCCAGCCCGCCGTCCAGGTCCCCAAGGCCATGGTCGGAACCATCGTCATCAACCTGATCGCCGGCCTCGTCTTCCTCATCCCTGTCTGCTTCGTTATGCACGACCTGGAAGACCTTGCTGCCCTCGCCTCCGGCCAGCCCGTGCCCGCAATCTTCAAAGCCGCGATCGGGAACCAGGTCGGAACATTCCTCCTCCTGCTCCCGCTCCTCATCCTCGGCTTCATATGCGGTATCGGATGTGTCACGGCTACCTCGCGATGCACGTGGGCGTTTGCTCGTGACGGCGCCATTCCTGGATCGCAGTGGTGGCGGACCGTCAACAAGAAGCTCGATGTTCCGCTCAACGCGATGATGCTTGGCATGGTCGTTGAGCTTCTCTTTGGTTTGATCTACTTTGGGTCCACGGCTGCGTACAACGCCTTCTCCGGTGTCGGTGTCATCCTCCTAACCCTCAGCTACGCCTGCCCGATCGCCGTTTCTCTCCTCCTCCGCGGCCGTGAAGATATCCGCCATGGTAGCTTCGACCTCGGCATGCTCGGTGCGATCTGCAACGTCGTTGCACTCGGTATGCACCTCTTTCCCTCGTCCCTACTCATTCTCCCTATCCTTTCCTCACCATTGCAACTTACTAACACCGGTGATAGCATGGACCGTCCTCGCAATCCCCCTCTTCAGCATGCCCAGCTACATGGAAGTAACCGTCGAGACGATGAACTACGCCTCCGTCGTCTTCGTCGGCTTCGTCGCCATGTCCGCGCTGTGGTACTGGGTCTGGGGCCACAAGAACTACGTCGGTCCGCCGACGGATGCGATTGATCCCGAGGTTGAGCATGATCATCTTGCTACGGGTACTGCTGTCGGTGCCGGTCTGACTGATAGACCAAAGAATCTTTAGATGGTGAATTTTGATTTGGCGATTTGAAGGCTGGTCTTGGGTCTTGGACGGTTATGAGCGGAATATTATTCCTCTTCTTCTTTTCGCGGAGAAAAGAAGAAATACCTTGCGGAGAGAAATGGATCAACGGCTGGCTGGCCCTGCAGCTGTTTTTCGATTCTTTCTATGATCTACCGATCGCAATGAGGCGATTGGCAAGTGGTAGCTGTACATAACTAACTAACGCGTCTATAGATACGGCGATTAAATCAAGACAGAATTCAACTCGTGCGCTCTAATTCAAAGTAACATATTATCAGAGGCTCTGAGTGCCCCTGGTGGAAGATGATACCATGTCTGAGTCTGGGGGAGTGCCCCTGCCTGGTAAAGTTGTAATTGCCTAATCTCACCACACCCTCTCCTCACAGTACTATTGGGGAATGCGCGAAGGGCCCGGCGTTGCTAAGCCGATCCTCATGAGGCATGAGGCCTCTTCTTCGTGATCAACATCTTACTTAATGCCCGGCGTACTTACACGGCAGCAGACAAGATGGATCTGCTGTCCTTATCATTCCTCCAGGTCATCTGTGCAATACCAGCCCCGTCCAAACCAGGCCATCCTATCCTCAAGCCCATCCCCGCTGTCCTCACAACACATTAATAACAGTCATCGACAATGCAAACTGCTCCGCAAGCGCCCGCGCCGTCAACCCCGCCGCATCCTGCATGTTTCTATCAACCGGCATCGAATACAGGGTCCCCGCGGTGATTTTCTGAATCAACGACTTTGCGCGCCCGACATACAACCTCTTCTCCTTCGTCTTCTGCGCCCGCGCCAGGTCCGGATCCTGGTTGATCCGCGTGATGTGGTCGTTCAATCCGTTGACAATGTCGTGCAGCCACCCGCCCTCGATCGTCCCCGCTCCAACGCGAAGATCGGTGCTCGTTGAGTGCAAGAGCGTCTGCCACAGACGGTCCTGCGTCGTTGGGAGACCTTTGTTTATGTCTTCTATGTGCGTTCGAGTGACGGTGGCGCCGTACTGGATGAGTCGCGCCGCTTGGTCCCTCTGGTCGTGCTGGATCGCCAGCTCCAGCGGCGTACGGTAGGGTGGGCCCGTTTGGTTGTCAAGTTCGATTGTAGCCTTATTCGCGGGAACCCGCCAGACAAAGTCCAGGAAATCGGTATTGTCGTTGAGCACCGCGAGATGCCACACCGTCCCGCCCTGGATCGCAATCCGGTGGTTGTGTGCCCACGGCACGATTGCCCCAAGGTCGAGATTCAGCGGCGGCGCCGCGAGCTCCTCGGCGAAGGCCCGGTTCGCCCATGTGGCGAGGATGTCGTGCAGATTTCCCGTTCGGAAAATCTCCACCCCAAGCGGCTGCTGTGCGGGCGGGAGGGTTGCAAAGACCGGGTAGATGCGCTGCCAGATGCGCTTGAATTCCGCGAAGCGCTCATGTTGCACGAGGTACTCGAGGTCGCTGGGCGTGGCCTGATTCTGCTGCAGGCAGAGGGTGCCGTAAGGCCGTCTCCAGATCTCGATCGGCATGTACGACTGGATGAGGTAACGGGTGGCCAGCCGCCTTTCTCTCGCGAGTGCCTCGTGCAGCATGGTGTGGCCCTGCCGGGTGTAGGAGACGGGTGTGAAGACACCGAGCCAGCGGAGGAAGCGCAGGGCGTCGACGCAGTCGCGCTCGACGAGCTTGTCGATCAGGCAAGGGTAGCGCCGAAGATTGGTTGTTGCTCGGACTGAGGGGTAGAAGCCTGGAAGGTTCCGCGCTGTGAGCCGGACCGGACGATTGGGCCTTGCGGGGTTTGGTCCTGTGGCTACAAGCCTCAGGAACAGGTCTCGAAGCTCACCGTCGCAGTCGCGGATACGCGCAGCCAGATCCTGCAAGATATACGCGCGCCAGGCGATATACTGCAGCTGTAGTGGGGTTGGTTGCGCGAGGTCGGCGAGCCCGCTATACGCCATCTGGTTCGCGACAACGCCCCGCAGCGTCCGGAGCAGGAACTGCCGCTTGATATTCTCGAGCTCAATCTGCACCCAGAGGAGCTTCTGGGTGAAGGGGGCCGCAGCTGCGGTCCCGAGGAGCGGTCGTCGTTGTTCAGCGAGCTCCCACAGCTGCAGCTTTAGTTGATCCTCGCGATCTCGCTCGCGGTGCCATGTCTCTGTTTCCTGCGTGTTTCGCAGACATAGCCAGCCGTCGTTGCTCCAGCGCCTGCGTCCGTACACGACAACGACGTAGCCTGCGAATGTGGGGTGCTGCTTTAGCACGTCGGCGATCTCTCTCTCCGACAAGGTGTCTAGCATAAGGTCTGCAAAATGGCGCCAGGGGTTTAGGGGGTCGACGAACTGGTAGATGCCAGCCGGTGGTGGTGGTGGTGGTGCTGGTACACCTGTTGCGCCTGGCGGTGCAGCCATATTGATCGGTTGAATTGGTTCAGAGTGGTGATTAGGGATTCGGAACTATGGGATCTACAGGGAAGAAGGCAACTGCTGGTATTGTCTTGTCTATATCCATTTTTTGTCTGAGCTGGGCTTCGTCTAACTGTTTGTGACCGAAGACTGTCTTTGAGGAGCGGGCTATACTTGGTAGCAATGTGATTTGGATGTCCTTGTCTACGTTTCATGCGTTCCGGTCAGCGGAGTATGGAGCCTTGTATACTACAAAGCATCCTGAATTGATTCCCAAACAAGTGCTGTTTGGCTACTCTATTGTCAGCGGATTGCATCTCTTTATGCATCCTTTGAAGACACGAAACTAAGCCCCCACACCTTTCATATTCGTTCTGGATGGTCATAGCCTCCCATTATAATGCTGAACCAGGGTCTTTCTTTGATAATACCCTCGCGGTGCGTCCTTTGTACTTTTCCTTTGTTATCCATCATTGTGTTTTAGGTATTTCTAGTAACTGGACCTGATTTAGCTGCGTTTCATATATCCCTTCATCACCTTCAACACTAGACAAGCGAAATTGGTGAGTCAGGGGTCTTTCATTATATGTGCCTGTTCTCTTGTACCTAGCAACTAGCTTACGTCCTTGGAAGAACGTCATGGCCTCAGGGATCTCATTACGAATGGCATAATCTGCTCTCTATATCCGCAACAGAGTCCAAATATCAGAACGTAGAAAGATAGGAATCCCAAACCATACCTTATTTTAGTCTCATACAACCTTGATCGCATGCCTCGTCAATAGGGAATCGAGTAGACATATATTGGAGCCTGTCTACATATACACATGCTCCAAAATCAGAACAAATTGAGGAAATCAACATATTGGCATCATTATGGGTGGATCTATATACAATAATACCAAGAACAAGATCTAAACAAAACCCGACACAACAACTAATCAAAAGCAAAAGAAAAGTGAGCCAGGTGCTCCTTCCTGTACAACAGTAATGTGCTCATCAAAATCGATCTTGTATACAGCTCAAGCTGGGTCAAGCACTAAAACATAGGTTAGCTCATATCTCCCAAATCAGTATCAGTAATCTGTCAAGAGTACACTCACAATAAGCCAGCTGCGTATACCCCCACATCTTCGCATAGTCCCACGCAGTCCGCGGCGGGACGGCCAGATCCCGCGTGCTCAAATCGGGCTCCCCGCGAATATTCCCCTGCTTGGCGAGATTAATCAAAGTCGTTGCCTGTCTCATGCGCGTCTCCCTCCTCGACCTCTTCTGCGACTCCGTGAGATTCGCAGCCCGGTTGATCTCCTTCATCTCGTCGTGCAGCGCAAAGACAACCCAGTGCACGCTCGTCCCCTGCCGCACATTCCCGCCAGGGTTCGGATTCGGATTGCGGATCCCCGCCAGGGACGTCCGGAGCCACCGGTCCTGCGGATTCGTCGGCCAGCTGAGGATCACCATGTAGGGCACGACGCCCGGGTCCGCGCCCCACCGGAGCAGCCGGTCGAAGTGGTCGAATTTGCCTAGCGTGTATGCGTACAGGGCGGGCGTGAAGGGCGCATTATAGGGGTTGTCGATGTCCGCGGGGTACGGCGTGTGCGCGGCCAGGAAGTCGAGGAAGTCGAGGTTGTTGTTGCGGATGGCGATGTGCCAGGGGCTGCCGTTGCCCGCGGACCCGATCTGGGGCGTGTGTCCGATTTGCGTCGGGACGCCGGGGATGGCCGGGAGCGTGTTGGCCGGGGGTGTCAGGGGTTGTGCGAGGTTCAGGCCGATTGTGCGCAGGTACCAGAGGGCCTCTTCGGCGGTGACGAATTCGCAGAGGGTTTCCTTGGAGCGGTTGTTGAGGGCCGTGGGTCCGTGGAGCCCGGGGTTCTCTCTGATCCAGCGGGTGAAGAGGGCGAAGTCGTTGCGTGAGATGGCGAGGTCCAAGTGGTTCGCTCCCAGGGCCATTCCGGTGATTTCGAGGATGCGCGAGGGCCGCAGGAGGAAGGCGAGGTTACCCTGGCCGATGTAGTTGATGTAGCTCAGCAGGAAGCCGCGGTTGAAGGCGAGCGCGTTGGAGAGGAAGCTGTGCCCGTCGGGCCTGTAGCCCAGCGGATCCCAGAGCCCGGCCTCGTGCAGACGCACGAGAAAGTCGTTGCGCTCGCGCGTGATCCAGTCGACGTACGGCCACCGCCGGCTCGTGTGGTTGTCGGTGACGACCCCAAAGGGGAGAGGTTCGCCCGGCGGGGGCAGGTTCGTCCCCGGCGGAGCCACCGATCGATGCCAGTCGATGACCTCCTGCGGGGTGCGGAAGACGGGCATATTGCGCCAGGCGCCGCCGGGGCCGAGACCCCATCGGTGGATGTGGAGGAGCAGCGCGGGGAAGGCTTCGATGAAGTTGAGGAGGTCGTAGTAGTCCATACCGCCGAGAAAGGAATCAAAGATGGGCTTGAGAGGGACGCCCAGCGGGTTGCTGGGGCGCATCGCCAGGATGAGTCCGCCCCAGATGGTGAAGCCACCGCGGCCGGTGCCCGCGCTCCTGACGTTTCGCAGCTCCTGCATGATTTCGCGAAAGTTCTTCTTTGCATTGCTCATTATGAGGTTGGTTAGGTCTTTGGGACCAGGGGATGATGGTTGCTTTGGTACCATGGTGTTGGTCTTGTCGGGTATAGTTTGTCTGATTTCGAAAAGTCGGGATGCATGATGAATATGTAGTTGGGGGAGTGCATCTCAAGAGCGAGTGTTGCTTTGATAATTCTAAATATGGTCACCGTTGAATACGTCTTTATCCTGCTTTGTATGGCCGATGTGAAGCTGGATGTGAATGTCTTTAGGCAGCGGAGGGTAGAATGGCTGGTGGTGATGGACAATGAAAAGACGACCTTTGTGTGAGGCTCTTCTATAATGACTGACTCTTTCCATCCGTTTCTGAGCGCGTGGTTGGCTGGTCTTTGTTATTGACCCTGAAACAGAATGCTTGATAACTACACAAAGGTTCGAAACCCGTCCTCCTCTATAAAGGCCACGTGAGACAAGTAAGGGTCTTATGACCTGGAAATTAGCGTACATGAATCTTTAGATGTTCCAGCACCACTGTGTCGTCTAAATTAGGAATGTGGCCAACAGCCTGAAGGATACCAGCAGCCCTAACTACTGGAGCTGCCAGCCAGCGGTCTGCCCGAGCTATGAACGAACCTCAGAATCATGCCAGGGCTTACGCAGCAGCTTAGCGCCTAGAGTACGTATCAGCAGGCTGGTCTCTAACCCCAGACATTCGCCCCGGCGTAGGAGCTAAGCGGGGTTGGGTTGATACGGTCGACTGTGCTTTGCGGCGGGAAGTTCCCGTTTTGAAGTTAATGGTGAGACAGGGGGGCGTTGTTGATCGGTAGGTTGCGCTAGTTTATAGCCTTTTGCCGGCGTTGTACGATGTTTGTGTTCTCGGGTGGGAAGTTAAGAGGGCTGGGGGGTTTGCGGAAGGTATTGAGGAACGTTGGGAAAGGGTTGGAGAGTGGATTGCGAGCTGGCAGCCTTCGCCATTGGAGAACGCTACATCGATATACACGGGCGAGGAGGTCATCGCAATGTGCACCCAAGGGAATATCTATCGACGGCTCGGCTTACTCTTGCTGCTTCGACATTGGTCTCGCTTTGGGATCGAAGATATCGCCGCGACGGCATACGCAGACACGATATTTGCTGAGGTCGAGACGTGCTCGCGATTAGCGGGGGAGACGCCGTTTAAGATTGGGTTTCCGCTGCTTCTTGTTGGGTTTAAGCTTGTTAAGCTGACTGCTACAGAAGAGTTGCCTCAGAGGCATTTTGGTGCGACAAGTGGGATGCATTTGATGCTGCATAAGTGGGTGAGGCAGTTACTGAGGATTGTTTGGAGGCAACGAGATATAAAGAACGATGTTTCTTGGTTTGATGCTGTTTCTGCACTACTTAAATTTGGCTACATACCGTAGACAAAGAGAACGTCATAGTTTCGATCGATAATCAGTGCTCTTGATAATATCATGAACCACCTCCGACACTGCCAACAGCTTCTCGTCCTCGAATCTGCGGCCGATGAGATGGACCGCCAGAGGGAGTCCATGAAATGAATCTCCGTCGTAGAGATTTTGGATTTCAGCATCCAGATCGTTGAAAGGGGCAATCGGAACCTTTTTGTCGATGGCTTTGTCTGCAAACATGTTCAAGGGAAGAGCCATGTCGGGCCAGTCGATGAGGTTGAACAAACCAGTAAACCCGAGGTAGGTGTACTTGTCAAAGGGAACAGCAGTATGGGGTGCAGTAACCCAGAGAAGAGCATCAAGAGGCTTGCCTCCCCTATTCCAAGCGACATGCATTGCTCGGAAAAAATTATTTATGCGGGCATTCATTGAGTGAATGTATTCAACTGTTGGTGGTGAAGGTGGCGTTTTCTTGGTGATTATCCCGGTTGCCTTGACGATCTCAGTGTGCGGCTCCTTTGACAAGAGCTCGCGGAGGTACGACATACCCTGCAGTTCAGTCCATTCCTTTTGCAGTTCCCAGACGTTGCTAATGTCAGGGCCATTGAACTCCACAAGCTCGACGCCTTCTCCCTTGAGGCGCTCCTGCGCGACTCGAAAGCCTCGTGCGACAGGTGGATGCAGGTGTAGGAAACCATTCGACGACCAGACACCAATCCGGAGCGCCGACGCGACTGGCAACGGCAGACTCTGCCACTGATGAGGATAGAGAAAACAGTCTTTCTCCCACGGCTTTGCCTCTGCCGACAGCCGCGCGAAAAGGTGAACATCTCGCACAGAACGACCGAGAAACCCAGTCACAGTAACAGGGCCAAATGTTGTAGTTCCAATCACGCCAGCGCCAAAATTCTTGCACCATCGAGGGGCAGTCGATAGCCACTTGGTTTATACCCGACAACCCCATTCACAGCAGCTGGCATGCGGACTGAGCCAGCGCCGTCTGATCCAATTCCAAGTGTCGATACGCCCAGCGCCAGGAGGGCGCCCTCGCCTCCTGTAGAGCCAGCGGCACCAAAGTCGCGATTGTAGGGGTTAACGGTGCGCCCGAAGACGATCGAGTCGGTGTCGGCGTTAAGCATCGTCTGAGGGACCGCCGTCTTGGCGATAACAATCGCACCATATCCCGTCAGGATATCGTAGAGAAGGCTGTTCTTGTCCGAAGGGTCGAAGCAGCGAGAGGTGATTCCAATCGAGGTATCGTGGCCTTTAATGTTGTAGCTGTCTTTGAAGGTGATCGGAAGGCCATGGAGAGGGCCGACCGTCTTTCCGGTCTTGGTGAAATGCGCATCGAGAGCCTTCGCACGGGCGATGGCCTCGGTGAAGAGGATTTCGGTGAGACAGTTGGTGAGCTGGTGTGCTAAGGCAGCTCGTTTGCAGAAGGTTGTGACCAGCTCGGTACTCGTGATCTTCCCATTCGCGAGCCCCTGAAGAAGAGAGGTTGCGTCGTGATTCTCGCGGGAAGTGAGGTTAAGCTCGCGTTGCGACAGAAGACCGCTTGATTGAAGCAGTGAGATGGGAGACGATATCTTGTCTGAAGTGAGTGGTTCAGGCAAGAGCCACTCTCTGGGGATCTTTGCCGCTCGCTCCTTTCGTTTCTGCTGGGCAATCATCTCCCATGAGGGGGGCTCCGCGTGGGTTGGATCCGATGGAAAAGACATGGTTGCGATAATAGCAGACTGAGAATCCCTGCTTGCAATCTGGTGGCGCCTTTATATCGGCAGTGTGGATCACAGGCCATACCGAGGAGACGCGCCTTTGAGTTGGAGTACAGTCAAATTGCCAGCTTGAAAGTCTCCGGTCGATCACTTCTACTTCGCAGCATGAAGGCCTCGGTCTTATTGCCAAAACCCTCTGGCTTATCGCGCATCTCAACATTCTTGACCGCAGAATCTCGGAATGGATTCCGCTTATCTTGCTCCAGTCGGCTGATGGAGATGATTATCTACCGAAAGCTATACGTTCGTATAGGTACTCGTTATCTCTTGAAGTCAGGTATAAATTCCCTCGTCTACCGTGCGATATGTTAAGCACCACTCAAACAATCCATACCAGAGCCATGGGTGCCGAAAAGACCAATATCCATCCTACCAAGACAGACGACGTCGAGCAGGGCACTGTCGATGATGTTGCCTTCCAGGGTATTCCCGGCACTCGTCTTCTCATTGAACACTCCGACGCAGAAGTCGTCCTGCTCCCTCGACCATCCTCTTCTCCCGATGATCCCCTGAACTGGAAATGGAGACGAAAGTACACTGCCCAGGCGATCGTCTTCACCTGGGCTTTTATGCTTGGCGCCGCGACACTCTCAGCAGCAGTCACTTATGTACCGGTGATGGCAGAGCTTGGGGCGTCCAGCAGCTATCTGAACGTTGGCGCAGCACTTGCTCTTCTTATGCTTGGGCTGGGTAATCTCTTGTTCAATCCACTGGTACGTTACTGATCATTATAGGAGCTTCACCAAGGTCTGACCTGTAGCAGGCTTTGCGATTTGGAAGACGTCATGTGTACTTTATCTCCACGATCATCAGCGCCATCTCTCAGATCGTGACCGCAACGGCCCAAACAAAGGCAACCTTTATCGGCGGCCGGATTCTGCTTGGTTTCGGAGCTGCTCCTTTCGAGCAGCTTCCTGCTTTGACGGTAGACGACCAGTTCTTTGTTCACTGTCGCGGTCTCGGATTGTCCATCTACACCCTTGCCATTACAATGGGGTCCTTCCTGGGGCCTGTTGCATCTGGATTTGTGGCTGACGACATGGGCTGGAGATGTACGTTTCACATAAACCCATTGCGGCCTCCCTGCTTACTAGATGTGTTAGGGGTCTACTGGTTCTACGCCATCTTCCTGTTTGCCACAGCGGCTCTCATACTCTTCGGCCTCGAAGAGACCGGCTTCGCTCGCCAACCCCACCAACAAGAAAACACCGATATTCACCAATCCCCCAAACCATACCTCGCAAAGCTCAAACTAATCACATCCCTCCCCTCCCCCGCCCCCTTCCACCGCACAGCGACAAGCCCCCTTTACCTCCTAACCTCCCCCCTAATCTGGTGGAGCGGCATAATGTACGGCTTCGGCGTCGCCTGGCTATCAATAATGGCCTACGAATCGTCCACAATCTTCACGCTATATGGCTTCAGTCCCTCAACGCTCGGCCTCACCAACATCGCACCCTTAATCGGCGCCTGCCTCGTCGTCTGGCTCGGCGGCGCCGGAACAGACCACTTCATGGTCTGGAAGGCCCGTCGAAACAACGGGGTCATGGAACCCGAGACGAGAATCTACTCCGTCTTCTTCGCGGGACCCGTCATGGGCGCGGGCCTTGTCCTCTACGGCGTTGGCGCCGCACAGGGGTTGCACTGGGCTGGACCGATTATCGGAATGGGCATGATCGGTAGCGCGCTACCGATCGCGGCGGAGGTTGCGCTGGGGTATGTGAGCGAGAGCTACCCGAGTCTGGCGGGTGAAGCGACGACGGCGGTGATTGTGATTCGGAACGTAATCGGGTGCGCGATGACGTTTGCCATTGGGCCGTGGATTGAGAGTAGTGGGTTGAGGGATACGTTTGTTGCTGTCGGGTTATTGGCGTTTGTCGTCTTTTGTAGCGGGATTTTGCTTATTTTATGGGGGAAGAGGTGGAGGGGGATGGGGGCGAAGAGGTATCATGCTATTGTGGCGATGAAGGGGTAGTTGATACACGCCCAAGACCGCGATGTTGATTAAGAGTTGGGAGTCGCCTGATAAAGTATCAACGCTTCCTGAGCCAACTAGGGTTCAGTACAAGCCAATCACTCCTTTTCATGGTAGGAAATCCTTGAGCTCTTCGAGAGTGAAGAACCGGTTGTACACCAAAGGCATCAAGACAGTTGCCCCCATCTCTCTAATATTCTTAATAACCCCCATCACCGTCTCGCTTTCCCGACCCGCCACTGTAAAGTCTGTTTCTCGTGAATGTGCCAAGACCCCTCCCAGCTAGGAAACAGTCGGAACCAACTCGGAATAATAGCATCTCGTCCCACTTCGCAGTGAATGCCCTTGTCAGCGAAACATATACACATATCTCCCCACTCCAGATAAAGTGTAATCCACCTCCATAACCTCTTGTCAGCAACGAATCGCTAATTCCACTGCATGGTCATGGTCAGATGTCGTGCGGGCCCATGCCGCTGGTATTCTTCCTCGTTCCGTGCCGCGCTCTCTTGATCAGCTTCATCCTCCGCCGACACGTATTCTGCTGCTTCAACAAACTCTGCTTTCCGCTTCATGAGAGAAAGGTGCAGATGCACTCCCTGTCCAGTACGTCAGTGGATAAGCCGAGACAGAGAGTGGAAGTCTTGCAGAGAGTCGAGGTTGATTAGGCGGAACGAAAGAATAACTCAAAACCGTCATTGTCGTTGGGCGAGAAATCAAGTCTGGTCTGGCCATTGAATCCTTGCCCGGCGATAAAGCCATCGGCAAACGGCTTTCGACGATCAGAGCAGTCTACACGGTCACGCGGGTGAGGGAGGCCGGGGCAGACAAGAAGTATTGTAGGAGGCACCGAAGACGCGAAAGCCCAGTTGATTGTATACGTTATTTGGAGATTTTCGTCCACGAAGATATTCTGCGTGCTTTTATTAGGGTGGTATAGTGGGAAGCCGTAACAGCCGGTTTGTGTATCTTTCCCAGATAACCAAGGCACGACTTCCATGTGTAGGATACCAGCTGAAGTATAATCAAGTCGGTTCTTCCTGCTCTCGCTCTTGAATCCCACCGTGGCCTAGGAATTCCAGAGACTGGTAGCGAACCGGTATTCTTCAATGCTATCGTACTCCTCGACGACAGGCACCGGGGCATGGAATAGGTGATGCTCCATGTATAGTTCCACTAACTAAGCAAGAAACGCATTTATGCAGGTCATGTAGAAACCTTTCAACTCGGGAAAGGGCCCACGCGTAATGTCCGTATCGTCAAATTGATCCCGACCCTGCCATGTGACGCTAGGAAAAAGGCACTTATGCGTAGTGTACGACTCATTCTTGTCCACAAATAGTGAGCCGATTTCATTAAGCCGTATATTAGACAGTGCTGTACGTATACACCCCACCTGTCTGAGGATTTTCTCTTTTTGATATGTTGATAAAATCGCCTGTGGTTTGTCATTGATGTTAGGCGGGCTAACCATGTCTTCTTTCCATCAATATGTGCTCAGAGGTACCCCAGAAGCGTTGCGCATTAGGATATACGGGATCCCGATATCATTATGGTCGGTCACAATATTCGAGCCGAGACAACAAAATGACAGCCCACCCAGTAAATATAATAGACGTACCTACCATTAAGAAAAGATCTTGGACACAGGAGTCCTGATCCCCGTTATTTCCCCGATGTACTTCATCGTTTCGACCCCGCTCATGAGCACTTCACTGGCAGTGGCTTTCCTAAGCGCGAATGATCTCACTCTCAGCGGCGAGCTAAGGACCTGTTGAACTCCATCTTGAAATACCACTTTCATGACGCTGGGTTTTGTCGCAGGAATACTTCTTCCCCCGAATGCTGCGGGCGAGCGATAGAAGGGCAGCGATATTGAATTTTGCGTAGCTGAATATTTTCGGGTCTTGTGCCTTGTGCACCATTCTGCCTGGATAAAGTCAGAAATAATCCACTACGACAGATTACTGACGCTGGAAGGGTGAGAAGCGCGCAAGTGAGACCCAGAAACAAACAGGGTGAAAGAGAAGGTTCTAAGAGATTGATGCCTCAGGCATCAAGCCGGCCAGTGAATAACCAGCCCATATATGCCCTGAGTGTAGAGAGGACTTATCCTAAGACCACTAGACAAATGCAAATCTCAACCTGTTGAGAGGTGTAATAGCTGGCATCGAACCTCGCCGGCCGATACATTGTCCTATGGCGACTTCTTGTGTAGGCATCTAATCCCTGTGATCCTGTTCTATAGTTCTATACTAACATTTCCGTCCCTCGGGTTTTTGCAAGGAAAATTAAGAAGGCTCGAAATAACCTTGAAGAGAGGTACAGTACGGTCCCAGTACTGAAGACTGTGTCTCGAATAGAATCCAGTTAGGAGCTATTTCTGTGATGAGAATGCTCGGCGCGATCCTACAGCGGATCTTAAAATAGCCTTGTCTCAGAAGATACAAGACAAGTAAGGCAAACAGTCAATTGAGATTTGGTTTCTAAGCCTGGATTCATAAAGTTCTAGTCCTCCTTCTCGCTCTTTCCCGCTGATCGACTCCTTAGTACGACAAGGGCTTATCCTGCTTACGCCACGAACTCAAGACGTTTTCTCCACCAGTTCCGCTCAGAATACCAATAGTGGTCATCCCTTGACGCCTCGTAGATCTGCAGGCTCATCAAGCTCGTGACCATAATCAGACGATTGCGCCTTAAATGAGTCAAATCTAGGCTTCCAAGACATCTAGGCAATCAATTTCTGCCTGAGGCCGCGAGTGAATGGCCCGAATTGGTATAGGGCCAATCAAGGTCACGTGAAATGACGTATATTTTCTGCTATACTGCGCTTCTATTGGCTCATATCTGGCGGGTCTACCCCACAATCTGATGACTCGCCCCGCCTGGAATTAGTGAGGGGAACTTGGATCACTCTTCGTATTCTGTCGTCTTGGCCCTTGAATCCCCAAGAAATGATGTTGATTCTTGATTGAAAATCTACACTACATCTATTCACATAATATCTACGATAACTCTCCAAGGGCGAAGAATGAGTGAATCTGTCTCAGCTGGTGAAGATGCATAGTCAGGCTGCGACGCCAGCAGGCACCAGCGTGAGCACCAAAAATGGCAGCAGAGCCTCATGGCCCCTCTTCAGCTGAGCGGCGTCTCCGCACGTCCGCAGCTGAGCTGAGTCCCGACTCTGGTCTTCACCTCTCCTTGCCATCGCTGCTTCTTCTTCTTCTTAAATACACATTTTCGGAGCGACAAAGAGGAAACGAGAGGAGCATTCAATTCTTCCTTCGTCCTCCCTCTTAATCACACATTTCCAACGAACGCAAGGACCAGGCGAGGAGGAATACAGACGACAGACGACAAACGACAGACACGATGGATTTCAGCAACAACAACCTCCTCTACTTTTCGTCTGTCGCGGTCGGCTCTTTTCTCGTCAAAACCCTCGTCGACCAATATAGCACTCTCCCATTCGACTACATCTACGCCAGCATCGAGGTCTACTCCTACGATGAGGCATACAACTACCTCATGTACTGGCTGATGAAGCAGCGCTTCGATCGCAACAAACACCGACTCATTGCGAGTACGAGTCTGACTTCTGGTCTCGATTGGTGGGCCCGCGATGACGAGAACGACGTTGACCTTGATGATGAGGATGGTGATGAGGGGGAATTGGCAGCACTAGCCGCGGAGTGCACCGACGCAGTCACGAATACGCGGCCTTTGCTATGGACACCATCGTCTGGCACCCATTACTTCAAATATAAAGGGCGGTGGCTGGCGTTGACGAGAGAAGTCGAGGAGCGCGGGGCGCAGTGGATGACACGCACGGAAAAACTGCGTGTATCGTGCCTCGGCTGGGACACTTCGATTTTGAAACAGCTCATGGCCGAGGCTCGTCTAACCTTTTCGCAAAAGGAAAACGGGAAGACAGTCATCTATCGGGGTACCATGGGCCCGTACGGCGACGAGTGGGTGTGGACGCGGACGACTTCCCGACCGGCGAGGCCTTTGTCGACAGTTTACCTCGACGAGTCGCACAAGCGAAACTTTTTGGCTGACGTCCAGCGATACCTTCTCCCGTCAACCAGGAAATGGTACAGCGACCGGGGTATCCCCTATCGCCGCGGTTATATGTTCCATGGGCCGCCCGGCACTGGAAAGTCGAGTCTGGCCTTTGCAGCAGCTGGCTATCTACGACTGAATGTGTACATTCTCAGTCTCGGGTCTCGCCGCCTAACGGAGGACGGCTGCGTCCAGATGTTCCAGAAGCTACCCCGGAAATGCCTCGTGTTGCTCGAGGACGTGGACTCGTACGACATCGCCAGTAAACGCAAAAGCAGCAAGGAGGAGGACAAAGAGTCCAACAAGGACGATATCGAAACGAAGAATGAGATGACTCTGTCGGCGCTGTTGAATCTTCTCGATGGAGTTGCCGCGCAGGAAGGCCGCGTGCTCATCATGACCACGAACCATCTGGAGCTTCTGGATCCGGCGCTCGTCCGACCCGGCCGCGTCGATTACAAGATCCTATTCAAGCTTGCCGATCGTGATCTGACCAAGAAGATGTTCTGCAATTTCTTCAGCGACGCCCCGACGGAGCTGCGGGGGCTACAGGACGAGAAGGGGCTGGGAGGGGAGGATCCTCATCTTCAAGAATTGAGCGACGCTTTCGCGGATAAGATTCCCGACAACTCTTTCTCCCCCGCTGATATTCAAGGGTATTTGCTTCAGAACAGCAGCGCTCCTGAAGTCGCTATTGATGGTGCGGCCGAATGGGTAGTGAAGAGGCTGGAAGAAATCAGAGTTCAGGCTGAAGAGGAAGCTAAAGCGAAGAAAGCTGCGAAGGAAAAGGCGAAGCGAGATGCCGAGAAGAAAGCGAAAGAGGATGCGAAGGGCGATGCAAAGGACGAAGAGAAGAGCGATGAGAAGAGCGATGCGGACGGCGATACCAAGGGAGATGCGGACAAGCAGTCTTCAGATGACGAGAAGCGAGAGGAGAAAGGAGAGGAGGAGAAGGGAGAGGAGAAGGCAGAAGACAACAAACCCAACGGGGAAACTACCAAAACGGAAGCCACCTAGGTACAAAGTAAAGAGATTGCATTGCCGATAATAGTCCACATAGAGAAGGACACGACGACACATGACGACAGCTCCATCCCACCTCCATTCCTAGATGTTATACTACTGTCGATTTCATATTCTGATTTTTTCCCAGTGTAGCTTGGAGTCTTCAAGTAATGGAGCCTACGGCGTACATGTCCACGAATCCACAATGCTCAGGGCTTGATTCCCCGTCGCATTTCAGGCTGTGTTTAGAATGCGTGCTCAATGAGCGGAAAATACATACACCCAAGACTCGGGGAGTGCTTTGAGTAGGAAATGAACCTCGCTCAGCCCTGCGAGCCCATCGAGTTGTGGCGCCTACTAGTAGCAGTAGTACCTGGCTGAAGTCTGGACCAGGGACTTGTTTTGCTGAATACGTAAAGTCGACCAGCCAAACCAGAACGTGTGTTTCGCGCCTTCAAAACTCAAAGTAAGCTCATGCGCTTGACCGCACAATTTCCGCTAATTACCCCTGTAGCCCTGAAATGTGAACAAACCCAACAAGTCGAAGAAGCTCAACTTCGTGCGCAAACCGCCAAGCCTCCGCAGTGCGCTGTCAGGCCCAAAATCATCTCAACCACCAACCAACACACCACGCCATCTATTTTCGAGCCAGCAGCCCTTCATGCAGCCCGTTCCCAACTCACTCAGCAAAGCGGGCTAGCGGAGCGGGTACCTAGGTACTTCCCAGCGTTTCCCCTGGCTCAATGGCGGCGCTTAGGGGGCTCAGCCCCGAGCGGAATACGAGGTCGTAGCCAATCACAGCGGGCGTTTCGGGGTCTTGGAATGGGCGCCAAGGCACGCCAGAGATATGAAACGGGCTGAAGCAGGGCGGAGTGCAGAAGGTAATTATAGGTTTTGGGGCCGTCCTCAAGGGTCCAGAGTCGAGCCTCATGGGGGGGAAATATAAATTGGGGGTTTCGCTGCGAGTTGGACACTAGATTCAGAAAAACATCAACTCAAAAACAGAACATTCAACACGCTTTGATCTTGCCATATCCATCCCTACCATAATCAACCAAGATGCAGTTCTCCAAGATCTTCACCACTGCTTTCCTCGCGGTCGCCGCAACCGCCGCCCCTGCCCCCCAGACCTACAGCGTCGACTTTGGCGCCATCCAGGCCTTCAGCCAACACCTGCAGGCCATCTGCAACGAGATCCAAGCCAATGTGGCCAGCGCCAGCGGCGAATTCAACAACTTCATCGCTGGTTTCCAGGGCAGCGCTTCTGTACGCGATACTCCTTATATCAACCTCGTCTCGTCTCGGTGAAATACTAATATAAAACAGCAATCCTTCCAGCAGCTCTGGGGCCAGGTCGAGGCGGGCAACGGCCAGATCCAGCAGGCCTGCGCGTCGATCGTCTCTGGGTTGAATTCCGCTACTGAGACTTAGTATGTTCTTTCCCTCCTGGGCGATGTGTGTTGTTTTTGTGTGCCAAGCTAACTGTTTATTGTAGTGACCAGGCTGAATCTGAGAATGCGGCGGCCTTTGCGGATATCGTCGCTAGCTTCGGCAAGAACTGAGTGTGGTTGGGCTATCGCGTCTGAATAGACTCCATAGAGCATAAGTACGCTTTCTTACATATATGTATATATTAAAAAGTACTTCGGATTGGCGGCGGCGATTGACGCTTGAATAATTTCATCCATATTCCTGATATTACTGAATGTAGAATGGTTCTGCGTGACTCTTCAGCTCAGAAGCCCTTAGTGAGAGTTTCTGAGCCTGCCCCCGACGCATTCCTCAGCCAACCCTTTTCGCAGATTCCAACTTGGTTTTGACGGTATATATAGATATATATATTATTAGCTCGGTGCGTCCTTTCCGTCTGAGCTACTGCCCATCTCAGAATCCTTGTAGCTCTTCGCTCAAACATGTGTCAATCCTCTCAGAGGGCAAATATATTTTCCCTCGGCGCAGTACAGAAACAAACTTCGAGTAGGTCCAAGATGTCGGCAACTCACTATAATCGATAGATTGGTCTAATGAGAAATTACGATATACTCGAGGAGTACAAAATAGTGAGTATCTCCCTTACAAATTTAAGCGACAGTGAAAGCTCGGCGTATTGCTCAGTACCCCGGTACGTGGGATAATTCAAAACACGATGCCGACCTATCTCGAACGATAGAGGTCGATATGACACTGCAACACATATGCTCGGTAACCAATTCCTATTAGAAAAATATACATGAAGCTCTCCTTGGGCTCCATCCCGGCACAATGCAATCGTGAACATAGTCCTTGTTGACCCGGACAAGTAAGTCTTGGTAACTAGTAAAAGTCTAGCTTAGGCCTTGTTCAGGAAATATAACAACTCCCACAGGCAATCTTTTATTTCCTCTTTCCTGATGTCATAATGCTGGGAAGTTTCTGCAAAGCCGTGCGCTGAACGGCATTCGTCCCGGCTGGAGCCAACCGCTTGTTCGGACACCGGCCGATCTAAACACAACAAAGTTAAGATATCATGGGGACAGATAACCCGAGCTCGTAGCCTTATCGTCGGATACTTTTTGCGTTCCTTGGCATGGAGTTCCTCCGATGTTGGCATGGTGTGCCAACTCGGCGTGGCCTGGAGACGGCAAAGTTGGAGAAGGACGGGGAACCCCGGCTTCGGTAATCCGGTCGGCGTCCCTCTCCACCCTGTCATCTCATTGGTCAGGATCCCCACCAAAGCTTTTGCCTTAGTGGCATTTTCCCTGCTCTGGGCTAGCCTCGGATTCACGGTGCTGTGATTGCACAGCGGCAGGCTTAGGTGGATATGACTCAGGCTGCGGTAACGCCCAGAAAAAACCTTTCGTCGCAAGAGCGAGTTCAAACTCGTTCTCCAAATCGCAGAGGAAGACTCTCGCATCAATCGCCTGATTCAGAGGCACCATTCGGTGGGAATTCCCCCGAATCTCGCAGTAAACTCCACATCCCCCGCCTGGAGCCCCCAGAATCCTCCCCGGCCAGTCAATCAGACGGGGAGACCCTCCCAGCGGCTCGGACGTTCTCCGAGGCCAGTTTCTCTGGTTGTGATGCTGGTCAGAAGACCGGGAGACCCGCGTTGGAGACTAGAAGCAGCCTGGCCCTGAGTTTCGCTTAAAGACCGCTCCACGCTGCGGATGTCACCTTGAATTCTCGCCACCTGCACATTATTCATCCCTTTCACAACAACCGTCACCGAGACCATCGCGATGGCCGAAGTCGATGAGAAGGCTGTCTCCAGCCATACCGATGCCGATGCGCAGCGACAAAAGGTGCAATTCGAGCACGATGAGCTGTACCAGGCGTACGCTGCAAAGAGCGAGGAATGGCACCGGGCGATGACCAAGAAGCTTATGCGCAAGGTCGATTTGCACCTACTGCCGCTGCTTGTCCTCATGTACCTGCTTAATTTTCTGGATCGCAAGTGCGTTTTCCAATCTCGGGCCTCTTATCAGCGGGCCGATGCTAATCAAATGCCGCAGCAACCTCTCGCAAGCCCGTCTCGGCACCCTCGAAGAAGATCTCGGAATGTCGGGCACGGACTTTAACCTCGCGACCAGCATCCTTTTCGTCGGATACCTCCTCATGCAACTCCCTTCGAACCTCCTCCTCACGCGAGTCCGGCCGTCGCTGTTTCTCGGAATTGCCATGGGTATTTGGGGAGTTATCTCCGCCTGCCAGGCCGCCGCACACTCGTTCGCTGGACTGGTCGTCGCTCGATTCTTCCTTGGCTTCGTCGAGGCGCCTTTCTTCCCGGGTGCCGTTATGCTCATGTACGTCCGCTGATCCTCTGCTGAGATCCCGCTAACAGTCCCAGGTCGAGTTGGTACACGCGACAGGAACTCAGCTACCGCATCGCCTGGTTCTACGCCGGCAGCTCGCTCGCCAACGCCTTTGGCGGACTCATCGGCGCCGGTGTCCTGGGTAACCTACACATGTCGCACGGCATCTCCGGATGGCGGTGGCTGTTTATCATCGAGGGCGTCATTACCGTTGCGCTCTCCATGCTTGTCCCGTAAGCACCCCCCCTTCACTCTCCCCAACCATCCTCCGAGCAATCTTCTAACGAGTATAGGATCCTCCTCCCCAACTACCCCGCAACAACAGCGTGGCTCGAAGACGAAGAAAAAGCCTACGCCCAATGGCGCCTAATCAACGACGCCGGCGAAGCAGACGACACCTCCGCCTCGTCCATCAAGGAAGCACTGTACCTCGTCTTCACGGATAAACGCATCTACCTCTTCATCCTCCTCCAGCACCTCTCCCTCCTCTCGCAGACCTTCCAGTACTTCTTCCCCTCGATCGTCAGCACGCTCGAGTACAGCAACATCGAGACCCTCCTCATCACGGCGCCCGTCTGGATCGCGACATTCCTTGTTTCGCTGGTCGTCACCTGGACTTCGGGCAAGACGAATGACCGCAGTATTCACATCATGTGTCTGATGACTGTTTCGATTGCCGGGTGTATTATCTGCACGGCGTCGACGAATATCGGCGCGAGGTTCCTGGGGATGTTCATGTATGCCTTTCTATCCCTTCACCCTCCCCTCACCGGCCTTCATTGCACAAACTAACCCTAACCCGCATATAGGATGCCAATGGGCGCCGTCTCCGCCTACCAAATAATAATAGCCTGGGTCGCAAACTCGTTCCCGCGCCCGCTCGTCAAACGCTCCGCCGCAATCGCCACCGCAAACATGATCGGCAACACGGCGAGTATCTACGGGTCGTACATGTGGCCATCGTCGTCGGGCCCGCGGTATATCCCCGGTGGGAGTGCAACGGCGGCTGTTGCGGCGGGGGTTGCGGGGATGGCGTTTGTCATTCGGGTTGTGCATGGGAGGATGAATAAGAGGTTGGTGGAGAGGGAGAGCACGGTTGAGAGCGAGGAGGATCTCACTGCGCCGAGGGGATTTAGGTATATTCTTTGATCTTGGCGGGAATTTGGATGGGGATCAAGATGGAGATATATATGAGGTTATGATTATTGGGAGATTAGACACTAGAAGAGGCGTTTGCTATAAAGCTGAGTTGTGCAGAGGCTCCAGTCTGGCCCCAACCAGCTTTATTATGAATTATGATACTCACAATTTCGATGACGGTTCGAGTTCCCTAGGTGTCCATTTCATCGTGGTAAACTCTATTGCGACCGATAAACAAGTATCGAATCCAAAGTGTCTACGAGCCTCAGCAACTAATCCCTGCGTTCGATGAGATATGCAAGGTGGCATTAACGGCCCAAAGGATATAGTAGCGATGTAGTAAAACTCATCACCAGTGTTGCCAAAGAGACTTCAAGGATGGACAAGCTGGACTGCTTCCGTATCGTCATACACGATTTAAGAAGGATGCCTGTAAAGGACAGGTCCCAAGCGAGAAGTGAGGTTCCCATGATCGGCCACTGACATGAAAGAAGCCAAGAAGTAAAATACCCTTTGCTGGCGGGCTCCTGAACATGGATATCCGCGGCACGAGTCAAAGATAGTTGAGCACCCTGTCTTCATAACCAAGCCTGATCTCAAAGGAGCTTGAGGAACTTGCGTATCCTACCATGTCCATGCCCGTGCGGGGCCAGTTGGGGACCAGGATAATTACCCAGTAGCTCGGGGTTCCTGTATGAAGGAGCACGAAGGCCTGGCTGGGTAGGGAGCTTAGTAGTTGCTAACAAGTTTTTTAGAGTTAGTACGTCCACCCACTGCTACCACCTCCATATCCCGCCGCGACTTCGCTGCTCTCCGCAAACCGGGAGAGCGAGATCTCCAATCGTTTGCAACAGCTGTGATTGTCTCGGAGACTAGGAGGTTTTTGTGCCGTGGCCGTTCCGTGTCCGTGGCCGTTTCCGTGGTCATACCATACCTCGAACAATTGGTGCACGGCACTCCACGGTCAAAACAAACTTCTCGCTGATGGCAGCCTTTATGCTGGTGGTGGGCTCCTCGGTTTCTTGGGGACCGAGGCGTCCGAACCAGCATCAACACTGAACAGGAGGGGCCCAGGTAGATCCTATTGGTGCACTCACACTCGTACATGGCGCCGACGCTCTGACATGGCTGCGAGTGGCTCCTGGGCGTTAAATTAACCAAAATATGGCTCGATCCTTCGCGGGAACAATGTCAGCCTTGTCTAGAATCAAGGATCATATAATAACCCGCCAAAGCCGCTGCGTTAGAATGGAGGAGGACAAATGGTGAATTCGGTTTGTTGGGCCTCGGCTGTCACAGTGTCTTGACCACCGAGGCGACGTGATGCACTGTTGTTACACCGCAGGGTAGGGTCTTTGGGGTAAGCTACAGCAGTTAGGTTGGTCTGACCGACAGAGTCCCATGATCCGAAATGCCGAGTGGTGATTTGACTGTGTTTGCAAGAGCCGCATTTATAAGTCGTCCTGGTGCGGTCAGCATTGTCCAACATAGGATGAGTTTCTGCTGCACATACCACACTTGATCTCGAGACCTTTTTTCGTACCAAAAGGCCTTTGAAGCAGGATGGCAATCGAGAAAGAGAATCCGGACAATGCCGTTGCCCAAGGCACAGACTCAACTGGCCGTCTCACTCACGAAGCGCAGCCTGCATTCAAAGAGAGCACCGTACCTGCCGTGCGCTTCTGGATTCTCAGCGTTGGGTAAAACTCCCCAAGCTGTCAAACATTCGCGACACACTGCTTACGTGTTTAAAATCCTGTCCAGTGTTTGTCTCGGCCTCTTCCTATCCATAATAGACACCTCCATCATCGCCACCAGCATCTACAGCATCGGCGTAGAGTTCCAAGACGTCCGTCGCGTGAACTGGGTCGCCCTAGCCTACACCCTCGCCTATCTCGGCTGCGCCGTGACTTTTGCTCGTGTTTCGGACGTGGTGGGCAGGCGGAACGCCTTTGTCGCCGCGTACATTGTATTCTTCGCCTTTTCCCTAGGATGTGGTTTTGCGCAGAGCCTGGACCAGCTCATCGCTTGCCGCACTTTGCAGGGAATAGGCGGCTCTGGTAGGAAATAAATGAATTGTTCATTGTCCGAGGTTGCGGCCAGGCTGATTGAGAACAGGGCTATACTCTCTTTCCATGATAATCCTGCCCGAGCTCTGTCCCGAGCATCTGCAGCAGTACATTGGCAGCATTATCGGACTGGTCGTCGCCGGGTCGGGGGCGCTTGGGCCTGTTCTGGGAGGCATATTGACGCATTATGCGACGTGGAGATGGGTATTTTGGATAAAGTATGTCCCCGACCATGCCCTGGTTCCGCATTCGTAGTCGTGGCATGTCATTGACAGTTTGATAGTGGACCCATTGGTTTCGTCTCCCTGATCATATTCTTCCTCTCCTGGCCGAGAGCCGAACATCTGCCCTCGGCGACAAGACGGTCTTGGAAAGAATTCGACTACGTCGGCTCACTCCTTATTATCGCCGCCGCCGTTCTAGTCGTCTTCTCCTTCCAGAATGCAGGAGAATCCTCAGAGCCGACATGGGGCACTGCCGCGTTCATCGCGCCCTTAATGGTCGGCCTCATCCTCTGGCTCGCACTCATCGCCTGGGGGTATTTAGCCATACATGCCCTCAAGGCTCGCCTCGCCCTGACCTTCCCCATAACCCTCTTCAGCAACAGAACATACACCGCTGCGGCGCTCTCAACAATCTGCATCGGCTATCCCTACTTCATGCTCAACTACGCTTTCCCGCTCCGAGCGCAGATCATAGGTGAGAAAAGCCCGCTCGTAGCAGGCGCCATGCTCCTCCCCATGCTGGGCGCCACGGCGGCGGGGAGTATTCTCGCGGGAGTTCTGAGCCGGACGAAGAATTACCTCCTCGAGACGATGCTCGTTGGCGCGTGTCTTATGACGCTTGGTGTGGGACTACTTACTATCGTGGATGATAGTGGCGATGATGATGCCGATGACGATGCCAAGGCGCTCGGGTTCATTGTCTTTGCCGGTCTTGGGTTCGGATTGCACGTCGCTGCTGCGACGATGCTTACGGCGTTTGAGGTGCCCATTGTAGATTATGGTAGGTTGGATTCCAGTGACCCTTCCTCTGACGTCTCTCACAGACTTCGAATCTATCAAGATGCTGAGTGCCTCCCGGGCTAACCGTCAAACCCGAACAAAGCACCCGCACAGGGCATAATCGCCCAGCTCCGAATCCTTGGAGGGAGCCTGGGGATATCAACCTCAACCATCTTCCTGAACGCCAAATCCCGCGAACACCTCACGGGAGTCCTAACGCTCGACGAACTGGATACACTCGGACACAGCGATGGAGCGCCACTGTCATGGGAGAAGCGTCGTGCGGTTCACCGCACCTTCTCAGAAGCCTTTCACAACGATATGGTTGCTGCGGTGGCGGTCTCGGGGTTTGCGGTCCTGGTGGTGCTTCTCGGCGCGTATCGGCGCGGTAAGAGGATGCGCGTGGACGATCAGAAGATGGCGAGGGTAAGGGAGGAGATGGCGCGTAGATCGGGGCAGTAGGAAGCTTCGGGGTGATTCAGGATAAAGTCAACTTGAAATGGGTTAAGTAATGTCGGACAGATGGGCCAGCATCATCGTGCGGGCCAATGCACCACCAAAGGAAGTCAATTTTATCTGTTTCTGATCTGACCTGCTCGTGGCACTCGCAGGATAAAGTTGAGACTCATTGAGGAGTTTCACTGCCTTGGCCCTTGCCATCAGGTGCCTTTATGTCAATGACAGGATTGTGGGCGAACCTGGCTTGAAAATCCACTACGCTGCGTGCACATGGGATGAAGTGAGGGCCTTGAGAGGACAGTCAGAGCTTCCGGAAGCCCACTCCGCTGCATACATGACCGTCAGCAGCCTCAAGTTCCCCAGGCCCAGGCCCCACGACCAGCCAAGCAATCAACAATCTTAGTACCAAATGTCGCGATCGCGATAAGCTCCTTCCTGCATCAATCTTGCCAGATTTCTCGCCCGAGACGACTCAAGCAGCTAACTGCGAAGCTCCCACCGCCATGGCGTCGCATGCAGCGCCCCCATTCGTCACGTCATCGTCGCGCGCACGCCATCCCGTCGCTCGATTACTTGACTTCCCACCGCGGAGCCCTTTACTGGATACAAGGCGATCTAATCGCTTGCACCGTTGGAGACGGTGATTGCGACATCTAAATGGCGCGCGGAGGTTTTATTTTTCTGCAGCAACTTGGTATGCTCCGAGTGGGTGGGGAGCCATGTGGTTGGCAGGGTTGGCTGTGAGTATAAAGCGGCGACCAGGTCGTTTCTTTCCCAGGGTGTTGATCTCGAATCTGCCTTTGGATTGACGCTTTGCGGTTCTTTCAATCGCAATGGCCGACGAGACGAAAACACCCGTTGAGGATGTGGCGAGGGCGCCTAGTATGTCGAGCGAAGAGGAGAAGAGGAGAGAACTGCTCTCGTCGTTTACGCCTGAGGAGGATAAGCGGATTATGCGCAAGATCAACTATCGGTTTCTCTGGTTGATCAGTATCATGTACTTGATCAAGACTGTATGCCTGCCTGCTCATTTCGATCAACTCGCGGTATAGCTGACGTTTGTCGTGTAGATTGACTATACCAATGCGGCGTCGGTCAAGGTTCTCCAGGTCGGCGAGGACCGAAACGTCTTGACAGAGTTGAACATGACTGCAAACGAGTATAACTGGGTCCAGTCGATTTACTTTGTGGGTCTTCCTCTTTCTCCCTGTCTATGGACCAGCAACTAATCAAAGTAGATCAGCTACATCGTCTTCGAAGTGCCCAGCAATCTTGTCCTAAAACGCCTCACCCCACGATTGTGGCAGTCCCGCATCATGCTCACTTGGGGCATAGTCCTAGCATGCCACGCCGCCGTGCAAAACAAAGCCGGTCTCTACGCGCTGCGCTTCCTCCTCGGGCTCTGCGAGGCAGGCATGTTCCCTGGTATCGCGGCGCAGCTGTGCGGCTGGTATCGTAGCGATGAAATGGGTCTGCCGATTATGTGGATGTTTGGGTTCCAGAATACGTCGGGTATTGTTGGGTCGTTGTTGACGTATGGGATCTCGTATATGAATGGGGTGAGGGGATTGAGTGCGTGGAGATGGTATGCTCAGTACTTGTTCTCTACATGAGGAGCGACAGACTAACAGAAGTAGGGTCTACATCCTCGAAGGAATCTTCACAATCCTCTTCGCAGGAGTCGTGTACCTCGTCCTCCCCGACTGGCCGAAATCCGAACGCACGAAGAAATGGCTCACAGAGCGCGAGCAGGAATACGTCGAGGCGCGGCTCTCAGAAAACGCTCCCAAGACCGGTGACTCGAACTTTGACGTACGCGAAGTCATCGCCGCGCTCAAGGATCCCCGCACATACTCATTCATGCTCTCGCAAATCCTTGTCAACTTTGCCGGATACGCACTTAGCTGGCAGCTGCCTGCCATCACGACGAGTCTGGGCTTCGCAGGCCTGCCTCGGAACCAGTTGCTGAATATTGCGCCTGCTGCGGCATCGGTGCTGGCCATTATCTTTGCGGGGTGGTTCCTGGGTCGTGGGTATATGACGCGGCCGGCGTTCATCATGTACCTCATCATGGGCCCTGCTCTCCTCTTCTTTATCCTGCTCGCGGTGCTGGATAACAAGGTTGGGATCTACATCGCCTGCGTGTTTGGAACCATGTTCTACGCCGTGTACTTTATCCCCTTCTGGGCTTGTGCGTCCCTCCCTCCCCTCCCTTCTACCTACCTCCGATCTCAATTGAATACTAACAATATATAGGGCGAAGCTCCTCCCTTAAAGGCACAACCGGTGCAGCATTCACCCTCGCCTTCCAATCCTGCGTCGGGCAGGTCGGCGGCGTGATCGGTCCACAACTCTTCCAGTCGAAATTCGCATACAACGGGTACAAAACTCCCTTTGCGATCTGCGCCGCTGCCATTGGCGCCTCGATCCTCGCGAACGCGTGGACATGGTGGCTGACGCGGAATGTCGAGTATGATGTCCTCCGCGTGCGGCGGCTACGGCTGAAGGAGGAGAAGGAAGGGAGGATTTATGCTGGGGAGGATGTCAAGGTTTATGAGGAGAGAGTGTTTTATGATGCGGTTGGGAGGAGGACGGGCGTATAGTTCTTGTTTTTGTCTGCGGAGGGGTAGATGACGGGTGTCAAGGTTGTTGAGATGCTAGTCTGGGGGTGCTCACGGCTGCCGTGAAGTCGTGTGGCTATGTGATCCAGATCAAGGCGGTATTGGGCCTGCATCAAGGCCTCCAGAGAGAGTAGGTGAACGCGGGTTTGGAATTGTTCGGGGAGGAGCGATAGACCCATCACCGCCTGGTTCGACGCCTTGCATCTGTCGCCGAATCTCCCCTCGACCATCCTCACTGTCATCAGCATCGATGTGCCGATAATTCAAACCATCCCTGCCTTCAAGCCTCTAGAGTTCCTCTCCCGTATTTCGTCGTTGGTTATATTCCGCTGAATAAGACTGGCTGAAAATGTTGCTGCCTGGAGCGAGAGGGTCTCTGCCCTGTGGAACCAACAATCTTGGGGACTTCGGACAACGTCCAGTGAATTCGCAAACAGACACAGCCCTATGAGGCTCTGCTTGCTACGCGTCCACGTTTCTAGGTTAGGCTGACCTGTTGCCCCAACCGATCGTACACGGTTCGAGGCTCTCAGCTTTGAGTTAACTCGACTGGCAGCTGCTGAGTGCTGGTTGTAGGGTCTAGCCCGCACCTCCCAGTGACGAGGTCCCCACTTCGTTTCGCCTTAGCCTCAAATCTGTTTTCTCCCCTTTCATGTGGCAAATTGCCTTCAAAGGCCCTTTTCTTCGATGGCCGAGCCACCTTGAGATATCATTTCGTTCCTCAACTCATACGCCTACCGATGCGGTATGCGGCTCGTCCGCCGAATCTGGCCGGCACCCGATGTTCCCAGGCAGGCGGCGCCAGGATCAACTACAAATGGCATCATCAAGCGCAGAGGCTGGCTGCCACCATCTCTACAACCCCCGTACCTCATCTCAGTATCCATCATTCTGCTCTTGATGACAATAGCTATCGAAATCCTCCGTCAGTACTCAATTCGCCATGATGGAGTTGTCCAGTACAAACGGAAAGCAGACCTTTCATCAGCAGCATGGCGAGCCTGCATCACTTCGCCTACTGCCTTTGCCTTGGGGGCAATGTTGCTGTGGGGGATCTGCGCCCAGGATGTCTTGCGTCTAGAACCATATTTCTGCTTAGCGAGCGAGCACGGTGCGCCTGCCAGTGTTCTTTTCATCAACTATCGACTCGACGTTGGGATTCTGGCTCCCATTCGTGCCGCGCGGAACAGGCATTACGTTGTGCTTTGCGTGTCGGTGATGTCGCTACTCATGCGCATTGCTCTGCCTTCGGTACTCTCTGGTCTAATTGTAACCACCCCGTTGACGATCCTGGAGAGGAAGAGTGGGAGTACTTGGCCTCATTTGGTGGATCTGGATCTGCAGGAACGCTGGTATTCCACTGCAGTTGCAGGTGGGTTTCTGTACGGTATACCTGGTGGCAACAATTCTGGGGATTCTTCCTCGTCAAGCTACGCCATAGCGCCGGTGTCAATTGCCGTTGACGCGGGCATTTACATATCTGCATTAAACCAAACTGTTTATTGGTCAAGTATGGCTTGTTCGAACGTGAGCTTGACAAGAACACTGCCCACCACAATCTCCAGTCACAATTCGACGGCCAACCTCGTCTCGTCTTTGTACCTCGCCAATGTCACAGTTCCAGTGGTAGGCGACTCCCAATGCCGGGTTACAATTGATCTAGACACCATGATCCCAAACTCGGATGGGCGTTTCCAAGCCCGCCACTGGGAGCCGATGCAGCTCAGTTCAAATTTGTCCTCCCCATCCGCCTTTACCACGAGCAGCTGCCCCTCCGTGGGTCTAGCCGGTGTGATTGTGGACGCGGAGATTAAAGACGGGACATCCGCCCAATTGAATATAACCACTTTTGTGTGTGAGCCTGTCTATCAACGAGCGATGGCCAACGTCTCGTCTATATCGGACTCTACCGCGCCCAGCGTCGAAATATACTCTTCTACAGTCAGACCCTTGACTGGCCAGGAATTCAGCATGCACGGTCTACAACTTCTAATGTCGTCTGCGCCCACCGCTGGTGCTGATCCATCGCTCAACACGATCACCAACCTGGCAAACCCAGCAAATCAGTCCCGCGTCACCCTCATTGGCGGTTCAGACATTTATCACCTCGAAGAATACCAGGGTCAACTCAACAATCTGTGGAATGCCGAATTCATTACCACGATCAACAAATTCATTGATCTCGCAGCTAGCGCATCTCAAGTCGACGCAGAACTAGTGGTAGGAGCGCTTGCTCTCACCGTAATACCCAAGGCCGCCGCAATCGCCGAGACGATTCTGGTTCTCGCCTCTTTTGTCCTCCTCTTTCTGGCCCGTAGATATCGCAGATCTCCCAGTCTTCTCTGTGAGGACCCCGGCTCTATTGCCGCACAGTGCGCGTTCATTGCCCGTCTGATTAGCCCTCAGACGCTCCAGGCGCTTTCCCAAACCCCCTTTCACTCGGCAAAGACACGCGAACTCCGCCGGTGGGCCAGACAGTTTTGGTGTGTCTGGGAAAAGGGACCAAGAGGTGCCCAGCTCCGAATATCCGCGCGTGATGGGACTCCTCTAGCGGCGTGCGCACCGCCAACCTTGTCAGGCCGTAAAGACCCAATGCCGCATTTCCTGACGCTCCCATGGTTTTCCATCGAGTGTGTTCTACTTGTGGGCGCGATAGCCGCATTCGGTCTCGCATACAGATATACCGAATCCCACAACCTAGAGTCGCTCACCTCGAAAGGACTTGTGATAACAGTTTTCTTCCTGATCTTCGGACCGACCTTGATTTCCTCGATCATAAGCTCGCTCTTTGATTCCATCCATCGCCAAGTCAGCGTCACGGATCCATGGATCCGATTACGCAAGGGCGCACTCTCCGCGGAGCAGCTGTCTGCTTCGAATCAGACCTTCCTCTCGGCCCTTGTTGCGGCCCTGCGGTGGCCATCTTCCATCACCCCGGCCATTTCCGCCCTCTCTTTTATTTGTCTGCTCAACCTTGTCCTTATCCTGCTGTGCGGTGGACTATTTGAGCCGCAGCAAAAGAATTATGTTGTTGAAACACCCCTAGCGGCTGCGTACAATTCCTCCCACTTTGCAACCCCGCGACTGCAGGCTGATTTCCGTGGCTATGACTCTGCTGTACATGCCGTGGCGACGGATGCGTTGTACGAAGCCTGGACCACGATGGCCTACTCGGCACTGCTACTCTCGACTGATGAGTCCGAAGAGTCGACAGGCGTTGTATATAGCGCTGCTACTAGGGGTATTGGTACGGAGCTCCAGTGTGTCGAGGTTCCCCATGACGGTCTATACATTGACGCTGTTCGTCGGACGATGAACTGGACTTATACTCCCTTTGGTGTTTCGGACAGTCTGTCATGTAGTGTGGAGTTGGCGCTGGATAGCCATGGCGCTAGCGAGAATAGATTATCGATCCGGTATGCATGGCCCACCAGTGGAAGCTCCATGTGCCAACGTCAAACATTCTTCATCGCCGCATCCTGGATCGATAACGCCGGTGCGTCCCTGGATGCGCAGAACCTCACGACTCTGCATTGTCAGCCGAAAATCGTCATTCAGGACTACAAGGTCCAATTTACTCCTCGCGGTATTATTCAAGAGTCCGAGGCCGTTGCCGACAGTTCTGTCACCACTGGGGCCTTGTTCAACAATGCCTCCATGGCGCTCGGTGACTTCAACCAGGGCCTGGGACAATTTGTTCGACGTATAGGCGCGCAGGAGCAGCAACACCACGCACTGCCTTACCAATCCTCCTTTCCAGGCCGCATCACCGGCGAGATGTACATGTCCTACGCCTTTGAACATTCTATACAAAACCCTCCAACGACACCACCCGACCCAAACACCCTAATCCAAGCAGCGCAGTCTCTCTACCAAGCAACCTTCAGCACCTACCTCACGCGCCGCAGGGACTACTTCCTCACCCCTCTACCGCCGGACACAGCGCCCTCCGTCAACGCAACAGCCACATACACCCCCTGGGGCCTAATGCCCTCGCGAAACTCCATGGCCCTCATCATCGCAATAATCTGCATCGACGTGCTCGCCCTCATCGCCGTTTTTGCCCTTTACTATGGGCGCTATGACGCGCCGCGGATTCCCACCACGCTAGGGTCCTTGATGCCGTGGGTTTCGGGGAGTGATGATATGCTACGGGATCTGGGGAAAGCGTATGGGGCGGGTGGGGAGGGGAGGGTTGCGGGTTCGCCGGGGAAGGACAGGGAGTATTGCCTGCGGCCGGGGGTCGATGTAGCTGGGAAGGGGGTGTGGGTGTTGGACTATGCTGGGAGCGAGGTGGAGGGGACGGAGTTGGATATCATCGCGCAGTCGGCACGTCCAGATCGGACAGTAGGGAATCTATGATAGGGATATCTTCCATCTAGAATTGCAACTTTAAAAATGAGCCTATACCCGCCCTACTATGGTTTGCGGTCTATATCATAACGAAGGATTAAAAGAATGGTTACACCGTCTGAGCGCATGACTTCACGGACTAGGGCAGTAGTATGTCTCCCCTATCAACCATCTCGGAAGCACAGAATCTTTTAGTTTCTTGCTGCTAACACTCTGTATAAGCAAGGAACATGTGAGAAGGCGCTCGACACCGCCCAAATACCAAGTGAGGGGAATTTGTGGGCGCTTTCCTCGCTCCGAATATGACGGTTAGCAGTGCTCGTGCATACAATCGGCGAGAACCGCAAAGGAGGCGATCCCTTGCGATATATCTTACCATCTTAGATGTTCATGTGCGAGGGTAGCTAGGTAGCTATTCCTAACCGAGTCGGGAACTTGGGCAGCTCGCTGGGATTGGAGACGAGACAGCGGAAACCCGCCGAGTGCGGGGAAGAGCTGACCATTATTAATACCAGGGAGCCAGGCCGAGGTTTCGAGCTCGCCTCGATCGTCACTGGCTGGAGGTTAGTCATCCTTATTATTTTTTTGGGGTAGAGCACGAAACCTGTTCGTTAGTCGGCAAACCGGCACAGCAGACAGCAAATGGACTTTAAATGGATGTGGTCCCCGCTGGCTCCATCCAGTCTGGGTCTGCTTCAACTTTATTCCTATGTTCTTGGTCGGGGTGGGAGAGCATTCCAACATAATATGGACTGAAAGTACAACTTCGCATACTACAAGATGGCCGCTTCGGCAGACGAGAGGCAAAAGGGCACCGCGGTGACCGAGTCCGAGTCACAAGCAGCAGCTCCTGCTCCCCCGAAGGAGGGAGGTCTCCATGGCTGGCTGCAGGTAGTCGGCACGCTGTTTATTCTCTTCAACATCTGGTACTGCACGCATACTCGCTACAGGAACCATCTCAGCTAACCCACTCGACAGGGGCCTCGCCTTCGCCTTCGGCTCCTTCCAAAGCTACTACGTCCTCGACTTCCTCCCCCACGTCAGCACATCCGCCATATCCTGGGTCGGGACAATCCAGTCCTGGCTCCTGATCATCGGCGGCCTCATCGCAGGCCCGCTCTTCGACATGGGCTACTACCGATCCATGATCCTCGCGGGCTCCTTCCTCTCCGTCTTTGGTATCATGATGCTCAGCATCGCCACGGAGTACTACCAGATCCTGCTGAGCCAGGGGATATGCACGGGGCTGGGCTTTGGATTACTATATATTCCAAGTATCACGCTTGTGTCTCGGTCGTTTGTGCGAAAACGGGCGCTGGCGCTGGGGGTTTCGACGGCGGGCGCGCCTTTGGGGGGCGTGATTTACACGCTCATGTTTGAGCAGTTACTACCAAAAGTCGGGTTTCCGTGGACGGTCCGGATTATCGGGTTTACGATGCTTGCGCTGTTTGTTGCGAGTGCGGGGATGCTCCTCTGGAAGGCCGAGAATACCGGCCAGTTCCCCTCCACGCAGGCGCAGACACAGTCGCGGACCCGCCGCCTCTTCGACATGCGCGCCCTCAAAGACCTCCCCTTCTGGAACTTCACCGTCGCAAACTTCTTCCTGTACCTCGGCTACATGACCCCCTTCTACTACATGCCCATCTACGCGGAAACGAAACTCGGCACGTCGCGCTCGCTGGGCTTGTACATCCTCATCATCTCCCAGGCGTCGTCGATCGTCGGGCGGGTCATCACCACCGCTGTCGCGCACTATTTCGGGGCCATGATCCCCTGGATCTTCTGTGGGGTAGCTTCGGGGGTGTTGTGTATTGCATGGATTAGTGCGGAGAGCTTGGCGAGGTTTATTCTGTTTTCGGCGTTTTATGGTACGCGCCTCTCCCTGTCTCCAAAATACTCTCTCCCACCCCTTTCATAAGAGAAATACTGACTGCATACAGGCGCCATATCTGGCGCCCTCGTCCCCCTCCCTCCGAGCGTCTTCCCGCACATCTGCCCTGACCCGACAGCGCTAGGAACATGGCTCGGAATGGCGCAGAGCATAACGAGCTTCGCGACACTAATCGGAGCGCCGATTGCAGGGGCGCTGGCGGATTTGGGGGCCAACGGAAGCGACGATTTGCAGTTTGTGAATGTGCAGCTTTGGTGTGGGATCTTGATGCTTTCGGGGGCGGTGCAGTTGCTCGGACTTTGGTTTTTGTTGTGGAAGGTTCGGGGGAAGAAGGGGTTGCTCTAGATCGGTCGAGTTCCGGACTCTGGTGGGCGTGATGGAGAGATGTAGCTCGTGGTTTGGGATGGGAGAATGATAATGATATGGCATCAATGGCGTAATTATCATATATAGGTATCTTGAACAACAATATACATAACGAATCATGAGACAAACGACATTTTCATCCATCCACCACCCCCAGTTGACCCATCTGCATCGCAACCCATCACCGATACCAAAACCACAACTCCCCATAACTCTGATATGTATTCCCCCCAGACCCATTATCAATATCCAAACTCGTCGCCATCGTATACCCCTGCTCCTCCAGACACTGCATCAAATCCAGAATAAGAATCCGGCTCTGCACGCTCCCCTTCCCGCTCGATTTATTCCAGGGGGAGCCTGTGAATTTGAGCTCAAAGTTCCCGGACACGAAATCCTTGTTGCAGCGCTCGATGCGCTCGCCGAAGAAGAAGATGAGCGCGCTGGCGAGTTCGGTGGGTGCGTTTATTAGGTGCAGGAGGTCGGCGGAGTCGAAGGAGATGCTGAGCCAGGAATATGCGCGGGGTTCGGCGTGTTGGAAGATGAGGCTGTCTATTGCATCGAGAGAGATTAGAACTTGATCCCCAACCACAACACACGTGAAAGATAGACGAGGGAGGTGTTTACCCTTCTGCCCATAATTCCCATAATTCCCCAACCGCCCAATCCTCCCCCCAGACCTGGGCACAACCCACCCCTCCTTCGAAAACGCATTCAGAATCCCCATGAGCGTAATCCGGATCGCAACCTTCTCCTCATCCACCCCGTACGCGAATGGGTTCCCCTTGAGCTTTAACTCCAGACTCTCGTCGAATTTCTGCACCTTCTGTATCCCCTTTGGCCACAGCCCCTGCACGATTTCCGAGACGAGCGCCGTCATGGGCTCGGGGAAGCGGAGGAGCCGGATTCGGTCGGAGCCGGCGATGGACAACATGGCGTATTTTGTATCGTGGCCTTTTAGGGGCGCGCGTGCGTCCGCAGCGGCGGAGGCATTGTTTGTTGTTGACGGGTTTCCGGTTTGTGTGGTGAAGGGAGACGGGGAGGGGGAGGGGTTTGCCGAGGCAGTAGCTTCGGCGTAGTTGGGGGGTTCTTCATTCATTCTGGACTTTTCGTTGGAGAGCCAGTTGAAGTTGAAGGCCATTGGTTCGAGAAGTTGGGGTGAGCGACCAGCGCTTCGTGTTGAGAATTCGGCTGCCTCGAAAGATGCGAGAGAGAAAAAAAGAAAACAAGTGAGAGGTCGATGACAGAAAGCAGCTGGGGAACCAGCTCGTCTTCCACAGCCTCAGCTCAGCTCTATAAATACAATTATCTTTGCTGCCTGGCTCTGGATTTCAGGCAAAGCCACCGTTCGATGTGCCCGGAGATCCGCTTGCAGCCAATCACACTGCTTTTCACACGACTGCGCCACAGGTTATCAGTGCCGATCGTGTTTTTGGCCCCATGCGGAGCTTGTTTTCCCTGTCGGTGTGCAGCCAGAGGACAGGGAATGGGGGCTCCCCGCAGAGAGGTTTTGTCGTTGCCTAGGGGTGGGAACAGTGATGAGTCGCTTATGACAGAGGTACTCGGTGTGCACAGGAAGCCCTACTCCGTCCTAGGCATGCACTGAGTATTGAGGTCAAGTCTCGACTGGTCTCGTCTGACAGCACGTTGTAACTCGCGTTTGCTTCGGTCGCTTCCTTGTCTTTGTGGAGATGAATTGACTCACAATTCTTGAGCCAATGGTTCTCGAATTTTATTTGGAAATGTTCTTGGCCGTCCGGTCCCTGCTGGTATCCTGGTAGTAGCAGTTAGGAAGCCCTAGATAAATACCGCGAGATCTTCGTTGTACACTGAACTCTCAACACGAGTATATATATATATCCAACACTTTATCTTTATAACTCAGAATAGTACTATTATATAGCATTTCAATGCTATCTCGAAGCAGTAACCTTGAGATTTGCTATCCTGGATTATCCATAAACGTAGTGCTACAGATGGCCATGAGAACTTGGCGGACGTTGCTCATGTCCACTATCATCAAGCCCGAGAGTTCATCGAGGGATCGCTGGCACCCGGTACCTGGCACCCTGGGCAGCCCTTCGTACCTCCCCTAACAAGACCCATCGCTGGCTAAAAGGTACCTGCTGGCAAGGTCTGAAGAGGAAGACCTATGTGGGAGATACGCCGCGCCATTCTCTCCTCCAACCTCGAAACAAGGCTTAGGAACCAGAACAGAGGTAAGGGGCATCGGGAATGCCAGCAGAACTAGTTTCTCTATACAAAACACCTGCTCCTTAGCTCAGGGCCGGTCCTTCAACTAGCTCAGCATCACATCGCCAGGCCACGCAGAGGGAAATTAACTGGCCCCCTACCTACTCCGCCGGCTCAAAGCTATCGCGCACAACCCCAAACCCAGAAGATATTGTATCCTCGCTGCCAGGCGAGAACGGATTCACCCCATTCCCGTACAAGAACGCCTGCACCTCTTCCTCGATCCACACCGCATGCCCGATCTGGTAGTCCCGTGTCGGCGTGGCCAGAGTGACTCTAACCCTGCGTCGGCGGTCGGCCAGATCCTTCTCGTTTGCCGCCGCCCGCCAGTCCAGCTTGTCGCGCATGTCGTCAAGCAGCGCCCGCCACGACCCGCGTCCCTCGGGGAAATACAGGAAGCCGAGGTGGACGGAGCGCAGGGTGCGTGTTAGGAGGGTCGCTAGGAAGGCGACGAGATCGTCCTTGTCGACGATCAGACCGGAGAGCTGGAAGTGGCGGAGCGAGGGCCAGTTTTCGGCGGGGAACACGGTGCGCAGGGGGGTGGGTTGCGCGCGCGGGTCTGGCGCGACGGTTGTGTGCAAGCTGATGTGTTGGAGAGCGTGGGCCGCCGAGAGTGCGCGGTGGAGGTGGGTTGTGTGGAAAGACAGCCAGCGGTGGAGCCCCATGGTGTTGACGAGAAGGGCAAGGTCCAGCCGCGTGAAGCCTGGATGGCCGAGTAGAGTTGCAAAGTCGTCGTACTCGGCACATGGCTCTTTGAAAACGCTGCAATCGAGACCGGTGTCGAGGCCATTGACGTCGATCACAAACTCCGAGACTTGGTGATGCGGATATTCGGCGAGAGCGCGCGTGGCGATGCCAAAGCCGCGAAACTCTTCGCGTACTCCTTCAATCTCCCACTGCCCCGGCTGGGGCTTCAAATCCCCGCCGGGAATATGCGGCCAACCACGCGGGATCGGGTAGTTGAAGCCCTCTGGAAATGCGCGAATCATGGGTGTCTCGTACAGTGGTGCGAAGATCCAGCCATGGGCCGCAGGCGTAATGGTTACCCTCTTTAGGGCAGGAAGCCGGCGGAGGCCGTACGCAAGGGCCTCGGCGTCCTTGTTCAACCGGATCACATCCTCTTGCTGTTGGCATAGGGTCTGGAAATACTGCCAGCTTTGCTGCATCGTCATCCCGCTCTTGGCGGCGATTTGCTTGGCACGGTCAATGTGCCGATCGATGTTGGGGCCCTTGCGCATCCACCGATTCTCAATGTTTTCCTTGCATTGACTGACGAACCACTCGGGGCACCCGCTCTCTTTATCGGGCTCATTAAACGGGACGGCATCCGGAAGGTTATAGAAGCGAGCGTCGTCCCAGATGATCTCCTGGACTCCATGTCGGAATGTCTCACTGTTCGCAATGGCGAGAAAGACGGCAATGTTGAGGGGGTTCGCGGACAGGAAGACGTGATTCAAACGGAGCTCGACTGTGTTGCAGAGTAGTTTGCACGTTAACCGCAGGGTCTTTATATCTCTATTTCGGAGGTAGCTGGTGATGACGTTTATTATCTCTGCAGGGAGCTCCGTGAGGTTCCGGGGCATTTTGCGTGTTTATCTTGGGGAATGATGAGGAGTTTTCTAACCTCGTCGCTTTTCTGGATAGGCAAGGTACTTGATTTATACCTTGCCGAGGAAGCGCTGGAGCCTGGAGGTCAGCCTGTGGTCCAAGAACAGTAGTGTAGATAACGCCGTTGGTGATAGGCTACCTATAGTAGTCTAATATGAAAAGTACGTATCGAAAGGATGGACACTCCGGCCATCTTGGCACATAGATACTTTGTTTGGAGAACTTTAGCTTTCCCTTAAAATACAGCACCACTCTTTGCATCCATCAAGCCTGGTGCCTGTCAGAAGTATATACTCAAGCCCGCAAAGTCACCAAAAAATATATACAAAAATTGCAATTCTTGTCTCGTCCCGTAGACGGTGATGTCACTTGGTCTTCAGTCGCAGTGGTGACCTACCCGTCTTTACATGCGGAGTTTCTTGAATTACTACAGGGCTTGTTTCCTATCTGTGTTCAGGTAATGGTCGAGTTGGGTTTCAGTCACAGTGTATGCCTCAGGCATCAAATCCGACCAGCAATGCCACGGTGCATGAAGAAGCTCATAGTTAGTTGGACCCCTCTCGAGTCTCGGCCGACTAACCCTCATCATCATCTGAGCTTGACCTCTGCAGTCCCCATTGCGCGATCAACCTCGAATCTGACGCCTCAAGCGCCCAGTAAGCGCTGCCCCCCCACGGCGATCCAGCCAACGATCGCTCGCTAGCCAGTTAGCCAGTACGTAGTTCCACCGCCAGCTAATTTTGTGTCCCTGCAACATCCGTGGAATACTCATGTGAGGGAAAACGATTATTGGATGGAACTGCAGAAACGTAGGTGTTCGTGCTCGGCCGAGTTGTGGTTGTAGCACGCCATCGCGGCCCGCAGTGATGCTATAAGAGCACCGCGTCGCGGGGTTGCGCAAGAAATTGTTTGCGATGAGGGGTAGGGAGTGATGTGATGGATGGGTATAAGATGGCAGGAGGGTCCGGGTGTTCTTACGTTGAGATGGTTGGAAGTACACACTGAGTGTGAAGCCAGCGTTGACTTGCCTACCTGGAGAGCGCTTCGATTGTATAGCGGAAACGCATCGCATCGCATCAACAGCTACGCTACTTCTCAGTAAATAGCAAGTGACAATCACCATGGCTGACCAAGCGACCTCCGACCGACCGCGCAAGTCGCTCATCCTCAACGCCTTCGTCGAGATGTGTATGGCTTCCCGCGCCATCCTTCCCTATACTGCCACAAGGGACCGGAACACTAACTTGAACAAATCACAGGCAGCGGCCACCAATCCCCGGGCCTCTGGACACACCCCGAAGACGAATCCCACCGCTTCAACGACATTGACCACTGGATCGAGCTCGCGCAGCTCCTCGAGAGCGCCAAATTCCACGGCATCTTCATCGCGGACGTCCTCGGCGGCTACGACGTGTACAAGGGCCCCCGGAACCTTGCTCCAGCCATCTCGTCTGGTGCGCAGTGGCCCGTCAATGAGCCGCTCGCGGTCGTTCCGGCGATGGCGGCCGCCACGAAGAATATTGGGTTTGGGGTTACGGTTACGACGACGTATGAGCAGCCGTATCATCTTGCGAGGAGGCTTTCGACGGTGGATCATTTGACCAAGGGGAGGATTGGGTGGAATGTGGGTCTGCATCGATCAGAGGTGTAAGCAACGAGTGAGCTGACGGCGTCCTGTAGGTTGTCACTGGATATCTCGACTCGGCGGCGCGGAATTTGGGCCACGCAGAGCAGCCACAGGTAAGTGTATCCTTCACAAAACCAGAGCATGGCTGACTTGGGAAGCACGACGACCGCTATGCCGTCGCCGAGGAATATATCAAAGTGACATACAAGCTCTGGGAGTCATCCTGGCGACAAGACGCCGTAGTCCTCGACCGCGAGCGCCGAGTGTACACGGAACCGTCGCGCGTGCGAGAAATCAACCACGTGGGAAAATACTTCAACGTCCCCGGCCCACACATCTGCCAGCCCAGTCCCCAGCGAACACCCGTAATCCTGCAAGCCGGAACCTCGAAAGCCGGAAAGACGTTCGCCGCGCAACATGCCGAGGCCATTTTCGTCGCGGGCCACAGTCCCTCGGTCGTCGCCAAGAACATTGCTGAGATTCGCGAGCTGGCCAAGACGCAGTACGGACGCGATCCGTCCAAGATCAAGTTCCTTGCGCTGCTGTGTCCCGTCCTGGGGAGGACGGAGGAGGAGGCGCAGGAGAAGTTCAAGTACTATCGCAGCCTGGGCTCGATTGACGGGGCTCTTGCGTTGTTTGGCGGTTGGACGGGGATCGATATCAGCGTATACGGCGACGACGAGGAACTTCGCCTCGTACCTAGCAATGCTATTCGGTGAGTATTCATCATCGAAATTCTGCACAGCTAAGCTAACGACTTCAGATCCGCTGTCGAGGGCTGGTCAAAAGCGACACCAGAAGTCTCCAAATGGACAAAGACCACGGTCGGCGAACATATCACGGTCGGAGGCCTGGGCGCAACACCCGTAGGAACCGCAGCTCAGGTTGCAGACGAGATGGAGCGCTGGGTGCGCGAAGCTGACGTCGATGGCTTCAACCTGGTGAGTTGCACTGCCGTGCTGAGGATCAAATCGACATGACTGACGATCGCTCTCAGGCGTATGCGATCAAGCCCGGCTCCTTCAAGGACATCATCGATCTCCTTATCCCCGAACTCCGGCGTCGAGGATTATTCTGGGACGACTATGTGGTCCAGAAGGGCACCTATCGCGAGAACCTGTACAACCAGCCTGGGCAGACTGGTCCTCCCGAGGATCATCCTGCAGCCAAGTATCGGTGGCAAGCTGGAGTGGACAACCACGAAATTCCAAACTGAATGAGGCTGAGGCAGCCATGGAGAGTTCGAGGTAGACAGTCACGCCGAGGGGCTGTCGTGTTGTTTTATTCATAGATCTCGGCAGCGGCTGGGGCGCGTCTGAGAGTTAAGGTTACGACGGAGCGAATGAGGGCGAGTAAATATGCAGTTGCCTTATGGGTCGATGATAATAATACGGTTGATATTAAATGCTTATGGCCCCAGAAACCGGATGTCGCAACCAGGCTGTGCGCCGATCGAGACTGTCAGACGGGAGGACCCTGATTATTCGCTGCTGTACAGTATCTTCATCGTGGCAATCCACGTCAGACGCGAGATTACGAGATCAGCTTGCCTGCTTCTTCGTGTAACATGTTTGCGATGCGCAATAATGTCTGCTCCCCGGTGTCGGTGGTGGAAAGTTGAGACGCGGCGAGATGTTGGGAGCAGGGATAGAATCTCTAAAAAGAAACCCGGGGGCTGTCACGTCCAACAGACTCTCGCAAGGGCCTCGGCCTTGGTTTCGGCTGCCCATGGCAACGATTGGTGGCAGATATACGAACTGGAGCCCACTACGCGGCCTTAGCAGGATCCCTCCTCAGCCTCACTGCCCCTGATTGGGTGTCTCGCAAGCAGCTCCGCCCAGCTGAGGGCTGATTAATGGGCAGCATCTGGCATGACAAAGACGGGGTCAACTGGAATTTCTGGGTTTATGCACGGGAGCAGCCGATCTGTGTGGTCCGTTTGCCCTGCTTGCTTTTTCGGCCCTCTGCAGTCTGCAGTCTGCACGCGCCGTTGGCCGTCTTGGGCCCGGCGGCCTGCAGCACATATTTAGCGGAAGAATTTCCCACTTGCGAGGTCCGAGTCTCGATCACAGAACAAAAAAAAAATTATGACAACCGACTGACGCGATGGATCCGTTGAGCATCGCGGCCAGCGTCGCCGGGCTGGGCACCCTCGCCTACCAGATGATCGGGTACCTCGCCCAGGTCAAGTCTGGAGGCAAAGAGCGGACGCAGCTCCGCGAAGAAGTCACGCACCTCTGGTTAACGCTCACAGCGCTGCAGGAGATCCTCTCCCCCGATGCGATCAAAGAAGACCGAATCCCCGACGCGATCCGACCGCTCCTCGCGCCCGACGGCGTCATCCAGCAGATCAAGGCTCAGGTTGAGGATCTCGACGACAAGATCAAGACGCAGAGTTCCCATTCGCGGATCGCGCAGTCGCTCGCGTGGCCGTTTACGCAAAAGGATGCGATGCAGATTATCAATCGTATCTCGAGACTGCAGGCGACACTCCACAATAGCCTCACGCAGGCGAATTACCGGGTCGCACAGGACACATACCGGGATGGACAGGAGGTGAAAAAGGCGATCAACGAGGCGAAACTGAAAGAGTTGATCGAGTGGATCTCGCCGCTGAACTTTGTCGCGAAGCAGAGCATGATCTGGAGCCAGCACCACAAGGGGACGTGCAGGTGGTTCCTCGACCGGGACGATTTCCGCGAATGGCGCGAGGGGGAAGGTACGATCCTCTTCTGTCCAGGCATCCCCGGTGCTGGCAAGACCTTCCTCTCGTCCATCGTCTACAACGAGCTGGAGAGCCTGCGACTGCGCGAGGAAGGCGGCGTCAAGGGCGCGGCCGTCTTCATGCTCTACTGCAAATGGGACGACCCTTTATCACAGCTGCTCGACAACCTGCTGCCCAGTCTGATCAAGCAGTGCGTGCAGCGCTACGGGGCGGTCGGCGACCACCTCGTCGAGCTCTTCGAAAAGCACAGCAAGGAAGGAACGAGGCCCGCGCGCGAGCAGGTCCTGTCAACGCTGACTCTGCTCTTCCGCCGGTTCACCAAGGTGTTTGTTCTCCTCGACGGGCTGGACGAGCTCAAGGAAGAGAGCGAGCGACTCCAGCTCGTCCGCACCCTGGAAAGCAACTGGCGCGACACAGTACCGGTCAACCTGATGGTCACCTCTCGGCCGTTGCCAAACATCTCGCGGCATTTTCGCGATGTGCCCTACCGGATCGACTGCGACGGGTGCAACAAGGAGGACCTGAAGGCGCAGTACCACTGCGCGGGGTGCGAGTCGCAGGACGACGTCAGCTACGACCTGTGTGAACCCTGCTTTATGGACTACAAGCGCTGTGGCAACAAGGGTCACTCGCTTTTCTACCAGTACAATGCCAGCATCATCCCCATCGCCGCCGTGGAGGAGGATCTGACCACCTATGTCCAATGGCGGACAAGCACCTCGGACTTTCTGCAACAGTGTGTCGACATGAAGGACGGACTGATGGATAAAATCCTGAAGACGGTCGTTCGGGACAACGGGGGCATGTTCCTGTTGGCGAAATTCAACATGGACACCCTGGACTCGAAGCTCAACATCAAGCAGGTCATGCGCGCCCTGCAGAGCTTACCAAAAGAGCTCGATGGGACGTATACCGATGCCATGACCCGCATTACGGAGCTGCCCGCATCGACCAAAGAGAGCGTCTTGGATTTCCTCCGCTGGGTCGTCTTCGCCGAGCAGCCTCTGCATGAGCGCGCGATCGAGCATGCCCTCGCCGTCGAACAGGGCGACGACGACATCGACGAGGACAGCATCATCCGCGCCAGGATTCTCGCCAACAAGTGCGCTGGCCTCGTCCAGTTCGACGAGTCCGACTGCCTCCGGTTGGTTCACTACTCCGCAGAAAACTACTTCACCCAGCACCGCGATCGCTGGTTTCCTGACGGAAGCCCCAAACTGACCTCGGCCTGTCTTTCGTACCTCCAGTTCGACGCTTTCAAGACTGGCGCCTGCTCGGGCCAGGACGAGGCCGTGGAGTTTGACGAGCGCCTGGAGAAATACCCCTTTCTCCGCTATGCGGCCATGAGTTGGGGAAAGCACTTGCGCCTGGAGCCCACTGATGACCTGGAGGCGCAAGCCATCAGCTTCCTCACCCACCCTGGCTGTCTCGCCTCTGCGACGCAGGCCCTGTGGTACCTGGACAGCCAGGGGGGGATCAGCTGGGACGCAAAGGACGGCTCGCCAATCCACCTTGCCACGCACTTTGGCCTTCACCACCTGGTAGAGGAGTTGATCATGCGAGGGTACAAGGTCGATCTCCGCGATATCAACGGCGCGACACCGCTCGCTCTCGCGGTGATCCGAAACAACCGCGACATTGCCAGGACGCTTCTCAGAGCCGGCGCCTCGGTCAATTCGGTCGACAACAACGGACGCGCTCCGCTCCACCAGGCGATACGGTATGGAAGACCTGACATGGCCAGGCTGTTGCTTGACCAGCCGGGCATTGATATCAACCTCGGGCACCCAAAATGGTCATATATGACCCCACTGATCACCGCCGCTGTATGGGGGGCAGTCAACGTGATCAACATGCTGCTCGCCAGGCCGGAAATCCAAGTGAACAAAACATGCACCAGTCCTTCAGTGGGGACCACGGCGTTGATCTACGCTGCACACCAAGGCCAGACCGAGGCCGTCAAAGCACTGCTGACCCACCCGGACATCGACATCGATGCCAAGGACAATAGCTGCTCAACGGCGCTGACCTACGCATCTCAAGGAGGTTACTACGCGACGGCCGAAGCGCTGCTCGACAAAGGGGCAGATACTGAAGTCCTCCAAGCAGGCTCAGAGGGCACGGCCATCATGCGCGCAATCGACGGCAACCAAATCTCCAACGTCAAGCTCCTTATCAAGCGTGGAGCGAATCTGCACCACAAGGACATCTTTGGCCGCGGCGTCCTGCATTCTGCAGCCGTCAATAAACGGGCGGAGATCCTCCGCATCCTCCTCGCCAAAGACCCAACCTTGGACGTCAATATGCGGGACGCCCATGGAAAGACTACTCTCCATGATATAGCCCGATGGGGACACACCGAGACAATCGAGGTCCTCCTCGCGCACGGGGGCGACCCCACGATCAAGGATAATCATGGCCGGACTCCGATGCGCGTTGCCCGCGAGATGAATCTTCCGCACGTGCTCGACATGTTCCGCGCCGCGCGAGAGCGGCAAAAGGCAGAGAAACAAGCGACCGGCCGAACGAACTCGGGCCTCCAGCGCACAGACACCGGGTCCATCGTACCAGGGACGAAGCGAACGGACACCAACGTCTCTCTCACCGGCGCCCTTCCCATCTGGTCACTCGCCCGCTCAGACAAGCTCGAAGAGCTAAAAGAGATCTTGCCAGATGCATCGGTCGACGAGATCAACCTGACAGAGCCGGACATGGGTCAGGCCGCGCTGCACTACGCCGTGGACGAAAGCAGCATCGAAGTCGTGCAGCTTCTCATCAAGCATGGCGCCGACATCAACATGCCGAACCGATACGGGCGAACACCACTGCACATCGCAGCCATGTACAACCGGTGGGATTCGGCAGAAGCCCTCCTCGACGCGGGCGCCGACATGACCCTGAGGGATATCTGGGGCCACCAGGCACTCCTGATGGCGGAGCACATCGACAGGAGCGTGGCTCTCCTCCTCATTACGCGCGGGGCGCCTCTTGACGCTTCATCGATGAACCTCGACTCGTACCTGAATCTGGCCGCGCGGGGTGGCTATGTAGAGGCGGCCAAAAGACTAGTCGCCGCGGGCGCTGATGTTTGGGGGAAAAACACTTACGGCAAATCGAAATATGCGATTGCCAAGGAGCATGGCCATGAAGAGCTGGCGAAGATCATTCTGCAGCTTGCGCCCCGGCCATCGCTGTCGGAGCAGGAGGAGACGGGATCGACTATAGGAAGTGGAACGAGCGTTGGGACCGATGCAACGGATGTCACCGAGTCCACCAATGTTACTTCCGAGAGTGTATCTCAGGAGAAAGCGCCAGAGTCTCAGGAGAAGGAGAGCAAAGAGCAAGAGAGCCACGCTCCCGAGAAGGAGAAGAGCCCTGAGCGGACTGAGCCGGTAGCACCTGCCTCGACCGCCGTGCAGGCCGTACAGGTCACTGAGCTGAACAAGGCAAGCGCATTGTTATCACGTCATTTATATACCCTCGTCTGGATTCTTGTCGTCATCACAGCGACTACGGTTGCCCGGATCTATTAGCGATCCTTATATTTTACGCATGCATGAATGAGCGACGTCTGTATTTTAGAGCGAGGCTTTTAGATATCCATCTGAATTTATGTTACAATAACCTATACACACCTCCCCGAGTTAAACAGCACTCGCCTAGTCACCCAGTGGGTGAGGTTGCAAGATCTGCCCATCTATCGCAAGAGGTTAGCATTAACCTCGTCTCCAGATTCAACCCGCAGGACAAAAGGACTAGAGAACTCACAATACAGCGTCGCATCCGCACTCGCCAAAAACACAAAACTCGTCGCGACCTCACTCGGCTGTCCGGGTCGCCCAAGCGGCTTGTTCGATCCCCATCCTTCCATCGACTCGGCGTCGCGTGTGTCTACTTGGATGGGGGTGTATACCGAGCCGGGACTGGACATACTCTGCGTCAGCAAGAACCACTCTCTCCAATCCAAGCAGGTATATAATCCATGGGGATAGAGGATGGAGGAGGCAACTCACGCAACAGCATTAACCCTAATCCCCTTGGGAATCAGCTGCACAGCCAGCGACCGCGTGAAGCCGACGATCGCGCCTTTTGTCGAGGCGTAGTCGACCATGCTCTTTGACCCCCGGAATGTCGTTACGGACGAGTTGTTGATTATTCTACAACCTCTGTTAGCTATCTTCGCCGAAGAACATTCACCCCCTACCCGTGCATACAGTGTATGAACGCGGGTTTAGGTCTTTTGGGACAGGTCAGGGCACGTACGAATCCCCCTTATTCATATGCGGCAGCGCAAACTTGGTAATCGCAATCATCTGGATGATATTTGTCTGGAAGGTATTCTCCACCTGGTCGAGGTCGATTTGGGCAAGGTCATCGCACATGGCTTGCGTCGAGGCGTTGTTTACGAGGATGTTTAATGTTTTGTATCTATGCCATTCGGCATTAGCTGTCGCCGTCCACGAGCCTTGGTTGTGTGGAAAGGAGAGAGAAAATAATGGGAGGATGGCAGGTCGTGACAGGGACATACTGCTCAATATGTTTGTCCACAGCCTTCTTGCAGAAATTCCGATCCCGCAGATCGCCCGGGACAAGTAGACATTTCTGCCCCGCGCCCTCAACGAGTTTCTTCGTACCCTGTGCGTCTTCTTCTTCGACGGGGAGGTAGACGATTGTGACGTCTGCGCCTTCCCTCGCGAAGAGCGCTGCGACGGCGCGGCCGATTCCAGAACTACATTGTAAAACCCGTCCTCGTTAGCTAGCCATTCAATTGTTCCCATTCATCCCATATCGTCGCATCCTCAGAGTGCGACACCCCAAATCAAAAAATGAAACGGTCTACATACTCCCCGCCCGTAATAAGCGCCTTCTTCCCCTGCAACTTGCCCGACCCGCGATACTCGTTTATCCCGCTCGGCGTCTCGAGCTTGGTGGCTTCGCTTGGGGGCTGCATTTTCTTTTCCAGGCCCGGCGTGGGTTGCGATTGCGGGACGCGGGGGGGCTGGAATGTGTTGCCTTGGGACATTTGCGACATGGTGGTGGTCTTGTTCCCTGATTTGGGTGAGGTGAGTCGGTGAGAATAAGGGCTGTGGGACGCTAAAGTGGTGGGAGGGGAGTGAGTAGTATATAACGAACGAGATTCGAGGGCATCACGATGTGGTCATGCATGTTATGTCTGGGTCCGGTGAGATCATCATGGCGTAGCGGATATAGACCGAGATCTGGGCCTGGACCACGATATTATCTACGATATTGATGATCAGCTCTATAGATCATGTCCTAGTCTTTCGGATCCCATACATTCGGTTCCGGCGGTAAAGTTCATGGGAAAGAACAGGAGTTGCTAACCTACATACATACAATACATGGTTCAATTTGGTTGGAAGCGGACAAAGCAAGCGGAATAACCTGGCAAGCAATACTCAAACCATCAAATCAAAAACCTCCATGAGCAAACTCCTCGGCGGCTTCGGCGGCTTCGCAGTCGAGCCCATCAGCGTCGAGACGGCCATCTGCGCGCCCCGAACACTGTATTCGATCTCGAGGGTGGTGTCGCCCGGAACATCCACGAATTGTCCGACGCACGCGAAATTCGTGCTATGCGGCGGTATCACAGCGGGCCGGTCGTGATGGCCACGGGTCAGGAAGGGTGCTGTAGCGAGTGGCATCGAGCACGGGATCGTCTTTGCGTTGTCGATGATCGACTCGGCCTGTGACGCGGAGGTGGCGATGATACCCATGTGGCCGAGGATCTCGCGGAGGATTTCCTCGCCTGAGCACGAGGTCATTGGTTTCTTCACGTAGTTGCCTGTGGCGGCAGGGCTGAGCCCGTAGCCCATCATGACGGTGGTGTCGCTGGGCTGGTCCCGGAAGACGGGCTGGTGCGGGATGCACAGGGTCATCTGCCAGCTACTTCCTGTGAGCGAGAGAAGCGCGCCTGTTCCCGGTTTATCGTGCGTGAGGCGCTCGTAGGCAGACGGGAACTCGCCGCCCGTGAATGTGGTCGTGAATGTGGACGCCATGGACTGGTCAATGCGCGAGAGGAAGTTGCCCGGGTCACCAAACTTCAGCGACTTCTGCGCCAGGCTCTCCCACAGCTTCCAGTCGCCCTTTGTCAGGTCTTTGCTACTTGCAGGGAGGGGAGGCGGAGGGGACTTGTTCGTGCCAAAGACGACGCCCGTGTTGACGGATCCCAAGCCCATGATGACGATGTCGGTTGGGTCGACGGTGACGAGCTCCTCATGCTTTGCGCTGAGCATCTCAATCTCGGCGATGGTCGTCGGATCGCCGTCGGGGTAACAGCGGAGATCCGTTACGTGCGTGTTGAAGCGGAAGTCCACCCCCTGGGCCTTGAGGTAGTTGGTCAGAGGGCCAACGGCCGACTCGAAGAAGTTGTACTCGGTGCGGTGGGTGGTCTTGACGTTGTTGAGCGATCCGAGGTCTTCGAGGTACTTGCGCAGATGGCGTTTGAATTCTGCAGCGCTGTGCCACGGCTGCAGGGCAAATCTGATATCTCATTAGCCGACATTCCCTGCCAGGGATGCAAAGGAACGTACGTAGACGACCACAACATCCAGAAGCTCGTATCAAAGAACTCCTTGTCAAACACCTCCTCAATCTTCTTCATCCCGATCGACGCCTCATTCTCCATCATCAACCCCACAAGCGACATGCGATACTTCATCCCAAGCTGGAATTTTCCAGCGGGGAACAGTTCAATGCCCTTGTCACCCATCTTCACACCCCGCACCTGAGGCCCGCGAGTCTCAGCCTCCTTCTCCTTCGACTTTTCAAATCCCTCGCGCTCACGAATCCTCTGCATAAGTGACCTCTTCCCCCCTTCCTCCCCCTCTCGACCCTGACTCCGGCCCTGCATCTCACCCATCCCCGTCCCCTGACTCATATCAGGAATCATATCAAGCAACCGCTCAAGACACTCCCCGTGAAAATGCGGATTCCCATCCATCGGCAAAAAATAGCCGTCCTTCGCATCACCCAGCGTCTTCAGGCCGCCGCCGGCCTCGGGGCTCCCGTCGAGGATGTGGATATTCCCCGGTGGGACCTGCGCATCTTTTACGAGGTGCAGGGCAGCGCTGAGGCAGGCGATGCCGCTGCCGATCAGGTACGCTTCGCTGTTTTGCGAGTCCCGTCGGGCCGGGTTTGTTTGGCGGGGGAAGTGGACCATTTTGTTCAAGGTTGGATTGTGCTAGTACTAGGTAGTGTTGGGTGTATTATGGTAAGGGTGCTGAATAGATTAATTGGAGGATCGTTTGGCTAGATGGATGGCACGAAGCGACGCGAGATGATGGGGTGCGGCATCTTATAGTCTGACACGAATACAGCAGGTCGGCTGCTGCATGTCTTGACGTCAAGATCGTGGGCCCTGGGGGTCTCCTGACTGCAGAGGATCGAGGCACGTCCGTATGCAGCTACGAGGTTATGGGGTTGGCAGAATCCCGGATTCTAGTCCAGAGCCCGTGCTGATCGACCCGTGGTTCGTGCTCGCATGGCAATCGACATAGGTCGATCGCTGCTCCTTGGCAGATCAGCCCACCTTATATCTGGGACCGTGACCACCACCGTTCCATTATTAGTCGCCTAGCGTGCGATGCGCAAAACCACTGATGGAGTCTTGGCTGTCCATTACTGCATGGCTCGCTGAGCCCAGTCAGACTCGTGAACGTCTGGGTTTGGTGGGACTACTAAGAACGACTTCTGGCACTATAAGAAGAAATTTGGAGATACAGGACTGACACTCAACTGAACTATCCCCTTAATGATGAAGGTGCTGGTAAGGATAATTTTGGTTATTGAGAAAGAGGTGTCATGAAGGTTGGAGGTCCGTAAGGAGGTTCATTCTTCAAGCTGGTGCCCTGTTTCCGTAACAGTACCTACCTAACAACCTCGCACCAGCAGGAACCGGTATCAATTGTACTAGGCTTCCATAGTCAGTTACGATGCTGATGGAGATTGAAGACGATCTCACGGCCTGGGGCCACTCCGAGGGTAGCTAACGAAGCACTATAATCAACCCCAAGGATAGCTGGGACTTCATCGCCCGTTCCCCGCTCCTCTTAATCCGCCAAGAACCCCAGGATTCGACAATTGTCCCACTCTCCAATCGCCTTCTCCAGCAAACCTCGAGATCCAAGCCCCACTTATAGCCGGGGTAGTCACATCTCGCTTATCCTCGTCCGAGACGAGAAGCCTTCTTGGCTTGACTGATTGCCGAAGGCCTAGAGCTTCATTCGCTTGATGTCATAATACAAGTAGACAGCGTGTCCAGGAGTCAGGTCAGCAGCAACTGAATTGTTGCTCCCCTATGTGGCTTGGCCTCTTCACCTGTGGAGATGGTGGTCTTGTCTTAAGTAGTATGACTCTTTAGCTTCGTGATCTTGTTTGTGATTCGAGCGAGCTCTATTAGGTTTCTTGAGATCTAAATTGCGGGGTGGATCTTCATACCTCGTTCCAACGGAATGTATAGCATGAACAGCCTTTCGACTATGCAGAGAATATTCGGCACAACATATCAATTGTCCGTTTACTACGAGAAGGAAGGGTGAAACGGCCCGGGTTCTAAACGAGCATGGATATTCATAGACTGCGGTTGAGTGTTTCTACAGTTCTGCTTCAACTCACGGCGCTGCATGAAGTACTGCAGCAAGTTCACGCGATGCAGGATGAGGGCTCAGTCGGCGAGTATACCTAGTTTTCAAATTTAGAACCATATCTTGGCTCTGTAGGTAGGTGCGTGTATCGCCATTCCCAGCATGCCCCCGCCTACTACAGCCCCCGTCCTACAGCGTGTAAAGCCACCCCTCGCGCGCTTCAATGACCGCCCTCCCAGCCTTGACAGCTCTATTCTTCCTCCAGATATACACATCAAGAACCATAGTCAGGAAGATACTCATCATGGATATCGCAAACGTAACCCAAATCCCCGTCTATTCGAGTTAGCGAGATGGCACATTTGACGGTATATGTGTAGTTTGATTCGGTATACGAAGACTCACAGTGTATTGCGGGCTTTCACTTGACTTGAACGCCGAGCTAGCAATAACGCCTCCGACGCCACCGCCAATGAGACAAGTCGCAGACGCGACGGCGCGCTTCGAGTGCGAGGTGATGTTGTTTGCTTGGAAGGTGAGAACGCCTGGGATGCAGAATTGGAGGAAGCCGATGCCTGAACATCAATCCGTAATTAGCACTACCTTTCCTTTCTCAGGCAGCAAGAGATAAAGGAAAAGAAATAGGGTAACAGTGTTGCATACCCAAGAACGACCCGAAATACCTCGCAGCATTTGCCTTGCCATACGCCGTAATGAGCATCCCAGCAGCCGTCAGGAGCTGGTGCACCGCAATAACCGGACCGCGAATTTTGTACCGATCCCCGAGCCACCCCGAGACGAGCGTCATAATGGCAGCAAAGACATACGGCGGACAGCTCAACAGCTGCGACTGCGTGGTACTAAACCCCATCCCGTCCCGGAGGATTATAGGTAGGAAGTACGAGTAGGCGTATCCTGGCAATGTGGACGCCATGAGGTTAAAGGACCAGATATACAGCTTCCAGTCGCGGAGGTGGAAGAGGATTCTGGAGAGAGAGACCTCGTCTTCTTCGGCGTCGCCGCGGTCGTCGTTGATGCGGTTGATCACAAAGGCCTTTTCGGTGGCACTGAGGAAGGAGCCGGCTTTTGTGGGGAAGTCGATGATTATCAGGCGGCCGAAAAGGCAGATTCCAACTGTGATGGCGCCCTCGATGATGAAGATCCCTAGTCGTAATATGAGGGTTACTATGGGAATCTGGGTCTCGGCAGTGTTTTGGAAGCTTACAGCGCCAACCTCCGAGTCCCTCGCGGCCATCTAGCAATGTGAATGCGTACGCGAGAATCGCCGAGAAGCCGCTTGCGAGAACGGAGAGAATCCAAAAGGCCGAGAGTCGCTTCCCGACTTCGAACCGCGTGTACCAGCAGGTGATCAGGTACGTGCAGCCTAGATGAGGCTGGTATCAAGGACCTCGCGCGTCATCAGAAATGAAATCACTTTACCCACCTGGAAGGAATCCCGCCTCGAATACGCCCAGTAGTGTTCTGCAGACAGCCATAGTAGCCCAATGGTGAGTGAAGCCCATGCCGATTAGGATTGCTCCGAACGAGGCGCCCAAGAACGACAGCCAGTTGGCAGCACCGGCTTTGGGGAGGATCAGATTCTAGGTTCTTATCAGTGAGTCTTCTATCGGGCGGTCTTTCGTGGCCTACACTGGGAATCTCAAATATACTAGGAGAATGGTCAACAGGCCTGAAGTGATGAGGCTAGATCGAGTGCCGATACTCACATGTATGCAATGAAGAACAACATGACGATGATAGTGTACCGATCGCCCACGGCAAGGTCGAGGTCTTCCTGCATACCAGCCACAAGGGCCAACCCAAGGTTTGTGCGGTCAATCAGCGAAATCGAGTACATGACTCCGAGTATCGGTAGAAGCCTGAGGTCGATTCGTCGGCTGAAGCTGTTGTTAGGACACTAGACATTCACAATTGGCAAGCAAGTGGTGATGCGCATACATGACCTTTCGCTTCTTACTGTCGGTGAGATCATCGGGTAGAATAATGTGAGCTTTTGGGTCTTCGACATGGTCGATGCGAGGGTCCTTCTCGGAACCAAGCTCAAGGGTTCCTGCCCCTTGGTCAGCAGTGGGGTAAGTAGCCATGGTCCTGGAGACGATGCAAAAAGAGTACTGGAAATTGAGTGAGTCAACACGGCGCTCAAGGCATGAATTTCCAAGGGCGACAAGCATTTCTTAAACAACTTGCCACAAGCTCAGAGTTCGCGTCAAAAGTACAAGGATTACTTGCCCCCGTTGGCCTCGTGGTTTCTTTGCCCATGTCAACCCCGCATTCGAGGCTCCAACCGAAGCCGAAGTACAGTAAAAAGTGGATGCCGTGGAGAGACACTGACTGTCCATCCTCCATCCGGGGCGGCTTTTCCATTGCGGGCATTCACATTGGCCCAGTTGACGCCATAGATAACGCGTATGTAAACTGTATCAAAAGTACGTACGCCTGCCTCGGGTCGTCGGCTAAATGTGGGGATCCATCTCCATCCTGCACAGACACTTTAATAGGCACCTTGGGGGATTCAACCTGGGGAAGCTCGAATAACCACCGCTGTGCCTGTAATAGCCATGGTTGAATTTCCAAACACCAGCGGATATCGCCGCATCAAGCGGGCGTCGCGCGCCTGTCAACGATGCCATGCCCGCAAGGTCAGGTGTGACGCCACAGTGACTGGGTACCCCTGCACGAACTGTCGCCTGGATAGCAGCCCCTGCCAGGCGTATACTGGCGGCAGGGAGCGCCGGAAACAGCTGGCGATTGCGCGAGCTCGAGCCGCAGCAGGCGAGAGCTTGGAGTCCGCCCACCGGGCCCCTGGGCGACCTCCCCCCACGCAAAGGAGGAGCTCCACTGTTCCGTTACCAATTTCCTCGTACCTGTTTATACAGCCTCTTGAGATAGGAAAGCACGATTTAGACCGCTTATCTTTGCTGAAGCAAGCCGGATGTCTCAGTCTTCCTGACGGTCCGGATATGGACGTCTTGGTCCGCCACTACTTCCTCTATGTCCACCCATTTTGTCCCGTGCTTGACGAGGCCGTCTTCTGGAGAGATTATAAGCGAACTGGGGATAGTGCGAGGCGTATCCCATTACTCCAGCTCCGGGCAATGATCTTTTCGGCTAGTTGTGTAGGCGCCCTTTTTTTTTATACGCCTGCAACTAGCCACTGATAATCTGTAGTTTGTACCAGCCGATGTTGCGATCCGCTGCGGTTACGACTCTCTACTGAACGCGCGCGATGACCTATACACCAAGGCCAAGGTAAGTCAGGTGTTGCCTCTACCTTATCTTCCCACGCTCATCTGCCCCCCGCAGGCGTTATACGACAGCGGCCTAGAAAATGACCCCATGACGGCCTCAAGAGCCGCGCTACTACTCACATTTTACTGCTCCGACTTTGACGTCGACGCAAACTCAGAGTGGCTCCGGCTTGCCATCAGAGAAGCGCGAGCTGCACAAGCCTGCCATCTTCAGTCCAAAGGACTCGCGAGCGACCCTGATCAAACCGACTTTCGACGCCTCTGGTGGTCTTGCCTTATTCGAGATCGAACCTTGGCCCTTGGGATGCGGCGTCCGCTCCAGATCACCGGAGGGGACTCTTATCCCCACATGCTGACAACAGACGACGTGAGTGACGAAATCTTCGGGTCCGTGGTCTACACGTATGAAGTCAAGTCGGCGTTATTCGAGCTGCTTACCAGCCTATGCCACTTCGCCACGGCGGTTACGGAGTTGGCCACGATCGCCTTCCCGCCAGCGGGCGATGCGAGCTCTTGCATAGAGAATCCCTGTGCTGAACTCGACAAGCTGGGATGTGCAAGATCCGCACTGCTCCTCTGGGAGCTGGACTGGATATCTTACATGGAGGGGAAAAACTCGAGCCTACACCCATCTATCCCCTTGTTCTCTAGCCTGCTCTCGATACACTACCAGTAAGTAATCGCCTGATGTGCTCGGTATTCGGATTTTGCTGAGCTGGATCCAGGTCAGCTCGCGTAGCACTCTGCAACCGCACCTGTTTTGTCCTCAACGAGGTCAATGACTACAGGGCCAGATATCGCCAGCAGCTGCAGCTCTGTCGGTCCGAACTCATCGGGGCCGTTGCGTCTGTTGCTGCTCACGTTCGGCAGCTCATGGTTATTGAGGCGGTCGATAAACTCCCTCTAAGCATGTATGTCGGTCCCCTCATATATTAGCCTCCAGTAGACTCCCCCACCCAACATGTATGCCCGTCACTAAAACAGCCAGCGCCGCATATACGACAACCCCTTACATCCTGCTCAGCATTAATTCACAGTCAAACGTCAAGCAAAGCCAAGAGCTACTACTCCTCTTTTCAGCAGTCAACCGAGCGCTCAGTACGAGGTACCACCTCAAAAGAGTATCGGACCTCACATCGCGCGCGCTCTGGCTATCCAAGCTTCTTAAAGAGTCTTCTGAGGAGGAACGATCGGATATCCCACGTCACAGCAACCTGTTTACCCTGTCGCTCAAGCAATATACCCAGCTCCTTCAGTATATCGACGGGTCCATGTCGATTCCGAGGGATTCCGCTCGGGAGACTGAGGCTCTATACGCGGCTGCTTCCTACATTCCGAGGGGGCTTAGGGCGTATGCTACGCCGGAGCCGGTTGGTGACACACTCACCCCGGTATGGCTCGAGGCAATGGGGAATTTCTTCTTTGGGCCTGGGAATGGGTTGGCTTTGTCGTTGTGCAGGTCACCCGGGGGAGAAGACGTGGAGACGCCGGTTGGGGCAAAATGGGATTTCAATGATATGTTTAGAGTGAGTCTTCGGTTACCTTGGGAACTTGAGACTAGCCTCTCACCTGGGAATGTCTGAACGCATGGTGTGCTATGTACTATGTGGTGCCTGTTAGCATAGAGGTGTAGACACATCCAGTCTCCAAAGGGAGGAGCGTTTCTCCCGTTGCCTGATAGATGTCCCCATCTTCAGCAGTTTTTAATGGGCAGCCCCGCTCAGAATACGCTTTGTGATGGTTCGCCTAACAGCCTTACTATCTACGCGGCACTCCCCTTGGCAGTCCGCGAGGTAGTTTCAGACTCGGAGCACCTTTGGCTTGACCCGGTGATAATACCGGTCGCGCTGAGTGTCCACAGTAGCGGTCAGTCCCCTCAGACCTCGCATGTACCCCGGCTGTTGGAGAACAGGGTTCAATTTCCCCAGACGCGGACCGAAACCTCCAGCCTAAGAGGCACGTATCGTTCACGCCACCCTTGAATAGTGCCTCGGGCCTTCGGGGCAATGTGGGTCTATCTGCCTTGTAAATCCGCCAGGATGCTGTCTGCGATGCGGAGAATTGGCGTAAGCAGGGGTAGACCGGATCAGATGAGGTGGTGTATATTAGATACTGGACTACCCCACAGGGCTGGTCCGCGACATAGTAGACCTACCCACCGGTTGCTTGCAGTCTGCCGCGCCCCATGGCTCTCTCATCCTTCTCGCCAGCGGCCCCGTGCACCGCACCGACCTTCTCCTCCATCTCCCTCTTCGGCGCCCAAATCCTACACACAACCGCAACCCCCGTAACAAACTACCCGCAAACCAACAGCATCATCTCCCCCATCCTCCGCGACGCACAACCCCCGGTCATCGTGCAGAATGCGTCCTTCTGCAACGTAACTGTAACATACACGCACCCCGGCCGAGACGACGCTCTCACCGCTGAGATCTGGCTCCCTTCTCTGCCAGCGGGCTGGAATGGGAGATTGCAGTCTGTTGGTGGTGGTGGGTGGACGGCAGGGCGGTCTTTGTCGTCGTATGCGAGTATGGCTGGGGCCGTCTATGAAGGGTATGCGACGGCGACGACGGATGGCGGAATTCCTCCGGGGACGGGCCCGGAGAGCTGGGGGCTTGTCAGTGAGGGGAATTTGAACACTGTTGCGTTGGAGAATTTCGGGGACAGGTCGTTGGGGGATCTGGTATTTTTATTTTTTATTTTTATTCTCTTTCCCTTGGCTCTTTTCTTCTTTGACACTGCTAACGGCAAACCCATCCCATACCATAGGCCATCCTCGCCAAAGCCGCCATCCGCGCATACTACGCTCAAGACCCGCTCTACTCGTACTGGACGGGATGCTCAAACGGCGGCCGGCAAGCCAGCATCCTGGCGCAGCAGTATCCGTCCGCATACGACGGGATCCTCGCGGCCGCGCCGGCACTACACTGGCCGCAGATCGCCATCACGCGGGCCTGGCCGTCGTTCTACATGGATCTGACAAAGCAGTACCCGCGGAAATGCGAAATGGAGGCGTTGACGCGGTTTGCCATTGCCCAGTGCGACGCGCTTGACGGGGTACAGGATGGGCTTATTTCGGACCCGGAGAAATGTCGGAAGCGGTTTCGACTGCGGGAGTTTCTGGGAAAGTCTATCCTCTGTTCAGAGGTTGGTGAAAAGATTCGCATTAGCGCTGCGGCGGTTGATGTGACGCGCGCGCTGCTCGCTGGCCCGCGGTTCGCGAACGGCGACTTTTTGTGGTTTGGGTACGAGCCTGGGACGGATCTGTCGGCGCTTGTGGTGTTGGATCCAGCCTGTACTGGACACGGAGGAGGGGCATGCACTCCTGCCTCTGTAACGGACCCGCTGACACCTCTGAGCTGGTGGAAGACGTTTGTGCTCAAGAATAACGAGGCCAATGTCACAAGCTTGACGCACGCGCAGTACGATCAGCTGTACCTTACGTTGAAGAAGGTCCTTGTCCCCGTGGCAGCTACAGAGCCCCGCATAACCGATTTCCAGAGGGCTGGTGGGAAGATGCTTACATTCCATGGGCTGGTCGGTGTTCCTGTCCTTTGTTGGCTTAAGTTTATGCTAACATACAGAAAGGCGGATAATGCAATTACTCCCGAGAGTACACTGCACTACTTCCAAGAGGTATCCTCGGCCCTCGATAACGTGCCTGATTTCTACCGCTACTACCGTGTTCCTGGCCTGGAGCATTGCTCTGGTGGATCAGGCGGCCAGCCAGTTCACCTGTTCGACCAGCTGCGGGCCTGGGTGGAGAAAGGGACAGCCCCCGGTGCCAGCGCGGTGACGGTCACGCTGCCCAGCAATGGAACAATGGAGCAGCTTATCTGCCCCTATCCGCAAAAGGCAGTCTACCAGCGCGGCTGTGGTAGGCGTTCCTCGTCTGAAGGGTGCTGGAAGTGTACGTGAGATGAGAGACCCGACGCGAGGATCACAGTCCAACACTTGCACATATTCCTAAAGATAGAATAGCTTTAGAGAACTGCATATCTGGGTATCTATATCTAATAATCTGTCTGTCTCCGTATCGACTTCCCCACTTCACATGGCAGCTAATCATACGAAAATAGATTGATCATCGTCGCGTCACCCGTCGCTTCAGTAGCGTTAATCGTAGAGTCTAGCGGAAACAAGGAATCCAAGTCGCCCGCGGAGGATGCGGCAGAGAACATGCCAAATGCTTCTGCTCCAGAAAATGGCTCTGGGGTAGTTTGTTCCACCAGTGCAGTGTCGGTATCCTCAATGGGTGGACTTTCTGATAAGCAGCCATCCGGATCAAGCGCCGTACTCTCCCATTGGCCGTAATTCCCCAAAAGAGTTTCGATACTAATCCCGTCAAGCTCAGACCTACTCGACGAAGCAGGGTATATCCGCGAGGCCAGAGCTTCACTGCTTGATCCGGGAAAAGGCAACGGGCGGCAGAGCCTTGTGTCGATGCTAGGCTTGAGTGCTTGGAGAGCGGCGGGAAGATCAGTGGGTTCAGGGAAGCGACCGATGGCGAGCGAAACGTCAATGGTCTTGGAGATTCGCACGTATTCGTCCGGGGAGCAATGCGCAAAGCTGTATATCACCACAGAATCCTCTTGTGCGGCCGTTGTCGTCCGGGATTGAAGGATGGGTCGGCTTTGTGGTGGGGATTGGCTAGTCCGTCGGGTTTTGGTGGCTTTGGCACCTGCGGAACCTGCTTCGAACCGGAGCTGGTGGATAATTGTCTGGATGTAATCTAGGACCTGGTCGGTGCCCTCGTACTGCATCTGGAGGATTTTGAATGCTCTACTGTATATTATTTGAGGAGGATGGTTGGTGGTACCGGCCATTTCCATGCAGGAAACCTGCGTGCCGATCATATACCAGGCCAGTGGAAGCGCAATATTTGCAGCTCTGTTCCGCTGATCATCAATATACAAGTACGCTTTTGCTGATAACTGGGATGCTTACACGGTAATGGGAAGATACCCAAGAAGGTGTCGCTGGCCCAGCTCTAGCAGACAGTCTGTTATTCCCTTGATTTGATCGCTTACCCCAGGCGTCAGTACGTTAAGGGCCGCACTTCTCTCTGGACTGTTAGTCATGGCCAGATAAAGCGCATGGTTTTGAAGGGCAAGCTGCGCGCTGCTACGTGACCAAGCCAACGTTAGCACCGTCTGAAATGTGAGAGCAGGTACGGATTCTTACTAGTAGTAGATTAGAAGAAGATTTCGGTAGAGAACGGTAGAGTCATGCTCGGTTCCCCAATCAGTGAGATACTCTAATTGCCCCTGAGTATGGTCATACCACCTGGCGAGCTCATCAATACCATTTACCAGGTTATCCTGGTGAACGATCGCGGCCGCAGTAAGAGGCGACAACAGGGTAAGTCCAGCGGTCAGGGCGACACACAGCTCGCATTGGAAATAGAGCAGTTGTATGAGCACTCGCTTGGTGTTTGCACAGTATACCAATGAGCGATGTATCTCATCGGAGAAATCGCTCACAGTCAGCGGGGATTGTGTAAAGTCAAAGTCATGGTCACTAATTTGGAACGGCCGCCTTAGCCCCAGGGACAGGAGTCGATCGCGACAAACACAGGCCCACCAGATTCGTTTCAGCAAGTTGGCCTTTTCGTAATGTTTCAGCTCGTAGTATCGATGAGCGTGTATCACTCGAGCATGATGAATGGCAACGGTCAGCCAGTATGAGTTGCTATTGGGGTTCCTCGGTGAGACATAGTAGGTAAGAAGCAAAGCTGTTTGAGCGCAGCAAACGTCGCCGGAGTGGATTTCAAGATCATACAGCGTCTTCAATAAAATTTGTCACTCCATGTAATGAGAAGAGCTGAGACGGAGGGTTTATCATATACCTTTGCGCGTGTATAGAATGCGAGGCGTGCTGCACGAAGAGACTTGAAGCCCAAGCGTTTGATGCACGCGTGGCCGACAAACTTGTATGGTCAATACGCGAGACGGATCATAACGCAGGTCAGTATTTAGACTTACACTGCATGCTGCAAATAGCATCGCCTGGAAAAGCATAAGGGGAATCGGTTCTGGCCGGCTGTTTGTATATGTGTCCCAGAAATCGGCCTCGTTGATTACCGGAAGATTCGGATGAACGTGAAGGAAGTATTCCCGGATGAGCTCATTCAGTGGCCCGCGGACAGGTATTGATAGACAACCCCGTTGTTGCAGGAGATTCAAGTCACAGTCGGGAAGGTCGGGGTCTATTTTGGCACATATGAAAGGATAATTCGTCCAATTTGTGAACGGCCCTATTCCTGGTTCGATGTCGGTTGCAAGGTCGCTGGTCAGTGCGGTATCTATTCCTGAATTGCACGAAAGGGTGGCTTCAGTATTCAGAAACTTGTATGGCTGGGGACGCGGCTTCATACGGGAGAACAACTCGTGTGCGGTATTGTCCTCGGTGCGGAAGTGGAATGAAGCGAGTTGATCGTCGTCCCCTGATGTCTCTGGGCGTCGCCGTTCAGCAGGATTCGGTTGCAACTCGGTGGACTTTCCAGACACATGTGCTGTATTGCACCTTGGAGCTGGAGCAATCGGTGGAGCAGTCGGAGTCAAGGGGATGCCCTGTGGAGTGATAAGAACGTCCAACTGCCTAGGCAACAATTCAGTTCACAGCCATGCTTGTAAGGATACTCGAATGGCTAACCTGCGCTGCTGTCTGCGCTTGACCTCGCAGGGTGCGTGGTCGAGGGAGCAATTTGTGCACGGCTGGCCCCTGGTCGCAACATCACATCGCACCTTCCTCTTTCGACAGGAAAGGCATGCCCGGGGCGCTCTTTGTCGACGACTCGACCGATCAGAAGTGGCTTCATTGCTTCGAGACTCGACATTCGCCATGTCTGAATAATTGAGTGAATCACAAAGCCGAGACAGGTTATGCGAGCAAGGGGAAGTGGGTTGATGCTCCTTCCCCGCAATGTTCGGACTTTGCGGGGAAGATTTAGTCGGCCTACTTTTACGAGTCAGTCACTTGACGTTTTACGGTGCGTTATTGGAGCTGGTGTAGCACACACACGTTGGAGAACCCTCGGCAATAAGTGGGCCTGTGGTACGTGGTACGTACATCGGTGTACGATCGATTACCTTGGAGTATAAACAGTATCCAACTAGTAGAAATCCTACTGGTACGTTGTGCATATACGTTATAATCATACTTAATGTATCAGGAGTTACATTGCTATTGAGCTTGTTTCAGCTCGATAGGAGTCGCGGTCGGCAGCAAGATACGCGCTGTCCAAACGTTGCACGGGTAACCCATGTTTTGATAACTAAATAAACCAGGGTGAAGTGCAAATTAACTTCTCGCTTAATAAAAAAAATTATTGTCGCATGCAAGGTTGGATGGTCGGTCGAAGGGTTCGTTCGGCTTTTGAAGATATATGTGGTGGTGGTTGAACATAAGAAAAAAAGAAACTGAGGTCCTACCCGGGATCGAACCGGGATTACCAGATGTGACTCTAATTTGGTATCAGAGTCTGATGTCATAACCATTAGACCATAGGACCTTGGATGAAGTAACTGGCAATGATTTACCATCATACGCGCGTGTAAAATGTTCACGTTCCATCCCCGGCTTGACCATCATCAACCACACTCTCACCCATGAAGGAGTCCCCTCCGCGTGGATTAGGTATCAGATCTCTAGCTATGTCCCTCCACCTATTGGTCTTGCTTCCTGCTCGTTTAGCTGATGGAAAAATTCGGACTTCTATTATTATATTAACATAGAGGCCGTCTCTGATGTAGTACGACCTCTACATAATATATATCGACGACGGAAAAAGGCCATTGCGAGTAACACTATCCAAGTAACACCATGGCCTTGCCTTCTTCCATCACCAAACAAACTCCCCGGATTTTCAGAGGTGAAGTCGAGTGAGGCCAAGGCTTGAAGCTATTTCTAGCCCTCCACTACCTCCACTATCCCCTCGAACAGTCAAACCATCCACACGTCCTTCAATCGCCTCCAGTCCTGTACTGATTCGCCCATGAACAGAAACTCAAGTTTGAAGGACTCGCATACCCTGCCACTTGGACAAAGTCCGTTGGTCATGAGGAGGTGGTCAGAGCTCAAGCTAGTGTATCTTTGTCGATGGAAGGACGGTATAGCCGCTGCGGAGACGAGTAGAGCACGCAAAGAAAGAAACCGGGTTTGGAGAACTGCGATCGCCGAACCTTATCGCTGATCAGCTAGTAACACAAGTGCCAGCGGCTCTTGGCGAGGGATCTCTGGCATGTCGTGGTAGCTGCGAGCTGGTCGCTTTCTTTGTCCCTCGAAAAAGCAAATCCAGCGAACCACGCTGTATACTGACCGCTGAGAGTGGGCTACCTGATGCTAGAGAGCATTCTGGTTGATAAAGGTGTGGTTTGCCAAACCACTGGACTTGAGTGTTACTGTCCACCCGAAACTGTGGACTTCCACAGCCAGACCATGATGAAGTTGTGCTCAATATCCAGTATACCTGCGGTATTCCAGGAGATTTGCCGGATAACATGTGTATGTACCACAGCAAGTCTTGAGTTGCCCCATATAGACTAACATGTTTTTTCTACACAGTGTACGGCCCTCCTCAACTCACCACTTGCCACCAACCTCATCTTCCCCTCTGCACCACGGTACCACGATCTGGTCAACGCCCACTACGCCACCAGCGCACCACTTCAGCCAGCCTGCTTCTTCCAACCACAATCCGCAGACCAAGTCGGGCTCGCAATCTCCCTCCTCGCAGAAGCTGATGACGGATCATCGCAGTGCCAATTCGCCATCCGCGGCGGCGGCCACACGCCCTGGAAAGGCGCTGCGGGTGTTGAGGGCGGAGTGACAATTGATCTGGCCCTGATGAACACGACTATGTATAATCCCGATACGTCGAGCGTGACGATTATGGGTGGTGCCAAGTGGGGAGATGTGTACAAGGCACTTCAGCCACACGGGGTCGCTGTGACGGGAGGCCGGTCGGACACGGTGGGTGTTGGAGGGCTTATTATCGGAGGAGGGCTATCGTACTTTGGGAACAAGTATGGGCTTGCGTGCGATAATGTGTTGGATTTCGAGGTGAGCCTCCCACCCACTCACGTATACCGCCGTTAAACATTCGCAGGTGGTCCTAGGCAACGGCCAAATCATTGGCGTAAACGATACCTCCCACCCAGACCTCTTCCGTGCCCTGAAAGGCGGCGCCAACAACCTCGGCATCGTTACAAAAGTCGAACTGCGCGCCTTTGAACAAGGCCCTCTCTGGGGTGGGTTGATCGGACACACAAGCGCCGACATCTCACGGCAGAACCGCGCACTCGTAACTCTCACCAGCAACCTCGTGCACACCCCACACGCGCAGGCCGTCACAATCTGGAACTACAATGCCGAGTCAAAGTCAATGGTCGTAGCGAGCGGTCTCCAACACACGCGCGGCGCCGAAGATTCCGCCATCTTCCGCGAGTTCCTCGACATCCCACAGATATTCAGTACCCTCCGCCGGACGGATATTTACGGCCTGATGATGGAGACCGCGCCTCCGCCGGGGAAAAGGGCCATGTTCCTGACGCTGACCTTTGGAAATAATGTACGGGCCCTCGAGTATCTTCGCACGTTGCACGATGAATCGATAGGTGCTGCAACGCCGCGCGCGGAGAGCAGCGATTGGGACTTCATTACCTTCCTGCCACCGTTTCCATCTGTTCTGGGAGATGCGAGTAGACGGAAAGAGAATATTCTTGGTTTGTTTGACTACAAGACATTGAGAAATAAACCTAAAATAGATGCCTAGGACAAAATTATCAACTTTTTTATTTTGATTATCCTTAATAGTTTCACTAAAGCATCTAGCATCCTTAAATAAGTTCATAGCTTATGTACATCGCCTTTCAAAATCTGTCCCTCTGTATCTACCGCATTTCTCTGTCTAATTTTCCGAGGCTGATTGCACAAGTCTATATAGTAAGACTATGAATAGTGGTATAGGTAAGATTGTAAAACGCGGTATCAGGGTAGATATTCCATACTTTTAGGTCTACCTGACTTGAGGCGTGAATAAACGGAGAGGCTACGAAAATGGGGTTGATTTGGCATAAGGACATTGTTCTTTGACATTAAAGCTGTTAGTGCAGGTTCGTGACTTTTGGATTGGTAGGTTTACAAGCTAGCTTAAAGAGAAAATATTTTCAAGCCAGTAGCAATCACTAGCGGTGTAAATAGTACGCCCCCGTGGACCATAATCTATTCCACATGATTTGGCACGCAGTACTCGCTCTTACCCACAGCGAGGGTCACCACGGATGAAATACTCGCACCTCCCAAAATATCGAAGATGGCGACGTCCGCCCGCATCTCACGCGAAAACCAATTGCGTAGCTCGACGGCTGTGAGCGAGTCGACCCCATACTGGTGAATTGGCTTGTCCAGATCCAACTCGCCCGCCGAAATAGACAGCATCTGCGCCAGTTTTGCCTTCATGCTCTGCGCAATAACACAAGAGACCTCTTCCAAGGACTTCCCGCTCGCGAACACTTCGGCGAAGTTGGTCTTCCCACCCTTTGAGGTGCTAGAGCCGCCTAAACCGGCGATGTTGATATGACTGGCAATGGGCTTTTGCAACCAGTCGGTCCTTCCCGTTCCCTTTTGTCGTACAATAGGCGTGATACCAACCACAGTCTGGCTCTTCTCTATAGGAAAGGCTTCCATAGAGTGGCTGCAGTAAATGTCCAGCAGGGCGTGGAGATCGGACTCGCTGAGTGGTCTGAGGACATTATTGGATAGGAAGTACTCGCGGGCTCTTTCATTCTCATGTAGGTAGCCGGCTGAGAGGAAAAGACCCAAGTCTAATGAGACCGCCTTCTCCCCTATCTTATTGCGATACCGAGCTAGTCCGTCCTGGAATGTGTTGCCGGCTGCATATCCCGAATCTCCTCTTGCTCCCATGATACCAGCCACTGATGACAGGAGAACAAAAAAGTCCAACCCTTGAGGAAGCAGCTCATGTAGATTCCAGGACCCCTGCGCCTTGGCAGCGGTGTTTGTCAACCACGAATCATATGTCAAGGCCCCGAAATGCGAGCTCTGCTGGAGGTTAGCCGTTTTGTACATGGGAAGGTATTGAATGACTTGGATTGATGACTCACACTGATAGCCATTGATGCTTGAATACATCCCTTGATTGGCGGCATTGTCCGACTACAGAATTCCAAGGTGCTTGCCAACACTGCACGGTCCGTTATATCGCACGCGGGCGTCGAGACCGTGGCGCCTTTCTCCTGTAGGCTTTTTGTAGTCACCCCTGCATACACGTTCTGATCCCCAGATCGTGAAAGCAGTATCAAATTGCGGGCACCCCGGTCGACTAACCAGTGGGCAATGCTCCGACCAAGGCCACCTAAGCCACCAGCAATTACGTAGGTTGAATGATCGTCAAACGAGCAGGTCGGCTTCGTGTCCACCATGGCCTAAAAATGGTCAGCAGTTGCGCACCAGGCATGTAGTAGCTTACCTACCGTCACTTGATCGGTTGATCTCATTGTCAACACCGTTTTGCCAATGCTTTTTCCGCTTTGCATATGCCGAAACGCTTGCTCAATCTCCGATATCCCAAATATTTCGACAGATTTTGGCAACGACAGCTTTCCAGCATCAATCAGTGAAAGAATCTCTTGCAGCGCGGTGACCAATAGCTGGGGGCGATCTTGCACCATTGCGGAGAGATCGAAGCCGTGGAAGCTGACATTGTTGGTGAATTGCGCCATGGAAAGCTTGGAGTTTGTAAGAATGTCATTCTTCCCAATCTCCACGAACCGGCCGTACGGTGCCACGCACTCCCACGATGCAACAAGCTGATCGGACGATAGTGAGTTGAGGACAACATCGACCCCTCTGCCGCCGGTCAGGCGCCGGATACCCTTGGCGAACAGCGTATTTCGACTTGAAAAGATGCGTTCCTCGGGTATATTGTATTCCTGCATAAGAAAACGCTTCTTGGCCAGACTCGATACCGTGGTGAATACAGTGGCACCAAGATAGTGGGCGACCTGTATTGCCGCCTGTCCTGTCCCGCCGGCTCCCGAATGGATCAGGACAGATTCACCGGGCTGGAGCCTTGCAGTGTGATTTAGTGTCAACCATGCCGTCCCATATACTATCGGTATGGCGGCCGTTTCCTCAAATGACAGCCCATTGTCGGGGGCTTTCATCACAGCCAGGTCTTCTCGAACGCGCACAAAGTTGGCAAAGTTGCTTGGATAGTACGCAACAACCCGGTCTCCCAGCTGGAATTTCACACACGCATGCCCAACGCGAACCACCTCTCCAGCAAACTCGAACCCCAGAGATCGGCTATTCAGCCGTCCCAAGGCGATAAGAACATCCCGGAAATTAAGTCCCACGGCCCTGACCCGAATCTCAATTTCATTAGGTCCTAGCGGCTGTTGCAGGGAGTTGTCTTCTGCAAAATGTAGAGTATTTAGCAGGCCGGGGCTGCCAATTTGCAAGGACAAGGCGGGCTCCGCCCCGAAATCCCTCACCAGTTCGTGCTGTGCGCTCTTGCTCAGAGCGATTTGCCGGTTTATCGAGCTGGCGTTAACCAGGCGGCCCACGTGTAACAGCCCCCCTATTTCAGTGAATTCACTATCGGCCCTCCTAGTATCAGAGTCCTGCATCCGAGATAGTAATACCTTCTGGATTTGCTCAGATTGATGATCCACACATGACGATTGTTCGAGAGAGAGAATGCATAGCTGACTTTCTTGATTCTCCTCGCCCACCACCCGAAAAAGTCCATCGCACAGACGGAACTTTGGGCAGGGTTGAAGACCCCCTCCACCATTGACCCAGAGCAGACTTGTCGTATTTGAAATTAGGTCATGGAGGCGCCGGAACTCGTCACAGTTCACCTGATACAAAAGTGGGTCCTGGACCTCTAGCAATGAGACTTGGAACGCCTCGGGGGATAATTTGGTGCCGACATCTGCAACCATCGGTACGTGTTTCACTCGATCATTTCCCGCTTTGAAAAGGCTCTCGCTTAGCACGGAAGCCAGCTGAGTTTGTGTCTGGCAAAGCGGATCGAGTATGATTTCGACTGCCTTCTGATTCCGGGGCTGGGAATCGTTGACCGCAGTTGAGACAATTACACTGGTTTCGTGGAGAAAATCGTCGTCAAAGTCGTGCACGACAATGTCGCATCCTGAGAACCCAGTATTGCCCAGCAACTCCCCCCATTTCACCTCATCAACACATGGACCGGCTGTGCGATAGGACTCGTGACCTTCGTAGATTAACACATGGGATAAAAAGAGGGGTGAAAGAAGCTTACCTCTCCACCACCCTTCAAACAGACCAAACGTAAGATCCGTAACCAAAACCCCGGGCTTGGTTATTTCGATAAACAAGAGTCTACCACCACTAGGGGAGAATTAGTACTATGTAAAGCGTGAGAAAGCAGATGCATACGGTTTCAGCAGTTTTCGTGCATTTTTCAGGCTGACACTTAGGTCCACCGTAGCGTGGAAGACCTGCATTATAGTTCAGCAATCGAGGGGCTGTTTCATATCTTCCCAGCGGGCTTACCAGGTACGCGGCAACCAAATCATATGTGCCACACTCGAATCCCTGCAATTCGGGGTCTTTCTCAATATCCAAAGGCATAAACCTCACACGTTCAAAACCTGCAAACTGGCTCTGCGCCTGTGGGAAGAAGGAACTTGAGATATCCGTAAAGTCCCATTGGCTGTAACGAGGAACCGGCATCCCGTTTTGAAAGTCTGTGTTGAGCGTTTTCAAGCATAAATCTGTCAACGCGCCACTTCCTGCACCCAGCTCGAGAACCTTCATTTGCGGATTCTTGTGGCCCAGTGCGTCAATGTACCTTGTAATCTGGTCTACCTTGGGGGTAGAATAGAGCTGGAAAAAGTATATTAGCCACCATCTCATCATATCGGCCGAAGGGAGCGAATTCACCATCTCAAAATAGCACTCCGGAAGTAAGTTCCCTTCGAAACATACCCTAATAGGGTCCGCCTCACGGGAAATAAACTTGATGAGGTTCTTGGCGACAGTGCTAGCCAACCGAGCCCGCTTGGTACTGCGATCCAGTTCATTGTGAAGATCACAAAGAAGTTTGTCGTCTTCCATGTACGCCTTCCAGTCCAGAGAATGCGAGCTCGCCTGACGAGTATGTATGGCCTCTTGCTGCTTTTCCAACCAATCAATGTACCTATCCATATGCGCATGGCTTATTGTCTTTGCTTGCTCGATCAGACTTTTCGGGACCCGACTTATGTAGATGGACACGAGGTATTCCATCTTTTCCCAAAGCTCGATCGTATCCGTACTTGCCACCCCTCCTTTGGGAAAGAAGGTGTCCAGCTCCTTAGGCCCGAATAGGTCCACGTCAGGCTTCCAATCGACATGATGGCAAAGATCTGCTGTGGCCCATGCATCCTCGTCGTCGGGTACCACAGCGTTGTCAACTTCGGCTACTCCAAGCCCGTCAAGTGTGAGCAAGGGATGCTTGACATCCTTGTCAAACACAGCCATTGCGTACTGAGATTCTGTGACAGTTCTTCCTTCCGAGCAAGCGTACACCTCCAGCGTATCTGCAGCTGGGTAGCTCAGGCTTCCACTGTTGGATATCCACAATTCCTCAATACTCGTAGGAATTGCCACAACCTTTCGCTGGGCCCCAGCCTGTATTGTCATTGCGGTCATGGTATGGATGATAGCATCCAAGGTCGTTGGATGAATGGTGTGCGGCTGCATAAAATTTGAACCATCTGAGCTTGGCCCTTGAAACGTCCCAATAGTAGACACCAACTCTTTGTGATTAGCATCGTTTGTTTTCAAGCCAGTTATGGCAGCGAATGCGGGTCCGTAGTGGTATCCATTGGGAATGAGGCTGTTGTAAAACTGGGCTGGATCGATTGAATTCGTGCACCGCCGAGCTATTTCCTCATAATTCCTGGCAAGGTGGGCTCGCCACTTGGCATCCTCATCGTCATTGGATCTCAATCCAGCCTCGCTGGTTTCATATATTGCTTGGATGGAGCCAGTGCAGCTTTCAGTCCATGCTTCCCTGTCCCGGGAGCAAAGGCGAAAGTCATACCAGCCGGTGGAATCTGATTTCCCAAGCTTGGTTCGCTTCATGTGTAGACTTGTCTCAATGCGCTGCCCATGGCTGGCAATGCGAATTGGTGAGAGAAACTTGCAGTCCTTGACGAAAAACCCAGACACTGGCCGATCCTCATCCAAAAGCTGCTTGATAGCTTCAACAGCCATCACTACCATTCCAGCAGCTGGGTAGAGAATCTCGTTGTTGACCTTGTGATCTTCAACCCACGGCAAATTTTCCGCGCTGATGATATTTCTCCAGTGAGCTTCCATCGGATTCGAATCAACATCTTTGATTCCAAGTAGGTCTAGGCGGCCAATGTTTCGGAATCTGAAGTTCTTGCTGTGCCGGCTCTCATGCCAATAGGACGTGTCATGGTTGAAGGGGTATTCGGGAAGATCTGTCAAGACATGGCCCTGCCTTGTGCTCGACCCATTGACCTGGGATAGGTCAATAGGATAGCCCTCGCAATGCAATTGGCCCACGCACTCCAACATACTTCGCATATCGGAATGTTTCCGTCGCAGCGAGGCAATATACTTGATATTCCTGTCCACGTTGGCGGCCTTGAGAATATCCCAACATGGCGACTGAAGTGCGGAGTGTGGGCCTATCTCCAGCAGTTGATCAACTCTGACTGCGCGTCTGTGACTACCATCAATTTTCTTGGTTTGTCTAGGTAGTTGCCGGCACAGACCTCTCAGCGCAGTGGAGAACAAAACAGGAGAAACCATATTGCTAACCCAGTATGCGGGGTTGACCAAGTCATCTCTATGAATGACATTTCCAGTGACTGAAGAGATCATAATGGGATCTCTCTTCATGCGAGGGCATGGAGGCTCGAGATCCCCGAGAAGACTTTTATACTGGGAGGCGACCTCTTCCATCTGGAACGAATGATAGGCGACATTAACTGCCAGCCTCCTTGAAAATACTCCATCTTCTGTCAAAAGCCGATCCAGGTGCTCGATTTGATCACTCTCCCCGGAAATGGTAATGCTTTTGGGGCTGTTTACGCAACCAACAACCAAGCGCAGTGGCCCACAAGCTGTACTAACCGTCTTTAGGTACGATTCAACGTCAACTTGAGAGAGGCCAACTGCAAGCATAGCTCCCTTGGTCTGACTATTTTTGCTCAAATATCCCGCAAGACATCCTCTAAAGTACGCAACTTTCAGTGCAGAGTGCTTTGAAAGAGCTCCTGCGGAGTAACTACTCAATTGAATAAGCCAGTGAGGACATCTGATATCTTCCAGGGCAATACGTACGCTGCTGCAATTTCACCGGATGAATGGCCAATAACGGCCGCTGGAACTATATTCCAACTACTCAACAGATCGGTCAAAGCGAGTTGAAGCGCCGTGCATAAGGGCTGGCCGAATGAAGGGTCATCGACGTTGGAGTCAGGCATTGGCTTACGTAGCTCGTCTGCCAGATTGGATCAGCAACAGTGTTCCGGGATTGGGGGTCAGATCAAGTACGATACCGAGCAGTTCCCATGCACATCCAAGTTCTTTCAGGTAGTTTCCCGCTTGCGCTAAGCTGTGCCTGAAAACTTCGTATCTTTCAATAAGCTCGCGCCCCATAGCTGGCCATTGAGCCCCTTGCTACTGGTTGTTAGCAAAATGAGCCACCACGCATTGGACGAGCTTACCCCTGTAAAGACGTAGACCAGGTTCGTTGGCCTCTTGGATCTCACAGCTGTGTGGAACTTATTGGCTATGCCCTTCAGCCCTTCAGAATTATCTGCAACTGCAAATGTTCTCCACGTAAGGTGGCTCCGTCGGGCCGCGAGCGTATATGCCAGATTATCCAAAAACTTGTTTGTTTTGGATTCGAGGCCCGTGGCTCCTGAGAGATACCTTTCCCACACATCCCGCATTCGCTTGATTCCGCCCTCATCTGCAGATGACCAGACTAGCAGTTGAGGATATTTCTCAGGCCCGGATTGGCGATCGTCGGTTGTCCCGTGGGCTACTGTGGTATTTCCATCCTGCAGAGGAGGGACAACGGCCGTCTGGTGGTATTCATCTTCAATACCCCGAAGGCGAAGACAATTATACGCATCGTCCAACACAATGTGGCAGTTAGCGCCCCCGAACCCGAAGGAGCTCACCGAAGCCCGGCGCAGGCCATTCGTTGGCCAAGGTATGAGGGATTTGGGAAACTGTTAGGTCATGTCAGATGAGCCGTCAACGCGTTTCAGAAGGGTAGATTAACCTTGAGGTTGTAAAATTCGTCGTCTATCTGCGGGTTCAGATTTTGCAGATTTTCACTGTTGGGTGGAATTACGCCTTTTTCAAGCGCCAAAATCACCTTGATCACTCCGGCGATGCCGCTCGCTCCCTCTAAATGGCCAATATTTGACTTAACTGATCCGCTGTCATACGTTAGAACGGTGTTACGTGGTTCCGTGTAGCATAGCAACCTACACGTATAGAGGCTCGTCCTTTGAGCGGTATTTGCGAAAGGTAGTCCCGATGGCTCTTGTTTCAATTGGGTCGCCAACAGGGGTCCCTGGAGGTTGGGTCACTCAGGTACATGGTAGAGTTGCAAGGGAATGTATAACAAACCTGTGCCATGCGCTTCAAAGTACCTGGTTATCGCCATATCCAGACCTGCCTTCGCATACGTATCGAGAATCAGACGTGTTTGGGCGTCCTTGCTGGGCTGAAGGATTCCAGGTGTCCTGCCGTCCTGGTTGCAGCTCGACGACCTAATAACAGCCCTAACAGTATCCCCGTTCTTGATCGCGTCCTGTAGCGGTCTAATCACTATCGCGCCCACCCCCTCTCCCCTGGCATATCCGTTAGCCCGGTCATCAAAGCTGTAGCTCCGGCTGTCGGGAGATAAGAGACCGAGGTTGTCCAATCCCATGGTCATCTCGGGGGCAATAATAATGTTGCTCCCGACCGCGACGCCCTGTCATGCCGTTAACGAATGTTACCATGTAGGCAGAGATCATGATTCACCATTTTCGCGTCACCACCCCATATGGACTGGCAAACCATGTCCAACGCAACTAGGCTACTCGAGCAGGCAGTGTCGAGTGTGAAGCTTGGGCCCCGAAGGTCAAAGAACCAGCTGACCCGATTTGAAATCATGTTTCTTGCATTTCCGTTGACACCCTGCGGACTCGCCTCCAGAGGGTCTTTTACCTGCAACAGATGATAATCATCACAGAAAGATCCTGCAACAACACTTGTCCTTGAGCCTGCAACATCTGCAAGCGAAAGGCCTGAGTTTTCAAATGCTCGATAGACTGTCTCCAAGGCAAGCCGCTGTTGCGGGTCCATAACCTGCGCTTCAGCGAGACTCATGCCGAAAAAGGGTGCGTCAAAGGCTCCCAGGTCTTCCTTCATGAAGTGTCCGCCACGAACAGAGATTGCATCCAGCCGAGACCGGTCCTGATGGTAGTGAGCATCAATCTTCATCCTAGTGGCGGGAAATTCTGTTGACGTAGACCGGCCAGCTTCCAGGATGTCCCAGAATCCCTCGGCCGAGGTAGCATCTTGTGGGAATTTAAACGAAAGGCCAACAATGGCTAGTGGCGTGAGAATATCTTCCGACCCTTTAGATGACATGCTGAGCGGTGTTTCCTTTGTGGCTTTGAGGGAGGACGGCAATGTTTTTGTTCTGGCCTAGGTTGGGACCAGGAAGATAACCACATATGAAAGATTCACCATATCTATATTCCCCTGGCAACCACTACCATGTTCCCAAAGCTTCGTGCCGTGGAAACTATATCACATGTGGGTACCTGGAGAGTAGGGTAGATGATGAATTGAATCGTATTGGCCAGAGGCAGTACGGCCCGGTCTACAAAGCCAATCCATCCTGGTTCAGTGAAACCTGTCACCAGTGTGCAGCTGGCGAGTGAAAGACTAGATTACAAAATGATTTGTACTCGTCAGAGGCAATACCACCCTGACTCCAGAATCAATCCCACCTTGGCTGTCAATCCCACCTTGGCGCATGGATGTCGTCATGAGGCATCCGACCCCTATCTCACCGGAGCCACTTTCCAGCATGGGGTTGTCGATGATTTACTGATGCCATGAAGCTATCAAGTACTATATAGGGGCCCATGAATTGAATCCTGATCAATGTGAGCATCACCATCATCCCCCCCATAACGACAACATGCGCATTCTCTGGTTTGTACATCTCGTGCATCAAGGCGCCCCTTGTGGAGGGCATGCTGACATTGTCTAGTCTTCACGGTGCTGGCACAAATTCCCGAGTAAGCGCCCCTTACCCGGGGAGGACCTTCCATTAAGCACATTGCTCACCCTGTGGTTTTCGTTCAGATATTCGAGGCGCAGACAGGTACGGTACCATCCAGAAGATCGCGGGCAAGTTTAATCTCATGTATTTTGCGAAGCTGCTATCCGATATGAGCTCGGAGACAATCACACGTATGATTTCGTGGACGGCGGAGTTCCCTGGCATATGCACCCAGGTAGGTGTTCGCTGCAGCCTCTTGTCCTGATCGCACAGGCTTAACCTCGGCGCAGGGGTAAAAGATCTAGCGCTAGACGACGAGCCCGTGTATGCGTTCATCGACCCTGCGGACCCGGAAACTGGAGTGGTAGCGTACCAGAATCTCATGAACTACCTCGAAGAGGAAGGCCCATACGATGGAGTCATCGCTTTTAGCCAGGCTGCCACGATGATTCTCACATACCTCGCCCATGTTGCGCGACAAAATGCCCTCGGCCATAATACTCCCGCGCCATTCAAATTTGCAATCTTTATCTCGATTGTCCATTGCCCAGTCGATTACGAGGCATTTCAGCGTGGTGAGATTATTGAGATTTGCCCAAAGAATGCCAAAGGCGTGGTGGGTATCCCTACCGTCCACATATGGGGTGCATTGGATGATGACCCAGAGAGCGCTTCGAGAGCAGCTCAGATCTGTAAGGATGATGTGAAATGGATCTATGTCCACGAACGAGGCCATGAGGTTCCCGGTGTCGCTTCCGGTCTTGAAATGACTCGGATAGTGAACAATATCCGTCGGGCGCTGGAAACGGCCAATGACCAAGACAGTAGCCAAGAAGCCTGAAGCGGTGGTTGTGTGGAGATTTAGTTGCAATGAAGCAGACGTTGTAAAATTTAATGTAGGATTGGTTACTGAAAGCATCATTGAAGTGTCTCTCGATACGTCATGCGAAAAAAGTCTTAGCGCTCCGGCGATATTTTCCGGCCGAGTTTGGTTGCTTGGCTGGCAATAATACTCGACAATATGACAATATGGACCGAATCACACATCACGAGTTTGCCCTTTTGGACCGATAGTATCCAATTTCCTCTCTCCCGATCGTCCGCTGACACCTTTCATAATCTGTACTTCTTCACAACCCTCAATTTGACTAGGAGCTCAGTATATAAATATGACGAAGGTGCTCCCTGAGGCCCCATCGGAACTACAGGAAAGCCAGCATTTCCATGCCCCGCATTTGGGCGGGGGACGCCTATGGCTTGTCGCAATCGGGTAAGCAAAGACCAAGCGCTCAACGTCCCGGTCATGGTATCTAATGATTTCTATGAGCTTCAGAATTGGTCTAGGCATTTTTTTGCCCGCTGCTGAGATTACCGTTATGAGCACATCTCTGGTGACCATCACCGACGAACTAATGAACTATGAGCAGGGCAGCTGGTTGATAACGGCATATCTGCTGACATTTACGGGGTTCCTTACACTCTGGGCAAAGTGTACTGATGTATTTGGGCTCAGGGCATCGCTACTAAGCTCCCTACTCATCTTCGTGGCTTTCTCCGGCGGATGTGGTGCTGTCCACACAATGAACCAGTTGTCAGTTTACCTGTTATTAAGCCATTCACTCGCTAACCCTTCACTATATTGACCTCGCATAGGATCACCTGTCGTGCCTTCCAGGGCACTGGTGGTTCCGGGGTTTTCTCCCTCTCTCTCTTTAGTATAATACACATTACGCCGCCAGGAAAGTTCGATGCTGCCAGTGCCGCTGGATCGGCTGTGGTCGCAATAGGTATGGTCCTTGGGGCAATTCTTGGAGGTGCCATATGCAGTGCGGGTGCCTGGCGCTGGGTTTTTCTGTACAAGTAAGCCCGCCTCCACCTATATGTTGGTTCTGGATCTGATGAGATGAAAGTGTTCCAGCAGGCGCGGTTGCATGGCTTCTCATCTTCTCTACAATGCCATATAACCTCGCCCACATGGATAACACCGACCGGAGTGCAGGCATATGGGATTATCTAACTCAGAAGACGAAGCTTTTTTTGACGACTACAGACCCTGTCGGATGCTTCCTCCTTCTAGGATTCTCAATATTGTTTGTGACCGCCCTGGAAGAGGCTAATGTCACGTACGCGTGGTCCTCTGCACTTGTCATTGGGTTCTTGGCGGTGTCCGGGGTACTCGGAATTGCGTTCGTGATTTGGGAATGGTACATTGGGAGCCAAAGGAAGGGCCTTGTCGAGCCTATGTTTCCTTGGGCGATGGTGCAGGACCGGGTGTGGATGGGTGTCTTACTGTTAGTCTGACGCCTTCACCTACATCTTCGCAGACCGTGGTAAACTGCTAACCATGCGCCCTAGTGGGTTCTTTGTATCTGGCCCTGCCACCACTATCCTCTACATTCAGATCCCGCAGCGTCTCCAAATAACCAATGACAGTAGTGCAATCAGCGCCGGTTTGAGACTTCTTGCATTTGCCGCGGGCTCTCCTATCGGCTCATGTGTTTGTTCCCTGCTTGCCGGAAGATTCCGCCTGCCATTTGTTTATACCATAACAATAGGCGCGATCCTCCAAACCGCGGGGTCTTTCCTACTCTCTTCCGTCCCTACCACTCTCCATATATGGGAAGGTCAGTATGGGTATATGGTACTTACAGGAGTCGGGGTGGGAATGTCAATGACATCGTTTTATATTGCCGTCCCTATAGTTGTGAGGAAAGAGGATCAACGTGAGTTATAATGCCTTCAAGGATCATGACTCCGACACGTCTCCTGACACCACTCAGCCATCGCTGTCGGTTTGTCTCTCCAGACGCGTATGCTGGGGGCATCGCTTGGCATCGCCATTGTCAACAGTATCTTGATGAATTACGTCAAGGCACATTTAGGCCCTCTGGAAGCTGCAGCGAATCCCAATCTGCTTTTGGGGCTTCCTCCTGATGACATACAACGGATTAGGGAGGTGTACGGAGTAGGCTACAATCTGCAAATGAAGGCTGTTGGTGCATTCAGCACAGCTCAATTTGTGGCAGTGGCGCTGATGTGGAGAAGGGATCAGGCTCGGTTGGTCAAATAGAACAGATATTTTCTTATACAACATTATTATGGGCAGTGTTACTATTACTAATGATAGCAAGAGCATCTTCCTTCTGCGCCACACGCTTCCCCAAATATCGAAACTTGTCATACGTAGAATTAAGGTTATTAGTCCACATTCTAGAAGCTAATTTATCACTCTCTACCTTCAGTTACTCTGGCGAAATGCATCTATATCTTTGATTTATATCTTCTTACTCTTAGTATATTATATCCATCTATGATATGCGGGCGCAGGTAATGTAGCAAGCGTCCATGCAAATTAGCCAAGACAAGTAGGAATCAATAGATAATAGAGCACTTGGAGGGTCATTTTATGCTTGGCTCTTTCCTGGGGATTCTTTGTCTAGACAAAGGCAGGAGTGAAAATTGCCTGCTAGTTATTTTACACTTATTCCGTCCCACCAGATGTATTCACTTGTCAGCCTGACTACTACTTGGATTCTCCAGTACTGTCACAACTGTATGCAACACTGTTTTGTCATAGCCCTTGGTAGTCCATAGATCTTCAAAGCTAGGTATGATGTTATATAACATAGATGTGCTCGGCCCTGTCTATACCTGCCTAAACGGCGAGTTTCTCCACATACTGACTTCGAAGTTGCTCGCAGACTCCCCAGATTCTTCTCCTGTTGGCAAGCCCTAGGACATAGCTATGGCTTTTACTACTAGATGCACCATTCCCCCGACAAGCGCGAAGCAGCCGAAAGGTTTTCTCCTCCAGATCCTGTGATTGAAAAACATCGAGTTCGTGCAACTCCCAAAGCCATGGATATGTCTCGACAAGCTTCGCAGCCCATAGACTATCTGGGCACGACGTAGTGTGCATTACGCGCGAAGCCGCCTTGAGAGCCATGATTGATTCTGGGCGGAGGTACTCAAAGATCTTGTGGCGCAACTCGATCGGAAGACGACTGAAAATGTCGTCTCCTGCATGCCCCTTGATCTCATCATCGCCCCGGCGGTCCACTTTCGTCCGCAGCAAGGACTTGATGTCGCGGACCTCCGCTTGCAGCTCTGGAATGTCGACTGGATTGACGACTAGGATCTGAACAGGACGTGTTAACTCTTTTAGTCCCCATCGTATTACCCTCAGCTTGCTGCTGCCTACCTCCTGTCCTAGCAGAGTCTCCCACACTTGTCCAGCGGGCGGGTCCGGGTCGCCATAGTCGAGTGCCAGCCGGACATACCGGCCACCATTGGCTTCTTCGAATACGCGATACAGCGCATCCCCCCGAATCTCACTATCTGGCTGCCTCAAGCAGATGCATCTCCGCAGGGCCTCGTAGCAGACGGGGTGAAAGGGAAACACGTGTGGCAACCCGATTTCCGAGAAGTCGTGGTATCTGTGGGGCGGTTAGCGGATCAAACTGGAACGAGGGAAATAAAGGGGGTAATCCGTGTCATAACATACGCGACCATTGGCACGACCTGATCTGCCGGGAATGGGGTGTTGATATCTAACCAGGCGACGTCAGCATTGAGGGCCAGTTCTAGTCCCCCTGCCGTAGGGGATACGCATTCAGAGCAACGTACAATTCCCAGCAAGGACTTCGATTCCACCCTAGCAGAACGTGCAGCCTTAGCAAATCATAGTGGCAGCCAGCCTGGACAACTCTCAACGGTGATCGATCGACTTACACAATCCCAGTACCGGCCAACGCCCGTGAGGAACGACCTGTGAAATTATGGTTAGGTCACTTTGTTTATCAGAAGGGGATGCGTATCGTTTGAGCCATCACGCACTTATCACTGCCGGTAGCATCGGGGTTCATTCCGAGGGCTTGTAGTTCGTCCAGCCAATCCAGGTTGCAGTCCTCGAGGATATCGAAGCGATAGGCTCTTTCGTCGGTCCCTTCGCAGTCCATGTCGACCTGGCTGGAGAATGGGCCTCCGCATAACGCGCAAAAAATAGCCCAGCCGCCCATCTTTGTCTCCTTGTGAGAGGGTAAAAAGGAAGAGACTTTTATAATCCATTTGGAGTAAGTGGTGCCTTCTGCCTGGTGTCGGGAGAAGCCGCCTTGCCTCTGTGGGACTAGCCGAGAATTCGTGCCAGAATTGCCGTAATTTAATCCGGCATGAACTTTCGATCTACTGATCCTCCGCGAAATGAGAGCGCATATATAGGGAGACCGACTTATACAGGGTCCAACGGGACTATGATAGTCGAATCCCCTCCGGGCACAGCAAGCCGACAACGTTACCTCGGATGCGCATCTGCACCCTATACATAGCCTATCTACATCATCAAACTATGCAATCAAAACAGCCAGAATCATTCCTGTCTCCTCTCATCTCGCTCCCCGTTCCCATCCTCATCCCCAGCCTTCGCCTCATCCAACCCATACTTGACCTTCAAATGCTCAATCGCCGCCCTCGTCAACCCCCCCACAGTCTTCGCCTTGGCAATCTGCACAAGTGTAATCTCCAGCCCCAGATTCCGCCGCGCCCACCCGCGAATCTCAATCGCCATGAGCGAATCAATCGCAATCGCCGCAACCTCATCCTCATCCATATCCTGCGCCTGCGCCATCCGCTGCGTCACCTGAGTCCCAATCTCGCGGCGCACGATCGCCTCGGATTCGGGGTCGTTTAACAGCGCGGGGTTGTGTTCTACGCGCCGGAGGAGAGCGCGCAGTTCGTTGCTCTGTCCCTGGACGGGCTCGGAGCTTTGCGATTCGAGGTTCGTGTATAGGGCGAAGCGCGCGTCGTTCCGGACCCAGAGGGGCCGGGTGTTGGGGTTTGAGAGGGGCTTTGTGTTTGAGAGGCCGATTATGCAGGAGGTTGACTGTTTCGACTCTGGGGGTGGAGGCACCGCACACTGCGAAAGCGCGAGTTTCAATCCGTCAATCAGCTGCTGTTCAGTCGGGAAGCACAGAGCAAAGGACTGCGCCTTTTGAATGAGCTCTGGGTTCTTCGCCAACATGCCGACGTCCTCAATGGCGCCGAGGTCGACTATACCGGCGGACAGACCGAGACTGCGGCGGTAGGTTGTGAAGGAGCCTAGGAAGCTGTTTGCTGCCGCGTAATTTGCCTGTCCGGGGGTTCCGCACACGCCAGAGACGGAGCCGACGAGGATGAAGAAGTCCAGCTTTAGATCTTGTATTGCGTTGTGCAGGTTCCATGTTCCTTGGACTTTTGGAGCGAGGCATGTTGTCCACTCTTCGTGTGTCATTTTGTCGAACATGGCGTCCTAGTGACGTTAGTTCCGATGCTGCTTTATCTAGTACGGGGGCTGGCATACCCTGAGCACACCGGACAGCTGGGCCACACCGGCAAGAGGCCTAGGACACTGGGATACAGCCCGCTCCACATCTTCCTTGACAGTGACATCTCCAGGAACGCAGATCGCCTGACATCCCTGCGTTGCAAGCTCCCGGACAAATGCTTTATCACCATCAGACTGACCGGCGGATCGCGAGAGGAACACTAGATGACGAGCACCTTGCTCCACCATCCAAGTTGAGACCGATCGCCCAAGGCCACCAAGACCGCCAGCAAGAAGATACGAGGCATCCGGATTGAACGAGAACGGAGACAGGCCGGGCGAGAATGTCAAGCTAGCCGGATCCTCGGGCATCTTAACCAAGATCTTACCCATGTGAACCCCCTGCTGCATGTATCGAAAAGCGTCAACGACCTCAGTCGCTTCATACACCTTGACTGGGCGGATGGGCACGAGTTCATCCTTTGCACTCAGCTCTTCGAATTGCGTGTGCATCCTAACTCGTTAGCACTCTATTTTTCCAAAGCCAGGGCAGCCAACGTACGCCTCATAAGTATGATACGCCTCTTTCCCAACCTGCGTAAGATCAAACCCAATATACGCCCGATTCTTGATAAACGGACCCATATTCAGCTGCCCGTTACTCAGGAAATCTCGCTTGCCCAGTTCGATCATGCGTCCGAACGAGGCGAGGCAGTCCCATGAGGCGTGCAGAAGACTACCAGTAAGAGAGTTCAGTACGACGTCGACGCCGCGGCCGTTGGTCTCGCGCATCACGTCGTGCAGGAACTCTGTGCTGCGCGAGTTGAAGATCCGGTGGCGGGGGATGTTGAAGCGGCCCATGAGGTATTGGGCTTTTTCTTCGCTGCCGACTGTTGCGTAGACCTGGTGGCGTTAGCATGAGTTCACGGACTCGTGCATGGATACGTACAGTGGCGCCGATATATTCGCAAACGCGAATCGCAGCCAGTCCAACCCCTCCGCAAGCCGAGTGGACCAACACAGTCTGCAGTAATTAGTATCATCTCGTATTGCATACGAAAAAGATATCCGGGCGTACCTCCGACTTATTCAGCCGCGCCAAATGCACGAGACAATAACAAGCAGTGATGTAGACTGAGGGCATCGTCGCTGCATCCTCAAGCGACACTTGCTCGGGAACGCGGATACAATACCTTGAGTGCACGACGAACCGCGTGCGGAACGTCCCAGTAGTTAGAAGAGCAACTCGATCACCGGGCTTCAAGTCTCGAATAGCGCCCGGGGCGACTCTGCGGATGATTCCGCTGCCTTCGAGACCGAATTCGTTGGGTTCGCCAAAGAGGCCGAGGGCGACGAGGATGTCCTTTCTCTGATATTAGTTCTCTGTGAGCTCGATAGGGAGGGAATCGTACTCGGAAGTTCAGCCCAACGTAGTGCATGTCAATCTCGACTTCACCATCCCTCAACTCGGGGTCCTCGAAGGGCGTCCAGCGCAAGGTGTCTATCGAGCCTAAGGACTCGATATCCAAGCGTCGCGGTAAGGTCTCCGAGGAGTGACTTTCCATCTGATCGGTAGGTGCAATCCAATGGCACCGGCCTACATGTATGTCACCCTCGTAGAGCGAGAACTCATACTCCCGATGAACACCTGGTGTCTGTCGGGACCATGCAAGCTTCTCAATAACCTTGACTAGCGAATGTGCCGCCTCCTCGTCAAAGGTATCCGTCTCGAAAATGCTAAAGTCAGCCTCCTTCTCATGTCTCATTGTCCGGGCGAAGCCAAAGATGAGTCCGTAACGTGGATCAGTACACCGGATCTGGGATGTCTTCGTTATCCAGAGGATGGGAGTTTTCTCTATCCTGGCCAGCAGGTTCTGCAGAGCGATGTAACCGTCTTCGGACATGTTATGTAAATAGGGACCGCTTATATCGAGGAGGGATATGATCATAGACTTGTCGTCGAAGGGGAGGTCCCTTTGTAGCGTACTTGTGCCGACTGTGTATCCTTGATTGGTGAGAGTAGTTTTGAGCACCTCAGCCCAGGGGCCTGGGGTACCTTCAGTGAGCAAGACGATGGTCCTGTTCTCTGCTTCTTCTGGAGAGACACTAGCTAAGATGCTCAAGGTAGTATGCTGTGGTGGCTCGATATCCCAGCTGGTCGCCTCTTTACCTTGGAAGCCTGCAGTACGGAGAGCCGTATTGAGCTCCTCCAATGGCGGCATTTGCTGGCGGTCCTCTGGTCCCGGTGTCCAGCCTGGGACTAGGCCCTAGTCATAGGTAAGTAAGGGAGTCTGAGTGGTCAGTGTATCTCATACCAGGATGTAGTTGGTTGACAGGCTCTCTGTTGCATATTAGCTTTGTCAAATATACAAAAGAATGCGCGTACCTGGGTTGAGATCGTGAAGCAGCAGCCTTCCACGAGGCGCGAGAAGGTCATGGATATTCTTTAGCGACGTGTTCAACTGAGCCGGATGGCGAAGAATCTACCTCGCCGTCAATGAAGACACTTTTCCCGCCAGATTGGTACGCACCTTGGACGCAATAACCAGATCAAAACTATGCAGTTCAAACCCTTGTTGCTCAACACCTTTGGTAACATCAAACTCTTTAAACTCAACATCCTCATCGACAAACCTCTTCTTGGCTGACTCCAAATTCTCCTCGGCTGCATTGGTCAAGGCATAACTCGAATAAAGTCGAACGCCTTCCGGAGACTTCAGATGCTTCAGAACTGCACTTGTGGCTGCCCCGATGCCATCTCCAATTTCCAAAATGCGCATGACAGGGTTCGAGTGGCCGAGAAGTGAGAGGAAGTGGCTCCAGTCTTGCGTTGCTTGCAGGTAAGTAGCGTAGTTGTCTATCTGACTGAGTGCCTCGTCTGGGAGTGTCTTTGCGGTGATTATCTCCACGCAGTGCTCGTAGATATAGCGCATACACGCCAACGGAGCTGGCTCATCGTCGTCTTCTTTCGGAACCTGTGATAAAATGGTTGTGATGAGGTCTTTGCGCGCGTCCGGAGTCATGCGGCTCCATTCCGGATATTGTTTCTCTAGTCTCGAGGCGGTTTCGGTGATCCACGTCTTCCATTGCACTTTCTCAGGCTCGGAGGTAATGTTGGCCACTTTCGCCGCCATGTTGAGCACATACAGAGCCGCCAAATCCCGACTGGCAGCCATCACTTTCTCATACCTCTCGTCAAGCACCGATGGCTTAAGCAGACTACTCGGGTGGACAAAATCGACATCCGGTTTCCACCGAATCTGCGACCCGACCGGAATCCCCGACGCCACAGCATCCGCCGCGGACGCCGGAAACCCCGCGAGATCCGTCATGGACAACACGAGTTCCTCACCAGCCATCATGATCCCCTGCCCCGTCCAAGTCCCGAACCCCGTCTCCGCCATAAGAGCTTCCAGACTCATTTCCTTGATCGCCGGCGGACGCACGTAGATGTGTCCAATCGCGGCGGGGACGATGATCTGGAATCGCCGCGAGAGGCCCTGTGCTATGGCCATGGGGAAGGTCTGTAGCATGTGGTCCATTATCGCCGGGTGCAGGGTATACCGACTCGGCGGGGTGATGTCCAGGTCCAGGAGTGTTCCGGCGGCTTTGCGCGTGGTCGGGTCCACGGAGAGGGACTGGAAGCGGCGGAAGAGAGGCCCGTAGGCGAAGCCTAGTCTGTCAACGTAGCGGTAGCAAGTATCGACGTCTAGAACGCGGGCGTGCTGTGTGATGGCTCGACCTGGTGGTGCATGGTCGTTGTCCGTTCCGGCGCGCACCTGGCCGTGGCAGTGTTTCGTCCAAGAGGTGCCGTCGAACGAGGCGATTGTGAACGCGTACCATTCCGACTCAAGGAGGTCGGTTATCTTGACGGGCTTAAGCGTCGTGATGAGTTCGTAGTCCGCCGACTCCTTCATCAGCAGCGGGTTCTTGATCACCATGTTCTTGATCGAGTAATCGTTTGCGTCGGGGTTTAGTTGGAGCGCTGCCTCGCCGGCCATGGAGATGTAGCCCGCCGCTGGAAAGATGACGTTGCCCTGCAGTGCGTGCTCGCTGATCCAGGGGACGTCTTCCAGGCGGAGGACGTTTCGCCAGGCCGGTTCCAACTCGGAAGACTCGACGCTGCGGGCGCCGAGGATCTCGTGGTGCAGATATTTTCTGAATCGCCAGTCTCGCGTTAGCCGGCTGTCGTGCCAGTATTTTGTGCTGTGCTGCCATGGGTACGGGGGGAGGTTGCCGAGTGTATTGCCTGTGCCGTTTATTGCCTCGAGGTCTATAGAAACGCCGCATGAATGCGCGAGGCCGGCAGACGATAGGAGCTGCGCACGACTATTGCCCTCGTATCTGGTCAGTGTTGGGATATAGTTGAGGTCTGATTTCGTTTCGAGCGCACGAAAGATCTGCTGGAGTGGTCCAGACAAGGCCGAGTGTGGCCCGATTTCCAGGAACGCGCGATTCTTCGATTTGGACAGGATGGACCGCACAGCAGAGGAAAAGAGAACAGGCGACTCGAGGTTCCGACGCCAGTATGAGGCACCGAGCTCCGGCGGCTCGGTAATCGTGGTAGACGTCACGCTGGAGAAGAGAGGCAGCATGCTGTCACTGTGATGAATGTGGCTCGCAATAGCCTCCTCGTACTGGGGTGCTATCTCGCTCATGTGGTCTGTGAAATGTCAGCTTCTGGCGTTCACAAGTAACTGGCTAACTCACTAGAATGATATGCCGTAGCCACCCGTAGGCGACGACAGAGTGCATCCGGGAAGTTGCTCCTGACTTTCTCCATGACTCTCTCAACCGCATTGCTATCCCCAGACAGCGTCACACTACTGGGACTATTCTCGCATCCAATAATCACCCCATCTTCCAATAACGGCACGACCTCTTCTTGCCCAAGGCCGACAGCTGCCATGGCGCCCTTGCCCTCGACCTGTTTAGCGAGCTTACCCCGGTAGTACGCAATGATGATGGCCGACTTTGCTGTTATCGCACCAGCGGCGTATGCAGCTGCGATCTCACCACTCGAGTGGCCAACGACAGAAGAGGCTTTGACCCCCCAAGCGGAGAGAATGTTGATGAGGGCAATCTGCAAGGCTGTGCAGAGTGGTTGGGAGATCTCGGCTTCGTTTACTCTGCTATTTTCGGCCTTGCAGAGTTCCTCTACGGAATGTTAGCCTGGCGTTTCATGGAGAAGTAGGAAGTTTACCTTCCAGCGACCATGCGGGGGCATCTGCGAGATCTTTCAGCACCTGCTCTAGACTCTGAATATCTCTTCTCGCCGACGGAAAAGCGTCTAGCAGATCCCTCCCCATCCCCGGCCACTGAGCGCCCTGCCCTGTAAACACAAGCGTCAGTTCCGGCGCTTTATCCCGCGCAGTCTGAAAGTCAGTCTCGCTGATAAGCTCATTCGGCTTCGCAACTACAAAAGCACGATGCGACAGATGCTCCCGCCGAACACCGAGTGTATACGCGAGATTCTGGAGTTTGGCCAGGTCACTGTTTGCATAGTCTGTAATCGCCCGAATACGTTGCTTCAGACTCTCTGCACTCCTCGACGAAACAACCAGCAATCGTGCACTTTCAGCAGGCGCAGTAACCGGTCGTAGTCTCTCACCACAAAATGAGGGCACGGAATCAAGAATAGCATGGGCATTCGCGCCGCCAACCCCGAAGCAATTCACGCTCACGCGTTCAGCTCGACCTTCCGGCCACGTCATGGCTTCAACGGGGACATGTAGTTTACCCTCTTCAAAAGGGATGTTGGGGTTCCATTTGTCGAAGAAGACGTTTGGTGGAATTGTCTTGTGCTCAAGCGAGAGGACCCCTTTGATCACACTGCTAATTCCCGAGGCCCCTTCGCCGTGCCCGACGTTTGGTTTGACCTGTTAGTTAGCTTTATGTATTTAGTTTTTGGATATTTGTTGAGCACGTACAGCTCCAATGATAATCCCCTTCCCCTCAAACAACTTTGCTACAACCGATGCTTCAGCCGTATCCCCGGCTACGGTTCCAGTGCCATGACACTCAAAGAACCCGGTCTGCGTAATATCAGCAATTCCAGCTTTCTTATACGCCCAGCGCGCAAGCGCCTCCTGGGAATGCGAGCCCGGCGTCGTGATACTAGGCGTATGCCCATCACAGTTTGTAGACGTGGCACGGATGACGGCGCGAATAGGATCGTTGTCTCGAATGGCATCTTCGAGTCTCTTCACGTATAGTGAGTTCACGCCTTCGCCGCGTCCGTAACCATCTGCTTTCTCGTCGAATGTTCGGCACGTCCCTGTTGGTGACATGACGGTGTTGTCAGACATGGTTGCGGTCATTGTAGGTGTGAACATGAGATTCGTCCCTGCGACAATGGCCGAGGAGCAGTCGCCTGAGTACAGGGCCTGGCATGCTTCGTGGAGACCTACTAGCGAAGCTGAGCAGCCTGTTTGTAGCGTCATACTAATCCCATCAGCACCTTCACCATCTCTAAACATCAGCAGAGTAAGAATACCCACCTCGGCCCCTGAAAATCAAACTCATACGACAACCGATTCGACAGCGCAAACTGCCCCGTGCCCAAAATATGATACCGATCCGTATGCTGGGGGTCCTTGCTCGCCAGATCCAACCAATCCTCCCCATACACGCCCACATAGCATCCGATCCGCTTGCCCCGCCAATTTGTCTCTCCGGCGCTTTCGAGACACTCCCAGAGCACTTCGAGAAGTTGCCGCTGCTGCGGATCCATTCTTCCTGCTTCGTGCGCGTTTATTGAGAAGAACGGGGCGTCGAAACATGCGGGGTCCTCCTGGAGGTAGTATCCGTGCCGGGTTTTCACGGAGCGGGGTTGGGTGCTGCTGTAGAAGGAGTCCACGGTGTAGCGGGTCCCGGGCACTTCGCAGACGCCGTTGCGTTTTTCGAGGAGGAAGGTCCAGAGGTCCGAGGGGGATTTGAGCCCGCCGGGGAGGCGCAGGGCCATGCCCACTATGGCTATTGGTGGGCAGCCACTGGGGTTCTAGGGACTTAAGGTTAGAATCCATTCAGCCTGATAGATGCAAGGAAGGGGACAGACCATATATTCTGGATCACTCGTGGGCCCATCTCCACTGCCGGCCTCTGCTGGTGCGAGTGTATCTTCTCCTGGGTATACCCGCTGCTGAGCAACTGGTTCACCATGCTCAATTGCCGCGCTACCATCGGGTTGAAGCTTATCAACTGCGAATGACACCATTGTAGACAGCTAGGTAGGGACGTATGCTTCTTGAACATGGAAGACAGGACAGAATATCCCTAAAAGATCGAATTCCAACCACTCGGTGGGTACCAAATTCCGCTCCTGTATATAAACAAGAGTCTGGGTAGGTTGAGACGGACAAGACAAAGCATGGATGCAACAAACAGCTCCCTCCGCGGGTTCTTGCGACCTTGAGCGGGGTACGAGAGCTGTACTACGCGGAGTATGCAGTCGTGATCCTTCAGGATGAGCTCAGCTCGCCAGCGTCTCGAGCTAGGTTCGTTGCCTTGATTCAGCATGGTCACTGTCACAGGTAGTGGGAGGGCTTTGTAGGTATGCGGCCAGTCGCGGGCCTCTGCACGGTCGGGGTAACGGCGAAGGGTCTCGGACTCCGGATTGAGCTGGAAAGCTGCTGATTTGCCGGATGCCTCGTGTCACATTCGGAAATTCGTGCATTAACCGACCAGGATGCCGATCCAACGGGCAGCGCGCGAGTTACACCTGGAAACTTTCTGCAGTGCATGGACAGGAGAAGAGCGCAAGCCTCGTTCGCGTCATGCCGCATTAGTTCCATCCCTCATCCGGTCGATTATTATATAGAGGTCCACGCTCAGCTGGCTTGGATATCATCAATAACACCATACTAATCCCAAAGTTACCTCCACGATGAAGCTCCCACTCACAGCACTCCTTGCTACCCTCGCGCTGACCACAAGCGTGACCGCGCAATCCGTCGACGACGCCCTAACCCAGTTCCGAGCGCTCGCTGACCAGATCGACAGCGTGCAGCGCTCAATCGACGGCTACAATGGAGGCGTTGTCCTCGCTCTACCGGTAGCGAATGCGATCTACAGAGCGCATACGACAGCAACAGGCGCGCGGACCCAGCTGTCGCGACTCGCTCCTCTGTCTCGCGAGGATAGCCAGCGTGCTCTTGAGGCGTATAATGAGATTCATCCGCGGCTTTTGAGGGCTATGACGGCTGGGAGGAATAAGGTAAGATGGCACCGCTATAGCAGGTTCAGTTCTAAGATGAGTGTTGACTTGCAACTAGGCACAGGTCTTCAGAAACGCAGGGGTGGGGTATGTTGCGCAGGGGATGATCAGCAACCTGTATAACGAGAAGAACCGGTTCGAGAGCGAGATCAGGGCCAAGGTTGATCCGGAGATCTTCCAGGGTCATCTGGCGGCTGCTGTAGACCAGGCCTTTCAGGAGACTTTGGCGCTGTTCTAGATTGCAGATACTGGTATTGTCTATAGTGTGCTTGTGCCTTCGTGTTCTTGGCTCGTTCGATCTGGATTGAAGTGTAGGAAGGGGGTACGCAAATGACAGGCGTTGAGTGCCAGATGGGTTCATGTGTCGATCCTTCTGTAGTCTTGACGGTGTACACATAGAAACTCGGGACCGGGTTGCCTCCACTGGGGAGTGACTAGTTGCATCGGATGCATCGTTACGCAGTGGGCACTTGCATCAACTGCACGATAGGATCAGAGATCATTTGATGAGAATTGGCTGGCACAACCTTTCGCGTGGGCAGCTGACAGCGGGAATGTGCCCGTCGGTTACGCGAGAACATTCAAACAGGAAACACGGTTGAGACTTGAATCTTCCCGCTGCCTACATGTTCGAACTGCCGTGCGTCGTGTGGATGTTTGCCTCTACTCGGTACACCAAGGTTGTCAGCTGGCTGTAGAGTCCAATTTGAAATCGAACGACCTCGACTGTCACTCACAGGTCTCTCGAGGGAAATGATCTGCCTACGACTTGTATAAGGTCTTTTTTTTGGTGTGGACAGCTGCAGGCTACAGTACATCAACTTGAAGAAAGTGACAGAGGTTCAATGCAGTGCCACGTCACTGAGCTCGTTCTGGCCCCGTTACTTCCAAGGAGCAGAATATGACATGTCTTTTCTTCACGTCGCAGTAGTGCCCTGCATGCCTCTGGCCCAATAAGCAGTATCTCATTTTTGGGGTGAAGCTGTCAGCCAGCCACAATTTGACATTTCGAAGGGAACTTCTCTTCCTGAATTCAAGGCATAACAACATCTGCACCACATAGCCAACGCTCCAGCTGTTCTCGTGACACGAGTTTGACAGCTCCCTCGTATCACTTTGTCAGATCGATCCCTCCCAATCCCATCCACTCCCGTACCAGTCCCCGATAATCCTCGAGACAATACGGCTCCACCAGCTCCCTCCACCAGTTCTTCTTCCGTCTGCAGGGCAGCCCCATGTCGCCAAGTAACCCATCCACATACGGCAGGCTGTCAAAAACCAGATCTGCATGTCTTCCAGCGAGTCCGCCAGTGTCTCGCGGGCGCCGCAGCTGGCCGTAAATCCTGTCAAGAATTGCCTTGTTTCTGAATTGACCGTGATTTAGATTTTCTGCGCGGAGGTGCGGGATGCTGTCGGAGAGGAATCCTGTTATCCAGAGTGCTTGGGCCTGCGCGACGAGGACTGCGTGGATTGAGACGGACATGCCGATGAAGGCGAGGTTCTTTGAAAGTAGATATTTCTCTTCCGCGGGGATCATGTCGCGGTAGAGAAGGGGAACTGCAGAGTCGGATTCCGCTGCATCGTCCGCCGAGGCAACCCTTTTTTGTATTGTGGGCGCATTCGATGTTCGCCTTGGTATATACGATAGGTACGGGACCTTTGCGTAGAGAGCCCCCCTCGAGTGCCTCTCCTCCTTCTCATCCACTCGGTCAACGTCAACTTTCACCGGAAGGTCCGTTGTCCATCCTGTACACAAAACCAGAGCATCTGCGTCGAGAGTCGTTCCATCCGCCAAATGGACATTCCCCGGCGACAACGACTCGAGATCCGTGATATGAACATTGATCCTCCCCTCCCGGACCAAATCAAACCAGCTCGTCTCATAATTATGTATGCTGAGTGAGTTCCCCATCCAGAACGGCGTCGTCCACGGCTCCAATTTCTGTAGCTCCGGATGGGTCTGATATTCGTTGATCCTTTTGATAGTCCCATCAAGGTACGTCCAGAACCAACGGCAGATCCATTGACCCATGAACGTCTGATGGAGAAACCTCTTCGCCCATGTAAATGGCCCCGTACTCACCAATGCGACTGCCGGATCAAACAACGTAAACAGTCGCATCGTCGACAGTTTCGCCAGCGATGCTTCAAAAGTGCCAAGGGAGAATCGCCGAGGCCACAGATAACTCGGGCCACCCCCAGAAGGACGAATCACCATGTGGACTCGGGATCCAGCGCGCGCGGCCGTGTAGCAAACGTCCCAGGCTGACTTGTTTCCGCCGACGACAACAACGGTTTTGCTTTCTGCGAGGCGCTGCGCTTGCGCTTTGAGTTGCTTTGAATGTAGGATCGGTCGTCCAAACGTATCCGAGCCAGCGATTTGTGGGATATGTGGTTTCGAGGTGAGGCCTGTGGCGAGGACGAGCTTTGCTGCATGTATCTCCTCAACGGCATACTCGTCTCGATCCACGGTCTGTAGCGAGGCCTTCCAGGAGCCATCATCCAGCAAGGCCGTCGCGATAACTCTCGTATTAAGCACAATCCACGACGTAAGCCCGAAATGATCAGCGACATCACACAGATACGAATGGACCACCTGTCCGGGGATATGCCCCGTCCCTTCAACACCATATCGGCTCGCATCCATAGGAAAGTCACTAAGCTCATACGAGCCAAAGACATTATTCGTCTTCAGTCCGGGATACAGTCTCTCGCGGGCCCATGTACCCCCGACGGACTGCGACTCGTCGACGACGAGCAGGGTTGCCGAGGGGTGCACCTCGAGGTAGGTTTTGGCCATTATGAGACCGTGGACGCCTGTGCCGTCAGTACAGTACGGAATATGCTATAGAAGGGCCTGAGACGTACCGGCGCCGACTATAAGGAGATCAACTGATTTGGACGGCATGGCTATACAATAGATGTTTCTGTCTTCGAGGCAATGACTGCGGGATTCTTGACTCCCCCCAACAATGGCCGAGTGTCCGCTTATAACCCGGAGTCGGACATCGTGTTCCCCGTGCCAATGCCATCCCGAATCGCAAATCGACCGTCTGATTCGCTGTGTCGAGTCTGGGCGCTGCCACCGGAGCCTCGGATACGTACCGGATACGTACTTCTCCGCATTTCAGTGCACAGATAAAGCATCCCTGCCAACTTCCCCCGGCTCATCTTCAAAATCAGCAATCCATCTCTCCAGGTTTAGATATCCAGCAAAATGTCTACCCTCCACCCCAACGCCGAAAAGCTCATCGCCCGCGCCGAAGAATTCTTCGCCGAGGTCGCCGATCTGTGCGTCCTCACTTCGGTTGCTTTGTTCCCACCCCACTAACCATCTTATCGCAGAACCCCCGGCCACGAGCTCGAAAAACACCTCAATGAGAACTACGGCCCGGGAAACCCCTTCTACGAAGACTTTTGCAGCCTCATCCGATCTGGTATAGCCAACAACGAAGGCTGGGTCGCGACCGACGAGCTCGACGGCCCGAAATACCGACGCAGTCGCCTCTGCACTCCCACAGAACGCACGCGCTTCTTCAGCATCACGACGGTGTACATGGATAGTCAGGCAGAATACCGCGGGCAGTACCATCTGCATCCCTATGGGGAGATCAATTGCGTCGTGCAGATTGACCCCACGGCGGAGCTGAAGGGGATGAATGGGTGGCAGGGGGCCGGGTGGACGTCGCCGGGGGCAGGGACGCATCATTATCCGGAGGTTCGAGGGGGTGCGTTGGTTGCGTTGTTCTTTTTGCCGGCGGGACGGATCTCGTACAAGGCGACGCCGGACATGAAGCAGCCTGTTGCGGTGTGATCAGATTGGGCTCTGGTCTGGTTTTGGCGCGTGTATTTTACTCCAATCAATCCCGCGCGCCTTCCCCCAACATTCTCAACCTTCTCTTCGTAACCAACCTGTCTGTTCTCTCAGATGCCGCGTCCCCAGGTCCAGGAAAGTAATCGCAGACGCATTGCAAAAGCATGCCTGCACTGCCAGTCGGCCAAGTTGAAATGCGACGGGAAGTCTCCCTGCAATACGTGTGCCAGACGTCAACAGGCCGAGAGCTGCGCCTACTCCGACCGCGTCCGATCATATGGCCATCGGCGCCAAAGAGCACAGAAGGCGGCACCTGGTGCCAACTCAGATGAGACCGATGGCATTATTGAGATTGCTGTTCCAAAACTGCCTCAGAGCCTCTATGACACGCGCGGCAACGTTGGTGGGTGATCTTGCCTTCTGATCACACAGTGAGCGCTAACCGACCATTCCAGTCTACCTCGGGGACTGCTCTGCGCTATCATTTCTCCAGAACATACAAGAACTCATCGAGCGCGCGGCCCAGCCATCGAATACCGCCATCCAGACGCGCGAGTTCGAAGAGCTCCCGCCGGATCCAGACGACCGGAGCCTCTCCTCTACAGGGAGCATCGAGGACCTAACGGACTTGATCAAGACTTTTTTCACAGTTGTAAGCACCCGCGCCTCCATTCCGACTCTGGCCACGCGCATCCCACTAATTAATCCTAGACATCCGGCCTCCTCGACATAATCGACCCCGCAGCCACCGAAATCCTCCTGTATCACTGGATCCACGGCACGCTCTCCACCCACCGCGGCAGCGAAGCAGTCCTCTACCTAATCCTCGCCTACGCATCCCAAGCACGCGCCTCGAATACAAATAGCATGGAGAAGCGCCGCGCACACTCCTTCTACCATCACGGACGCCACATCGCCCTCCTCCATCTCACCGATGACCCCAGTCTCGAGACGGTGCAGGCGTTTATCCTGATCAGTCTGTATATGCTCGCTGGCTCGAGACGGAACGGGGCGTTTCTGAATCTGGGGATTGCGATTAGCGCGGCAAAGGCGTTGGGGTTGCATCGCGTTGAGACGAATAGGAGTTTTCCGGTGGGGGAGGCGAGGTTGAGGTTTGTCTCTCTCTCTCCGCTATATTTGTATCGCTCAGAGCTGATATCGGCAGAGAACGCATCTGGGCGACCCTCCGCTACCACGACCTCTTCTTCTGCGCGATGATGGGCCGGACGTCTGCGACCATCACGACCGACTGCACCGTGTCGTCTACTCAGCCGCCCTCAGCCCCCGACCCCAGCGTGCTGGCCACGCAGGAAACACCCATGCTGTACTCCGCCCACGCCTTCTCGTTCATGGAGCGCACCGTCAACGAAATCTACACCAAGCGCACCGTCTCCATGGGTATACTGAAGGATCTAGCGCAGGAACTCCGCGAGGCGATCAAGAGCATCCCGCAAGTCCTCGCTATCCCTATCCCCACGGCACACGTCCAGGGCACGGTCCCCCCGCAGGAACATCCAGTCTTGCTACGGAACGCAAATGTGCTCTGCAGCTACCACTTCGCAATGATGCTCCTGACCCGGCCGTTTGTCGTTGCGAGTCTGCGTGCGCGGCTTGGCTCGCAGTCGGCTCCTTCTACGGCTATAGGCGTACCGTCCGATTCTCAGAGCGACGCAGTCTACGATGAACTCGCGACGAATGCGCTGTCGTGTATACACGCTGCAATCGAAACGATCCGTATCTTACATGCTCTCCTTAATGCAGGAGCATTATACAGTAACATGCCGCTGACCGTGTACGTACCTCCCTTCTCCATGGTAAGAGGCCCTCTATCTGGATATCGTTAACACAAGTAGGGCATGGACCTTTGTCTCCTCACTGACCATCTGCTCCGCGTACTTTGGGCAGCTCGGCGCGTCAGACTCGAATGAACACGCCATCGCGCAGGCGCGGGAGATCCTCGAGCATTTCGCGCTGAGCAGTCCGCAGGCGCGCCGGTATAGAGGGATTCTGGGGACGTTGTCGGATGCGGCTATGCGCGGAAGGACTCGGCAGCCCTCTGATGTAGAGCGCGGGGAGAATTCAGCGGAGATGGGAGATATGAGTCTGTTGGACTCGTGGAATATGAGCAATTTCGACATGGGCCAATTCCCACTTGACCTAGGCAATGCAGGGAGTATCTGGGATCTAAACTGGGTGGGCTCGCTGATGTGATGTGATGTGATGTGATTTTATATTCGTAGTCATGGCTCATATGATGTTCATGCATAGATGATGCCCCCCTGCTCGCTGCTCGCTGACCCCATGTGAATGATATCTCCCAATGTATGTACAGAGTGGTATCAAGATTAAACAGAACTGTAAACAAGATGCGCCAGGCACCAAATCTGAGGACCGTCTTCGCCCGCTTGCTTCCGAAAAAGACATGCCAAGACTGCGATCGCTGAGAAGAAAACAAAGCAAAGGCTAAACGACAGGGGCGCTCACGACTCCGTGTACGGCGTGAACCATCCTCCTTTTTCCCACTGGCCCGGTTCGTAGACAGCGCCATTGCGTATAGGCTCCTCCCGAATGCCGGAGAACAGGGTGTTTAATCGATCGAAATTGACAGGCTTCATAATCCACCCATCGAAGCCCGTGTCCATGTACATCTGGGCGTCCTTTTCCAATAGGGAGGCCGAGACCGCAAAAATAGGTACGTGCAGGCTCGTACCGCCTCCGCTCTCGGATTGCTCTTCATGCTGGCGTATCCGTCGGGTCGAATCCATACCGTCGAGGATGGGCATCTAAGTGGTTGCTGTTAGCGATAGTTCGTCTGCTTGAAGTAGAGAGGAGCTGACCTGAATATCCATCAATACGACATCCCACGCGGTCGGATTCTCAGCATACGCAGTTGCGCACTCCTCCCCGTTGACAGTCCAATGGACACTGTATCCAAGCTTTCCGAGTCGCTTTTGGATTATCTTTGCATTGATAGGATCGTCTTCTGCCACGAGAACGCGCAACTTCTCCCCTTCCGCCTTATTTGTAGGCGCAGGTGCAGTCCGGGATGGTGGCTCGGAACTCAGCTGCGCGTCCGGTTGCGGTAGCGGCTGCTGAGTGGGGGTGGTCTCGGCAGATTCGATTTCGTCGCGCTCCCGTGGGGCCGAGGCCTCAGCATCATTTGCGCCATCCTCTCCCGCATTACCCGGGAATGATCTAGGTATTTCCTGGGTCGCTGCAGCACCATCCGGTTGGGGAACAGGACTCGCCCGACTGCTCCGGCCTGACGTCGTAGATGTATTGTCAACGAGGATCACGTCCTCCTTTGAATGGAAATCAGTCACCGACTCTTTTGTGCGGATCGGAAGGTGTGCCATGGTCCGATTTTCCGTCTCGGTCCCCCCTGGTACCGGGAATTGAAGTGAAATCTGAAAGCGGCTCCCCTTTCCCTCGTCCGACCGCACAGTCAGCTGTCCGTGCATGTTGCGCACGATACGAGCGACCAGTGCTAATCCGAGTCCAAGAACATTCTTCTCGGGAGTGGCGGGGGCGCCTCGTCGCGGCGAGTTTGATCCACTTCCAGCATAGTAATTGGACTCATCTTCTCCCGAGACCTGCTCCAGTTCGTGAAAGAGCTGGTCCAATGTAGCAGGAGAGATGCCCTGCCCTGTGTCCAAAACGGCAATGTTAACTGTTGCCTTGCCCGGTTCGCGTTCTTCGGGAGCACGCCACATCTCGATTGTGACTCCGCCGGCGGACGTATATTGCATCGCGTTCGAGATGAGGTTACTGATCGACTGCCGCACTCGCCGCTGGTCTCCGATCACAGTGTCGGGGATTCCTGGATGGGATAGCACTGTGAAATTAAGCCCTTTGCGCTTGGCCTCACTTTCAAACATGCTTGTCGCTTCGTTAAATGTCGTCTGCAAATCAAAAGGTTCATCCTTGATGAGGCTCTGTCCCTTCTCCACATTGGTCAAGTCTAAAAGATCATTGATGACGTAGATCAAAGACTTCGAGGCCGAGTAAGACTTGCTCAAATGGTCTCGCGTCTCGCCATCGAGTGCTCCCTCAAGAGCAATCTCGAGGTAGTTGACGATCGCATTCAAGGGTGTGCGCACTTCGTGGGCTGAGTTTGCCAATAGTAGCTTGGTCAAACTGGAACTCTCCAAAGCAGCTTCCTGCTGTCGCCACACTTTGATGAACTTTCCGTATACCAGACACAGCACAGCAGCAGTATCGACCTCGGACTCCGTCCACTCACGGCAGCGGTCCAATACTAGCTCACTCCAAGTCTGAAAGCTTTTGCGCGGCTCCAAGTGACCTGCCGTGAACTTTGCCAAGTTCGGGTTGCCGCCCCATTTCACCTCGGTCATCTGCCCACGGCGGAAGAAAACGATAAAGTCTTGACCGTCGGTCGACAGAGGTACATAGAGCAGGCCGGATATATCTTTGAAGCCCGGAGGATACTGAAGATCTCTGAAATCCTTGACAATGTGGTTGGAAGTCAAAACAGAGTTTAACTTGCGTTGTTTGAGATATTCCAGCAAGGCCAGCATCTCCTGTGTTTGCGGAGACTTGGCCAAGATCTTGGTTTCTCCCCGAATGCAAAGTGCACCATAGTCGGCATCAACGAGTCGAAGAAGGTCGTCGGAAGAGGCAACAATGTATCCAGATGGGTTGGCATCGGTCGGGACCGTGTTGATGAGTTTGCGAGCGTGTAATCGTGAGGCGTAGGATAGGCGCTCAATGTTTCGTGACACGGAATCTCCGATCAATCGACACATTTTTCGAACGGGGAACGAGACCCTCATCCCTTTACTCCCATACGAGTGGCAGGATATAAGGCCCCAGAGATCATTTGCTGTGTTGATGCTGATAGACATGGACGAGCGAACCTGCATGTTTGCTAAATATTTGATGTGGATCGGCGACATTGCACGAAGGTAACCATGCGTCATGTCAAGCGGGGTCTCCAAATCCTCCAGCGTCCGGCACACCAGGCGCGCAGTGACCTGGTCTCGATCGTAGAGTAGACGGACTTTATTGATCCGGTACAGATCCCGGGCTTGCTTGGGGATATCCGCGGCCGGAAAGTGTAAGCCTTTGAACAAATCAATGCTCATAAGCGGGTCAACCAGTTCCGCAACAACTTTCCCGTTGAACTCCGAATCAAACTGATAGACAAGGATACGGTGGAAACCTGTGAGCTCTTTGACAATACCAGCGGTGGCATTCAGCAAAGTCTCCATCGAATCCGCACGAGCCATTTGTTCCTGAATCTGGCTCACGATGCTGAATATCTCCATAGCAGCAGCTTCTCCCTTGCGTCGGCGAGCGCGGCGGAGTACACGCAACGGCTGATTGATGGACAATGTGCTGGCCGCCAGCTGTTCCGGCGTCGGGGTTTGCTCCAGGGTGTTGGTCGGAACATCGGGGGTGACAAGTCCGGATGCAGCGAGCGGGTTGGTCAGGTCATCTTCCAGCTCAAACTCGGCAATAACCAAACCGTTAGTGGCAGGCCCAATGTGCATCGCGCACCACACCCGCACGGTACCGCCATCTGGTTTATTCACAGTCACCATGAAAACCTCGGGGCCATCCACGATGGGGTCGTATGCGTCGTCCCGCACAAAGTCGACGTGATCCAGAAAATTGTCCGCCTGATCATCTGACATGATCTCACAAAATGAAGAGAGAGAGAACAGGGCGTTCGGCGAGTAGCCCAGTATGGATTCCGAGTTTTCGCTAGCGATGCGGACAATCATCTTTTCATCCTCTTCTTCGCGTAGAGCTATCAGAGCTCCGAAGCTCTGAACGGCACCGGGAATGTGGATCGGCTCGTCTTCGCATGCCTTGAAGGAATCGACCGTTCTCCCGGTAATCACGGCGTGGCCATCGTCGGTAACGACATGTCGAAAACGGGACGTCACGAGCCCTTCGCTGTCGGCATCGGTATCTCCCTGAGAGCTGGGGGTAAAAACCGGCTTCTCATCGCCCCTTGTCAATCCCAATGTATTTGACCGCGGTCTAGTTGATGTTTCCGATGGTCGCTGAGAGGATCGCTCAGAGCTTTCTGGTGTGTATCTCGTTTCGCCGCTCGAGTCGACGGAGTGTGTCCTGGCGTCCGACGACGACCGCAAACGCCCCCAAGGATCGCCATCGACAATCGAATAGAGACGAGCCCCTCCGGTCGGAGAAAGGGGACTCCGAAGAATTTGTGAAGGAGTATCTGTCGCAGGAGAGGGATCGAGGGATACTAGGGATCGCACGGGGTAGACTCGATCGGACGCTGTTGACTGCTGCGCGGGGAAGGAGGCATTCTCTTGATCGGACGCCGAGGTTCGCGGATCGGAGGGACGATCGGCTGGTGGGAAGGAAGGGGGGTGATTGGACGACATGCTCGGAGAAATGGAGCGGGATGTCGGGGAGTAAACAAGGTCAGATTATCGAGTGCATTGGCTTGAGCTCAGGGCGTCTTAGATTCGATCTGGAATGCACTTGAGGGCTAGCGAATCTGGAGGAGTGAAGCGAACGAAAAGGGTCAAAACCAAGGCGAAGTGCGGGCGACTTCACCAGGCGGTCTCAAGCCATGCGGGGCACGTGGCTGACCCAGAGTCGAACAAGCCACAGAGCTGACTGTTATTGTAGGCGAAGCGGAGGATGAAAAACCCGAAGCATTCCAAGGAACAACCTGGAGGCGACAAGAGACGTCGATGATCGCAAAGTCGCGGGGCAAATCACCTTGGGGCTTCGTCATTAAAGGTCACGTGCTTCTCGGCTGGAATTGCCACCAATCACCGGGTACCTTTTCCGGGCCATTCCAAGGTCCAGCTCTGCGCTTGCAGCAGTCCCTGGGGCCGATCGCGAAAAGTCTGACACTTGTGAGTGGAACAGTGGGAAGTGTTATTTCGCTTCGGAACTCTCTGGAGGCAAGTAGATAGCATCATACGATAGGTGTCATATCTGGAGCCGATTCAGGTACACGGAACATTGATGATTCTGCAGGCGCATGGCAATACTGTAGTGACGCACCACAATGGAGCAGGCAGCGCCGAAAATATATTCCTGAAGGATATGACGCGGTCTACTACGCTCAGCATTGGCCTATACTTCAAAAGTTGATTCCATACTACGCCTTCGTAACAGAATATTTACAAGAGTGACTGCAAGCTCACAGACTGGGAAGCAGGAATATGTACATCGTACGCTACAACGGAGGAGAGATGGTTGAGGATCGTGATGATAAAAACCGTGCTGGTCTTGGCGCCTCGTGCCTGACAGGCCCCAAGCACGAGGTAACCGCAGCCAATCACACCATGCAAGGCCATTTTCAGGTCAAAGACGCAACCTTTAAGGTATAGAAGCGCTCAGGAAGAAAATAAACAACCCTAAGTGTGGGTTCCGTGGATGAACGCTCTCCGGCTCTCCGGCATCTTCGTGACTTGAACGAATTTCTCGCCCCGAGAGTGCTGGAGCCTGGAGCCACGAAATCGGCCAGGTCAACAGACAAGTCCCGTGGGGATCATCAGGGCCAGAGCCCACAGTGGATCCCGGATCGCGATCGCTCTTTGGCTGAGGGGCCGATTGCTTGGTTGATATCAAGTTGACATCTCTCGAAGATAATACTTAGAATTCCCTTTTTCCACATGAAGATAATGATACACACAGAGAATGAAAGTCCCCTTGACTCATTCTCCGAAGTGGTAACACAGTTACTCATCGTCTCTAACACTGGTTGGCTGATTTGACTCACGGAATACGAGGCATCAATCTGGAGCAGCCAGGGACCCGTAGCTTCATCCAATAGAATATAAAGGCCAAGGCATGGTGTGTCAAAGTCCAGCTTAGAACGGCCTGGCCTTGCAGAGAGGCTCGCACAAGGGCCTGTCTGGCACTGTCTGCTTTGGGGTATAAATATCGCGGCCCTGCTTACTGCTACTCGATCTGCTAGGGCCTCTGAGACATCTTAGGTACTTTTACACCAAGCATGGTGGGCTGCCGTACCTTGTGTGGCAGCTTGTAGAAGGTAAGAGCTTCTGTTTATCTCACCTTGATCCCCCTTCCATGATGAGCACAACCTTTCACTCGCCGAAATGAAGCATCAGTATTGCTTAAGTCTGGTGTATAATGTGTACCACCCGAGGTTACTGAGAACCTAAACTCCTCAAACACTTTCTTACTACCGATATTTTGAGAAACTTGTGCTGACCGACTTTTCTCCTTGACGTAGGATGTTCTGTCGCATTCGGCTGGTTGTATAGCTCTTTTTGTCGAGAAACTGGAATGGACTTGGACAGGGCCTAGCGGATATGCACCTTGGGATTGGCATCCATTGTGAGATAGTGCACACCCAGCTAGGCCCCTTGGCGATAAGAAACAATTTACTTATCTGACTCCTTCGCCCTTGTCTTCCATCAGTCGATCCGTGCTCGCATACCATAATGATTCTGAAACGCCATTATTCTGAAGTGCGACAGAGCCCCATTAGTCGAAATGGGTGCAACCAATCCAGACTTCATTCGTCAGTAGATTCGATACGTGGTGTACTGTTCCTGTTCGACAGTCACTGGTCCTCAATCTGAGCCCATTTCCTTCGCCATCATTTAGCTCCCTGCTTGCACTATGCATCCGGCCTCCGGCTGCTGCTGTGGAGGACGACTTTAGCCAAAGTAAAGATTCTAAGAAATAAGTTTGGGGGTAAACGGGCGTCGTGAGATCTTCTCTTGCCTGCAGACACACCCTCTCCCCTGAGATTTTGCACCCAGATCGACAATGCTCCTTCTCAAGTCCGTCGTCGCCATCTTCCTCCTCTCCGCGGCCGAGAGTACGCCCACGATAACAACCCGAGCATGCACAATCGTCGCACCCTCAACCATCGACGTCTTCCGCACCTCAGCCTCTGACAACCCCTTCATCGGGCTGGCAAGTTACCCCTCAGCTGCCCAGACCGCTCCATCGGCGGTGCACAAAAGCCCGCGCTGACATTCGGTATCCCAATTGTCTCTCTCTCCAGTTGTACTCGGTAAGGCCAGATTTTCAGGCTCGATAATGACGGACAAATCGCGACGGACGATTAGCAGGCACATATCTGGACGACGCTGCCCTGGACGCTCGCGACACTCCGACTTAGAATAGGCTGCCGCGGCGGGATCAATTTGATTGGACCTTTTCGCTTTACGACGCGGAAGGCCGAGGCGGGGTTCCAGACTGTTCAGCAACACATGTTCAACCACAATGAGTTACTTCGTCGAGCTGAGTCGGTCCCAGGGGGAGGGAAGCGTCGGCTTCTCCGAATCGCCGAGCGGTGTAAACCCGCGTGGTTTCCATGGTGCACAAATGTTGATAATAGTTCCATGGACATCGCTATCCCATGGGATGATAAGCACCCCTCTGACTGTACTCGGCTGGAGGTGGATCGCGAGTCAATATCTCTAATTGGGGGGTTGCGCAAAACATCCGCTAGCACCACGAATTGGACAAAGATCATTGGAAAAGACGAGTGAAACAGCCGCACCTGGACAAGTTAAATATCCGTAATCAACGTCTCATCAAGAACACAGCGAATGAGCGCTGTCTGATTGCTGTGATTCCTGATAATTCGGGCACATAAGCCCGGCGGTAGCCGCGGCGTGACGTACTCGATTCGCCCGAGGGTAGCCGCGCCTTCCCATTTAAATACCTCCGGTCTTTGAGGAGAATGAGGGGTTGAGGACCGGGTATTTATGAGTAATTGCTGAAGAATAGTTGCAAGAATCATGCTGCAGAATCTTATACCGGGCTCCTGGTCGACCGGGCTGCTTGTGGCGAGTTTGATCGCTGTATGTCCCCAGTTTTACCCCAGAGTAGCCCAGTCCCGAGTAACACCGAGGAGGAATCAAGAGAAGCGCTAACCAACTGACTCGCATCATTCCAGCCACTCATCTGGACCGTCTACGCCAAGTTCCTGCACCCGCTCGCCAAAGTTCCCGGACCATTCCTCGCCTCCGTATCACCCTTTGTCCAACTCTACCACGGCCTCAAGGGCGACCGCCACCTCTGGATCTACAACCTGCACCAGCGCTACGGGCCACACGTGCGTCTGGCCCCGAACTTTGTCTCGGTTAACACAGTCGAGGGCCTGCACAAGATCTACGGGCACGGCAACCGCTTCCGCAAGGCCGACTTTTACAATGCGTTCCCGGCCATTGCGGGCGTCTACAACACGCACAATGCCATTGACAAGTTGGTCCACGGACGGAAACGTCGCGTGCTGAGCCAAGCTTTCTCGGATAATGCGCTGAAGGGAATGGAAGACGTTATGCTTCTTCATGTGCGGCAGCTGTGTGCGATTCTGGGCCGGGACCGGCCAGGCTCGAAGCCGGTGGATGCGAAGGATGGTAGTAGCGGCACGTTCAACATGGCGAATTGGTTCGGGTACCTGACGTACGATGTCATGGGCGAGCTGTGCTTTGGGAAGAGCTTCGATATGCTTATTGATGGGGCGAAGCGGCGCATGGTGCATCTTGTTGATCGCGCGGCGTACAGACACTACGTTGTGAGTATCGCATACATGTCCTTCCAACTATAGACTCGTCCATTGCTGACCAGACAGTGCGGCCTCTGGATGCCCCTGCACCGGTGGCACCTCGACCAAATCTTCATCCGGCGCCTTACAACCGACCGCTGGAACTTCATCATGGAGTCGCGGCAGGAAGCGAACCAGCGCGCAAAGGAGCGCACGGCAATCGGGCAGGACGCGAAAAAGGACTTCTTCTACTACCTGCTCAATGCACGGGATCCGGAAACTGGAAAAGGTCTGGCGACGCAGGAGCTCTGGGGAGAGGCGAATGTACTCATGATCGCGGGCAGCGATACAACCTCGACGAGTCTGGCCGCGGCGATCTTCTACCTCGTTCGGAACCCGAGTGCGTTGGAGAAATTGAAGAATGAAATCCGGAGTCATTTCAACGATGTCGAGGAGATTGTCACGGGCGCCGAGCTCAACCAGTTGACGTATCTCAAAGCGTGCATTGATGAGGCGATGCGTCTTGCGCCGGCTGTCCCGGGCTCGATTCCACGCGAGGCGTCGGATCCCGTCGTTACGGTTGATGGACTCACGCTTCCCGAAGGAACAGGCTGCGGTACGCCCCCGTACACAATCCATCGCACACCAGCCTACTACCGCGAGCCCCTGGCCTATCTCCCCGAGCGCTGGATCGAAGGGTCAGTATGCAAGACCGCGGAATCAGCCTGGACAGTCTCAAAAGAAGAAGTCGAGCTTGCGCGAAAGGCCTTTTGCCCGTTTAGCATTGGCCCGCGCGGATGCATTGGGAAGAGCATGGCGTTGATGGAGATGCGGTTGACACTGGCTCGAGTGCTGTACCTGTTTGATTTCCAGCTCGCGGATTCGACTGGGGAGGACGAGACGGGACACTTTAAGATGGTGGATCATTTTGTGGTTTCGAAGTCGGGGCCCAATGTTATCGTAAGGAAGAGGCAGTGAATGTCATTTTTAGCTATGCTTGCAACGCAATGATTGATGACCACTCGCAGTTCAGGCTACGGCGCCGCTCATTGAACTCGTTCGTATGGTAGAAGCGGGGTAGGAACCAAGACGCAATATCTGCATCTATCTCGTATATTTGTGGCGGGGCTGAATATGCATACATTTGCCTGCGAACCCCCCCACCAACTGAACAACGCACTTAGCTCTCTTCTCTGAAGACTCTAGGGGCTCAGCTGAATCGACGCAGCTGGCCCACATTTTGTGGCTTGCTGGACCTCCTTCGCACTTTAGCTTGCAGATCAACCGAGCCACTGCCGTCGTTCGTCCATGTCGTTCATGCTGAAACGCAGGGGTGTTCGTCAGCTGGACACTGCAGTGCGCTGGCCTCGCCCGATTCGGGGGGATTTATTTGTGGTGATCGCGCCCCCCGGCTGGGGTGGCTGCAGGTCGGACTTGAGTTGGCACAAATGACAGCGGCTGGCTGAGCTGTGATAAGACTGGAAACCTTTGCCGATTGGGGTGTTGTTCTTGATGGGTAAGTTTGATGCCCGCGATGAATGGGCCAGACATATAAAGACCGTCTACAACCAGAGCTCTATACATCCCATTCCATCAACCACACATTCTAAATTGACCTTGACTCGACCATCTCCATAACCTTGGTCCAAAATGACCCTCTCCCAACTCGCTGTCGTCGCCGACGAAGCCTATCAGCTGCTCACAGACGGGACGATAAAACAATACACCCCGACCAACAAATCCACTCCCTGGAAAACAATCATAACAAGCAACCCCTCGAATGTGCAAATCGCCGCAAACACCCCGCTGGGAATCCGCCAGAGCAACGGAACCGTCTACCGCCTGACCAAAACCGTGCAAGCCATCGGCTCAAATGCCTCCCTCCTCTGGGGCCACGACGGCGCGTTCTGGCAGTGGCAGAAGACGACCTCGAAGCTGTGGTATATGGGCCGTGAAACGGGCGGCAAGTGGGAGGTCCGTGATACGAATCCGCATACGAGGGACTTGGCCTTCGTGGGCGACGCGACGTATCAAATTGCGGTTAATGGGCAGATTCTCCGATACGAATTGCCGGGGCGTTGGAGTGTTGTTGAGTCGAGTTATTCGAATACGGCGATTGCGGCGGATGACCACGCTCTGTATGCGCTTAAGCGCGATGGGCAGGTTGCGAGATATGACGGTGCCAAGTGGGAGCTCATCGGTGGGGCGACGGCTGTGCAGATTGCGGGGGGTAAGGCTGGTATCTTCCAGCGGCAGGCGAGCGGGTGGATTTACAAAAACACGGGGGGGTCGACGTGGGAGTTGGTGGATCAGAATGCGGACAATGTCAACATTGCCGTCGCCAACTCTGCGTACCGGGTCACCAGCACGGGCGAGATCTGGATCCTTCGTGGGAACGGCTCGTGGGAGCGCATCAAGGAGGAGGACGCGCATCCTGCGCCGCCGACTGACTCGGGTATCCATCCCGAGGCTGTCTACGATGCAGGCTTTGGGGGTACCTCACCTATACTCCTTCGCATCGGAAATGGAGGTGCCGGCCAGACTGGTCTTGTCAAGGGTGAGCCAGCTTCCGCCCTCCCCTGATTTAGACTATGGATCATCTGCTAACAAAACCAGTCCTCGCAGAAGCATACATCAAATCGCGTGTTGCATCCGGCTCGAAACCATTCAAAGTAGCCTGGTACAAAAGCGACAGGACGGAATCAATCAAGTATCTCAAAGACGGCGTCGCCGACGTCGGCATAACCTACACCCAAGCAGCTGAAGACCTCGCAATCGAACAGGGCATCGCGCTCTCCAGTCACTACATCTTCCGCGAGCATTTCCTACTCACGGGACCGCCGTCGAACCCCGCGAAACTCGATGTTAATGCAGACATCTTCCACCAGCTCAGCACGCTCTACGCCGCCGCCGAAGCGGGGGATACCACACCCCCTGTGCGCTTCCTGTCCCGCTACGACAAGTCCGCGACGAGTATCAAGGATTCAGAGCTGTGGATCCGCATCGGACAGGTTCCCTGGGCGATGAAGTACTCGAACTGGTATCACCAGTACATGGCGTATCCGATTCAGGCGTTGACGGCGGCCGCAGTTCTGAATGAGTATACGCTGACGGACTGGGGCACGTATCTCTCTGTTGATGATGCTGTGCGGAATCAGATTACGGTGTACAAGCATGGTCAGGATGATCCGAAGGATGTGCTTCTTATGCCGGCTCACCTGCTTGTGGGTGCAAAGGCGCAGGATCTGGCGCTGGCCAAGGACTTTGCGGCGTGGGCGACGGGAAAAGAGGGACAGGCTGCTGTTGCTGGGTTTAAGAAGCGTGGGGAGCAGGTTTATTCGACGGCGCCTTGACTTAAGAATCTGCTTTTGTCGCCGCCTTGATATAACGACTTATGATATCTCTCTACTTCTCTATAATCAGCTAGTACACTCTCTTCTACCGAGCAAGATCCTCCCTACTGCATTGCATGAGCTGCTGTAGTACAAGCGACAGACATCCGCTTACAAAGGTGATATCTCCTACTCCGAGACAATGGATATGGACACCAAGCCGAGTGAGCTGGGGACGGCTTTTCGGCTGACATACTACTGCTGGCGGTTATACAGTCAAAACAGTACTGCACTGCTGTGGTCTTGGACTGCAAAGAGTGGATCTACCCCAGAAATATCACGTGCCGCCATGCAACCCCGCATCCATCGTGGCGGATGTGCGGATATGAGCTCCTGGATCCGCCAGACGACAGACCCTGAACCAGTGTTGGTCAACCATGCAAGCAGATCTAGTAGCGCGACGAAAGCAATTCTCCAGCTGTGACGAGTGTCGGCGATTGAGGGTCAGATGCGATGCGCTGAGTCGGAGGACAGCCGGGCAGCCGTCTGTCTCATGTGCGCGCTGCACGAGGAGGCGGAAGAGGTGTACTTTTGAGGTATTCACTTTAATCGAACGATCTTAGTTGACATGAGTGTGCTGACAAGAATACAGTGGATGAACAATATCAAACCCGCAGCTCCGCGCGGTTCGGGGTCATCGCCTCCCAGCCAGGACACTGGCTCTTCAGTCGAAGGCGTGTCTCCCAATACATCAGCGCCGCGGGAAGCAGGCAAGAGAGATTATTTCTTTACACTGCAGTCCGAGGCCGTTCGGAGTCGAGAGAATGAGATACGTCCTATGTCGCACACGGCTCTGCTGGACGCGTCATCCCCTGCACTGAGTCCCTTTGACTGCCGCTTGGCGCAGGCGATTTACTCGTCGGGCTTTGATACGATCTTTGGATCGTGGATGAGTAGATATGGCTGTCCATTCTTGTACGTGTTCCGACTAGCTACAGGGGTTGAGACTGACAGCTACAGATCTGAAAGCAGCGTCGGCGAAGACCGCAACAGCATCGCCGAGGTCTGTGAGCGGCTGGACCGCTGGATGACCGAGATGACCGGGCATCAAGAACCAAGAGCAGAGGACCACTTGGCAGACGAGTCTCTCCGCAATACCATTGCTTGCTTCTCAGCGCGATGGCTGCCCCTCGCCTCTCGAGAACCCACGACCGCCTCCTCCTACCAAAGCGTCGTCCACGCCCTCTGGCGCCAGGCCCGACGTGACATGCTGCGCGTAATCAACCGCCCCTCCTACCGCTCAATGCTCTCCCTCTTCCTGTTCGCAATGACCCCCGTCCCCGCAGAAATAACCGAAGACGAAGAAGCAGACGGGATATTCGGGCAAGTCTGCATCCACGCCGCCCTCCAGCAAATCCAGACCCTGCGCGCCCGCCAACGAAGTCTCCAATTCAACGGGGCAAAAGTGTCACAACCTACGAAACCAAAGACCAGCCTCTCGATCCCCATGACTGTTGAAACGACTGATTTCATCACGGCGGAGAATATCGCGTACTGGGCCGCGATAACCTTTGATACGTCTGCGTCTTTGACACTAAACTGCCGCTCGCTCCTTTCTTCGGGACTTTTCGGCTTCGATGCGGAAATGCCCTGGCGGCTTGTCCGTGCGGGGATTACGATGTTTCAGAGTAAATGGGAGAATTGGCATGCAGAGGGTGTATATGTTCTTTCCGACGACCGCGCGAATCAGATTATTTCGAGTGCGTCGGCGTGGAAGCTTCTTGCCTGGAAGCTGACGGCGGTGTTCAAGGAGGCGCTGCGGGACGGGCATGATGAGTCTGAAGTACAACGGGCGTTCTCGCTCGTCGTTGAGGGGATACAGCAGTTCAATGAGACGTATCGGCAGCCGCTCGAGGCGTGTGAGCGGCGGATGCCGTTCTTGGGGCAGCATACCAAGTTTCGGTGGTGTGAGTGTTTACGTAAAGCGTTATGTTGGTGTGTATGTGGCTGACTTGCTAGTTTCTCTGATGTTGCATTACCATCTCAGTATCCTGCTCCTCGCCAACGTGATCGAAGCCACTGACCGACTTGACCTCCTCGCCGACATCGAAGACACCATCGCAGACGCCGAGAGCGCGGTGGTCAGCACGTTGATGTTCGGCCTGCACAACACCATAACCATCACCGTGAATATGGAATCCGGGACACTCGACCACGTCGGTGCGACGGAGACGTCAGTTACTGTGCCCATTACCTCGATTGACCCATATCCACACCACATCGTGGCCGGGGTGCAGCTCGTGCAGAAAGCCGTTGATCGGGATCTTGCGGTTGGGAAGATTAGCCATACGGCACACGCAAACTTGCGAGGGCTGTTTGAGAGGACTCTGAGTCATTTACCGCAGAGCTCCAAGTCGGTCAAGGCGGCTCGGGAGACATTCTCAAAGGTGGTTGACTATGTTGGGGAGCCGCCGACGGTTCCCTACTCTGTTGGGCGGATGATCTAGTACTATACTTAAGTTAAATCATGTATTTCTTGCTGTAAGCATATTGCTCTAAGATGAATGTACACTACATGCAGCTCAATGCCCATTCTCCGCCTCATAATCATAAAACCCACGCCCACTCTTCACCCCCAGGTTCCCCTCCTTGATCATCTTCTGCAAATACTCGCGTGGCTCACTCGGAAGCCCACTGCGCGCCTCCGCATAATGCTTCTCAATATCTAGCACAACATCAAGCCCGACAATATCCATCTGCTCGCACGGCCCCTTGGGCGTCTTCAACACGTCTTTGAAGATGGCGTCGATCTCTTGTGGTTCGCAGATTCCTTCGGAGAGAGCCAAGAGGGTCTCGCGCTTGATTGCGGCCCAGATGCTGGAAGGGTTAATTAGTATGGGGATTGTGCGTAGAGGGTCATTGTAAGGTGGTGCGTACCGATTGTATATATAGCCGATTGAGCTTTGCCGCACGCGGAATGGAGAGAAGCCGTGCTTTTCGCATTCGTCGGATAGGAGGCTGGGGAGGGCAGGGTCGGTGTCTTTGTGGCCCATGATTTCGATTGCTAAGAGGTTAGTATACACGACGAATCATGCGTCTGGGCAAGAATTTACCTGATGTCTCTGGAGGCCAGTCTGTTTGTACATTAGGAGCCGACCATTTACCAGCGAATACCAGAAACTTACAGCAATGCGCACTCAACAGTCTTTGCCTTGATTTGAGGGTCAACCCCTCTATAATCTCACCGATTCCGTAGCTGCTGGAGTTTGATGCGATGATTGTCCTCTCTGGTGCGAGTTTATCAAGCTGTGTGAGGACTTTCTGCTTCAACACCAGGTTTTCGGGGACGCACTGGGTGAGTTAGCAACTCGTACTCTCACATTTGTTTATATCGTACCTCAACCACCAACCACGCGCCTTGTAAAATCGACTCTAATGAATCTGGCGTCGCTAGTCTTACGTCCCCCCATGTTCCTGGGTGCTCGGCTTCGGTGCGAAGCTGCTGAACATATCGCAGACCCTCTTCAAGCTGGCGCTCGTTCAAGTCGACAAGGTAGACAAGCCCACCGCGACTTGACCACTAGATCGTATTAGAATTGTATTTCCCTGCAGCAAAGGTGAAGACCGTACCATATACGCCAGTCTCCTTCCCTGTGTCCCTGCACCGATGATGACAACCGAGCCTTGAGGTCTCTGCGACTGTAACATGTTGAAGGATGTCTTCGCAAACTCAAATAAAATCCCTCATGATCAATCAGGGCGATATCAATATATCTATCTCCCCAAGTTTGCCCAAATCATCTCTCGGCGATCCCAAGTGCCGAATTGTTGCATCAGAACACGGACCCTGGCGCCACATCGGACCGGTTCCGACGGTTCAGCGACGATTCCTGTCTTGCTGTTGGTCGACTCTCACCGCGCGGAACCGACACCACCGGATCCGACTGAGATCGCCGGATCCTGATCACTTTATTGGAGAAGATGAGACACGACTTGTGGTGTGGTGGGCCTGTTTAGCTGAGCATCAGCCTATCAGACATTCTGATTCAAGGCTTCCATCGTATCCCCTCACTCCACGCCCGAGGTCTTGACGCCAGTCTGGGGGAATTCGCGGTCTGGGGAAAGCTCAGCAAGAATGCGGAGAGCCATGCTTACTCGAATATTTAAGTCTGCGCTGATCGCAGCCTTCTCCTCCCCCATCGCCCTTCCTCCCATCAAAACACAATTCTCCCGAGTCGACCAACATGGCGCACCCCTCCGACTCTGACCTCGAAAAACCCGGCGCCCTCGCGCTCGAGCACGGAAATGCGACCCCAACCGGCTCGCTAGGCGAGAAAGGCGTGGGCGCAATGGTCGCACCGCAATTCTCCCCGGAGATGCAGAAGCGCGTCCTGCGCAAGATGGACCTGCGGCTTATTCCTATGCTTGCGCTGCTCTATCTGCTTGCGTTCTTGGATCGCGGGAATATCGGCAATGCGAAAATTGAGGGCATGTTGGATGATTTGCATATGTCGGGGCGGGAGTATAATTGGTGCTGTATGTGCCTGACGGATTTCTGGGAACTGGGAGTGGTGTGCAGAGGCTAATCTGATGCTATGGGCAGTGACGGTCTTCTTCTTCACCTATGTTGCCTTTGAGTTACCGAGTAACCTGCTGCTGAAGAAGCTGAGGCCTTCGCGGCTGCTGCCCTTGTTGATGGTCGCCTGGGGCATTGTCATGGTACGCACACTCTCCGCAATGGGGACAAGAAGAACGCAGCTAATCTTCGAAGACCCTGATGGGCATAGTCCAGAACTACCACGGCCTCCTGATCGCGCGTCTCTTCCTCGGCGTCGCAGAGGCCGGCCTCTATCCCGGAATCGCATACTACATCACCCTCTGGTACCCGCGCCACCTGGCTCAATACCGCCAGGCCATGTTCTTCAGCGCCGCGAGTATTGCCGGTGCTTTTTCCGGTATCCTTGCATGGGCCATCGCTGTACGCACACCCGACCACAGCCACATGTAGAACTGTACTAACCATGAGTACAGAAAATGGACGGCGTCGGTAACTACGCCGGCTGGCGCTGGATCTTCATCCTCGAGGGTATCCTCACCGTCCTCGTCGGTGTCGTCGCGCCCTTCTTCATGTACGATTTCCCCGAGACGGCCAAATTCCTCACCGAGGAAGAGCGTCAATACGTCATCCACTCGCTGCGCTCGCAAACAGCCGGTCACGACCTGGCCCGTGAAGGCGTTGTCGAGGAACAGGCCAAGTTCCGTATGAAGTATGTCCTCGACGCGTTGACAGATTGGCAGATCTATGTTGGGCTTTTCAGTACGTTACCACTTCTCCTCTCCCCCTCTCCACCTTCCCATTCCACATCCAGCACAACCCTGAATGCTAACAAAACCAGTGTACTGGGGCATAACCTGCCCGCTCTACGGAATCTCCTTCTTCCTCCCCTCAATTATCAAAGACCTCGGGTACACCTCCTCAACAGCCCAGCTCCTCACAGTCCCCATCTACATCACGGCGGCTGTCGTGGCCGTCGGTGGAGCCTGGCTTTCAGACAGATATAAGAAGCGCTCGCCGTTTATTCTGTTTTTCATGTCGCTTATCGCCATTGGGTTTGTTATTGTGCTCGCCTCGACGGATCGCGGGGTTCCGGGGGTTGTGTATTTTGGGGTTTTTGTTGCTGTTGTTGGTATGTTTGCCCCCAAAGGCCGACTCCTGTTTCTCGGTAGAGAGAAGAGAGCACAGACGGAGTACTGACAATGTGAATAGGCATCTACCCCGCCTTCCCCGGAAACGTCACCTGGATCAGCGTCAACCTCGCGGGCGACTACAAGCGCGCAGCCGGAATGGCGCTGCATATTGGGCTGGGCAATTTGGCTGGCGGTAAGCACCACCCTCATTCATACCCATTACGTCCCTACTCTTCCCAAACAGTATCTAATTATGTTTGCAGCAATGGCCTCCAACTTCTACCGCGCGCAAGACGCACCAAAATACACGCTCGGCCACGCGCTGGAACTCGGGTTCTGCGTCACGGGCATCGCTGCCGTGCTTATTCTGCGGTTCTCGTATCGGCGGATTAATAAGAAGAGGGACCAGATTGATGTCTCGCGCTATGACTCGTATGAGATGGCCAAGATGGGGGATCGGTCGCCGATGTTTAGGTATATGCTCTGAATAGCTTACCACTGTTGGTAGTTGAGGGCGAGGGAGAGAAGGGGGGAGGTAATGAGTCGGTGGTGGTATGGATGGAATATAATGAATTGATCAATTGTCTTGCATATGTTGCTTGCACCGTACTTCAATAACTAGCTGTAAACAGGTGGGGGCCTTACAGGATTAAGCAAGGCCATAATCCTCCTTGATGATATCAGCCGCCCTCTCTCCAACAGCATACACTGTGCCCACAATATTCCCGCTGATATTATTAGGGAAGATCGAGGCATCAGCCACACGAAGCCCCTCGACACCCTTTACACGTAGCCTCGAATCCAATGCATCTCCCAGTGCCACAGAGCCACAAATATGATACTCACCAGCCACAGCATCGCGAACGGCTTCCTTGGCCTCTTCTAGATTCTGCAGGTCGATAGACGCCTTGGGGTAGTATCGATCTGCGACGGAATTTTTTACTGCGTCCGATTTGCCGACCTGGTCGGCCCAGCGCGCGAATGCGGCGAGGAGGGTGACGTCTGCTTCGTGGCCGATGTAGTTTGGGTTGATCAGTGGGGGTGCGGTGGGATCTAGATGGGTTAGTTGTGGTCTTGCTTAGAGCGGATTCGAGCGTACCGTTGTTCTGAACGTGGATGCTGCCTCTGGCGACCGGATACTGGATGCACAGAGCAAGGCTTACACCGCCAGGCTGACCAGGAGGTGGCGGGGCAGACATCCTGCTCTGGTGTTCGACCCCCTCGTCCGGGTTCACCGTCCCGGTCATCAGGACAAGCTGCAAGTTTGCAGAGATATCACTCTCCAGATGGGCGATGATCTGCTCCAGCTGTTTGGCGTGAAACTCGGATACTGGTTTGGTATCGAGGATGCTCTGCACGATCTCAGACAGCTCGGCCTCTGCGAGGATCTTCTTCGCAGGAAAGAAGCCTTGCGTGTTGCCGACGGCGCTCAACGGACCGTCTCCAGTCTCGAGGTATTCCTTGAGCACCGCCTGCATCGCCTCGGGAACCTGGTACAGTGTGTCCGCGGTCATCACACCGGGAAGTGCATGGAAGCCGACGACCGTGACGACATGGTCCTGGACGTTGGCGCCGACAGCGCGGTTCTCGACCTTGACATCTATGCCTGCAGCAGCCAACACCTCGGGGTCACCAATTCCGGAGAGTTCGAGGACCTGCGGCGTTTTGATCGTTCCCCCTGAGACAATAACTTCACGCTTCGCAGAGGCCGTGTATTCCTGTCCTTGGAAGGTGAGGGTAACACCAGTCGCGCGGGTCCCATCCAGTATAACTTTGTTCACATTGGCTTCGCACAGAAGCTTCAAGTTCGGCCGCGAGCTGTTGGCCTGGTAATAGTCGCGACCCGCATAGCTTCGTTTGCCCTTGTTCGGGCCCGTGCGAGTCACTGTGCCCAGGGTGTGGTAGAACCCGAGATGGTCTCCACTCCACGCATCAAGAGGCTTATTTGGAAGGCCCGCCGCCTGTGCAAGGGCTTTCACAAAGTCTCTTTCGATGGGTAGTTGCGCCGAGTTGAAGGTGGTGTGGATGGGACCCGAGGTGCCGTGGAACTCGGCGATGCAGGGCGCTGCCGTCTCGCGTGCTGCGGGATCAATGGGTTCTAGTGTCTACAACAGTGAGTATAAATCGCTGCGAAAGGTACAAGGTCAGCATACTTGGTGCTTGCGCATATACTGCTGCATCGACTTAGCTGACCAGCCCTCATCACCGGCCAGCGCAGCCCAGTCGTCGTAGTCTTGTAGCGAGCCACGCACATACATCATGTAATTGATCGCGCTCGAGCCACCGAGCACCTTTCCTCGTGGAACATGATGGGTCCGGCCTCTGTTAGATGCTTGAGGTGTCGTGTACATGCACCACTCATACTCGGGGTTCTCGAAAGTCTGGACGAAGGCGGTTGGTGTATCAATAAGGGGATCGTTCATTTTGTACTTGCCAGCCTCGATAACGCCAACAGTGACATTTGGATCCTCACTCAGTCGCGCAGCGATAACGAGGCCTGCTGTGCCCCCACCAACAACGATAAAATCGAAGAGAGTTTGGGTGAACTCGTCGATGGAGGACACCGGAGTGTCGGCGGTGCCGTTTTCAGCCATGGCGAAACTTCAGGTAAACTGTGTCGAGCTGAGAATGATGCTTGCGAGATCTATTCGATCAAAATCAACATTTCCCCGGGCAGCGCCATTCTCTTTGTACGAGACTTTCCCGTCCAACCCCGCAGGAGGGGGTATCACAAGCATCTCGGAACAAAGGACGCCAGAGGATCTATAGGCGATTAGAGCAGTGGCCAAGAAGTCGTATGATAGGGTTAGCCACAAGGTTGCAGCTGTCAGGGGCTCGTAGGTGCGCCTTGTGAAGCTCGGGGCTTGCGGGGAAAGAAAGCCCCTGGGTGGGATCCGCGGCTTCTCGGCTGGATTGTAAGGGGATAGATTGGTTCAATGGCGGGGGCGAGCTGTCGGGATCCTTTGAGGGGGATGTATAGTTAGGCGACTCGGATGTTCTTTGTTTCATGGTGAGAGGACTGTGTAAGGTGTGCGGAAACAGCAGGACAGAGCTGCTTACTGTTCCATTGAAGTGATGTTAGGCTACGAAGAGGCTTGTCTTTTCAGGCGCCAACGAGAACAGAAGGAGCTTCCGAGCGATTGCCGACTCAAATAACCCCGCCCCCACCAGGCCACAAGGGCATCAACAACTAAACTACACTTGAGACAAAATGTCAGACCTTTTCGTTGACCTTGTCGCTCCCAACGGCATCCGCTACTCCCAACCCACAGGCCTCTTCATCAACAATGAATTTGTCCCCTCAAGCGGCCCCAAAATCACCTCCATCGACCCCGCGTTAGTCCTCTATCCCACCTCGTAAAGCTCCGACTGACCGACTTGAATACAGAACCGACAAACCCATTGCAACGGTGCATGCCGCAAGCGCCGACGACGTCGACCGTGCCGTGAATGCTGCGAAGGCGGCTCTGGTCCAACCTTCATGGAAAAAGCTGCCTGCGACCGAGCGCGGGGTGTTGATGGGACGCCTCGCCGATCTCATGGAGAAGAACAAGGAGCTCTTCGCGACAATTGATGCTTGGGATAACGGTGTGCCAGCTATGGCCAATCATGCCTCGCCAAGTGTATGCTGATAAATGTTAGGCAAGCCATACCACGTCGCGCTCACGGAAGACCTGGTCGAAGCTATTGGGACGATTCGCTACTACAGTGGCTGGGCCGATAAGACATTCGGTCAGACTATCAACACGACACCAGAGAAATTCGCATACACGATTCGTCAGCCGATTGGCGTGGTCGGTCAGATCATCCCTTGGAACTACCCATTGTCAATGGCATCTTGGAAGCTAGGACCGGCTCTGGCGTGTGGAAACACAGTGGTGCTCAAGCCGGCTGAGCAGACCCCCCTGAGCATCCTCATCCTGGCCAAGCTGATCAAGGAAGCTGGTTTCCCGCCTGGAGTGGTGAACATTGTCAACGGATATGGCCGCGAGGCGGGTGCTGCGCTTGCATCTCACCCCCTTGTTGACAAGATCGCCTTCACTGGATCTACCATGACTGCCCGTGAAATCATGAAGCTCGCCGCGGGAACACTGAAGAATATCACTCTAGAGACTGGCGGCAAATCACCTCTCCTGGTATTCCCCGACGCCGACCTAGAGCAAGCCGTCAAATGGTCGCATTTCGGCATCATGTCGAACCAGGGGCAGATTTGCACCGCCACATCACGAATCTATGTTCACCAAGCCATTTTCCAGACATTTTTGGCCAAGTTCAAGGAGGCGGTTGAGACGACGTCCAAGATCGGAGATCAGTGGGATGAGAACACCTTCCAAGGCCCGCAGGTGACGCGCACACAGTACGAGCGGATTCTATCGTACATCGAAGCTGCGAAGAAGGATGGAGCTACGGTCGTTACTGGAGGCGCAGCTCATACACCTGCCGACGAGAAGAACAAGAACGGTTACTTTGTCCAGCCGACTGTGTTCTCGGGCGCCAGCGATTCCCTCGCCATTGTCCGCGAAGAGGTATTCGGCCCGGTTGTCGTCATCCTGCCATTTACCGACGAAGAAGAGGCTGTCAAGCGCGCCAACGATACAACCTATGGTCTTGGCGCAGCAGTGTTTACCCGCGACCTGGAGCGCGCACATCGGGTCGCGGCAGAGATCGAGGCAGGAATGGTCTGGGTCAACAGTAGCCAGGACTGTGATCCGCGTGTTCCATTTGGTGGCGTCAAGCAGAGCGGTATCGGGCGGGAGTTGGGCGAGGCTGGCCTTGAAGCATACTCTCAGGTCAAGTCTGTGCATGTCAACATGGGGAATAAGCTATAGATTCCGTCTTGAGGCTGCGAATCTATTGAAATAGATGATAAAGTCATGAATATACGGTAGATAAATACAACTAGAGGTTCCTGGACTGTCATGATGCGTGTAGTACTTTGCTGTATACTGAAGCTTCGCACTGCTGGGGATGTCGATAACGTCCATGAGACCTCTTCTTCATGACCAGCATGCTTCCTATGACCGTTTGTACCATTTAGAAATTGCTCTATGCCATTCATTCCGTCTCTTCTATTTTCTGATACAGCACTTGTCTGGCATCTAGTTAGCACAACTGTCTCAGAAATACAGAATACCAGAGTAACCCGACTGGCGCCATCGGTGATACTGAGCTCACTGCCTAGCCCATCTTCGAAATTGAAGGCACGGATCGTCTCAGCCATTCGGGGATGCTCTCCAATGGTAGCCTCCATAAAACGCCGAATGCCAGCCATGTCGGCGATATAACAATCAACAAGCCTGAAGTATACGGAAGAGGAGGTCAAGTCCTATCTTCCAGTTTACTCGGCCGGCTCGTTCAGTCCAAAATCAAACTGGGATTTGGCCGAGCCGGAGACTCGAGTAGGCAGGCAGTTCCGATGCCTCACCTATACCACAACTCCTAAATGCCGCATCAACGGGGAAACCCCGGTCTACCGTTCCTGCGTGATGCTTAGTAACAAGTGCTAAGCAAATGCTCCGCTAACTATATCTGGCGTATCTTCGCCTTCTTGATACGTTGCTTTGTTTTGCCACGGCACAATAGGCAGGTTCTTCCCGGATAAGGTTTGATATCTGGTCTGAGCCACAGTACACGAATATCAATTACGAGATGAAAATGCGCTCTCCCCAATATGCGGAGGGAACCACTTTGGGGCCCCTGAAGTGGCCTCGTGCTTGGTTATGGTACCCCAGACTCGCGATACGCGGAGTCCCCAAGGGGATATACGGCAACCATTATTACGAGGTCTGGGGTAGGAGCATTCAAGGATCGTAGCAAATTAGACTTCAGACTAAATATGACAAGAATATCTATTCTCTCACCGTTTGTCGTGCAGCGTATCAGCACTTTCGAATGTCAGACCCATAGATAAGCGCACGAGATACTGCCTGTATCAGCCACTGTTGTACGCCTCCTCTCCAAGACGCAAGGTTCCACATTCTTCAGTGCCTTGCACTGCTTTATAAGTTGGGCACGTCAGGTTTGTTATATTATGTAGTTTCGGCTTCGCCGTACGATTTTCCTCCCTTGCTTCCTCTCTCACATACCTTAAGACATCATATCCTGGAACTTGGCAGTGATTGCCTCATCGAACATTACCTCTTCACATATACTGGACTCTTTTTCATTACTCCCGCTTTCTATCTGTCCATCTACTCAAACCTACGCCACTGTCAGAATTTATTCACCTCACCATGACTTCCACTATATCAAATACGGCTGATCCCGCGATCGTGGAGCTCGAGAATGCTAGAGACACCAAAGCACACCATGACCCTCATGCACCTGACGCTGACGAGCAAAAAGCCGAGAGTACCCCCTATCGTCAAGACGTCTTTGGCAACGAAGAACATGCAGAAGTCAAGTACAAAACACTGGAGTGGTGGTGCGTATGCCCAGCCTCTGTATCCGGTCTCTTCCCCCTTAACGAACTCTTGACTGCAGGCAATGTGGCCTCCTCATGGTCGCAGAAACCATCTCCCTCGGCATCCTCTCCATCCCAAAAGCCATCGCAGGACTAGGTGTCGCCCCTGCTCTTGTGATCTTACTCTCAATGGGCCTCGTTGCCTCTTATACCGGCTATGTAATCGGACAGTTTAAATGGCGGTATCCTCACGTCGTGAGTATGGCCGATGCCGGTGAGGTGCTCATGGGTCGCTTTGGGCGAGAGGTTCTGTTTAGCGGCCAGATGCTGTTCCTGATCTTCTTGATGGCCAGCCATATTTTGACGTTTACGGTGGCCATGAATACCATGACCGACCATGGGACTTGCTCGCTGGTTTTTGGGGTTGTTGGGCTCATTGTCTCGCTCATCTTTTCGCTGCCCCGGACGATGAAGAATATGTCGTGGCTTTCGCTTGCTTGTAAGTCTCCGTCCCAGCTCTCCGACGCTTCTGCTAATCAGTGCAGCATTTATTAGCATCTTCTGCGCGGTTGTCATCGCCATGATCGCCATCGGCATCCAGCACCCTGGAGGCCCCGTCAAAGCCACGACAGAAACAAGCCTCGTTACTGGGTTTACCTCGGCCTTGAACATCATCTTGTCCTACGGTTAGTATTCTGAATATTTTTTCATACTCAAGCTAATACCATCTAGCAAGCCACAACGCCTTCTTCAACATGATCGCCGAACTCAAGGAACCAAGGGACTTTCCGAAAGCCCTCACTCTCCTCCAAACCATCGATATCTCGCTATACCTCGTTGCAGGCGTGGTCATCTACTACTATGCCGGCGACGACGTAAAGTCACCGGCCCTGGGTTCTGTGAGCCCGCTCGTCTCGAAGATTGCTTATGGCGTTGCTCTTCCGACGGTACGTTGCTCTGCGGGCTCCAAATTCCATTAGGCTATAGTGTTCTAATTCTAGTAGATTATCCTCGCCGGTGTCATAAACGGCCACATTGCCTGCAAATCTATCTATACACGTGTCTTCGCGGGGACTGATCGTATGCACAAGCGCGACATTATGGCCGTCGGCTCTTGGATTGGGATTGCCGTTGCGCTGTGGGTTGTTGCGTGGATTATCGCGACTGCTATTCCCGTGTTTAGCACGCTGCTGAGTTTGATGGTAAGTATATCTTCTTCTTCTTCTCTCCTTTTTTCTTCCACATCTTATTTGCTTCACATCCCTGACTCTTTTTTTTTATCCCTAGACTGCCCTCTTCGCCAGTTGGTTCAGTTTCAGCCTCCCCGGCGCCTTTTGGCTATTCATGAACAAGGGCCTGTGGTTTTCGTCGCCGAGGAAGATTCTTCTCACCTGTGTCAATGTCTTTTGCTTTGTTATTGGCGTTGTTATGGTAAGTCTGACTTTTCGTCTCATGTGTATGCGCTGCTATAGAATCATTGCTGACTGGCCATAGTGTGGCCTTGGTGTGTATGCCTCTGGAAAGGCGATCCATGATGATACCGGACGGGCGAGTTTCTCGTGTGCGAATAATGCGTAGACTGCTATCCACTATCATAGAATCCGAGAGACCATGGCTGGAATACAAACGTTCTTGGTCGGGTGTTCTTTCTCCGGGGCCAGCAGTAGGGTGACTTAGTGATTGATATGTACTTAGTTTGTACTTAGGACCAATGTCTTGTTTTTATTTACATTCCCCCTTATATGCACTCATGAAGTTGGGTAGGTGAGTTTGTTTAATCTGATTAGAGCGGCCCTAATTTTTCTTATACGTCGACCTTGGATAGGCCTGCGCAACAAGAATTGATGATTGTAAATTGGACAATGCAGGAGCTAAAATCGCTGGATCAAAAGTGATGTTGCCATTCCGAGTTTTCCCCGCAAGCCTACAATTTCGAGAGTCTCCCATCAGGCTGCAAGATAGCGAGGTGCGTCTCTCGAATATCCGCGATTGTTTGACACCTGGATAGGTTAGCATAATCCCTTGTCGTCTTTTGGTAGGGAGGTCCCTTACCCAGCCAACGCCATCGTGACCCTCAACTCCTGCCTCAGAATCTTAATCGCCAACTCGACACCCTCCTGTCCATTACACTACACCCGTTAGTAACTTCTCACTGCTCCAAAGCACCAAGAATCAAGTTAAACTCACAGCAAGACCCCAAATGGGGATCCTCCCCATAAAGCAATAACTCGCGCCGAGCGCGAGCGCCTTGAAGATATCCGACCCCCGACGGATCCCGCCGTCGATTGCGAGTGGGATGCGACCCTTTGCTACACTTGCGCAGAGGCGCAGCGAGTCGAGTGTTGCAGGGACGCCGTCTAGTTGCCGGCCGCCGTGGTTCGATATGACGATTCCGTCGACGCCGTAGTGGATTGCGAGTTCGACGTCGGCGGGGGAGCAGACTGTTGTGTGGAAAGGACGGGGTTAGTGCAGGTCTTGGTGGGTATATAAAAAGGGAATTGATGGAGAGTGTGTGACGTACTTCCTTTCAGCCAGATCTGCATCGAGGTGTGTTGTCGGAGCCAGGGGATTGTGCTTTCCCAGTCTAGACTTGGATCTGTTCAGTTCGGTTAGCTTGGCCATCAGTGTGTTAAGCTCGCTAGGCGGGGGCTCACCGTAGTCCGTCTTATTCGAAGTATCTGCCCCGTTACTCAGAATATTCGGCCACTCCATGTCCTCGGGGAGAAGGAAGCTATTCCGGAATTCATTCAGGCGCATTCCCAGCACGGGCACGTCCACTGAGAGGAAAAGCGCTTTGTATCCGGAGGCTACAGCAAATCAGCCAACTTGCTCAACAAAATATAGTGAAGCTAAAGTTGCGCACCTTCTGCCCGTTTAAGCAACTGGAGTGTGATAGATCGATCCCGCAAAACGCACATCTGCATCGCATATGGATTGCCCAGACCCTGCGCCGCTACGTCCTCGAGCGAATAATTCGAGTAAGAAGACAGTCCCATGCAGATTCCGTGCTTGGCTGCTGCCCGTGATGTGGCTAGTTCACCGTCGGGGTGGGCGAGTTTCTGTGAGGCTGCCGGGCTGAAGCCGAAGGGGAGGGAGACCTAGTCAAGCACGCAAGTTAATACTTCAGCCCAATTGTCGCTTTGGCATAGGGCAGTATACCTTCGTTCCGAGAATCTCAGTATTAGTGTCGACACTTGCGACATTGATCAAAACGCGAGGCAGGATCTTGTATCGATCAAATGCCGCTTCGTTGTCTCGCAGTGTGATGAGGTCCATGGCTCCTTCATTGTAGTAGTCTGCAAGCGATAGCGTCAGTGTACAATTAATTGTCTTCTTAGGGAAGTGGTTTGTACCTCGCACCATTCCAGGGAGCCTACTACTCCCCAGTGCCTTCAAATCGGCAATACAGGATACATCCTGATGGAAGCTCTCTCCTCTGTGCGCCATGTTTCTGAATGGGCTCGATTTCCCGATTTATTGATGCTGAGGAACTCAATTGAGGAGAATGCTTGATCACTTAAGAATGTCAAGGTTTCCTTTCCCCTCACGATATTGCATGATAAGTGTCTGGAGCTATTGGAGCTATCTTGATAGGGTACTACTCGGGGCTGACTTCCTGTTGGAGAATCCGAACGGAGCCGAATACGATGTCGGGGTCGCCTGCCTGCCTGGCTGAATGACACCATTGCACCCCGCCATCCCTGATAAACCCCTCACGCCATGATTGCTGAATCTGCGAAAGACTTGATTCATTCTTCTTCTCCATCTAATCGAACAGTACCGTTTACCCATCTACATCAATACAATGGCTGCTGTTACGAGAATCTTTTTGTACGCGGGTTGGATATCTGATCTGGTACGCTAGCGCTAACAGCGACAGGACCGGCGCCTCCGGTTATATCGGCGGGGAGATCCTGCATGCGTTACAGAAGGCAAGTCCGAATTATCATGTCAGCGCCTTGGTGAGAGATCAGGCTAAAGGCGCGACAATCACCAAGGCCTACCCTGAAATGCGCATTGTGCTAGGCGACCTCGACTCGGTGGCGCTAGTCGAGGAGGAAGCTACGAAGACGGACGTTGTTATTCGTAAGTGGAAAGGGCCTGCTCTAAGCGGCACTAACGGTGCGACTAGACGCTGCCAGCTCATCCCATATCAAGAGTGTCGAGGCCATTGCGCGTGGTCTATCGCGCCGCGACAGCCCAGTTCCCGGTATGTCAAACTGATATATCGGCAAAGACCAGAACTAATAAGGGCAGCACACTGGATACAGATCTCCGGCGCCAGCGTCCTCTCGATATCCGACATTGTTCAAGGCCGATTCGGTGAAGGAAGCGACGAAACATTCAGCGACGTCGATGGTGCCGACAAGCTCCGCGAAATCATCACCCAAAATGCAAACAGACGCGTCGTCGATCACTTTATATTCAACTTTACTGGGCCCAAGACTGCTCTTGTCTTCCCTCCGATTATCTATGGTCAGGGCCAAGGGCCGGTTAGCCGGCGCAGTGTGCAGATCCCCGAGCTGGCGAGGGTGGCGATCCAGACTGGTACTGCTATTCAGGTCGGCAAGGGACAGAGCACCTGGAGCAATGTCCACGTCTCTGATATCGGCGATATCTTTGTCAAGTTGGTTGAGAAGGCTGCGCGGGGGGAGACGGACGGGCTGTGGAATAAAGACGGGCTGTACTTTGCTGGCAACACCGCTGTGGTTAGTGGCGACACTTTTGAAGAGGCATTGGCAATCGCTGACTGTGAGCAGAGTTTCAAACAGATTTCGCAAAAAGTGGCAGAAGCAGCAAAGGACCTAGGTCTGATTGAGTCGGCGACGGTCAGGGAGGTGGGCCACGAGGAGGCAGATAAGCTCAGCTCACATGGCGCTGTTCTTTGGGGGACGAACGCGCAGCAAAACTCGCAGAGAGCACGACAGCTGCTTGGTTGGGAACCAAGGGGCAAGTCTTTGGAGGAGGAGATTCCGGAGACGGTCCGAGTGGAGGCAGAGAGACTGGGGAAGCTGTAGTTATCGTTACTGGTAGCGTAGATCCACAGATAAATCCCAACACGGAAGGCACTTCCGAACAGTGGAAACCCCCGCTATCGCCCGCTTCTTTTCTCTTTTCTTCGCCCCGGAGACCACCTTCTTAATCAGTTCTACCCCGCTGCCCTCCCTGTCCCTCCCCCGGTTCCCTGCCAAATGCGTCGATTGCGTTCCGACGCGTTTGGAGCGTGAAGTTGGAATGACGGCCGCGAAATCAGGCCGCCCTCGTCGGTCGCACACCCTCGGCGCATGCCGCACCTGCCGGCGTCGTCACGTCAAGTGTGACCAGAAGCGTCCGGTGTGTCGGACCTGCCGCACCCTCGGGGTCCCATGCGAGGGCTTCACCAGCGAAGTCCGCTGGATCCGCGACAACGGAGGCAGCCCAGAGCCAGAGGATCACAATGGGACACGCCGCCACCTGTACACTGGTGATTACCCCCTATTCTATCGGTGACTGCCCTAACATCCTCCAGAACAGTCAAGGCTTTTGATGAGCACCTCCCTCGGCTCGAATCTTGTGTCTGGGTCTGTTAGCGCTTCCTTGGCTGAAATTGATCTGCGCACGCGTGATTCCGAGCGTGCGCCCGTGGGTGATATCGTGGTCGGTCCTTTTGCTGTCCTCGACTTTGCGCCGGATGCTTCCCAGAATATGCCAGAGCAGCCGCAAGGCGACAGTGTTGAAGAACCAGAGGCTCCCCGGAGTCTGCCACAAACTGTTTCTTCCGGCACGGCGGTGCCTCCGGACGCCCATCTAGAAGCATTGCCATATATCAACGACTCTCCCTCACACATCGATGACTTCTTACATTGGTCCGATATTCTCGGCCTAAGCCCCGACCAGCCAGGTTTTTTCCAGCCGCCAATGGCGGACTTGGACATGTACTTTGGTGTTGACCCACAGCCTGACCCTACAACGCAATCTGTTGCTATCGGTGAGGATGTCACTCAGGCCAGCAATATGCCGTTGATGACTCCCCCTCGGAGTGCGATTGAAATGGCTTCTACATTCCTCGATGCTGCTGCGCTGGCCGATGCGCCGTTTCTTTTCAAACACTTCAATGAGAACGTAGTGCCGCAGTTGATGATCATGCCGCTTGGTGAAAAGTCCCCTTGGAGGGTTTTGAATCTGGCTGCTGCAATGGCCACCTACAATGACCTTACCATACTCGGGTCTCAGAGTATCAGTCATGCTCGTCTCGCCAATTTATACGGACTGTTAGCCTGTGCTGCCAGTCATTTGTCGCTGAGCTCAGGACCCAATGTCGCTAACTCAAATCAACATTGGGAGCAAGCGGCCTACCAGATGTTTGAACAAGCCAGAGACCGTATGGGCAAGTCACTCAAGTATGAGACCCGGGAGCCCAAGAGGGCAAAGTATAAGGACCAACTGATGGCAATTTGCTGTCTCATCGAGTATACAGTGTGTAGTTTCCATCGCCTCGGCGGCTGTTTGTTGTGTCTTTTGCTGACCACTATAGGTTATCTCCGGACAGCATCAACATGCGCGTAGCTTTATGGTCAACGCAGAGTTTATACTGCGCATGCGCGGTCTGCTCAAGCATCGGATCTCCCAAAAGGCACGACTTCTTCACCATGTGTACACGTGGCTCCGGCTAGTGGGCGAGAGTACTTTTGTACTGCACGACTATAACCCTTCCAACTCTTTTATCGAGGCGCTGGACGTCAACTTCCAACGCCACCGTCTGGATATTGCCCCAAGGGCCGAAGAGCCTGAGCCTCATCTCGATGATTTTTTGCGCCTAGAGGCCCACGATGCAGACAGTGACCTGAACATCAACGAACCCAAGGATAAACAAGTGGGGCTGCACGACATCCACCTTCAGGACTCGCGTAGCTTTACAGACACACTGTACAAACAAATTTATGGGATTCCCGAAACCTGGCTGAGCCTGGTATCGCAAACAACCAGGTTGGCGAATGCGATGGAGACATTTCGCATCGCGCAGAGATCAGGTAGGAACACAAGTCTGGCAGCATGGGAGACGCTTTATCGCCGCAGTGTGCGCTTGGAAAATCTGATCTGTTCCTGCGATCTTTCCCCGATCCGAGGCGACCCTTCCAAACCTCATGGCCATATGCTGCGAGCCCTCAACTCGGCGCTGGTGATCTTCTTCTATCGCCGCATCCGCCGGGTTCACCCTGTCATAATGGCAGCACATGTTGACAGTGCAATTGATGCTCTGGCGCAATTCACATTATCCCTGCTACCCGGCCGCTCGACGGGTCCAGGCGCTGCGTGGCCTGCATTCATTGCCGGATGTGAAGCCTTGACTACGCCCAGGAGGGAATCCATCCTCCTGTGGCTGGAGAATGCCATCTCAACATGCGGCCCTGCAGGATTCAGGGCTGCTAGAGAGATCATGATGGAGCTATGGAGCAGGCAAGATGAGCATCTACACACGAATCGTGGCGAGCCAATGCCAACTTGGATAGATTTCGTGCGAGAGAAGCAAATCTGGCCTCTGTTCTGTTAGATTCTACCTTACGATGTATGACACCTACTACTGTACGAGTAACGTTGTTCGAGTCTAGCATTTATTCATTGTTCATTCATCTTATACACATTCAATCCATCCTCATTTAGATCGTCTTCACCCCAGCATTCTTCAGCAACCCCTTGAGCTCCTCCTGCAACTCCGGACTAAGCAACGCAAACGGCTTGCGCAGACCACCCGTCGCCTGCCCAGTCAACTCAACGCCCGTCTTAACCGCCGCCGCATAGTTGTGGCTCTCCAGGAACTTGCAAATCGGCCACGCCTTGCTCCACAGCTCCCGACCACGCACCAGATCCCCCTTCACAGAAACAGCCTCATACAACTCAACTGCCAGCTCAGGGATGATATTAGCCGCACCCCAAACGCCACCGGGACATCCCGCCGCAAGACCATAGAAGGTCAGCGTATCCCACCCGTTGAATGCAGTAATCTGGTCTGATAGTCCGAAGACGAGCTCCGTGAATGCCGGAGCGTTACCCGATGTATCCTTGAGGTACTTAACCCCAACCTTGGACAGCCCCGCAATCTCGGTGGGAGTCAAAGTCAGCCCCGAAGCAGAGGGGATATTGTAGTACATAATCGGCAGCCCTGACGCAGAATGAATCTCCTCAAACATCTCAGTGAGCTGCTCAAGATTCACGGGGTCATAAAACGGCGGCACAACCATGACAGCCGCAGCCCCCGCCTTCGCCGCATGCACAGCTAGCTCGACTGCCTCGGCGGTAGATGTAGCGCCCGTCCCCGCGACAACGGGTATACGACCCGCGGCGTACTTGACGCAGAGTTCTGTAAGCTGCTTCCGCTCTGCGACGCTCATTGTGGTGAATTCGCCGGTGCTACCGCCGGGCACGAGGCCGTGGATGCCTGCGGCGATGAGGTGATTTATGTGGGATTCGAGGCGGGATTCATCGATGCGTGTTTTGTCGTCTGTGAAGGGGGTGATTAGGGCGACGAGGATACCGTGGAGGGCGGACATTCTGGCGGTTTGTTTGTGTGTGGTTGTGTGAGGTAAGAGGATGGATAAATTGTGGATTGATTGTACTGGGAATGGAGTGTGAAAAATGGAGGGGTAGATATATCTATCTATGAGACGGCGGACAAGCCTTCTGGATGGGGATGTTGTATAGCATAGGGATTGCCTGCCTCTTTGGGATGCGCTTCGCAGCGTCCGATCCATCCATCCATCTTTTCCCCATCTCCGATCGTTTCGTGCAGTCTAGCCATGGTCGCGCAGGTTAACTTGACTCCTCTCAAAGAGGTTGTGAATGCCTGAGGTTTGATTTTGCCACCCCAGCTCCCAACCGTCTTCTCTGCTCTCTCATACTTGTCAATATCAGTTGGTCACCTGACTTGATTCCTCCCAGGCAGGATGATCACATGATGCGGCAATGGCGTCACATGGTTTTCTCTATTTTTTCTTCGACGCCACCCCCATCATCAGCATCAGGAATGCCAGAACGACCACAATCTCCACCCAGGATCCCATCAGAGCATGTCACTTACCACTCTCCCTGCAGAGATACTGCTTCTTATACTTGACTGCATTGACCTACCCGAAACCCTGAGGAATTTCTGCTTGCTGTCGGCGAGATTCCGCGCCATCGCCCAACCCCTCCTTTATCGAGAAATCACCCTCGCACCGGAGGACCTTTCACTTTCGCTTTTGCTCCTCTGTCGCACGATAACGACGTGTCCGCTCATCGCTTCTCAGGTCAGATCTCTTGATATCGATACTGAGCAGCCCATTGACCTGGATGAAACCGAGCGCCCTGAACGGCGCGGGTTATCAAAACACGACACCAGGTTTTTGAAATGCGAAGCCCAAAAACTCAACATCGGTAGTATAGAACTGTTTGACTCTGTATCCTGGGCAACAGATTCGATAATTCTGTCATTATTATTGATCTCCCGCTCCCCCAACCTCAGGGAGCTCTTCATCAATCTTGACCCTGCGGGCCTTTCGCTCCTGACTAGTCTAGCACAGGCGCGAACCGCAGACAATGTGCGTCAATCTTTAGCATGCTTAGGTAGCTTTAGAACACTCCAGCTCAGCTGCTTCCGAGATTTACACGGCAATGGAATTGATATCAGAAACATCACTCTGCTTCTTTCCTTTCTTCATCTGAGTAAGATCCAAATTAGCCACTACGATTCCACTTGCGGTCTTGATGAAACGGATGCATGTAATCCGGTACAGACAGCGCCCGATGTGCCTCTAGGATCCCTTTCTGTCTCAGCTATATCCCTTCACCGCAGCTCCATCAATACATCAGATATGGGCACGCTAGTAAACTCATGCAAGGAGCTAGACAGCCTGTACTACGGGCAATGCAACTCGCAGGCTATACATCTGAATCCTGAACAGCTGCACTCGCAGCTCCTATTCCAGCGAGACAGCCTCAGAGTTCTACAGCTCTCATATGAGGATGACTCGCTAGGAACCGGGCCATCGCCAGCCTTCACGCCACCCCACTTCGGCTCCCTACTGGGATTGGATCACCTGGAGTCCCTAACAATCGATCAAATATATCTCAATGCTGCGCCAGAGTTCCCACCCTCGCTTACTCGTCTATCAATCCAAAACTGTCAGACCCCGATTGGAGGATTGATGATCTACCTCGCGAATCTTGCCTCAACCGGCCGCTTCCCCAACTTGAAGAATGTCTTTTTGCACAGCGATGACATATATCCTGGACGCATGCTCGATTTGCCGCGGCGAGGCGCGACGGATGTTTTGTTTCATGAAGCCTGCCGGGGGTTACTGGGGATTTTCAACGGGACGAACGTCACCCTTCGCTTGAATAAGGATCTGCTTAGGGGTACTGTCCGCGGGTATGCCGATGCGTTTGAGTTTGGCCTGCCTGGTGTATATTGGCCGTTTGTTTATATGTTGTAAGTAGAGCGGATTGGCACGATTGGCAGCGTGAAAAGATGGGAATGGTGACATTACTCTTTAACAGAACATGACATATTGACAGAGTAACGTACAATGGATGTTTGTCTTCCTCTCCCATTTCGAGCCTTTTACCTTCCTGTAGTGGGGACTCCAGCGCCGATGCTCATTGTATACCTCCGTCACTCTCTGTTGACAACGGAAGTTGCGGATGTGACTATTCGCTGGATCATAGGTGCCTTGATATATATTGACAGGGGGGCCTATTGAGGTCTTCGAAGTTGTGTCCGATCACGACGCGCCCGTTTCATTTTTTGTTCGTTGTACTGAAGACGATGGGCCGAGGCCTTTCGTAGAGAACCTCGGCTAAGTTCTTGCAACCTTCCATATAAAGTATCGAAGTCAAGGACATCAGACCGACATAGCACCAACAATAACCCTGGACATGGAGAGTCTCGATCGGATACTAGACGACTTCACGCATCCGGCGACAGGATCATTGCACGGAGCCGCCTTTATCGCTGTGGATAACCATGGTGCGTCCAAGTCCCTCACACGGGTATTTCTCTCTCTAACTGGATTGAAAAGGCCAAATAATATATAAAAGGGCTGCTGGACGAGCAGGTTCTACCCCTGACGACGCGACGCCTTTGAAACTTGGTTCGCTCTACTGGATTGCTTCCATGACGAAACTTGTCACCGCAGTTGCTACGGTGCAACTAGTTGAGCGAGGTATTCTGGCGCTAGACGAGGACGTGCGCGACAAGGTCCAGGAACTCAGGGATGTTCAAGTCCTCCGGGGTATGAAGCGAGGTACGTGTCGCCCATGCCCTTATCATCGCCCTCTGATGAGTTTAGACTCCTCGGGAGCGCCCCAACCGGAGTTTCAGGCAGTCCGAGGGAAACTTACTCTACGGTATACACGCAGTCTGGATAGATTTATTTAGCTTTTTTCTTTCTTGGTTCCGGCTCTAGCTGACCAGATACCCCGATAGTAATATGCTAAGCCACGCAGCTGGGTTCGGCTATGACTCCTCGTCGCCTCTGCTGCAGGAATGGTCGAAATCCCAAGGCCGGACGGCACACACTTTTAGTGGGAGTATGGTAGGTACCACAATTTCTAGCTATCCAGACTCGGAAACCCGGAAACTGACAGGGTCCGTAATGGTCAGGACGGCTTTCGGCACCCATTAATCTACCAACCGGGCATGTCATGGGAGTACGGAGCCGGGCTGGAGTGGGCAGGTCAATTGGTATCTTCGATTTCCCTTACTCCATGTCCAAAGATGTTTGTGCTGATACGTATAGATCGAACAAGCCACCGGATCTACGCTGGAAGAGTACATGCAAGCCAACATCTGGTCCAAGCTCGGAGCAACATCAACAACATTCCATCCCGAACTGCGGTCCGACACCTTACCTCCGCGAATGCAAATGGGAGAGCGAGTGAGCGTTGGACAAGGCAATAAATCAGTCAAGCCAGGAAGGATCATCCTGGGTTACCCACTCAAGGACGATATAGGCGGCATCGGCCTCTTCAGCACGCCGATGGACTTTATCAAGCTACTTTCAGCGCTCCTCCAAAGGGGCGGTCCACTCTTAAGCAGTGAAGGTGTCGATCTGCTCTTCGCGGCGCAGCTGAGTGACGAGTCTCGCGTGGCGATGCCACACGCACTTGGGAATCAGATGAGGCGGGTGCTTGGAATAACATCCGTGGAGGATGCTGAAAAGGCAGATCACTGCCTAGGTGGCGCAGTTGTGCTCAAGGATATTCCAGGTCGGAGGCGACGAGGTACGGTCAGTTGGGGTGGGTTGCCCAACTTGCATTGGGTACGTTTTTCCAGCTCCGATATTGCCATTGTCGAGCATTTTCTGATTGTCGTTAGTGGGTCGATCGAGAGACTGGGATTGCCGCTGCTCTATTCACGCAGCTTATGCCGCCTGCAGATGCTGCTGTCACTGACCTCCTTATCGAGCTCGAAAAGGCTCTCTACAAGACTCTTGGGCGGACAAAACAGTCGAATGGTGGGGCAAGGCTTTGAGTTTATGGGGTTCCTCCTGATGGTACTGTGAATTGAAAACCGTTTGTGGCATTCTTGATATACCAATAGTCTGGTAGACATTTGCGTCCTTGGTATGCGTGAGGAGTTGTGGTTATTGAGCATTGCGTTGAGTGATGGCCGGCTGAGTAGGAGAGCCAGGTACGTGTGAGGGCTTCGGAGGGGTTATTGTTGCTGGTGAGTGATAGTTCCTCACAGGCAACATTTAACTGCAGCCCACTGGTGAGATCATCCCAGGAAAAGCTTTCTCGAGGAATTGTGCATTAATCTAAATTGACGTCTAGATCGACACTAGTGTTAATTATGGCTTTTCCAAATTACACGCGGGCCTAGGCACCCATGCCGGTATCTAGAAGCTTGTTATTTATCTTATTGCCCTCAATTTAATCCCACGGGTGTGCCAAAACGAGGAACCAAAAAAAAAAAAAAGATACCCAAGTTTGAAGACTGGCGCTACTGGGAATCGAACCCAGGTCAGTTCGGCCACAACGAACTATGATAACCACTACACTATAGCACCTTGAAGGGTATATGCTGCGCTTCAGACTTTGTGCTCATATTGCTAAAACTATATTCTCATCATTTGAAAAATTCCTGCATCATACTTCCCTTCACCCACCCACGGCCGAACCAGTATGCTTCAGCTATTTTCTGTCTATTTTTGCTATCAATATGTCCAAGATAAAAGCTTATTGCTAGGATGTATTCGATGGATTATTTCCCCTCATCGTTCCTAGGATGCCGTTAGAATGTGCCTAGCGTGGGACTATATATTTTGGCACGCAGTTGTTGGGGCACAGCTCTCGCCACCATCTCCCCTCAACAATTAGTCTTGCTTCGACCGTTTCAACCCTAATTGATACATCTATCAAGAAAGGTCCTGACTCTCGCCCGCTTCCCGGAGACAAGGGGCATATGCCATATGGAATTTGGCTGGGGACGCCAGGTATGCAGCGGACAGGGCCGGCCTCGCTGAGCAGGGAACAATCACGATTGCTGTACAGAATTGTTGAGTAGTTACGGCATAGCATCTTTCTGCACTCATTCCTTTCGGTGAAACTGTAGGCATTAGACGATACGACGGTTTACTATACTAAGTACAGCAACAATCACCGACCATGATGATGATGAGGTAATACTAAGTACCACCAACGTCTTGTGCACCCATTGAATGGAAAAGACCCGCGAGCCGGTGAAACGACACCTTGGGCTCCCACGGAGGCATAGCCTTTGACCTCGGGTCATGCTCCGGAAAGTGCTTAACCAGCGAGAAACACATCATATCAAAATCCCTTTTCCCTTCTCCAGTCGGCAGGCACGGGAAGGAAAACACATAGATGAAGACCGCGTCGACGCCCGCCTTGTCGAGAAGCTCGAGCTGTGTCCCCACATAATCGGCCTGTTCGTCTTCGCTCCGTGTTGGAACGATATCATCTTCAAAGATGCCCGTTCCATCTGGATTCGTGCCCTTTAGGAGTACAAAGCCGCCATCACCTCGTGCGGACGCCCCCTCGTAGGCGCAGCAACCGACTTCGAGCACGGCGAGAGGCTTGTCGAGTCTATAACGATCGAGGCCCGAGACGTATTTTTCTGCCGTCTCGCCTCGGCGATAATAGTCGATGCCGACGATGTCAAAGATGTCCCAGTCCACGAGCTCCCAGGAGCCAGCCGAGTATGTTATGGGTCCTTTAAACTGTGCGCGAACAACCTCAACGAAAGACCGCAAGACTTGATTCAGCTCCACGGACATCTCGCGTAGGGCCTGGGAAAGGTCGTCCGAAAGGTGGCCGCCAACAAACTGAGAGCCAAGGAACATAGCACGCTCGTTGAATGTGTCACCAGGGAAGACACCTTTGCCGAAGATCGTGTATTCGCAGCCGGCGACGAAGACTAGGCCAATACCTCCCTTTCGCAGTCTCTCAGCTGCCTTAGCTGCCTTTTCAAAGTATGCGCGAGTCCCGGCAATGTCTGCATTCATCTTCCACGGATTAAAGAATACCTTGAGGCCCATGGAGTGCGCGGAGCGTGTGGCGATTTCGAGTCGATGTATCTCCTCGCCTTCGATTCGGACGGCATTTGCGTGTAGATCGTTGGCGATGGCCCGCATATCGTACTCTACCAACGCCGGATTGAACGGTTCGACGGAGAATTTGTCGCCGTTGAAGTTCAGTCCGACATCGTAGACCACACCGCGATACTTCATGGTTGAGTCTTCCGTCCGATATTGGGCGTAATCGTCAGAGTGAGTAAATAACCTGGCCTCTGGGAGCGAGTGGCTTTGAAATGCAAGCGAGCTTCGAGCGTATGGTGAACAAAGTCCCAACCTGAGGAACAATACTCCTCATGAAGTATTGAAGTATATATCCGGCCTTGGGAGGGCTCCACAGTTCGGACTGCGCACTCTTGGCGCTCCGAGGGTCCGGCCATTGCCTCGAAATTTCATGGAACCGCTAGTCACTCATTCTTGGTTCTCCATCGGACAGAACTCCCGAAACCTCCGACTTCCTCTTCAGCACTTCAATCTTCCACTTACAACGCTTCTCTTTCGCGAAGCACTCTGAGCAGCCTTGTGGAGGCCGCTTCTATGATGTCATGCAGCCGTGAAGACCCCAACTCCAGACCCACCAGCCAAGCGCCAGCGGAAGAAGAGGCGTTGGGGTGGGAGGTGTCGAGGGATCGCGAGGTTGCTACGATAGAGAAAATTGCTGTATGAACCCCTCGTTGCCTCTTGCGTATTACGCGCTCTGAATACTGACAAGTCCGACAGTGTGACCGCTGCCGCCAGAGAAAGGTACGCTGCCAGTATTTGACTTGGGCTAAACCAGACATGGCCTTTGCTGATAGTTGCCCAACTCTCTCTCCTCGCGGCAGACGAAATGTGATCGCGCAAAGCCGTGTAAGCAATGTGTCAAGACAGGGGTACAATGTTCGTACAAGTCAGGCCACAAGGCTAAAGAGAAGCGGCAACGGGTTCTTATCTCGAGCGTATAGTAAGTTAAGCCTCCTCGAGTGCACCTACCTTCTACTAATGGAGTCGGCAGCGAGAGGAGATTGGAGCATATCTCGAACAAGATCGACGAGCTCGGGGCGATAATTGGCCGGCTGAGTGATGAGCATCAGGGTATTCCGACCAGAGTCCGAGTGCAGTCACCTTCGTCCCTCCAAGCCAGCAGTTTCGTAGCACAACACCAGCCCTTGACCCAAGTGGAAGGAATCGAATCCAATCTATTCGCACATGTTACCTTCGCAACTGAAGCTCTCCAAACAGTTTTAAGGAGCGACCCATACTTTAATGAGGCGGCCGAATTGACCTCGGCGCTGGAGACCCTGTGCACAAGGGTCAGTATCCAGAAGCAGCAGAATGAAGCCATGGAAGCTTCACGGCCATTTCCCAATGTGCTCCCTCATGGCCGTACCTTCAAGGATTTGCCTATCCCTTCACTAGGCAGAATCATGGCATGCCTGAGGATTGCTCAAGGTGAGTATGCCTTCTTTTGCTATGGTACGGCGTGATGGCTAAAGCCTTAGCAGAAAGCTCACCGAGCCAGCTCTACTGGCCCTTTGAGTTTGGTTCCCTGGGTGACTTCACACAATACGTGATCAAGGCCTGCTCACCTGGTCCGATAACTGACATGGAGCTGATTATTGTTCATTACGTTCTCTATTGGCTCTTCACCCAATGCTCGATTGGGGCGGAAGACGAGGCTATGAAGCAAGACTACGAGACTCAAGCAGGCATCTGCCAGGGCAGTCTCGAAACAATACTGTCGAATATTCCCTTCCACATAGACACGAACGTTGACTCTATTCGTGCCTTGTACATGGCTGTATGTTCACCACCCTCCAATGGTTAGGTTTACTACCACTTTGACTGATAAATGCTAACACGTGTAGACCACCCACTGCCTACACCATGGAAAACCTCTTGCAGCATGGACCTTTATCTCCAGGGCCTCACTTATGTGTCAAGCCCTCGGGTTCCATAGTAGCCATAGTTTAGCAACGGAACGACCAGATGTTGTGCAACATAAGATGCGCTTATTTTGGGTTGTATACGTTCTCGAGAAAGCAGTGGCGCTACGCCTCGGTAGACCGTCGACTATTCGAGATCAGGACATTACAGTTGCGAGGCTTGCCTTGGACCGGAAGATGGCCTCCCTCGCGTATAACTGGCTACCAGACTGGATCGACGTTGCGGCACTCTACGGACGCTTATACGACGACCTATATTGCCCGAAGGCGCTGGCGCAGCCATATTCCATTCGAGCCGCACGTACTGTAGCACTGGCTTCTGAGTTTGAACGAATGATCACCGCGAGGTCTGAGTACTATGTAAGTTGCTCCGCTCCCCTCTTTCCTCTCAAGAAATGAAAGCAGGGCAATTTGTTTGTCTGGTTCATACTTTGGCTAAAGGAAACCTCAGAATCAGCCGAATCAGTGGAGTAGCCATATGATGAATCCTAGCATGTCTGGGTTTATCGTACACGCCAACCGAGCCATCGAGTACTCGACCTTGGCCTCGATATATCGAGGCTTCCCGTCGGAGAGATCATCCAGCCTGTCACCATGCCCGCAATGCATCACAGCCGCGCGAATATCCCTTAAAGAGACCACAGCCTGCATTGCGATTCTTCTGGACAGGCCCACATGGCCTTTGAGTCTCGACTTGTGGGTGAATGAGGTTCTCCTCTTAGCGTCCTTTATGCCGTTTTTGATTCTCATCTGCAACATCATCGAGGCAAAAGATGGGTTGGATTTGGATCCATTGCGACAACTGATTGACAGTCTGCGGCTTTTAGCACAGTATCCGCGGTACTCCGGCTGCAATAGGCAGCTGCGCATTTTCGAGGCATTGTATAATGTCGTCTCGATGTATATCGAGGCGAAGGCGCGAACGCGACCGGAGGAACCGATCGGCGCGCATTTTACCCACCCGGATACTGAGACTGATCCGAACGATACTATATGGCTTGATCCTATCTCGTTAACAGGCTCGTCGTTCCCGGCCCAATTATCGGACGGTCATCCAGGGACGAACATCCTGCCTCTACAATCCCCAATGCTCAATGATTTGAATACGGAGATCGATCCTTCGACATTCCAGCTGGAAAGCTGGATTCAACAAACCTATTAGACGCTGCAAATGCAAATACTCATTCGTACTTTTACAAATTACTTATTACATTAAAGCAGATATCGCTAGAATACACCCAAAAAGAACCCTCAATCTACCGAAGCCCTTTCGGCCATATTGGACCTCACTTCAACCGGCTGCCTCCATCCAGCTCATGCACCTCTGGCGTTGTGCTATCCAGCTCCTGTATTGGCTCCGGCTTCTGCGTCCCCCCATACACGCCCAACCCATGATTTTGGCCCGATGACCGCTGATGGTCGGTCTCGGGATTCGAGTACATTTCGGAAATGGGCCGTCCGCCTTCGGAGGGGAGATTTGGCGATAGCGAGGGGAGGCTGATTCCGGCCGAGGAACCAGACATGTATTTGGAGTTTTTGCCTCCTCCTATTGTTGTGCCGGCGGGGCTGGAGAATTGCGAGTCTACAAGAAACAGAATACTGATTAGCAGATATCCTTCTAGAGGGCCGGGGATTCAGGAGAAAGCCCTGAGGGGGAATGGCTTACCTTGGTATGGCGACCCGGGATACGGCTGTTGGTAGCCAGCGTACTCGCCCGTGTACATCCTCTGCTGCTCGCCCTCGACAACCGACGGGGTGCGCCCGTGCCCAGCAGCCTTGTTCTTCCTCCTCCGCATAAAGAACCAGATCAGCGCAACGACGATAATCAGCGCAGCGGCACCACCAACTGCGATTCCCGCAATCGCACCACCGGATAGCCCGCCCCCGCCGCTCCCCTCATCGCCATCGCCCGCATCCGCATCCCGGAACAAATCATACTGGCCTGCAACCGACGAGCTCCACGCGGCCGGGAGAACATCGTCGTCGGGACACCCATCCGTCGTCCCACAAGGGTTACTCGCGCAGCAGCCCAGGAACCGCGGCTCAGTGAAGTTGCAGGTAAACCAGTCTGAGTTGTTCGTGCCGATGCACAGGTTTGGTAAAATGGAGTCGAAGACCGCGGGTTCGAATGAGGCGGCGTAGACGTCGGGACACGGGGAGGTGCTGTTTGCGTCGACGTTGTGGCAGGGGTCGGAGGAGCAGCAGCCCACGAAGAAGGGCGCCTCGGGGCACACGTACCAGGTGCCCCCCTTGGGGCAGGTGAAGTTGCACGAGGACGAGGAGCCGGAGGCGCACTCTGCGTTGGAGTCGGACATTATGATTATAGTAATAGCGTTGCGGAGTATGAGTAGATATGTACTTGAAGAGGGGAAATACAGAGAAGGAAAAAAGGGTTGCGAGGTTAACCGTCGTGTCGTCGCAAAATCACATCAACCTTCAAGCGACGCCTGTTCAAAAAGGACCAGGGCGCCCAACGTCGCGGGGGCCATTTGGCAATGGATTTAATAGTAGTCGCAGGCTCGACCGAGCCCTGTTGCCAGGCAAGCAGGGCAGGGCAGGGCTGGGGCTGTGAGCTTGGCCGGCAGTGCGCCGCAAGAACTCAGGTTGGTGCGCGGCAGGCCTGGGCCGAGAGCCAACAAGTTTGTGATGGTGTGATTGGTTGGTTCGTGACAGGATGGGCAGAGGGAAGATTATAAACGGCTAGAGTCCGCTAGTCTGGGGGCCAAGTGGCGTTGTTAGTGCTGATTGTGGCAGGCTAGCTGGGGGGTCCGAGTCTTGTCGTTTTGCGGCTGAGGGACTGTGGTTGGAGGTGCTGGCCCCTGAACAGCTGCCGCCAGCAGAGATTCACCATGTCGCAGGATTTATTCAGCCCTATGACAATGCTATTGCCATTGAAAGCGTTCCCTCGTTCAAAGAAATTAGTATCGCGACTCTCTCCAGCACAATCCTCCGATCAGCAAAACTGGTTCCTCAAGAGCCCACGTCAGCCCCACAGGCCAACGAAGCGGAGGTGAGACGGCGCCTTGGCTGCAGAGCGGATCCTAATGGACCCATTTGGAGATGGTTCGTCTGATTCAGCGAAAAACACATTGGCCAATTTATGACACCTGGGTGACACATTGGAAAAGCAACCTGACACGAGTCTGAGACCGAGGTGCTCAAACCCTCCAAGATTTGTGGTTGGTAATTCCTCGAGCTGGATTATCTATCATGGTTTGTCGATAATGCTGAACGATGGATGAACTTACCGGGTCGCATTGTTGCACTCAGCTTCGATGGAGACCACCTGCAGTCCAACTTGAGAGAAATGGGACTCCTTAGGCCACCCAGTCGTGTCTGTTTCCAGCCTCACCGAGCCAAGTTCCAGGTGAGATGGCTGTCTCAGCCTCACTGTGGCTGAGAGATAATATTTAGCTTGTGGACTGTCAAACAAGAACTTTAGTCTGATGGAAATCCGGATCACGAAGAGTACTGATTCGGAGACACCAGATTATGGATCACCTTGCCTGTTTTTCGGTCAGGCGATATCCTGAGTTCACTGAGGATTATCGTGTCGTGAGACATGATGTAGCCTGATGTTGGGGCGGATGTCAAAGTATATATACACCCGCCATTCCCACAACACTAGGTCCTAGGACTGCCGAAGTGACAAAGTGACTTTGGCCCTTGAGTCGTTCCTTCCCTTTGGAGGCTGGAAGCAAGTTTCAACCAAGTTGGTCGCTCCTTCCCTGTGGAGTGGGTTGGCCAGCCGAAGAAGGTGCGACCCAGAGCAGACATAATGCGAAGTAGGGGGCTTCGACCGGAGCAAGAGCAGAACGATTAAGCCAAGATGCTTCTCTTGTCCCCGCGTTGTCAGGCTTCCCTGTTCTCCTAGGCAGCCCTGGGCCAGATTCTTGGCTGTTCCCACAGCCAAACCCACAAGGCTGAACTAATGCTTGTCAAGGTCCCACCGAACTTCGATTTAAAGGTTTGATTGTTCTTGGACGTGGACGCACAAGTAATCTCGAGTTATGAAAATGACCCAGGTTGCCTATAAATGGGATTGTGGTCTGTGTCTCTGCACCGCTCATTTGTGCCAGTCTCAGCTTCGGCCAAAGGACTCGACGAAGGTTGATTGCGACCACGGTCAATGTATCATCTTTCGTCCGTGAGTATGACCTCCAGTCCAACTCCCTGCGCTCTGCCAAAGCGGCAAACCGACTCTCATCGAATAGACAACTTGAGGAGTCTAGTGATGTGCTAGCCTGGTGTTGTGAGAAATCGTTAACCGATAATATCTTAGATGTACCGGACTATGTTACTGTACGAAGAATATCCTGGCCCATCAACGACGCCGAACATTCACCCCGATAGCAACCGGCTTGTGCAACCAATACGAAGTCGTCTGCATTTCTTCATCGCTCAACAGCTCGAAGGTAAAGCTCTTCAAGAGTTGCGGAATGGCCTTGTAAATCTCACACATCGAGATCTAGACGTGAAAGTGTCAGCATATCGCCCATTTCGGGAGACTCGGTACACAGATTGTCAGAATTAGCAAACTTACATTCTTCCCCAAACAAGTCCTAGCCCCCATCCCAAACTGCATGATATACCCATCCATCCTACCCGCATCCCCCTCAATCCACCGTTCAGGCCTAAACGTATCCGCATCGTCCCCGAACACACTCTTATCAAAATGAATGACTCCCGGATTCACTCCTATGCGCGTATTTCCAGGGATATAGTACCCTCCAACCATACACCCGGACTGTGGCGCATGACGAGGGAATGAGACGCCTGTTATCGGATGCATGCGGATTCCTTCCTTGATACACGCGACCAGGTACGGGAGTTTACTCGCCTCGTTGTACGCGATATGCGGGGTACTCAGCTGGCCAGCTTCTACGGCGGCGTCGATTTCAGCGGTGAGTTTGGTATAGACGCGCGGGGTGCGGAAGAGGTTGTATAGGATGCCGGAGAGTGTGAGGGCTGTTGTCTCGCTTCCAGCAAAGCTGGCGGTTTGATGACCATTAGCACGAACAATACAATGCCGCCGATAAGTGGTAGAGACAACTCACAAAGCAGCAAAGGACTCCATCTTAACGTCATCAAGCTCGAAGTTCAGCTCCTTGCCGCGCTTGTGCGAAATGTCAAGCAATTTTCCGAGGACATCAGGCCGCTGGGGCTTGGACTCAAAGTCGGCACTCTGGAGAGCAGCGACGCGCTCTTTGAGCATTGCACTTGTTGCGTCCGTGAGATTCCCTAGCGCTTTCAACGCCCCTCGAACCTTAGGAAACAGGATTCCGGTAAGCATGAACAGACTCCGAACATAGGTTGGCATATTGCCCGCCAGAAACTGGACTGGGATCAAGTCGTCGGTCGCGTCGATGTAGCCTAGGTGGTCGCCCCCGGCTTCGAGGAACCCGAACATCTTGCTAAAGTACAGCTCGCCGACCACGTCGTATGCGTACCTAGTAGACGTATCAGCTCGAAATCAGGCATAGTTGTAAGCACTATGGCAAAGAAAATCCCACATTCGAGCCCACAACCAGAGATCAAACGACTCCTTCTGATCCGACATTTCGCCCAGCTTCTCAATCCAGACATCGATGCACTTCTCAATGTACTGTTCCGACTGCAGGATACTTGTCATCGTGTAGACGTTGGTGACAATCCGGCGGCGCTCCGCGTGCTGCTTGCCACCTTCTGCCGAGAAGTGGTCGGGGAACCGGGCTGGACGTATTAGTCCTCCGCATAATTTCGGCTCAGTATTGACTTACCCCACGGTGGTCTGAAGGCCAGGTAGAAGTCGGTCTGATATCAGTATCAGTATACGCGACCATCGCAAAGAGATATCATCATACGCACCTTGGTAGTGAATGACTTGACACCATATAGCGTTTTGATCGCCTCGGGGTCACTGGTAATCAGCTCGTTTGGGGCGATGCGAACCACTGGTCCTGCGCGTCACAGTCAGGTCCGTGGAGACAATCGTGGAGGGACGTCTCAAACCATATTTCGCGTGCAGCTTCATTTGCGTCTTCTCAGCGTCGCCTGGAAGTACATGGAGAACCGTCCAGATCCTGGAAACAGACGCCCAGAAAGGTCCAGGGAACTTAGCAAGGGGGTGGAGGTATCGTGTGTAGATGATCCATAAAATCCAGTATGCGATAATCGCAGTGACGGCACCCTGAACCAGCAGAGCCTTGTTTAGGTGTTCCGATAAATCCATGTTTAGAGGGTTGAATCGCACGGCTGTACGCTGGTTAGGAGAGGGGTGTTGCGGACACCGTGCCCTCTAATATACGAGTTTGACGGCGGCACAGATGGGCCGGGCGCTGATCATTTCAACGCTCAGGTCCAAATGCGGAGTCGAGAGCCGTTTGACAGCCTGGAGTTGACGAACCAGCTCTCGTTGATTGCAACGGCACTGCAGGCTCAATCAACTCGAAACGACCGTCGTGGAGCGGCCCGCGTACGTGGCCAGTCTAGTGCCACACTAACGAGCAATCCTTGTCCATGGAGGACTTTTGTCGCTAAACCGGCGGCGAGAATCCCGGGGTGGATTACATGGCAGAGTGTTCTGGAAACTGTGCCGAGGGGCGTGCTCGAAGGGATGTTTACGGAAGACGTTAAATTAATGAAATACCTAAAGAGTAGATGAAGGCCTAAGCATTGTCCTTTTTACGAGTTCCGCCTACGAGGAGGCCTCTGGTAGCGTCGTGCAGTTCGACAGACAGCTCATGCAAGTATGCAGCCGGCGCCGAATCAAGTGCTGGAAAGTAAGGTATGAGATTGAAGATTGTATAGTACAAGGAGAAACCCAGGCGACTAGTCCTCCTCGTAATCCGGGAGGGTATACCGATCCCCGCTAGAAAAGACAGCGGAGAAGAACCTATGCGTAAACTCAACAATCCGTCCAGCCGACAAACCCAAGAATCGCATTCTGCACCCATGTCCCCAACGCAGTCTGCGGCGCAAGAATCGGAGAGAGCAGCGGCGGCATCTTCTGCAGATCTTGAATGATGGGCCGCATTCGATCATTGTACGCTGCGAGTTCCGCGGGCTAGATCGCCTTGATGCCGCTTGATATCGCCGGCCAGAACATACGCACCGACCAGGGCGAGACTTGTTCCAGCGCCAGCTGCCCCGGCGTACCCGGCATCCCTGACCAGCACGAAGCGCCCTTTGTACAAACTGGGAAGCTTGGTTTGGACGATTTCGCAGGCGTAGAGATCTTCCGCATCCATCATGCTTCTGACGATGTCGTCGCAAATCCATCCGGTGCCCTTGGAAAAGACAGCGAAGTGGCAGATAGAGAAGAGCAGACATTCATCGGCTTTGGAGGTAATCTGTGGCTGCTGCCGTGCCATCTCAACCGTTTTTCTCGTCGATAAAATGCGCAGGATCCTGTAGAGAGGTTCCATATTGCTGAGAAAGGTCTCCCATAGGAAGGTAGCCGTTTCGATGGTAGGATGGTACTGGAGCAGGCTCTGTACAGGCGCTCAAAGTGCAAGAATCGGTCTATAAAGGGATCTGGCACACGACCGAGGCCAAACTACGGCACATTCCCATGCTCATGACCACCGGGATTTTCCCATCCTCAGACATACGCTGCATTACCCCATCGCCAAGGCTGCGCCATAGATGGCTGCCTATGTATCGCGGCGTTTCCTGCTCGCCTAGTAATGTGCCTGGTGCTGTCTTGTCCGGCTCGACATGAGCCAGTTGTGGCAGCTCGGCAAACCCTGCACGCGAGGTTTCGTCGTTGAGCAGGCTATTTCCGTGCAAAATGTGTTCATACAGTGCAATTTTTGCTCGAAGTTCAGCAGTGTCTTCACTCAGTCTTCTCTTTTGTCAGGACCGAGGCGGTTGGTAGCAACATTCGAGATGAGCTTCGCGGCAGCGAGAGCAGATTGGGAAAATCTTGTCGCATTTTACCTTGCGCCTAGTGCAGGTCTGACACATGTATGGCATGGATCCATGGTTAAGCTAGGTCCGACGGGCGCCATGGCCAGACACATTGGCCGGTGCTGGAGCAAGACGAAAGAGCCAAGAGGAGAAGGGCATGGACTGATGGACTGCGGCCTGAGAAATCCGGCACAACGGAAGAGCCAAGAATAGCCACGTGACTCTCCTTTTGCTGGTCGCCCCTGTTGTTTTTTTCCCTCCTTGGCTCACTCCGAGATTCTCCTTCAACGTCTTGCTAGTTCTCCTGCGCCACCAGTAAACCCCGTGTACGCTTTCAAATAGCCTGTGCTGCTTTTCGAGTGCATTATCATCTAATCATCCTTATTCTGGCTGAGGATGAAGGTGGCGATTCTCCACGATATATATAATGCTTCGCTCCTTGCTGCACGCCCTGCGTAGAACACCTTTCGAGCGGCCATGGAAGCCCCTGAATTTCTCCAATCCCAACTTTGGTCGTATTGCACCGGGTCAAATAGTTGAAGAGGAAACAATACCCGACTATGTTGCGTCGCGTTACTATCCTACTCAAATCGGAGACCTAATCCAGGACAGGTACCAGATCATCGGCAAATTGGGATATGGAGCTACATCGACTGCCTGGCTAGCCCGGGATATGCCGTGAGTATTCGACAATAGCTAATTCACGCTTACTCACTCGAAGATAATAGTCGCCGCTCGTATGTGACGCTCAAGATATTCATCAAAGCTGCATCGACGGGACAGCAACTGGATGATGAGCTAAAGATGTACCAACATATCACTCGAGATTCGAGACACCCCGGTTCCAAGGCAATTAGGTCTCTTCTTGACTCGTTCCACATTGACGGGCCTGAAGACAAACATCAATGTCTCGTCCACCCTCCCTTGTTCGAAAGTGTAGGGGAATTTCTCCACCGCAACCCCATCCAGAGGCTGCCGAAACCTGTTTTGGCGTTTACACTCCGGCAAATGTTCCTAGCGCTTGACTACCTGCACACTGAATGCCAAGTCATACATACTGGTACACTCTACCCTGATTCTTGTTCTTTGTGCTTATTGCTAACTTGCATAAGATATCAAAGCCAATAACATCATGTTCGAGCTAGCGGACGATTCAGTCTTCGCCAAATTTGAACAAGACGAGCTTCAGGATCCGTCGCCAAGAAAGGAGTCAGATGGGAAAACGATATATCTCTCGCGAGAGCTCGCAATGATCCCTGGCAAGCTTGGTACGCCTGTTTTGTGTGATTTTGGTTCGGCAGTCGCGGGCGGTATCGAACATACAGAGGATGTCCAGCCGGATATCTATCGAGCGCCGGAAGTGATTCTGAAAGTTCCGTGGTCATACAGCATCGATATATGAAACGTTGGATGCATGGTGAGTTTGGGCCCGTCTCAAATCCATTATACGCGTTCTAACCATGTTACAGATCTGGAACATCTTCGAGGGCGGCTCGCTTTTCACTGGTCAAGACCCCGAGTTCAAGACATACCGAAGCAGAGCGCATCTTGCGGAGATGATAAATCTGCTTGGCCCTCTCCCACCTGATTTCATTGCACGAGCCAACCAGAGAGAAAAGTTCTTCACGGACGGCGGTGAATTCCGCCACCCAATTTTACTGCGTGACTTGAACCCTGTTGACAGAAGAGAGACAGCGCTTGAAGGCGAGGATAAGGAGAGCTTTCTGCAAATGATGCGGCGGATGTTGCAGTGGGACCCGGAGAAGCGCGGTTCTGCCAAAGAGCTTGCTGAGGATGAATGGATTCGGAAGCAGATTGGCCTGTGAGAATATAGAAGCATAAACGATGAGGCACTGGGGGCTCCCGATATCTTGGACCAGATGTTAAGGGAGATTAAAGTGGCTTGATTGATGCAACCATCCATAGGGTGGTTCATCTCGAACCAAGACTCGCGCGGCGATGGCGGCGATGGGGAGCGCTTGTGCTTTGCCTGCGCCTTCCATCGTTCTTCCTCTTCCTTCTCAAAACCCCGCCGGATACCCACAAACTCAAAGAGATCCGGCATTGAATGCTGCGAGACTGATTCGTCGATAGGAACTAATTCACAAGGCAGCTTCAGCTTTAGGTGATTATCGCCGATAAACTGAACTGTAAGGCTGTGTTTGCCATCGCTACTTTCCAACACGTGCTTTCCAGGCTTGCATGCTTCGGAGGAAGCAGTGGCTGGAAAGCATGATCGGCGTCGAAATCAATATAGATATGACCTTCTAACTGCACTTTAGAACCCGGTCGAAAGACGGAGATAGCAGGCTTGGAACAGACAGGATGGGTGTGGAATGTTCATTTCCTTAAGCATTGGTCATTGTGTTTAATCCTATACAGTCGAGTAGAGCGGGCTGATATTGGCACACAGTATTGTACTTCATTAGAAACGACGTGAAGAAGTGTCATAACTACATCCAACCTCATCCACTAGCTAAGCTTTCCAATGCTCGACTCTTATGCACCGTTGGCCAGCCAACCAGTAATCCTATGCACTCGCTGAGAGCGCATCCTTTGTCCCCAACTTTTTGGGCACCTTTGGCTGAAGACTCACCCCGCTAGGCAACAACGCACTACAACTTTGAAACTGCGTTGGAGAGCCACGAAGCAGCATCAACCATACGCCTTTCTGGTAAATCCTTGCAGCCGCTGTACTGTCAGTCTTCTGCCTATCCATACACAATGAATCGCCCTCCCCCTCCATCTCCTCCAGATATTTTAACACCTGGCCCCGATGGAGCTTATCTAGTCCATCTGCTCATCTACAACGGCGCCCCCTTCCACGACCACTGGGCGTACTGGATCCAATCGCGTCAAAATACCGGCAGTGGTGTTCTTGTCCACGCCGCTGGCAATGTTCGCGTGGGCTTCGAGTTCGAAATCAAGCGCAGCTATGGCTGGGACGAGGGCGAGTCCCCGCCCACGAAACGGGTGCCCTTGCAATGGGTGAGCGGGGAGTATATATCGGAGAAGGCCATGTTGACTTCTGGGAATGAGCAAGCCGATCGTATTCCTGCTTGCCCGTTTGAAGAGGTCTTGTCTAAGGTGGAGGTTCCGGTGAAGTCGTTGAGGAGCGCCGATGATCAGGTATTACGCCTTCCTTGTCCACTCGGGAACATTAGCTTTCGCTTGGTTTTGTGCAGCTTCCACATTCTTGATACATGCACTAATCTGGATATATTCAGGCGGCTGGTGTTCCCAAGAGGGTAGTCCAGAGAGACTGTCAGACGTGGATCGTCGAGGCCGCGGAACAACTAGTGAAGGAGCACATTTTCAGCAGTGAGGTAGCTAGCTATCTTCGCGCAATTCAGCAGTGAGCGTACCTGGTTTTGATAGTGCCTGACAACTATGTGAGTCCTCGGTATCGATGAGATTAGATCGCGTCATTAATTTTGTCAGTGGGGTTTCTTACGGCCATGTAGTGAACAATAGGTACCTATGCTTCAGTCTGCCTAATGTGGACTGACAAATAACTATTGGAGTCCGGATATATGTCCAATTACCTATTCAACATAGACAGAACCAGACTAAAGACTAGGTATTATTAGGTTTGGAAATCCAACGCTAGATGCTATGCGTAGTTATATTCCAAGCTCCCTCCTACCCCCTCCGCCCCTCGGTGGGCTGATGCTCCACCGACGAGAGGAACTTCCGTCTAAAGTACCGATTGGAGATGACGACCAAAAACGTGAGAAGCAAGATCTCGAAGCGCTGCCCGAGAGTCAACCGATCTGATCGCGTAAGTGGTGGCTCTTGAGTATGTCCCTTCTGCTCGTCTTCCCACTCCTCATACACATTCTTAAGGAGCACTGGATCGTCAGTAATAATCCCATCGACCTGATTCCGAATCGCCCAGCGCATCATGTTCGGCGCATTCACCGTCCACAGGTACACCGGATGCCGCGCCTCGCGCGCCTTCTCTAAGAGCCCGCGACCGAGCGGGCCCATGAGCACCTTTTGGCAGATGTTGAACGATATCCGCGGTAGTTGCAGGAACTCGCGCGCGTAGTCCAGGTGCGCGACTATTAGTGCGAAGGGGTACTGAGGGAGATACCGGTCGCGCTGCGGTAGGTATCGGGCTGACCAGCAGCCTAGGACGATGCGCTGATACCAGCCTGGACCGCCAGCCGGCATGGGGACTGATTCGATGGTCTCGGCGATGCGGCGCATGATGGTCGCGGGGTCGTTAGTGAGCTGTTTGGCAATGTTAACTACGGACATAGTGTTGCGACACTTGCGACTTACTTTGATGTCTAACAACGCCCATAGCGACTCGCGCCCTGGCTCTCGCAAATATTCGAGAATGTCGATTAACCGAGGCATGGGATCATGTGGCGCTTGCAACGTGCGCAGGGTACTAAGGTACTCCCAATCGCACTCGCTGATTTTCTTTTTGACGCCATAGCAGCGCTTTAATGACGGATCCTATCACTAATTAGCAGTATTCTATGCGAGCAGTACGTCCACTTACATGGGACAAAAGAACAACTCCATCGCGGGATAGGTGTAGGTCGAGTTCTAGAGCATCGGCACCTGCGCGAACTGCGGCATCAACTGCGCAGAGAGTATTTTCGGGGAAGCGGCCCTTGTATCCTCGATGGGCGATAATTTGTGGCAGACGTGCAGATTTTGGCCCTGTTTGTGTATCTGAAAGCGCTACTGTCGCAACAAGTTAGCCGGGAAATGTTCGGCCTCGAAAGGTCCGAGGAGGACCGACAGGAAGGATCAGAGGAAGGGTCTTCCTTGAGAAGAGGGGTATTAATGACCATGGCGTGCCAAAAGTTGATGAAACAAAGAGGTGGAACGTGGTGTTGATTTATGCAAATCGCTCGGCGGGGACCGGAGTTCCGGGTTTAAGAAGTGGCGACACTTAACTCCGCCCATTCCGGCCTCGTCTATCAGGCACCAACATTCCGCCGTCAGCCACTGCTGCTTCGCTTGGCAAATGCGCCGCGTGGTTGTCGCGCGTCGCGCTCGAAATTGAAGCAAATTTCTGCTCCGCCCGAGGATGCTGTTCTCCAAGGTCGCGCATCGCCTTCCGTCACAAGCTTTTCATCATCGATTCTTATTCTCAAGAGCCAGGTTGTCATCATATCCACTGCGATGGAGCAGCCCGGGATCGGCAACGCGGCTGAGCTCCACAATGACGGAAGATGAGCCCATCGCTTACAACTGGATCCGCGGCGTGGAATCCATTGAAAGGTATACACCAGGAGGTTATCACCCTGTAATGGTCGGCGATACTCTACACAAACGATATCGCATTGTTGACAAATTGGGCTCTGGAGGGTATTCGACCGTCTGGCTTGCACATGATGACAAGCTGGACGCGTATGTTGCTCCGAAGGTCTGTATCGCAGATGCTCCTCCCCCGCGAGACAAAGGTGCTGAGAGCGTTGCATGCTTGTGATACTGCACGAGGCTTCGTTCCGGAACTGCTCGATGAGTTTGAGATATAGGGCCCAATGGGACACATACTTGTTATACAGTGACCCTGGCGCAATGTAATCTGCGCGAGATTTCATTCAGTCGAATGCTCCCTCTTGACGTGGCCAGAGCCCTCTCAAATGGAGTCGCGCAGGCCGTTGCATATATGCACTCAGAAGGCTATGTCCATGGAGGTTTGTCGTCCCATCCCCATCTCATGGTTCACGTGACCTTGCTAATACCTAAGTTGGGCGAATAGATATTCATTTAAGCACCACTCTGGCTAGACTTCCAAGGAAAGCTTATGATATTTCTGTCGATGATTTGTACAAGGAGTTTGGATACCCGGAGGCCATCACCGTTACGCGCGTTGATAGCCAACCGCTTGCCCCAAATGTACCCTCCAAAGATGTTATACCATTATTTCTGGGCAAATATGCGGATAAACCCCTGATATCTGATGCGCCCCCTTCCCTTAGTGACTTTGGTGAGGCCTTTGCGCCAGAATCAGAGAGACGCCTTGGTCGAGATTCGCACACCCCTGCTGCATTTCGAGCACCAGATGCCCAAGTCGAGCCTGACACTCCACTTTCATGCCCAGCAGATATACTCGAGTGACCCCTCATTCCTTTTGACGGGTTCTTAGGAAAGACGAGCCTATAAACGATTGTGCTTCCTGATGATGTTATCATTTCGTGATATCATTCTCCCGTGCGAAGGCCTGGCCAACCGCGTATTGACCGTCCATACGGGAAGTTCTCATTAATTAACATCAACTCGCATATCGTGCACATCAAGGCGTCCTCAGAACAACAAAACGCGAGTGCTGGTGCGATGGTCATCAAATCGCCGAACCGAACCTGATCTGACCCCCCCTACTTCGGCTCCGGCGCCGTATACCCTACCCCAATCTCCCTCATCTCGGCATTCTTCTTCTTCTGTCTCCGCATAATGAACCACACCGCCAGTATAACCAAGGCCAACCCTGCCACGCCGCCCACCACACCACCTGCGATAGCCCCCACGTTTGGCCCGTCATCGTCTGGTCGTGGTTCGTCCGTTCGCTGAGCCCCGAGATCAGAAGGGTCTATGCTTGTCGTCGATGCGGTCGTTGTTAGGGTTGTTTCTGTGGATGTAGGGAATGGGCTTCGTGTGGTTGTCGTGGTTGTCTCAGAGTCTGAGGATGTTGTGATTGAATCGGCGGGAACTGCATCGCGTTTAATTTAGCTGATGTTCCATATCGAGCAGTGAAAGAAGGAGAGGAAGAATACCTAATGTAAGCTGCGTCCCAGTAAAAGTCCTATACAGCGTATCCGGGATGCCGTCCACCATGCACCAGGCCATTTTCGCCGTCCAATCGGCTGATCTTTCTTGCGCGAAGAGCGTTGTTGTTCGGCAAAGGTTGTTGTTCAAACTTATTTCGCGGATCAGTTAGTCGCAAGATTCACCTCCCACTGATGATTAAGGGACCGGGACAGAGAAACCAGCTCATGGCGCGACATACCATGTCGAAGAGGACCCATCCTCCCAAATAACCATACTCCCTGAGCATCTGTTATTCCACAAACAGTCATCCCTGCTAGCCGTGTGACAGCAGATGCCGGACGAGCTCTTTATTGTGAATGCATAGCTGGCCGAACAAGAGACTGTGCCGACCACTGTTGTTTTGAGCTGGTGTTAGCGATTTGCGCGGATACAGGACGACCTGGCCGCCTTAGGGTGCGCCTACCTCCTCCGGCGCTGCTAAAGTACCCGACTGCACTAAGGTCGTTTGGCCAGGGCGAGAATGTTGTCGTGACGGTGGCTACTACCGAGTCCGTCATCTTGAGATTGGCGCCCTGTGTCGTCGGCGAGGTGAAACCGAGGTAGGAAATGGATCGCAGCGGCGAGACCCAAGGTCCAAGAGGAGAAAGCCAAATCCACCGTGCGGAGAGCCCCACGGCTGTTTTTAACAATCCGTCGCCTTGCAAAGGCAGCCTCAGGGGCGAAGCCGTTCGCTGACCATCACAAGTCGGTTACACCGTCTCCATTTTCACGAGATTGCTCCCGCTGGATTGGTTGTACGATGGGTGTGACCTCGTATTCGGGCTTACGCCTGGGGTTGTGTTGGATGCCAAGTCGCTAAATCAAGCGATTGGTTCTGGCTTGGGTGTTTGTGCGTGTAATTGGGAGAGCGCTGGAGCCGATTGGTTTTTCCGATCGCGATTCAAGTGGGAGAGGCTGGTTGCAGAGCCTCATACGGGAAAACGTCAGCTGCGGGCCATGGATAACCAACGAGGGGGTAAAGTCAACAACAAAGCCAAGAGTAGTACAGACTGATTGGGTAATTGATCCTGGTGCTTGCCCTCTGCAAGGTCCCTGTTCAACCTCACAGCGGTTGTCTGAATAGGTATTCGTCAGAGGGAGGGGCCGTGGCTTAAATCAGACAAAAACAAGAATCGTCATCTATTCGCAGCGAATGTAGCTACTCTCAGTGTGGCTAAAGGTGGTTCGCTCACACATTGTTTGCACGCTTCCAGCCACCCAACCAGCAGAATATATACAAGAGACACTCGACAAAGCACAACGTCAGTTGATACAGAGACACAAAATACACGTTCCCGGTATATCAGCTGCTCGCCCATTGCCATCCATTTGCCTTGATATATTTCATCATGCTCTCAACCTGTGCGATACCATTTGGGTCATCCATGTCGATGGTGCCTTGGTGGAGCTGGGTCAAGATCTGGCCTGCCGATGCCTTTCCGTCGTACCTGTACAATCTCACTTTCTTGCCGATTGCGACTGCCCCAAAAAGTTTCTCGGAACGGGGATATTGCTGATGTACGCGAATAACATCCCGCATAAGGGGTGCCGAGTGCTGTACCACAAGGCCCAGCCACTCGTACCTCTGGGCCAACAGTGTCTCCGCCGGATTGGTGTGTCTTTTATACGAATCGGTGCACGGCGCTTTATATCGGGGTTAAACATGCCTTCAGAGGCAGCTGTGGACGTGCATCGTGTCATCGGGTACCGAATTGCGGCGTCTGAACAGTGGATTGAGGGTCCACAGGGTATCTCTATACAGACTATCTGGGTGGCATTTCGCTCCGAAGGGCTCACGGCGTTTGGACTCGAGTTCGCAGGTTCGCATTCTCAGGTCTGGGTTGATGATAGCAGAGGTCCGGGAGTTGCTCGTGGCATGCTTAAGATCCCAAGAAATCTAAATCAATCCTGCGTTTTTGCGGGCCTGGATAGGTATAAGGTCGTATCCCTGGGTATCGGTAAGTCCAGAACTTCCCCTGAGCCTCCCACGGGGGCTTCGTTAGAAGTGGAGATGGACCTGTGCTGTATCGAATCTTTCATCTAGGCAACGCATCCTCCAATACACGAGGGCCTAAGCATCAGTGCTCTCTGGCCCCAGATACATCCTCCACGATTTGAGCCAGTGCTAATTATCGATTTTGGAGGACAAGCTGGCTCACGCCTTGGGAAATTGACAAGGTTTGTATTTTACATGGCTTCCGGGGGTGTGCGATTTATCGGACTCGAGGTGGGCCTCTCGGATGATGAGCCTATGCTATTCGGATCCGGGGTCGGCTGCGCGATGCCCTTCTTCATTGATGGTGCAGGCGGCGAGCGTATAGTTCAGGTTGGCGCACTGAGGGACCGCGATTCTCTCGACCTCCAACCAGCTGGCCTACAGGTATCCTCGCGCATCGTCCAGCCCTGCGTAGCCGCGCTAATCTCGTCGTAGCTGTCAACGAATTACGGACGAACTGCCACATTTGCGCCCCTTGATCCTTATCCTGACACCATTGTTGAAAACATTGCCCTTCCGACACCTGATAGTGTCATCGCCGGGTTTATAGTGGCACAGGCGTTACACGTCAAAGTGCACACGGACCTGTCCAAACATCTCCCTCTGAGACTAACAGACATAGGGCCACACTAATCGGCTGATCCGGCTCGGCATCCAAACCCAAGAGTGCGAGAAGCAGATGATCGCCCCACAGATGCTTGGTTTTGAGTACTATCATATCCCTCCTGACAAGTTGAGATACGACAACGATCACTTCGCTGAACTCATAGGACGCGGAGAAACTACTAACCACCACACCTATGCCTCACTCAAACATGTACAGAAAATCAGCGCATCCACAGACTTTGAGGGCGGATCCCGATCCTCTCGTCATAGATGTGGTTTGAAATTCGACTACTATAACCACCCCACTCCAGAGGTTGTAGGCCAGTGGATGAGAGAGCTCGAAGATGGGTTCGAAATCGGCTCAGATGAGGACATGCGGTTATTGACGATATGTGTCAAGCCGGTACGCAACTCAGCAGACAATCCGGCGATGGAACCAGGTCAAGTGGTCTCCGTACAAATCGAGACAACACGTGCGCGCAGTGTGACAATTCGCTCCCGGATTTCGACTTCCATCCGGCTCAATTGACGCACCACCAGTACCAGAGTGATGGCGATGGAAGCCTGATCGCTATCATATGGATTCTAAATCCGATTTCGACTGTATCCGAGCCATTACATCCCCAGTGCCAGGCACGGATGATCTGATATTTGTCCCGGATCTACAGCCTCCTTTTGATCAGATCCAGAAGATATACTTTGACAGAGCTAGCGCGAACGGCAATAGAGAAAACGCGCTTGCGGTGGAAGCCTATTTCCGCGATTGTGTAATCATCGGATTTGAATTCGTCTATACCTCGGGAAGAAGGGCCAAGACAGGCAATCTTGAAACCGACACGTATCGAACGTACCATTTTCCACCTGACGCCCGGATTATCCGCATGTCGGCCACGACTGTCAAAGAGCAGCTGACGGAGCTGCAGTTCGAGATCGAACGCGAGACTGACCTTTCTCAGGTTCGCCGACTGGTGGGCTCCATCAAATCCTCGGACGATCCGATCGGAGACGTAGACCTTCTTCGGGATGTCTGGCGAGAGGTATGGTGCCCGCGGGAAATGTGCCAGCATACTCGTGAGCTGGTGGAGGGCGCGGCCGTTCATGGAAGGCCCCAACAGCGTCAAGGCTCGTGGGAATGTCCGTCAGTTGTACATATTTTAGCAAGGTTGGCGCAGTCTATGAGCCTGAAGGCGAGCAGCAAGAAGGAAAAGTCGGTCGACGGATGTCTCCCTCATCCGGCTCATCGCATTGAGACCTGTTTTCAGGGCCAGGTCTTTCACAATAGAGACCTTGCAAGCACCTGGAATCGGAGCCTCTCTCCTCAGTCGTGAGCAGGCTTGTTCAGCAAGCACAATTGTTGGCATCCTTCAGACGCTCTTCTCCCCATTGGGTACCATGGCTTCCCACCGATCGCTTGAGAGAACCATTCATCGCGCCGTGGACACCAGACGACAGAAGAAGGGTCAAGAGACTAAATGGTATGATTGCGCCCGATTGATTGGGGAGAGTTTGTCACTCGATTCCTACCGGGTGCCCCAAGAGCCGGAACGATCGCACGACAACTTTAAGCTTTAGCTCACTTTTCCAGCAGATCGTCACAATGTAAGTGTGCATGTATACCGACTGAAAATCTGGGAAAGTGAGAACAGGCCCAGCGGTAACCTTGAGGTCGTAGCCATTCCGGATACTGTGGTACTCATCTCCCCGTGGTTTCAAAGGTGAAAATGCGGGGATAGCCGCAGAAAGCCTGGTGTCTTTAGAAACGAAAGTTGCTTTTTCCAACGGAGTGGTCCGGGCCATGTTCGTCTCACCGTAATGTACCCCAACTCCATAGGCGGAGGCGGGTCCGTGGCGTATAGAGTTAGCCGACGATCGCATGAGCGAATGAAGTCGATGCGAGGCGGACGTCCTGGACGTATTTATAGTCATGACAACTGGCAACCTGCTGCTTGACTCCAAGTCTTTTCAACTGCGAGGAAAATGGGGGACTTCAAAGCTGCTCCAGGGGACGAAAGTGGTGAGATTGATCCAGATTCCGAGCCACCAATGGCTTGCAATGCGTCTAACATCCTCCGCAGTTGTCGTCGACGGGACAAGCTTTGCCTTGAACGGCCACAATGTCTCATATCGATTCCACGTCGATGGCACTGGCGATCTCCGATCGGATCATTTCGGCGGTCGCGTTTCGGGCCCAATCCCCGACGACCCTGCTCCAGTGATTGACGGATGGACCGGGATGCCAGATCGCGTCCGCCGCGAGTTCCCAGACCAAGGACGTGGCGACTTTCGCATACCGGCGGTTCGAATCCACCAGACTGAAGGACACAGTGTCTCGGCTTTTCTATACCAGTCGCACGAGGTGGTCAAGGGGAAGCCGGGTCTCCCAGGGTTGCCGGCGACCTTTGGAGGCGATGACGATGCCACCACGCTTATCATACACCTTTACGACAAGTATAGCGATGTAGCGGCTGATCTGAGCTATACTGTCTTTCCTACTTATAATGCGATTGTGCGCAGCACGAGCATCACGAATAAGGGCAAAGGAGCCATCACCGTTGAATCCCTGGCGAGCATTAGCGTCGATTTTCCTCGTGAGGAGCTGGAGATGGTCGGGCTGCACGGTGACTGGGCAAGAGAAGCGCACCGCCAAAGACGGAAAGTTGACTATGGCGTACAGAGGTAACTTGGCGATTCAAATGTCCATTTGCTGATACTAATGCCGTGCAGCACCGGCAGCACAACCGGCTTTTCGTCTCACCTCCACAACCCCTTCTTAGCCCTCGTTCACCCTTCCACGACCGAGTCACAGGGTGAAGCATGGGGGTTTTCCCTGGTATACACCGGCTCCTTTGCAGCGTACGTCGAGAAAGGCTCCCAGGGGTTGACACGCGTTTCGTTTGGCTTCCACCCGCACCAGTTGTCTTGGCCCTTGGGTCCCGGGGAAACCCTGGTGTCTCCAGAATGTGTCGCTGTGTATTCGAGCGAGGGCCTCGGTGGAATGTCCCGGTCCCTGCACCGGCTATACCGGAACCATCTGATCAAAAGCAAGTTTGCGACTAGTGGCCGACCAGTCCTCCTGAACAGCTGGGAGGGACTGTATTTCGATATTGATCAGGATCGCATGTATCGCCTGGCAGAGCAGGCCGCGGATCTTGGAATGAAGCTGTTTGTTATGGACGATGGATGGTTTGGCAAGGAGTTTCCTCGTACCTCTGATAATGCTGGGCTGGGAGACTGGGTGCCGAATCCAGTGAGGTTTCCGGACGGTTTACCCGCGCTGGTAGAGAAGATTACCAACCTCAAGGTGGCGGGTTCCACGGACAATCTGGAGTTTGGCATCTGGGTCGAACCGGAGATGGTCAACCCCCAGTCGACCTTATACAAGCAACACCCCGAATGGGCCCTGCATGCAGCGAATTACCCCCGTACCGAGCAGCGGAACCAGCTGGTGCTGAATCTCGCGCTCCGAGAGGTGCAGGACTTTATCATCAAAGCGATTTCGGACATATTAGAGTGCGCCAACATCACATATGTCAAGTGGGATCAGAATCGGGGAGTGTCCGAGATGCCATCGCCCAGCACCACACATGCGTATATCCTGGGAATGTACCGCGTGTTTGACGTGCTGACTACCCGCTTCCCAGACGTGCTTTGGGAGGGATGTGCATCGGGTGGCGGACGGTTTGATCCTGGAATCCTGCAGTACTTCCCACAGGTCTGGGCCTCTGACGACACCGACGCGGTGGAGCGGATCACCATCCAGTTTGGCAGCTCTCTTGTGTATCCCCCGAGTTCCATGGGCGCCCATGTATCAGCTGTTCCCAACCATCAGACCGGGCGCATTACCCCCTTCACGTTCCGAGCCCATGTAGCCATGATGGGCGGATCATTCGGTTTCGAGCTGAAGCCTGATGACATCTCCGAGGAGGAGAGAGCGGCGATCCCAGGGCTTATTGCGCTCTGGGAAAAGATCAAACCCCTCGTGCTGGAAGGCGACCTGTGGCGTCTCAGCCTGCCCGAGGAGTCGAACTGGCCAGCGGCGCTCTTTGTTTCCAACGACGGCTCGCAGGCGGTGCTGTTTTTCTTCCAGCTAGCGGCGAACCTGAATCACACAATGCCCCGGGTGCGGCTGCAGGGGCTGGAACGCGAAGTGATGTATCGCGTGGATGGGCAGGGACCGTTTTCGGGGGCGATGCTGATGAATCTTGGCCTGCAGTATTCGTTTCAGACGAACTACGCCAGCAAGGTAGTTTTTCTAGAAAGACAATGAAGTCTGGTTCGGCTAGGCGAGCAGCCCTAATCCGGCAATTGTAGCGAATAAATAGGAGATGTTTACGAGCTGTTGCCCAATCCGCAGTGTGCAACGCGCATGTACCCCGGATTCTCCACGAGTCCACGAGGGGACGAGGCCACGAGGCCCGTTGGTGGAAAAAGCCATGAGAATATTGATAATTTCCACAATTTGCCGACAAACCCCTGGCCCCCAGCCCTGCCTGCATGCGAAACGTACAGAGGCCACTGCGATTGGGCATGTTTGCCACTCGGCGCAGCAGGAATACGGCAGTCTGGCTTGGCTGACCGAGCATGTTTGATGACCCCCGATTCCTTCGAACCGTCAGCGTAATGCTGACTGGTCGAGGCCTCGAGGGGCTGGAATTGAGGCGTTCAATCGTGAGCGATCCGAGCACACTGGTCAAATGTTCCTCGGCTCTTCCAACTCCACCTCATAAGATTCTGGACCTGCCTGCCTTCCCCGCAATACCTCCACAACTTGAAATCTGCCGACAGGGTCCTGCCTGACTCGACTCTTTCCCAACGACGGCCCCGGTGAACGGTGATCTCTTGTGCAATCCACTCCACCGGGCAATGCTGCGTGTGGATATCATCAAACCGTGGCCAACATGCGGCTGCGAAATACTGTCGCCTTGTTATTGACTTTGGGATTCGCGATCGCTCAAGAGGGGCCATGCGAGAGGTTCCAGCGGTTGCCGCAATGCGCGGTGCGTGGTCTCGTCGATCACAATCGCATCCTTTGCTAAATCGTCATCTAGGACAGCTGCGTGTCCAACTACGTCGGGAGTGACTGCCCCAGGACAAAAGGCTTCGTATGCGACTCAGAATATGGTGCCATAGCCTCGTGCTTTGAGGAACAATGCCCGCTGGAACAATACCTTTGTAAGGCAACATACGATCCATTTCTACACAGAACTCGCAACTAACAATCTCGGCCCATAGATGCAATGAACATAACGACCGGCGTGTGCGATATTCCCCCTCGAAGCCGCAAGACAACGCAGATCGGCGTCGGTGCAGCCTTCATCGCCATCACAACAATCGTCATGGGAATGAGGTTCTTGGGGCGGCCACCCTTTTCAGACTCATTTGGGATAGACGATGCGATTGGTGTTTTGACATATGTGCGTCGTTTTGTGGATGTTGCAAGCAGCGAGGCTAATAATCGGCCAGGTCACGGCTATGGTGGACACGATTTTGATGGTGCAAGGTGAGGATGATTCTCTCCGTTTAGTCTCCAATACATGAAGCTAACGCTTGCCCAGCTGCAAGAGAGGGTTGGGGGACTGACATGTGGTCACTCAGTCGAGAGCAGATCATCCACCTAATGAAGGTCCGTCTCGCTGGACTCACTCTCTCAATACTCCATCTCACTGACTGCTTTCACAGCTCTTCTACATCGGCATTATATTCTTCTACTTCTCTGTCGCCGTCTCAAAACTCGCCATTCTCTATTTCTACCTCCGCATCTTCACGACCCCCAGCTTCAAACGCGTCACGTATGCGGTAATCGCACTCTGCGCAACCTGGGGACTTGCAGTCGTCTTCCAGAGCGCGTTCAACTGCACCCCCGCGTGGTTTTACTGGACCCGCTTCGATGGGGTCTCTAAGGGGACTTGTCTGAGTTATACGGCGTTTAAGATCATGCCGCCTATCAATGTTGCACTCGATGTTGTTGTCATGCTTCTCCCGCTGCCGTCGCTGCTCAAGTTGAATTTGCCCGTTGCGAAGAAGGTTCGGGTTATTAGCATGTTTTCTGTTGGGATATTGTGAGTTTTCAACAGGGGTTGATATGTCTCTCATTCTGATCGTGTCTAGGATCCTCGTCGCGGGCACTCTGCGCCTGACGCATCTCTACAACTCCATTACAACATACAACATCACATGTACACACCCCAGGCCAATCGAAAAACGAGAAATACTAACGTTTGCAGACAACGGCGGGGAACTTTCTTACTTCGGCGTCATCGAAGCCCAAGTCAGCGTCATCTGCACCTGCATGCCCGCAATCGCCACGCTGCTCAAACGAGTCATGCCGCAATGGTTCGCCTCCCGCAACGGGACACGATACGGCACGTTCCAAGAAACCGTCTCGCCGCGGAGAGCGACATTCAGATCGAGTGCGAATGCTACCAAACCGACGTCTGGGATTGACGAGGACGATATTCATTTGATAACGGTTCTGTCGGACGAGTCGCATTTGCAGAAGCCAGAGAAGTCGGCTAGTGTGCGTGTGAGTAGATAGGATAGGACAGAGAGGAATATATTTATTGCATTTCCACCCGTGGGTTGTTACAGTAGGTGTCAGTAGTAGAATTCTCGCGCCAGCCCTGATTCATCGGTCATGTCTGAGGGCGGATTCTGGGGCACCAGCAGGGTCTGCGGACTCTTCACTTTGATATGCTGGTTCACCCACGCTTTCTGCCTCTGTACGTTTGTCTGGGCGAAATCGACAACGTCAACAAACTCTCCATCCCAGAGTGCCTGGCTGGATGGTGACAACGCCAGTAGATGGCCTTCGATGTACCCCAAGAACATACCCAGCGACTGCAGCGTGATGAGCGCACAGTACGGATCACCCGTGTCTTCCATGGGGAACAGACTCGCCCGCAGACGCTCACAGACCCTCCTACCATACAAGCGGCTCTCATGATACCGCTTGATGATGGGATCGAACCTTTCCAAGACAGTCTTGGTAATGCGCTGCATGACCTCTAGTCCAGCCTGGATCTCCAGATCATGAACGAGTCGGGGAATGAGATCTTTGTAGATATCTCGCAGCATCTCAAGGGCTTCGTGTGTTGCGCCCAGCCACATCTCCAGCCAGCGTACGCGCTTCTTGATGCCCTCGTCTTGACCTTTATAAGCTGCGTCCACCTTCTTCTCCTCGATGCGTTTTATTGCGGCGGTTTGTTGCTCCTTTGCCTGCACTTCCTTTTGCACGCACTTTTCGATGCGCACGGCGCCGGATTTGAATCGTGGTTGTTTCGAGACGGGGTCCCATTGCTCTATAGATCATGTTAGATGCTGACTCGCAGAAGATTGTGGTGTCCTGACCGGTCGTCAATTCATTCGCTGCCCTCGCCCTGTGATCCGTCGAGTCAAAATATCCAAAATGAAACGGAATAAAGACATGACCCGGAAGAATCTCGTCAATCTTCACAGCCAGCTCGACCTGGCCTCTCCTCGACTTGACCAGCACCATCTCGCCTTCACTCACGCCAACCCTCTCCGCATCCTCCCTACACAAAACGACACTCGCATCCGGATCCGCCCTCTGCAACCGCTTCGACCGCCCCGTCTTGGTCCTTGTATGGAAATGAAACACATGCCGCCCTGTCGCAAGCAGGAACGGATACTCTTCACTCGCGGCCTCTAGCGACGGCTTATAGTGCGCGTGCTTGAGGATCGCACGACCGGCGGGATTCATCGCGTCGTACTGCGTCTTTGACAACGGCGTCCCCGTCTCCAGATCATGCCCGAAACTTTCGCAGTACTCCGTGTCCGTGTAGAATTTCCCATTGTCGAACAGCCGCTCCTTCCCGTACGGATACTCCGTCGTACACGGCCACTGGATCCCCGAGCCGCCTGTGAGTTTCTCGTACGTCAGGTCGCTGCAGTCCAGCGGGCGGCCGCAGGACATCTTCTTCCACTCTTCAAAGACTTCCTCCGGGTGCGTGAAGGGGATCAGCGGGCCGCCGTCTTTATTTTGAAAGTCCATCCGCCGAGCGAAGTCGAGGAAGATGTCTAGGTCTGCTTTTGCCTCGCCCGGTGGCTCGACGGCTTTGTGGCTGAGGTGCATTGTTCTATCAGCGTTTGTAAAACACCCTGTCTTCTCGCCCCATTGTGCGGCGGGGAGAACGACGTCTGCGATCGCTGCCGTCTCCGTCATGAAAATGTCCTGCACGACGAGGAGGAGTTCCGGTTTCGTGAGGAGGTCGCGGACGCGATGCAGGTGAGGCAGACTGACGAGCGGATTCGTGCCCGACACCCAGAACATCTCGATGGAACCTGCTTCAATGTAGTTGAGCATATTCTGGATGTGTGTCGGCTGATTCCAGTGCGGAACATGCGCGTAGTCTATATTCCAGATATCTGCAATCTCCTTCATGTGGTTTGGGTTCTGAAAGTTGCGAAAGCCCGGGTACTCGCCGTCGCAGCCTGTTTCGCGGTTATTCTGGGCTGTGGGTTGTCCGTTCATCTGCAGGATCCCGCTGCCCGGTTTGCCGATGTGGCCGAGAAGGAGGTTGATGTTGTTGATTTGGCAGGCGGCCGCGGTCGCTTGGTTGGATTGGTAGACGCCCTGGAGGGCTGTGGAGAGGAGGCTTCCGGAGGTTGAAATGGCCTCTGCGGCTTCGTGGAGTTGGCTGGCAGGGACGCCGGTGATTTCCTCTACGAGCCGTGGGGTGTACTTCTTGACCGTCTTCCTCAAGTCGTCAAGCCCGACGACGAAGTTGGACACGTAGTGCTCATTAACCCAGCCGTTCTCGAAAATCAAGTGCTGCAGCCCATTCAGCAACGCCACGTTCGTCCCCAGCTTGGGAGCCAGATGGATCGTCGCCCTCTTTGCCGTCTCTGATGTCCGCGGATCGACAACGACCAGCTTGGGCGGATTCGGTCCCTCGAGACGGTCCAGCACGCGCGCCCAGAGCACCGTCTGCGTGTTGGCCATGTTGTGGCCAACGAGGAACAGGCAGTCTGTGTAGTCGATGTCAGAGTACGAGCCTGGCTGCCCGTCACTCCCAAACGATTCGCGCATACTGGCAGCTGCAGTTGCAGTGCAGAGGCGTGTGTTTCCGTCCCTGACATGTCAGCCTCGTCGCAGTAGAAGAGGGTTGGCAGCGTACATGTGCAAAGTATTCAGCCCAGCCTTCCCAACCATGGCGAGGACATAGTACTCCTCGAGAAAGAACTGACCCGTCGTATAAAAGCCAATGCCATGGTTCGTCAGCCGTGACTGAATGTCCTTGGCGCGGTCGACAATCAGCGACATGGCCTCGTCCCATGAGGCTCGCTCGAGCTTGCCATTGCGGCGGATCAGAGGGTGCTTTAGTCGGTCCGGGTGGTTGATGGAGACCCAGCTGCGGTCGTGTCAGAACGCCTCGTATAATACAGAGTAGAAGGTAATAAGGTACTGACCCATTCAACCCCTTGGGCCCCAGTCGTCCCTTATTCACGCGGTCAACCGTGCGACCGCGGACACCGACGACTCTGCCCTTCTTGACCCCGATATCCAGCCCGCACCCATTACTGTGAAGGTGAAGATCAGCCAAGGATCACTGTGGAGAGTTTGGGAAAGCGTACCTGCAGAGCACACAAGCACTCTGGACCCATTTATCCGGGGTGTCGACCAGATGCGAGTCGCACCGCATCGGCCACTGGTGCTTGTATGGGGTACGTTCGCCCCAGATGTCTTTGATGGAGTCCCTGGTCTCAACTACCCGAGGCATTTTGCGGCGAGGGCGAGTTGGATGGGATGAGTGACAAATTGGGAAAATGTGGTGGGATGTCAGTGAGAGATGGTCTGGGGTAGCGCTGACTCCACAATGATGTATGCGACTTTTTTACCGGATTGGGGTTGGATGCGTTTTTGCCAAGGTCATGGACTGCCAGGGATTAACTTTTAGCTGATTCATTTTGATTTCAGACTTCAAAAAGGTGAAGGTACAATGGCTCTATCCTACACAGACGCAGTCGAACGGGTTGAGAAAGAGGCGCGCCGCCAACAGGCAGCCTTCCTCGCCGACAGCGAAAAATGCTCAATATTCAACGCATGCGACCGGGCGGTTTCGGAGCCAATCTCTAGCCCGATTTCCACTCCCGCGTTTGATACATCTGCCATGGATGGGTTTGCGTTACAATCGGTCGCTACGCAAGGTGCAAGTCCGGAGAGACCGGTGACATTCGAGGTCCAGGGGACCACCACCGCAGGCGATGAGCCGCACTCGCACTCGACGCGGAACTATCCAAGAGATGGGATCCAGCCTTGTGTTGAGATCATGACGGGGGCGCCGTTTCCTGTTGGACCAGATGGCGATCGGTTAGACTGCTGTGTTCCCATTGAGGATGTAGTGCTGCTTGAGAACAAGCTCTCGAGTCGTCGGTACATTTCGCTCTCCAAACCAGCGAAATGGCGCCAGCATCGACGACTCGCCGGTGGTGATTTTTCCAGAAATGACCGGATCATTGGGGTCGGCGAGCGCGTCAATCCCCAGCACATCATGGCAATGGCATCGGTCGGCCTGGCCGAAATTCCAGTATTGCGCAAGCCACGGATTGCCATCTTCTCAACGGGCTGCGAGCTGATGTCCTCGGAAGCTGCATCTCATCGCTTCATGATCCACGACGCAAATGGCCCATATCTATCGGCGATGCTGAAAAAGTACGGCGCAGATGTCGACTTTCGTGGAGTCGTCCGCGACAGCCCAATTGCCATGGAGAACGCGCTTCTTGAAGCCCTCGGCCAGAACAAGTACGATGTGATTTTGACATCTGGTGCAGTCTCAGCAGGCCGTTGCGATATGATTCCCGGCGTGATAAGCAGCATAGGAGGCCGGACTGTTTTCCACAAGGTCGCCGTCAAGCCCGGCCATCCCGTCCTCTTCTCCGTCCTTCCAAGGGGAGGACAGGGCGAGACGGCATTCTTCGGTCTTCCTGGGAATCCAGTGGCAGCCACGGCCTGTCTTCGGTTCATTGTGCTGCCATACCTGCGGACGCTGCAATGCCAGTTGCGAGAACGGCCACAATCTGCTCGGGTACAAGTACCCAAGTCGAGTAAGGCAGCGCTAGCCTTTCGAAAAGAAGCTGACATTTTCCGACCGGCCATTCTGAGCCCGTGTCGACAGACGGTGCAGATCATTGAGGACCACAGTCCGGGGAAGACGAAGCCGTTTCTGCACGCAAACTGTTGGGCGCATATTCCAAGCGCAGTCGAGCAGGTATGTGACGGGGAAGCGGTGGACGCGTATCCTTGCGATCTCGAGTAGATGTGTTATGAGGCTTTCATATTATCTGCGCAGTTGTTCATCTCGTCGCTCATCCTCAGCGCTTGTTCATATTCCGCTCGAGTATTCATGTTGAACAGCCAAATCTCCGATTCGGGCCGTATACTGGTCCCCTTTGACTCGAGCGCCACAGCCTTGGGACCTAGAATACCCCTCTGTACATTCTGGTCTAGTAGAGATAGTGCCTCAGGGGTCCAGATCCCCAAAAGAGGCTCGTAGATCCCGTCCGCATTCTCAAAGCACGTAACAGGACCAGCCATGTGTCCACGCAGGTAGCGCAGAGCGGAGACAGGGAAAAATGGGTAATCGCAGGCGACGACTAGCCAGGTGGCGCTATTGTCGTAGCGATATGCCGAGAGGAGCCCGGCTGCTGGGCCCAGGTCTTCTCCTGGGTTGTCGTAGAGGATGTACACGATAAATGGTGGAGACGAATTGGCAGTGTGCAGCCGGAAGGTGGTGTCGGCGACGCGTTCTATACGCGGGTTCTCGAGGATTTCCGGTAGAGACGCGGGAGATGGCAAGGAGAGGAACACGGCATCAGACTCGGGAAAGGCATGATGGAGCCTCAATAATTGTTGCTCATAGATGGGGATGTCGTTGGCGAGACAGAGGAGTTCCTTGCGCGATCCCATTCGCGTGGAACGGCCTCCAGCGAGGAGGAGGGGCTTTATCGCGGTAGACATCTCTGCTACTAGTTTGTCTTTCGAGTCAGGTCTGAACTCTGAAGATATTCCCAAGAATGTATATGTTGTGTGGTTGAGGTCTTACACAACTGTGACGCCATGGAAATCGAAATATATATTTAGCATCACCGTCCATACAAAACATATATCCTACAACTAAGTTTCAACGTCACAACTGTTTCGATCACAATGGCGATCCCGACCCTTCTTGGAGGCTCCAGAAAAGCCCCAAGCCTCAGCCCCGATTCGGAAAACGAAGAAACTCGACAGGGCGGAGTCGGGCAGACTTCGGCAGCACGTCACAACCTGAAACGAGCGAGACTCCTGACTCGAGATCTCTCCCGTTCCATGGTTGGCAGCGGTCCTGCCCGAAATTCAGTCTGTTTCTCCGAGGTACGAAGGGTATTCATCGGCTTGGAATCGGCGAGTCACGACTTACAAACGAGTTGATCTTCCTTTCCCCTGAATTCGCGTGGTGCGGAGAGAAAAAGAAACGAGCGGGTTGCCTTGTGGCAGGAATCATAAGATGGGGGAATAACGACCAGGATCAGACTCCATCACGGTACTTGAGTCTTGGGAGATCATGCCGGCACTCATCCAGGGGAAGCCGCAAGACTCTTACTTCGAGAGGCTGACTCGACAGAAAGTTGACCAGAATTCTTCAGGTCTTTCTTGACAGCAAGCGACAGGTCGCTTCGCAGGTGAGGGACCTTTTTCCGTGGCAAGCGAGAAGCGAAGCAAACCTCAACTTGGCCCTCGGCGTCATTTCCCACTGCGGACGCGGACCCAGCACGATGGGGGCGCATCGGGGCGCATGAGCAGCATGACTCGCTCGCACTCCGCTAGCGTTAACCTTGCTGAGAACCATCGATCGATCTGGAGCAGCCGGAGACCAGCTGGGTGGGCCCCAGTGGGCATGGCTGCCCGCAGCCGCGGCCCTTGTTTCGTTTCGGTTGGGGTCATGAAGAGATTGACCTCCCTCTTCTGCAGCATTTCTGACATCCACTGCCTCATCTTCACGAGCAGTTCCCAGAACCGTCTTTGTGTCCGCGAAGGGTTCGACCATGAAACAATTCGCATTCGATCTGCGCTCTCCCCTCTGAGCCGGTCCGCATCCGCATACAAAACTCCTTCTTCCCCGCCCACCTCCATCTGCATCCGACCATTGTCGTCGGCTGGCCGAAATGTTCGAGACATTGCCCCTCGAGGGCCGGGCCCTGGCCATCTTCGTCGTCTCGGCGGTGATGGCCGCGTTGTCCATCATCACCGTGGCGATGCGATGCTTTGTTCGGCTGTACATCGTGCGCGCGTTTGGGTGGGACGATGGGCTGATGCTGATTGCGCTGGTATGTTACTGCCAGATCAGATTCAACTGCGACTGACATTCTAGGCGCTGTTCATCGTCCTCGCCATCCTGTGTATGATCGGACCGCTGGCGGGAATTGGGCACAAGATGAGCGAATTCGACACGCTGACTTCGCTGAGAGATGCCCTGCTGGTAGGATGAAGCCTTGATGAGCTCTCTTTCGGGTCGACTGACGTGCTGTACAGGTATGGTGGTTAGGCCAAATGCTCTACCTGTGGGCCTCCGCCGTCGCCAAGATCGCCATTGCCCTCGCTCTCCTCCGACTGGCCGTGAACCGGGTCTATCGCATAATGCTCTGGACAATCATCGCCATAGTTATCGCTATCGGCCTCGTGTTTTGGCTAATCCTCCTCTTCGACTGCCAGCCCGTCTCTTATTTCTGGGAGCGCGTCACCTTGGTCGCGCACGGCAAATGCCTGTCCACGGACATTCTGCTCATCATCGCCTACCTTTACAGTGGACTCACCATCGTATGCGACTTTGCTCTGGGGATTCTTCCAGCCTGCTTGATCTGGGGACTGCAGATGACGCAGAGGACAAAGACGGCTTTAGTTGGAATCTTGAGTTTGGGAGCCATGTATGCACTTGAAGTTTGTCTGCTTTTGTATACATACTGACAATTATCTAGTGCGAGTGTCGCCGTGGTCATCCGACTCCCATACCTCAAGAACTACGCCGATATCGATTTCCTCTGTAGGTCGCGAAGGAAAACGCTCATACATGGAAGCTGACATTCCCAGTCTCAACATATCAAATCGCCATCTGGTCCATCATGGAAACCGGCCTCGCCATCATCGCCGGCAGCCTCATCACCCTCCGCCCACTCTTCCGCTGGTTCCTCGACGGGAGCTCCTCTTACCGCCGAAAGCGACGCAGCGGCCGCAGCGGAGGCCAATACGCGCTGTCGAATCTCACAGCCAATGCTTCGAAGCCCGGATCGCATCAGCCGAGATACTGGCGGCCGGATGTAGGCGAGGACTCGACGAACGTGGTGGTGACATCCATTTCATCGCCGAATGGGCAGAGCCACGGCGACAACAGTAGCCAGGAGGATCTGAATCCGAGTCCCTCTCCGCGACACATGAAGAACCAGGTCAGCGTGCATAAGACGTTTATGGTGTCGAACAGCGAGCACTATTAATAGAATTCGATCGGACTGAAGATGACATCACAATGATGCCAAGACTTGTATATAATCTCCAACAATGCCCAAACAGGGATTTTAACTAATTCAAAAATAACTACGCACATCATGCCTTCCAAGCACGGTTCCAACACTCATCGATACCACAAGTACGTCCAGTCCTGCTTTATACAAGTGCAACGTAGCTAACAATCCAGAATCGGGCAATGGATGCCCCCAACCTACGACGCCCACCAAGAATGGCTCGGCGGCGTCATCGCCCACGTCGACAGCAAGACCGAGCAGGAACTGCACCCTGTACTCAAGGAGTTCCAACATCTTATTGAAACAAACACTCGCGTTTACATGCTCGTCTCGGCCATGTTCGCGGAGATCCCCAAGAGCCAGCACTTCCAGACTGACCCCACGGGCTCCTCGGAGATCCGTGATTACCACCACATGCTGCGCGTCCTGAATTATATGCTCACCACCGCACCCTCGTGGAATGATTTCTCGCTGCGCGTTGGCCTCGTTGGATTACCGATTAATGCTGTCTTTGACTGGTCCATGGGTACGCCGAGCGGATACGCCGCGTACCTCGACCCGGACATCAACGCGATGCTCAAGAAAGTCCTCAATGCGTGGGGCGAATTCCTCACATCACCCGAGTCCGCCAAAGTCCTCGATGACTCGAAGTATGGCTGGTTCGGGGAAACAGGCAAGAACAATCTAATGCATGTCGCCAACATCCCGCACGGGACATCCCATTCCTTTGACGAGCTCTTCGTCTGCGATCCCTCGGCAAAGTACCACGGGTACAAATCCTGGGACGATTTCTTTACTCGCGTCTTTCGACCCGGTATTCGACCGGTCGCATCGCCGAACGACGACAATGTCATCACCAACGCGTGCGAGTCGCAGCCGTACAAGGTTGCGCGGGGCGTCAAGGCCAAGGATAAGTTCTGGGTCAAGTCGCAGCCGTATTCGGTGTATGATATGCTGTCGCATGATGAGTTGGCGGAGCGGTTCGTCGGCGGGACGGTCTATCAGGCCTTTCTTAGTGCGCTGAGCTATCACCGCTGGCATGCGCCTGTGAGCGGGAAGATTGTCAAGGCGTACGTCGTCGACGGGACGTACTATTCCGAACCGCTTTTCGAGGGACTCTGGGGGTCTGATAAGGATGCGATCAAGGAAAATAGTATCGATCCCGATGGCGAGGTCATGACGCAGGAGTATCTGACCTGCGTCGCGACGAGAGCGGTTATTTTCATCGAGTCGGATAATCCGGCCATCGGACTGATGGCGTTTTTGGGTGTGGGAATGTGCGAGGTGTCAACCTGCGATATTACAGTCCAGGAGGGCCAGCGTGTGAGCAAGGGCGATCAACTGGGCATGTTCCATTTCGGTGGTTCGACGCATTGTCTTCTTTTCCGGAAGGGCGTCCAGGTAGATGGGTTTCCTTCGCCAGATCTTCAGCACAATGTCGCTGTTAATAGCCAGATAGCCGTCGTCAAAGTGTAGTTTAGCCATCTGCTATGTATTGAGATTCTGTGCCTCCTCGGCTCGCGGCAACTTGTTTGATATGTGATGCTTCCCCGCGTGACCCCGCAATCCTCCCATGGAGGATACCGTATATGATGACGAAAAGCTCCGAATTCATTTCTCTCCAGCAGTCTGTGACTCTGGATCACAGAATGGATCTGGCCCACATCAAAAAACAACGCTGGTCCTCAAGAATCACCTACGACGCCGGCAGTGTGATCACCTACAACCTCGCCATTGGCGCCGACGGCAAAGACCTCGGACGATGCTGGGAAGAGCACCCAAAATTCCATGCGCTACCGACATTCACGTCGCTCGCGGTGGTCAACATGATGGGGAAAGTGACACGGGACATGCCGTCTCTCCTCCCGACGTATAAGCCGTTGGAGCATCCGCATGTTCATGCTGAACATTATCTCGAGATCAAGGAGGCGCTGCCTACTTCGGGGACGCTACTTTCGGAGGCGCGGATTGTGGATGTTGTTGATCGGCGTTCGGGCGTCGCCGTGATTGTTGCGATATCGACCAAGCATGCTGCGACTGGGAGGGAAGTGTGCTATAATGAGTGGACATCGTTTTTCATCAAGATGCCGGGCGACGGGGCGTCAAACGCATCGTCCATGAATACGCGACCACCGACAAAGCTACCAGACCGGAAACCGGATCTTACTGTCGATCATCGGACAACAAGCGAGCAAGGCGCACTCTACCGCGCAGCGACAGGCGAATGGAATCCCATGCACATTGATCCAGATCACGGAAAGCGAGCTGGATTCCCCGGCCCTATCCTATCCGGGACCTGTACGATTGGTGTGGGCGTGAGGCATGTCATTGATTCTTTTGCCGCGGGCGATTCCTCGCGGTTCAAGAGCGTCAGGTTGCGATTGAGTAAGCCCGTATTTCCCGGGGAAGTCATCCAGACGCAGATGTGGAGGGAGGATGATGGGCGGATTGTCTACCAGCAGGTAGCTCCTGATGGGAGGGTCGTCATCTCGCAGGCTGAGATTCGATTGAAATCAGAATCAACTCAAAGCCAGCTGTAGAGATACCGCGGCTGGGGGCATGGATGATGTAGGAGGCAGGACATGAGTGGATACTGGATTGATTGCAAAAACTACACAATATCACACAGACGAGAGTATAAGATACAGAAGAGTAATGACTGAACCCTGCTTCCTCAATTTTCCCACCCTCCTCCGTGAATCCCCCAAGTATCTTCTTTCAACTAAGCAACCCTGCACGCGGCGGGTGGGTTATATCCATGATCGCACGCAAAGCTGCAGAGACCCAGATACGAGTTATCCAAACCGTACTGCGGTAAGCATCTCGTACCGGTAGTCGGCGGCGTGGGAACTGGTGCTCCGTACTGCGTGCAGCTGCAAGGGCCTGGAGGGCAGTAGCCATAATGGCAAGCGAAACTGCACAGCCCGACGTAGTTTCCGGGGCCGGTTCCGCCGGTACAGACTTGGCCGGTGCCGGGGCCGCTCGTGGTTGTGGTTGTGGTTGTGCGGGTCGTCGTGGTTGATGTTCTTGTTGTCGTGGTTCTGGTGCTCGTGCTGGTCCGTGTAGTTGTACGGGTCGTGGAGGTTGGCTGTGGCCTGGTGGTCGTGGGTCCCGTGGGCGTTCTGGTGGTCCTGGTGCTGGTACTGGTTGTGCGGGTGGTCGTACCTGTAGTCGTTCTAGTCGTAGTAGGAGTGTCTTCTCCCCAGCCTGGTGGAGGGGTCGGAGTGTGAACGCCGAGGGAAGGGGTGGGCGCGCAGGTCTGCACATGTAGCCCCTGCGTGAGGCTGTTGAGACCCGCGCTCTGGAGAGAATCGATTGGGCCAGGTGGAAGAGTTCCCACTATCTCCAGTTAGCTGAGGGTACATAATAGACATTCTGAATCGAACCGTCCGGAATGAAACTTACCATACGGGTTAAAGTTATATAACCCGCAAACACACCCATCGATAATTGGCAGGAGACTGACTCCAGACTGGATGACCTGACCATTCCGACTGAGTGAGAAGGCTTGGGATCCAACACCCATCGGGACGGTGAAGGCGCTGGCCCCTGCAGGCGCATCGAACACCTGAACATTACCACCAGAGTTGACAGTAACTGTTGCTGGCTCGGTGAGCGTGGTGACCACAAACACTGCATCTTCCATGGTCTCCCACCCATCAGGACGCCCGTTGAAATAGTTACCACTGCCATTGTTGGCCGGAACCATACACGTGTCGGTTGCATCGCAGTTAACACCCCGGGGCGCAGGTCGATACCAGTAAACAAGGAGGTCCTCGGTAATATAGCTGTTCACAGAGCTACTAGAAGCACCATCCTTGTACGCAGCGATAAACGGCTTGGACATGTCCATCCAGCCATCGTGGGGCCTAGAGATGTTAGATGGAAGTGAGGAATGAGATAAGAAGGAACGAGGGGAGTAGATAATGAGCGAAGCCAGAAATAAGAGGGTGAGTAATGAAACAGGAACAACGTACATATCGTTGACCCATTTAGAAGCACCGTCATCCGTATGAGGGGAGCTAAGAGGCCCAATATAATGGGATTCGCCGTAATCATTCCAGGTAACAATCTCGATAAAGCGAGGACCCATGTCCAAAACCTGCAGCCAACGGTCATACCAGAGCAAATCGCCAGGGAAGACCCAGTTCTTGCTGTAGGGGACTTCGGGGCCAAAGTGGGTGAAGAACCACGGAGAAACAGCTGGAAATCATGGATGTTAGCAAGACTTGCTAGTATTCGCGATTGGGGACAGATAATCAGCTTACGCGCGATATAACCCTTGCCGTTCAGCGCTCTGATATAGGCATCATCACCATCTTGGACAGTAACATGCCGGCCAGGCTTGGGAGCCTTGTTGTTACCGTCATTGTCCCAAGCCATCCAGTTGAGTAGGCCGTCAACCCCGCTCATATCGGTCCCCATCTCGGGGTGGAAGTTTGGTGCGAAGAACACTGGCTTCCCAGCAGCAGAGCGCATGGCGTTAATATCTAGACCGTCACCCGCAAACGAAGAAACAAAGATCTTTCCATCGACCATTAGCTGCGCAGGGCGGCTCCCGTACTGAGCGACCTTCTGGCCGACTTCGTATCCCTGGCCGGTGTGGTACCAGTTGAAGTCGAATGAGATGAAGACCTTTGCAATATCACCATTAGTCACAGACTAGGAGGCCGGCAAAAGGGATGAGCAACCTTCATATCATTATTAGCCGCCGACTGGTAGGCCAGATCCAGCTGCCGATCTGTGTATGGGTCAACGCCGATGTTCAAAGCGAAAGCATCAATGCCCAGCGACTTTGCTCGCTTCATATCGTCGTCATAATCAGCAGCCGAGTTGCGATTGCTGGTGATTCCAATCTACCAAGGTCGTCAGTCATTTGCAGCGGATCGCCACATCAGAGCCAGGGATTACCATAAAGTGAGCAAACACCAGCCGATCAGTTGACTGGCGGGCCTGATTAACGGTCGAACCGGGGGCAGCATGAATGAGCAAGGGGAGGGAGCAAATCGCTCCAAGAATGGATCTCAACTTCATCTTGACCAAGTAGCTCTTGTCCTCTAGAGGCTGTGATGAAGCGCACTGGAATCTCAAGCCAGAACCAGCATTATATAGTTTTTCCCCAGGATCTCCTCTCGCTCAACTGTACATACGAATAAACTGCATTTTCACCGAATTCGCGAGGGATGGAGTTGATTGGCGGTGATGTCCATCCCTGGTTGCATTGGACTGTATTCCCCGTTCCAAAAGACGCGATGTTACCATAAGACGCACCCCACGGGGTGGTATACATCCCCGCATTATAGGCGCAATAAACTTCTGCAGGGCCAAGGGTCATCTGGCCCACCGAAAATTCAGCGAGAGTTTTGACGAAAATCTGGCGAATCCCGCAGCGACCCTCGTGCAGAACCCGATCTGCTCATGCGTCCCTTTCGAGTCCGTTTGTACGACTCGACTCTGCAGGCTGCCCCAGCAAGAACGGGGTCCGCAAGACCCGAGGCTTGTCTTATGGTTGAGTATCTTGCGGCTACTGTCGGCGAATGAGCATCACCCTGTATTCCCATCTGGTAGTCCTCGATTGGTGCCTTGCATTATCCCTTGCATGATATATCAGAATCCGCATCTCGCAGACACTGCATGCCCCATATATCAGCGCCCCATGATGTAGTGGTATTGTCGGAGAATTATGTGCTGCATCAGGGTCGATCTGGCCAGGAAACCGGGTGCAGTTGGAACGGCGTATTGCCGGCGCTCTTAGTCCCAGCAACACGCGAAGGAACGTTTACAGAGCAATGTCGGTGTGTTGATGAAGAAGCCCGAGGCTAGAAGCATCTAAAAACAATTATCGTTCTCTAAATTTCAATCGCTCATGTGCGATATGCTCTGTTTTCGTCCCAAGATTGCTTTATTAAGCCATATTTGCTCTCTAGCAAACTGCAGGCCGCAGCCAATTGTCTGGGAACCTCTTCCTCCGAGCATCCGGCCTCCAGGAGACCTTGAGCCGCATCGCAATCCCCGAGTCGGACCCCAGTACATTTCCTTTACCCTTGTCTCGGCGATTCCCAATCGTGCTTACAGCATACATACTGTAAGGGCTCGGAATTCTCTCATATGTCTCAGGTTTTGTCCCCATGTGCCAAGTTTAAGGGGAATGGGAAGGTGACTCACTGCAAACAGGCCGCCGCATTCCACCTGGCCACGCGTAGCGGATACGCCAGGCCATTTAAATGAAGACTTGCGCGTAACGCCGAATGCCCGTGGCACACACCTGAGTGGTCTACATGGCGAGAATCATCCCCAGACACCTTCCGTGGCTTGACCGATCAGGTCTTCGGATTCTGGCGTGGAAATTGAGACTCTGGTCTATTTGCATCTTCGGTTATTTTGGTAGCGGCTCGGGCTTCCCTATGTATATGCAGCACGGCTTATTCATCCGTGTCCGTGTCTGAGCTCGTACTCTGCAACCTTGTCATGCTTCTAGACTACCTCTCCGATATATGCCCAGCCAGGCTATAGATCTGGTGAACCAAGAAACCCAACTTACCGAGGCGGCTGATTGTCAGATTCTTGCTCGCATGCTTTAACGGTGCTATGCCCCGAAGAGATTGAGATGCTGCTCACTGTGTTCTTGTCACAAGATAGGATGATGGGGAACCGGAGGAAACGTGAATTTGCTTCACGTAAAAATGTCAGAATTCATCTACATAGCAGAGTCAAGCAGAGTCGCCGAAACACTATAGTACATTGATAGATTAATGTAAAAAGGCACACGAACAATTGGATATCAAAACAAACTCGAAAGCACATAACGCTGCTAGATACTCGAGCAACAATTTATGCCCAGGAAACAGGCTCAACTCACTTTCCACGCATGGCATCTATTCTGGCTCTCCATTTATGGGGAACGCAGACTTGCAGCCCTGCTCCGCACGTAGACCGGAACTGATATCCGTGCATGTCGCCCCGTTCTCCCCAATCATATAGGCGCCATTGGCGTAATTGAAGTAGAAGTATGGGTCACCAACATCCCAGTTAACATGCGTGACGACGATAGTGTATGGAAGCCAGTCCTCCTCAATAACGTAGTTTATACCGCAATCATTGCCTTCGTTGTCCGGAGAGTACACGCCTCTGCGCATGCATGTGTTGTCGTAAATGATAAACGCCTGGTGGCCGGCGACTCCCTCGAAGGGGTTGTCGCCGTCAAAGGTAGGAACGCTGACCATGCTAATTTGCAGTGAAAAGGTCTAGGCGTCTTCGCCTTGGCCCAGGCAGAGGGCTTCGCGGTCTTCTTTGGTTTTTTCGTCCTCTTCGATTGCGTTGTGGAGTCTGCATTCGGCGCGGACGAAGGAGGGGATTGCGAGGAGAGAGAGGACAAAAAGGATGCTTGTGAGGGCTCTCATGTTGGCAATTTGGGCTGGTGCTCGATAGCAATGATACTGAGGACGATGGTGAGACTGGACGATTTACCTCGACTTCTATCGCGGTTATATAGACTTTCCTCCCTCGAGAGCAATGAAGTCACCAAAAACTTTTTGCGATGCATGCGTCATTACACTATATCGCTTTTTAGAGCCGCAAGGGCGTTGTCCAGTCGCGGCTCTGCACCAACAACGTGATACATCGACTCAACACTTCTCTCGGGTATACCAACCTTCGCCCCTTGGCATCGTTCATAGTTTCCGGGGGTGAGATAGACTAAGCCTGCACTTCCGTCGTGTTTCGATACTATACTGCTTGGCATCGTTCATAGATGCTAAAGGATACAGGGAGTCACTCGCTAACAGCTTCCGGCCCCCAACGCCCATAGCGAACCCCTGCCCCATGACGATCATTGATGTCATCTACCCTGTTCCCCGCGTACCCACTAGCCTATCTGGGGTAAGCTTTGTTGTTGACCGGCCTGCTATGCCTCCTCGAGTCGGCGATTCCTCCCGTCGTAATACAAGAGAGCGCTTTATCCGGGGCAGAGGGAGCGTCATTGCGCTGCCATGTCGCACAAATCAAACACCGGGAGCTAGATCATCTGTTGGAGTGCGAGTGACATCCCGATGCTAAGACGAGCAATCCAGTTTCTCAGGATCCCAGAGAACCGATCTTTGATTGGTCCTGGAACTAGGAAAGCGCTGTTTTTTTCATGTCTGAGTTGTTCTCTTCTAGGAGCAATCTTTGTGCCTTTTTTTTTATTACGGAGGCGATCATTTCCTTGGCGCATCCAACGGTGTACGCGTATCACTGTGAACGCTGATGTCGAGCCTTCTTGTCCTGCCGCCACCCGCCTCGCATCTGCCACTTTACGAGTCATGAGCCTCAATAATATCGTCCTTAAGCGCCACGGGGAACAGTGTTCAAGGTGGCTGGCTTCCTTCTGGCTCCCATACCTCATTCCAAGTGCAACCGGTAGGGGTTAGTCACGCCATAGTCCTCCTCCCTCGGGATACCAGTTTCCACCGAATCACCCGATAAACCCTGAGGGCATGAACTTCCAGGTAATTGGGCTCGGCTACCTCAGGTAGCATTCACCCTCAGGTAGCATTCAGTCATGTTCCATATCCTCAATGACGTATAAATCGTGCTATGGTATGCGTCTTCGTCACTTCCATTTTATCGTAGATTGTCGCAAATTAGGGAGCATGCCATGACAGCGCAGAGGTCTCCCTAGGTACGACAACGTACCTAGCAATTTCAAAATAGTGACCAGGCTATTGGAATACGATGTAGCTCTCGTCGTCAGCTCCGAGACATTGACATTGCCCGGTCAGGAGACATCAAGTCTGTTAATGCACACCGATGTCTCTTCGCTTCTTCAGTGAGAAAATTGCAGGGTGATCCTTTGATTTGCAGAAGCGTTTCCCCTATATGCCGCCACCCAGATACATATCGGGCAGAAACATAGACGCATCGATAAACTCCAGATCAGGAATTGGCTGGTCTAGTAGCCCCTGCAGGAATGGCTCGGAAAGCACCATAAAGTCGTCTCTGCCATAGGTAGCAACAGCAGTAGAGGACAGGTTGGCGGGTATACTCTCACCAGCAGCAAGTTTGGTGTGCATAAGTTTCTCTATAGCTTCTACATGGGAATAAAACTCAGCGGCCGCGAAACTGCCGATGTCTTTAAGCTGGGAGAGCAAGTGGACAGCCACCTCGAACTGCTCTTTATCGTTCTGTCGGTCCTTGCCCTCAAGCATACTGGAGATGCCGAGGACGGTGGCTGCGGCGAAGAGGTACTGGGTGTAAAAGAAGTCGAAGATCATGAATGAGCCGTTTGTCCAGCTGTCGGTGAGTAACTGGCATGAATGCCGCGCGTAACGGACGCAGGTGTCGGAGAGTGTGAGCCCGGATGGTGGCACAGGGCTGGCTTCGAGATGAGTGCGTAAGACATGCAGTAGAATTGGACGGGTGGTGAGAATCGCGAGCTAGTTGGTTAGCCGTGGTTTGCTTCTTAATTGACAGAATATATACCTGATTGAATAGAAGATGAAGCGATCTCGCTCGCGGGTCCAGTTCAGCTTCATGCTTCGAATCTATCCGGAGCGACAGAGGGAGGTTCTCCAGCCAGCTGCGCAAGTCTCGGAATGCCTCCTGGACCCTCAGCGATAGTGAAGTCCGAGGAGACCGTTGACCGTAGATTGAGTGAATGATGCTCCCCGATAGCCGCGATAAGCCGATCCTCGCAACGAAGTAATCACGGTCAGGGAAGTCCGAAGCATTAGAAGCATCACAGATTGGATTCGACGGCAGGTCAACTTCAATCTCGTCGTCGCGGATGGCAGCGGGATAGCCGAGTTTGGCTGCCCACATGCGATCGAAACAGTAGGCAGTCCACCAAACGCGATTTCGATGCTCTCGCACGCAGGGGTCGCTCAGTTGTGTGTCGGGCACGTTGAGGTGCAGGCCCATAATGACAGCAGAGCCAGCGAAACTGTATGCCGAGTGCCGTCGATTGAGGTACAATGAGTAGAATGACTGGGGTGATGGTAAGTTTAAATACTGTGGTAATGGGAACAGAACGAACCAGTAACAGGAGGATCTCAACCGTGTCAAGATTGGGCCTCTCGCTCACGATCCGAGTAACTCGCATCGCTTTGGCAAAGTAACGAATCCCGGGAAATGCATCCCCAGCAAAGGGGAACTTTGTCACATACATCTCGCCGATGGCGAGCACAGCCCACAGTCTACTCTTCGCCAGCAGTCCCAGCGACGAGGGCACGTGAATAGCACATTCCAAATCCGCAAGAGTCGCACTCTGTCTGATAATGTGATAGCAGCGACCGAGACATTGTATGGCACTTCGAACGAGAAAGCGTGCGCGTGCAGATCCGGGCCATGGACAGTCTGCGTCTGACAATTCGAGTAATTTCTCATCGTTAGGGAAACTCACACGGGGCAGATGCCCATGCTGTGCACTGGACATGGCCTGGCGAAACCGCGTTGCAAACGCCGAGTCGGAGGCTTCCGCAACGAGGATGGGGGTATGAGTAGTATCAATATGGACGAACCAAGGGGTCTCGGAGAGCACAGGGCCTTGTACGGGTGCGCCCTCATCATCGTCGTGGTGGTCGCCGTGCGAGCTGCTGCGAAGCCGCTGGTTTTCAGCGACTAGATTCTCAATATACCTGTCTCTTTAGCATATTGAGCAGTGGCGAGAACATAGCTTTACTTACTGCTGACTGACTTGCACCACGCGGTCCTTTTGTGGATAGACACACTCCTCCTGCTTGCCTACCCTCTGGCACCCCTCACAGGGCACTTCGCCCGAGCACTTGACTTTTCGCGCATGGCATCTGCGGCATCTGTGTGGGTTAGCGGCCGAATGTCAAAAGAAGGAGCAAATATTACGCTATCGGCTTCGTGCGATGTCGAGAGTGTTTTGGCATGGCGCGAGGTCTTTTTCTACTGATGAAAAGGAAAGAGTGATTTAAGTCCCCGAGTCGCCAAGATTCTCTGCGGCAGGTGGCGATGACCCCGACAAGGTGGAGCATTTCGGCGTGAACCAGAATTTCGCCGACGGCAGCATCCAAGATTTGGCCGAGGCCGCTGGTATATCTTGTGAGCGTCCAACAATGAGTTTGCGATATATCCACAGCGATCATAACCATGTATATACCACCGCAGACCCCTGCAGCTGGCACTGCCCTCCACCCAACACCTCCAAAACTATTCACTCCACTGACCATCCGCGGCACAACCTTCCACAATCGCCTATGACTCGCTCCTCTATGCCAATGGTCGGCCACTCGAGATGGCTGCATCACTGACTGGCACCTCATCCACATCGGCGGGATCATTCAACGTGGACCCGGACTGGCAATCATGGAGTCTACGGCTGTCCAGAAGGAAGGTCGCATCACACCACAAGATATCGGCCTCTGGGACGACGCCCAGATCGAGGGCTTGAAGAAGATCACCGACTTTGCTCATAGTCAGAATCAGCTTATCGGTATCCAGCTCAGTCATGCTGGTCGCAAGGCTAGTACGCTTCCGCCCTTTGTGCATCGAAATGCCACGGCGACGAAGGAAGATGGCGGGTGGCCGGAGAATGTCTACGCGCCATCGGCTCTGCCCTTTAACGATGCATACCCTCAACCCAAAGAGATGACGGTTGATCAGATTCAAGAGTTCAAGGCCGCATTCGTGGATGCTGCACGGCGGGCCGTCAAGACCAGTTTCGACGTCGTCGAGATCCATGCCGCACACGGATATCTGATCCACCAGTTCCTCAGCCCGATCAGCAACAGGCGTACGGACAAATATGGTGGCAGTTTCGAGAATCGGATCCGACTTTTGCTGGAGATCACCGATCTGGTTCGGGAAGCTATACCAACTGAGATGCCGTTGTTCGTCCGGATCAGCGCCACCGACTGGTTCGATGACTTTGAAGGACAAATTCCCTGAGAGCTGGACCGTCGCTGATTCATGCAAGCTTGCTCCGATCCTGGCAGAACACGGTGTGGATTTCCTCGATGTCAGCTCTGGAGGAATTCACCCCGCACAGTCGACGAGCATCAAATCCGGCGATGGCTACCAGGTTCCGTTTGCGATTGCCATCAAACAGGCTATTGGAGATGCGATGCCGGTGTCTGCGGTGGGTGGGATTCGCACTGGGAAAATGGCGGAAGGGTTTCTCAACGATGGACTGGATGCTATTATGTGTGGTCGGTGGTTTCAAAAGTCGCCTGGTCTTATTTACAGCTACGCAGAGGAATTAGAGGTCAATGTTAAGATGTCCACTCAATATGGCTGGGCGTTTAAGCGTCTCCAAGAATAGAAACTATATTCTTTTCGGGCTCACACTGTTATCGTTCTAGTACTATGCAATTAAGCAGGGATGCATCCAACACCTTCGAGATCGAGCAGCTCCTCATCCTGGAATCTGCACTTCCATTGCGGCGGCTCTCCGCTGGGGTTCGTAAGCGTCACGTTCTCAGCACGGATGTTGTCGCAAGACTATAGGGAGTTAGAAGAATCCTAGACTAGCATAGGTGGGAAAGGCTTACCTCTTCCGAGCCACAAATAAGCTGACCAGCAACAGGGTCATCGGCGCCATTAGCAGTACCCCACATATTCTTGAAAAGGACATCGGTCAGGATGACCTTGGAGGGGTGATCCTCGCACTCGCTAGCATTGATAGCTCCGTAGCACTGATCAATCTGGATAGCGAGGTTGTTGTTATCGTTGATCATGGTGTCATAGGTGACATTCCGAACATAGCCGGCACCACCGCCACCAACCCATGGAGGGTTCCCCTTCTTGATAGCCTCCGCTCCAGGCCAGACCTTGAGACGCGCAGCGGTAGTTGTGTTGGCCATGGTGTTGTTGTAGATGTACAGGTCGGAGACGATGTCGTACTGGTACGGGTAGTTACCGAGAGAGCCGACGGAGATGCCGTGGGACCCGTTGCAGTGCAGACCTTGGACGATGATGTTTGTGCTGTTTGGTTTGAAGGAGACGCAGTCGTCGTCGTGGTTGATGTTGGAGTTTTGGATGACAACGTTATCGGTGCGAAACGTGTCCCAGCCGTCCAGGTTGGAGGCCCATGCTTCAGAGGTTGAGCGGGAGAAGATGTCCATGTCAGAGATGAGGATGTCAGAGCTGTTGGCGATCAAATTGTGCCACTGGATTTCGTTTAGCTACGCATCGAGCAATGGGAAGAAAGTACTCACGTTCGGCGAGTGTCGCAGCTTGAGCCCAGTAATGGAGCCTCCGTGCCAGCCGTCGGTCAGGAACAGAATGGGACGAACGGTGCTTTTATTCGCCGCAGCCTCATCATACCACGCCTGGCCATTGCCGTGGATAGTTCCAGTGCCTGCGCCGTACAGGTGAATATCCTCGCCACCCCAGACCCACCACGAGCAGGCGTCCTGGAAGTGGAAGTGGAAGAAGTTCTGCTGCCAGAACTCTAGGTCGGTGCCGAACTCGACGGTTCCGGTCAAGGCAATGTCGATATGCTTCAGGAACCGGAGATCCAAAGGGGTACGGATGGTGTATTCCTTGTCAAGGACTACAGTACCGCCGTTGTTGCATTTACGTAGAGCAGCACGAATCTTTGGGGCGTCGTCGTCGCCCTTGCGGCCGGGCTTGACGTGGCACACCTTGCGGCGATCTCGGCGAGTGTCGAGGGGAATCGCCTTGTATGGCTGGTAGGGACCTGGTTGAATGTTGGGACGCTGTGGGACTCTGGGGTCTTTGGGACCGGGATGGGCATCCGCTTGGGGGGTCAAGGCCAGGAGAAGGCCAGCGAGAAGGCCAACGGCGCGTTTGGCGATCATGGTGGTGAGATTGAAGCTCGAGTTGCTGGTTGTCTAGCAGATCTTCCCGAATGAAGCCTTTTATACACTCCGATCACGAAGTATACTCATGCAATCGACAGCCAGGATAATCAGGGTAAACGGGGTCTTGGAGGCTCGATTCCTCCGCATTGTTCCATCAATCACAGTCCAGCATTCCACCCCGGCGTTTCTCCAGATCCTCACCTCTCCACGTTTGCATATTTAGGCGGCCCTGGCGGCTAAACACACAAGAGGGCGTTTGTGAAGGATTTATGAAGAAATTATTCCGTCAATCGAAGGCTTGGTGGGACAATGGCGCAAGCTTAAATACTTCAAGCGACTAACAATGTTTCTCATTTAGCCTGTTCTACCTGATGCCCGACTCCAACTTCAACCTCGGTCTCCGCAATCCGAAGACATAGTTGAATGCACTTGTTTTGTCTGCTTTCAAGTCCTCTAACGCGTTCTGCACCACTTCAAGCTCCCAGCCAAAGTCCTTTGGCTCGAGAATGGCGGTACCGACGATTGTGGCCGTAAGGGCTGCCGAGTTGATTACGGATTCCATGTGGATCAAGGGTGATTCTGGGACATTATGATGATGCAAAAGACATAAACAATGCACATCTCGTGCATAAAGTGGTGTGGTAAGCAAGCGGAGCCTCCCACCGATCGCTCGTCTCCCACCGGAATCCCCCACATTCCAACTCATCCCAAACGCAATGCCCAAACAATTCCAGTGCCGATTTCCAGGCTGTAATGCAGCATACACCCGAAGAGAACATCTAAGTCGCCATGCGGCCCAGCATGTACGACAGCGATCCTTCACCTGCCCAACGTGCGGAAATGAGTACGGTCGGAGGTAAGCCGCCCCTCTCCTCCCCATGTTCTGTTTTCTAATCGCGCAGTGACACTCTTCGGCGACATATTCGGCAGAATCACGGCGTAAGCAGCCCTGTCAGTCGGGTTCGAGCGTGCGACAGCTGCCGTGCGTTGAAAGCCCGCTGCGATGGAGGATCGCCGTGCAGGGAATGTTCGCGCCGTCAGATTGCGTGTTCTCTCCGTGGCACCTGCACTGCAACTTCCAGTCGAGAGGAAAAGGAGAAACGGGCGATAGCGATGTACTGGAGCGTCTTCCATCCTCACTGGCCATTTGTGCACCAGGCCTCCTTCCAGAATTACGAGGAGGGACCGTTACTCGTCCAATCTATCGTCGCCATGGGGCTGTGGGCGACGGGCGAGGAGAGCGCTCGTTCTGCCGCCGTTGAGCTCCACAAAGTCCTGGGCGCAGCTCTGTTGGAACAACGGGTTCGTACTACCTGTTCCTACTACGAGATACATACTAACGACGATCTTCAGGACAAGTGGGAGTGCCCACATCTAGATCGCGCCTCCGACTTCTCGGCGTGGCCAATCCCTACCCTTCAGGCTATCGTACTGTACATCCTGTTCGCTCTCATCTCCAAAGGCAGCGCCTCGATAGGCTTTGACTTGAAGCCCAGTCTACCCCCGGCTGAGATGGACATGCTCGCGTCTCTCGTCACAACCTGCAGGCACCTGGGAATGTTCCACTACCCGACCATCCTAGCGCAGTACTCGAATGACCACGTCAAAGCGTACATCTGGATCGGAGTGGAGGAGATCAAGCGGTTCAATCTGACCCTATTCAAGCTCTGTAGAAGTGTAGCGCCCTCGGAGGGTCGGTGTCGGCTCTCCGCGACCGAGCTGCAGTTTCCTTTGCCAACGGGCGAGGGGCTGTGGAGTGCTGTCACGTCTGCGGATTGGCATGCTGAGGCCGCGAAGGAGGGTACCAATTTGGACAAGACTCGTGGGCCGAATGAGCCGTGGATTTCCGAATCGGCGGAGCTTGTCCGATGTATTGACCCCGAGTCGGGATTTATCTGATAGAATAGAATCGCTGCATGTCGGCAGCTGTCGGGTGGCGGCCGCCTAATAATCACTTACAAATGCACCAACATACACTGCATCCTTAGTCCTCGTGGATAAATAGGCACTTTCGATCCCATAGCTTTCGACCATAAGTATATTCCAAGTACCAGAATCGACATGGTTTCAGTCAACGCAAATGATATCTTCCGTGTAGATGGCCTCGTGGCCGTCATCACCGGAGGCGGTAGTGGTCAGTGCCAATTGACCGAATTAAAAGACACTATACTGATGCATTGAGAAGGAATCGGCCTCACCATGGCGCGTGCTCTCGCTTTCAACGGAGCACACAAGGTCTACATCCTTGGTCGCCGGCTCGATGTGCTTGAAAAGGCAGCCAAGGAACATCCCAGCATCGTGCCCCTCCGCTGCGACGTGACATCCAAGCAGGACCTACAGTCCGTTGTAGACCAGATCACGGCCGATGTCGGATATGTAAATCTCGTCATTGCCAACTCGGGCAGCATCGGACCGCCCGTACGATTCAATCCTACTGCCTCGATTCCCGAACTGCGTGAAACTCTCTTCACAAAGTTCTCCATGGACGAGATGAATGAGACCTTGCATCTTAACATCACAGCTGCCTTTTTCACAATGACAGCATTCCTCCAGCTTCTCGACGCAGGCAATCGACATGCGCTGCAATCTGGCTTTGGGCGGCCCATCACCGAAGGCAGCGAGGTTCCATCCATTCAGAGTCAGGTCATTTTCCCGACGAGTATCTCTGCATTCAGCCGTCATTGGACCTCTTCGCCGCCGTACCTCACGAGCAAAGCCGCCATCATGCAAGTCACCAAGCACGCCAGCACGCAATTGGCAAGATTTGGTATCCGCGTTAATGCGATCGCGCCAGGCAGTAAGTCTCATATCCCGTATGAGGCTTGTTCTAACTACCGACGTGAAAGTCTATCCTTCCGACCTTGCGTCGGTGCTGATCCAGAACCGGAAGCCGGAAACGGAGGCGTTTGACGATCAGAGATTCATCCCGGCTAAACGCTTCGGAGGAGATGAGGAGATGGCGGGGACCATACTGTATCTTACGAGTCGAGCGGGCAGCTACTCGAATGGGTCGATTTTGATCAGTGACGGTGGGCGGTTATCGGTCATGACTGGGACATATTGAAGGACCAGGCGTTCCTGTAGGGTCAAGCGGGTTTCGCCCCAATGTTACCTAAAATCTAGGGTATAAGACCACAAATGATATGGAGTCCTATTAGTTCCACGGATCTATTGTCAGGTTTGAGGTTATTTGCCTGTAACCATTGGGGGCGGCCTGCTTTCTTCCCAAATGTAGATGATGAGACTACAAAGCGAAGATAAGGTCATCTCACAGGCAGAGCATATCTCTTATATCCGCCCATAACACCCGTCGCTGATGGACTATCGTTTCAGAAGAATACCTGAATAACCTCAGAACTGGTCGATTTCCTCGAGCGTCGCAGATTCCATCTTATACTCTAGCATCTGGCATTCCTCCAACTGATGGATAAAGTACTCCCAAGCAGTATCCTTCGTCGGGCGGAAATGGCGCAACTCCCGCTTGTATGCCTGCTCTGCGGCTTCGTCCTCCCAGCACATAAAGCAATACAGCTGCCGAGCGGGGATCCCATGGAGCTCAACCTCATGTTGGCTATAGCCGCATACTCGGGTCAAAAGTCCGTCAGCGGGTGTTTTAGGCTCGTCGACCTCATTCCCTCCCGACTCCCGGGGCAACCAAAGCGGCCCTTCGATTCTGTTTAGTGACGCCTGAGACTGTTGCGGGAGGTTGGCAGGGAAATACGCGGTCATTATCTCGTAATAGCGTGGAGGGTCAAAGAATTGGGATCGATTGAGAGGTGGTCCTTGAGATCTTGAAATCAAATTCGTCGACACCGCCCTCTGCTCAAGGAGCTCCTTGAGCGCCCGTCCAGGCTTCGTAGATGCGATCAGTTCGTCGCGGTCAGTTCTACTGCGCCACTCTGTCCTGGGCGTTAATCAGGGGCTGTGACCTGAGTAGCGGAGAAAGACTCACGAATGATAACCCATTCAGACTCGCTCTTAAGTGGCTTGCCCGTTGCAACGAATTCACAGCCCTCTTGTCGTCGAATTTCTTTGAGGAGGGCACGCTGTGCCACCTTGCGTCTTTCCTTCGCTTCGGGATTGCTATCCTCGAGGATTTTGATTAATATCCATTCAATGACGGGCCCCTGGTGGAATTCTTGCGCGGTATTCGTTATGGCGGGCTCAGGCGCGGCAGATTGAACAAGAAATCTGTTTGCGGGGGCATTCTTTTCCGCCCGTGGATTTCGGATACTTCGGCTTGTGGGGAGCGATAGATCCTTTTGTTTGGTCCTCTGGCGGGCAGAAGATCTGGTGATGGGTGTCATAATAAGACAGTAATACGCTACCACAACAAGGATTATGGGCAGGTCTCAAGTGATGTTTACCTCTCCCAATGTACGATTTTCCTAGTGTACACGGTAAGCAGTCCTACCCGGAGTAGCATAATCTTGTCAGAAGTTCTCGTCAGGGGCCACCAAACTCGTCTCCAAACCCCACGATGAACTGAAGTCACCCAGTCGAGCGGCGCTCTTTCGGCTTTGTCGGCCGCCGCTATGCCCCTACGAGACTAGTACATACTGGAGAGTGCCGCACAGCGGCGCAGGGAGCCGACGATCGCCGTGGCTCACATATCCCAGTGTCAGCCTCGTCGGTCGATGATAAAGAAGCCGCACTCTTCCGATGCAGGTCTATCAGTATGGCATCAAACCAACGACCCCGAGCAGCAAATGTATGTGTGCATTGCAAGGCCCGGAAGAAGAAATGCGACAAGGCACTGCCATCCTGCGGTTACTGTGCAAGGTACGGAGACACCCTCTTGGAATGCAGCGCGCATCAATGATCACAGCGCTAATTTTCGATAGAAAAGGATTGAAATGCCAGTACAGGCGTCCTAGATTCGCCCTGCAGCATGCAAGGCCGGTTGAGGGTATCTCAGGTATTTATCAGAGTCTGGCCAGCGAGTCTGAGTTCAATCCAACTGTACGTCCATGGCTAGTTTATTCTGATTTCCTCCGCTGCTCGAGTCCACTTACTAACTAATGGCCTGAATCCAGCTCACCCCAGCACCCAACCGATCAGAACGTACTCTTTCCCTCGAAGCCCAACGGATCATCAGTACGACAGGAAGATACCTCGACGAGATCAGCGTACGGTATTTCCAGACCGTTCACTCTTACATTCCAATCATCTCTCGAAATCGCTTCCACACGAGGCTGCTCTCATTTGGATCGACCCAAGAACCGGATTTCGCCATCCTGTTGCTCGCCATGTGCCTTGTCACATACCGCTCCGGTCCAGGGAAAGATGACACGGAACTATACCTCAGTGCTAGATCGCTCTTCTTGCAGGCGCAAGCTTTATGCAGGCCTTCGCTTCGTCTTATTCATGCGGGGATCCTCTTGGCGGTGCATGAGTACTCCCGTCGTTCCCCGGAACAGGCGTTGATCACCATTGGCGGCTGTGTGCGTATGGCACATACTGCTGGGTTGCAGCGGCCGACCTGTCCCCCGGTCCCTAAGTGTTCTAGCATGATTGAACAGGATGATGAATCGGTTGATGAGCATGCGAACACGTGGTGGGGATTATTGATCTATGAGCGGTATTATGGAGCATTTTCACCGCGCCAAGATCGTGAGTTGCTGATGCCCAACAGGATGTTTCTCTGCGAACAAACCGTCGTAGACCAGCCATTGCTATCCAAAATTCCGGACATCACCTTGACATCGTCTGCTCAGGACGGGTTCCACCAAGCAGCTCAAGCAGCATGGCTGCTCGATCGTGTACTTGACACATTATCAACCCAAGACTCGGAAGACAGACACATGCGACTGCAAGGGCTGGATTTCAAATTGCAAAGAGTCTTGACAATAATGACCGAACCCTCATCCGGGGCGTCGACCGTCTTCTGCTGGGCAATCTCTATTGCAATTCGGTAAGAGGGCACACGGACTTGGTACGACCGTGAGATAGATGGCTAATCTTGACCAGGGCGCTATACCATGTGCATTGTCGGTTACTTGACCGCCCACAGGACAGTAGGGAGCCGGCAGTCAACGGCTCTTCCGTTGCGCTTGATACTTTGACCAGAATGGTTGTAGATATCGCCGACTTGCATGAGCGGCTCTTGCCAGACCAACTTGCCACGCTTCCGCCGAGTTGTGGATATATAATTCGGGCGGCACTAGAGTACATACAGAGTAAGAGCTCGGATGTAGACACGGAGCGTAAATTACTCAAGGTAGTCAATAATCGTTTGGGTATGGCACGATAGCTGCGAATATATATATATCTCTCTCGGTCGGATTAAGAAGATTAGAGATTGTGTTCGGATAGTCGTATGCCGTTTGTACCTGATATCTTACAACCATCTCCACGACCTACTTGAGAATGTTGTCGTTGCAGTCCAGACCGTCGTCGACTCAACAAACCGGGGCCAACGGACAACGTGCGAGTCGGATGCGATTCCAGCTGCTGCCCTGTTTTGCGCGTGCAAGTGGAGCCAACCCTGCGCTGTGATTGAGTGGGCCCATGACGCTTTCCCCTTTCCATGAGCGATCCGATGGAGCAGTGCGTCACAGCTTCAGGCTCCAGATGGTTGCAAATTCGATTTCGAATCCGAATCCCTCGTCGGATGCTGACAACTCTGTCTCGAAAAGTACACCCTCCCCAAAGCAACGCGCTCGCACGTTCTGGATGAAGGTGCTACGCGATCGTTTCTTTCGCGTGCTCAACCCCAGCACCCCCGGCTAGCAGGCCATGGAGGAATATCTCTCCCCAGCGCTTCGCCAGCATCCGCTGCCCGACTCGGAGAGAAAGCGCCTGCGGGAGTTGTCCAGGTTCGCGACCCTTTTCTATTATAATTCCATTGCATTTGCTTATTGCGTAGGTATAGATACTATTGTACAGTCCGCGAACCATCAACCTTTGCCGAAGATTCACTTTCGACCCCCGTGGAGGAAAAGGAGGCTGGAATCGCCTATCTCTCGTCGGACATCACTCTCACTGCCCTCACCCAACTCGGCGTCTATCGCTTCGGATGCAATCGCTCCTTTGTCTCACTCATTGATGGCGAAAACCAACACATCATCTCCGAGGCGACCGCCTCCATCTCCCTGCGGGACAGGGAACGACACCGCGAGCTCGACGGCCTCTACCTCGGCGTTACCACCCTCGATTTGATCTTTGGAGTCTGTCCGCATGCGGTGAAGTTGTTCTCGGGACAGGAGGTGCCACATTTGAAGAATACGGATAATGTGACGGCGAACAGTACGCGATACATTGTGCGCGACTTTACACGCGAGGAATACTTCAAGGAGCGCCCATACGTGACGGAATGGCCGCACTTCAGGTTCTACGCCGAAGTCCCCATCTACAGTCCGTCTGGCCATATCTTGGGGAGCTACTGTGTGGTCGACAATAAACCCCGAATGGAGTTCAGCGAGGAGGACGTGGTGGCCCTTCAGGAGATTTCCGATTCCATCGCCCGCCATCTCGACAACGTGCGAACTGTCCACTATCACCGACGGTCGGAACGCCTGGTCCAGGGATTGACGACGTTTGTCAAGCAACGTCCGGATAGCTGGGACGAGCCGCTACCTCCTATCCCCAGCGGCGAAGCTCTGTCGTCCAGCAACATGATGACACGCGACCGCTCCGAGGTTTCGCCACCGGACCTTGGCCGCCTTGGCCAACTGTCTCTGAGTACCGAAGGAAGCTCACCGCTGTTCTCTAAAGAGGAATCTGGTGATCTAACCGATGCGACTTCCCTCTCGGTCGGCTTGCAGGATGCCTCTTCACCCAAGCACATCACAGATACTGTTGTCAATTCCTATTCACCAGAAAACTCTCTTTTCGATGGGTCGCAGGGAAGTAGCTCGCCGGGCCTGCCAGGCAAGGACACCGTTCCCCTATCGGCTCGCATCTCGTCCTTGTTCTCGCAGGCGAGCACCTTATTACGGGACTCCATAGCCGTGGACGGGGTTCTGTTTGTCGATGCCTGTCACTGTAATTCTGGAATGTTAGTATACCTTTTGAGATTACCATTCCCTTAATGCTCAAATCACTAACCCCAAAAGTGCGCCTTCAAAGACGGATTTGACCGACTGGGAGCCTCTTCCCAAGAATGCGGATCCCCGGCCTCGAAGCAATTCCCCCTGCTGTCTATCGGGCGCCCAGCGAGAAGAGACGCTCTGCGAGACCTTTGGTCTGGCCCTGGACAATTACCAGCCTGGATGCGGCCACAACAAGACCCATGCTGTTCCGAGCTCGCTTCTGCAACACCTGATTGCGGCGCTTCCCCAAGGTGGAGTATTGCACCTGGACGAGGGGTTTGAAAGAGTCGACCCGGACGCTTTAGCCTCGACCCCACTGCAGTCTATCGAAGCACCTTTCGGGATCAGCCAGACATCCCAGCCGTGTAATCGAAGCAATCCTCAAATCCTCGCAGCTCGTCTTGCGCAATGCTTCCCGCAAGCCAAGTCGCTGCTCTTCATCCCCCTGTGGGACTGGGACAAGGGACAATGGCTGGCAGGGACATTTGTCTGGACGAAAGCGGCCGACAATGAGCGGTCGTTAGGTCTGGACGAGCTGAACTACTTTAAAGTGTTCGGTGACTCGATCATCTCGGAAATCGCGCGCCTGAGCTGGTCTCAGAAGGAGAAGTCCAAGTTTGATCTCATCTCTTCTATCAGCCACGAGCTCCGTTCCCCTTTACATGGCATGCTGGCTAATACCGAGTTGCTGTCCACCTCGGCTCTCCAGCCTGAGCAGCGAGACATCGTCAAGGCATTGGAGACGTCTGGACTCACTCTGCTCGATACGATGAACCATCTGCTCGACTTTGCCAAGATTAACAATCTCACTGTCATGAACAAGGGTGGCTCTTCTGTCACGAGCTTGACCAGTACGTTCCAGTTGGATGTCCTGGTGGAAGACGTGGTCAACAGCGTGTTTACTGGCATGAGACACGCCGCTGCCGCCTCAACGCCGGCCGAAAGCCCCGTCTCTGAATCCACACACGACACGTACAAGTCGAATCTGTCGGTCGTCCTACGAATCGAGGACCAGAATCAGTGGAAGGTGAAATCCATGACGGGTGCTTGGCGACGAATCGTCATGAATATCTTGGGCAATGCCTTGAAATATACCCAGGAGGGCTTCATCGAGGCCTCATTGTCCATGGTCAAATCAAGCGCTGATAGACCGTCGGACGTTGCCCACTTCTGTGTGACTGACACCGGACGAGGAATGTCGCAGGAGTTTTTGAGGAACAAGTTATTCTCGCCCTTCGCTCAAGAAGACTCCCTGTCCGAAGGTGCTGGTCTCGGACTGAGCATCGTGAAACAGCTCGTCTCGTTCCTTGGCGGATCTATAGACGTCAAGAGCGAGAGGGGAGTTGGGACGCAGGTTGACATTTACATCCCCGTCAAGTTGCTGCCTGCGAAACGGGGTTCTGCCGTCAGGGAGGAGACGAAATCTCTGGCTAAAAACAGCAAATTCTCGCTTATCGGACTGGGCGCGTACCCTGAGCTGTCTGAAGAGCCAACGGGCACCCTGAGTCCTAAGGCCAAGCGGAAGATCTGTCTGCAAAGCTTCTTCACGGATATTCTTGCGAACCAGCCTTCTTGGAGTGTCGCGGTCGTAGAGTCAATTGAAAACGCACATGGTGATATCGCAGTCGTCGAAGAAAAGGTGCTGAAGCAAATCACCAAAGACCAGACGCTGCAAAAGCTTGCAGAATCCAAATTCACCCATATCATCTGTCTCTGTGACGGATTACCCTCTCTCGCCCTCGACAAACGCGTTGGAAGAGCACCGGTCGTCTATTTATCCCAACCGTGAGTGGCCCTCGAGTCCCATAGTGACTTCTCCTAATTTCTCCAGTTTCTCGCCGCAAAAAGTACTACAGATCCTCAGCATTCTCCCGGAACCCGAACCCTATTCCCAGCCGACTGAACTCCTTACCCCGCTGGCTGCTGCGGTTGAACGCTCTATTCCCACAAAGCCGCAGCTGAAGATATCGCCTACGAGCGCAGTGACCCCGTTGAGCGATGGGGACTTAACACCCAGCGACACGTCGCAAGTTCTCATCGTCGATGATAATGAGATAAACATCAAGGTACTTCGGATGCATCTGATGTTTTCCGCACCCCTGGCTAATCAGATTCCAGATTCTGGCCAAATTGATGTCTCGACTTGGCTACCAGCATGAAGCCGCGATCAACGGGCTCGTCGCCCTGAACAAATTCAAAGAATCCCCGGCGGCTTTTAAGGTGATTTTAATGGGTAAGCACCGAACATATTCCATCTCCCTGCACCATATCTCGCAGCTAATACGTATTTGTAGATGTCTCAATGCCCGTTATGGACGGTATAGACGCCACACGGCATATCCGGGCGTTTGAACGAGAGCAATCCTTGACGCCTGTTAAGATCTACGCAGTCACGGGAATCGCCTCGGAGTCCATGCAGAAGGACGCATTGCTGGCAGGGGTCGACGAATACCTCGTCAAGCCTCTTTCCTTGCAGAAGGTTAGCACGATCATCAAACCTCACTTATCAGAGAAAGGGTGGAATCTCAGAAACGTATGATGAAAAGATGTTGCACGATACGATATCATGACATGGTTTTTGATACCCGGATTATAGGTCGTTGTATATAGATCACATAGATAAATTTCGAATAGATTCATTCCTGGACCCTGTATCGCTATTTATGGATCACCCCGCACACGGGGTGAAATTAGTCCGCTCCAGCCAATGGAATATTGAGCAAAGTGGCGCTGTGCTCCAAAATTCCTGGGCAGCTGAACACGAAATCCCTCCCCAGAACCGTGGAACGTCAGGCGGTTAGGCCAATCAGTGGTGCAAAGGACACCATAATGCCTGGAAAAGCTTCCACAAGGTACACAAGAATCCCCGTGCGACCTATATGACCCTTGACTAATCTGGTGTACTGTGTCGATGTAGCGCCAGCATCCAGGCGGGCTGCCAGGATGCAGTCCAGGACTTCTTCAAGCGCCTCACCACCGATGAAAAATCCCTATTCCAGGCGACAGACAAATCCGAGCAATTAATCAAAGACCTCGTCGAGATCGACGAGAAGCACAAGGCTTCTGTGTCCAGAAAGATCGTGCCAAATCTTCAGTCCTTTGTGACTGGGATCGACCGGTATGGCGGAGCCATGGATGTGATTGCGGGGAGTGTGGAACTGATGTCGCCGATTTGGGCCTGTTGTCGCGTTGTACTCACGGTTTGTTGGTCGTTGACATCAGTTGGCGCGATGCATGTTGATGAAGAGTCTAGGTTGCCAAAGAGTACAGCGAGTACTTTGACAAATTGTCCGAAATGTTCGAGGAAATCGGATACAACCTGACCCGTCTGCGTCGGTATCCTCGCCTTTATCCAGACAACGATATTCTCAAGGAATCCATGGTCGACATCTTCCAGGCGATCGTCGAGTTCTGCACCAAGGCGCGAGAGGTCTTCCAGCAGGGCAGGACCCAGCACAGCACGCCCCGGGTCTTCAATTCGGTCGGTCTCCGTGCAGCCTGGAAGCTGATATGGAAGCCCTTCAAGGTCCAGTTCGGTGGGATTATCGATCGCATCAAGGGGTCCATGTCGCGCATCGAGCACGAGGTTGATCTCGCGGAAAAGGAGCTCGCCAATGAAGGTCGTGCCAAGGCAGAGGCTGAGCGGAAACTCCAGGCTGCTCGATGGGATACGCTTGTTAATCGGCAAGAGCTCGCTCAGATGAATCAGTGGCTGGCTCCGGTCAATCCTGCTGTGAATCATAACTCGGCGACGAAACTGCGGCAGCAGGGTACGGGGACATGGTTCGTGGACGGCGATCCGTTTAAGAAGTGGATTGACCAAGACAATTCCTTTCTCTGGCTGCATGCTATACGTGAGTCGAGTTTCCCAGGACAAGGTTGTATTTGACTGACGTGTTGTCGCAGCCGGAGGAGGCAAGACGATTTTGGCGTCGACAATCATCGACTGGATTCGACAGCACAGGGAAAAGCCAGGCGTCGGCCTGGCGTACTTCTACTGCGACTACAAAGACAACCAAAAGCAATCGCCGACTCGGATTATAAGTACAATTCTGTCGATGATCGCAACCAAGAACGAAGACACTTTTCGGCGAATATACACCTTCTTCGAGGAGCAGCTTAGAGAGAACCCTGCATACACGCCGGAATTCGATGAGCTCCTTCACAGTTTCAGTGATTTTGTTGGAGATTCCTTTGATGAGCTGTATATAGTCGTTGACGCGCTTGATGAGACCGAAGATAGAGAGTGTGTGGCGTATGCGTTCAAGAAGATTGCGGAAACCTGCAAATCCGCGAGGGTCCTCGTGACAAGCCGGCATGAGATTGATATCGCCAGAGCATTCGAAGGCTTGGAGAACACGTCGATCGAAGCGACGGACATCGCGGGAGACATCGAGCTGTATATCCGATCGGAAGTGGGAGCAAAGATCAAAGGCAAGAAGCTCAAGCTTAGAGACTCCAGATTGCAAGACGTCATCTGCGAACGACTCATCCAGGGGGCGCACGGGATGTTCCAATGGGTCAAGTGCCAGATCGATCAGCTGTGCAAGCTGCGCAATGATCGTGCCATCCGCAATGCCCTGGACGATCTTCCAAAGACCTTGCACGATACGTACATCCGAATCCTGCGCAAGCTCGAGGCCGAATTCGCCGACGAGGCTGACTCGGTCCAGCGCCTACTCAGATGGCTGGTGCGCGGAACAAGGAATCTCACTCTTGACGAGCTCGCCGAGTGCGTGAGTATTGACCCCACCTCAGGGGAGGGCACATTCGACTTTGACGCTGTCTTTACCGACCCCGAGGATGTCGTTGAGCTCTGTGGGAGCCTGGTCATTATTTCGTCAGAAGGCACGGTGGCGCTGGCGCATTACACGGTCAAGGAATTTCTCGTCTCAGATCACATCAGGGAAGTCATGCCGACCTTCTTTGTCGGGTGCGACGAGGTACATGCGGAGTTGGCCTCTGTATGCCTGACCTATCTGTGCTACGACGACTTTTCTGGGATACCTGATGAGAATGGTGAGACTCTTTTGCAGAACTATGCCGAATACAAGTTCCTCAAATACGCCGTCCAGTCGTGGGGAGCCCATGCCCATCTCAGTGGAAAGAACGATGCGGTATTTGACTTGACAATGAGGCTTCTTTCATCCGACAAAGATGAAGGCAACTACAGCATGTGGCGGCGCATCTATAAATTCCTCCACAAGGCGTCCGGGCAACGTGCCACGATCCCCAGTCTTTCGCCCTTGTATTTCGCCTCCTTGTTTGGACTTCCGGAGGCTGTGGCTTCTTTGCTCGAGGAGGACCCGGACTTGGATCGCATGGACGCAATGAAGGCTGGCTCCGCAGCTGGACATGATGCGGTGGTCAAGGTCTTCCTGGACCAGGAGACACCGACAGATCCGACCCTTTTGGAACAGTGTCTGTATACAGCCTCGGCCGCTGGCCAGGACGGCGTCGTCAAGCTTCTTCTCGGTGCCGGCGTCAATGTCAATGAACCGAGCGGCAAGCATGGAACGGCCCTCCAGGTCGCGGCTCTTGAAGGCCGTCATCATGTAGTATCTACCCTGCTTGGAGCCGGCGCAAACATCGAAATGACCAATCAACGATATGGTCGACCCCTGGCTGCTGCTGCGGAAAAGTGTCATACAAACACGGTGCAAGTACTGCTCGAGCACGGCGCGAAGATCAATGGTCGTGGTGGCTGGTATGGGTTTCCGCTTATATCTGCAATTGTCGGCAGGAATATGCAGCTTGTCGATATGCTTATGGATCGCGGAGCGGACGTGAATGCGATGGGTGGGAGGTATGGCTGCCCCTTAATGGCTGCGGCTGCGATGAACATGCTCGATTTGATCCAGTCGTTAGTAGCCCGTGGGGCACGTGTCAATGATGAGAATGACAAGGGCTCCGACGCCCTGTACGCTGCCTGTGTTGCGGGAAATCTGGACGCCGTCCAGCTCCTTCTGGATCTTGGTGCAGATGTGAATGCAAAGGGTGGAAAGCATCGAAATGCGCTCAATGCAGCCAGTGCCATTGGGAAGATCGACATCGTAAACCGTCTCCTTGCCGCAGGAGCAGACGTCGATTTCTTCGATGAGCACTACGGCAATAGTATCCAAGTGGCTGCAGCGGCCGGTCACGACGAGGTCGTTCGCGTACTCGCTGAGGCTGGAGTCGATGTGAATGCGCCCAGTGGAGATCGCGGTACAGCCCTCGTGGCGGCCGCTCAAAACGGACATACCAAGATCGTCGAGCTTCTCTTCGAACTCGGCGTCCCTTCCGGGGATACGTATGAGATGACCAACGCTCTGATGGTTGCCGCTCGAAAGGGATTCTCGGAGACCGTCAAGCTCCTCGTAGATCAAGGAGCCTGCATGGACGACGTCAGCACTCTCGCCACATATCCCAAGTCCAGTGCGTTGGAAGCAGCCGCGACAAAGTCCCATCTCGACACAGTAAAGCTGCTCTTGGACCTGGGCGCTGATGTGAACTACGAGAACGAGGGTGAATATGGCACTGCCCTCATCGCGGCCATTCTTTGTGATAAGCCGAACTCTGAGGTCATAACTGCTCTTCTGGACGCTGGAGCGGATGTCAATGCCACAGTGGACGTGGGGCCCTCGACCGGTGGGTGTGCGTTGGGTGCTGCCATATTCCGCGACGACTACGACCTTTGCGTTGATCTCATTAACCGTGGCGCGGACGTTAACGTGACCAACTTTGCATCCTACAACTGCCTCCAGCTTGTCGCAGTTCACCAAAAGGATCGGTTGTTGGACGTATTAGTCGACAACGGCGCGGACGTTAACCTGGCAACCGAGGCTTCCGACGACGAAGAAGGGGACGACGGCACGGTGACTGCACTGCAGACGGCCGTTCTGTACGCAAGTAAAGAGCTGGTGGAGAGGCTGATCAAGCTGGGCGCCGATCTGGTGGTCGATATTGAAGATGCTAGGTATACTTCTGCTCTGCAGGTCGCTGGTGTCCGCGATGATCCGGAGATTGTGCAGATGTTGTTAGATGCAGGCTGCGGCGTCAACGAAAGTGGAGGACTGTATGGAACAGCTTTGCAGGCAGCGGCTCATTTTGGCTGCATGGAATCGTCCCGGGTTTTGCTCGAAGCTGGCGCGGATGTGGACGTGGCCGACGCCGGGTCCAAAGGCAGTGCGCTCATGGCAGCGACTGTAAGGGAGCACACGGAGCTCGTCCAGCTTCTAATACAACACAAAGCCAACGTCAATCTCGTCGATGATAGCGAAAATGCCTATCCCCTCCAGGCGGCCGCGTTCTACGGCTACGACGAGATTGTCGATGCCCTCGTTGCCGCAGGCGCCGATCCCAACCTCGTCGGCGGCACATATGGGACAGCACTCCAGGGCGCCGCCAAGTCCGGAGAGCTGGACATCTCTCGCGTATTGCTGGAAGCAGGAGCTGACCCGAACATAGTCAGCGGGCGATGCGGCACTGCCCTGGCTGCCGCCTATACCCATGGATACTACCAAGTCATCCACCTTCTTTACGAACACGGAGCCTCCAATGGCCTTCAGGGAGGGGAGTTCGGTACTGCACTGGGTGCTGCTCTGATGGGCTCGTGCCAGACTCTGGTCATTACGCTTCTCCGAAGACACGATGCCAATCCCGACCTTGCTTCACGCAAGTACGGGTCTCCGCTGCAAGCATATATTTGCTCACGGAGAGCTGACGATGTGTTCGAGACTCTATTGGATATCGGTTCCGATGTTAACGCACATGGTGGGATGTATGGCACACCCCTGATTGCAGCAGCTGCGCACGGGGACGAGGAAGAGGCCACGGCGTTTCTCGAAGCGGGGGCACAGGTCAACATGTACGGCACGTTTTACTACCCAACGGCTCTGCATGGTGCAATTCACAACGGGCACCTGTCGCTGGTCAAACTATTCGTCGAACGTGGAGCAGACGTTCATGTCAACGACTCGTACCATGGTTCACCCCTAGAGTACGCAGCGAGCCAGGCCGAGCTGCCGATTCTCCGCTATCTTCTGAAACATGGCGCCGATATCAAGGCTCAGAGTCAAGGGAGATACCACAGCGTCCTGCAAGCAGCGGCTATTAGTGGCCACGAGACGACAATAAGATATCTGGTTAATCGGGGTGCCGATCTTCATGCAAAGGGCGGCAAGTACGGCTCGGCCTTGGCAGCAAGTGTCTTGAGCAGCGACCCCGATACTGTCGAGCTTCTGCTGAAGAAAGGAGTCGATGTGAATACGCGCGGAGGTATCTTTGGAAACGCACTTCAGGCAGCCGCCGCGAGGGGATCGATACCGTTGGTGCTTCTACTCCTCCGATACGGCGCGGATATCAACGCAAAGGGGGGCAAATACGGAACTGCCCTCCAGGCAGCCTGCGCCTACGGGGACTCCGAACTTGTCGAGCTCCTGATTGAGCGAGGAGCGGAGGTGAATGCTACTGGAGGTTTGTGTCGAACACCCCTCCAAGCGGCTGCACTGTTTGGTTATGATTATCTGTGCGAGCCACTCATGAAGAATGGAGCCACCTGGAGCCTGGTTGACCGTGGCCTGCTTCACTTCACACCGGACCGACTCGATGGTGCCGACGAGATACTACAGACTGCTCGGGAAGCAGAAGCAAATGGATGGCCCGAGGAGGAGGAGTCCGAGGATGAATGGGAGGATGAAGAGGATGTGGAGGACGAGGAATCCGATAGCGATTCTGAAGAAGACATACTCACCTGGGATGTCGAGTCTATTCCTCAATGCAGCGAGCGCAATCGCCCTATTATCGTTGCCAATGAAACCGATAAACCCACAGCCAGAACCAATAGTCTTGTGGTAAAAGAGCCTTTAGTGACCGTTACGGAGACTGCGGACTGGGCGGCTTTGGATTGGCTTCAGGTGGAATTTGGTGAAGACGGCGATCTAGCCTAGACACAATCTCGTAGTCTATACAGAAGAATGAGAATTAGCCAGAACTCCTTCCTTTCGACGGCATGGGGGCATAAGAAACAGACCAGGCGAGACTTTGAGTACGCCAGAGATCCAGCCTTTTTACTTGTGCGTACATATGGCCATTGAGCCGGATTCGGTAGAATCCTCTCGGATGTTCAGAGACACCGAAGTGACTTCATCCTCCATAGCGGTTCTCGTATTGGCGGGATTCCCCCACATGCCAACTCGAAGTATACGAGGTGCAGGAGGGAACCCGCTGCACGGAACTTGGAGTCACCCCGAGTTTCTCAGTCGTGGTCTGCCATAAGAAGAGCATCGAGGACCTGCGATCTCAATCGTGAAACACCACTTTCGCTCATCCTTGTTACGTCGCATAACCATATAGTTGAAGAGCAATTGTTGAGATGACATCCACCGCAAAGGACGCCACTGTGACTCTTTATTGGTATGTCTCGCTATTTGTCAAGATCGGTTCTATGACCGTTCTGATAGAGTCAGGCTCGAGCAGTCCCGCGCCCATCGAATCCTCTGGCTGCTCGAGGAGCTCAACATCCCGTACGAGCTAAAGACCTTCAAACGGGGTCCGGACAAGCTCGCTCCAAAGGCATTGAAAGATATTTATCCGCTGGGAAAATCACCAATCGTGACCATCTCACTACCAAATGCAGAGTCTCCACTAGTCCTGGCTGAGTCTGCATTCATTGCGGAATATCTCTGCGACCACTTTGGTGGCGCCCATCTCGTCCCGCAGCGGTTTGCTGGTGCAAACAAGGATGGTCAAGTTGGAGGTGAGACGAAGGAGTGGCTTCGCTATCGGTACTACATGCACTATACAGAGGGCAGCTTGATGCCGAATCTAGTGATGAAGGTTGTGACGAACAGTAAGTTTCTCTGGGAGTCTCGAGTTGGAGCTGACGCGAAAGGGTACAGTGCTCCGAACCGCACCGCCGGTGTTTGTCCGGGGGGTTTTCAGTTTTGTCGCCTCGAAAATAGAGGAGAACTTTCTAAACAAGAACTTTGTGGATCATCTCGACTTTCTAGAAAACCAGCTTCGCTCTGCTCCCGGCGGCGGGCCATTCCTCACGGGCCAGAAACTGACTGTGGCCGACATCATGATGAGTTATCCGGTAATCGAGAGTATGAAGCGGATCGTCGGGGTGCAGAAGGGGACTACAAAGGACAGATACCCACTACTGTCTGCGTACGCAACCCGGTTGCAGGATTGTGAGGGGTACAAGCGAGCAGTTGCGAAGATTGTTTCCATCGAGGGACATTTCGAGGCGTGCTGATTGTGTATGCTAGAAACAGTCAATGTGTAGTTCTAATACAATACATGTCCAGACGCTTCTGAGACATCAGCTACATGTCTCAGCCTCTATATGTCATTGAGATTTACATAGCTGGCTTGTTTGTGATATATCCGCCAGCTCATGTTAAAGCCCCTACTGGCCTTGATCCTTTCACTGAGCTTAGTCGATCTTCCTACCAATTGTCTTTACTTCGAGGCATGGGGAGTGCCCGAGTTTCCGCTTTCCCGAGTGTCTTCTTTGTAGCTTGGTGTCGTGATTGTGTGTTTCTGATGCCAACTGGGGCCATTGCCAACTGGATTCCTTGTCTGGTGGCTCTATTTCATTGACTTGTTTTAGCACTCTTCTTTCACTCGTTTTCACCAGGCAACCGTTGGCATCCGCGTGAAAGCGACATGTGCAAGGCGCTAGAGGCCGGTTGGATTCCACAGTTTGAGATCTTTCAAGAACGGGGCCTCAAGCTTGGACATTCAGAGGTTGAGAGTGACCGGGAGTTGTTTGCCGCAGACAACAGATGCCGATATTCCGAGTTGCTCAACAGGGCGGCGCTTGGAGGATTTGATATGCCCAAGTATGCGTTTGATCATGGACTCGATTGCCCGGACTGGGCGGCCAGTCATTTTTGGAAAAGACAAGCCTTGCTTGAAATCATCAAACGGAAGAATCTCCGTTCGCTGAAATTCCTCTGGGAGAAAGGAGTCCGGCATGCACTCAACTGGAGGGACCTTTCGGCCGCAGTCTCCGGCCTCGTAAAACCGCCTGTCGACCGCGAGCTGGCATCTGAGATTCTGACTGCGCTATTTACCACCAGCACTGATTTCTAGCCGACGATTCTGAGGACTGTTCGAGAGAGTTGGGCAGTGGAGGCTCTGATTAAATGCGGCGCCAATCCTCTCCGACTCGAACCCTCCCACCATAACGAGCTGGGATATGCGGCGGCAAGGGCTGCAATCGACACTTTCAGGGCCCTGCTCCACTCGAAGCATGTGCTTGGTATGCCGGCGGAGGAGCTGAAACGGTTGGTAGACAAATTAAGGCTCGAGGCAAAGTCCCAAGGTCACTGGAGCAATGTCAGAGTCTTGGACCAATTTGCATCAAAGCATGGTTTCTGGCTTAGCTGGCAAGAACAAGAACAAGAGCGTGGAAGAAGTCAAATCGAGGGAACACAACAGAACAGACAAAATACAACGAACAATTGCTACTGCATGCTAGGGGGATAGATAATGGACCACTGTATGGAGGTATAGATATGAACCAGAGGATCTGAAAAGAGCATGCAAAACGAGACTAGCATCGTCGATTTCAGCCCTGCGTATTGGTCACTTGTAGTAGGAAGACGGATGATAATGAACCATTGATAGACACACTACCGTGACGATGCCTTTTGCTTCCAAAGTTCCAACTCTTTGTAACTTTACAAGCCAGCCCTACCACTGCCGAGTAACCTAGCACCAGGCAACCCCAACAAGAGATAACCATGCCTTTGTGGACAATCACCATCAAGTATACCCCTGAAAGGCGGCTCCCGCTTCTGACGCAACGGCAAAGCAGCCTTTATACCATTTAAGGTCAGCCGGCGGGTCCCTCCAAAGGAAATGATTTGCCTGGTCAGCTCCCAGGAGGGTCAGAATGGCCAGTCCTGGTGTTAACTGCGAATCCGCGAGCAGCATGACGTGGAGCTGAAGCGCAAAAGATTTTAAGTACCAGTTATATCCTCTCAGTGGGTGATAGGTTGTCTCCGACGAGTAATGTGGGAGGATATGGCTGTCAGTACCTTTCGCTTAGAGCATATCAGGGACTACACTATGTTTGTTTTTGTGTAGCGCAGTGGTAACCTCCTGCGCCCAGGTTTTTTTTGCGGGCGGCGGTTCGAGTCCGGGAAGACGCTCGGGATGGACAAGACACTTTTTCGCAGATATTAAATACTAGTTTTCTCGCAATTCCTTGGATTGTATTAGATTTACGTTATATTATCTAGTTTCCGTCGACTAGTTGCTTCTTTTTTTCACCAAACACGTCACTAGATGGGACTGGTACGGTGAGGTGGATAACAAGTCGAGATATATGTCTTATACTGCTGCCCCTTTCCGTCAAGGTGAGCCTCGATTCCCGGCCAAGCTTGTACGTAGGTGAATTTGGCAGAGGCTTCATTGGCAGACGGTTAGCACTACATTGGCTATTCTCTAATACTCCAATGACAAAACTCTTGTCTTGATGCTCAGCTCTCGCCATCCGGACCGGATCCGGGCCGGACGAATTGCAGCGTCGGCCGAGCATCAGCCGAAAAGTGTGGGGTTGCAGTTCCCCACACTTTCTCTCGCGACGCAGGAATCAAAATCCCCTGCTTTTGCTGGGGGAGAGGAGACGAGTTCTCATCACCCCATCTCCGCCATTTCCCCATGGCCGCCAACGCTAGACGCTCCTTGCAAGCCTGCACGCGATGCCGGCAGCAAAAGGTATCCGTGGACCCCTTGCAGTCACCGTCCTCAACTGACCGGGGCGTCTGCAGATGAAATGCTCCGGCGAAGCCCCTTGCGAGCGCTGCGCCAAATTCGGGCGCGAGTGTGTCTTTGAGGCGGCCAACACCGTCACCACCACCAGCTCCGTCACCAGCAACTCGGCCCCGATCCAGCAGCCGCTGACTCCCTCCGACCGCTCGAACCCCCTGAATTCGATCGACCAGGACGACCGGAGCGAACCGCGCGGCCGTAAACGAAGTTTCCACGAAATCATCCACAATCTTGATTACGGTCGGAGATCCTATTACCCCCCTGCTCGCTATGGGGAGCTCGTTCCAGAGGGCGACACTCCATACTCCACCGTTCAAGGGCTGGAGGATCACCAGCTGTGTTCGCCAGATTACAAAACCCTCGGCACTGCTTCAATCAGCAGCACCAAGTCTCTGGCCTCGTGTCTGGCCGACGCCAACATCACCGTCGCCGAGGCGCACGAGATGTTTGCCCTGTTCGGCGAGCGAATGGCCCCCTTCATTCCAACATTCTATGCCACCGACTTTGGTCGCCTGCCCGCCGAGCCTGTCTATGCCCTCGCCGCCATCTATACGATCGCGCGTTATCTGCCCGACTCGAGCAGCTTACGCGGTCGCGTCGGCCGCATCTTGCGTTCTCTCCTCGCCGACCTGGTGCTTTCTCCGGCGACGAGTGATCCAGTGACTGCGGTCGGGAACATGCACGGTCTCGTCATCCTCTACGGCTGTGCTGAGGCGACCGGCCCCAGCCCCGGTAGCACGCCCGAGTCGACGGATAGTTTTGATATGCTCACCCTCAAGGGGATTGCCGAAGCATACGCCGTCAAAACAAAGCTGGGCGTTGACTGCTATCTCGCCAAAGTGTCCGTTCAGCTGCCTCTGCTCTGGGTCGTGTGGCTGTACACCATGAGCCATCAGTATGAGTGACCCCTCCAAGTTGACCCCACCACCTTCCCTCGCTGACCCCAGTTTGTCTTAGCTGCGCCGTTATCCATGGCTGCCCCCGATCCCTCTCCGGCTCTGCAGAGCTCCTCCGCGCCAAAGCTCTCCTCGAGCAGAGTATTGACCATCCGCGAATTCGCGTGCTCCTTGGCGAGTGCGACTTGTTCCTCCTCTGGGAGAGACTAATCAACGCTCCTGGCGCATCCCCAGCAACCATTGAGGATGCCTTGCACGTCTGAAATGTTGATTGGTAGCGCTCCTTCACCAGTGGTAAGCATTCCAACAATGAGAGTTCTATATGGTTTGCTAACGAACCATGTGCGCAAAGCCCCAAGCGCCGGGCGACACTTGAAGTTTCACTTCTTCTTCACGCGTTTCCACCTTCTCACCCACCTCCTGGATACAAGCGGTGAGCATCGCGTAGCATTTGCCGAGAGTCTTGATGCCGCCCATGACTTCCTGCAGTGTATCCGGGGTCTCTCCCCCATCGCAAAGGACCGTCTTCGCTACCTGGGCGATTTCGCCTTTGTGTTGATGGCCTATGTCTCCTTGTATATCCTCCGGGCGCTCACGTCAAACGTAACCTCCCCAGCACGCAGGATCGAGTTCCTCCAGCTGGTCAATGAGCTGGGAGCGATGATGCAGTCCCTTGGCCCACAGGTCGACACGCGTCCCTCAGTCTATGGGGTCGCCCTCCGGTCAATGTGCAAACAACATGAAAACTCGCCGCTAGAGGACTTGCGTCCCCGTGTTGACAGCGTCCATCTGCCGCACGGTCTTGTGAGCACGCCAACCCTCACTCAAGACTCGCAGACCGAGCCTGAGCTCTCCATGCCGGCGGACGCGACGATGGACCCGGCCATGCTCAGCCAGAGTCGCTATTCAACGGAAATCTGGGGTTTAAGTCACGACATGTCGATTTTTGACGGCCTGATAGCGGGGATTCCCGTGCCGGATGAGACATGATTCGCCACCAAACTGCGGAAAATGCCACCATAAATTCCACCTACTCGTCGTGGCGACAGGGCGGGGTGTTGTACTCACTGGTGGGACGGCAAAGGCACGTATCGACCCTCACTCGATACGCACTATCCGAGTACCGTCCGGCTGTTATCTCCATGCAGACCATGCGAGTCATGGTGGTTGAGGCCCTTCCACTCGTAGGCTGATGGCTGAAAATTGGTAATGGGCGTTTATATAGACCGCTTTCGGGATCGCACAATGCGCCACTGCATTCATCCGAGGCAGATACGATTAAGTCGACATTCTGAGGCTGCACACATGAGAGTTTTCCAGATCTGGTTCCAGTCGCATCTTGGTTCATGCGAATTATTGGATTGCTCTGGCTTTTTTACTTGAAATCCACCCGCCGGGAAAATGGACTACGGCCTAACGCTCTACGAGCAGGCGTGGACCGATGATCGCTGCGGATAATGTGAGTTACAACCCGCTGATCATGACTATCTTATGTATGGAAAATAGTAAACGTGCTAGGGCTCTGCCAGGATGAAGTCCTTGGAAGGACTTGCAGCTTCCAGGCCTGCCGGGTCGGGTAAAGGATGATTATCCGTCGTCGGCCATGGAAGAACCGGCCAAAGAGCTGCAGACTACCCCGGATTGCAAGCGCTGCGTGCCTTTTGCATCGGCCGCTGGTTGTTGCCCTGACATCAGTCACCCACGCTGCTCGAGGCCAGCCTGCCGGTCCGGCCGTCCTTGCCAAGTGATCAATTACAGGCTCGCACAGCTTGGAAGTGTCGTAGATACCAAGAATATTTGTTGTGTATAAAGCTTCTGAACGTCTGCTACATTTCCTCGGTCCAAACAGGTTACAAACAACATGTTGACCAAGGTTCTTCTTGCCGCTATTGCGGCTCTCAGTGCGCTACCTCTTGGTGCTCTAAGCAAGCCAACACAGCTGCCCCTGCTCAAACTTCTGTATGGAACGTGGCAGGCGAGCAAGTACAGCCCTGAGACAGACGTATATTTCCCCTGAGCACCGTCGGCGGCGGGGTCACGTAGCTGACTGCCATCCCTCAGTTCTACACATTCGAGAATATCCGCTATGCCGCGCCTCCCGTGGGCCCTCTGCGTTTTGCTAGACCGCAGCCTCCCAAGCGTATGAAAGATATTCTAGATGGATCGGTCAGCCACATTTGTTACCAGACGCCGGACGAGTCCAATCCTGGCAATCGATATGCTGATCACAATCAGCTTCACCAAAGGATCGAAGACTGACATCGATGCATCAGGAGTAGTGCGCGGTACAGATGGTAATGCTATTCTGGTGACGATTAACTACAGGGTATGGCCCTTTCCCACGCGTCGACTGTACTGTGCTAACAAAGCCAATCAGCTGGGGGCTTTTGGCTGGCTCGGTGGATCGGAAGCCCGTCAAGCAAAGGCAAATAACCTGGGCTACATGACCAGCGAGCCGCGCTGGAATGGGTACAGAAATATATCCATCTTGTGGGAGGAAATCCGCGCGACGTTAGGGTCTGGGGCCTGTCTGCAGGTGGGGGTCAATTATCCCGCACATCACCCAATACGGGGGACGGCGAGATCCCCTCTTCCAAAAAGCATTTGTTCAGAGCCCGGGCTGGTTTGCCGAATGGGATCTCCCCGCAGTCGGCAGGGGGCTCACCAATTTCACAAAAGCCCTTGGATGTGACACTCGCGCCACGTTCGCCTGCTTGCGCAGCGTGGACGCGAGCCAGATCCATAACGCGACTTCTCTGCTACGCAGAATCGGGCCAATTAAGGATGGCGACTGGCTTGAATCCGATCCTCTCATTGCGCTCAAAGATGGTAAGAGACTTCGACTTCATTCCCGACTGAAAGAATGGACCGCAGCTGACATGCAGCGCGCCAGGTGGCTACTGCAAATGCATAGAGTCCGTCATCTCCACCCATGTCCAACATGAGGTACCCTGGTTCCTGGGCCCTATTGAGAGTGATGCCGATTTCGTCTCTGGAATGTTACTCGCCTTTGAAGACAACGCGGCGTACGCCGAACCGAGAAGCAGTATCCCGTACCCAACGTCGCGGGTTCGCCCTTCACAACGCATGCGGACCGTGCTGCCGCGGTCATATCCGACTATATATTCGTTCGTAACAGCGTGGCGCTGGCCAAGGCGTTCTCCGGCAAAGCCTTTGCTGGTATCTTTTTGAGCCGTGGGGCCCTGCATGCGAATGATTTTGAGATCCCTTATTATTACGAGGGACCGTTGAATCTGACCACCCTCGACCCGAATCTGGCACTGGCCTATCAGTCCGACTTTCACTGTCAGGCACCGACCGGTGATGCCAATGCTCTTAGAAACGTCAGCACTACCCCGGTATGGCCGCTCTTCCGAGCTACTAACCAGGCCAAGTTCCTGAAAGTGACCGATGAAGGCTTCGAAATAGTCAAGCATCCTAGGTTGGTGTCTCTTGCTAGCTTCTGGAATGACATCTTCCTCCATCTCAAAAAGCTCAGCCTCTCGCGCAACAGGCAGTTTGGTTTGGGCATTCACTTTACAAGGCGATAGTGTAGCAATTTCAGTAGCAATGATGATTTAAGAGTGTGCACCGATAACATATCGACCTTCAATGGTCAAGTGTTGGCGTAAAACATGCGAACACCTCCACGCTTACTCTTGTTCACGCTGTTTCTTACCGATTGGATAGGAAGTAGACAGATATACGTTGAAGTGCTACCGCATTGTAAACCACAGTCTCCACGACCCATGCAACTCCATACACCACCCAGTGGATATGTGCTTAGTACGAGAAGATCAAGGTACTGGCCTGGAGTCAGAGACCAAAACGACATTGTGGAAAAGGGGCTACGATTGATCTGGAACTCGGGTCATTACTTCTTCTCGTCAAACGCATGGGCCTATGCTCTCTTCCGGGCCGGTTCTTCTGCTTTGCCCATTCCTCGCCTGTCTGGACCGAATTACCGCTGTCTCGCGTGCTCCTGGTTTGGTCCCCAGCCTCCAGGGATCCGATCCCTCAGCTCCAGCTCCACCTTGCGTATTTGACTCGCAACCCCATGCTTGGCAGAGTGTCTGGGCTCTGGTCCACGAGGCGGAGTGGGAAGTTTGGAACACTTCTCCTTTCATCATTATTGCTGGCCCTTTTTACTGCAGGGGTTTCATATCTCGAAACTCGGGGCTGCAAAGGGGCGGCCTCTCACCAGAGCCGGCTTTCTTCTTTTAATAAATCCATACCGGGTCTTAAAGGCAGGCAGTCCCACAGTCACCCCGGAATGCCCAGTATCCTCGCGTTCCCGTCACTCCACCCATCATCCTCCGACCCGGACGTCACAGGATACCGCGAAGTGACTAGGCGCTGGAATGGATCCGTTCCTGGTAATTCAAAGTGTGCTCCTAATTCTCGTCACCGTCTTCATGATGCTGCGCATCTATAGTCGCTGGTGGCTAATGCGGGCTCTCGCCATGGATGATGCACTGGGGGCTTTTGGTTGGGTATGATACTCGCCATTCCGACACACAGCGATGCAGCTCACACGTTCTCTGCAGACGATCTACAACGCGCGTGCCATTACATACTACGTGGTTCTGGCGACCATCAAGAGGGAGGAGGAACCGCAGAGGCTTATCGTGAGTTTGTTTGTCTGTCCGGCTGGTCGACTGGATCTGGGCTAAGAAAAACGCGATAGATGGGAACGTGGCTCATGATCCTGCTTTACTCGGTAGGCACGTGTGCAATCAAGCTGTCGTTTGCAGCAACTCTTTACCGCATCGTGCAACACACAACGACGAGCAGGAGCATTGTAGTAATTGCCGGTGCAACGCTCATCGTGACAATCCCCCAGTTCGCGACGACTCTTTTCCACTGCCGCCCAGTCAGTGCTCTCTGGACGGGGCCCACGCCTGAAAACAATTTTCAGCGTCATTGCAACCCCGATGCGCTCTTCCAAGGCAGCATTCTGGTCCACAGCATCATGATCCTAGTGGCAGACGTGGCCCTGGGGCTCGTGATCCCAATCCTTCTGCTACGAAAAACCCAGATGCCGTTGGCGATCAAGATCTCGGCCGGCCTCACAATTGGGGTGGGATCATTGTACGTGAGCGGAGCACCCCTTTCTCACCGCAGAGCCATGACTAACCTCTGACTGGTAGAGCGAGTGTTGCGACGGTGGCCCGGGTGGTGTACACCACTCTCCTCCTTATGGGTGATGCCGTGTTGGACCGGCTGGTCATCTGGATGGATATTGAGTTTGCGGTGAGCATTATCGGAACAGCCGCAACTACGCTGAAGCCACTGCTGTACAAGACAGGGATCCTGCCCCAGACCGGCTTCAGCGCGGACCCGGACAGTGGCGTGGCGTATCAAACACGCAACCTGCACATCCGCGTTGAGGAGGAGGTGGCGATCTGGAGCGAGGCAATGGCCGAGGGGATCGCCCTCCAGGAGCGGCCCAAGTGGGAAGCAGGAAGCGAGCAAGAGCGGGGTCGAGTTTGAAAATAGACAAGGAATAGCACACGACGAGCATGAGCAGTTGTCGTCCGGGCCGGACCTCCCGGATGAACCGGGCGACCGGCCGTTTATCAGGAGCCAGAATTCCCCAGATTAATGCCCAGACCATCGTTATCAGAATCAGATCCACGGAGCAACAAGAATGAACAGCCCTGCGATCCAGGTAGGCGAGGCAGGGAAGCCCGTCATCGAGCATGACGAGGCCCCCAAAGGTGCGCCCGTGTCCGAAGCGGAGATCGGGCGCTCAATGGGCTTCTCCGACGAGGACCAGCAGCGCATCAAGCGCCGCATTGACCGGCGGCTGATCCCGATCGTCGGCCTGATGTACTGCGTCTCGCTTGTCGACCGGACCAACGTCGCCGCCGCCAGTGTCGCCGGGATGCTCGAGGATCTGAGATTGATCGGCAACCGTTATGTATGCGCTGGCTATTACTGCTGCTTTGTCCGTGCACTGTGCTAACGGCTGTTCTGTAACATTATTCGGTGATTGTCCTGGTCTTTTTCACCACGTACGTCGTCTTCCAACCTCCATCCACCGTCCTCGTCCGCTGGCTGGGCCCCCGCATCCACCTGGGCGGCATCACCTTCCTCTGGGGAGTCGTCATGATCGGCATGGGCTTCACCAAGAAGTGGGACCAGCTGGCCGCCCTCCGTGTGGTTCTTGGTCTGTTTGAAGCGGGATTTTTCCCAAGCTGCGTCTATCTCCTCAGCACTTGGTATACTAGATGTATGTGGTTAGCACGTCTTTCCTCATGGGGGTTTCTTTATCTGGAATTTTCGCTGACATCGATCATGACTTCTCAGACGAGATGGGCAAGCGTTATGGATTATTCTACGCCTTTGGAGCAGTTGCTGGCGCCCTGGCTGGCCTCATGGCATACGGGGTAGGAGGCTTCACGATACCTTTATCGTATGAGAGACTGACGTCGTTGTCTTACAGCTCGTTCATCTTGATGGGGTCAGAGGCATGGGAGGCTGGCGGTGGCTCTTCATCATCGAGGGCATCCTCACGTGTGTAATTGCCATGGCCGGATACATCCTTCTCGTCGACTTTCCGGACTCGGAGAGGAACAATTGGAAGTTTCTCTCGGCCCATGAGCGCGCATGGGTGGTGGCGCGAGTCAACGCCGACCGCGGGGATGCCAACGCGGCCAAGTTCTCGCTCAAGCTGTTTGCCCAGCCAGTGTTGGACTTCAAGCTCTGGGTGTTTGGACTGCTCTTCTTCTGTACCTCCACCCAGGGGTATGCCCTCTCCTTCTTCACTCCGATCATCCTGACGGCGGGGATGGGCTTCGACGCCACAGCGACACAGCTGCTGCAGATTACCCCGATGCTCTGGGCCGCCTGCTGCATGTTTTTTATCGGCTGGGTGGGCGATAAATGGAGGATACGGGGCCCGCTCATTCTCTTCAACATGTCTGTAGCGATACTTGGGTTGGCCCTCATTGGATTCCACAACGTCGTTGGCGTGCGCTTCCTCGGGCTCTTCCTGGCGGGAGGTGGCATCAACAGCAACATTCCGCTGCTGATGGCGTATCAGGCCAACAACATCCGTGGCCAGTGGAAGCGTGCCTGCGCCAGTGCAATTTTTGTTGGCTTCGGAGGTGTTGGGGGCATAGCTGGGAGTTTGGTCTTCCGGTAGGTTTCCTTAGGCCTCCGCTACACTCGATTTTATGTTCATGTTTCGGCTGACACCCTCCCTCCAAGTCCATCCGATGCCCCGCTGTTTCGACCGGGTCTCTGGGCATGCATTGCATGCTGCCTCGCAAGCATTGTCATGGTTGTCCTGCTCAGTGCTTATTCCTGGTACATGAACCGCCGTGCCGATCGCGGCGAGATTGTACTCGAAGACGAAGAGGATTCAGAGGTATGCGCTGCGACTACTCGTGGGAGGTGAGACTGACAATTGAACCCAGGTTGCTGACGAAGCGAGATTAACCTTTCGATATACGTATTAAGTTGGTGGTTGTGTTTTGTGCGCCTCAAAGTGCAAGAACCAAAGAGAAGAGGAGTGCCAGTACAGGCTCAACAGGGACGAGATACTCCCAGCCGGATATAGTTGATTTTGAATCTTACCCTAGTCCTGTAACTTGTCCGAGCTGGCTAATACGGCGAGCCTTGCCTTTCGTGTATTGAATAACAGGGACTCTGATTCAAAGAACAAGAGGGATATTACGCTCTTCGCATTAATGTGGCTACCATTTACATCTCCATTGCTCCGACATCTGATAGCATAAGATGTAGGCTGCTAATGGTGGGGCATATATCCTGACGAAGTGAGTTCCGGAATAAGTCTATATACCGCGGAGCGTGCGTTGACCTGCAAGCTTGTATGAAACATACAGGATATCACATGAGCTAGCTATCCTACATTCCAATCTTCAAGTTCCCGGTCAGAGGGAGCTTCCGGCTGCTGGAACCGACGTAGATCTTGTACTCGCCGTTCTGTAACCGCCACTTCTGCACCATTGGATCCCACACACTCAGGTCTCTTCGAGTCAACCTGAATTTTACCTTTTCTACCTTGCCCGCGCGGATGGTTGGTTTCTGGAATCCGCGGAGCTGTTTGACGGGGCCGGCGGGGATGCCAACGTACAGCTGGGCTGCTTCGGCGCCGGTTAGAGAACCGGTATTCTTGATCTCAGCCGTCACGGTCGCGACCACGTCCCAGAGGTCAGACTGGCCTCCAGATACAATTGGACCCTCGGGGTACTGCTTGGCGTGGCGTTTGTCGGTGCGGATCTTGAGATTCTGATACTGAAAGGTGGTGTAACTCAGGCCGAATCCGAACTCATATCGGGGTTCAATGCCATCTCGATCAAAAGGGCGGTAATCAATGTAGACGCCCTCGGAGAAATCGCTTTGGGGAAATCTGGCAAATTCCCCTTCTGGGAGGTCGGGGAGGAGCAAAGCGCCATAGTCGGACTCGTTCTTGGCCAAAGTGTACGGAAGTTTGCCAGAAAAGTTGACTTCCCCATAAAGAAGTGATACCAGGGCTTTGCCAGTGTCCTGGCCGGGGAGATGCGCAAAGACAACTGCAGTGACGTTGGGATGGTCAATCCAAGGATCCACCACGCGCGGGCCAGCGTTGTGCAGAATCACAATCGTGTTGGAGCACTTTCGAGCCACGTTTGAGATCAGCGTATCCGTGTAGTCATCTCTCAAGCCCCCGCGATCCATAGCCTCAGAAGCCACTGCATTACCAAAGACGAGGCAAGCATCACTGACGCCGGAAACTATGGGGTCGGACGAATGGAAGTCCCAGTACAACTGCGTGTTGTCTTGATCGGCGCGGACCATGAAGGTGTCAAAGGGGGAAAGAAATGTCGACAGCGAGGTCGCGCCGGATCCCCCGCCAGAGATTATAGTGCCGTTGTAGGCCGTGGGGGAGAGACTGCGAGCCACGCCGTGTTCCGAAAGCAGGATGCCCTCGATGAGCTCGCTGGTGTTTCCAGATTGGAAACCCCAGCCCCAGGCCGATGGCCCGTCGGCTGCAACCATGTTGCGGTCCGGGGCCTTTCCCGAGTAGCCCAGGATCGAGAGTAGCTTTGGCGTCTTCAAAGGGAGTGCCCCTTTGGTGTTTTTCAGCAGGACATGCCCTTCAACGGCGGACTGTAACAGAGTCGGCCTGTCCGAGGCTTTGCGGCCCTCGACAATCGCGTGGGGTAGTGCGAGGTTCTTTGCCAGTCCCAAGCCAGGCTCTGGAAATTTCGAGCCTTGGTCCAACTGAAACCACGGCGCAAGAATCCTTTGAAGACGGTCAGCTCCATCCCAAGGTGTGACATTGAGCTAGCATACCGCACGACCATGTCATCTACCCTCGACTCTGCAACAGAGCCATTGTGCACAGATTCGACAAGGTTCGGGCCCCAAAAGTCGTATGGGACTGGCATGGCCATGTCTAGACCAGCCAGTGCAGATGCAACGCCCGAATGCTGAGCGTTCCAGTCTGTGACGACAAACCCCTAATCCCAGGTTAATACCTGCACACGGAGACGGAGAAGGGTAGGAATACCTGGAAGCCGAGTTCCGTTTTCAGGATACCGTTCAGGGCCTTGCTGTTCTGACACCCGTAGGAGTTGTTGATCCGCTGGTACGAGCACATGATACTGCCGGTACCAGCAAACAGCGCATCTTGGAAGGGCCTGCAAGGCAGGTTGTCAGCCTTGATGCGATGGCAGAGGTGAGAGGAATTAACCAAAGATATAGTTCGTGCATGGTCACGTCGTCAATGTTGGATGAAACGGCAGCGGTCAAGTTGGAACCGCCGCGGTGAGACTCTTGCTCGTTGGCGATATAATGCTGCCAGGGTTGGCCTCGCTCTCAAGGGGTCTGGTCTCGACTCCACCTACCTTGGTTGTTGCGACCACGCCGGCCTCTTGAGTTCCGAGCACGGTCTCTCTGACAAGAACGCCGGAAAGATACGGGTCGACCGAGTAACCTAGGCACCTGTGAGGTTGCGCACCAGAGATGGACACTGAGTGAGGGCTCTCGACCTTCCCAGTTTCTCCCACTAGTCACAACGCGGCCCAGGGGACCGACTGAAGGTCCAAGCATGACATTGACCCCTTTGCGCCTAAACTCGCCCCCTTGGGCCACAGCCTTTTTATAGGTGAGGTCGCTGTTCCATCTGCGCACTGTCAGTCGTTGCGACGTGTAAACGGGACCATGGTGTGGGATCCCATACGAGGCGCCAATATGAACGTTGCTCGGCCAAGAGTGAACAAAATCCGTATTGTGTACGCCGTGTCCAGCGTCCTGGAGGCACATGCCAGGGAATTCCACACGCTCAATGGCGGCGGTCATTCCTGCACAGCCGGTGGTTGAAGGATAGCCGGCCGTCATATTGACCTGGCAATGGTCAGCCCCCAATACCGAGCAGGAATCCCACAGACATCGCACCTTTTCCTCCAGGGTTAGCTGGGAGACCAACTTTTGTGCCTTCCGGATGGCCGATCGCCAGTCTCCATGGGCCTTTACTTCAGCTACGCGGGCGGAATTAGAGAGTGCACACTGGACAACGGAGAAAGGGTGATCGCACGAGCAGGATAGACAGGAGGCGACTGGCCGTAAAAGTACGTGTCATCGGTGATCTTCGGAGACGTAGCCCCGCCGATGGCGAGAGAAGCAGCGAGAAGCGCCAGACCACCACACAACATGCTGAAGGAGATTTGCGGAATGAACAACTGTGCACAACAGAAACCGTGGTTGGCCACAAGGTACGCTTTATCTTCGCGAGGTCGGCCTGTCTCGACCGCACTGGAGATCAACAACGCGCCTGCTGCCAACGAAAACTGGGGAAGCCGGCCGGCCCGGTGATCAGTGATCTAGACGAACCGTCGGGTGAGGGACCATCTCGAACCCGAGGTCGAATGGAACCTTTTCCCGGAGCGAAGTCTCGGACCTGTTCTGGACGGGGGTGACTGGCTGTAAGCGAGCCGTATCTCCATGACGAAGGCCGAGGTCGAGTTGGTTCCGACTTCAACAGTGGCGCTGAAGATGTACACTGCCCTGAAGCCCCTGAACCGGTGCAGCAGAGATCCTGCGATCTGTCAAGGCCACGAGATGTGTCTACGCCTCATTCTGGCTGGTTCCGGGCGTTTGCAGCTAGTCAGAGTCTCGGATCCAGCCTGTGTCCGGGCCGTTAGGGCGCTTGGGGGCACAGCCGGGGGTGGTAAAGAGGAGGAGACACAGGCCGTTGTGCACCGACGTTGAAGAACCATGGACTGTTCTTAAATGCTTCTGGGTTCCTTCATCCGCACCTCCACCAATCAGGAATTTATCATTGACTAGTGGACCACGCAATGCAATTCTGCAGTTCTCTTCTGCTGCCCCTTGCGGCGATATTTTACCTCACCGCAGCCTCTCCAAGCGGAGGCTCTCATGGGCGTAAATGCAAAAACGTTCGTTCACTCACCGTCCCAGGCGCTGAAGTGGTTTCAATCTCTACGGCCGAGCTTCAACATGGCAAGGTGTGTTCCGTGAACGTGACCCTGACTCACCCTGGTGTGGACGACCAGGTAAAGGTCTGGGTCTGGCTTCCGGCAGCTAAGGACTGGAACGGGCGTTTCCAGGGAGTGGGTGGAGGTGGTTGGACTGCGGGACAGGGCGAAGTCGACCTCGTGGTGCCCGTGAGCCAGGGGTATGCTGCGGCCTCGACCGACGCCGGCGGCCAGGACTTCTTCCCTGAAGGAGCGGACGGACCGAACCTTGGTCTGCTGAACGACTTTGCATCGCGATCCTTGCATGAGATGACGCTTGTTGGCAAGCAGCTGGCAAAGAGTCTATACGGGCGGGAGCCTCATCATTCGTACTGGAACGGCTGTTCAACCGGAGGCCGCCAGGGCCATATCCTGGCCCAGAAATACCCAACTGACTATGATGGCATTCTTGGAGCAGCTCCTGCGCTGTATTGGCCAAGCTTCAACCTCGCGCTCTGGTGGCCCGACTTCGTGATGCAGCATGTGGGTGTTCTGCCCAGCCAATGCGAGCTGGCAGTGTTCCAAAAGGCCGTGATTGACAAATGTGACGAGCTGGATGGAGTTAGAGACAGGATCATTGGGAACGTCGCGGCCTGCGAATTCGACCCCATCTCGGTGGTTGGCACCAAGGTTGAATGTTACGGCAAGCAGATCACCATCTCCGACAAGGTCGCGCTCGTGGTCAAACTGGTGCACCAGGGGCCTCGGTCTCCGTCGGGCTTCCAGCTTTGGGATGGCTATGACTACGGCTCGGATTATAGCTTCATCCTGCGGACTCTCACCGACGATGATGGCGAGACAACATTATTCGAGGAGCCCTCGTTGGGCACGTGGATTCGCGTCTTCTTGAAGAAAGATCCTGAATTTGACCTCAAGTCGATTAAAACCCTGGAAGAAGTGACGGAGCTCTTCGCATCTGCACACTCCCAGTACGGGGGGATGATCGGGACCGATGACCCTGACCTATTACACTGGCCGCCCTGTTTCGGCCGGACGGTCGGGCGGTCACCACTAAAAAACGTCAATTCTGCCAGGGGGAGGTGTCAAGGGGGTATCGCGCCAAATCCATCCCACCAGCACATTGCCTAATCAGTGCCCGCTACTCCGTCCAGCTAGCGCATGGTGGAACCCCTAGTAGGCCGTCTAGCTAACGCACTGCCTAATCACTACCTTTACGCATTATCTAGCCAACGCATCGCCTAATCACCACCTCTACGCATTATCTAGCTAATGTATCACCTAATCACCACCTCTACGCATTATCCAGCTGACACACCACCTAATTACCATCATCACGCCCTTGTCCTACTAACGCATCACCTAATCACTACCTCTATGCATCATCTAGCTAACGCATTGCCTAATCACCACCCCCTACATCCGCGTCTGACTAACGCACCCCCTAATCACTATTATCACGCCCTTGTCCTGCTAACGCATCACCTAATTACTACTATAGCACATTATCTAGCTAATACACCACCTAATCACCACCTCTATACATTATCTGACCAACGCACTACCTAATAATCATTATTACTAGTACCTCTTGTCTTTGTCTATCTAGCTAATATAATAGCTAAGTATAATCTTACTATTATTATAGCTAGCTACCTTTATTCTTACCTAAGCAGCGCTATTTTCTATAATATATATCTAGTTTCCCTTTCTCCTAAAGCCGCTAGCATTAGAGTTAACCCACGTAATCACCCCCTATAGTAATAGCATGCACGATATATCTAGTATATAACTATATAGCCTCTCGCGTTCGCAGGAGCTTTATAGGTAGTAGAAGTATCTAACCCTTCTTATAATTAAGTACTAGCTAACTATTAAAGTAATCCTAAATCATGATTATTACTAAGTAACAAAGGTAGCGAGTAACCTAGGAGGCGTGAGAGAATATATATATTCTCTATAAACTATACTATTTTAAATAGATAGCTACCTAAGAGAAGTAACTATACTCTTACTAGTACTATAAAGCGTGCCTGTGCCTTGTAGGTATGGACACTATGACTTATACTAACATGCTGATATACAGCCCACTACGTCTAGCATAGTACTAGTGGCTAGTAGTTAGAGAAGTAGCATATAAACCTAGTCTCCTAATCCCCTGTGCGGTCCCGTTCCCCTCTAACTAGCTTAGGAAAAGGGGGTACTAGCTTATATTCACGTAGCTACTACCATGACTAGAGTATATCCTACATACTAAGCTGTTCCACTAGGAACTAATCCTCCACTATAAGTATATAGCTATGTTTTAAAGCTAGATACTAGAGTAACTACGAGGGCTAGATTACCTCGTGACACCTAGTACAGGTAACCATGTGCTACTATAAGTAATATACTAGCTATGCCTATAGTAACACCTAGTACTCATGCTTATTTAGGATGAGAGGCACGCGAGGCCTACTCTTAACCTACTAGCTAGCCGCTAGACTAGTACCTATAGGTGGCTCTACTACTAGACCTATTAGCAAACCTGGTTAGGTACCTATTAACTCGCCTTCTAGCCTATTATCGCCCCTAAGGATAAATTAGTGCTAGATGTTAGATGCCTTGTAGAATAGGTTTAGCTACTTAGTCTATAGGGATATTAGGTGCCGCTCCTCTATAGCATAGATCTACTAGTTGATCTATTAGTAGTGCCCTGCCTAGTGGGCGTAGATATTAAGTATTAGCTCCACCACCATGTGTAGATCACCTAGGGTAATCCTCTAGGGTAGGTGTTGTTTTAAGATCACGATTATAGTATACTAATAGTGCTAGGTATTAAAGATAATCATGAGGCTCTAGAAGAACTTGTGGCTCGCTACCTTTATAGCCATGTTAATTATTATCTATATAGGCGGGAGTCGCTCCCTAGGCAGGGCAAAGAGATAGTGGTTATTAGAGAGGGCCACGCGCCTAGTAGTCTACTATAAGCATAGCACTTGCTACTAGAGTAGCTTAACTAGAGGCCGCACGTGCGCTAGGTAGAGCACCACCACCTCCTCAAGCCTAGTAGGGAGGAAGCAGGCCATGGGCGTAACAAGGCCTCAGCGCTAGATAGTCTTATTATACTTAGTAACTAGCATTACTATGCTCTTACTAATAAAGAGGTTCCACATGCTAGATATAGTATTATACTATTTTAGTGTTATTAGCTCTATGCCGCGCGCGGGCTGGCCCAAGGTTAGTTAGATAGTTAAGATTAGCTAGTGGAGGAAGGCCCGGGCCTTAGTAAGGTAGGCCCTGATAGTGGGGTGGTGCTAGTGCTAGCCTATTCATAGTAGGTGATAGCCCTGCCCTGGTGCCTTGTAGAAGGGTAGTAGGGGCCGCGCCATCTCACCACCACTAGTAACTAGGGACCTAGGGCTATTAGCTAGGAGCGAGAGAAAGGAGAAGCTAGTTATTACGCGCATAGGAAGATTAGTAAGCTAGTAGAGGTTAACTACTAGTAGGGCGCTAAGCAGGAGTTAGCAGTAGAAGATTAATAGGGTAGTCACGAGCACGGACCAGATCCACTATTAGAAGAGGGTAAGGGGTAGGCCCTAGGGGTCATGATACTAGTAGAGGACTGTTAAATCTAATAACTAGGAAATAGTGGGCTGCTATAGCTAGTTATGCATAATACGCATGCCACCCGCTATTAGGCAAAGCAGCTTAGTCATGGGGGAGAAGCTAGGCTGACTACTATAGGCCTAGTAGACCTACGTCGCCCGCTAGGCATGGTTCTAGATCAATGCCCGCGGGCGGATGTTGGGGATTAGGTGGTACCTATGTATTGGCAGGGCGAACTCCAGGAGTAGTAGCCAGGCGACCTAGATTAGCCTAGTAAAGATGGTGGTGTAGTTATATAGCTTGTAAAAGGCTAGCTAGCTATCCTTGCCTACCTAGAGGCCGTGGATCGCTGTGTAGGCCACTAGCAAGGTACTAAACCTGTCCCCCTCTAGCTTGATCTATAGCGTGGTGAGGTAGTAGATACTCAGGGAGAAGATCGCCTGCGTGAGCCATGCCTAGCCTAGTCTAGGGAGCTATACTAGCATCTCACTAGCAATACCCTAGGGCTTACTTAAGGCAGGATCCCCACCCATGTCCCCTTGGCTAGTTAGAAGGTAGGGACTATTATTATTACTACTATCACTACTAGTACTTCCCTCCAGGTCGAGGTTGACATTAGTGCTATTATTAGCACTATTACTATTAGTGTCACTGTCTATTAACGTGCATGAAGAGGCGAACCTATCATTATAGGAAGAGTTATTCAGGTTAGTATTAGTATCATTCCTAGAGGATGATGTCCTAATACTACTAGTGTTAACCTAGCGTGGCAGCCTATATTATATCTCTAAAGCAACGCCTTGTAGCTAAGACAGGGGGTTAGGTGCCATGGCTACTTAATCTAGTAGTCTGCCTATAGTACGCTAGCACTTCACTATACGGGCCCGCGGCGTGGGAGTACTTAGTAGTGAATAGCGTAGCTTCCTCTTAGTCCCCTTTATAGAGGATAGAATTACTACTATAATTATTACCTAGCTCTATGGAGTTCCTCCCCCCAGGCTACTACTAGCTAGTGTATTACTAGTAGTAGGGGCTCGCTGCCTGGTAGTGCCCTGCCAGCATCGTGGTCGTGCCCATTGTGCCTGGTTAAGTCAGTCACTACGGATGTGGTCTAATAGATTAGTAAGGAAGCGCGCTACTACTATACCTAAAAAGTCCTAGCGCGCTGGGTCCTTAAGGTGGAGGAGTAGGTATTAGTAGATTACCTATAGGAGCCGCTCCTCTAGTACTATAAGGGAGAGGCCAAGGTATCACTTGTACTATACTAGCATAAGGGGTGCTACCTAGAAGAGTAATATTAGGAAGCGCTTCTAGTACTACGCGTAGTAGGTGATTATCATGGCCTTCTACGGCCGCTGTAGGGGCTAGCAGCCATGGCAGCCTGCTTGGTTGCTCCTAAAGATTTCAAGGATAGGTAGCTGGGTGGTGTCTAGCGTCCTCAGCGCCTAGTCTAGGACCTGATTAAATGCGGTGCTAACCAGGCGTAGGATCAGCTCGTGGTTATAATGGTCGTGGCCAGCTGGCGCAGCGTAGTCCCCAGGAAAGAAGCTCTAGAGCGTGGGTAGTAACTAGCATGTCCCTGGCGGGCTGGTAGCGGCTAGTATTATACTAGGTAAACGCCTATGGAAGAATTACGCCTACCTAGTCTACTAGAGCCATGGGCTAGAGTCATCGCTCTCATAGTGCTTACTAAACCTAAAGTGATTAGCTATCCCTCGCCACGCCAGGGTAGGGAGCGTGCTGGGGCTCTGACCTAGACTAGACCACTAGAGCGCGGCCAGGCCCTTGGAGGCCTCCTGGTATAGCAGCTCGCGCTGCTAGGGAGCTACTAGTAGGGGATCCTCGTTTAATGAACCCGCGAAGCTAGGAGGGGATGGCGAGGAGGTTATAGTGATAGCTGGGATCTCGGTACCATGGTCAGGCTCTGGCGTGGTAGCAACGGCCACCTGCAGGCAACTCACAACCCAGGGGCGTTAGTAGTGGTTATTCTGGAACCAGCTCTAACCCAGGGGACCTGGCGGGACGGACCTCCGTCCGCTCTAGGGTTTCTCGGCGCTTAGCCCCTTTGGGTTTAGCGGGCCGGGAAAAAGCGGCGCTAGGATCATCCATTCGCATTAGAAAAGGTCATCCATCCGCAACCCCTACAAGGGTCGCTCGGCTTTGAAAAGTGGCTCGCGTGAGAGGGCGGGTACTTATCTTTAGGTAAATGCCAACGCAGAAGCCATGCGGACGCAGGGTGGAGCTGTAGCGTGGGTTGGGAGAGGCGAGTCGAGATAGATGATAAGAGGTACGACGGGTACTACAGCGCGGGATGCAGGATACATCCACATAGTAGAGCATCCATCCATGTTATGTATGCAAGCTGCCATGGAAACCAACCATGAATAATGTTTATTTATACCCACGCCCACATCCATACCCATGCCCATGCCCATGATTTCAACCATTAACCAGTTATTTATTTGTTTTGGACCATGGAGGACCAGCTGTTTGAGAAGATCCCTAGCTTGCAGATTATCATCTGCCGCGCGTGCCAGTATGGT